GCTTATCGCAGGAGCCTGCGGGCCGCCGCGGGCGACAGTAGTTGTCCGCGGCCCTTTAGGGCCGCGGGGAAGTGGTGGAGCCCGCGGCGGCCCGCAGGCTCCTGCGATAAGCTTTGAATGCGAATCCGGAAGCCTCCGATGACCCGGGATAGCAGTGGGATTCTAATTAAAAAAAGTGGGACTCTAATTAAAAAGAAATGGTGGTGGCAACCGCGCTTTCGCCGCGCGGCTGGTTAGGCTTTCGCGCTGGTTAGATTTTCGCGCACGCATTTGGTTACCAATATCGCCCTCCGGGCGCGACATTCATAGAAAGAGAAGCTCAGACAATAAAACAAAATGAAAACTTCGCAACAATGCAGGCTCGACTGCAGAATTGGGTGAAGACAAGGATGCGACGAGACAACGTCGCCAACCTGTTCCAAACGCCAAAAATGCGCGAAGAGGAACCGTCCACAGCCCGGCAGTTCCAACCCATCAACGACGCCGATGCCATCGACAGGACGTAAGTGAAGTCTTGTGATTTTCCCGTGTTTTTAGTTCAGTGTCGAGTGTCTGTTTTGCTAATATCACCGAGGATCCAATCTTTCTAGATGAATACAAAGTTGAGAAGATGCAAGGACGCTGAAGCAAAAAATCCCTTGGTGGTCAACAGGTACTACTTCAAACGCGACGACTTCAAGGACTATTCGGAGGACCTCATTAAGTACCGGCACACCATGCGCTGAAAGAGAGGTTGGAAGAAAAGTAAAAAAAGGCAAACTATGTCTATAAATAGAAACACAAGCGCCTCGTCGGCAAGACTCCATTTTCGTTTCTCAGACGTTGCTACAGCAATTTTGTAAAAATACTTGTCGGAGGGAGCAGAAGATTAAGAGGCAACGAGAGTTGTATTGTGCCGAACTACTAACCTGTTGTCCGCCGATGGATAACTGTGCCAAGTACTCGTTTCCACCTTCTGTGTTCTTGCTGCATCCTCGTGGCTTGCGGTCAGACAACTTAACCAAATATGTTGATAGCACGACGCGAAGCCCTTGTTCCCAGACTGCACATCAGGAACGACATCAGTCATACTCTGATAAAAAGCATGCTGTCGGAGAAGAAGAAGAAGTGACCCAGCATGTGCATTATTTCTTCACACACTTTGGTGGAGTAGCGAATGCAAATTTTAATTTGATTTTGGGTTTGTGTCGTCTAGAACCAACTGGAATGCTTCTAGTTTGTCGAGTGGAAACCGTAAGCGCACGTGTGAAGAATCTGTTGCTTGGTGATCTTGTGCGCATACTTGTAGAATATCAGTTGCGACAAGGTTGCGCTTCTTGTTTTCGATACTCGTAGTTGCGATCTGCAACGGAATTCGGACCTTTGTGATTCTCTCTAGGCGTCTTCTTGACTCGTCAAAGTACTAGCTCTTGTCGCCACCTCGGAGACAAAATACAGATCAACTCCAGTATGTAATTTCTGTGGCCGTTCTTTTGGTTCCCGCTTCCGCACGAGCGCAGCTATGCTGAAAGAAGCGCGGTGGGCCGACGTGGTCGACGTGGCTGAGGAGGGCGACCGAAGTGATGAAACTCTGCAGAAAGCGGCATCTACACAAATAGACAAGATTGATGTGGTAATCCAGACGGTGAGCAGCACCGGCGTTGATCTGCAGAATACTGTTTGCAGCACCTCTGCCGGATCCTCCAACCCGACGGCTTCGTCGACACAAGAAGCGGTCGTGCCACCGCCTCCGCCTCCGATACCTCCCCCGGGCCCTGCGACGGAGCACGACACAGGAAGCAGCGTAGGTCCGCACACGGAGGAGCAAGAGCGGTACCGCTGCGTCCCTTCTTCGTCGAGTACGGGGGGTGCCTCTGCCTGGGAGAAGAGGGACGATGCAAATACCAAAGCCAACACGACCACATCATTAAATCGCAATAAATCGACCGCGCGTGCTCAGCAGCTGGAGCAGAAAAACAACCACAAAAATAATTGTGACTCGGGCTACAAAAACCAAAGGAATTTTTATCAGGAACAGCAATACGGCGATTATTACAAGACAGCTAGCTTCTACTACAACCGCAACTTCTACGGAGGTTCCTGGGGTAAAAATTACACAGCACCAGCCAATACCAGTGCTGTCGGTTCTTCAAGTGCTTCGATAGGAGAGCAAGGTAAACAAAACTTCTCGAGCAATCACTTTGGGACCACTCCTCCTGGTGAGCACTGCCAGAACCACGGCGGTGGCAGGTCTGCAGGCGCGTTTTTGCACCAGCATGCTAGTATGCGAAAAAGTGGAAATAACAAGCACCATCCGCCACACGCCCCGCCGCCTCCGCCCCCACCACCAGCGCGAATGTGCGAAATCAGTGCGGCGGCACAGGAGCAGGCGGAGGGTTTTAACTTCATGATGGAGGACCTTGTACAGGGCGGTGAGAGTTGTAGCAGTTCTCTCACGATGAATACCTCTGGCCACGACCAAGGAGAGCGGCATGATCAATCGTACCAGCCGCGGAACAACGGGAAAGTAGCAGTGGATTATCACAGCGAAATCGCGCAGCAGCACGTCATTCCGCAGGACCGAGAGATGATCGACCGCTTGGCGCTGAACCTGGACATTGACGTGCCGAATCTGTGGTCCACCTGGTACCACCGGTTATCTGACACGGAGAAGGTGCATCTTCTCGAGCGCAGGATGAGATTATTGAAAGATCAATCTAGTCTCGTGTCGCAGCATTTTTTCGCACAACAGCACTCCAGAAATGATCGCTCTGGTGCTGGTCCTCGGGCACAATACGCGGCGACAACAATACCAAGCGGGGAGCGGCCGCACTTTCCGCAAATCGACTACAGTTCCTCTTACGGCATGCTGACGGATTCCGACTGCGGCTGGAGCGATTGCACGACGATGTCGATGCAGCACGCGGACCGACGGTTGTCGACCACATCCTCCGCAAATTTCGTTTTGAATCCGCATAACCTCGCCGGTGTTGTGTGGCTGGACGGAGCGGCGTTTTTTCCCGAGCATCCGCTGAGCATTCTGCTGAACCAGTTCTGCCAGGGGTGCGGATTGCGCTTGAAGAAGTTCCGGACGGTACAAAACCTGTTAAGGTGGATGAACAAACAGAAGAGCTGCCACAGTGCGGGAAGTTCTTCTAGCGGCAGGCAGGCCCTGGTGGAACAACAGCAGGAAAATAAAGGCGCTCAACGAGGGGGCAATCGCAGAAACAGCAAGACCACTCGGAACAACAGTTCTATGCAAGAACCGCAATTGCCGCACGGCCGTTCATCGCACAACAAAGGGACGAAAAGTAACAACCTCGGAAAAAAGGGACACCAAAACTCCTGGCTAGTATCTTCAGGCGGGAAGGGAGGTGCAACAAGTGCGACATCTTCGAATGAAGCCGCTTTGTCGAGAGGCGGAAATAACAAGCAGCAGCCCGCTCACGTACAGCAATCGTACTTGGCGTGCGTGCACGAAAGCATGTGTGCCCCGGTGTCCGATTACATCCGGACCGCTAGTCTTGACGGTGGCCATCTCACGTTGTGCTCGCTGGTCGTTTACAAAAAGGTACAGCTCTAGAAGTTGATATTGATACAACAACGCAAGAAATAGGAAATTTGTATTGCGGAGGTTACATCAAACATCCTCGTAGCTGGAGGAGGAGGTGGACCCTGACGCAGATGCAGATCTGACTGATGTGCATGCAAAACCATACACAGGAATGGCGGCAACGGCATTCGAACAACTGTGGTGCAACGGCCGGGACGGTGAGCGACGTAGCGAGCGAGATAACGCTGTCACGAACGACGAGCAAAGAGGATGTCGCGGGAACTCTGGGAGGAGCACTGGTGGCATCGGCAGATCCAGTGGCAGGCATGGATTGGGGGTCGGCCTCCAGGAACTCTAATATTGCCGATAAGTTCAGTCGAAACAATCCCTGGAACATCGAAGCGCTCGCCACGGAGATAATCGAAGGCTGCAGCGCAAATCCGTCGTCCAACAGCACAAATCCGTCCAATAGCACCACCATTCCAGAATCTTCTCCGGGTGCGAGCCCGGACGTGCTGCCCTCTTCGCCCGGTGAGGCGCTCACAACGCAAAGCGTGACCAGTGAGCAAGTGTTGACCTGCTCCTCCGTTGGAGGCCCAACGACCGGCGGCGAGGGCCAGCATCTGAACCCGCCTCTTCCCTCATCGCAGGAGAAAGGTGCAGCTCTCGCACCCAGTGTCAGCAGCGCAAAAGCCGGAAGAAGAAAAAACAAGAAGAACAACAAGCAAGCAAATCTCTCCCGCACTTCCTCCGCGCAGCCGTCGGTAGGAGAAGGTGGATTTTTTGAGTCGGAGGAGCAACCGATCCTCACATTGGAAGACTCATTCGTCGATGCGATGCGCGAACTGCTTCTTGTGAAGGGAAATGGTCCTCTCGAAGAACATAGTAAAACATCAAAGAAGAAGCAATTGCGCAGCAGTTCTCCTGACGACGAGGGTCCTGTTGACACAACAAGTTCATTGCCGACGGTGAAGACGCAGCTTCTGATGGTGGTCGACCCACTGCCAGTGGCTGAGATTGAGGCTCGTCTGGATCAGTGTTTTGTGAGCACGTGCGATTTCGTTTCGATGCCGGAAACTGAGGACGCGCAGCCGCAGGATGACACTCTCAACAACGCTCAGTACGTGGACGTGGAAATGCGCTTCAAATTTGGAAGAAGACTGAGGCGCAACACAGTGCGGGTACCTGCGGGCACGAAGCGAAAGTTTTCGCAGTTGGTGTTACACGTGGTCGCTTTCTCGGATGCGCAACAATGTACTTGCTTTCTGTCATGATTTCGGGGGTACTACAAGATGAACTCTGCGTGGTTTCTCTCATCCATCGTCAAGAACTATGTATGTACTTTTTGTGTGCGGTCGACGCGCTACTTACTCGACGACGACGTAGATCGTTTTCATTGTACGTGGAAAGTTTTTTCCTTTACGAAGGTATTTCCTATCTGGTAGCGAAGCAAAAGCGCACGCCCAGCTGTTCCGCCGGGCCAGCATCTTCGAAGTCCGCTGATAAGGCCGCGCAGATTCGAAGGCCGCAGAAGCGGGTCGCGTGGGATTGGTTCGACGTTTTTGGGGAAAGAAAGAACCCGCGCAAAGGCGAACATGACAGCGACAGCGAACTTGTTGCCGTGGCCCAGTGCGCGGATCGCAACTCGCAGCAGTTCGTCGCGCTCCTGAATGCCGATTTCGTGCAGTGTCTCTCCGCCTTCATGAAGGGTTACTCTAGCAACCGCGGGCCGGTGCACAGGCAGCACGTGTAAGGAGATTTTTCTGGAGCTGTTGGAGTCTTTGAAGATACAGCCATCTTTTATCTTTGTCTCGCGCGAGCATCATTTTGTCACTTGTGCGCCGCATTTTTATCCAAAACGAAAACAGGTATGGGCGGAACGAATTGTACGAAGCACTGAAGAGGCAGGCGGGCGACTCTGGCGAAGTGGTGGAAAATGATTCTTTCGAAAACGTGCTTGAGGAGATACGGCTGCGCCTGGAGGATCCCTACATGGCCCGGAACCGAATGGAAGTGGATGGCATGCTGCTCTCGTGCCGGTAAAAACAGCAGAGTTCTCTACGATGTTGCTAGGTTTAGCTCCAAACTCTGCTCATGAATGAAGTTCGGCAATATAGAAGTGACGCTTGTTCTTTTCCTTATCCAATTCCAGACTTCATTTTGTTCCTTTTGCGTATAAGCTAGTTACTTATTCGCGAACAAAAATGCCAGGTCGCGATCCGGGCTGCTTTCCCCAGCCGTTTCCACGTGCTCCGCGGGCTCGCATCAATTTCACTTGACGGAACAGGTGACTGCAGTTGAGCCCCCAGAAGTGGCAACACAACACGTTGCTGGCAACTATTTTCCGCAGCATTCCGGCGCCAGCAGTGCGTTTCAGCCACTCCAGACGAAGAATTTCGCACTTCCGCCGTTTCCAGCGTTGGCCTTGGACACTCGCTCCCATAGCTACAGTAGGCAGCAACCGCAATTGCGTACTTTTTGCAAAGAATTGCAGCTGTACGTATGCCTCATTCATCCACTTCATATCGTTCAAGTAAGAAGAGTAACATGACCGTGGGTTGTAAATGTAATGTGACGTCGTGCCAGACGAGCCAGTCGCAGTCCATACTCGAGTCAAATTTTTGCTGTCACACAACAGGCCCGCCTACGTGGGAGCCGACATTTCCAATGATGGCCATGCCCTCAATGGCCTCCCTCGCATCTCCCACGCTCCCCCGCGTGCCAGAACCTCCAAAACCGCGGTCGCCGGTACTCCAGACGAGTGTTCTAGCGAGTCACGCAAAGGCCGCAATCACCGGTAGCACTGTCGCAGCATCTTCGTCCTCCAGTAGTTGCAAAATAGCGGGAACGGTACCGGCCCAGGGTGCTAAGCCTCAAGCCGCTCCGCGGGCGCCGAATAACCTGGGATTGCCAACGCAAACGCTGGGCGAGCAACTACCGATCACGACACTTCTAGAGCGTGCCAGTCTGTCGCCGCGAACTTCCGCGGAAGCGAGTTCAACAAAAATTGCCGGCGCAGCACCAAAGGGACCAGAACCTGTCCCGTGCAGCAAGCTGGTCGTCGGGAATTGTACGGCGAGCCGTAGCAAATCGCCACCCGCGAGCCCACCACTCCAGCAAACCACCACGTCGGTGCGGGCGAAGCCTTCGCGGCTGAGCATATCGTCACCTTCTACCACAACGACGGGTGCAGCAATTGGCGGCCCAGCGAGTTGCACGTCTTCGGCAACTGTTTCGGGGGCGAACGCTCTTGCAGCTGCGAACAAAATAGTGCAGCAGCCAACGCCGACGTTTCAGAAAATGATGCCGAGCTTGTCGCTGAACTTCAGTGCGAAGCCGACGGCGGCAGGATCCTCGACCGCTTTAGCTGCACAAGCAGGATCCTCTTCTGCGACTGCTTCGTCGGCCGGCCCGGGCCTCAGCAGAATTTCCATGCGTTCCCAAACGCTTCCTTGCCCGGGGGCTGATTCGTTGCCGCAGGAGGGGGCGGGCTCTGCCGGGGGCACGACGGAGCCAACGGCGGGCGTTGCGTCGAAGCTGTTTGCTACTGCCGTCGAACGCGCACCCAGCACTGGCGACGGGGGCAGCAGGCCCGCTAGTATAAGCGGCGTTGGCCATTTATCCACCACTAGTGCAGGAGTAGTCACGACGAGTAAGCTAGGAACTACTTCCAGCACGACAGGTAGTTGCGCAACCAGCAACATCGCAGGAGCATTATCGAGTTGTACGGGTGGAGCAGGAGCTGGACAATCCGCAACAACTTGCCATAGCAGCAAGCCCTTCTTCAGTGCCGGCACGCCCGGCGTGTCAACGTCAACAACCGTGTCTTCGTCAACCTCCGCTTCGGGCACTGCGAATTCGGCGGGTAGCGCTTCGAGCAATGCTTCCTCGCGAGGATCGAAGTACCAGCCGGAACGCATGCAAGAGCTGCTGAATAGCATTCACCACATGCTGCAGCAGCACATCACGCTCCGGCAGCAACATGGGAAGCAGTCGGAGGAGCTGCTGCGAACCGTGGAAGAGAGCCTCGCGGCGAACCAGGAGCATCTCGCTCGTTTACTTTCTTCGGTGCAGCCCACAACCTCCTCCTCTTCCTCCTCGGGTTCGAGGGTAGTCGGCAGCGGTGCCCCGACTTCTGGTGCACCTGCCGACGCAAAGTGGTGCACCACGGGTCAGGCGAAATTCCGCACCGGCAGCGCGTGGCGGAGGGGGTGGAGTCTGGAGAAGGTCGTGGTCCCACCGGAGGCGGCGGACAGCGAGAGTGCGGACGAGGGCCACCCTTCGCGGGCCCGCAAACGCGCGGCGGAATCGCGTTCGGTGCCTCCAACGTCGCGTTCGTTCAACCGGGCGCAGAGCAGCGATGCGTCGACAGACGAGGTGTTTGTCCCAGCTGGTGCAACAAGCGGTGTAATATCTAGCACCGCACCTACCACCGAGCCGACCGCGCTGCCGGACCGCGATAGAAGTGCTGTGCTAACCGGTGCAGCAACGTCAATGACCTGTAGTACGGCTTCTAGGGGAGCAAGCACCAGCGGGGGGCGGTTGCACTTTTCCGGCTTGCACATCAATCCGGGGAAGATGTTTGTGGAGAAGGCGATTTTGGAGAAGCGAATCTCTGGGGCCCCCTTGCTGATGCAGCATAAAGGCTCATCTTCTTCCACTACTGGGCACTTGCGCAGCGGGCTTGCTAGTAAAAGCAAGGCTTTTCGCAGCGTTTTTCGGCCCGGCGTGGTTCTCAACTTGCTAGAACCGATAGGAGAGGAACATTAGATGAGGCACTTTTTTGATGCCGCCTTATAAGTAGTCACTTCAGGCGGGTCCCGTAACACCTCTGCATCCACCGCTATTTTGCGTTTTACCATTCTTCTTTTCATGCAAATACAACATGCAGTTGCATTCGCGAATAGACAACATTTCCGTAATTTTCTCAAACGCCCTCCTTTGGATTAAGGGCATTTGCCTTCAAGTCAAAAATTGAATGTCTACAATTTTCACTTTGCAGTCACACCCAGTGTGCATGCGGTGCGTCTTTATGATTTTCTCTTCTGATTTGGTTTTGGCAAGACACGAAGTAAGTCAGCAATTATTCAATGCAAAGCCAAAGTAAGCACTTGCCGGAGAGCTGGGTGACGGCGTTGGGACGGTTGTCAACATTACGATTTGCAAAATAGGCATCTGGATTTGTTCCGTCAGCTTATTATTTCGGCATTTTAGTGAGTACTCGTACTCCGCGATCCAACAGCACAAGATGTGAGTCTGTCGTGCCTTTCTTGTCTCAGATTTTACTTTCGAAAAATTTTGGGTTTTCTAGGGCGTAAGCTAAGTGAGATATCCGTGGAGGTCGAGGCTGGTTAGCAGATTGGTGCGAATTTCAGCACCACTCTTGTGGGTCCTGGAGCAAAGTCGCCACACTTCGTTCCAGCGTTTTTTATGTTGCTATAGCGTTTGCGATTGCGTTCCCAGCCTGTAGTTTCCAAAGAGCAAAAGACGATCTTTTTCGGCGCCAGCACGCGAGTTCAAATGTGATGCTTTTCCTCACATTTCGCAGATTTCTGTCGTATACAACTTCCAGGCCCCACGGAGAGCACACCAGGGTTTTTGCGTAAGGACTACTTCATTGTTGCAGAACAATGGTTAAAATGATCCACTTGCTTTGCTTGCTTGCGTCCTTCGGCGCTCTCCCGCGACTCACATGTGCGCGTAGCACTAGCTCCGAAGGCAGTTCATCACCAAAGTCCTGCGCTTCGTCCGCTGGCGCGACCGCTCTCCAACCGGTGAAAGTTTCTCTTTCAAAGACACCATTGACGCTGGCGGAAGTGCGATGTGTTGCAGCGGAGCAGGCGGAGCCGTAGAATGCAGGAATAGCTCGGCAACTAAATTTTATTGATACTCGGGGTTCAGAAGATAGGACAAAGCAAGTCGCTATGACGCGAACGCTGTTGCACCGGGTTGCGACGATGCAGGGACGGGAACAGTACATTGATCCGGATCCCGGCGCCCGCGTGTTCACTACGACGCGTCTGAAGCAGGGCCCATGTTGCAACCTCGGCTGCCGGCACTGTCCCTTCCTCGGGGAGCAGGCGTCCTCGGCTTCTTGTGGAAAGGGGCAGCAGGAGGCCTGTGCAGGACGACTCAGTTGCAGCTATCCGACCTGGTGAGGGCAGTACTGCGCGGGGCAGAATTCTTTCAATGGGGCTTGTTTTACGTGCTGCTGCGTGTCGCAGAACTCAGTACGGGTGTACCACGTAGGAGGGTGTACCACGTAGGAGCCGGAGTGGTTTTACCTCAAGACTCTACTGTAGTTTTTAGAATTGGAAGCACTGAAGAAAATTGGTGATAATTCGGGTAGTGGCTATAGTACTTGCAATGACACTTAGCGTTTAAGACAAGGCACACATGAATAGAAGCGAGTGGCTCTGATGTACGATGTTTCTGTAGTAAAAATGTACTGAGCAAATTGATACACCTTGTGCCTGGCAACATGACTAGTTGCAGCTTCTGGCGAAAATGAATTGAAAACTTTAAGTGCTGGCATCATGGCAGAACCACAAGAACTTCAGCGCGATTGGCGCGGATGTAAGCTATTTCTGAAGTCGTTCCGAAACAAGTCCAGTTCACGTTCATCCCAAAATCCCGTGGTACTTGTCTGGAGTAAGGGCCCCCATACTTAGTTTTGTTTTGGCATATTTGTTCTCTTTGGAAAATCAACTGGAATTGCATCTTTGCTGCCCTCACCGCTTATCCTTCCTACGTTGCACGAGCGAATAATTCGGTGAAAGAGAATAAAGATGCTTTCATGATGTCCTCGCCCGTCGCCAACGCGGTTCTTATGCCGCCTTTTTCAGTTTCATCTCTTGCTGACGACAACTACTACGACGGCGTCGCAAGAGAGGACGAAAGCTCCTACCACGATGCGTTGCGTTTTTTGCTCGTCCCTGCAGTCGCGGAGGAGTACCCTTTGTTGCGATCGGTGAACCTGCTGGTTTCGGCCCTGTCGATGGCGTCCTGCCAGGTGGTGATTGGCGGGTATCTGCTCCTTCCGCACTTGAGAAAGTTCTTCACGCGCCTGATTCTCTACCTGAGCATCGCGGATATGTGGCTGGCGTGTGCGTCCGTGATCGGACACTTTCCCAACCCCTCGTCCACCGGCTGTCTCGTGCAGAGCACGTTCTTCGTGTTCTTCAGTCTCGCGAGCTTTCTCTGGAGTAGCGCCATCTCGCACTCTCTGCGCCTTCTGTTGTTTCGGGGAAAGCAGACGCCGTCCTTCAAGGAGATGGAAGTGGAAACGAAGATGCACAAGGTGTTGTTCCAGGGTTATTTGATTTCGCAAGTTTTTTTCGAATGAATTTTGAATACTCTGAGAACAAGAGTTCTTCTGTCATAGTGCACGAAGAAACCAATACCAAAATAGAACGTCTTTATGTACTTAGAAGACAGGTTTGCTGGGGCGTGCCCTTCGGCGTGACCTTGTGCGTCGTTCTGACGCACGGATACGGGCCCGCGGGGTTTTGGTGCTGGATTCAGGGGCGGAACAGTTACGGGAGTGCGTTGCGGTTTCTGTTGTTCTACGTGCCCCTCTGGGCCACCTCGCTGTACAACGTGTACGTGTACCTCGCACTGACGAAGCGCTTGCGGTTGCTGATGTCGGAGGACGCTGAGGAATTCAACGCGTCAATGGACGGCTCCTCTCACGTGACGCAGATCGCCGTGCAGACCACCGAACTGGTCGACCAGAATCTGTCCATGGACGGTCGGACGCAAAAACTGGTGTTGGACGGCGATACGGTGCTGGCAACAAGCCAAGGGACGGCGGAGGGAGACAGTGCGTCTTCCGCTTCGTCTGCAACCGAGGGCGTCGGCCGGGATGAGAGTGGAGGGCGATCGGGGTCTAATGGCACTGCCGCAGGAGGAGCAACATCCAATTCGCGGCCACAAGCTCCGAAAGTTGCTTCTACTGCCGACCGCCGGACAGAAGACATCGTCACGGGGCAAGTTGCGGCCGCATCCTCGTCGATCCGCGCGGAAGTGAGCAGTAGCAGCAGCAGCCGGCTGCAAATGATAAAAACGTCGGCAGGCCGCGAGGAATTTTTCAGCAAGAGTAGCGGGCCACTGGATGCCGGGGCGGTAGAATCCGCGGTGGTTGTGGGTCGTCCGCTCAATGATCGTGGGCCCACCTCCGGGAATCTAGTTCGCGAGAACGTCACTGTAAATTTCTCACCGTCGCTGAGCCCGTCCTCCAGTCCGACTTCACCGAGAATAGCCGGAACCAAGCACCAGCCTGACAGCAAGGGTCGCGTCGTTCGTAGCCTCGAAGAAGACGAAGTGGCACAGCTTCGGCAAGCGCAGCTGCGCAACCTCCGGCGGCTTTTCTATTTCCCGTTGCTGCTGGTCTTTTGCTGGTCATTCGGCTCGCTCAATCGCTTGCTGAATTGGTTTGGGGTACGCCTGTACGTCCTTGACTTTCTGACGGTCACTTTCGGCGGGCTACAGGGATTTCTGAATGCGTGCTGCTACTTCTTCACGAACCCCGGTGTGCGCGAGCAATTTGCGCAAACGCTTCTGGCACAAAGGTCCTCAAAGAGGTCGCGCGGGCGTATTGCCGGGGGTAGGGCTGCAGCGCATTGACACTTACACTTACAAATGACCATCGAGAATTTGGGTTTCTCCACTACATGATGAACACGCATGTTGCTGAAGCTTAGCAGCTAGTAAGTACACTATTGCTGTCGAAGATATCGACCACGACGCATTGGCCAGTATCGAGGTCGCGCCTTTGCGCTACGAGCTGAGAATAGACAGTTTCTGCTGGGAAAACAAATGTGTTCGGTTATTTTCGCTGCTCCGTTGTGTCGTTGGTTGGCGATAGTAAATATCGTACCGGCAATGCAAGTACGTCGAATCAATTTCAAAGATCGTTCTTGGAGGTCGGTGTAGCTAGATCTTTGTGCATGCTTCCTTGACTAAGGAATGTTGTAGTTTATTGTGCTCAAGTGCTGACATTTCGTTTTCGTATAGAAAATATCATTGCCCTCGTGCACTACCTAATGCGGATTTGTGGTGGGCAAGGAACATACTTAATCCGCGTACTACAAAAACACATTGCTCTCATTTCATAATTTCATCTTTTGCCCATTCCTTCACCATTGCACGTCGCTCTGATTTTTACGTGCCCCATAATTTCGAGTATCATTATTGCATCGCAATTTTGCGGTTCTATTTTTAAGGAGAAAATGTAATTGTTCACGCGAGGCGCACTGAATCAGGCGAACCAGCAACACAGTACCGGATGTCTTCGGCGCGGGACCGTATAGCCGAGCTGCAGGAACTGCAGGCGCAGCGGCGCGCGCAGCTTGAGGAGCAGCGGGAGAAGGTCGAGGCCTTGAAACGCGCCTCGACGCAGCTGGAGGCCCAGCGCGCCAGCCTGCAGCAAGGGACCACCCGGGACACCACGACTCGCAAGTCCTACAAGGAGGTGCTAAATGAACTCCTGCCCGGTCGCTTTTCCGCCGCGGACCAGGACCCTGCACGAGCGCCGACGCTGCACCGGCCATCGAACCTGGACGTGGTGAAGAAGCTCGCTTCAGTGAACATCCCGCCGCTGCAAACGAGTGAGGCGTACGAAAAGGGCGTACAGGCGGGGGCCGATGATTTTGCGTGCGATGATGGTACTTCTATGGCGGACGACAACCCTGGTGCCCGCGCTGCCCGCGCCGCGGGAAATAAACTGCAGGGTCGCAGTTCTGCAGCAGTCTCTACTGGGGCGCAGGCAGTTGCAACGTCAACAGAAGGGCTGGGGGAGAATCAAAATGACGAAGCACGATTACTACTAGGAGATCCTGGAAATAAGATGAACAAAACGAACAACGACACCGCAGGAGCTGCGAGTTCCCTTGTGCCGAAAAAACCTCCAGAACCCATGACGGAGGAGGACAGTGCGAGGGTGCTGCAGAACCCCGAGTTCGTGGCCTTTTTCGAGAAATCCTCGAAAATGATCGAGAAACTGCTCGCCGCGCCGCAGACAGAGGCGCTGTTCGATCGCGACTACCAGCACGAGCTGGACGAAGGGGAGAAGCACGGCGAGGAGATGGTGGAAATCGCGGATTTTGAAAGTAGTCGCTGGACGCGGGACCGGACCACCACGGACGTGCAGTGGAGCCCGCATTTCCCCGAGCTTTTTTGCGCGTCCTACGGACCGAAAAAGAACGCGACGCTATCGGACGACGAGGGGGTGGTCTGTGTTTGGAACCTCGCATTGCAGAATCGTCCGGAGTTCGTCTTCACCGCAGGTTTCATGCTGGCACTAGAAGTGTGGCACAAACGACCCCTGTCTGCTCGTGGTTCTAGTCATGATATTCTCCTGAAAACTACTACTACTACTTGCTTTTTGCGGAAGAATTGGTTCGTGGCGAATTATGATTAACTAACATCAAAATCCATATTCAGGGTCTCAAGTGCTGAGTGTGAGGTTCGATAAGTTCAATCCCGCTCTTTATTTGGGGTCGACGTATTCCGGCAGCATTGTCCTGTGGGACTCTCGAACGAACAGGCGCGTCCCGGTAGTACCAGATTTTTATTCGCGAGAAAGTGCAGGCACTGGGAAAGGAAGAGTCTTTTTCAGTGTCCACGCCAGAATTATGTTGTTTTGCGAAGACTCTGGATGCCGTGTGTATGTTTCGACTTTTTTATCTCTATTTCGAACTACTTTTCCAGGTTCAGCGCACCGCCTTGATTTCTGGTAGAGGACATGCGCATCCTGTCTACGCCATGGAGCAAGTAGGGGCACGCGGCGGTGAACTGATTTCAATATCGACAGATGGAAGACTGTGTCTCTGGAATTTATCCATGCTCGTGCATCCGCAGGTTGGTACAAGTCACACAGAGAAAAGATACTGCTTTTCTGTGATTTTCTGCGAAGACTATAGGACTTGAGTAATTGATACTTCTGTCATTTTTGAACGCGGTCAGCGTCAGCCCTTCTGGAATGATGTTTAGTTTTATTAAAAAAAGACGTCAATAATCGTAATCACCACTCCGCAGGAATGCGTCGACCTTCGCAAGGGCAGCCGGGACCTCGTAGTAAACTCGATGGCTTTTGGATCTGAAAATGCCATTTGGACCGGCGCCGAGGACGGTTCTGTTTGTCAAGTACAGATTCATCAAAACAAGTCCGGCGTTGTGGATTCCCTCGAAGGGCATCTGGGATTGGTAGTTTCTTAGCTGCTACCTTTTTTTTCTTGTAATGGGCTTTCATCGTTTTCTCTTTACTCTTTTTCCTTGTTTCCTATTCCTTTCTGCTCGGCAGCTGCCTGAAGTTTGTTCTGGCAGTGATTGGTTTATTTGGTCGAAGATACGGTCAACATCATATCGCAATCTTCAAAGTTGTTCGTTCGAAGTCTTCCCATTCAACATTGCAATGTGACAAGCAGGTTTCAAATGTGGCAATCAACACGCGGGTGTCGTCGAGCTGTGGCGATCTGCTGCTGACCAGCGGGTTCGACTGGAGCCTGCACTTGTATGCGCCGAAGAAGTCGCAGAGCCCGCTGCTGCAGTGGCAGCACTACGAGGATTACGTGACCGACGTGCAGTGGCACCCGGAGCACCCGGCGGTGTTTGCGACGGTGGACGCCAGCGGGTTGTGCCAGCTGTGGCACCTGAACGAATCGCTGGAGCAGCCGAGCATGAGTACGAAGCACGCGAAGAGCGCGTTTTTCTGCGGGGTGTGGGATGGAAAGTCGGGCCAACGATTCGCCGCGGGCAACACCGACGGCGCAGTCAAGCTCTGGCAGGTCGAAAAAAAGCTCACCTGCTCGGCCTCGGAGCAGCAAAGCCAGGTGAAGCAACTGGAGGAGCGCATATCGGGCCTGGAGCCCGTTTATCAAATGCAAAAATGTCTGGGTCTGGAAGGTTGAAACTTGTGATGCTAACTTTGGACTCTAAAAAAGTCTGTATTGCATGACCAGCAAGAGGAGTCTAGTTTGTGCTACGCGGGGAGAGCGTTTGTCATGCGGAGTAGGCATCAGGAAGCCCTCTAAAAATCTATGATGCTAGGGCGTGCATTGCAGGCGTCCTGGGTCATGCAAAACATGCGTGACAAGTCATCCTTTACAAACAGTGCGCCTATTGCAAAAGCATGCATTTATCTTGCACAAGATTCGCATTCAAGTAAGGCACTATGTTAATACGAGTTCACAAATCAAGATGGTGCAACAAGTAGCAGCTGGTCTCTCACTGCCACGTGGCAGATTTCGTCTTCTCTTCTGCCTCTGCATCTTGCAGAACAGTACTTGCTCAAAGGTAAGAATCCGGCGGAAAAAAGTTGCTGCTATTCAGCATACGATAATTATTTTGGAAACGAATAGAGGCTTTTTGCATGAGATACCCTGAAAAAATGCAGAACAGATAGCACTGAGATCAATCAGCGCGGACATCGCGTTTGCCATGCAGAGCTGCAACGCAAGTGATCAAATGAAGCGCTAAAGAAGTCGAAGAAACCATCTGGAACGGTGACAGAAATTCAATCAGCATAAGTGAAAAACTAATTTCCAAGAAAGTGAAATGCATATATCTCATAAAAAAGAAAGCCTTAAACTTTCCAAAATAATGAGCGACATACTTATGCCCATGATGATTACACATAAGTTCAGGAAAAGCTGCTTTCATCCTGCTCTTTTTGTATCCTATGCGCTACACCCGTCACTCTCTATCTTTGTCTGCACCAACCCCTGCAAATAAACTTGTATTTGATGTCGAGCAGCAAAGATATTGAGTAACAGGTATGAAAATAAATTAAGCAGAATGTAAGCAGCCTAGTACAAAAAGAACTTAAGTGCCACTTGTCAAGCAGCATACAGCCCAAGAGACGACAGGGCGAGAGCCCTGCAAGGCCGGGCGTCGATAGTAAGAAAACAAAAATCAAAAAAAGATGGTGTACACCGCAATGCTTAGCTGTGTGAAAGGTGTCGGCCCTGTGTAACCTGCTGCGGCAGGCAGGTGAATTCGTAGAACTGATTCACATTCTAAGTAACGCCCACTGGCCTCCTAGCTTAGTGATGAATTTACATGGCAAATTATTATTAAGGTCCTTCGTCAGGATGCGCGGCTTCTATTATTGGCGTCTGGTCTGATCGCACCCTATGGCTAGTATCTGAGATCAGAAAGCCCTTTACTTCGGGGGACAGTAGCGCGCGAAAAAAGTTCGTCGCGGGGGCACCCCGCGTGGTTCGTTTTTGTATGTTCTCCGCACCACGCATCTCTGGCTTCGGTCGTGTTTCCCGCTGGGTTTTTCAAACGCGGGTTTGCAAAACCCGTTTGCATAGGGCGTTCCCAGTATCCGCGTTTACACAGATCCCGATTAGCGCGCACTAGGCGCAACTATCTCCATACACAGTGGTCTCCCCCCTATCTTTACTACCGTCAGGTGCAGCGGCTTTCTGCACATCGCGCTTAGTCTCGACCCATATCGACCCCCCTTGCTATTCGTCCCACAGCATAGCAACGTCCGCCGCGGCTTACGGCTATAGACGTTAACTATATCGTGGGGATTTTCTATGCGTGTGTCCGGTCCGAGTTCGAAAAAGGGTTCAGGGGTGACCCCCCTGTATGCATGCGGATTTATGTTTCCGAAGGGTTTAGGGTTTTGATTTATATGGACCAATGCGGCGCGCCCATCGATTTTCCTGGCAGTGTCGACCTGCTGTACACGGCGTAACCCCCGCCGAATCACGAGCGGAATGCGCATCTGAAACTGAAACTGAAAAGTGAGGAACTGGTTGGTCGCGGCGCAACCTTGGCGCGAGTATCTCCGTGACATGATGGCCGGGACGGTCGTTGCAGATTCCGCTCGAGATTTTTCAACATGGAGGTCGCAAAAACTCTTTTGCATGGCCTTCGCGTAGTACCACCGAGATACGAACCGTCATAGGCTTGAAAAACTTTTTCGAAAAAACTTTCACTACAGTTTCGCGCGGCGGCTTCCCGTGTGTAGATTTATTCTCGACCATATCACCCCCCTGCTATTCGTCCCACAGCATAGCACGTCCGCCGCGGCTTCCGGCTATAGACGTTAACTATATCGTGGGGATTTTCTATGCGTGTGTCCGGTCCGAGTTCGAAAGGGTGCAGGGGTGACCCCCCTGTAGGCATGCGGGTTTAGGGTTTTATTTTGCATGGACCAATGCGGCACGCACATCGAGTTTCCTGGCAGTGTCGACCTGCTGTACGCGGCGTAACCCCCGGCGAATCACGACCGGAGTGCGCACATCCGAATCCGAATCCGGCAAAAATGAGGGGCCCAATGAAAAAAAAAAAAAAAACATGCGTGACAAGTCTCAGAATCTTCCAGACCCAGACATTTTTGCATTTGATACCGTTTCGGCCAGCGGCGGTGCGGCGGGTGGTCAGGGGCTTGACTACGGTGTCCGGGTGTAGGGAAGCATTCCAGCAACACGAAGGTCGTGGTCGGGGATGATTTAACCGTGGAAAATATTTATGTCGGACACGCTTGCAAAATATTTATGTCGTTGTACATACCTGCGGAAAGTGAACGTACGGTACACTCCATCCGTAGAACAAAGAAAGATCGTTGCGCTGATCTTGTTGAATATTACGCCAGTCGTGCAAATGCATGCATTTTATCGGGTGACTGATATCAGCTGCACTCTGTTTTGTCGCACCCGAAAGATGAAATATCCAATTTTCCGGCGCAGCAGGAATAAAGTAAAGTTCGGCTCGAGATCGAGTAGAGAGCCGGCCCTCCGGCTTCGCGGTCACCGATTTGCAAAGGACGTGAAAAAAGGTGCGCTTCCGTATAGTGTGAGCGGCCTGCTCTATGTGAGATTAACTGCAGGAAAGAGATGAAAGCGGCACGGAGGAGAGAGGAATGCTGCAGCTTTTATCGTGCGGAAGTTCTTTCTTCTTCGGTCGCAGCTTGATGCAGTCGCGAGTACAGGCAGCGTAGCTTTGGAAAGGAATTCGTTTCGCCGTCTATGAACGAACGAGCGTTAGTGGTTAGACTTTACAACTTCAGACTATCCTTCACCTCTTCTTCTAAGAGCAATCTTTATTGTGAGTAATTTCTCACTTGTATGATGGATTTCGACCCTCCCTCCTGATCATCATAACCGAGGACAGAGTCTATCTGCCTGTTTAGTTCTTCGCGCAAGCTTCTACCTCCTCTTCACCGGTTCCGGTTTCCGGCACACCATGTTCTCCGGAAAGTTTTTCCGGGGAATGAAGGAGTCCCTCTTCGGAGTGCCAAAGAGAAGCAGTACTTTCGATTCGGAGCGGGGGCAGCTCTCGGACTATGACCGGTTCATCTCGACGGTGCTCAGCACCACCCAGGACTTCCAAATGAGTTTCCAGAAGCTTGCCACGCTACATGACAACCTTTTTCAGGTAGGCAAAATGGGTATAGCAGGCTTAATTTTTCTTGACATTGTGCGCCGGCATAGGATTAGATGGAAAGAGATTTAGATCGGAACAATCCATCTGGGTCCCAGTAGGTAGTATCGACCAGCATTCATTGCTGCTCTTCGTGTCCTTAGAATACAAACAAAAAGTTGTGTTTTCAATGTACGGTTTGAATACCGAAAAACACGCGTTCCGAATTTGTTTTCAGCTTTGCGATTCGCTGTACCCGGTGGGACTTCCCGCAAGAAACCATGTCGTTTCTATCAAGGACCTGCTTGAGATTTTTGCGCAGCGCTACCAAAAAGCGGAAGAAGTGGTATTTTATTTTTTGCGTGGGTCTTCTTGTTCTGGTGCCAGAAAGCGGCTGTTGGTACTTACGACGCACGAAATTTCAAGAATCTTCAAACAAGACCGGCGGCGTTGCATTTTTTAAGGCGAAAAATTCGTTGGGTGGAAAGCAGAGAGTTGATACCAAAAAAACTACACCGCAGCTTTCGCGAATCCGGGATGTGGCGGGACAGGCCTCCCAGCGGAACCAAGTAATATTTGGCTCGCTGGACTCCATGGATCGCCTCACCAGCCTCTTGGACCACTACGAGGAAAAGCTGCGGAAACTGCGGGATCAACTCCAAAATGCCCAGAGAGACAACAACCACCGACTGTATCCACTTGATGTGATAGATCCGTTTTTTCGATGTAGTTGTTTGGAAGGGTAGTCACAATTTGTGTTGTTTAGGTCCCCTTTGCTGATGCATGGAGGTATTAGCAATTTTGTCCAGTTCGAAGGCGCACGCGAGTGCTTGCCACGTTTCCAGCATGCACGTGTAAAACAGTTCTTGGTGGACATGTTGTCCACCTCAACCCTGCAGTGAAAATAAACGTTGAAAGTGGTCGCACCAACATCCGTCTCTGAAGCGAAGAACTTGAACTGTGACACAATCTTCTATCAGGGTCGAAAGCCTGACGACGAAGATCATTCGGAACGAGGGCAAGCGGAACGGACACAAGCAGAACCTGGATAAGATCACGCGCGATGTTAATTTCGACATCCACGAGATCATCGAGAATCGCATCAACTCGGCGAGTCACCTAATCGCCGAGCTCGCGGAGCTGTACTCCGTGGCGTTTTCGGACCTGCAGAACGTGCTGGACCTTCTACGGGAACAGTCGGCCCTCCTCCGCATCAAGGGTGCCGGTCGTGACAGCACTGCGTCCTCCCCGGCGGCGCGGCCGGCCGCTCCCGGGGATCAAGGCTCGTCCGGAAGTCCGAATTTTCAGCCCGCCGCGCGGAGCCCGGTACAGCAGGCGGGGATGCGCCCCGCGGGAAGCGTGCCACCCCCGGTTGGATTCGGCAGCGACAGCTACATGAATAATCGGTCGAACTACAGTCCGCAGGGCCAAGCCGGGCCCGGTTTCGGCGGCGGCCCGGCGCCGTCTTCCGGCGTACCCCCACCGGCCGCTTCCGCGGTGCAGCCACCCACGGCCTACAGCAACCTGAACCCGCCGCCGCAGCAACCGGGGGGCGGAGGAGCTGCGGGGTCCTCCTCCGCGCCGCCTTACTACGGGGCCGCGGGTAGAGCGGCCAACCTGGGGAGTTCGAGCAGCAGTTACGCGGGACCGCCCTCTTCGTCCGACTACTATGCAAATGTGGACGCCTACAATCCGCCCGCACCACCACAGTACGGAGCGCCGCCTTCGCAGCAGTTGAACTATTCGCGTCCGCCCGCGGCCGGCAACGGGCAGTTCGCGGCACCTCCGCCGATGCCCGGGCCGGCCCCCCGAGGAGATTCGAACGCAGCCTCCTCCCGCGGAATGGGGTCTTACAGCATACAGCCGCCGCCCGAAACGCCGCAGACGCGCGCCGGCGGAGGCACACCGCAGCTGCTGCCCGGGGCAGAGGGCGACACTTCGGTGACACGCAAAAAGAAGAAGAAACGGGAAGAAGAGGAGGATTGGGGGGGTTTCTAAATGTACTACGTATAATCGTGATGGTAGGAGATCGCGCCTTACTAAGAATGTCGATCAGACCTGAACAATCTAATGCCTGCGCACACGCATTCTGAGAATACAGCGAGCCTTTTGATGATGGTCTGTGAGCTGGTGTGAAGATTTGTAGAACGAGGTTGATCATCATCATCCAAGAGTGTTCGCTGCTACCAGCAGCCACTCGGTTCGCTTGCGGCATCTAAGTTTTTCTGTCAACACCATTGGCGCTCGTTTTTGTTGTGGTGGTGAACAAATCGTTCTTCGGTGTAGCACACAGTCCGGATTTCGTGGTCCGTGATAGATTCTGGAAATAATCGTCACTCGTCTTGGTGATTTTATTGGATCAGTCAACACAGCACCAAGGGTTTTTCTCGCTGAGGTTTTGTTTGAGCCACGAACTTTCGAAACACAGTCGACCAATTTCCTAAACCCTGCGGCACCATCCATTGTCGGTTTTTTTCTCTGCTTTCCGTTCTCTGTATGCTCAACAGACATATCAATTTGCGAGTAGAAAAGTCCGCCAATGCTCTCCACACAGTTCCGTCGACGTCCCGTGGGAGGTTGCCTGTTGACCGAGGGCCACACTCCGCTGGCCGTTTTCTTCCAGGTGCGAACGAGAAAGGGGAAGCGAAAAAAACGAGAGCGCATGGCAGACCGGCCAGCTGAACTCAAGGAAATGCAGCGCGAGGACAAGCAAGGCCCAGTGCGCTTGGAGGACCGCGTCGCCCGTGGCCCGCTATCCGAATGGCGATTCATTTGAATCTTCTTCAGCGGTCAAATCTGTCGCGACATGTCATCAGTTCTTTGGCGTCTGCGGTACAAGTACCGTGGATCATCCGATATATAGTAGCAAGCCATTTCTTTGTCAATCATTGCTCTGGTGGTAAGTACACAACCTGAAGAACCCCCGAGAGACAATGTGACCGTGTGAACAAGATTTAAAGTTTTTGCCATGATATCCGGAAGGTCCATACTCCATCGCGCGCAACATAAATCAGTACCTCGATCGTCTCTGCGGCGAAGAGGGCCAGGAATTTCAGTATTGAGCTGTGATGTTATGGATATGCGACGGATGAGCGTAGTCTTATGTGAATCACGAACACGATTTTTAATACATTTTTGTTTCCCGCCGGAGATGTTTAGGCATGGAAGAAGTGAAAAAGTTTTTGAGTTTTAGAATTTTCTCCTTGTAAGTGAGTATGCTCGGATCAGTTCTTCGGGAGAAAAAATAACACGAGCGCTTGACTTCTTCAACGCAGCTATCGGCGGTCAAAGGACTTCTGTATCCGACACAAGCACCGGATGCTGCGCTTTGCCGGAATGACGCACGATTTCGCAGACGTTTCGCACTTGGAGAAACCGACGCTGACGAACCTCGAAGCGCTTTATCAGGTGGCGAGCAACGCACTCCGAGAAGCAAAAATCTCAGCTGTTTCTTGGTGCATGTGCATACGGGGGTAACAAACTAGCATTTTCTGGCATGATAGAGTAAGACTCGTTCGGTTCTTATTTCTACAGCATTGTTGTAAGAACAATCAAAGTCAAATACGGAGGAGCAAGCGATGAGGGTGGAGTTGCTTAAGTATTTCCCTGTTCCATACCCCGCAGCAGCAAGCAACGCTCCCCCAGTCTGCAGAGGAGTCGAGGTTTCCCTTTCCGCACCTACTCAGCTACAAGGTGTACTGGTCCCACGACGCGTCGCCGGACCCGACACCCAACGCGTACGATGCCGATAGCGTGAGCAGTGTGCGGGTGACGTTTGACGCTAACGATCTGCCGAAGCTGACGCCCACGGAAAAGGAGCGCGCGGCGGACATCGCAGGGCCGCACTGCGTCAGCGTACAGGAACAACAGTGGCTCGTGCGTGTCGGTGTCCAGGACGACAGCACGCAGCGGCGGGAGAGTACTGCGATGACCGATGCTGGTGCCGGTGACCCAGAAGTAGAAGCTGTGCTCGACGTTGCCGGAAATCGTGACTTCCGCGAGCCAGGAGTTGCCGACGAGGCGGCAGGGCAGGATCGTGGAGAAGATTCGCGAAAAGCAGTAGAGCATGCAAGTGAGTCTTCAGATCCTCCTGGGGCTGGCGATGGAGGCGAGCTGGTGGAGGATTCTTTTCGAAACATTGCCGGGGAAGAACCACCAGCAGAACATCTGGATTCACATTTGAATATTTCGGGTGAGCCCAAAATCGAGGAGAAGCATAGTACTGCTTCATCATCGGGAAGAACCATCCACGTCACCGAGGAGGACCAGGAAGAGATGAAACTGGCAGGTGACAATGCAGCCCCTTCGATCGGCTCCGGGGGCTCTGCATCGACACACGACGTATCAGAGGAAGAGACGCAAACATCGGAGCTGATGCGGCGGAGTAGTAGGCGAAAAACCATAACCAGCAGGAGGACAACGACGAGGCACCTGATGACGCACGTTCGAACAGAGCGGCGCACCTGCATCTCCTTGGAGGTGGACTGTTTTGACCGGCGGAACCAGAATGCCGCGCTGCTCGGAGATCAGGTGGAGGCATTGTTGAAGCTGCGTACATTACTGCTGTGAAGAAAACTTTTGTCGTCGATATGTTGTCAGGGATGAAGTCACAATTGTTTTTCCTACTTACCGAGTTCGAGTTCAGAGAGATCGACGAGGACAGATGAGTAAGTAGCCGCTTTCTCCAGCGTGGAAAGCGGCAACTTGCACTGACTGGTAAAAATTTACGAATATGACAAAAGTTTTCATCATGATAAAGACCCCCAGAAGCGGTTCGGTCGATAATACAGTGACGACGAAATAAGCGTCGATCCCCCGCCGCCGGAAGACCAATTTGAGGAGCGGAGGGCAGTTTGTGCGCTATGCGTGCGTGCTGACATTGAGAATATCGATAGAGTCGTGTACTCCGACGTATGTCTTTTGCGTCTCTGGCATTGCAAATAATAATGATTTTTTAGGTTGATAAACTCCTGGATAAAAAAAAATTGTCTGTCCTCCAAGTTTGGAACGCTGCAGTGTGTCTGACGAGATTGGTTCGGACCTGGTCGTGTTTTGTACCTGTCACGGTCACAAATCTGTCAGGAAATGGGTTTTCCAATGCATCAATGTCATTTCGGTAGCGTGTGCCATCAATATTAATATTGTCAACCTGCCGCAAGCTCAGTGGTTGTCATAGAGATTCTGAAAACGAAAGTCGGTATAGATAGCGTCCAGAACAAAGAGGAAGCTGCGGTGCTCGGTTTCGTACTTTGCAGCAAGCGTTTTCCCAGTGTATACGAGGAAGATGAAAAAGATTACAGCAATAGTTTTGCATCGAAAAACGCCAAAGCTGTCGGTTCCTCATCTAATGGAAGCAAGGAAGCAATCGGTTCGTCCTAGTTTTCGTACGTTCGTTCCTCGGATTATCGTTCACAAGAGTATTTGCTTCGGTAGTGACGTACTGAAGAGTAACCGTGCATAACTGCTATTATATCGGTCTTGCGCCCCCGGCCATCAATCGTTCAACGTGCCACGACATACAGCTCTATTTTCAAAAGAAAACTTTTTCCCATGATTGGACAAAAGAAAGCTTTTTCCCAATAATCTTTCAGTGGTATGGGGAACACCCTGAGTGAAGCCCATACTTTCTCTCACCTTTTATCAACGATAACTAGGACCACGAGGAGGTTTTGAAAGCAATCAAAAATTTTTACTTTTATTACCCGAGATAATTAACGAAACACAAACAAGCAGTTGTAAACTACACACTAAGCAAAAGGAAGAACAAAACTACATCGCGAAGAGACTGAAAAGAAGTCACCAACAACCGTCACACCGTTTTTACGGACGAACTTTTCTGTTTAAAAACTCTGGAGTTCAGCATACTGCAAAATCTGGCGGACGGGTGAGAAATAAACTGTCCGCAAGGAGGCAAAGAGAGGAGCAGATAACGCTTGGACGACGAGTTGTTGCCGAAACGAAGAAGTAGTAGCACAACTTCGGGCTGCAGATGCGACGCGCTGTTGCGTTGTGCTGCGCGCTGTTGCCCCACGGGGTGGAGGCGCGCGTTGCGAATGAGGTTGACGACAAGCACTCTTTGGAGGATGCTTTCGGGTTGATGTCGGGCAACTCGACGTTTGTGCAGCCCAAGGTTCTCGCCGCTGCAGACGACGGCGGTGGCGATGAAGTACCGGATGATTGGGACCCGAAACCGCTGACCCATGATGACTGGGGGCTGAACGACGGTTCGTCGTCTTTCGACATGCGCAAGCACATCTTCCAGGGCCGGGGGATTTTCAAGGGGCTCAGCTTCGACCTGACGCGGCAGGAACACGGGGGTGCTACCGGGCTCAACGTGGCCAAGAACGCCATTGACGATGCAAAAGTGCACATCCAGGGCGAGTACAGCTGGGGCGGCCGCATGGTCCTGGTTGGATCCAAACCAGGCAAGAAACCCGAAGCGCTCGCTGCGGTGCAGAAAGTGGGGATGCTTTCGCCCATGCCGAACTTTGTCATTTTTGCGCAGTCGGACCAGGTGAACTACGATGATGCGACGGACGAGTTCTTCGCGGGCGGGGAGGACGCCCCGCCGAAAGCCCACCAGCCTCTCCACTGCGCGACGTACCACTGCGGTGACAAGCCCGCCCAAGTCACGTGCCGGTCGCAGGACGTGGAGAAAGCGAAAAAAGCTTGCGAAGATGGTAACCAAAAATTTCACAATAAACCGGCGACCTTGTACCCGTTATCAAACTGCAGTTTTTTCATATTTCCACCTTCCTTCCGGGGTCAAATGTGCGCACACAATCAACCGATGAGTCTGTATTTGCTCTCCATTTGTGGTTATGTAAGGGGTGCTGAAGCAGTCATTTGACACAGTAGATTGTTGAGGCCGAACGATGAACATGCTCCTTCAGCGCATCTAAAAAGTTTTGAGGCGGTGCACAGTCCTCGATTTTTTTCTGGCCGATAATTTGCAAGATGTCTAGAGTGTTACCAACCGCAATTTGACACTGTCTTAACGGTATTGACTGCATGTTGTTGTTGCGAGAGCCCTCGCACGGAGGCCCCGGGACGGTGCGGGGATGATTTTCATGGTGATGCTCGTACGCCATGATGTACGAGAAGAAGGTGAGCTTGGTCATGCGCTGGCACGTGCAAATGATCACTGGTTGGGATGACGCGGGACAGCCCATGCACGTATCCAACAAAAAAAGTTTGTCGCGATTCCTCTTGCGGCGCATATTTGCATGACAAAAACGTAGGAAAGAACGCGATCACTCAAATGCATCCTCGCAGAGAAGCTCGTCGTTCTCTCCTTTTTCTCGCCCCTTTTGCTCGTTTTTCTGCAGCAAGACAAAAGTTAGGACGGCTGGAAAATTTCTACACAAAGCCTGGGATCATGAAATAGTGGCCCCGACAAACTTTTTCCTCTCCATAGCACGCTACGGACTTCTACATGCCGGACTACGTGGTGAAGCCGTGGAGCAAAAAGTGGACGCTGGGCGTCGCGACGCTGTCGATGGGGGTCTACCGCGGGGGCGCGAAAAAGGCCTACGAGGACGAAGTCTGCAATTCCTACGCCAAGTGGTTTTCCGGCCCCTCGTACCAGTTCACGCTCTCGCCAGGAAAGAAGGCGGTCCGCAAAAACACAAAACAACGAATGCTCGACATGCCACTGATGATGATGATCCAGGCGGTCAAGACCCGGGTGCAGAACAATCGGGTAAGTCAGTTCGTAACAAGTAGTCATCTATGTTTGAACCGAATGTTTTTGACATGGTGCCGAATCGAGTGATATGAATGAAGGCGAAGCTTCGTGTACTTAATATGGGAAGCAAGAAGTAGAATTGCTTTTTTGTTATATGCGCTGTACAGGCGTGCAACATGCTTGCACAAGTTCTAGGAGCAACCCAGCATCATGCACATCATATGAGTGATGAAGTCCCTACTTAAAAATCGCGCCACCTTCGCCGAAAGTTTCTTGCCGGAGTATATAAGAACAGTGGCTATTTCTTGGGTCCTGTACTTCGTACCAATAGCGTCACGTCGAACGACATTGTGATTCGTTTGAAGTCCCAGGACGCAGACGCTGCGTGCGTTCGAAAAGAAGCGGAAAATGAAAAACATAACAGCGGCAGCTGAAGATGCTGTTGGCAGCGATCTACTTGGCGCCGAATGTCGGAGCGTTGGCTGCGAATCCTGCCATGTTGAAAACGGCTGCCGGTGCGGCCAAGACCGAATTGGGGAAGCTTGGTTCCATGGTGAAAACCCACGATTTTTCGGGGCTGATGAAGGAAATCGGGGAAAAATCGGCTGTATGACATGCTTTAGCTGGTGCGTGCTCACGAGAAGAAGCTTCGTTGTAGGATCTGCCGAAGTAGTAGGCCGCTTACGACAGAATGACTCCGTACTATACAAGCTGCCGCTGCAATTTTTAGTAGGCTGAGTTTCGTCATCGGCTGCAAAAAGTTGCAATGCGTCGCAGGTTTTCGATGGTCGTCTGGTCTTTTGCGAACGCATTACACTTACGTAGATATTAATGCGGCGCATATACATGATGATGCTTAAGCCTATCGTCCCTATTCCGGAAGTTGTTTCATCTTCCGCGTTGCATGGTCTGGTTCAAGGTCGAGCGCTCGTCATCGTCGGCTGCTGCCCATTTCCATGAGGCGCCAGAAATGAGTAACACCGACTCAAGTACGTACCCCGAACAGGCACGATGCTTATGCGTCTGTAGCGCCGAGGGCTACTACGTCTCGAGGCCGAGATCGTGGAAGAAGCAGCATCTCGTTTGGAAACCGCTTCTTCTGCGATCTAAATACAAAACAAAGGCTTCAGCTCCATACTGTATTTAGACCATGCGTAGTCGTGAAGATGATTCGGTTTGAGGTTTCCATTCCTGCGTTGCTACTTCGCGGCTTATATTTATTTCTCGTAGCAGGCATCAATTTCAAGGGTCATACCGTGCGGGGGGAGAGTGGATTTTGGGGGACTTCCAATCTAAGTTTCAATTAAGCACGTGGAAGAATCTTTTCGACCAGACCAAGAACGGGGCAACGGCGGCAGTGGGGTCCTTCAAGAACCTCGCCGACAAAGCGGCGGGCAAAGCTAAGTCCGCAGCCACAAGCCTCTTCGACAAGGCGAAATCGCTGTTTATCGAAATTGATAGTCCCCACTTCCAATAGATATTCAAAACCACACTTCTGATGCCGGATTTTTGTACGAGCGTCAAATATCTGGTTTGCAGTAACGGACTGGTACAGGAGGGAGACCGCAAGCCTGGGGGGAAGGATGCGTCGACTTGAGGAGCAGCCTCTTAGCGTGACAGACGCCTGCTCTCCTGTAGGCCGAGCAGCATTAAGTACATCGCATGTGTATTATTTATGCAAGTAATAATGTGGCGGAGACCCCAGAAGCAGAACGAGTATGAAGCTAGCTGCGGACTTGCAAGACAGATTTCTTAATCTAATCCCTGTGCGCAACTCGACTCGAAAGATAAACAAACGACGAATGTCAGTATAGGGAGGGGGGATTTTTCTTCATTATATTTTTTGGGGGTGGGTCCGCTCCGACCCGGTCTCTGACCGCTCCGACCCCGGCTTCGACCCCGTCTCCGACCCTGTCTCTGACCACGGCTCCTCCGACTCTTTCCGCGGGTATGCTTATGAGACAAACGATCTTCAGTGACCCTCTGCTCTATTTTGCTGATCGTCTGCTGAAGCTGCTCGCGTGTCTTCTGTTACTTCTTGTTCTCTGGTGGCATTATCTTCGATTTTTAAAGCGGTTATGCGACCACGAAAAGGATTCTAGAAGTCGTTGTTTTGCAAGTCGAAAGGCACTGGTGTAGGCAACGCAGGAGATCAATGCACGTTTGAACGCGAAGTGGATCTGGCTGACCACGGTATTGCGGTACAGCCCTCGATGTGGGTACTAAAGTACTTATCGATGGTAGCTCGCACGGCCGCAGCCGTTCATTGCAATGCCTGCGTGTGTCGAGTTCATTTTGATGCGGCAGAGTACTTCTACTTGAGTTGGGCTTGCGGGATAGGGCAGGCTCTGATTGTTTTTTCGTTGCATAAAATCCGGTGCTGAAGCAGGCAGTGTCAGTGAGGGGCTTGAGAAGCTAACTGCCCTGTTTAGCGGCTCTGGCTTGGAAGCCGCTTCGACTGTGGCTTCCTTGGCTCCCGCCGTGATGGGAGGCGGTGGCGCAGGCGCGGAGGCCGCGGATGCCGGCGGGGACGGTATCCAGAAGAAAAACATTGCTAGTGTAACTTTATTGTGGTGCTGCGCAACACGCAAGATGATTGCCTCTCTCTGTCAACATGCTGGACATGCATTGCGGGACATCCGTGCAAGCGCGTTTTAGCGTGCTATCTGCGCATGAGAGGTTTTTGCTCTTATGCCTGACAGATTTGTAGTAATGCTATTCCTGTCCAAAGAAAAAAAAGTTACATCTACAATCTTTTTTGCTTGGACAGGTGAGGACCTCCCTGAAGGGAGTTCTTCGTTTCTCGGCCGTGCCGGCGAGGAAGCCGAAGAAGCCACGCCGGACGAGTGGGAGGCCCCGGGCGAGGAGGGTGGGTACGATGGCCACGGCGGTGGCGAGTACAATGAGGACGAGGAGGACGACTGGGAGAATGTAACTGAAGCCGGTGACGACGACCAGGAAGCAGAAGAGGCTGGCACCGGCGTGCTGGTCGCCGATCCGTCGCCCGAGGTTCACGAGGAACGCAAAATCATCAACGAGGAGTTTGCAAAGTGGACTCGGAAAGTGGGAAGTTACCAGAAAGAGCTGGAACACGCGCGCGGCACCGCTCCTGACCACCACGAAACCGCGGAGAAGATCACCGCGCTCCAACCGCTGGTCATCGAGCACAAGGACCTGCTGGGCACCTTCCAGGAGAAGCTATTCCAATGAAATTTCGTTCGGTCTCGCTCCGTCCAGCTGCTTGCAAGAAAGATACGAATGTATGATGCGTGGCGCAGGAGTTTCGCGAATCCGTTTTATGTGGAAGATTATTTTTTTGCCTGTAGTCTATTTCTAGGGCGAGGTCGTGTCCATTCATTAGCGTTCACTATATAGACGTACTTTGGTTTGACGTTCCTCAACCTCAGGATGAGACTAGACGTCCAGCAAACGGTGCGACAACTCAGGAAGGCGTCCACCTATATACTGTACATCTGTAGTTCCTGAAGGTGAAGGGGACAAAGGTGCTTTGCTTTGATTGTGTCTCATTTCGTACCGAGCCATCTGTGCTGGTGTGCCAAGCAGCAGGGTCGCGGCTGTGAAAGGCCTGCGGATGAAGTTGCACTAGAGGATGTTGCCTGGACCGCAGCCAGGTGGGGCATGAGACAGAAAATTTCATTGCGATAGGAGTGCGAAGAGGTGGGGTCGCTGACGACGAAAATCCTCGCCCTGGTCAATTCCATCCATGGTCAGCGCGTCGCGCTCGTGCTTCAAAAGTACCACCAGCAGCAGTTGCAACTGGCCACACAGCAGGTGGTGAACGCGAACAAAAAATTGCGCAGCACCGTTCAAAAACATGTGCCGGGCGCGGCGTTGGGCGCTGCGGAGGACGACGAGGAGGACGACGAGGAGGAGTACCCCGGCGGGGAGGCGGCGGAGCCGGAAGCCCAGGATTTGGAAGGCGAGAATCTGGGCGAAGTGGCGGATTTGGAAGCTGGACAAGCTCGCGCGGCTGCTGCGGGGGGCGAACCGATGGACGGGGAAGCGGCGGACCGCGATGACGCAGCTCTGCCGGCGGCGACCCCGCCTGCAGCCTTGCCTCGGTCCATGTCCGCTCCGGTGCGGGGCCCTGGCATCCGGAACGGCGCGAATACGTTGCCCGGGGACTGCACGCCGGCACAGCAACAACAATACGACAATTTGAGGCGCGCGGATCCGGATGTGCGGGCGGCCACGGGTCTGTTTTCGGCCATGGAGGGCGGGGACGGGGAGGACTCGGTTTCTTGTGCTTCTGCGAGACAAAGTAACGCGCAATTACAGGGTGGGCAGGCGGACGTATCCATCGGAAAAACACTGCGCTTCCTAATCAAGAGGAGACCCCAATAGTGCTTGCTTCTGCAGCACAGCACGCTTCGAGCTACTGATGCTATTTGTATTTTTGCGTATGAACTACAATGTGAAAAATCCCGGACTAATTGTTTGCACCAGATACAGTAGAAATAGAAGGAATTATCGCAATCACTAAGATATGAGCTAGCATGACAGTGTCTCTGCTCATCGTTCGGCACATTACTTGAGCTCCGCCGCGGCGAACACGTTTCGCAGGGGCCGAGGATGCCATCTTGATTAGTAGTGCGGAGGTGTTTTTGCGTTGGATGAGAGATGGAGCAGAATGGGCTTAATACGGACTAAGTGGGGCGCTCAGGGTAACCAACAAAAAAAGCCATTATACTACTAGCACCATCCTTTCGTACCATGATGCATGCAAAAAAATGCATGAATTGAACAGTTTTCATGGCTCTCACTGCGTTCCTTGCACGGCAGAAATAAGCCTGCTCCGAAACAGAATTGCGAAAGAGTGATGGTGAAAGTGTTTTTTATCCTGCACACCCAACGAAGCAGTGGAGCTGAACTCTTCTTTGGGTCTTCGAGACCCGACGACTACGAGGAGACATGTGTATCGTTTTCATTGTCATCTGCTTTTGAATCAATTGGTAGTTGCAGTTCTGGCTTTCATCTCGCACATTTTATGTGATGCATTCAAGCAGAAGGATAGGGCAATCCTATCACGAAAGTCAAAGTACTAGTCTATTGCCGCAAAACGCCACTAGCATGTAGGGGAGTGACGTCCTGTAAAATTTTGCAGCATTTTTGTTTTTTCACATACAATTTTTATGTTCGCGTCAACTTACAAGTAACAAAAAGTTGAAGTTCGTTTTGCTTGTTTTCTCATCATCTCTGTAGTTTAGCACGTCAAAAATTCAGGACGCATTATACGCAATTTATTTTGTTTGCTTACACTTTTCAGCTACATTATTCTCTTCCGTTACTCAGCATTCTCGTATTAATTTTATCTCTTCCTGTTTGTTATATGGTCTGCAAATACAACGGAATCTCGCACTCTTTTTTCTACAATGTGGAATCTGTCATCGAGATGGTGTGTGCATGATACAGAGCAAGCACAGGAAAAAGAAGCATCACATCAGTATTACAATCAAACGATGAATGATTTATTATTTAGTACTTCGACTAGTTTAACTTTAAGTTTTAACATTAAGTAATCGCATTCGTAATGGTAATCGTACTCGTACTCGACGGCGTGGGACGTAACTCGATCCCGAACTTCAACTTTCAAGCACGGACGTGAGGTCTGTTCGTGCGACGCCGCAAAAGAACCAAGGTTGCTTGCAACGCGAAAATGGTACTGCAAAGGTCAGAGCGAGCTACGATTTCATTTATTTTGTTTTACAACTCCAAATAAAGGCCGGTTACTTTTGGGTCGACGTCGAAGAGATCATTCTCGACCATTTTTACAACACGCGCAGCTGGTTCTTGCTCTGCTTTGGCCTTGTTCTTGAAGTGTGGTTGTGGGTCGTCGGGTACGGATAAAGATGGACAGTTGCTCCTTGTGCAGCTACCAGTGGGTCGTCAACTCTACATCGGTTTGCTGTCGTGAGGGCGCGATCGTATTGTTTGTCTTTCGTCCTCTCAAGGGTGGAGACAGGAGTGCAAGAGACTGAGCGACAATGACGTTTTTTGTATGTTGGTCGCCCATGATTCTTGTTGAGCCTGGTCATGAATATGGTTTCCCGAAATTTATATTTTTCTGTTTTCTCAGGGACAGAGGCGAGGATGCTTCTTTTTTTCCACGCGTTTTTAACACCGATTAGGCTCCCGTAGGACTTCTCTCTTCTCCGCGCTGCGCACTGATTGTACTGAGGGCGAGAGCAAAGGGGAAGGTTAGTGCAGCTATGTTCCTTAGGATCCGCGTTTTTTCGTGATCCAGGCACTTACTTCTAGTACGTACCATGGTGGCCTCGGACGACGAGGAGCTGCTCCCGACTGTAGTCGCGAAGCCGAAAGACGGCGGGCGCTCGTCGACCGAGTCCGGGTCGGTTTTGACGCGGAGTACTACTAGCCAGTATCACAACTTCGCTGTCGATCCGACCATTGCGGAGGGGGATGCGTTCGAAGACGGCCGCGACAGCCGCGGACCGCACGCCGCGGCGTCCGCGAGCAGTAGGCAGAGCCTCGGCGGCGAACAAGAACACGGGCAGTCGGGGACGAGGGAAATGAAGGGGAAAGAAGATGAACTGGTGCCGTGGCTGCGGTATCTGGATCCGGTGGCGCAGTTCGCGCGGTTGACGTCCTGGCTGCAGCTGCTGGTAGACACGTACGGCTGGCGGCTTTGCGCCATTCTGGTACTGTCCCAGCACGTATCAAATGTAAAAATGTCTGGGTCTGGAAGAGTACAAACTTGTGATGCGCATTTCAGAACACAGAAAAATCTCTCATGCATAGGCAGCAAAAGTTCCCACTTTCTGTCACCAAAGTCAGGGATTTGTCATGCGGATTCGGCATCGCAGGGGCTTCTCGAAAGCTGTGATGCCAGAGCTTCCATGCCAGACCTTCTGCGTCATGCAGAAACAGCATGACTCTTCCAGACCCAGACATTTTTACAATTGATAGCACGTGTTGAAGGGGTTCGTCTTTAGCTACCTGGCCACGTCCATCGACTTTGCGCTGAAGTTCTACCAGGTTTCCGGGCCGCGGATCCAGATCTACAAGGCCGTCACGCTGGCGCCCTGGGCGCTCAAGCCGCTGTTTGGCGTGCTGTCGGACCGGTGCCCGATTTTCGGCTACCACAAAAACAGTTACATGGTGCTGGTCACCCTGGTGGCCATGTGCGCTTCCGGCTACGTCGGTGTGCAGGGGCTTCTGCACTACGAATTGGGGTCCAAAGCCGATCATTCGGCACTCCCGAACTACTTGCCGCTCAACCTGTTTGTGTTCTGTTACTTCACGGCGTACCTGCAAGTGAGCGTGTGCGACCTGCTCACCGAGGCACGGTACGCCGAGGCGATGCGCGAGCGCCCGGAGCACGGTCCTGACCTGATGACGTTCGTGTGGGGCGGCATCAGCATCGGGGCTTTTCTCGGGACGCTTACCATCGGCTACGTTTTGGAAAATCTCGGGCCGTTCTTCCCGTCGGTCGTCGTATTGTTTGTGTCTTCCCTGATGCTCTACCCGTTGTTTCGCAACTGGCTGCAGGAGCGCAAAGACGACGGCGAACAAGTGGAACCGCGAGTGGACCAAGAGCAACAGCAGCAGCACGAGCGGCCGCACACAGGAATTGGAACTTCCGCGGCCGAGCCTTCCGCAGATGCCGAGGATTCCCGTCGCGTTCCTGTTCATCCACACGGCGGGACTAGTACTTCTGAAATTATAAATTTGTACCCAGCAGCATCTTCTTCGCCCGGAGCAAATAATTCGTCGCTTCGCCGCTCGAATGAAAAAACAACAAGGCGCGTTGCTCCCGAGTTGGTGTTTTTGTCCTTTTTCATGGGGTTCTGCGCACTAGCGCTGGTCGGCAGCGGTTTGATGGAGAGCCTCTCCACGCGAGCGAACTTTGGGTTCGCCATCTGCGTGTCCGTCATGGCCCTCTTCTGCTATCCTGAGTAAAAACGTACCCACCCCAGAGTTGTCGTGCAAATCTGCATGCCAAAAAAGTTTCTCATGCGGAGCCCTATGAGAAGCATTTCCGTTTTCTCTACGTGTTTTGGAATTTGTGATGCTAGAATCAGCATGGTAGGCTAGATGTGTAATGCTTCTGAGCTAGCGAAACAGGATTACACTACGAGGACAAACTTGTCATGCCAAACAACCAAAGCTGTGTGATTTGTCTAGCAGATTTGCCAACTTGACTCTGGTGTGGGGACGTTTTTAATCAGGATATCTGCTTCCAGCTGTTCTGTTCGCCGGCCATCGCGAACATGAACTTTTTCACGTTCCTACCCTGAGTAAAAACGTACCCACACCAGAGTTGTAATGCAGATTTGCAAAGACAGGAAGACTTGTAATGCGCATCCGCAGGAGAGCCATTTCGAGTCGTGTTTTGGAATTTGTAATGCTGTAAACAGGATGAGCAGATGGATTTCTGATGCAGCTGGCCTTGCGAACCTGCACCACGCTACGGACTGCAGCTTGTGATGCGTGACTCACAAAAGTCCTAGGTTTGTGTTGCAAAATCCCCATCCTGACTCTGGTGTGGGTACGTTTTTACTCAGGATAGTTCCTGCAGACCGCCATGTCGATGAGCATCGAGGGCGCGACTTTCTACTTCTTCACAGACTCCGAAGAGGAGTACCCGGACGGACCGCACTTCAGCATCTGGTTCTATACCACCGGCATCGGGATCGTCGCGTCGGTGTTCAACCTGGTGGGGATGCTCATCTACAACCAGCGCCTGAAGACGTGGCGCTATCACAAGCTCTTCATGGTGGCCAACGTCGCGCAGTGCGTGTTTGCGCTGTTGGGGATCTTGGTGTTTACACGGGTCAGCAAGCACGTGCTGGGGATCCCCGACCACTTGTTTATCCTGGGCGGCTCGGTCATCCTCTCAATCGTGCATCAGTGGATGTGGCTACCTGGCGTGGTCCTGCTGTCTCAACTCTGTCCCAAGGGCTGCGAAGCGACCATGTATGCGCTGCTCGCTGGTACGCAACGAAATTACTTAATATTTCGACGTACTACCACGAAAATGGAGTAGTTCCAGTGCTTGTTGGTTCGGTTGTTCCGAAAAAAGTAGTCTTATTCTATTCTATGGAGAATGCGAAATGCAAATTCTGATTGAGCTATTAACTAACTTGCTCATTCATTCTGTGACATAGGAGGGCATGATACTCTCAGGTTGTCACAACATCGGCAATGGAGTGGGGCAGATTTTCGGCGCCTACGTTCTAGAAGCCCTTCACGTGCAGCCCGACGGCAGCAAAAAAGACGGTACTGACGCGTTGCATTTGAGCACAGGCTGGTCAATGGTGCCTATTTATTTGTAGTATATTCAAGTTTCGGCAGTCAAAACCAGGCATGCTCATCTATCAAAAATTTCCGGTGCCTGCGCACACTTTTGACAACGAACCTTCTATACCTATCCTGTGAAAATTTATTCATTACAGCGGGGGAGTTCGGTAATTTGTGGCTTGCAAGCGTGATCGGCACGGTGCTGCCGATGTTTTCCCTGGTAATGTTGCCGTACTTCATCCCGAATGCGACCCAGCAAGAAGTTCTCTTGAACGACGACGACGATGGCGTAAAGGGGTCTTGGTGGCATCGATATAAGTACGGGACCAAATCTGCAGGTCCTGTTCGCGATGCAGAAGCTGGGCAAGATGCTTTAACGCGGCGCACGAAGCACAGTAGCCATGCGGAGGAAGAGCAGGACGAGGAAGCTCAGCGGCTGATGGCAAGCAATGCTTGAGTTCTAATTTGCGAGAAGAAGCCGGCCCCGTCCCCCTCCCCGCGCAGCCAGCAGGAGCCGATTGCTCGCCAGTCCGCCCGCTGTCAAGGATGCGGCTCGCCGAGGGAGTAGCGCTCTGCAGAACTAATTCTAGTTGACTTTTTGCGATCTTTCAAATATATCGATTCTGAATACTACGTGAAGTTCGTTTCTGCGAAAAACAACATCAATCCTGGAAAGATATGTATGTACTTCTATTCAGCATGGACTAACCGCACATCCTTGCCGTCATTTTGGTTTTAACCGCGCGCCGCTACCTTTCGTATGCAGTCTGCATTGAAAGAAGTGTGTCGCACGCGAAGACGAACAAGTGAGAAGTATTCGGAACATCAAAAGTATGAAGAGTATGTCGCTGCCTATACCTAGTAAGACGCCAGGAGTTCTTCTTTTCTGTGGTTTTCCCGCCCCCGAGTGTATCGACTTTCTCCCCAGTAACTTCACGCACAAACAGCTACCCCGCATGACTGTACAACTCGCGCTGTCAGATGGCCGACAACATGAGTACACGAGATTGATGTTTAGCATGTTGTAGGGCCGCCCCGGGTAGTGTTGCGGTCGATGCCGTTCATTGTGTTTTTTGTTTCGGATTCCCACCGACGACTCACTTCCTTGCGTGGCATCTGGGAAAGAAAGTGGTCGTTATCAAATCGTTCAGAGAGCACCATCAATGCCAAGGACCGATCGTGGTGCGTTCGTACCATCTCGAAGAGGGAGTTGTCGTCGAGGGAAATGTCGCACGGTAGCATCTCCGGATTCCGCGGAGCGAGAGAGATGGTGCGGGTTTTTCTCATGGAGCATCGGCATTGATTGCTATGGTATGACAATCGTTAATATCGTCCGCCATTCGTTTTTTTTCTTTTCTTGATCCATGCACGGACTTCACTACATCGAAATTCTCTAGCGTAGACGAGGCCCTCTAGACAGAGGAAGAGCGGCGTAATCTTGTTGTGCCCGGTAGTAGAGGTGCACGCCGGCAGCTGTCGCGGAATCCTTCCGCAGAGTTCCCAGCAGGGTAAAAACAGCCATGTCGTAGCGGCGCAGGGGACAGCACCCGCTGAAAGTAGTTTTTCGGGAAGACGGAAGAATCACAGAGCACACAGCACACAGCAGATCATACATACTAGGTGGCCAGAAAGCCGTTTTTGCCTACCGGAGTCTGCAAGTCCGTGACGCCGGGCGTTCTGCAAAATGGCGTCTGCGTCCTCCTCCTCCGCGCACGTGACGGTGGAGAACCCGTTCCGGCTACCGCCTGACGAAGAGATATTTCTGCTCCGTGAAGAGGAGAAGCGCAGGAAAGCCGAGGAGCGCGAACTGAAGAAAAATCAGAAGGTGTGGGAGAAGAAAACTGCGTCATGCCGGCTTATCCCGTCGAAGCGACTCCGCGAAGAAGGCGGCAAAAAAGAGGAGGCCGGAAAGCACGAGGTAATAGACAAGAAGGCGGTCCCGAGAGAAAGGGAAAATACCACGGACTTCGTTGCAAAGAAAAGAGAAATGTTCCTGGTAAGAAAGTATAGGACTTCTTTTTTTATTTCTGAATGTGGGAGGCTTTGATCGCTCACCTTAAGAAGCGCACGCGTCATTCTTTTTTTCTGAAGATGATTTGCAAAGCGCTGGAGCATCAGCATTTGCTGGGCGGTCTCCACCGTGCCTGCGGTGCGCATGATTTCGTGACAGCATAATCGTTCTTCGAAAAAAAAGAGGTTTATTTTCTGGCTCCGACGAAAATAAAAACACTATTGTTTTCAAGGTACAAATGTCACTCGACGTGAAGAAGGCGGAGATCCTGAAGCTCGACGAGAAGGCGCGCGCAAAGGAAACGGCCTTGAAAAAATCCCAACAGATGTTGGATGAAGACGTACTCTTTACACCTTTTTTTCAGTCCACCTCCACTCTTGATCAGGTTCTGATGGCTGCATGAACGTAGCATCACTCTTGATCATCTTCACCTTTCGGTATTCGCCATCGATTTTGATTCAGGTTACGAGGTTCGATACGTTTCTGCAAGCGAACGACGCCAAAGCGCACAAAGCCATGCGACACGCGGAGGAGATGACGAAAGTGAAGCAGGAGCGGCTTCAGAAGATCAAGCACCTACGGGGAAAAATTGCGCAGATTCAGTCTGAGATTTCCAAGTACAAGGAGCAAAAGGAAGAGTGCGTCAAATTTCGCAAGTTCCTAGACCACTTGACGCCAGTGGAGTGGAAGCAGAAGCAGGCGGAGCTTAGAAGATTGTATATAACGGTTTTTGATATATAGATATTTTGACATTACTGGGGGAGATCAAACTTATTAGTGCTGCTTTGAAATAAGTCTTCTTTCGAGACTGAGGGAGACAGGCTCTTTCGAAAAATTCAAGACAAAGGTTAATGAACAAAATTTGCAGGGAAGCCGAGCGCAAGAAGAACATCTGGATGAACAAGCGCAACGACGACATAGAAGCGAGAATAAAGGCTGAGCTAGCGGTACTATTTTTCTTTGCTGGGCCAAAATGTAGATGAAGAAATACAAAAGCTGCAAGCTTTGCATTGAATTGATGTTCTTGATGAGAGCTTGACGAGCTTCTGAAATTGAAATTTTCATTGCGAGTCCCACAACTCACACACCAGATATACGAAGATAGCATTCCCGACCCGTTCGTGGAGGCTATGAAGAAGGGGAAGAAACTGTCGAAAAAAGAGGAGTCGATGCTCCAGGCGAAAGCAGAGGATCGGCGGAACGATATTGAGAACAAACGAAAAAAACTGAAGAAAAAATACCACCCAGGCCAGGAGGTCCTGGAGAGGGAATACACAGAAGACGTTCTTCCAAGGCAGCCCCCCCAGGACGAAGATGACGTATTGTTATTGCACATTTTTCTTCTCCAGCGACATTGTTGTTGCAAGGAATTATGCAGCTCCGCACGGTGGGAAAAACGAGTACAAAAGAATTCAGTGCCTGCATCTAGCATTCCTATATCTGACAAAACAGGAGCTGTATTTTAAGGAGCCGAAGCATCTTCTGGACATCTTCACGAATTTGGAGGAAGCGAATCTGTTTCTCATCCAGAATGCCCAAGAGACAGAAGAGGTACATGTTTTGTGGTTTCTGTTGTTGCCGGAGGAGTTTGCAGCTAATGTTACCTGCATGAAGTAGATGAAATGATAGCGTCGATAATGAAACCACCTGTGGTCGTCGTGATGGTGTTGAAATGTCGCACGATTTTATCGCAGGCTATGGAAGAGATCGAGGAAAAGTTTGAGGAGGCAAGGCGGGTGATGGAGGCGAAAACCCACGCATTAAAGGAGGGCATCGAGAACACGGAAAAGCAAATACTGGAGAAGAAGCAGAAATGTGCACAGGCTTTGCAGGAGATCGAGAACGCACGCAAGGGGCGGGCAGGAAAGGAGGAGAAAGAAGAACAGCCCAAAGAGGAGGGAGCAGAGGAGGTCAGCCAAGCACAGTTGCTTGCGGACCTCAGTGCGGAGGTAAGTACTCACTTGAGCGTTTTTTGAAGGAGTTGGTGATTTCTGGTACGTAGTATCAGAAATCTGGTAGTATCAGTTTTCATTGCACTAATAAGGCCGCGTGGAGCACGCTGCTTCGATTTATTACCGAAGAAACAATGAATAAACTCCAGGTCCTGGGCGTATTTCAAGTGTGCGGGTTCGATACCGAGGCACGAGACCCCCTGCAGATGCTCAGCCAGATCGAGAACAAGCTCGAGGAATTATTTGGAACGCTGGATAACGAAGAAGTGCAAGGGGACAAGGATCTCGTGCCCAGATTAGAAAAAGAAAAGGTACGAGTTGTACTTACATGAATCTTGTGAGCCGGATTTATGTCGAAGATGAACATATTATGCGATTCGTCTTCAATCTCGGTTCAGCTGTAAGCACATACTAGGGCGATCACTTTTTTGAACATCAACGCTATTCGGAATCGGAGCTGCATTGATCTCGCAAATTTTTCAGGAGCGCGACCGTCGCGACCGGGTGCGACAGGCCCGCATAGAGGCGCACGCACGGGAGCGGGAAAAGCGTCTGAAGGAGAGTTTGCTGCGGTCGCAGGCACCGGTGCACAAGAAGGTTGGAAAGCAAATAATGTTCCGGTCGCAGCCACTGATGGTTCAGCGCAAGGTGGAGAAGATCGATTACGACGAGCTGGAGCGGGAAAAGGACGCAAAGGTCTTCGGCATTTACCTCGACCGGAACGGCGTGCCCTACGACAAGAAACCCCGGCAGCCGGTGTGAGCAGGAGATCGCGATCTCTCTGGCTGAGTCGGGTGTGAAGAAATTAAAACGAAAAATAGAGCCGTCGCCTGGTCAGGAAACTGATGAATTTCATCGAGTTTAGAAACTATTGAATCTTAGAAACAGAAACACAATGATGTTAAGTAGAAACACAAACACTACAAAGGTCAGAACTTTTTGCAAAGAACTTCCAAACAGAAACATAGCACAGTGTGCTTGCACATCGGCAGCATGTCGGTTTCTCTTGCTTTTACTTTATCTATGATTTGGCATACAGGTAGTTGGTGTCAATTACTGTGCACGGTTGATGGTATCTGCTATGCTTTGAATGAATGAGCGGCTCGGTTGCAGGAAGCGTGTAGGAGACAAAGAGCGCTTCAGTGATAGCAAAACCGAAGGTGGTCGAGCCGTGTTGAGCAGAGTCTGGTTCGCCAAACCGGGACTTTGCAATCGAATGTATACGCAGCGATGAACATGAAATGTAGTACGCAACTGCTTGTAAAATACGCAATGAAATGACGAAACCAAAAAGAAAAACACAAACTGCGGCACTACAGGCTGCATTTTGGATGTGTCCTCTGCGTGGGTGTCGTCTGGATGCCGACGACGTCTCGTGCTATCGCTCTCTTGCATTCCGACCAGGGTTCAGTGTTGTACCTGCATCTGAGTTGAAGAAGTTACTGCCCACCAAGAATGCGAGAGACACGCGGCGCGAGCATGAAAGGCGGCATCGGCATAAAACGAGAGTTGCTAACAAGGTAGTTAGTAGAAGGATGTCTGCAAAACGATGAAGGGGCTCTTTGAAAGAGAAGCTGCAGGGCAGTTCAAGCAAAGAGAAGAAAAGTACTGTCTGACCGGTCGAACTCGAAGCGAACTAGGGGATCGGTTGTCTTCGCACGCCGATCGGGTGCAGATGACAGATGTAGGTTACACAACGGACTGAGAGTTCGCGCCGTAGTCGTGTGATCATTACTTCTGTTGTGCAAAGAAAGGACCGCGGTGCCCAACTAATGGTCGCAATTTCATCGTCGAGCCGATGCCTGCGGCTGGCGCCGCGAACCGCTGCGCTCGTGGCGAGTGTCGGAGCTCTTGCGTCTACTTCTTCAGCCACTGCCCTTCGCACCACGTCAGGGACGACCACAAAAGTGCAAAGGAGCAAGAAAAATTTCGGGCTCGCGGCAACAAGCGGCACCAGTGAGGCGGACAAGAAGACGAGGAAGGCAAAGAACAGCTCTTCGAATGTTGTAGCCAACAACAACAAGAACCTGAACCACGCGGCCCAGCAACAAGGTAAGCAGCGAAAGTCTGCCACTAATGGGGCCAGCTCCAGTGCCGCGTCCTCTGCCTCAACCTCGTCTGCAAGTTTGACACTCACCAAAGTCGACGCGGAGCTACCCGACGTGAAGACGGTGATGACGCCGGCAACCGTATCAAGTGCAAAAGTGTCTGGGTCTGGAAGAATGCATGTTTGTCATGCTTGTCTGGCATGACTCTTAAATCTGTCATGCACGTTACCCAAGAGCTGCATTTTTCTGTGATGCAGAAACGCAGTTTGTCATGCAGAATAGGCAACACCTAGAAGCTCAGAAACTTGTCATGCTGAGCCAGCATTTGTGGCCTCATCATGAGACGCCGCCCAGCATCACAAGTTTCCAGACCCAGACATTTTTACATTTGATAAACCGAGACGGTGAACAAGATGCAGGTGGAAGTGTTGAAGCTGAATGCTTATCAAATGCAAAAATGTCTGGGTCAGGAAGATTTTGAGATTTGTCATGCATGTTTTGCATGACCCAGGATGTCTGTAATGCACGACCTAGCATCTTCACATATTTTTAGAGGGCTTCCTGATGCCTACTCCGCATGACAAACGCCCTCCCCGCGTAGCACAAACTAGACTCCTCTTGCTGGTCATGCAATACAGATTGTTTTAGCGTCCAAAGTTAGCATCACAAGTTCCAACCTTCCAGACCCAGACACTTTTGCATTTGATAATGCTCGGATCGCGCAGCTGGCCACCCACGACCGGTCGCGACTGGAACGGAGCAAAGCCGAGCTGGAGAAGAAGTTGCAGGTGGAAAAGGCCGAGATCGAGGAGGTACGGAAACAGAACGAGGAGCTGCGGAAGGAGAATAACGCGTTGGTGAAAGATAGCGAAATTTTGCAAGTGCAGGGGCAGCAGGTAAGTACTTATTTGTCTTCTGGTTGTTGCTCGTGGTCGTGTTTCTTCATGTCTGATCCGCCATTTTTTGACGAGAAATAACCGAACAAAAAGGTAGAAGAGGGTTTTTTCAACCACTTCTTTGTACTTTTCTACACATGTACAGATTCTCGCGGAGGACGACGGGTTGCGCAAAATCATCGGGGCGCTGCAGAAAAAGGTGATTACCGGCGCGGACTTTGCGAGCAAGATTGACAGTGAAACTCGGGACATCAGCGAGGCGAGCAGGGCACCGGAGGTGGATTTGTTGCGGTTGGACATGAAGAGCACCGACATCCAGCACGAAGCGCCGACGGAGCCGGTGCAAAGCGTCTTGCCATCCGAGATGCGTGCGGATGCGCCACCCGTGTTCGACGCCGAAGCGGGGCAAAAAGAGCAGCAGCAAAGCCTGCTCGCCGCCAACCAAGCAGGAGGAGCCGGTGCAACGAGCTTTCTCTCCGTGCGAAGGTCCGACGACCATCACGCCATCAAGGCGGACAAGAAAAAACAAGAAGAAGCCGGAAGGAGTAATGCTGGGACGGAAATGTTGAGACATGGGACGAGCAAGTTGCAGAAGCACGCAAAGAAAAGCAGCAAAACGTCGGCGAAAAAGACGAAGTACGACCCAGTAGCCATGGAAAAGGACATGAGCTGGGCTAAGGAGCCGGAACAGGACAAAGAGGGCGAGAGCATGCTGACCCGACTGAAGAGCGAACTCACGCAGTTGCAAGCCGAGGAGAACAAATCGCTCGAGTAAGAAGTGTGTTTTTATTTTGCTACATCGTAGTGAGTGTTAGCTGGTGCATTATTTTTGTATGTCAATGGGGAAACGAAAGTTGGAAAACAGCGAAATTCTATACCCATTGTTCTGACTTTCACCAGTTCGCTCCGAGCGGTGTTTTCAGAGAAGAGTGCGAAGTTGGCGCTCGAGAAAACGCACCAGCTGAACGAGCAAGAGGAATTGCTGCAGAAACAGCTGGACTTGAAAAAGCGACGGAGGGAGTTGCGGACCGCAGTTGACTTCGTCTCCGAGCGCAAGCGGTTCTTGGGGGACGGCTTGACTCACCTCAGTGCGTATCTGAAGCTATCCCACAGAAAAAAACTGGCAGGGCATATTTGTAATGCAAAAATAAATACGCAGAGAGATCTGTCATGGGCGGCCTCATAGCATGCTGTTTAGGATACGCGATACAAGTTTTTTTGTCTATTTATTTTTGCATTACAAATATGACCTGCCAGCTTTTTTCTGTGTGATAGAAGCAGTTGGCGCACATTGCCGGCGCCCCGCCGGTCGAGTCCGATGTCTCATTGGCCGAAGTCAAGGCACCGTGAGCAGAATAAATTTTGTACAAAATGAAGTGTGGGAACAGAACGTGAACGCCGGTTTCATTGTTTCTTGGTGTCAGGAGTGATCTTAGCCCGAAAATCAATTGAGTCATACTTTTTTCTCCAGTCAGAAAACGGTTTTCTTTTGACTTCGAATGCTTTATGCAAGTCATTGCAAATCATGATGTAACTCCCATTCGTGGTTGAGAATGCAGTTCGTCCCCAGGACCTGTTACAGTAACGGTTCGACGTTCAGACCTGCTAACAGTGCTGCTAGGTCTTTTGCAAAGCTCATTTCGAGCTTCCTTCAGGTCGAGGGACCGTCGTGGGTGTGATATTACCTTTTTGTAGACTTATTTCGTGGCGATCGCAACACCATTGGTACTTTCGCTTGCGGTCGCGAAGTGAATGTGTGTATCGGTCACAATATTTGATGGTGATCCTACTTTGCCAGGAGTCGGAAACACTCGTAGCAGAAGCACTTCGTTTGGAATTGCAATGTCGTTTACCTTCGTCGGGATTCGCATTTGGGTCGTTGCCGTTGTAGGTTCGGGTTTGCTTTTTGGATGTCGTTGTTGTCAGCAAACTCAAGTCTAATCGGTTGGTAATTATCGGTAACTTTTCCCGGTGTATCACGGCCTCGCACTACACGGATTTCATCGCAGCTATTTTTTCCTCTTGTAGGGGCTACGGCTCGACGATCTTTCTTTTTTTGAAAATGGTGGATCTAACCCAAAACCACTGGGAGAGAGAGGGAACTCCATCACGAACAGGAACATCAATACGACTGCACTGAATTCGATCCCGTTTTTGTTCATTTTTCCCCCACAAAATAGGTTTTTATGGCGCGGCGCGTGACAAACAGCTCTCCGCCGGTACAGATGTATCGGTTGCAGCCGGACGCGTTGCCGCGGCCGACCAACAACGCCATGTGTGTTCGGGACACGGTCATCACCACCTCCATGAGCGTGGCGCCGAGCGTGACTAACGACTGCGCAGTCCCGCTCTGGGTCAACTTTGAGCCGGTGGACCGGAGGAGCATCTTGCTGCAACAGGGTAAGACGAATTTCAGCTCGGGCGGAAGTAGTAGTAGTTCCTCTTCTACCAAGACCAGTAGAGATGGCTCCAAGCAAACTGCTGAAGGAGACCCGTCTACTACTACTGCGAAGCACCGGACTGCACCTGTCGTCACGATGGGCGCCCGCGCACCGCTCCGGTGTCCGGCGTGTGAGTGTTTCGTCACGTCGTTTTTCGAGATGCACCTGACGGACAACAACCGAGACGGCGAGTACGACATTACCTGCGCCCTCTGCACGGAGCGGTTCCACGTGAGTGACCCCAATCTGAAGTACCGCATGATTTTTGAAGCCCAGAGTGCGGAAGACGAGGATGTTGATCTTCTTCCGCCCTACGAGTGCGTGGATTACGAGGTGGACAAGTTGCACGACGACGACCCGGTGAAGTATACCGATACCGGCGTGGGCGGCGCAGACTCCGCGAACTACTGCGAGCCGGCGCCGGTGTGCCTCGTGGTGGACCGCAGTCTGCTAGGCTCGGTGGGGGAATGGCTCCTGCAGTACGTCGCCACGGAAGAGGTGGAACAGTTGCACGCCGAGCGAGGCGGAAACGGCGTGGGAACAACAACAGCTTGGGCATTGAATCCAGCAGACTACATGGTGGAAAGTAAAGAGCAGCGCGACCACTTGCAACTGGTACAACAGGAACAGCAGGCGCAAGAACTGATCGACTGCGCCAAGCAAGGACGGGAAGCAACCAAGCCAAGGCGCGGCAGCGTTTTCTCGGACAATTCCTTCAGTACGACCTCGGAAAACGAAGGAGGCAGCACCACGGTTCCATCCAGTGACTTGGAAGTGAGTTCCAATTTTTCTCCTGTGAAAACAGTGGATTTGTTGTCCTGCTCGGCCTCTTCTGCTTCGTCCGCTTCAAGCAGCAGGTCTGCGGCTGAGATGAATGCGAGCAGGGTTCTCTTTCCTGGTGCGGAAAGTGACGAAAATAAGACACAGGATCGTAACGGCGTTGTGGACGGCAGCAGGAACTACAAAACATTGCATAATTGCTCGAATAGCACAGAAGATGGAACTGCACAAACGGGGCGAAGAGATTCTGTGGTCAAAAACGAGCTTCCGTCCAAGAATTCCAGCGGTGATGACGAGTCACTGTTGTTCGAGAATCTTCGCATTGTCCTGGTCGTCTACGACAGTGAGAGCGTCTATTTCCTGAAGCGGTCCGAGCGCGACGAGTTTGGGCTTGCTGTCTGTCCTCACACGGACGCCTTTTGCCCGTGTCCGGGGGAGGTACGGCAACGGCTCTGCTTTTCGGTAAAGCAGCTTCGCTCGCTGCTGCTCGACGACACGCTACTGGTGAAGCTGTTTGCGGATCAGGATAAGGCTGGCAGTAGTTCAACATCCGCGCCCAGCTCGCGGCGGCCGAGCCACCAAACCACCAGTCACCGAGGCAGCAGGGGCGGTTCCACGCCGCTAGACTCTACTGAACAGCAGCGGGGTGATATTGTGAATTTCAACACTTTATTTCAAGAATCGGAGAAGGCTGGTCATGACAACACTGCAGCTCCCGTCGTGTGTCCCCCTCCGGCACCTACCGCGAAAAGAAAAAGTGAAGTTTTGCCGGTAGAAGTAGCCGACGTAAATAAAAGCGGACTTGGACTAAAGATGTCTGCTGCCAAAAAGATAGAATTTCCCATGCCGCAACAACTTGTGGGCGAGATGGGCACGACTTCAGCCTTCTTGGTTCCACCTTTGCTACCGCAAGAACCCGCCTCGAACCACAAAGCTTGTCCCCTGGCGGAGCAGTGTCCAGATCAGCCTGAGGGCGGCAAGAATAGTGAAAGAGGAGCAGCTGTACTACCAGGGAATCATGATGTTCTCCAGGACAAACGAAATGCCGATCACAATATGGAAACATTCCAGACCCACGAGGGCCCCATCCGATCGCTATCAGTGCTACATGCTGCGGCGGATATTGTCGGTGAGGCCGGCGGTGGTGCAGTTTTGTGGCTGAAGAACCGGCAATTCGCGGACACGTTGCTGGACCTAGATGCACTTGCGCAACCTCTTTCCACCATAGAAACAGAGCTCCAATCTGCTTTCCGTACCAACGCGGTGTCCCTAGACGTGTGCGATTTGAGCACCACGTCGGCATTGGGGCGGGGTAAAAGCGATGACGGAGAGGACTTCCATCGCAGCGAGGATAAAAGTAGTCTGGAAGAAACCATTAAAGAGCTGTGCGAGGAGACAGGCGGGCGGCTTTTCATCGAGCCAGAGTACAATCAGATCTGGTCGACGAGCGATGGAAGTTGTAGCAAGCCTGCAGATACTAAAGACCAAGAAGCCAAGTCACAGGAGCGCGCACGGGAAGATAAAGTAGTCTATCTGCAAGACAAAACGCTAGACTTAACTTCCCCAGAGAAGAGTTTTCGTTTCCGGAGCATGAACTTTCTGTACAATGAGAAGTCGCCAACGCGGCCGTACCACGCAAGCAGTGCGGGAGACGAAAAGAGTTCTGCCTCCAGTCTTAGTGCCACAGAGTCACTTCAAGTAGACTCGAGCTCGACAGAAGATGAGGCAAGACGTAATACCGAAGCTGGTGAAGCTGCGAACAATGGCACCCACGAACAGGAGTCCATCTTTGAACAACAGCACCAGCTGCAGAATGCAACCATCAGTGACGGCAACCGCTACAGTTTCACGCGAGATTCCATTCTGTTGGATCCAAACTGGCTTGAGGGAAACGATCCAGAAACAATCCATCCTGTGGTCGGGAGGAATAGTGGGGGGAATGTTGGTGCGAGAAGAGCGAGCAGTTCTTCTGCGGGATCTGAGACAACATTTGGGACAGGACAGAATACTCTGCAATGCACTGGTCTCGGACTGAGCTCACTTACCCGCAACCAGCTCACATTGCAAGACGGAGTGGCGAATCATACCTGCCCTCGAGTGGTTTTCGAAAATAAGACGAGGAAGGGACGACGACGAAGCCTAAACAAGCGCGACAGTGGCGCAATAGAAGAAAAATTTGCCTCCCGAGAGCGGTTCTGCCGTCGCATTCAGCAGGTGTCGCTGTTGTTGAAATACACACTACAGGAATTTTTTCACGAGTGGCGGTACGGGTTGTCCCGGTGCACCGTACGGATGCGGTGCGGAAACAATTACGAGATCATGGAGTCGATTGCGCACGACGTGCAGCCTGGCGTGGAGCTTTTCGATCAGTCGAAAGTCGCACCGCAGACGTATCCTGAGTAAAAACGTACCCACACCAGAGTCAGGATGGGGATTTTGCAACACAAGCCTAGGAGTTTTGTGAGTCACGCGTGACAAGTTGCACTATGCAGTGTAGTGCAGGTTAGGAAGTGCAGCCGCATCACAGATTCATCTTCTCATCCTATTCACAGCATCACAAATTCCAAAACACGACTGGAAATGGCTCTCATGTGGATACGCATTACAAGTCTTCCCGTCTTTGCAAATCTGCATTACAACTCTGGCGTGGGTACGTTTTTCCTCAGGATAAGACGACATTCTGCTTCCGGATGGCTCCAACGGGAAGGACGGTGAGGAGTGTCTGCACCGAGCCGGTCGCATATCCAAGAAAAAAAGTGTGTAAGTGTAACTTTCTTTGAAGAACAGCATCACAAATTTGCTCTGGATGGCAGAGAAAACCTCTCATGCGTAGCTAGTACGTGAAAACACTTACGAGAAGAACCTCTGATGCATGTCCAGCATGACAAGTGTAGGCATCTTGCATCCTCTGCAACACAAATCTACACTTACGCAGTTGGTTCTTTTCTTGCATGTCGCGCGAGTCTCAACGTCTCCGTCGGTCGCCAAGAACGGGCCGCTGGGGTCGGGCAGTGCAGCGGGGACTACAGAGTAGCAAATTGCGTTTGATGTGTCCATAGTTAGTTTGTTTGCGCCCGATGGATCATGTGATTTCAATTTTCCTTTTGACGTTGTGAATGGCCATGCAATCAATTAGTTTTGTTTCTCCTTGCATTTATTCCAGATCCGCGGTCTTGAAAACGTATGAGAGGCAGTACCTCAATGGTGGCGAAGTGGTGATTTCGGCCGGGCATCTGAAGGATAGGGGCCAGAACGGCGCCAAAAATGCGAGCTACAAGGCGAACAAGAATCTGAATATGCAGTGCGTACTACTGTATCGTGAAAACCACACAGGGAAAAGGAGACTTCGGATCTGCCACTCGGTAAAGTGCTTGTTCAATGCTGGCAATTAATGTTCAACTTGATATCATTTTCTTGATTCCGCGAACATCCAACAGCGATTTCCACTTTCTGATCACATATGTCCGAACCTTACAGGTGATTCCCGTCGGGCACGGCCTGCGGAATTTGTACGAGCAGGTAAACCTGTGGCCGTTGATGGTGGTGATGGTGAAGCTCTTACGGCTGGACAAGGAACGCGCAGAAGGCGACAGGAGAAACTCTTTGAAAGACCAAGACAGAAGCAAAAACTCAAGAGTGAAAAATCTCCACCAGCGGGCATCGCACTCTAGTGCACTTACAGCGCAACAGAAACAAAGGCAAAAGCAAGGAGCATCAGCGTTTTCTTCTGGCACGAAAGAACCGCCTAAGCCAGATCTCGCCCAAGAGCTCGCAAAGAAGCTGTTCGGAGCAACTGCGTCAGCGAGACAAACAGCAGGAAAGAAAAAATCACGCGGGATGCAAAAGCTCCTGCGGTATTACACGGAGCTGGTGCGCGAGCGCAGGTGGAACGCAGCCGCGCTGTTCCTCGCAAAGTACCGGCTCGGTAAGGTAGCTAAAGACGAACTCGAGTGGTGTCTAACGGAGTGGTCCCACACGTACTTCGCCCTGACCGAGGGCCACCTTCGATTTCGCCCCCGACACGTGTACCTTCCGAGCAACCTGCGGAACGTGCCCCTGCTGGTTTTGTCGGCAAAGAAGCGGTTTCACGCACTGGATAGTTTGGTCCCGCGGCGGAGGATGTCGCTGGCACAGATGACCTACTTCGTGTACCCGCGCTGCCTGGGACCGCACTCCGGGCCGGTGTCATTGAATTGGCGGGATGTGGTGCAAGGCAAAAACGACCCGCTGGTGGTGTTTTTCGACGGCCAGCGCATGATGCTCTTGATCAACGAGGCCTATTTCGCGGCCCCAAGCAACCACCTGTGGGAGTGGCAGAAAGTGGCCCGGGCGAGGGAACTCGCCGAGCGGGAGGTGCGAAACCTGAAGAACGACCGAAATAATTCTCGTGCGTCAACAGCAGTTTCTCTTCAACATCCAATGTCCTCACCTATGAAAACAACGAAGGGCACAACTGGAGAACACGGCAAAGTGGGAGAGGGTGCTCCTGCAGCGGACCCTTACAATAAAAGCACCCTTGCTTGTCAATCCCCTTACATGGTGCCCCCGGACTGGGATATGGAAAGCAGTTCCTCCGGCCTTTCGCTGCAGGGATTCCCTGACACTACCTCCGCCTCAGAGGAAGAGTTGTGGAGCAACCTGACGGAAACGGAGGATGAGGGATTTTCAGCGGGGCAACCCGAGCCGCCGGCGTTGAGTTCCATGGAAGAAATTTTGAGGCGGTTCTTGCGATTCCGGAAATCCGTCGAAACATGTCTGGAGAAGGCTGCGGCACATGACAAGTGTGGCTCGTCGAAAGGAGATGCGGATAATATTGACCGGGCTGAGCAAAGCGGAATCACCATGAAGAGCAAGAACTTCACCACAGCGCAGCAACAGCAACATGCGCACTCTCCGGATGTTGATGAACAAACATCATCTAATGACCGCGCATGGACGGAGTCTCACACGACCGATTTTGGGTCCGCGCACGGGGGAGACGGGAGGTTTGTGCATTCGAAATTCGGCCACAAAGATCCGGATCAGGGAAGTCCCATCGAGTCGCAGTTTCCGTGGGCCAAGAAGAAAGCTGCGCAAACCCCGAAAGCACCGGACAAACCCGCTTTGAAGTCACCGCCCGCGAAAAAGCCGGCCCCTTCTCCAGGCAAATCGCCGACAAGCAAGAAGAAAAGCGCTAGTAACAAGTCACCAAGTCCGACCCGAGCGAAGAAAAAGTTTTTGGAAATCCTGACCGGCGATGATTTGCGTGCTCGCCGCGTGAACGGCGCACCCACTCGGGTTGGTGTCGGCACCCCGAACCACTCTGGTGTGTTTCACTCGAGTTGCCAGCATGAAGCGGAGAGGAACGTCAAACGCGCTCGACCGGACCATCGTTGGAGGAAAGCGAAGAGCGACTTAGAAATTGATACGGACCTGAATGATCTCGCAGAAGCACTCGATGAGGACGAGGGAGATGAAATCGCGGAAGCCACATTAGAAGACCAGACGCCGATAATACGGTTAACGCCGGAGGAACTGCGGCGGTGCCGGGAGCTCGCTCGCGTGGTGACGGCGTTTTTGAAAGACGTGCGGCGCGAAATGAACTTCTACTCTGCAGAGATTTTGTTCGTTCGAGACCGTCAGACTGTACTGGCAAAAGACCACCTGGGCTTGAAGACGCACTTCTTGGTCGAGGACGAAACCTGCGACTACGAGAGCTACCCGGCGTTCGTTAACAAATTGTACCAAAAGCTGCAACGCCGGAGCGGCAGCGGGTACCGGTAAATGGGGCGGCTGAGCGTCTGACGTTTTTTGAGCTATCCTTTGATTTTTTCGAATGTATCCATGGAGCTCCAATCCAGGATTGCTGCTTTTTGATTTTGCGTTTTTCTGAACATATACCACATACATCAGTCATAGAAGTCGGCGGAGGGCCAGTTACCAGGCTTAGATTTGTTTCTCGACTAGTTTCGCTAGCACTTGATAGCCGAACTTCATTCTTGATTTTATCTTTTTGTTTCGGGCTACGAATTTCTTATACCCAAACGAGCAGTATTGAGTCTGTCGAAGTTGAGCTGTGTGTAAACGTAGATTGAGTCGGCGTATGAATTTACATCATGGAGCTTTGAGCTGCAAAATGTCCTCGACGCAAAAGCTCACGAGGTCTGCTTCGGACACAATGTACAAGAATTTCCGCGACTTGGATTTTTTTTAAATGAAAAGCATTGCCGCATCGCCACGTATGCTTTCTTGACGCGTGATTTTCTCGGATCGAAGGCACCACGACCACGAGAAAAGAAATGAGTGTTCGCGGTAGGTGTCCGGAAGATCCAACAATGTTGAGGCGACGGCGGCGCCACTTCTAGTGCCTGACCCATCCACCACTTCTAGTGACCTGAGTCATTTGCATTGGAGACGACTACGATTAGACACCGTCGAGATTTCCACTCGCTACATGCAGACTTCATTCCTAGGCCATTTGGTGCGCATGCCGAAAAACCGCCTGGCGCGCCAGGCCGGCCCTCCGCGGCGCCTTCCTTATTCCGGGCATCCCGGAGCTCGAACGCCGCTGGTTGTCGATGCCCAGGCCAGGACGGTCCCCCGACACCTTGTGGCCGCAGGTGCGGCAGACGGCCGCGCGGTTTTGTGGTTTCAAGGGCGGGGACTGCGCACGCTCCGCTGGACGACTCGCGGCTCATTGCCATGGCCCCGCGCCGCGATTCTGGCCGGGCGAACAAATGAAGCGGCAGGGCGTGGCGCTTTGGGGCCTGTGGGGTCTGGCGGTATCGGGCCCCATACGCCCGAAGACCACGACGCCGAGACAACGGATGCACGGGGTCAATCGATGCGGCGGAATGGTATTCAAGCTCTCCCCGGGGCCCAAGGTTGCGCGTGCTTTCCCCTCCCCCGCTGAAGCGCGGGGGGCGGCTGCGCCAGAATGCTTCCAGAGTATGGCTGCACCTGAAGCCCCCGGCGGCACGGCTTAGCTGGCGGGGGGCGCGCGGCCGCGGCCTATCAGGCTGATCGCCAAGGGCGCCCAAGTCGCTCGCAGTGCCTTTGGCCCTCCGCCGGGCTGCAAGTGGGGCCCGCGTTGGGTGGGAAGTAGGTTTCTTCGGGCCCCGGCCCCGGCCCGAAGCCGGTGGTGGATGGGCGGGCCACTTCCGCGCAGCGCCTGCATTCGGCTTCTGAGCGATGTGCGCGCGACCTTTAGCCAGGCGCCGGGCATGCCAGGTGGTTGCCGGTTCCTTCGCAGCCAACGCCCCCGTGGCCTTCGTGGGTTCGGGCCCTGAGATACGGGCAGTGGTGTTGCGACACAGAGCGGGCGAAGGTTTTGGAAATGATCATGGTCGAAGCTTTGACGAATTCTGTTCAGCAGCAAGCCACTGCATTTCGGCGATCGATGTGATCGCAGTGTCGATTGCACCATTTTTGTGAAGGAGATGATTTGAGATTGAGATTGAGTGAAGTCTAATAATCAGCGGAGGGAAGAGAGAACGCAAATGTTGCAGTCCTTCGCAGAGCCGAATATCGCTTGGCCCAGGCACCTTTAAAGATACCGCTAGCACGAATTAGTTGTCCCTGAGTGGAAATATTTTCATGATTTTCAGCAATCACGATTTGCCGACTTGACTCACTGCTTCGCAAGATGATCGATGTTGTGCGCATTTGAGATTGAGCAGCTGCGGCTTCGGCGACCGGAATTCTTTACACTATTGCTCGTTCTCGACCGGGGCGGAACCCAGGACCCGAATGACAATGACCGGCGCGAGCTGTTCGTCTGCACCCAGCAGGATGAGGAAGCGGAGTCCCCCCGCAAGGTGGACCGGTTGCACTTCCGCAGACCAACCCTGCTACCGAAATTCCGGCCGGACCGCATCTTTTTCGAGCGGGTCGCACGAATTCCCGAGGAGAAAAACGCAGATGCCACTGCTACAGAGAACTACTTCGCGGAGCCGGAGACGCAGTTCCAGCTGTGGCTTATTCCGCAGGAGCTTCTTGTCGAGGATATTAGCGCCAGTCCGGCTTCGTCGCAGCAGGCACAGGAACGGCTGCACCTCAACCACAGCAGATGGATGGACGTCTACCGACAATTTGCGGAGCAAGCGGACGACCGCGTGCTCTGTTTCTCCTGGAGATACAATGCGAGTGCATATGCAAGTACTAGTACATCATCGGGCGACGTAGCAGAAACTCCCTGCATATTTCGGAAGACGTTCACGACGTCCTCCGACTTGCCGGTGCTCTCCCTGACGGTGAAAATCGAGCCTGTGCACACGCCGCACGTGGTGTCTTACTTCGTGGAGGGGCGACACAACATTTTGGTCAAAGCGCTCCAAGCCCGACGGTTTGATTTGGATGCCGATGAAACCGCCACTTTTCTCACCGCGGTCCCGTCAGACCGCCCTGGGAGTGGTGACCGCGATGGCGCAGTTGTGCGAAACCGGTTCAGCAGTATCGGATTTCCGTCAGTGCATTCGGATGATGTTGGGCAAAACGAGGAGCTCGCAAAAGGGGCGTACCCGTTTACGATGCAGGTAGTACGGGGGCGGTTGTCATGTTCTAATACCGTTCCTGGAGTTGCTTCGCTTATTTTTTGCTTTTCCAGACTAGCGTGACAAACAAACATACTTAAGTACTAACTCCTGCGGGAAGGAGAACATCAACCGTATGACCTGGACAACAGATCGGCGAGTTGCGGCGGATCCGGAAGACGCCGCGGGAGAAAGATTGGACGGCGCAGCTGAAGTACCGCAACGCGACGAAGTTGGAGGAAATTGCCAAGATCCTGGAAAAGCTGAACGATGGGCGGATCGCCTTGGACGCCATGAAGGACGAGAAACAGCGTCTCGAGCAGGAAAAGCTGCAACTCTTGGACGAGAACAACCGGACGGAGCGGCAGCTGCAGGAGTTGGTGTTCCCCGATCTCTATCCTGTGCAAAAGTATCGTACTCGTTGTAATTGCATTTCTGCATTACAAATCTCTTTTTCAAAGTAAATCAGCATTACAAATTTAATTTGTAATGCTGGGCTAAGTTGTAATGCAATTTATACTAGTGCGATGCTTTTGCATTGCATAATCTCACCGAAGTGGACGTGGACCTATACTTCGCCGGCTCGAACAACCCCCACGACCTGTACCTGAAGATGCAGTGCTGCGACGCCCGGTACCAGAAAGCCCGGGAGAATCTCGTGCGGCTGTTCTCGGTGCACCAGAAGTGCGAGAAGATTCGCGAAGACTCCCTGCGGACACCGACGCAAGTCGCGCAGCTGGCAGAGATTCTCGTGGAGCTGCGGCAGCGCGTCCGGGCGGAGTACAAAAGTGGTCACAGCGAATGCGAGCGGCTGAAGACATTAGCCCAGGAGCAGGACCAACTTGTGAACCAACTGCAGACACGAATTCAACAGATCGACAAGGGACTCGTCATAGAGAATGGTATAGGCACCTCGACGTTTCTGCTTTTCAAAGACCGAAATATTTCTGCTTTTCGCAGTGAGTGTTCTTGTAGAACCGCCATAAATATTCATATGCGCAACCGTTGAAGGTGAAGGTGATGAGTTATAACTCTTATTCTTGCATAAGATTAGTTAACGAACTCACAGGGGCGCTCGGAAAGGCGAACGAGAAGGACGCGAAGATTTCCGTGATGCCCGTAATCGATCGAATCGAGACGCTGCGGCTGCGCGGAGAGAATGCCACACTGTGCACGAAAATCACAAAAGCGCTGAAGCCGGAACTGGAGGAAACGGAGCAGAAACTAGCTGCAGAACGGGAGGACGTACAGGTGGCTTTGGGGTCGATGCAGGAGAAAATCAAAAACCTGGTGGCAGACATCCGCGAGAAAGCCCATGTCCTGGAGACGCAGAAACAGCTGAAAGCCTTGCCCTCGGACGATCCGGCACTAGAGCTCTTGCGCTTTCGGGAGCAGATGCTGAGCTCGCAGGCTCAGGCCCTGCAGCAAGAAATAGAGGCTGCGGAGCGGGCGCACGACGTCGAGAGCCATCGCTTGCACATGTTGCTGCATGAGAAGCAAACTACGCTCGGTCGCTTGACAAATGGGTAATTTCATCTTGGTCGATGCGCTATTTTTGCGGCCCTAGCTAGCTAGAAAAGACTCACGATCAAGGACTGTGCGACAATAAGTAATTTCATGACTGAGCAACGGCGCCTTGAGGGCTCTCTTGATTTCGGTGGTCGAGACTGTTCATTTGAAAGAATTTTAGAGACGAAGAAATTATGCAGAAAGAAGGTCCACCCTATCTCACGCGGAGAAAGCAGAAATTTATCGGTTTGTTGCAAGGCAGTGCAAAGAGTGAGTCCGCAGCCTGCTAGTGGTCGGCGATCAGTGAGAAGACATACTCCAATGAATAAGTTTTAATAGTAGATGAAATCGGGTTATATATTGATCAGAGGATCTTCTGTAAGCATTGCGCATTGAAATTGATCTACTTGACGAGCTGAGGCTGAGTGATAGACCTTTTTTTGCTCGGTGCCGCGTCAGGTGATGAAGAAGCCCGTTCAAGATGAGCGATCGGTTTATCAACAGTAGGCATGCTTGTTTTGTATGGTGCAGTAGATTTTTATACGGTATTGAAGGTGTGTCCTGTGGCTTATTTCTTTGGTAGAGCATAATTCCCATACTGAATGAAATGCCTGCAGAGAGAGCCTTCCCCCAAACCGAAACGTAGTGCTTGAATTTCATAATCTTTCGTCTTTTTTACTTTTGTTTTTGATATCTAGTAGTTTAGAGAGGTTCTTGGTTATACGCTGTAAAATTGTGATTGAAATTGGTTTTTTTTCCAGCAGCAGCAAAAAAATTTAGCTTTCGTATTTAGCAAAACTTTTAGCAGTTGTACTTTGAAATCGAGAAATCGATCCCACAAGTTCGAGCAAATTGTAGCGATCGAAATCAGAAGGAAACTTGATTTATTAACGCTGATTGAGAAGAACAAAAGTCGGTTGTTAGTTCAAGTCTAACCTCTTTCTGCTATTTTGATCCAAATACCAAATCTCTAAAGATCCAGACGCGTCTGAAAATCGACAGACACACATCGCAAGCAAATAAATTTGATCAAAGGCCACAAATCACCACTGAGTTACGCGCGCTGTGGATCCTATTCCACCAAATTGATACAGGGACCGGCTTTTTTCGCTGTGAGTCTGATCTTGTTTTGTACAAAACTTGATCGGGTTTTCGCTTCGATTAAGCTGCTTGGCAATCTTTCAACTACAACTGGTACTACTTTTCTTTCGCTCTCTGTCGGAAGAAACGCACAAGAACTCTTCAACCTTTAGATATTTTCTGTAGAATTCTCGACCTGTGAACACGTGGCATCTGGATACTAATCTAATTTTATTCCGAAGAACAAGAGCGCGACAAGAATATTAACTGTGAGCTATTCATCGACAAAGCGTATAATTTCGACCGTACAATCTGTTTCTCCGATAACATTTCTAGAAGATAAGCATTTGTTGTGTTGTACAGCAGCTGCCTAGAAGACCAGAAGTAGACGTTATTGACAAAGCAAGAAAGAAGCAACTCTTGAAAAAGATCACGCTTGAACAAGACCACTCCACTGGATCACATCACACATCAGACGGAACCTGGTACTAGTACCTCATCGGGGACCCTCTGGATCATCAATCAGACTCGAGACCACTGCCTGGGAGCCGCAGAGACAGCACGCAAGAGTAGATCTTTTGTCACGACCGGATCTCGAAGTAGCGATCCATCCGTGATCACAGCTTCTCGGAAAAAATTTCTGGCAAAATGGCAGAGCAGCAAGAGGAACAGAGTCCGCAGGTGCAGGACTTTTCCGTCGACGACGAGTCTATGGGCTCCGTCGTGAAGATCTTTTCCATCCCGCAATCGTGCGTGCCCAGGATCATCGGGCCCGATGGTTAGCTATTTTTTTGCTTTTGATACTGATACTGATTGATCTAGTACTACAACGTCAAAACGCGACAAGAAACTTCCAACCGAAAAATTCAAATGTGATAAAAGATGATTTTGAAGAAATTGAAATTCTACCGCTAATTAATATACCCGTCTGCCCGAATGATGATGATCATGACAAAGCTCCCTTTAGATTAAAGTTAGAACGAGCTCCTGCAACTGGCGCGTTGTGCTATGCGATCATCCGGAGGGCCGAGCGGCGCTGTGAGAGAGGAAGATGATGTTGTCCCTGTATCTATCCATCCGGTTTGCATAGAATGTTATTGAAGACTGATCCATGGGAATTTGTAAAAAATTGGTGACAGCTGATGTCATGCATTGATTGCGATCGCGCACAAGGACAAGTAGTTGTTGATCAAGGAGATCGAACCCGACCGGACCACGGGTATTTATGTGAATATACAAGGAGCTAGCGCGCCAGTTAAGATTGATCCCGCTCGACGCTGCTCAGTCGACGATGATTAGAGGGATCGGGATGGCAGCAATAGTGCGAAGCAAGATCTTTTGTTTCTGGCTCGTTTCTACCTTTATTGCGTTCACAGCACGAAGAAACTGGACGCAGCCGAAGGATCTTTTTGACGGGCGCGATGTGTAGTTTCACATTTATGAATGACAAGAACGTCAATATCCGCAACTAGAGTAACAGTTGCGGTTTGCATGTTTTTCTGCCCTGTGGATCAGCTCGATCTGGCTTGTGTATGCATGGTGTTAGTCAAGCTCCGGTTCTTTCAAGAAAAAATCAAAATCGGGAAGATCCGAAAAAACATCTCTGTGTGGGCAACCACGAGCCTGCTTCATAGCACTGAGCGTGCATATCGTGCTTTGCGAAAGCCCTCTTTGAAAGCGCATAGAAACAAGAACCGGGGCGGCGAATCACCTGAAAGGCGGTGCTCGCTGAAAAACGGAAGAACGGTTGGCGTTCTCGAAGAAACAACACGACCGAAAATACAGCAAAGAAAAAAGGACGGCAGAAAGCAGCTCAACGAACTACTGCGAGTATCAAAAAACTACGGAAGCAGCAACTACCTAAGTACCCACAGCCACGGAAGACGAAGCTGTCGCGACCATCTGCGGAATACATAGCTTGCCAGGGACCCTCGCCGGCAACACTAATGCAACACGCATCATCTTCTTCTCTCACGGTGCTTATCAGCCGACCCGGTAGTTCGCCAGCTGTAAGAGGAGGAAGTCGAAAAGGGAGCTCTAGAATTTCAGTAGCAGCGCCAGACCACTAACTTCGGGCGACAGACAAATGAAATTAATTTATCGCTTGCTAGGTTCGACGATTCGCGAGCTGAAGGCAAACTTCGCGTGCAGCATCGCGATTAACCAGGAGACCAAAGAGAAGGGATACTCCGTTTGCACCGTTCGGGGCGAAACCGACGAGTCCGTCGGCGAGTGCAAGGCAAAAGTGGACACTCTCTCCGAAGAATCAAAAATGAACGCCTCCAAGGAAGTGCAGATCCCGCAGAAATACGTCGGTATGTGGCTCACAGATTAAGTTGATTTGCAATTACCTTTGGGTGGATTTTTCACGGGCTATTATTATAACGCTCCGTCATGATTATACGCATCTGAATTCTTTGCTCTATGCTACTTATTAGGGATACAGCAGCTTCACGTTGCAAAGTAAATACACGGAAATTTCTTCAGGTATGATTATTGGCGCAGCGGGGGTGACGCTCCAGAAAATAAGAAAGCACACTGGCGCATCCATTGAAGTCATGCAGGAAACGGCTAACGATGGGTTCTCCGTCGCACACGTCTCTGGAAGCTTAGAGCAGGTACTATACGATCGTAGCGGCGCTACGGCTCCTTACTAGGCTGCAATGAGAATTATACCTAGTTGTAGGAGATCGAGATGCTGGATCCTTTTTTGAAGAAACGAAATCCAGCATTTATATACCCTGTACTAACGTGAAAACGCACAGGTCGACAAAACCGTGGATGTAATTTCGAAAATGGTTGTGTCGGGGAGACAAGCGTCCGAGGGGTACCAAGAGTATTTGAAGAATGTGCAAGCGGGATTAGTGCCTGCCGCACCGTTCAAGCCGGATAAGATGCCGGGACTGGAGTTTTTGGAGGATGATGACCACCCGCATGGCGGGAAGTCCGCCCCGTCAAAGGGCCACAAATCAGGTAAGGGGGATCAGGATCATCACCACCATCATGGTGGGAATAGTGGTTATAAGGGAGGAGGTGGTGGATACCACGGTATAGAATCTAACGGGAGGAAGGAGATCATGTTAACTCTGGCCCCTCTCCATGGAACCATGTGCTTGCACATGCGATGTTGTGATGTTTTCTTATGTTTGTCAGCCTCATAGTGATCATTTACATTTTCGCATGGAAAAGAACATGATTATTGACAGCACACAAGGAACTTTGCTGCAAATTTGGCATTGCATGCAAAATTTTCATTTTAAGCACAATCCATGCTGCGAGTCGGCTCTGGTGCCGAGGAGCGGTGGTCTTGTCCTTCGTAAACCAAGTTTATTCCGAAATAACATATCAAACAGGTAAAGGGAAAGACATGGGCTACACACCACGAGGAAAGGTTGGTGATAATGGAGAAGTTAGAGGAGGGTTCGTTGGAGGAGGTGTCGGCATCAAGGGCGGAAGCGGAAAGGGAATTGCATTCGTTGACGCGTCAAAGCACACGCTTTCTGACACTTTCGAGGTAGAGGGTTTTTTTTGCTGCAAAATACGCTCGTCTCTCGTACGATAATTCTCAACATGGGCAGATTGATTGACAAGCAAGGCAAGTGCAAAGCAAAACGCAGGGTCATATTTTTCCGCGATCCAAAAACTCCTTCACCGCAGGTGCCGCAAAAATACGTTGGCCTTTTAGTGGGCAAGCAGGGTGAGGCGATCCGACGATTTCGACAATACGCAGCAGAGAGAGACATGGCGATCCGCGTTAACCAGGACGACAACGGCGCTGCCGCATCGGTAGTGATTACCGGAAACGATATGGATGATATTGTCGCTTTGAAGGCCGACATGACGCAAAACCTTTTCCAAGCGATTGCCAAGCTCGACGCCAACGGGCCAAAGGGCGGCGACCACAAGGGTGGATACGGCAAGAAGGGAAAGGGAAAAGGAAAGATGAACAACTACCACCACCACAAGGGGTACTTCCACGCAGCTGCTTGCTTTACTTATTTTTTTTCCGCAATAAATTCCCTTTACGTGGTAGCATCACAATCGGTATCGTTTGGCAATTATGTGCAGCAGGGAATGCGGCTATTCGAACACCACGGAAGTCATCTCGACCAAGAACTCACAACTCTATATCAGGCACAACAGCTACCACGATGATCATTACGGTGGCTCCGGTAGCTTCGATCGCGGTAACACGCACACGCCAGAAGTATACTACGGTCCGACTGGCGGTAGTGGCAAGGGCGGCAATGGCAAGGGGTATAACACCCATGGACCCTATGGTGGCGGCAACAAGGGGGGCGGCAAAAACTACAACCAGGACGATGGCGACTGGTGGGCCAACGTCTTCAACCAGGTATACAGTTTTTCAACACAAGCACAACGCGTAGTAAAAAGAAACAGTTTCGTCTCGGGTTCGTTGCTTTTCGTTTTGTTTCTTCATCGTTCGGCTGGGAAACAGAAAAAGGAAATCGCAAGTCGTTGGTCCGGTAATTGCGCAAATCGGTTGTTGGTCGGTGTGGTGGGTTGGTGCTACTTGGACCGGAATGAGCAAAGGTCGGTTTCTTTTCGGTGATGATGAAGAAGGTCCGTGTTTCGATGTGTACTGTTTCTTCTGTGTCACAAGAAAGTCTGTTATACTAGAGCAAGAAAACGAATGAGAATCCACTACATATTTGCTCACAACTACTCTAGATGGTGAATTTATCATCGGTTGCATCATGATGAAAAGCAAGAGTCCTGATAGAATTTGTAGTCGGCATGAAATTTTCTCATCTTTTCGGTCGTTGATGCGCATCTACTTTTTCGGTAAAGCACTGCCGGGGCAAAAATAGGGGAGAAATAAAAGTCGTGGGCTTGGGCTTGACACGCATGGTAGAAATTATTTTCAATTTTTTTTTCCACATGATATGACGCATAGGTTCTTCAAGGACAACAAGACAAATCTGGAGACTACTCTCAGGCGCAGCAGCAGAACGACTGGGGCAACCAAGGCAACAACTGGGGCAACAACAACAACAGCAACCAGGGCGCCAGCTCGATGAGTGACGGCGACTTGGGCTCCGCACTCGCTGCTCTACTGTCCGCACCTACCGGCGGCAACCAGTCCGGAGGCCAGTGGTAAATTACATACCGCCATCCGCCGCCACCGCGAGAAGTTACCTTTTAAGGACATTGTCAGCAATAAAGAACGGAAAGACAAAGCTTTTGTCGGGTTTAGTGTTAAATAGACTAGAAACCAATGGTGCAGTGTCTGAACGAGAGGCACAGCACAAAAGCGCCATCCTCTGCCAGTGTAACAGGGGAGAAGATGAAACATAGAGATTCTAGCTGCTCTATTACACTTTCGGCTGTGACTAAGGTTCATAGTTCAGTGAAGAAAGTCACACGCTGTACTTGGTTGGGTTCTCACGCAAGGAGATTGATATCCTGCGAACAGAACAGGTTGAGCAGCCGACCAAATTATAACGTAGTAGTGTTGGTGCCTTGAATTATATGTTCCTGGCATTCTAAGTGTAGAACAAGTTCACAGTGAGGCGTACGAGAATATGGGTGATTATTTCTACGACCTTTTATTCCATTTTTCTTATACTCTTTTTACAACGTCTGTCATAGTATCCGTGCCGAAAACTTTCAACCTTCCATCAGCCTTTGATTTATTAGTACACTTGATTCATCTGATCTGCCAACATCAGTTCTTCATGCTAGAAGTTAAATCGAAAGACTAAATGACTGCTGCGCCACGCCATGGACAGCAGGGAACAGAACACCATCAAACAGGTGCAGTTTTAAAATGAACCGCGCTCGTTTTTATGAAAAAGTTCTATAGTGGATTGATCACCAAACTACAGACAAGAATAGCCTCGACAGACGAAGCGACGACACACGCGACAGAGGTTTATTTATCGAAGTGAAATAGTGACGATAGAATATGAAAACACACAACCACGCCAGGGCGAAGCAACATACGCCTTTCCTGACCTCTACGACGTCTCCGTACTAGCCCAGAACTAGGACGGACAGCGCGTCTGTGAGGTCGATTTTTGATGTACTTATCCGTAAGTGAGATCACCTTTCTTTCTACTTACTTTGTCATCATCACGATAATTCTATGGGAGTATAGTTAGACTAGAGTATCGGTCCGTGACATGTAGGTAAAAATTCCATTCAGCGAATACTTCGACTCAGATTTCTTCTAGCCATCTTTTCGACCCTAATACAGCATTTAGCCGTCGAAGAAATTTCAGCTTGCAACGTGATAGCCTTCACGCATCAAGCGAGATAATAGAAGAAAGAAATTGAAGTAGAGCAAGGTCGGAGCTGCAGCAGGCCACCACGAGACGATTGTGGAGACTGTTTCTCATAAAGTCCCGGCAGCACGGCACGCAGATTGATCACGAAATCGGACCGGGGATCAGATGACAGCACGATGAAGGTTGGTAACTAATCCAGATCTCTCACATCAGGTCAGCAGCCGATAACTAGCGTGCGCCCACGATAATTTCGGAATTGGTGCTTCAGAAAATCCCGGGTCGAAGATGATGCCGAATGACTAAAGTCAAGAAGTAGATGATCAACTTGCATTAAGTACAAAAGATTCATTGAGTCGAGCTCTCTTGCCTATGCATTTAGGCAGAGGAACTAGCTCGGACGAACGATCAACCTATAACGATGTTTACATCCACGTATGGACAATAAGAAGATCTGAGCCTGATGCAGGTGCATTTGCAACAAACTCTTCCAGAATTAGTTCTACTTTTGTTCTAGAGTTGTAGGGAGCAGCATTTGTAACGTTAACGTTTTACTTATGTAGAGTAGGGTTTATGTATTGCATCGAAAGGTGATCACAAACGACCCTGTAGACTAAGAAACGGAAAGATTTTCAAGATCACACCCTGCTGATCCATTGGCGTTCTTTTGCAAAAAAACGATCATTATTATAAGGAAGTTCCCACCGAGCACACGATCCCGCGGCGGTGTTCCCCGATCCTTGTGTCCCTTCGACCGCTCTCCAAAAAATCGAAATTTTCGTTCGCTCGGTAATGTTGCTTACCCGTCGTCACTACAAGTACGACGAATTGAGGTGTCATTGCGAACCTGTAAATCTAGATGCAAATAATAATGTACGAGTTTGTGAAAAATGAAAATTATGAAAGCAAGTGCTATCGGTGTGCTTTGTTGAGCATTGATGGACAAGCTGCAGTCGGACCTGTTGCGTTTTCCTGAAGACACCATCTGGAGGAGTGTTTTGAATTGACAGCACCAGCGGATTTTTGATGCGTTTCCAGTAGGTGGAGCTCTTTATCTTGTCAACAATTCTGCTCATAACTGACACTTAGCAGAAAGCTTCTGTTTATATCTTTGTGTAGATTCGTATCGCGCCAAAGAGAAGTGCACTCGGTGGAAGGACAAACAGAGATGGTCGCTGCACGGAGTGGCGTTTGAAAGCTGTCGCCTGTGCTCTGCGTCACGTGGATACGTGTATCTTGCCTTCGCCTCGCCGCAAGAAAAATGTTGATGTCTTTTCTGCAGAGCCAGCCCCTGATGCGCCCTCAGGTGGCAGAGGGTGGCGCAACGAATTCTGGTACTTCGCTTTCACGGGACTCTGCAGCCGAGCCGTCAGTCACCAATTGGAGCTCTTTCACGAGCGCATTTTCTGTATTCGCCCAAAAAATACTGCCAACAAATTTGCCGGGATCTGCACCGGACAGTGGTCCAGCGGAAAGTCATACCTTCGTCAACAGTTTGCAGAGACAGGCGGCGGAAAACATCAAGAGGTTTCAACGACAGGGATTGCGCGACTTCGCTTCTGCGCCTGTTCGGGCGGAAGAATCACCAGAAGTAGAGGTCGAGCCAAACGATTATAACAACTGCACAAACCAACCGAATACTGTCTGCGGCGCACAGTGGCTTCTGCTGTGGACTACGGCAGCCTACGCACCAGAACAACCAACGGACGAGGTAATATTCGTGCTTCTTTAGGTTGTTCGGTATTAATGTTTATGTGGATGTGTACTGCCCCTGTTGTTGAACAATTCACCGGCCTACTGCAGAAGCCCAAAGAGTACATTTTTCGGTTTTTCAGGAGAGGAAAGCGCTTCGCACTTTTTTCACGGAGTTTCAAGACCAGTGCAGGGATAGGAGTTACGCGAAAACGTTGGAGACGTTCGGGGCACCGGAGTGCAGCAGCCGACGGCAGCTCATGATGTGGCTTTGCGTGGGACAGAACAAATTCCGAAATTTCACGGTACCCTGCCGCTACCAAAGCCTTTTAGATCGCTGGCGGCACAGAGATGGATACCTATAACTGGTCGCGCAGATAGCGCAATGAGTTCTGTGTCGAATTTTTTTCTCGGGCACGACATACATCATTGCGGAAAGCATCACACAAATTCAGGATTCCTACGAGGAAAGGGATTGCTTCAAAGCGACTACGACAAAAAAAAAACGCAATTGAGCGAGATTGATCAGCTCGCCCCATCATCGTGTGAAGCCGCGATATTTGTTCCTCTTTCGCGCGGGCGTCGCATCCGGTGTTCTCTCCTGGCAAGGTCGTCTCTGTCGTTTTGCCGCAAACTTGTCCGCCTGTCCTCGTTGCTTGTTCTGTGTGAAGAACTTGAAGGCGACAGGTTCTACTTGAAATCGATCATGCATATTAGCCTTTTTTCCTTTGCGTCGTGTACGTACCAGAAAAGATGGCCGACCAGGCTTTTCTCCCGCGTCTGCTTGGTTCTCCTCGTGAGGTTGCCTGGGCACAATTAGAAGACCGGAAGCGGAAATACCGGGATGCCGCGCGGCGCGTTCGCGACCGGATTCGGCGCGAGACGCTTGAGGCACGCAAGCAGCAAGAGCAGTTGGTATACTTGGAAGAGCGTGCGGCGCTGCAGGAAAAACGAGACCAGCACCGGCTGAAGCAGCTGCAGCGGCGGCGCGATGCGCTGGCGGCTGCGTTGTTGAGCGCGCAGCGCAACAATGGACCGCGCGATGGGAAAGAGGCAAAGCCTGAGGTTTCGGGCAAGGCAAGCCTCGTTCAACATCACCAGCGCGGTGGCGATATTTCATCAAAAGCAACCCTCCTGCAGGAGCAGGATTTACCATGTTCTACAGGCCTTGACAATTTGCAAATGAACAACTACGGACAGAATCAGCCACATACCACTTCCCAGAACGTCCTCGAGGAGCAAAAGGATCCGGGGGTGGAGGATCTACAGAGGGCGATAAACAAGAAAAGGGAGCAGGTTCTTCAGAAGCGCGCGGAAATCTCCCGTCTTGGCAACCTCGAGCCGGCAGAGACGAAGCTGCGCGCAGAATGTGCAGCGATGGGAAATCGCTTGCGGGCGCAGCTGACGGAAGCGAATCCCGGAATGGGCAATCATGTAATCGACGCATCATCAAACAGTACGAATGTGGATGAAAGGGGAAACCAGCAGAGCAGCTCCGCGTCACCTGCAGGAACGGCGACGGCGGCAGCCTCGCCGAATGGCGCAAGTCGTTTCGCGAAACTCGAGCACCCGCATTGGCGACGGTCGGTTTTGCAGGCGGTAAACGCCATCGAGGCGATTCCGGAGGAGAGAACTAAACCCACGCGTAAGACTTTGGAAAGGGACAAGCAGTTACTTGCGGGCGCAGCGCGCAAGTTAGACGAGCGGGAGTTTCAGAATGAGTGCGGCTGCGTGGCCGGAGCGCGGCTGTTGAACAAACTGGTGGAATTTGCGCTGGAGGCAACGAAAATATCATACGAATCCGTCACAGAGGAAGCCGAAGTCGACTTCTTGGATTTGAAAGCGTCCGCCGTTCTCGTCGAGCACGTAGAAGAGGACAGTATACTATCAAAATACAACGGGGCGAAAGACGACAACGTGAATAAGAATAGTTCCGGTGGTGGTGGCTACCACTCGCCACTGCAGGATGATGTGGAGTTCGATCCACGCGCGAGTTCTCCCTTGCGGCGCAGCACCATTCACGGGACAACTGTCAATACAGCCGACAAGGCAGCAGAGCAGGGAGGAGCCTGTTCATCTCGAGGTTCAACTTCTACGCAGCAGGGAGACCACATCAATTCCGATGCCGCACACCAACCGTCTCGGCGCGGCACGATTCACGCAGACTCACTGACCACCACATCGCAGCACGAAGCGAATTCCAATGTGCAACTGTGGCGGTCAGCCCAGGAGGTCGGACTTTTGGGGAAGCACGCGGCGCAACTCGAACTGTTTTTTCGCCGAAAGCTTCTCGCTAGAATGCGTAAATGGTTGCGCGTGACGAGGAACGCGCACCGGAATCTAGACAAAAAGGGGGACGAAGAGGAGCAGCGGCAGCTGAAGCACGAAGAGCACTTGGAGCAAAAACGGCGGGAGCTCGAGGCGCTTATCAGCAGCAGGAATGACCGCCTGGCTGCTCTTGCAGCCGAGGCTGCGAACACAAGCTGCGAGGAAACTGCAGCCAATCCGCAAGAGCAAGAACCGACTGGTCGGGAAGCGGAGGAAGCAGAAGATTCTGCAGAAGAACAAAAAGACTACTCAGAACTACCTCGAGAGCAGAGCAGCCCCAATGCTTTAAGCGGAACAACATTCTCACAACCTAAGAACCCACCGCAGCACCCTACTCCCGCCACTCTCCAGATCGAATCTACGGAGGTGGTAGCTAACTTCTTTCGGACCGAACGGCAGTACCTGGAGCGTGTGGTCCAACAAGACCGGCGGCACGAGCAGTTATGGGAGTACCTGGTGGAGCAGCGCGCCCTGGAGCAGCAGAAAAACACAACGACGGCGAGTGGAAACAAAACTCGGCGGAACAGCTTGTTTTCCACTGCTGCGGCCGCCGCTGCGGCGGTGAATCGCAGCAAGCGGATGACAGTGGCACCCAATAAAATCGGCGGAATGGGTACGAGTTCCGGGCCCCTTTCGGGAGATCAGAATCATGCCTCGGAGATGAATACCGGTGCCTCTGCTCCAAATTCGCCCGGAGCTGCCGGAGACCAGGAAAAATCTTCAGATAGCCCCTCGACCATGATGAGCAAGGACGCGGCTACCAGTCCAGTAGCAACAACGCCGAAGCGCCGACCGTCCAACAAGCGAACGGCGCAGCAGCATTTAGAGCACGTTCACCTCGCTGCAACATCTGGTGCCGGAACGTCAGCAGGGCTGAATTTTGCAGCAGGTTCTAGTACGGCTTCTAAACCTGCTACCATCGGGTTGCTCGTGGAACAGGGCTGCGCGCTGCTGCGGGACCGGTGGCAGAAGAAGCAGATACGAAAGAAGCAATTGCTGATTGCGTGCGTGAATGTGGAAAAGGATCTTGGCATTACGGCGGAGGAGGGGGAGCAAACTGCTTCAGGCGCGACCACAGACGCGGACACGCAAACAGTACACAATGGATTGTTACTGTGCCAGCCGCTGCACTCGCTGTTTGTTTCCGGAACGCCACGACCCGGGTATTTGACCACTGGCCCGCCTGCTAAAGGCGCTGCGTCTGCTTCGGAGGTGGAGGCGACGGAGAAGTATCTCGATGTTATCCACGATCTGGATGTTTGGAGCGAAGCCGGGACAAGACCGGAAGGTGTCGGGTTCTTGGATCCCTACCAGGCTACAGAGGATAAAAGTGCCTCCTCTGTTGTGACGATTCAGATTCCAAACCCCTGTGGAAGCAAAGGCACCACGGCGGCAACGTCTCTTGTGGCGTTGCGGAAGGAAATTGACAAGGCAAACGGCTGGAAGAGGGAGGTGTGACCTAGCGGAAAAATTTTAGAAGTTGGAAAGTTTCATGATTCAATTCTTGAAATTCTAGGTGGTCCGAAGACCACTTTTGCTATGTCAACAGAATCAGAAAGTAGACGAAGATGAGCGTACTGGGAAAAAAAATCAGGTTGTAAAGGCTCGGATTCGCGCGACGTGGGTGATGGCACCAGGTGTGGCCGCGGCGGACGAAGTTTACGTTGTTGTGACGTTTTGTGAGACCCGGGAGAAATTCCACTTGTACACAACCCTGCAGCAGATTTGCTTGGTTTCCGGGTTGGATGCTGTGGACGCCTGCCGACCAAGTTTTTATTCAAAGTGGCTCGAGGTACGAAGCGGAAGACTGAAATTGAAACGAAAGGGAAAGGCAACGGCCGAACGCGCGGGAGAGCCTTCGCTTGCTGCGGGAGCGGAGTTTGGCGGTGCTTCCACCTTAGATCCACCCACCGAGCTGCGGACAACCACGGAGCAATTCCTGCCACCCGGTCAGGCGTTCACGAGCGAATGCTTCTACAACGATACGAAGCTTTGCGACCGGGTTTTGGACCAAAGCAGTTTTGGAAATCCCGTTGCTGGAGCGACGAACGTGAACACAATCTTCACCAATACCATCGCGACATTCTTGAAAAGCCAGGAGCATATGTACACGCTGCAGGGCACTATTTTGCAGTGCCACAAAAAACGCTACGGTCGCAGTTTTGTACACCTGAAGTTCACTATTCTGGAGGCCGGGTTTGTGCGCTGGCAGTACTGCGAGCTCCGTGCGCTGCTTGTGGAGTTGCAGGTACTTGTGTTGCGGTCCTCGATATAATGAATTAATACTGTGGAGATCGACATTGTCATTTTATCATTTGACACGTAAGCGACCTTTTTGGATAAAAGTAAAACTAGCACGCGTAAAACGAGAATCAAATAAACTTCAAGATCGCCGCAAGCTATGAAGACGCAGATCCGGATGTCTTGCGGAACTGGGACACTGTGGTTAGCGCTGAGATTTACACGAAGTTTTTTCTGAAGGCCTTTGCGAAAGATCTGATCGACTTCGCGGAAGAGACCAATGCGCGCGACGCGGCGCTTGCGCAGTCGCTTGTTGTACATTGCAAGGAGTGCTCCGAGGAGGAGCAGCAAGTCAGGTTTCTGGACCGCGAGTTGGCTCAAGGAAACATTAGTCTGGAGAAGTATAAGGAACGAACAACGGAAGTACTTCGGGCGCAGAAAAGTAAGAAGACTCAGGCTCAGCACACAACAAGCGATAAACCGGTCGCGCTCAAAAAGCTGTCCGATCTAGTGCGCGTCACCTTCCAGATTTTTCCCGACGGAAAAGCTGACGTGTTTTTAGTTCCGAATACTAGCACCAGCGAAACGGGTGCAAATCCAGTTGAAAGTGAAAGACCTGAGGAAATGAACCAGTTAGCGGGCGAGTCTGCGCAGGAGAAGGGCGGAGCAGACTTAGAAGACGAAAGGGAACAAGAGAAAAAAGGCGGCTCGAAAGAGTCAGCGAGCAGTTCTTATGACGGATACTAGCATTTCGAAAAGTACTACTTAAGTGCCCGCAGTTTTTAGCTTTGGTGGGACCCAGCCTTTCTTTGCAAAAAAGTATGGGGCATGAGCATGACAATGAGGATGACAAGGAAACAGAAGCAAACTCAAACACGATAAAGAAATCTGACTAAATCTAGCGTAGATCATTAGGATCGGAAAATATCAGAAGAAGAACGCCAAAACAAGCTCATCTCAGGTTCAACTATGACTGGAGTCGGTGTTCTTGTTTCCAATCACGCTTATGATGAAGGCTAGATCGTATCTTTCGCATGGATGATGATCAAAATTGGTCTCCTGAAAAGGATCTTCAACAATCTGAAATTGTCACGAGATCATAATCGCCATCTCCGAGAAATGACATCTGAGCACTGCGCCAAGTACAACAAGGCGTCTCACCGATGTATGACAAACTCTAAACAGGTGGAGGTTCGTCCGGGCGACAACAAGTAAGTAAGAAGTAGAAGTAGATCGCTACGTCTTCATCTTCGCGTGTAATGACAGAAATTTTCATCACTAGCCATAAGTTCGCTGTTTAGTTTTCCTCGTCCACATCTAAGAACCTAGTACGACGTCGGTCTCGAGCACACCGTTTCTTTATTCCTGTAAAGCCAAAGAAGCATTCTTCGCAGCCAGCGACATCACCAAAAACAAAACAATGTCCACCGCCCTGTCTGACTTGTTCAACATCGACGCGCAACAGGTCGTTGCGTTCGAGTTCACAGATTTTTTGATGTGGTTTCTGTTCCTTTTCCTCGTGATCCGCAACCTGATTTACCTGGCCAACTACTACCAAACCTCCATCTTTCCGTTCTGGTCCTGGCTGCGCTACGTCCGGGAAAAGCTGTTTTTCGCGTACTAGGAGAGCTGCAGCCGCAGCTTAGCCGCAAAACGCCGAATAACAACGTCATCATCCCCATTTCCACCTCCGCTGCTGGCTATTGTCAGGTGCGTGCACGCTATCATTTACATCATGTGCTTTTCCTTTGTATTCAGTTTCCGGGTTGGGGATGAAACTGTAAGCAAAGTCTCATTGATTATTATTTTCGAGCCTTATCATGAAAGACAAAGAGAAAATTATCGCCTTTACACATTATACACAGACCCACCATCGACGAGGCGCCCGACGAAAGCAGAAGCTGAAGAAGCACGCCATTTAATAGATTTCAGCAATACAACCGCGCCGATAACCATGCCGTTTCGCGGCGAGCTTCCGGGCATGCTGTATTGCGATGTCCGGGACCGGTACTTCCCTGCCCGGAGCGTGACGGCCGACAACTCGCCTAGTGGCACCCGCACGATGAACGATCCCCACGACTACCTCTGTCGGCACTGCAAGAGCGAGCTCTGCCGCAACAGCACCAAAAGACCCGGCCCGGCGTCTGTACCGACTGCTTCCGCGAGTTCGAATTTCAATCAAAACCAGCGGGAGCAACAAAATTTCCGATCTAGTACGCGACCATCGACGATTGCCGCCTCTCCCGACAGCAGGCTGACCACTAGTAACACCAGCAGCAACCACACCTCGCCTGCCGTTCCCTCACCCGCACCTGAGCAGCAGAACAACTACCGCAGTTCCTACGAGCAACGCAGCCCCCCCGCCGCAAGCCTTCCGAGCCCCGCGTCGGCGCCGGCCCCGCGCTCGGCGCCGCGCGGCACGACGGTTCGGGACGTTTTGCGCGAGGTAATCCGGGAGGAAATCGCAAACTTCGCCCGCCAGGAACTGCAGTCGTCTTCCCACAGGTCTCGTGAGGCGCGGCGAGAACCGCGTCCAGACGGAGTCGAGAACAGCAGCAGCGTCGCAACACGCAACGTGAGTCGACAACAGACACCAAGCTCTGGAGACTCCTCCTCATCTACGTACACCGACCAGACCGGCGCCATCTGGGACGTGCACAGCACGATTTCCAGCTCGGCTAGCGACGACGCCGGCGGTGGGGATTCAAACCAGCTGCAGTTGGGGGCAAATGGCACACTCGGCACACACATCACCTCCATCGACGTAGGTAAATTTGCGGCCGACCCGAAGGTGATCGACACGCTGCCGTGCCCTACGGCCGCGGATTTTCCTGGGAGGACGGAGGAAGAGTCCAAGGTCCAGTGCACGATTTGCTTTGAAGACTGCACGCAAGAGTTACTGCCGCAGCTGCTGATCCTGCCCTGCAACCACATCTTCCACGCGGACTGCATTCGCCCCTGGCTCCGAAACAAGGGACACTGTCCCAGCTGTCGGAAGCCCGTGGATCAGGCCTTCGAGGCGGCAGCGCGTGCCGCGGCGCCGGTACTTCCGCCTCCGCCGCAGCTGCAGCGGGTCGAATTTTCCCTCAACTTGCGGTCGTGAAAAAGGAGCGAATGATGTTGGGATGAACAATGTGTAGCGTGTTTTCGTGTAGAAAATTTTTACAAAGTTATGCTTATGATATGTTGGTATTGGTAAACGGATAAAAGTCGTGCGACACCGGTGGAAGACCAGAGGCAATCCAATACCGGATTTTACTTTTACTTCGACAAGTACAACGATAACGAAGATCATAGCGGCTAGCGGTCTCACAATTTTTCTCTGATATGAGACTTACAACGAAGACGACTACAACAGCGACCCACCAGGATGACACAGGAAGAAGGAAAAATGTTCAAGAAGGATGGCAATGACAAAAAAAGCGTTTTGATATCGCGCGACTAATAATTTCCGATTTCTGCCTGCGTTTCGAATTTCAATTTTCACCCGCACGGAAGATATACAAGATAGAAAGCAACTCGCTCTGGGAAATCGTTTTGAGTTGTCCTCTGAGTATACCGAGAAAGAAGCAACGCGTGTTCCCCTCTGTCGAAGAAAGCATGACCGAGATCGAAAAAAATCGAACGGGTTGCGAGTGGTGCTTGTTGATTGCTTTTTCTCAACATAAGGGAAAGCTATAAAGCGCCAAAGGTGTGGCGCCTGCTGGACGGCGGGCGCGGGGGATGCCGGTGGCCCCCAACGAGCCGCGGCGCGAGCGGGTGAAAGGCGGGGCGTTGCTGCTCTGTTGCCATCAAAGTGGACGGAAATCCCGCCTGCTGCGCAGCGCAGTGCGCTGCTGCTTTGGAGGTATTCGATCGACCCCATTCCGAGGGACGGAAGGGCCGGGATTTTCTGGCAAAATGCGCCCAAGCCGCAAGCCTCCTGCCGCCCCCCCGAGATTCTTCATTTTCCCAAAGCAGTAGCGGGGGCGCGCGAATGTTTTCGCGGGCGCGCCTGTGGCCTTCGTATGCGGCCGGCTAGCAGCCACGGGGGCCGGGCCCGTCTGGTCGCGCAGTGTTTTCGGTGCGCGGCTTCGGGGGGCCTGCGCGCCGCTCCGCGGAAACAAGATTCGCCGTGGCGAGACTTGTATCCGGCGGCCGTAGAAAAGCTCCAGCGGCCGCGGCGAAAGCGCGCCAGGGCTCAAGGCATTGCCTGAAGTTATATTCTCCTTTCCTGAAAATGTTGGAAATTGCCGGCCAACCGGGGGAAACTGCCAGCGCGTTTTCGCCGTCCAGAAGGTGAGAGTAAGACTGCGCCCCCCAGCAATTTCGCTGCTGCTGTGGCGCTGTGCTAGGCAGCGCGCAGCCTGCCGCAGATGGCGGCGGCGACGCCGGACAGCCAACCCGGCGCGGTCGCGCGCGGGCGGCTTCCCTGCCGGGCGCGGGCGTGGCCCGTGTGTCGGAACTTTCGCAATTTTTTGGATTCGGTTCGGGCCTTTCGGGATATATCTCGAACTTGAAAAGATACGGAGTCGAAGCCAGTGCCGGCACTCCGCCCTGCCATTTCAGAGCCGGCGCCCGCGCGGCGAAGGATTTCAGCCCAAGGCAGGGCGTGGCGCTGGCGGAGTCGGCGGCGGGCGAAGGTTGCGAGCAGAAATGGCGCAGGGTCTTCGCGGGGCGGGAGCGGCTGCGTACCACCCGAACCGAAGTGGCTACGGGCACGCAGGGAGCGGGGCGCGCCCGGTGGCCCCCCTTTGGAAATTCCGCCCGCGGGGCGCGCCACCAGCATGCCGCGACACGGCCGACCTCCGGGGGCCAATGGCGGACATTCTCCGGAAGAAGAGGATCGGCATGGCGGGGCGCCTTTGTTTCGTGGGGACGGAGGGAGCGCTTAAAATTGGAAAGGAGCGGCCCGCGACCCAGGGCGCGAGAGTGCGCAACTCTGCCGCTAATCCATCCCCCCGCCCAATGGCAGGGGTTGCGCGGCAGCGCGGCCGATGGGGGTTCGTGCCGCAAGCTCTAACCGGCCCGGGCGCCCCCGTCTTTTTTCGGGTTGTAGTTGAAGCAGCATGTATCTTGCGACTCCATCTCCTGCGTATTTTACTCAAATCCTTGAGCCAAATAAGGCCCAGACACAAACCGAGTCAGTCACTAAGTGGCGCAAGGCGGCAGAGCGCCCCTTGCTTTTCCCCGGGGCCGGCGGGCGAGGCCGGGCCGGCGCGCCGCGCGCCCCTCGGCTTCCTTGCCTTGGGCCGCTTGAAGCGCCCCGCCGGCCCGCTAGCAGGGGTGCGCGCGCAGCGCGGCAACTTTGCCGCAGGGTGAACACGCTTGCAGCGCCCCCACCGCTTTGGCCGGTGAGGGAGGCCGCCGGCGATCGGGCCCGGTCCCGGGCCCGGTCCGCAAAGGTGGGCCGGCGCCGGGCCCGGTCCGAGAGGGCGGGGTTCTTCGGGCGCCAGCTTTGGCCGTTGCTTCCTTGCCACTCCGCTTCGTGGCGTCGGCAGCCCAGCTACTTGCCAGCGTTGGCCCTCCGTGGCGATCCTGGGGGCCCAGGTTCGATTTTTATCGATTCAGCCCCACTGTATATATAAGCAGCAACCTATGTTGTTGCAGAACCGATTGGACTCCTGTCGTTGTTCCGAATCGTTTTCGAGGTCGTTTTCATCGGATCGCTTTTTTTATTTGCTGGTCGTTTGTCACAGGCATGAGCGAAAAGCGCTGTGTGTTTTCTTAGAAGTGTCGAGCCGATCACCTCTGGAAAGGGAGACACTGGCACTGCTGTGATAGAATGGAATAGGGGAATCAATAGTACTGCTGTAATGCAGTCCACGAGATTCGCATTCTCCACTGGCAGCCTTGTTTTCGCAATAGATACAGAAGCACTTCCAATAAGAATAAGGGATTGAGCTAGCATCTGAGGAAAAACAAACATCAACTATGGCGGACTCTGTAGCAGCTTTCGGAGGTGGAGGTGGAGCGACTTCTACGGGAAATCTAACGATGGGTGGTAGCTCCTCGAGTCATTCTTTCGGTAGCATGCGACCTCCGTCGCTTCCTCCGATGCACCGGCCTACGTCAGCGGCTCTATCAATAGACAGGCGACCCAGCGGTTCGTCATCATCCGGTGGTGGTGCTCTGCCAAGCGGGAACGAGGGAAACACGCCGTTACACCAGACGCTTCAACATGTCATACCAGGCCAAATTGGGGGAGCTTCAAGTAGTTCGTCTTCTATCGCACCGCGAACAAGCACAGGTAGTAGTCCAGCAGCGGCTCCGGCTGATCGGTGGCGAGAATCGAAAATCGCAGCGAAGTTTCGGACCGTGCTGGAGAAGTACTCGAACTCTTTACTCACCGCACAAGGCACCGATCCGAAGCTGCAAAAAGTGTGCCAGTTTGCGTCGGAAATTGTCAAGAACGCCGAGAAACAGTGGAATGCCATCAACAAGGACAGCATTGTACGAGGATTGGATTTGTGCATGTTGAATTAAAAGTGTTCTGCAGCACGTGTCGCATCATTTGAATCTGTTCTTGGAATGAGTTTTCTCGCTCCTTGAAGTGTTGTTTTGTTACATCGAATCGTGGTGAGACTCTAGTAGTTCTACTCAACGCAAAATAAACACTAAGGTGAAGGAGTTCGAGCAGCGTGCCCAAGCCGCCGAGGTACTGCGACAGGCTCGCCTCAGACACGAGGTCGGATTGGCCCAGCTCCGGCACGTCCGGATGGTAAAACCGGAGGCGCACAACACCGCGCTGAAAGCCAATCTGCAGCATGATCTTTCGCAGGTGCAGCAGATTGCGGAACAGGCCGGGAGCCAAGGTCCCGGCCGCCGAGCACTGGAGGAATATGCGGTAAGTAGAGGGAAGATCATTTCGACGGCACGGCTGTATGAATCAGACGTTTTTGCAGCGCTAATTGCCGCGTGAAGACAAAGATGACTTTTGCGGCCGATGACTTGTATCAGGTGAGCCTCAGGGAAAATTAATATATGAACCCACAGGTCCGGCTGACGCGTGGCGCCGAAGGCGTGGCGCAAGACTTGGAAACGTTGAAGAAGCGAAAGAAGGCCATAATCGAGAAGGAGAAAGATCTGGTCCGCATCGAAAACCAAATTATGGCGCAGCCAGATGGGAACCAGCTGGAGCAGTTGCTTTATGGCGTTCACCTAGAAAAGGAAAACGCCATCGCTAGGGTTCCGGAATAGCGCGGGCTTTCGCCAGGTGTGTTGCAGGCCTGCGTCATGGCGGTGTTGACGACTTCGCTCGGATGTTATCGCCTGTCAATTGATTCCTTTCCGCAAATTCCAACGTTCGTTCGCAGAATAAACTGGTGTCGCTTGTTGGTCCCACAGTGAAAGCCTGTTGTGAGCACAAAAAGGCCCGCCCCTTGAGTGTGAGACTTTCATCGAACGAACGTAATAGATACGTAGACCAAAACAAGAAAAGAGAATGTCAACGTAATCGCATCGGCGCAACCGGAATGTCTTCACTGTCACTCACAGCAGTAACGAACCAAAAAAACCAGTGTTCCCTGAGTAGACCCGTCTTCGTTGTCACTCGAGAGGCCCCTAATAAACCCTTTTGCGTCTCGAACAAGAATGACAAGATGGTTATGGTAAAAATAACTTGAATGATCCCACGATAATTTGGTTTTTCCCGTCTAGCATCTTTGTTTAAAATGGGCCCCAAGCGTCAAGCCGCCCCTGCTGGGTCAACACGCGGCGGAGCTGCAGCCGCAAAAAGTTCCAGTTCCACGGCAGCAAATGCGAAAGGCGTCGAGAAAGAACGGGGCACCCGCATCGAAGAGCAATTTCAAGAAGCCCAGGAGCAGAGTACTGCAGTTTGGCTGAACACCGCGGGCCGCAGCATTTCGCCGCATTTTTGCATCAAGGCCGCACAGGAAGCCATCCTCAAGCAGGAGTCGCCCTGGCTGCTCGGCGAAGACGACGAGACCCCGTTGCGGGAACTGTTTTCTAAATTGATCCCCACCGCGCTACCGGAGGATATTGCGATCGCCAGTGCCGCGTCCACGCACCTGAGCACGCTGGCGTACAACTTCCAGGAGTATCAAATGCAAAAATGTCTGGGTCTGGAAGATTGCGAGATCTGTCATGCTGATCTGGCATGGCCCTTAACTCTGTATTGCGTGGCCACAAACAGCCTCTCTCGCCTGTCATGCAAAAACGCAGTTTCTCATGCGGAATACGCAGCACAGAAGCGCGAAGAAACTTGTCATGCTTGGTGGCGCATTACACTGCATTTCTTATTGACTGACTTGCATCACAAGTTTCCAGACCCAGACATTTTTGCATGTCATAAGGAGCAGTGGAGAAACGAGGACACCGTTCGGAAAATCACCGGGTTGCGATATCCTATGTAAAAACGTCCCCAGACCATAGTTGTATTGCAAATCTGCATGCTGAAATTGTTTCTCATGCGGATCCCCATGAGAAGCATTTTCCAATCGTGTTCTGCAATTTGTCATGCTCCAATCAGCATGATATACTAGGTCTGTGATGCTGCTGAGCTAGCTCAAACAGCACTACGCTACGAGTCCAAATCTGTCATGCAAGACAGCCAAAACTTGTGGGTTTGTCTAGCCAATCCCCCATCTTGACTATGGGGTGGGGACGTTTTTACATAGGATACGCGACTGGACCCCATCAAGCGGCTCGTGCTGGTGGTGGAGGAGCAGTACACAAGTAATGTGTACCCTTGGCAGGAGCTGCTGGTGCGGGAGCAAACGCTGGACGTGGATTTCCTCGTGGTGAAAACCACGAACGAAGACGACGACCTGACGGATTTGGTGATCCAGGCGTACAAAATGCAGAAAAAGCACGTGAAACTCGTGGCGCTCATGCAGAGCCGGTGGATCGACGGGCGGATGATCGATTTGCAAAAAGTCGCAGCGGAGTTGGCGGAGGACTGTTATTTCGTGCTCGACTTGACCCAGTCGCTCGGTGTCATACCGGTTCCAGGCTCGGTAGCTCGCCGAGCAGACGCGATTGTGTGCACGACGCACAAGTGGCTGCTGGGGCTCTACGGGATCAGCTTGATGTACGTGAACTCTTCGCGGAAGAAAAACTTGAGCTTGCAGCAGCAGAGTACGAAGAGCTCGCATGCGCACAGCGTGCTGCGAACTCTAGACCACCACGAGCGGAACAGGATTGGATGTGTCGACGGCGCTTGCTTGCCATTTTTGCTGAACGCAACAGGCAAGAGGGACGAACTTTCGGAGCAGGAGGTTGAGTCACTTTCCCCTGCGCGGTTTCTCGGGGGAAACGCGAAGGCTGGCGGTGCGGCTGCGAGAGCGAGAAAATCGCTTTCCGACGCGGCGCGGATGAGCCTGGTGCCACTAGAAGGTCCGGCTACGAAGAAGGCGAAAAAGGAAGAGGGGACCGGCTCACCTGGAAAAAACAACAAAGCCTCGCCGTCTTCTCCGAAAGCAAAAGCGCAATCACCCTCTACTCCCGAGATAGTGAAGGAGAAACCACCGATCTGCGAAGTTTTTGAAAAAGCCCTCTACGAGCCGGCGTTTCGAGCAGGCGCCGGGTTACGTTTAGACATGGGCGGGCGACCGGGGAACCCGATCGTGATGCCGGCACTGCTCGCGAGTTTGGATTTGATCATCAACCATTGGAAAGTTGAAACCATTCAAAAGAAGTGCGAGGAGCTAATGAAGCAGCTGAAGGAGGAGATACGGGAGCTAAATGCCGAAATCGAGAAGAAGTCACTGTCCTTCGACAAATTCCTGCAGATCACCTACCCGAAGCACCACTCGCCGCACATCATCGGCCTGCGCTTCGGTGCGATGAAGAAAAGTAAGAAGAGTTTTGAACTGGATACAAGTGTGAAGATCACGACGGAAAAGGCGCATCAGCGCTTATCAAACTCTGGCATACATACGAGCTACCGCTCGGGGTACATTCGCGTTAGTCTGTATGTCTATAACACACCCGCAGACGTGACGCGGCTGGTGCGGTGTCTCAAAGTGTACTTGTTTGACGCGCTAACGCTGTCGTGATAGAAAGAATAGCACGAGGACAGCAAGATGATGAGTACGATGTTGGTGCTGCTTCACGTACAGTGAAATCGGCACAGAACTGATTCGCTGCATGATAGCGGCTGCTGATTCGGCGCAAATGACATCTCAGGGTTTGTCTTGTGTTCAAGTGCAACCAGCACAGAAAAAGCGCCCGCGCGGGGTGTAAGTATTCCGCAACGTGACGCACGCACAACATCAACAAAGGCGCGCAGCTTCACGGCCCGGATGGCGATGACTTTGAGGACGACGGCAACAAATGCCGCGGTCTGAAGGCCGGGCCTCCGCGATGCGTATCGCGGCCATTGCTAAGCAAATTCAAAGCGCCGGCAGAGGGGCCGCGTGCGCAGCCGGGAAGATTCGCGCCCGAAACGGCCGGGACCACGGCAGCGGCGCGCTTGTCCGCGCAGGCGCTGTTTTGACGGGGCGCCAAGGGCTTGAGACAATTTGCCGCATGCGCCTCCGCGACGGGCGGCCGGATCGGGGGGCGGGCTTGGTTGCTTTGTCTGCCGGCACCGGCTCCAGTACAGGCGGGAAGGCGGCGATGGCCGCCAAGACGTCGCGCCCCCGGCCCGCCCGCCTGATGGCGGGGGGGCGGCGTTCGGGAGCGGCAGGGACAAGGCTCCCGAGGCGGGCGCGCGTGGCCTCTTGTTGTGGTGGGCATGCAAGCACCGCCTGCCGGGCTAGCGGCCCGCTTTGGTAGGCCCCCGGAATGCCTGTGCCTGCCGGCGCATTGTCTGCGGGGGGGCGCCCGGCCCAAGCCTGCGCAGGCGGCGGGGCGTGTCTTCGATTTGCCGGCCGCGGCGCGCGATTATGGTCCGCGTGAAAAAGGCCGCGCCGGGCAAAAAGTTCAAGGCCATGGAGGCGGCCAATGGCCGCCCCCCAGTCGGAGAGAAACCCGCCAAAGTTGCGCGGGGGAATTCGCGCCCTTGCGGGGCAGCCGCGTGGGCCGCCTGCGCGGCCGCCCCGTCCCCCCCCCGCCCCCTCTCTGCGCGCCCCGCCGGGCGCGCGCCCTTTGCCGCCGCCCTTCTTTGATGTGTGCTCGTGAAGGCCGGCCGCGGTCAGTTTCCCCAGAAACTGCTGGCGGGGCGCTTGCGTTGTGGCCCGGCAAGCGGGCTTTTTCCGCGCGCCCGCCGCGCGCGCAGAGGCGCGCCCCTTGGGTGCATGTGCTCTGTCATCGGCGCCCCGGCCGCGGGCTGCCCGGCTGCACAAAGGAGGGCGGGCGCGCATCTGCCGGCGCCGAAAGCGGGCGGCTTGCTGGGTCTAGTGCGGCGTAATTCGTGGCACATGATTTTGGCGCTCGCCCTTTGGCTGCTCCGCCATCTTTTGTGCGTTTAGTTCTCTGGATCAACTTTCGCCTCCGTTGGCGGGCGGACGTAAGTATCTATGTCTGTGCGTGTTTCGTGGGTTGCCGATTGATCTTCGATAGGCGCGCGCGTGATGGATATCTATATGTTTGATGTTCACAGGCACGCAGGGTAGCAAGCACTACATGGCTGACGCAGCCGCATCTGCAGACCCAGTAGCTCACTCTGCCTCTACTTCTGTCTTGTTCAAAAAGAAAAACCGGCATACCTCCGATACCGAAGTTGCTGTTGTGCTATGTCCGAAGTCCGCTCGCGCATGTTCCTGCCCAGTGCACGCTAGCACGGATTAGGCTATCGTGGCGCTTGCTCCCTAGTCGCTTTGTCTTTGTGAGATTTCGAGCTGGTCGTTAAGTCGCAATCGTTTTCGTGTAATTATAGGTGTTACACTCGCACTTTATCCATATCGTCTCGTATGCTCGTCCCGCTAAGTGGTCCGTGTCGTGCTTTTGCCTAGAATTTGGAAGTGCTGTCATTTTTCATATAAAGAACCGCATTCGCATGTCGAAAGGGAAACCATCCGGGATGTTCCTCCATAGGAGCGTGTAAGTATATTGAGAAGCACCACATCAAGTACGTAGATCAAATTTACGTCATCGCTTCACTTCACAGCAATCGCCCTATTGTGTTTCGCAAGTCTTGCCAGTCTACGTGTAAAAAAACAAGTAGAAGAGATCAAAATGCAAGATTTTTTGCAGGAGAAGATAGCTTCTTTGCAGCTCTCTCCGGGCAATGACGAGCACAGAACGCGCCCCCGGTCGAGATCGCTTGCCGCCTTCCAGAATTACTGCACCGCAAAAATACAAGAAGTTGTGCACGTACTTGTGGTGTTTATGATTCTTTTTGTTTAGTTTGATGTGGTGTGCAACGTGGACGAACTTGCGCTTTCTCTTTCTCCAGCGCAGTAAGTACTTTGACAAGCAATGCTCGGAAAAAAAAAGTTGCATTTGACAATTATCAGACCGTCGACGAGCGCAACTTGATGACGAAGCGGTTGATGACCTCCCCCAGTAAGAACGGGAAGAAGCGCGTGTCCGAGGAGCAGATGCGGCTTTTCACCATGCAGTTATCCCGGCCGAGGAACACACTTATTCCCCGTTCCGCGTCCCCGGGAAAGCGCCACCGACGCAGGTTTGCGAAGTCGGACCTGGAAGGCCCGATCCCGGTGGGTATGAGCCAGACCGTTGGGGGACACAACTTCTTCGGGGGTGTCTTCAATGAGGACAGCATCTACGGGCTCGGATTAGATGACGGTTTGGAGGACGGAGTACTTGATTAGATTGATTTGTTGCCTTCGTTTAATACTGTGGCTAATCTCGCTTCGTTTACTGCAGCTCATATTCTCACTCGTTACCTGTGGCTACATTTCTGACAACAGATCAAATCACAGCAAAAAAACGCTTGGCCATCCAAACTCTTCAGGACGAAAACCTCCACGATGAAAGCCTGTTCCGTTGCACCGCGCGCACCGCGACCAGCGTTGATGTGCTACCAAGAGCGAAAAATGCACCCGAGGATCTTTCCCCAGGCGGTCGACGAACGCTAGGATTGGTGAAGAAGAATCTCGACGGTGGTCACGAATCCGTGCCGGACTCGCAAGAACAGCTGCAGGCCGGAACAACGGAAGTAGACGGCGGAGAATTGTTTGCAGGCACGTCTACGTTGCTGAATTTTCAAAACGGCGGTTCCTCCTCCTCTACCAGCGGAAATAACCAGGAGAAAACGCAGAAGGAAATCGAGCGCATGGGGTTTCTGCACGACATGTTCATGGGCGGAAAAACGCTGGTGCGGGACTTCCAACTGGACGAAGCAAAGCGGCTGCGACGGGAGAAGAGACAGAAGGAGATCGAGCAAGCCAGGAAGAACCGCCAGGTCCCCAACCCGTGGGAGCAACTGCGCAAAGAACGCGAGCGGGGGCCGGGGGACCTCCTTTTTGGGAATGACGACGGCGCGTCTACTGGGACTGGCACGGCGAACAGCGTGAATGGCAGCAGTGCGAGTACCAACTACATCTACATGCACGGGTTGCCAAGAAATAGAAAGGAACTGGTGGAGAAGAAGTCGCTCGTAGGAGCCACGCGGGCCTTCAAGCCGGATCTGCAGCTCGCGAAAAAACGGCGGGAGAGGGCCACGAACAAAGGGAAGTTGGACGATCTGGCCTCCGTTCTACAGCCCGGCTGATCTTCGTAGGAGCGTGCAGTACCTTCGTGGTGTGATTCCTCGGACCTTCAGCAGTGACAAGACGGCTGTGGAGGAAGCTCGTCCCTGTGCTGCCGAAAAGTGAAGACGTGCACTGATATGAACAATGTTCGCACTACTTCCGTGGAGTGGTATGCACTTCCTTAGCAGGAATAAAGACCTAGAGAATTATTTGCGCCAGACTTCAAACAAGAGCTCACATGAAGATATCGGACTGACCGTTTTGTGTGTATGTGGTGATGATGATGATGATGTGATGAATAGATTTTCATCGGTGAACTTGGACGCCAGTAAATGCGATGAGTCGAAACAAACGTGAAGCAAATAATGGTAGCATCAGGCTACGCCAAGTTGATCAAGAAATCAGATCTACTTTCAAAAAATGAACGACAACGATCAAGATTCGAGGAGAATCTCTGAACGATGCCAACATCACTTCTAAGTCGGTTACTTCTGTATGATTGCGAGGACTACAAACACCAGGTGTTCGCCGAAGACAGAGACAAGATTGGAAAAGTTGTGAAGACAATAACAGTTCTTGCTTCAATGTCGTTCGTCGTTTGTTAATTGTTGCTCCAGGGTGACAGACTGTGACTGTGACAGCCGAAGTTGGCGCTCGCGGATTTTCTCTACTTACTTCAGTAAAACGTACCGCGGACATCGCCTGCTAACACGCATTCGACACCACTAGTCTACCAAAAATCTAAAAGCCTCGTCTTTCCTCTGCCAAAGTAGATGATTCTCCGCTTCTGCGGTTCTCATTCATCATATTCATATTCTCCGCTTTCAAGTAAAGAGGAAGAGCCTCCGTATGTCAGCTACCACCTGCGAAGGCAATTAAGTACATGCATCGCAGGCGCTGCGGCAAAGAGTGTAAAGTTTTTACACAGTCTCGCAGACCTTATCTACACCTGACTAAACTCATCTCCTCCTCCCCTGCCCCATTCCTAGGTTCGACTGTGTGGCGTAGTCAAGCCACGAATTTCTTATAGACTCACACAAGCAACAACAACAAGTCATCCGACAAGATGGGTGACGATTTGGAATACAAGGTCGGCGAACTCGACGTGCGATTTAAAAATGAGATGCGGGAGGTAGAATTCGCACTCCTGTTGGTTTTTGCACGTTCATGTGATTTCGAGGATGGCGCAGGTTTCTTTGAAACAATGAAAGCTTAGGCATGTGCGGATAGGAAAGCATGCGCGAATCATATATCCTACGTGGATCATTTCTATTTTTACAGGTGATGGAGAAGGTTAAGTTCCTTGAGAAGGACAACAATTCTCTGCGCCGAAAGCTGGAGGACCATGATGACGAGCTCCGAAATGCGCGCCGGAAAATGGCGTCTCTGCTCGCTAGCAGCAACTCTTTGGAAGGCACCTCGAACGACGTGCGACGGGTGGAGTGGACAATCCCCGGCATCCGCGACCGCATGAAGGCACAAGACAAAGGTAGAAGTCGTTTGGTTTGGTTCGTTGCATAGATGAACTTCTATGTATTATGTCCACGGGATGCGTCCTTTTGATGTAGATGATAGTCATACTATGCTTACAATGACCCGGCGCGAACCAGTCAAAAAAAATTAATGCCGACGGTTTACTTACTACCCACACACCGCAGCGAAATCAGAGAATATTGTTTCGGAATCAGGCATGAGTATCTGGAGTCCGGAGTTTTCCGCAAGAGGGATCAATGGGATTCAGCTGGAATTTTTCCCAAACGGCCGGGAGTCGACCACAATCAGCGGATTCTGCTCTCTGTTTCTGTGGTGCCCGTCTGGCACGAAAATCAAGTATCAACTCTCGGTCGGAAAGCATATGCGAGCGCCGGATGAGGACACCTACGACGGGCGCATGGGACACGGACACTCTAACTTTTGCATGCTCGATGCGGAGATCGTACAGGACGCGGTAACGGTAGCCGTGGATATCCTCGAGGTAATGCACAGATTATAGAACTTTGAACTTCAACTTGCAGCTTGCATGTAGAATTCATTTGCTCGCTTAAAAATAAAAAACAACGTGCTGGTAGTAGAGCAAGGCCGGAGCAACTAAGTAAAGAGCTAGTGCGTCGTCAGCTACCTCCTTGCTGCACGAAAAATGACGTCTTCGATGCTTTTGATACAGGTAGAAAAGATCCAGTATGTGCAGTCAGACCTGGGCTCATTACAAATCTTCACGGGCGCAACGCGATCACACATTGACCAGGAGGCTCAGGTACCGTCACTTTTCCATCGTGTTTTATATCATCAATGAATTTTGATTCGCTCACGTTGGTTATGGTTTTTCTTTTGCAGGAGTCTGCAGCACCAGCAGCGCAGAAGATTGAACCTGGGGTTCGTTTATGACACTTAGCAATAAAAACTCATGTGATTGTTCAACAACATCGTCAGATCCTGACGAACCGCAACATCTCCCGAGTGGAATGGCGATTAATCAACATGGAGAAGATATCGCAAGAAAAAACTGTTTCACTGTAAACTTGTAATGCAGAAACTGTATCTTAGAAGTGAAGTGTTTGCCTTGCTACACATGCAAGACACTAGATTTTTAGCTGTGTTTTCCCTTTGGAATCTCGCATGGCCAATCTTCTCTGTGATGTAGAACAAACTTGTGATGCAAAACTTGCAAGATCCTTACAGTGAAACACTTTTTGCGTACGATAGAAGAAGTTGGCCAACCTCCCGAGGGGCAGCTCAATCTACTCACCAATTTTTTCAGCAGCGGGCATCCGCGAGATCCTCTTGGAATTCTACCCAAATGGTAATTGGATCTTACCCACCTCAGGATTTATTTTTTGTAGCAGTACCTGTTCCACCGCCGGACGAATTATGTGATGTTTATGTTGATCTTGATGCAGGTCTAGTACTCTAGCATATGCGTAGGTGAAGAATAAACGACTACTTATTTCATTTGGACTGCTGCACAAACGAACCAGGTTCGCAAAACACGACGAAGGACGGTAGCTGTGCATTCTACATCCGGTGCCCCGAGGGCACCAGCATCGTGGTTACGTTGTTTGTCGGGAATTTTAAGAAGGGTCCGATCGTGGCGCACTTTGATGGCTCGGCGGGCAAGGGGCTGCCCGACTTTTGCGAAATCGCCAAGGAGATCGAGGATGACCAGTTGGTACTCGGCCTGGAAATGCAGAACCAATCTTTGGAAAAGGAGATCAAGCGGTCAACTTTGCACTTGACGAGCTAGAAGGCGGATTGCGGCAAAAATAAAAAGTGAAAGACAAAGATCTTCATTCATTAACTACCAAAACCAAGAGTATAGTGTATCTAATATTCATCAATTGTTCATAGGGGAGCTGCCAGGTTTCGAGGTATCCTGATACTTGGTATAGTACCACGAAGGTATATCTGTAGTTTTTTCTTCATCCCAGTCGGCACGTAAATTTTCCGTATGCGAACCCTGATATGGTACTGATTATCCAGACGCTGCGGGTAGGAGGTGTTTTTAATACCACAGCTGACGCAGCTTAAACCCACTGTGTGTTTGATTTTCTATTTCCTACAAGATAAAGGTGAAAAAAGAGGATTCCATTTTTTTGCCTAGCAGGACGTCTATTATGATGAAAGAACACTTTATTCTACGATGCACTTGCACGCTCTTCCTGTTGCCAAGAAGCTGAAGCAGCGTCACCAGACTTGTCACTGTAGGAGGTCCGGGCCGCTGCTCTCAGCGACGTGGTGGTGATTTTCAAAAGCTCCGGGATCATCTTGGTAGAAATCTAGATGCGCCTCGAGCTGCCACGGGAATTATCCGGAACGGGACAAAGACAACAAAAGCGACCAAAACAAAGCAAGAGCATTAATATCACAGCACGACAAGAAGACGCAGCGGCAATCTGTGCAGCTTTTTTGAGCGAAACAGGAAAAGCCAAGTTGAAATTACAGTATCCAGTACGATACGAAGAGGTCAGGGGGTACTAGCTCCGACCGCAGAGAAAAAAAGGAAGTATATCAGTTCCTAGCCGCGTTTTTTCTTAGAGAAAAGAAAAGGTAAAAAAAAGCGACCATATCTTCACCGATCTTCTGCGATATGTCCTTGCGAACTTCTGTGAAATCCTGACGCTGCGCGCGCACACAGTATTGATCAAGAGAAACTGTGATTATTTGTCGCTTGATTTTGCTTGTGGAAGCGTTTTCTTGTTGAAGTCGAAAGAATGAGAATCACGTCGTAGCGAAAGGCGGCCGCAGCGTTTCGAAAAGCCAATCCCAATGCGCGTCTAAGGACGCTCCGTGCTGTAAAGTGTGTGATTGAAGAAGATGCACTATTGTTCTTCGAAATGGAAATAGCTGTTCCCTTGTGCTACAAAGTGACTGAAGAACACCACAGCTTGATCAAAATACGAGGGAGGCAGTCTCAGATCTGCGAAATGTGAATATCTGTAGTGTCGGGTAAATCTATCAATCCTGTCACCGATACGAATCAAGACCAAACCAGAACACGGACACGACAGGCAGGCCTAGTATGGTTTTTATCTTCGTAGAGTAGAACAACTAGAACTTCCTCCAGCATTACGCAGGAGAGATTCATGTTTCGTTCTTCGAGCAGGACGAGCAATCTGTAGCTGTTCTTGCTACCTGGTTCGTTTCTAGGTTAGCGGCCTATAGCACCAGTAGTAGAAGTCTTCCTCCACGACAAGTCAAGTACCGGATGGAAGCGTCTATCGGTGTTGGAAGGTTCGAAATAAAGTAAATTCCAAGTTTGTTATGAAAGGAACATACAGAAGTTAAAGTAGTACTGACACACGACGGCGACAAAAGTAACTGGACTTGCCATCGCTCCAAAACAGTTGTATCGTCGATTTATTTTTTGACCCCAGAATGAATTTTCAAATCCGTTTGTCGTATGATTCTTTTCAACTACTCTGAGTCTACAAGAAGGATTAGATGTCTATAGTACAGCGCATGAATGATTATGAACCCTCATCCGCAGTTCAATCAAGCTCAGCAGCCTGGTTTTCAGTCTCAAGCTTTGATTGTGCCGACGACCGCCCAGCAGCAGCAGCAGCCCCCGCCCCCGGTGCAGCAGCAGGTGGTGAAAGCAAAGGAGACCAAGGAGCCTGAGGTGAGTTTCTTTGCTCGAAAATGGAAGATTCAATACGGACCAGACACGCTGGAGGCGCTCGCGATCTTTCGTGAGGACCCCCGCGTGCTCCCCTGGGTGGAGCGGAAAAAAGATGTAATCGCGACGACGGTCCAGCCGCAGCGGGAAGTGGTCGAGGACAACGGGGGACTATGTGCGCAGGAACGACTTTCCGAGTGGCTGCACCACATGCAGCTGAAGACGCTGACCTTCACGAAGGCAAGTTCGCGGGCGGAAAAACGGCGCGCGGCCGAGCACTTCGACCCGGTCAACGTCCTGGCCGGAATCGGCATCGAAGTGTCGCTGCAGAGAATTTTCCAGTTCACCACCCAGCGCATGGAGATCTGCAAGACGCTGATTCAACTGCTCTCCTGCATCGACGAGGAGTTTTGCCCGAATCTGAAGGTGGAAGCCTACAGTATCGGGCTCGTCCGGTTGATGGAAAACATTCTCTACGTCCTCGTCGCGAGCTGCATCCCCTCCTACCGCGTGTCGCTGCAGCGCGTCCTGCGCCACATGGTGATCGCCCGGGTCGCGCCCCACATCGCGCGCAACCGACTCGAAGTGGCGGAGTTCTTTCTCAAGCGCGGTATGCAGAAGTTGTTGCGGGAGCGGATCAGCGTGACGGGGGAACCACAGGGACCGGTAGCTGGGACGAGTAAAGCGTCAATCGGAATAAACGAGGGCTCGGACGGAGATGTGGCCGCAAGGAACAAACTGATGAATCAGGCCGCCGGGAATAAAAATGCATCGTCTACTACTTCTCGGTACGACGAGAAGAAATTTCTCGTGCAGTGGCGTCTGGAAGACAGGGAAGAGGATGTCGACATGTTCACTATCACCGACGTGGTGCGCAAGTTCCGGAAGAAGAAGCCGGTTGCACCTCCCGCTCCACCTGAAGTTGTTCCTGTAGACCTTCTGTCCTCGTCTCCAGACAAGTCGCGGGAACTACCACCACAGAAAGAACAGGAGCCACAGCAGGCTCCACACCCGAACAGCGCGCTCGGCGCGGGCAATTCCGCGATCAATGAGCAGGCCACCTTTGCACTGCGCTCCTTGATGGGTATCGCCTCGAAGGAAACTACCGTTCCACACGTTCAGCAAAACGAAGGCACAACGACCAAGGAGAATCGAAGCGAGAGCGCCGGCGTTGACAGCGAGAGCAAAGTCGCGGCGGACACCGCCTCCCAGGCCGCAACCAGCGTGGCCGGTGGGGACCTCCAGGATCATCTCCATGGCACGCCCACGCTGGGGCCGATCGGGACTTCTACATCAACTGGCGCGGCGGCAGGACCCGCAGATGGGGATCCTCATGCGAGTCGCCAAAACAAACTCGGTGCGAAGTTCCGCGAGGTGCCGCGGGGTCGCGCGCGGGCCGAGTGGTGGGGCCGGTGGCGCTGGAAGATGAAGGAAACGATGGAGAAGGTGAAGCAGGGCAAGTGGGCCCCCATGCCCGCGGTGGAGAAGGAAAAGAGGAATCTGCGCAAGGTAAGTGTGGACTACAACGCGTTTCACGAAACTTCGAACCTGGACGCGATGGGCAAAGCTGGTGCCGCCGGCGGTGCGAATGCGGATACCATCAACGCGGAAAAGGAGCGGATGGCGGCCCGGCTGAAGGAGGAGGAGGAGCAACGGAAAAAGATGGAGGAAGTACCGGAGGACGCGGATCAGTTTCTCGAGGAGCTGAGCGAGGAGTGCGCCATGGACCCGGTACGGGAGGCCGTCATGAAGGACTTCTTCCGGCAAAAACTCGAGCCGAGTATCAAATCCATCTGGGGCGAACACGGCGCCTGGATCCGCCTTTTCGGGTCTTGCGTCAACGGATTCATGACCAAGAGCAGTGATTTGGACTGCGGTATACTAAGTTTTTTTTCTACAGGTTCATTTGATTCTTTTCGAAGCTTGACCTTCTAGCGGAGCAGCAGGAATTATTCTTGCTGCTCCTGCTCTCGACGGTCTTGCGCGGCTGAGCACTTTGATGAGATGCACCTACGTGCACGAAGATCCGACCTTTTTCAACTGCTATGTATCTTTCTCAATACGACAGGAATCCGTTTTTCTCCGGATGTAGAGGCGGCGCTCGACCGCGAGGCTTTCTGGTGCGACTGGCGTCGCGAGTTCCAGCAGGAGATCCGCCGACTCGGCACCGGCACCTCGCCACGTGGCAGTTCCACTAACGAGCCGGAGCGCCGCAGCGGTGGCATGCTCGGCAAGGACGGTCTGTTCGACTTCATGAGCGTGACGCGTGGCATCCTGGTGGGCCTGCGCAAACTTGCGCCAGTGCTCGAGAAGCAGGGCTTCTACGTGGAACGCGTCGAGAACGCGCGGATTCCGCTTTTGCGATGCGAAGCACGGATTCAGGTCGAGGAACAGGAACAGATTGTACTTAAAGCAGGCGGCCACGAAGATCAGACGGAACAAGAGGCACAACAGTCGCCGAAGAAAATCGTAGACACCATGATCGTCACCTTCGATATCAGCTGCGGACACCAGGTGGTTTTCGAGAACTCCAATCTTCTGCGGCTCTACTCGCAACTCAACCCAAAGGTGAAGCAGCTCGCGCTGATCATCAAGCACTGGGCCAAGGAGCGGGGGATCAACGACAGTCTGACCGGGACGCTTTCCTCCTACAGTTACAACCTGCTCCTGATCCACTTCCTGCAGAAGAACAAGGTACTGCCCGTCCTGCAGTCCAGCAGGAACATCGGCGACTCCGAAAAGGAGAAGCGCATTATCCGGTGCAACGCCCGACCCAACTCGATGACCTTCATGCTGCCCAAGCCGCGGGCTATGGACAACGACAGTGCCATTGTGCAGTACCTGGATTATGAGGATTTCGGCATGAAATCCGCGGACGTCTGTGAGCAATTTGAGCTGGACGACTCCATGTCGCTAGCTCAATTGCTCGAAGAGTTCTTCTTCTACTACGGTATAATTCATCTCGGACAAGATGAATTTTGTTTCCCTGTGATAAGTAATCGGGCTTTGTGGGGCCGCCCTTTCTCCTGACTGAAACTTGCTTTCATCGATCTTTGCCTTCGAACTATTATTTTGCAAAAACTATTTGAAAACAGCCTACGACTTCGACTTCTGGATCAATATGGTATCGGTTCGGGGGAATTCCGTGAAGAAATTGGATTTTTATGGCGTCAAGGAGCAGGTAGAAAACGAAGACGAGGACCAACGGCAGGACCAGGTCTGGGGACTGATGCGCAAAAAGTGCTGGCTGTCGATAGAGGACCCATTTGAAATCGATCGAATTCTGGGAACAAACGCAAAAGGGCAGGAGAGGCTCACGTATAAATCAGTTGTTTTGTTTCGATTTACTCATTGATTTCGGCGTCTGCCGAGAAGCCGTTTACGTTTACTCGTCATCTTGCTTTAGTTGCTGCGTCCGTACCTACTAAGCTTACTACTTGTAGTTGTACTAGATCAAGAGCGACATGGACATCTAGGAGACAAATTCAAAGCCTGAAATCTTCTACACCCTACAGTTACGAGTGCCGGCGTGCGTACGAGGTGTGCCGTAGCGGGAAACTTGGGAAGCTGGCGGTTGGGAACGCGCTGCTGCGCCGCAACGCCGAGCGGGACTTCAACCATCCGATTCAGGCTTTGATTTCATACGACAAGGAATTTTCCACGCAGCACTGGCTTGCCGAGTGCACCATCGGCCTGTTCAGCGAGCGCAAGGACAACAACAAAAGACCTTTACGGAGGAAAGAGCGCGAGCTGTACCCGCCCAGGAATAAGGGTGGCAAAGGGGGCAAAGGTGGAGGGGCATCAAAGGGCGGTGACTACTACATCAACCGCGAGCAGCACCAGCATCCCCACGAGCGCTACGAGGACCGGAGGATGGCCGCACTGCAACAGCACAATTTGGACCTCATGGGCGGCGGCAACGGCGATCCGCGGATGGTGAACCTGACCCCGGACCTGATGCCCCCACAGTCCGGACCCGGAGAGAATTACAACGACACCAACCAGCCGAGCGGGGAAGACGAGAACCTGCCGGTGGTACGCTTCAACATCTCCGGGCGGCGCGACGGGCGCCGGCGCGACCGCGGGGCGGCGCCCAGGGAGCAGCAGCAGCAGTATTTGAGCAGCCACGAGCAGCAGGCACAGCCCCGATTGGACAACCACTTCCAGGACCCGCAGCAGTACCCGCCGCTGAATCCGCAGCGCGGGGGCAGTGGGAAAGGATCATCCAACTTCCATTCGAACAACCTCGACCCGCGATCGGCGCACCACGAACAACATGACCCCAATCTGATCCACAGTGCGCGAGGCGAGCGAGGTGGACCGCCGATGCTTCCGAACAGCTATCCGCCGCCAATGTCCGGGACGCCGGATTTGCTCGACCCGCGACAGCACTTTCCCTCGCGCGACGGTCCGTACAACATGTCGGATCCGGAGCTGATGGAGCCACCCGGCAGCCAAAATCCGAATTTCAGCAACCGACGGGGGCACCATCCGCAGATGATGATGCCGGGGGGCGGCAAGGGAAGCGGAGGTCCCCCGCAGCTTGTTCCAGGCGGCGGACCAGCCCCACCACATCAGCCCTCCGCGCCCTCCTCAGGCTCCGGAAACGGGTACCACCACACAGCGTCCGGGTCTCGGACCAATGGGAACGGCCCGAGCTTCGACGCCGGTCCGCCGCGGCACGATTCGTCGCCCGAAGATTTCTTATTCGGGGAGGAGCCCGCGGTACGCGAAAACAACCGCGGAAATAACGGTGGTTCCAAGAACCAGTATGTTCCGTTCCAAGAACCACCAGACCGAAGCCAATTTCCCGGCGGACCGCCGGTGCCCTCTGGTGAGCGTATGCTGTCTACCGTGCACCAAATGCGCAGTGGTCAACCCGGAAGTTTTGAACCTGGGTTCGACCGCCCGCCGCCGAACCGAGGAGTACCCCCTCCGAACATGATGAAGGGAGCTTCGTCAAGTGGACCCCCTCCACAGTCACATCAGCCGCATCCAATGTCTGTGAAAGGCGACATGCACTTGCGCAACCACCTGATGAAGGGAACGAAATCGCCCCCGCCGCCCGGGGATCCGCGCGACGGCTTCTTCCATCCAGGGGAGAACGCGTTTTCGCCCCGCCTCGATGAAGACGGAAACCCGGTGCAGCAATCGCAGTTTGGCGGCGGAAGCAAATCCTCGAAGAAGGGCCACAACTTCAGCAACGGCCCGCCGCCAATGATGATGCAAAGGCCGGGCGACCAGCATCTTCCCGGCGACCGCTTCAATATGGGCAACAAGGGCGAGCCTCCGATGTTCGCCGGCAAGGGCGACTTCAAAGGCGAGCCACCACCGCCGAGCAGCTTTATCGACGACTTCATTCGAAAGGGCAAAGGGGATCTTCCACCAGACAAGTTCAGCGGAAAGCCGATAATGAAAGGGTCGTCCAAGCCGATGAACAAAAACTTCATGGAACAAGGCCCGCCGATGAACAACAACTTTCAACCAGGCGTAAGAACCGGAGGACCGATGATGCAGCAGTCTTCACAGCCGCCGTTCGGAGGTGCCGGCAAAGGTGGCATGGATCCAAACCAAATGATGCCACCGCCGCCGATGCCACCCCCGATGCTACCCGACAGCCGGGGCGTCCCCGCACCCCCGCGAGAGCACCACTTCATGGGCGGGCACCGGCCGTTTCCGGACGGCGGAAAGGGGGGACCGCCAATGATACCGGCGCGCAACTTTCAATGAAGTTGTGGATCGAGGCGTTGATGGAAAGTTCGCTGTACTTCTCACGGATATAAAGTGCGAGTATGGACTTATCGGAATTGTGCCGGAAGATGCTACTCGAAGTAGTTCGCCGCGAACATTTGCCCGGAAAACTTGCGAATTGGTTCACGCAAGTGGGCAGGAGTGTAGGAAAAAAAAGAAAGCAAATGATACAACCGACAACAAAACAAGTACGACCTAGAGACATGAGTCTCAATGTATTTGCGTGATCGCAGACCTATTGTTCGCTAACTTGGAGTAAACAGTTTTTGTGGGCGTTTCTTTTGTACCTGCGAAGCTTCAGCAGAAGAGTTGCGTGAGTGACTTTTTTTCTTTGAGTGCTTCTTTATCTTTTCTTTGCTTCGAGCTGCGTGCGTTTATTTTTGTTATTTTTCTGCACGCAGAGCTAAGCGAGGATCTCATTTTGAAAAAGTACTTGCAAAAAATGATTTGCAAGTTGAAGTTCTACTTCTCGGTTCCAAGAACGCAGGGCGTTCTGATACAATCACCAAGCGTGGGAATTTCTTAGACGACGCCGCACCGGCCTCTATGTCGGCTTCACACGAAGAACCAGGCGACGAGGAGGAGCCCGCGTCTGTGCTCAGCGTCGGGCAGCCGGTGAAAGTGAAAAAAGCCGGGCAGTGGATTCCCGAATGGGCCGAAGTTCTGTCTATCAACGACCCTGCGACAAGTGCATCAAATGGTGCGCTCACCTATAACGTGGTTGTGAAGCCTTTCGTCCATGTCCGTACCGTGCCCGACGGGAGGGGCGAGCTCGTAGAGATAGAGGGTGCGACGGAAAAGGGCCTGGACCGCTCGTACTACCGGCTGGACAGCAGCTGGTACATCCTGAAGGACAAGCCTTACCCCGACGAAGTAAAGGAAAACGACGACGAAGAGCAAATCGCGAAGTATTTAGGCTATGTGGAACGAGATTCGGTTCTGAAGGGTATCGTGGATGACGAGAAACGAAGGAAGAGCATCGTGGAAGTGATGGTGCTGCGTCCACCGCGTCCTCGGGCAGGAACGGGGGCGGCGGTTCAGCGTCGAGATTTTGAAGCGGCGCAGCCGATTTTAGTGAAAGTCGACCTGCGCTACATGGCCGACGTACTAGATAAGATGCAGACGCTGAATTTGACGACGACGGCGAATTTCGCAAGCACCTCGCGCAGCAGAACTACGTTTTTCTGGCACACAAAGAAGAGTCGCGAGGCCATGCGGAAAAATTTCAATGATGTGCTACTGAAAGCGATCAACGAGCAAGTTTTGCGAGCGGCGGGAGTCGCGGAAAACAGTGTCGAACACCCCCTGCTCACGAAGCTGTATCTAAACCATGAGAAAATTGAGCAGGATCCCGGAAACTGGTTCAACCACGAGCTGCAGCGGGTGTGTATTTACGCCTGCGATAAGAAGATCGCGTTTGTGGCGCTCGGAATTCCGGAGGACTACGACGCAAAATCCTGGAAGGGAACCCAGGCGGAGTTGAAAGACTCGTCCGGGGGGTTGAAGTGTGCAGTCATGTGATCTAACGTGAGAAAAGTGATATATGTGCATTATCTGTCGGTGTCGAACTGTAGTGCTTGGTTGCAGTTGCACGCACTGATCTGTTCATGTTGGTGACGCTACTTGCTCTAACAACCAGGGTCCAGGCCCGTGGCTTCTGGTGACGCTCGTCACTTGGTGATTTTTTTTTTCACATGCCTTAGGGTTGGTAGAGTTTTGTGCCTCGGCGCGGCGCGGTGTATGTGTTCACGAGTCCGATCACAGTGTCCCTTGCACGATGGATTATGGTGCCGACACTTTTGGGAAGTACCAGCGGAGCGTAGGTCTAGTTTGAGACTTTTCACGAAGTAGATCCGTGCCTTCTTTTGCCTGATCTTTCGTTTGCTTTTTGAACTGATCGATCGCTTTCCGGATCCTTTCGTTTCTCCAGCAAGGCAGGCTTGTTTCGTGACAAGGATCAGCCGCAGCCGGCTCAGGCGGGCCGTTTCTGCTCGAAAAAAATGCCATTGTCGAGTTGTCCTTTACTGTGAAGAACGGCTACAACTGGCAAGGTTCATTCTTTCAGCATACTTTTGGATCGTCAACAAAACCAATACCGAATCCAACCATGGTAGAGAACATTTGCATGTTTATTGGATCACGACGGAAAATAAAGTCTGAATGCCCGCGATTGGTAGAATTTGCTCACTGTCGAATACGAACTAGAAGAAGACGAAGAACCCGAAGATGGCATCCACCGCATCCACTCGTACCGCAGAATGGAGGCATCCAAGGCGCTACGCAGGCACAGCGTCCAAGTTATTCTTAGTCCTGGCAAGTAGTAGCTGCACGAGAACAGCCCACGGTGCGCAGCCAGTGCCCGTACCTGACAAGTTGGTGCAATCTTGCATTCTAACTCACGGTGAGCTCATGAAGAAGAGACTGCGGAACGGCACACCACCAAAGCTCCAAGTCTCAATGATAAACGATGGTTTCTGTGACTGCGTGAACGGTACTGCATTTATTCTTGTTTGTATACGTTTGTTCCTACATTTTTCGGTGTGCGTTGCCCGGCTTATACATACTTAGGCAACTTCTATGGCTCCTTCGTTCAATTATCAGGCGTCGACGAGCCTGGCACATCGGCGTGCGCGGGACACGCGTTACCGGAGGACGGCGGGGGCGAGATGAAGCCAAACCTGTTCTTTTGCGAGAACACCGGCGCGAAGCCCAAGTGGATCTACAGCAGCCAGGTGGGGGTATCAAATGCAAAAGTGTCTGGGTCTGGAAGGATGTAACTTGTGATGCGCATTTCAGAACACTCAAAAATCTCTGATGCATAGGCAGCAAAAGCTGCTCACTTTCTGTCACCAAGATGGGGGATTTGTCATGCGGATTCGGCATTGCGGAAGCTTCTCGAAACCTGTCATGCTAGAGCTTCCATGCCAGACCTTCTGTGTCATGCAGAAACAGCATGACTCTTCCAGACCCAGACATTTTTACATTCGATAGGGGGACGGCGTGTGCGACTGCTGCGACAGCAGCGACGAAACCGCCACAAGCTGTCCGTCCACGTGTGCGGAGGAGGGGGCCCTCTACCGGCAGCAGAAAGCGGCCCAGGAACAGGAGATCAAGGAGGCCGTGGCGATTACGGAAAAACACGAGGCGGAGTCGAGGCAGAAGGAGGGCGAGTGGCGGAACGAACTTGCGAACAAGCCGGTAGAACTAGAAAAGCTCAAGGCGGAGCGAGACAGGCTGCAGCAGGAGTATGCGGCAGCGGATAAGGCGTGGATGGACGAGCAGATGGCGAGAACTGGGACCTCGAGTTCCACCCCTGCGCCCGCCGACACCGCGACGACCACCCCGTGGCCCGGGGGTGAGGGCGCTCCCGCAGGTACGGGCGCGGAAACGAAAAAGCCGGAGGATGGAGCGGGCGCGGAACAGGTGGGCCGGCTTTGTTGTGTTTAAGACATGATCCCTACAGGTCGTGATACTAAATCAATCTATGCACCATACAATGAACTTCGTTGATGCTGAATGCGTTTCGTTTGCAAGAACGCCCAGGCTTTTGTTCCGTTTATAGTTCTGATTCTTGAGTAGATAAACATCGCTCAGGAGTCTGGCGCCGCGGCGAAGGACAGCATTTCCGAGTACGCAAAGTGGATGGACAAAGACGCAGGTAGTAAGCCTTTTTTGTGAAAATTCCCGTACTGAAGAGTAAGAACGCACAGAGAAATTGGAGCTCCAGAACTCTGACATCAATCCGTTGCACGACTGGAATTATAAAACAAAAACAGCTGAGCACAAGCAGCTTGCGGACGAACACCCAAAGCACGACGATTTTGCGTTTTTTCAGCTCTTCGGTTCTCGGAGGGTGGATATTTGACGGAGGAGTGTCTCGATGAGAAAGCGAGGCGTACTTGTGCGCCTCAGGCCTTCGCTCTGGTTCTGCTTCGCAGTTCCGCCTTGTCGTTTCCGGCGCTGCCGATCCTTAGCGTGGATCAATGCAGTGTACGGCAAGCAAAGAGCTCCGGTGGTCCCGTTGCCATTGAGCTGCCCAAGCCATGGGCAGGTCAGAACAGACGGCGTGCGCCTTGCCGTGTACACGTAGCTCGGCCCTACCGAGCGCCAGGGCATTATCCTGACAGGGGATGATGTCCCGGTGGGAAGGAAGTTGTTGCGCAGCTCTCACCGTGCGGAGAGAGAGTTCGCGTTCTTCGACTACCCTCCAGGCTATCTCCGTTCAGTGGTACACACACGTCGATGACGCGCTCTCGGTTCTCGCGAGCACCACTGGCCGGGGAGTGGAGAACCCGACTGCCCACGATGTGGGTGTAGCAGAGGTTCTTCACGCCGTTAGGGGCACAGGCCCGGCGTCATCTTGGCCTATTGGCCAGGCCCGCTATCGGCAAGACACATCGGAAAACAGCGCAGCCTCGTCTGCGGCCTGCCGCTCTGTGTGTCGCGGGCGCTTCGCGATTCTGCTTGTCGATGCACGCCGCGATGCGGCAGACATGCAGTAGCAAGGCGCTCGTCTGTCGTAAATGGATTCGCGCGAGCGGGGGCGCCGCGGTCCATTACGATGGGAAGGCCTCACTGAAGGCTGTAAATTAGCCACTGGCATCCTAGGGCGATGCCCGCAAGGTCCCTGTCACAGGGGTCCGGGGCATTTGGGGAAGATATTCGGCGGTCCCAGTCGCGCCTCGCGGCTTGGGCCACCTCTATGTCCGGGGCATGGCTCTGTGGGGGTCGAGAGCCTGGCTTGCATGGCCTGCTACCCGTAGCTCGTTGTGCCGGCCGGGTTCTCTCTTGGCTGCCATTGTGACTGTCGCTCGAGGTCTTGCGACTATCACTGCGACGCGCTTCTGCACGTCATTCGCTTCCGTTGGTTGCGCGCGCGTTCACTCTATGGGTGAATTGCGCAGAGAAGGTGAAATTACATAAAATATTAATTTAGAATAGTACCTTTGACCCACTAACTGACCCACGAGCAACCCATGAGGAACCCACCAGACCCACCGCGACCCACCAGCGACCCACCAACGACCCACCACCTGACCCACCACCTGACCCACCACCCGACCCACCAACGACCCACCTTTGACCCATGGATACTAAGGCGGAAATGGGATTTCCTCCGGTTACCCCTGGGGGTGGGTCTCCGGTACCCCGGGAGATGGTCTGTGGTACCCCTGGCCGTGGGTTTGATGGACAACCTCCGGCGAGGTCGTACAATCCCCAACGAGGTCGTACAACCTCTGCCGAGGTCGTACGACCTCCGGTATGGTCATACGACCTCCGGGGAGGTCGTTCATAAAACTACAACCTCCGGTGAGGTCGTACAACGACGGATCTCGCGCCCCGGGCCGGGACGTTGGATGGGGCTGGAGGCTGACCAGCAAGCAGGTCAGGGAGGATCTAGCGCCCCGGGCCGGGGCGTTGGATGGGAATCAAGATTGGCCAGCAGATCGTCAAGGATCCAGCGCCCCGGGCCGGGGCATTGGATAGCGAGCGACTAGGGCTGCCCACCTGCCATCGACGGATCCAGCGCCCCGGGCCGGGGCGTTGTGTGGGGTGGGGAGGGTGGGTCGAGGCTGGCCCGATGGTCCGGGAGGATCCTGCGCCCCGGGCCGGGGCGTTGGATGGGGTGGATCAAGAAAGATTACTTATCTTCAGCAGCAGGCCGTGGAGGATCCAGCGCCCCGGGCCGGGGCATTGGATGGCAGGCGACTAGGGTTGTCCGCCTGCCATCGACGGATCCAGCGCCCCGGGCCGGGGCGTTGGATGAGGGTCGCGGTTGGCCAGCAGGTCGGGGAGGATCGAGCGCCCCGGGCCGGGGCGTTGGATGGGGATCAAGGTTGGCCATCAGGCCGGGGAGGATCCAACGCCCCGGGCCGGGGCATTGGATGGCAGGCGCGCGACGGGGGCGGCCCACCTGCCATCGACGGATCCAATGCCCCAGGCCGGGGCGTCAAGTGGGGGCCGACCGAGGAAGCTTGCCGGCAGGCCGGGGAGGATCCAGCGCCCCGGGCCGGGGCATTGGATGGCGACTGGGGTTGACCACCGGCCATCGACGGATCCATCGCCCCGGCCCGGAGCGCTAGGTGGTGGCCGAGGTTGGGAAGGGAGGATCCCGCGCCCCGGGCCGGGGCGTTGGATGGGGATCAAGATTGGCCTGCAGGTCGCGGAGGACCCAACGCCCCGGGCCGCGGCACTGGATGGCAACTGGACCTGCCAGCGACGGATCTCGCGCGGCGGGCCGGGACGTTGGAAGGGAGGGGGTGGAGGATCCAACGCCCCGGGCCGGGGCGTTGGGTGGGAATCAAGATTGGCCAGCAGGTCGTCAAGGACGGATGGATCCAGCGCCCCGGGCCGGGGCATTGGATGGCGGGCGACTCGGGCCGTCGACCTGCCATCGACGGATCCAGCGCCCCGGGCCGGGGCGTTGGGTGGGGGAGGGTGGGTCGAGGCTGACCAGCAGGTCCGGGAGGATCCAGCTCCCCGGGCCGGGGCATTGGAGGGCAGGCGACTACGGCTGCCCGCCTGCCATCGACGGATCCAGCGCCCCGGCCCGGGGAGTTGAATGCATGGCGGTTGCGGTTGGCCAGCAGGTCGGGGAGGATCGAGCGCCCCGGCGGCCGGGGCGTTGAATGGGGGTTGCGGTTGGCCAGCAGGTCGGGGAGGATCGAGCGCCCCGGCGGCCGGGGCGTTGGTTGGGGATCAAGATTGGCCATCAGGTCGGGGAGGATCCAGCGCCCCGGGCCGGGGCATTGGATGGCAGGCGGCTGGGGCTGTCCACTGTCATCGATGGATCCAGCGCCCCGGGCCGGGGCGTTGGATGGGGGTCGAGGCTGGCCAGCAGGTGGGGAAGGGGGGATCCAGCGCCCCGGGCCGGGGCGTTGGATGGGGATCGATCAAGATTGCCCGGCCAGCAGGTCGCGGACCGGAGGATGGATCCAACGCCCCGGGCCGGGGCATTGGATGGAGAGCGACTGGGGGTGCCCACCGGCTCCTGACGGATCCTTCCTGCGCCCCGGGCCGGGGCGTTGGATGGGGGTCGAGGCTGGCCGGCAGGTCGGGCAGCATGGATCCAGCGCCCCGGGTCGGGGCGATGGACGCACGGAGATCAAGATTGGCTAGCAAGTCGTGGAGCATCCAGTGCCCCGGGCCGGGGCATTGGATGGCGGCTGCGGCTGGTTCAGGGTTGTCCGGTTCTGGGTGATCCGGTTCCGGTAGGTGTAGGACCTATCCACAAGAGCGCCCGGGCTCCGCCCGGGCCAGCCTTGTTACTTATATAAAACAAAAACAGCTGAGCACAAGCAGCTTGCGGACGAACACCCAAAGCACGACGATGAGGATCACGACGATGATTCCCCGGAGCCTGCTCATGACGAAACACCGCAGCCTACACGACTGCTGAACCCGGAGCCTGCTGCAGAGCCGCAGTCCACCGAGGCCAAGTCGGAGCTCCATGAGGCCCGCGACGCGGCGCGCGAGGCACAGCAGGCCGCGCAGCGGGCGTTGGACGAGTTTGAAAAGAAGCATTCGCAAATCGAGCGAAATCTGGGGGTCCTCAGGAAATACCGACAGTACTACTCACTGCTCGACCGCTGCCTGGAGATGCGCGCGGTCTCGTACAGGTGAAAACAAAAATTTTTGCACAAAGAAGGCACGCGAACTCCTGCTTGTCGTGTGTGGGCCTTATTTTGCCGACGTCTAAGGTACTGAAAATGAAAAAAGATCAAAGCTGAGAAAAACAAAAAGCGCCACATCTATGTTGATGTTCAACATAAAATTCAAAACAGGTATAGTGTTTGCTTTTTCGACCGCGACGCCACCCAGGACCACACGCGACTCGGTAAGTTCGAGCGGTTTGAAGACGAGGGCAGAAAACTCGTGTTCGAGGGTGGCGATTGGTGCCCGGGCGGACCCGCGAGGAGCTTGCAGGTCCTTGTGGAGTGCGGCAAAGAGGAAAGAATATTGTCGGTCGACGAGCCGGAGCGGTGCGGCTATCGGGCGCGCATGACACACCCGTCTATGTGCAAACGCAGCACTTCCGATGGTGGCGTCGACGCAGCGGATACACCACGGAACTACGAACTCTAGGAAGGACGTCGCTTTTGTGTGAAACGCTTTTACAGGCCAGGGGAGTTGTTTTGCTATCTTCTGAAGATTCGTTGAGAGATAGAGATTCAACAGAGCCGTGTTGTATATGCAACATGATGAACGCACACACTGAGATAATGACACTGAGATATTGAAAACATGCAATGCGGTGTCGAGATTAAGTTCTCTGGTGCGATTTTCTCGCGTGTATCTGGTTTTCATTTTCAATCCGGTACCAGACTTTTTAGATTGTCGTCAGTCGCAAGAGAGTGTGTGAGTTTCTTTGAGCTGAGAGCGCGAGAGAGAGAGTTGTCTTTCAGCAAGCGAGCGAGCTACCTACCGTAGATTCTTGAGACAGAGGGCGTGGGGAACATGGACAGGCGTAATAGACCTTGCTGATGGCTTGATAAAATGCATTTCTTCTTCATCAATCCCTTTCGACTTCGCTGCCTTTTTCGACTTTTCGTTCAGGTCCTCATTGAATCGGAAAAAAAAAATCGATGCAGTTTCACATAGCGCAAATGAACAGGTAGTTTAGCTCGTCGTTATCGATCGTATTTGAACTTGTTATCTATAAAATGTACCTAACAGCGGTGGCAAACTCGTCGGAGTTTCTCTGAACGGAACGAGGACGAAATTTGTCACCTGCTTTTGGCCGACGTTTTGAACGCGAACAAAATGCATCTTCCTACTTGGCTTTGAGCTGAACAATTGGTTTTGGTTTGATTTTCATTCGAGTTTTTTGAAAGCGTAATTTCATCTGTACGATGGTGGACGGTAAGTTGCGAAGCGAATCCGCTCAGCGGGTGCCGGCGAAACCCTACAGCGACGCGATGCTCCCGTCCCAAGACATGTTCCCTCCCGGAGGAGACCAACTGTTGTCTGCAACGGCTGGAAACTCCAGGTCCGCATCCCACCAGCGCACTTCGTGCCGGATTGCGTGGGAGTTGGCCAATGTTGGCAAGATCATCCGCGGGTTGCCAAAAAGACCGGACAACGGCGGCGGGAGCCGGTCGGCGACGCCGGCGCAGCAACAACCGCGCAACCCCAACCCGCACAAAGGCCTGGACATGATGCGCCGTGCGTCCGGAGCGCGAGAGGCATCCTGCGGTGGTCCGCGGGAGCCACGGCCCAAACCAAAAACGGGTCCCTTCTGCGGCCGTTATCGGCCACCCATCCGTGGAGCGCACGGGGCTGCTGCAAAATCCGAAGCGGAGAAGAAGATGAACCTGGAGACGCGACAGTCGGTGTCCGTCATTCGCGAGGCGTGGCGCGACAAGGAGCGGCGCGGGTCGTTTTCGGGAGGCCCAATGCTTGTGGGGAAGGAGCCTGGAAAACCGCCCAAGGCACTGTACCACTACGGGCCCGCTCGCAACCTCCCGAAGAGTGACAACCCGAACGCCGCGGCGTCGGAGGCCGCGGAATTCGTCGCACGGCAGCGCCAAGCTGCTGCAGCAAGTTCATCGTCGAGACGTACGTTGATTCATTTCTTTTTAGTCGATGTTTGGTGTAGCTGTATGCTAAATTAAGATCAAGATTTTTACACCGTCACATGAAGTAGTTTGAATAAGTACAACTAATGATGAAAGAAAAGCTTTTCATGATTCAACATTCAGGTCGCGAGCGAACCGTGGGGGACAGTCGCGGGATAGAAGCTATTCCAGAGGACATGCAGCGCACAAAGCACAACCTGCGTGATCTCGACCGCGGTTTTTTATCGGGGGTCGAGAATCTGAGCACGAGAATCCTTTCTCATTCCGTCGACCGGTCTGTGCTCGCGAACCTCACCGACGTAAACAAAGAGCTGGCCGTTGCGCCGAAACCTACTGCCAGCAAGGCGAGTGTTCAACCAGAGGGGGAGCGCGCAGTGGTGTATCCCGCTGAGAGCCAGAATTTCACCATTGCGACGCCGTTGGAGGAGGGCCATGGTGGCAAGTCTGTTGAGTACTCCATCGAGAAGCACTACAAATTCAGCGCGTACAATAGCCCGAACAGCGGGCAACGACGAATTCGAAAGAACGGATTCGGTCCGCACGACTTCCAGGTCGTTTCGGTATCTCCGTCCCCGCCTCCGGTTCCAGAGGAAGAGGAAAATCGAGATTCTGCCACGAAGTCATCGGGTAGCAAAACTTCCGAACCTCCCTCTGCAGCAGAACGCGCGAGGCAGGGCGAATTACTGCCTCAAGAAGCCGAGTCGGCAATTATATCCGACGTTGCGCCAGCAGAAATCGAAGAGCAAGCAGCCGCAATAGAAGACCCAGACGAGAAGGAAGAAGCAGTTATTTCCGCTGAAGAGCGTGAAGACGGCATGGAAGTTGTAGACGACAACGGGCTACGTGTTTTCACAACACCCCTGGCGGAATCAAAGAAGCAGCGTCCAGACGACCAGCCGTCACCAAATGTGTCTGGACACCAGGAACTATTCTCCTACTCGGGTGCGCTTCGCGAAAACCGGACGGAGGACCCTCCTGGGAACATGGAGCTGATAAGCCGCTCGGCGAAACGCAACATCAACCTGCAGTCCTGGGTAATGACGAGTGCGGAGCCGAAGCCGGCGGTGAAAGCAGAAACCATCAGCAGAACTCGGAGCACGCCCAGTCCGCCGGTCGCCCTGAAGCCCCCGGTGATGGAAAGCTTGATGCAAGAGGCGGCAGCGGCTTCCCGTGGTGGCTCTGCCAGAGAGGAGCGAGGAGCTGCACAGCGCGACGAGAATGTGACTGGTGAGCAGCGTCGTGAGACGAGTTCCAGTTCGAGCAGGCCAGCCGCGCAGCGCAAGGTCGTCGTGCCGCACCCCGACATGTTCCGGAAGACCTCTAGTGGCCCGCCCGTGATCCGTTCGCTGTTCAAGAGAGCCTCTCCAGAACAGCCCCCGACCTCCGAGAAGGAGCAAGTAGAAGTTTTCCTCGCCTCCTCGCCCGATGCTGTTGCCGGGAGGGCCGCCAAGGGAGCTCGCCTCGGACCGGGGAAGGCAGTTTCGCGCGTTTCGTCCGGCACCAGCGCATTTGATGGCGTACCTGCACCGTCTCCTACGACCATGTCAGGACAGCAAGAGCGGGCATCGAGTTCATCGTCACAGCCCCAAGAACTGGTCCGACCGAGGTACACACGCCAAGATGATGAAGTAGGCCGGACACCGCAGGATAACTCGCCGACGGATCGCTCGAAAAGGCAGCGACTTTCGGGCGGCAGTGTTGGCACACCCGCCGTTGCGTCTGCATCGGATCTTAACACGCTGCCTACTGTGAATGTTCTGGTCCATGGTGATCTGTCCTCCGCCGTCAATCTGGCGAACACGGCTGTTAACAACAAGCGCCCTAGTCGCGAGGGAAGAAGTAGCCGGGAGAAGGTGCAGCTCGTCCCACCCGCATTGGTGATCGAAGACCACTTCAACAACGAGTTCGGCCCTACGGGCGACAGCGTGGCCAGTGGAAGTCCGGTGACGTTCGCGACCGAAGACTCGCTGGAGTTGTCTGAACCAGAGGACGGACCCACGGTCTCCGTTGCAGCTGCCCGGTCGCCGAAGATACCTGTGCCAGCGGGCGTTAGTGCGCCGGGGGAAACGACTGCCGCGGTTTCATCTCAAGCGCAGCCCGAAAGGAGCGCGGGGGCCGCTTCGTCGTACCCGATCGACCATACGCAAGACGAGTCGTTCGCGGCTGCGACCGACGAGATGATGCTAACTGCGGAATCGCAAAAGATCGACACCACCAGCGCGCCTCTGCTTGGTGGGCCTGGAAGTGCGGGCGAGCACGATAGCCGCGCGTCCTCGAAAAATTTACTGATCGGCGAACAGAACCGTTCCAATTCGGCTGGCGCAGCAGTTGTGGGCCTTGTCTCCAAGGATAGCAGTATCTCTCTAACCAGAACCGATCTGAACGTCGCTCCCGCTGTGGACGGTGCCGTTGATTTGATTGGTGGGGGAGCGGTCGAATCCCGAGTGGGTACAAAAACGCTGTCGCTCGACGGTACCGGAGCCGGCGATCACCTTCAGCGCAGTGGCCCGCCGGGGAGTATGACCGGGCCGGGTTCGGAAGACGGAGCTGCGGTGGGAGAGATGACTACAAGCGCCGCGGATGCGCCTGTGGTGCTGACTAGGGGCCAGGTCGCGAACCTGGTCAGTGCTGGTCTGATGAAGGACGGCGTGGGTGCGGCGCTCCTGGCCAACACCGCTGGGTTGGCGCCCGCGGCCTTGGTGCGAGTGGAGGATCTCCCGGGTCTCGGTATGGATGCCACTCCGGTGCTGGATGCCGATTCCGCAGTCCCATTGCTAGGGACGAACATCAACCCGGCAGACAGAACGGCCATCTCTTCGAGCGCACCCAGCGGTGCTGCGACGCCGAAGACAGGGGGACAAGAGGAAGTGTTCGTCACGCCGTCGAAGCTGCCGGAAGGGTCCCCGGTCAATCTCATCACGCCGCCGCCAAACAAGGGACAGACTCCGGCATCGCAGAAACGCCGATTGACGGTCTCCGCGACGACGCCGGCCTCCGGGCTCCACGTGAACATCCTTCCCGGAGAAGCGACGCCAGCGGAGGTGCCCGAGGCTGGTACAGCGCAGGAGTCTACTTCAGTGGCTGCCCCAGAAGATGCGGCTGATAATGCTGACATCCTCTCTGCACCAGCAACTCTCCCCCCGACGGTGCCAGAGAAAGCGCCAGCAGTACCTCCGGCGGCGAAAGGTAAGGGTAAAGGTTTGCCTGCGCCACCAGCGGGGAAGAAGGGACCGGGCCCTGCAGTGCCCCCAGCGAAAGGCGCTCCTCCCGCTGCCAAGAAGGGCGAGAAAGCACCGCCCGCCGTCCCACCTGCGAAGGGTGGCAAAGCCACACCCCCGCCGGCCAAAGGCGGACCCCCTGGCAAGGCCGGCGCATCATCTCCCGCGCCGCCGGGCAAAGGTGCTCCCGTACCCGCGGGGAAGAAGGGAGCCGCGATTCCAACGGGCTCCGGCGATGGCAAGGGTAAGAAGACGAAAGGTTCCGGCAAGGGAACCAAAACCGAGGAAGAAACTGCTTCGCCCCCACCGGAGTTAAAGTACCGGAAGACCGCCATCCAGGGTATCGAACAGGGCGATCTGAGGCCGATTTTCTGGAACCCCGTCCGTTTGGACGTGAACAAGGACCAGAACACGATTTGGGATAAAATCGACAAGAACCCGGCGAGGGCGTCACTGGATGTGATCGCCCGTTTGTTTGGAACTTCTCAGAAGAAGGAGCCCGCCGGCAAGAAAACGAATGCGGCCAAGGGTCTTCACCGGCTGAATGCGTTCAACGACGGGCATTCCGGGGACGCGCTGTACCGCAAGACTTTGAAGACGACGCCGAAGAAAGTCACACACTTCGATGCGATGTCGGGGCAGCAAATCGGCATCATGAAGTCGAAGATGCCGGGTCAGGGCCGAGATTTTCGCCTCTTGCGCCAGTGCTTCGCGACGCTCACGGGCATGGACTACGAGCAGCTGAGCCAGCTCCGATCAACCTTTCCGGACGATGAGAACCTGGCGCAGCTGCATGTGCTAGTCGAGCAAGAAAAGGAGCGACTGGAGAAGGAAAATAGAGAGTATATCGAGCAATTCGCGAAGAACTACGTCGCGCGCACCGTGCGCGGGATCGAGGAACGCATTGTTCTAGAAGGGCTTTCTCTCACGCCCGACTGGCGGGTCGTCTCTACCAAAACAAAGCCGGGCGGGAGCGCTAGCGACCCACCGCCGGCTTTGTCCTCCTCGAGCAGTTTCTCTTCGGCTGCTGGCTCGTCCGCGATGGACTCTGCAAACAGCGCCAATGCAGCGACACCGAGCATGGTCACGCCTCGAAGTGCGAGCGCAGCGACGCCGCGAAGCGTGAGCGCCGCGACACCGAGAGACGAAAAGCAAGGCGGAACATCAAACAAGGTGAGCGCAGTGTTGCAGCAGGCAGCGGAAGGAGGAGATGCGACCGCAGCGGCCTCCAGTAGTACCAGCGGCAATCGATACCTGAGCCCGGACACGGTGAGGGAGATCCGCGATCGCATGGATAGGACCGTGGAACGAAGGCGACAGCACGAGGAGGATCAGTTGGCCGTTGATGAGCTGAACCACTCTGACGTCGAATACCACCTGGACCTGCGCACGAAACCCGCTCTGGGGGAGGTGGAGGAATACTGTTTGCACATGCTGCAGATTCCCGACTTTCGTTTGCGTCTGCAGGTGTGGGTCACTACAGAGGACTACCCAGCGCTTTACCAAGATGCGTCGCAAAACGTGCGCTACGTTATCGACGCCTGCGATTTCCTGCTGCACAGCCCTTCGGTGGTGAGATTGTTTGCCACTTGCGTGGAGATGGGGAACTACATGAACGCAGGCAACAAGCAACGGGAGCGCGCCGATGGCTTTGTCCTGGACATTACGCAACAAATGAAGCAGATCAAGACAACGCAAAAGAGTTTGGGGGAAGAGGAATTCGCAGGCTTGCTCAGCAAAAAAGCCGGCCGGTCGCGCAGCAAAACGGACCCCGGAACGAATTTGTTGCGGTCGACCAGCAGTAGAGGAGAAGGGCAGGAAGATGCGGGTTCGAACCCCGTCACACCCACCTTTGGCGCCAGCAAAAGTCTCATGGTAACTGCCGCTTCGTCACAGAACGCGGAACCAGCGCCGCGGTCGGCTTCTAGCCGCAAGCGCCTGCAGCGGGACAGCCTGAATAGCGACACGCTTTCGGAAGATGAGGACGCCGCGCCGCACACGCAAGCGGCGCGGATTACGACGAATCCAGGGAGTCCGGCAGGAAGTCTTAGTAGTGTGCCAAGCAGCCCGAAAAGCCCCACTAGCGCTGACGAGGCACCACCTTCCTACGGATCAGATTTCATGCACCTGGTGAAAGACCCAAAAGAGTTACCAGAGTGCCGCGACTTCTGCGACTCGCTTGTGATGCACGCCGGACTGCAAGCGATCCAACCCATCTTCGCCTACAGTAACGGAAGAATAGAGAGCTACTACGAGATCATTTGCAAGGCCGCACGGTTCAACGCCGCCGACCTGGCCAAAGCATGCACTGGTACTGAAATAGTTACAAGTTGAGTTGTTTCCGTGGGGTTTTTTCCTTTTTGCGGAACGCCACGCGATTTTTTGCTAGAGCGCGGAGTAGATGTTCGTCAGATAGTTCGAGCTGTGATCAACGATACTGTTTGCTGCATTTCTCTGCATTAAAGAAAAGGGATCGGATTTTTTCGGAACTACCTAAACTGACAACGGAACCGACATTCACCATACCGTGGCGATTCGCCTTCTTGTTCGTTTCGTTTGCTTTTTTGTTTTTTGTTTTCTCGTCTTTCGTTTTCTTCTTCTTTTTCTATTTCTTATTCTTTCTCGATCTAAAATAGATATAGATCTTGTTTTCTCTTTTCTCTCTCTCTTCCTAGGGGGGACAAAAATTGCGGGATTTGCGCACGTTCAATGGCCGCAGCCCCGCCGACCGTTCGTTCTTGTCTGTCTCCCCACCTGTGTGCCCCGCCGGTCAGCCAAATGGTCTTTCGTTTCCATTGTCCTGCCTGTGAGGCAGCGTCCCAAGTCGCGCCCAGCGAAAGACGAAAGGCGGAGCACACCAAGGCTCCCGGCTTGTCCTGGCTATTTTTCCTCGTGCCTGGGGTTTTTGGTAATTCATTGACGGGCATTTGCAGAGGCCGCGCAACCGCCTCCACAATGTGGAGGTGGCTGCGCGGCCTCGGCAAAGAAAATTTTTGGCCGATATTGTTACACGATCAGGGGGGTAAAACGATCAACCGCCCTCACCGGGTAGTCCGATCGTGTGGGAGTCTTGAAATCGGTTGGCTCTGGGTTGTTCTAGGCCATGAAGCGCCGGCCCTTATGTGTGGGGCGCTTTGGTACCGCTTTCGATCATCCTCCCCCTGCCCCTATCGTTTCCCTTTCATGTGGATAGGAGTTGAGCACTTGCCGAGCTGGGTGGTGGTTCTGTCCCAACAAAAGTTGAGGCAATTTTCGTGAAGTTTCTGAGGGATCAGATCGCCCGGCCCCATCCGAGTGAAAGCGAAGCCGTTGGCGGTGGCGCCCAGACTAGTTCTTCTGCTCTCTGTCTAATGACAGAATACGCACCCATTGCAAGCATTTCCGTCTCTAGGAGACCAGGCAAAGAGCGTGAATTCCAACGAACCAAAAGCCGGCGCCCTTGCTCTGTGAGTGTCTCGGCTCACGCGCTTCCTTTCGCAGACAGCGTCGCTTCGTAACTAAACCGATTCGATCACTTTCCCACCCTCGCAAGCTCTGTCTCACCTGTGTGGGAGCCATGCGCACAGAAGCCGTCTATCTACTTCTAGGCGCTAGCCGGAGCTTCCCTGGGTGTTCTGTGTTTCCATTTCAACACCTATTTACTGCTTCGGGTTCCGTTTTCAGTCTGGGCCCTTTTTTTTAAAAAAACACGACAACATGCGGGGAAGGATCCAAGGGTCGCGAAAAAGTTCCGTTGTCAGTTTAGACAGTTCCAAAAAAAGCCATATCCTAAAGAAAATAAAGATGAAACTTCCTTGACATTTAGCCAAAAAACATATACTATACAGCTTTGACCGGGCAAGTGAATGGTGCGATCAATCTTACGAAGAAACTGCCGGAAGGTCGGGTTGACGAGCCATTGATCCAGCGGCGGGCTTTGCTCGAGAGCAAGCTGCCGGAGCTCGCTGCAATGAAAGAAATGCTGGCGGAGGCCGAGGACAAGTATCAGCAACTTCGCACGTACTACGCAGACGGCATGGGTGGACACGGAAAGGCGCGAGAATACCCAGACTTGTTTCGCCTCTTCCAAGACTTCTTCACCGGGCTGCGGGACAGCTACACTCATATCAAGAAAGCAAAAGACCGCTTGGAGGAGAGAGCGCGGCGGCAGAGATCGTTAGCCAGCCGCAGGCGCGCATCCGTCGCGTCGGGAGACACCCCAGTAGAGAATAAAGACAGACGAGCAGGAGAACACTCATCGAATGTGGAAATGCCATCTATGCACCGCAAGATTCGCAAACGCAACAGCATCGCTTGAGCGTGTCGAGTGAGAAGGAGCACTGAAAAGAAAAAATTAAAAACAAAAAATGAAACGGAATAGCTCCTGGAAAAAAAGACAGCAACGCGGAATGAATTTCGTTGCGCAGTAGAAGTGTCACAATTGCACGGAACCTGTTCGGCAGCCACAGCCTCTTGCGTAGAAGTATAAAGATGTCTCAAGACGTAGATTCACACAGAAGCAAGATTGTTTTAAGGATCGAATTGGTTCTTGCGGATCTCTTGGTCTTGGTTTAGTGTTTTTCTTCTTGTCGATCTTTTTTCGCTCAATGTGATCGAAGAACGAAGAACAAAGCTCTTGTGTCTGTCAAGGAACTGGCGACCGTATTCTGTGCATTCACTTAGCGATCAAGACCGTTCTCGTTTTTCTCTATGTGATTGTCAATAGGTGTTGAGTATTTCGTTGTTCCAAGACTCATGGGATCTCCAAATTAATTGGATCTTCTCAACCAGAGTCGGCAAGGATCAGTCACCGGAGAAATAAGAGGATCCAAGGTTGTTTGATGCTATTTGTATTTGACAACTTGCCGCAGCCGCACCCGTAATCGCACTCTTGTGTCTAGGCATTCGCATATAAAAATCCTTGGCGCTGCCTCGGCACGATTGATTTTGATATATATGTACAAGTTGGCGTTTATTTCTTGATCAGAGATGCGTGTCCAGTCGTGCCGAGGGTATTTTCAACTACGCGTCGTGCGTGCCCCTGGGACCGACGCTTCGACGGCGCGAAGTAGAAGTTCTGCTAGATGGTCGTCACAAGGGCATCAACATCTCTCAAGCAGACCAAAGGCGACCGCGACGTCCTTGCGGCACTATGCGCAACACGTGGCGGCAGTCTCATGCAGTTCGTCATCGTCCTCGTCGTCGCGACCACCGGTGCCGCCGATCCCACCGCCGCCGACCGGGACAAGTGGCACCTCCCCGGCCAGCCTGGAAATGGCGTTCTGCAGCACGACGAGTTCAGGTTTAGAAGTACAAAGCGTAACTACATTGCGCGGCAGTAACTATCATGGAGACGGCCTGTCAGCAGGAGCAGGCACATCATCTTCAACTGTGTTCCCACAACAGTCGGAGCAGCAGCTTTCTTCAAGAAATACAGCACTCAATGGTGGACCCGACCCGGGAACGGGATGGCTCTCCGCTGAGAATGGTCGAGCCGTTGGAATAGAAGTGGAGTCCTCCGCAACCGAAACAAACATTCAGGGTCTCAAAAAAGCAAGGTTCAACATTTCCCCACATGGCGAACTACGGACGCCACCGACACTTCCATTAGAAAGGGCGCCTCTGGGTGGCGGTCAGAAGAACGTTGTCCTTGACGATTCATCTTGTTCGCATCAGCACGCCTCGGAGAGAGCGTCTCCCTCGGCAACTCCTTCTCTACTTTCCTCAGAAGCCAAGGCGGAGGTTGGGTTCCTGCACAGCCTGCGAGCGCGCGCACCCTTGCTCTTCACCGACGCCGACCAGCATCGTGAAATTGACCTAGCTCGGCAAAGAGTGAACTCGGAAACAAGCCGTGGTAGTCCTAAAAATGCAGCTGCAGTGTCGTCTCGGATTATTAGTAGTGCCAGCGAACAAGGAGATGCACCAACCGCACAACGTGAAGAAACAAACACTGTCCCCGTCAACGACGCTATCGCTACCTCCAACGAGGACACACAAACTGCGGCTGCGCCACTCGAAACTGCGTCGTCTTTTCCGGCCCAGCTGCTGTTCGCGGACCAAGCCTCCGCACCGTGGAGAACGCGCGTGAACATAGACCACCTTTCGGACCGCCTGCTCGAGCGGGACCGATCGCTGCTGCCTGACCTCGAGCAATATACGCGGAAGCAGCGCTGGTTGGTCACGACCAAGTATCAAATGTAAAAATGTCTGGGTCTGGAAGAATGCGAGATTTGTGATGCAGGTTTTCCATGACCCATGAGGTCTGGAATGCGAGACCCAGTGTGACAGATTCTTTGCGGTCTGTATCATGCCTTTCCTGCATGAGCAACTCCCTCTCAACTTGGTCAAAAGCGGACAGCTTTTGGCACTCACGCAACACAGATTTTTGCATCATTTAGATTTTGCATGACAAGTTCTAATCTTCCAGACCCAGACAAATTTACATTTGATACCAAGGCGCTTCTCGAGGAGCGATGCGGGGGCACGTTGCACGCCTTCGGCAGTTGCGCGAACGGGTTTTGGATGCGCGGGTCCGACGTAGACGCATGCTTGCTAGTTCCGGGATGCAACGTGAAAGAGGCACAGGTATCGAAGTTGAAACTCGTCGGTGCACTGCTGCGCGCTGCAAATGCGGGCAAGGTGCTTGTCGTGCCCGCGAAGGTGCCGGTTGCAAAAGTCACCAATTTAGACGGCAGCGACGCGGGGGACATCAGTATCAACAACAGCGTGGCGATCGACAACAGCAACTTCGTTCGCACGCTTGCCATGTTTGATCCGCGGGTGCGGCACGTCGGAAGGGTCGTGAAGTCCTGGGCCATGCAGCGAAAGATCAACCAGCGGGCCGAGGGGACGCTGTCAACCTACACTATCATGCTGCAGCTGTTCTACCTGGTGCAGAAGTGTCATAGGGTCGTGCCTCTCTACAGGTATATGTAACAAATAAGCATGAGCGCTGGCGCTGCATGATTTATCTTTACCCCTAGTGCTAGCTTTGCCTCAACCGGTGCACCAGTATCATGATGGATCTCACAAGAATATAAGAAAGTAAATGCTCATTGTTGAAAAAACTATCAGGGAGCTTGTCTCAGACCAGGATCGTCCAAAAAGTCGCGTGGACGGCGCACCCATCGTGGAGTTGAAGGGTCGGAGCGATTTCAAGGCAGACGAGTTTGACCAGACCACCTCAGTTGGCGAGCTTTTCATCAACTTCTTCCTGGTAGCATACAGAAGTTTTGCTTTACGCAGGCACGATGCAACGGATTTTACATACTGCTCCCTGTTTCTCAACCCCTAAAATGACCAAATGTAGATGTAGGCTGCAGAGTCCTCGAGTCTGTCATGCTCATGGCATTCTTTGACATCCTTCAGGTCTTTGGTTCTTCCGGGTTCTCCGCAGAAAACGGTTTAGGCCGCACTATTCTCGACGGTGACGTGGAGGAGAACGACGAGGGCACGTTGATTATGCGGTGTCCGATTTCGAAGGCGAACGTGAACCCCATGAGCAGCGAGACCTGGCGCATCCTTTGGACCGAGTTCGCGCGCGCACGGGAGCTGCTAATGGAAGGAAAATTCGACGAAGTTTTCCTCCCGGCCGATATCTGTCCGCTAAGGAAACACAAATCGGCTGTGCGGAAACAGAAAGCCGTAGCGGAACAGAACATGAGTAACGAAGAAAATGCCGTTTCTTGTTCGTCGGAGGACGAAGAGTCTTCTCGCAAACCGAAAGCAAATAATGGCACAGAGAGTGGATCTTCCAAAAACGACGAGGAGTGTCCCGAAGAAAAAGATATCCAGACGACCCCAGTGGCGGCCAGCACAGCACCGGCAGCGGCCGAGACTACTAATGAAAACGTAGCGGTCGGTATTGGAAACGAAAAACAAACCGTCGTGGGCCAAACTGAGAGCGATATTTCCGGGGCGGACCAGAGCGCTCAGATGGCCGATGAAGGATCGCTACATGTTTCAAGAACGGGAATTGATAACGACCAAGGGAAACAGGCTGCAATGCACCAGTAATGGGCCATTGCGGCGCTGCGCACACCTGGAGATGATTCTTGCGATTGAATCGCAACGCTGTACAATAGCGTACTGTGAAGACACAGTAAATGATATGCTGAATACAGAACAGCCTTGCAAATGAACAAGAGCGGAAACGCTTGGAGCGGCCACTGCTGTGAATTCAACGCCACACGGATATTACAGGATCCTCGGTGCTGTACGCCGATCCATTTGATGCCATTGGGATTCGCCACCCGCACCGTTTCTTTGGATCGCTGTATGCACGATGCTCTAGTTCTTTCGGATTTAGATTTAATCAAGATCAACGGGAAGAACAAGAAGAAGTAGAAGCAAGATCTAAATCAATGGAGATTTTTTTTTCTTTTTGGAGTGATGTAGATGTACTCTCTGACATCGACGCAGTGCTCGCGATTTCGCTAGTGAAGTGTGTCTGAAAATCAAGGTCTACCGCACCAAGCAAAAATGCTTCGCGTGACGTCGGGAGCGGGGCAGTCATGCTCGTCGCGGCATACGTTGAGCCTCCGACCTCTCCAGCATCGTGGTGTGGCTTCCTCTTGCGCTGGGGCGGCAGTATCGACCACTACCAATCACCAGACCGGACATTCTAAAAATGCGCCGCCACCGCCAGTTAGTGGCGCTTTTCCCCAAGAGCCGGCATTTTCACCTTCCTCAAATCCAAACTTGAAAACCCTTGCCAATCGTTTTGACCGGTCGTCGTACCTGCAGCGCCACTTCCACAAGAAGATGTTGAAGCATGCTGCGAGGAGGGAGCTGATGCCTTTGTTGGACTTCATCGAAAAACACGAACTCGAGCTGGACACATTGGACCGCGTCACGGCGATCCAGGCGATTCTCCAATGCTCGAGCGGAGGATCGAGCAGTGCCTCGTGCACCCGACCGCGATTGGTTCGCCGCTTAGTCGACCGTGCGTTCGGGGATGCGGCGCTCGTATCGGAGGACTGCGGCCGGCTTTTTGCAAATATGTGTCTGTATGTTTCGAAGTTGCGCATACCCGGGGTACAGCTGCCAGTGCTACGCGACATCGCAGGAGTACAGCACGCGATGGAAAGTTTGGGGGCAACCGAAGCGGAGGCATTGCACAAATTGCTCATGTCCGGCTACACGCCGAGGACGATCGCGAATCTGCTGCGCGCTTACGCAAACGCGAGGATTTTGCAGCCTGGGTTGCTTCAGGCCGTTGCGCGAACGGTCATGGATTCTGGCAATCGACATCAATCCTCGGAACAAAGTACGTTTCGTGGTGAAGAACATGCGGACGCTCCCTCGCGACAGATCGTGTACAGAAATCGCGCACTCACAACCATCGCCTGGAGCATCGCGACGCTGCGACCGAAAATCCCCGCACCCAGTCCGGCCGAGAGACAGAGAGCCGGACCAGCACAGCAGCGGTCTTTACTCACCGATTGTGAACTAGCGATGGAAGAAGTGGCACGGCAGTTGAAAAGGAACTTCGACGACCTGGATTTGCTGGAAGCCTTGTCATCTGCGACAGCGTCAACATCTGGTGCTGCTGGACGAAAATTCGTAGAAAAAAATACAGCGGGCAATGAAGATAATACTCAGCAATCGCAAGACGAGGAAGCGGAAGGCGATGCGTTCTCGTCTTCGGAACAAGATCACGACTACGACGAAGGGGAGGACAACTTTAACGAACAAGATGTCGCGAACGCAACCTGGGCGTTTACGCAGTTCCCCGGCGTCGAGCGAGAGGGCTGGTACCACACCGTCAGCAAAATCCCGCCAGACTACTTCACGGCCCAGGGGATGAACCAAGTTCTGTACGCGTTGACGAAAGCGAACCATCCGGGGGCAAAAGTGTTCGGCGAAAGAGTGCAGGGTGTTGTGCTGCGCAAGATTCGCGAAGATCCAAATTACGTCTTGTCTAAGCACCATGACGCGGTGTTTTCGACACCGGATAGTACTAATCCAGCGTCGAAAACAAGAAGCAAGGACACTCTTGTCCCCTCCGTAGATAAATTAACCAGTCGCACCGTCGGGAATCTTATTTGGGCATGCGCAGTAGCGAAGGTCGCGAATGACGAATTCAACCGGAAATTGGGCAGACTGACGGATGCGGAGAACCTGATTGACGTATGCAACATCAGCTGGGGCTTGGCCGCCATGAAAACCGAAGACGAGGCGCTGTATTCAAAATTTGCACGCTACGCGTCCGAATTTCTCATGGCGGGAAAAACATCGAAAAAGTTAGCACCGCAAGTCAACTACAACAGCTCCCTGGAAGTAGGAGCAGGTGGTCCTGCTTCGAATAAAGACCTCTATCTTGGCGACGAAGGAGCTAGTGCACCGGCGACGAACAAAAAGCCCAGAACAGCAACGTCGCACATCATCGACAAGGAGCTGGTCACGGAGCAGATGCTGCTGACTCTTGCGTGGAGCTTCCGACGTTACGCTGGAAAGACGCCCCAGGTGGACCGCATGTACGCGCTGATCTTGAACAATTTTGTTCTCCCAGTCCTGAAGCACTCCACACACGGCATCCGTGCGAAGGTCACCGGTATCGTCGAGGCGGAGGAAGTCACTGCGAACCAGGTGAAGCGTGGCACTATCAACTCACTGTAAAAATGTCTGGGTCTGGAAAAGTGGAACTTGTAATGCGTGTCATGCATTCCTGGAAAATGAAAATCTGTGTTGCATGAGCAGCAAAGCAGAGGCTTTCTTTGTCATGCAAAAACGCAATTTGTAATGCGTGCTAGGCATCAGCAAGCCTCTCAAAAACTTGTCATGCTTGGCTGCCATTGGAAGCGCTTCAATCATGCGCAATTCAGCATCACAAGTTTCCAGACCCAGACATTTTTGCAATCCATAGGCACCATGATGGTGCAACTCGCGGACGCGGATCCCCGGCGGTATCCTGAGTAAAAACGTACCCACACCAGAGTTGTAATGCAGATTTGCAAAGACAGGAAGACTTGTAATGCGCATCCCCATGAGAGCCATTTCCAATCGTGTTTTGGAATTTGTGATGCTGTGAACAGGATGAGCAGATGAATCTGTGATGCGGCTGCACTCGCCAACCTGCACTACACTGCAGAGTGCAGCTTGTCATGCGTGACTCGCAAAACTCCTAGGTTTGTGTTGCAAAATCCCCATCCTGACTCTGGTGTGGGTACGTTTTTACTCAGGATAGGCGGGCAGGCAGGATCAGCCCGGTTTGCGCTCCCGTGAACATGCTGCACCGACTGGCGACGGACAAGAAAAACAACATCGTGAAGTTGTATTCGAAGACGGACGCAGCTGCCGCAGCGATGCAGCCGAGGTCCGAAGAGGAGAAAGTGAAGGCGCACCAGCGCGTGCAGTACGAGTTAGCGAAGTTGATCGCGACGAATGTGAACATGACTGCGAAACAGTGGAGCAGAAACAACAAGGCGGAAGATTTGACGGACTACAGTGGCCGGATGTACACGACGCTGTTAGACGTGATCCCCTCCGTCCCTTCGGAGGTGACGGAGCTCATTTGCCATGATTTCGTGAACCGGTTCTCCGCCTACACGGACCAGGATCGCAAGCGGCTCCACGTCTACCTGCAGGAGAAAGTAGACTGCTTCCCGGACGCCATAGGGGAAAATCTACGCGAGGCGTTGTTGCGGGTGTTGTAGTGTTGGGACGAGTGAAGCACAACCACGCCAGTGTAGTTCCCTTTCAGATCGACACATGATTGTCGTGATACCAAGAATACAGGATCACAACATCGACGTGGATCCAGATTCTGACCCTGACTTGGGCCTCAGATCTCTAGATGACAAAAAAAGTTGTGTTATCTTCTTGTTTGGATGTCCATGCTATGTATTGTTCCAACCCTGGCAAACAATTGTTTGTCCTCGTGAAGTAAAATGTTACTTTAACGACGACATTGTCGCTGCTTTCTCGCTGCTGGTCAGAGTCCAAAGTTGTCGCACTGTACGATGGGCTCATTGAGTTCGTCATTCTCCGTGTACATGTAAGTGGAAAGGTTAGTACCTCCAAAATCGGCTGTATAAATGAAGAATTCGACTGTGACACAACATACATAAGTACTAGACCCAGCTAACAGGAATTGCCATGGCCTCCGATTCGAGTGTGATGCGTGCCGTGGGCATTCAGCAACTTGGCGATGCCAGCGTTCTGCAGGACGTGACGCTGCCCAAACCGACTGCCACAGCTTGGGACGTGGTAGTGCAACTGAAAGCGTGCGCCGTGAACCCGGTCGACTGGAAGTTGCGCGCTAGCAATTTGGGGATGCCCTTCCCGGAGAACGAGACGAAGGTGCTCGGCTACGACGGGTCGGGAGTTGTAGTTGAGTGTGGGGAGAACGCATCCCAAAAGTTCAAGACCGGCGACGAAGTCTTCTTTGCGGGGAACTGCCTGCGCAACGGCACGAACGCAGATTTCTGTGCGGTGGACAGCCGCTTGATTGCGAAAAAGCCACAGTCCTTGTCCTTTGAACAGGCTGCGGCCTTTCCACTCGTCGCGATCACCGGCTGGGAAAATTTGTGCGAAAGCGCTGGAATTGACAAGGCGAAGAAAACAGTTTTGATTCTCGCCGGCGCGGGCGGGTGCGGCAGCTTCGGCATTCAGCTTGCCAAGCTGTACGGCTGTACGGTGGTCGCAACCGCGTCGAGTCCCGAATCGGAGAAGTGGTGTAAAAACCTGGGCGCAGACTACGTAATCTCCCACAGCGGGGGGAAGACCCTGTTGGAAGAGCTGAAGGAAAAAACGCCTCTGTCCGCGGTGGACGTCGCTTATGTGTGTCACGATGACAAAAGGTAACTGACGAGTGTTCTTCGTGTATTGCACATAAAGATAAACAATTGACTTCTCCTTCCGCGTTGCCTCTGTTCTTTTCGTTTTGGATTTCTAGATGGTTACGATCTTCAAGAATTTCATCTAGACTACGAAACTGAAGAAAAACAAAACTTTTCTCCAGATATTCGTCCGAAGTGACGGCGGTGGTTGGTGCGATGGGGGTGATTTGCCCGGTGGTGACGTTTTTTCCCGACGAAGGAACCTGCATGGACATGTACCTGAACCGGAAGAGCCTCTGCTACGGCATGATGTTCTGTCGCGGCATTCACGGCAAGCAACCGGAGAAGCAAGGGGAACTGCTGGAGAAAGTGGCGAAATTCATCGACGAAGGCAAGTTGAAACCCATCGCGACGGAAATCTTGTCAGGCGGGCTATCCGCCGAGACGTTCCGAAAGGCGCACGATCTGCAAGAGTCGGGGCACATGCGCGGAAAAATCGTCGTGCCGTTTGCCTAAAGAAGTTGGCGCCATGATTTGAGGACTTGACCACATTGACACTGTGCTGCTTCAAAATAATGACATATCTACCTCGGTAGATCCTTTTCGTGTAGTAACTGGGATTTGGGGTCCCCCGTTCGCACTATATCGGCTGGCAGATCCGTAGAAGCTATTGCACGTTTGCGATCTCCTCCCCTAGAGTGGGGAGGAGCGATGTAGAGTCATCGATATGTGCGTCTGGGGGACGTAGGTTTAGGTGAATTTTTGCCCTTTTGTTCTACACCGAAGTAGGTGGCGCCAGTGAGGGCATCCCCCAGCGGGGGGAGTTTATTCCTTTTTTCTCACCATAGAGGGTGGCCCCAGCGGGGGCAGTTTAGCGTGGGCGCGAAAGCCATTGTGAGTTAGGGCCAGCAAGGCCACAGCAGGTTGCTACGATTTCTTTTTCAATCCATGTCTTCGTAGAGACATGGAAGTTTTCTGATACTCATGCTTCAACTGCGCGGCAGGTGAGTACTTGTCTTTGAAGAGCTTGAGGCTCTGTTTATTTTTGCTCAAATGAAGGAAGGTCTTCAAAAACAAAGGATACGCGCTCAGAGTGTTAGATCGGAAATTGGATCCGACAGTGTGCGGAATGTTAGATGTAGGGCTCGGGTAGCTAGGTCGCTTCTGAGGCCCCGCGCCAAGTCAACCTTTCTCTCTTTCTCTTCTACTACCAGGCTGCTGTAGTGCTTTTGAGGGCAGATAGTGGTCCGTTCCTTTCCAGATCTAAGTCTCAGTAGGTGCCGTTAGGGCGATGTGTGGATTTGTCTTACCTTGTCTATCACAACTTTGATTGCAAACATGGCTCGGGGCCGCCCGCATACGTATTCAATTAGAGGGCCAGCGCCCAGTGTCTTCGGGACACGTTCTCCGCAATCTTCTCACGCAAGAGCATGGCAGGCGTTCAAAGTGCAGAAAGGCCTGGAGCAGGCCCGGGAAGTTGGGATTGCGGATTTTCGACAGTTTGCCGCTTTTCTTTTGGCCCAGGGGTTTACCTCTGCGGCGGGTTACCTGTCTTCAGCAGTGACGCTAGAAGGGGAGGCGGGAAGAATTAAAAACATTTTATTCCCCCGGCAGCTCCTCGGTCTGCAGCGGGCAATCGGCCGGTACTTGAAATCGCAGAACCTTCAACCGAAGAAGGCAACGCCCATCTTTTTGGCTTCCCTGGGCCGTATGACACAGCGGGAGAAAGAAATTTTAGTAGTGGCCTCGGCGCTAGGGATCCGTGGCGACACCCTGACGGCGATTAGCCGCTCGCAGGTCTTCCTGCGTAGGCAGGGAGGTGTGACCCGGTCAGCAGCTTTGATGGTCCGCAAGGACAAAACCTCGCAGCTACGCCGCATGGAGGTGCTCTGCATGTGTAAGAAGAGCCGGGTGAATGTTTGCCCGGTGTGCTCAGTTGAGAACTGGGCCACGTTGTTTCCGATATCGAAGTGCGAGTTCATGTCTGCCTGTAGGCTAGCCGAGACGAGTGGCCATGGGCCACGTCGTACGTGTGCGATCACGTCGCGCTTAGCATGGAATAGGAAGAAAGCCGCCAAAGCTCGGCAAAAGCTTGTGGCGGTGGTCTCCAATAGGCAGGGCTGGTCTCTTCAGGCTAGGAGCCTGTCCTTTTTCGAATACAGTGATGACTTTGCGCGATTCTCTGACCAGGAGCAGCAGCTTCTATGCTGCTGGTCTCCGGAGGAGGACGACCTGGAGTGAACGCCTGGCGCATTATGTTTCAGCTCGAGCTACAGGCACTGCACAGCTGGAAACTTCCAAATCGTTTTCTAAAAAACCAGAGTCCGCATAGCGCAGAAATATATTTGCTTCACTTTTGTCCAGTGGCGGTCTGTTCTATTTCGTGCACGAGTCGCTCGGAAATTGTTGCTACATAAATTTGTTGGTCCCAAATCTAAAATCTGTCAGATCTTGAGCCCAGGGCTAGCCCGATTTTTCTTGACAGATACGAAATGCGAGTGGTTGAGTATGTTTAGGTCGGTATGGGAAAATCTTTGATCGCAGCAGGAGACGCTGCTTGTAAATGGGATCTGGGCCCTCCCCCCCCCTCCCACTTTGGGTTCAGACCGGTTTCTTCTCGCTTATTTTCCACGTACAGGGGACCACGTTAGATACGAGCAAGTGTATCTTGCCACTTAGTTCACATTCACACTCACATTGAGCATCGCTTTTAGGTTCAGATACAAGATGCCCGCGAAAGCAAAAGCAAAGGCGAAGCACCCGGCCAAAGCTAAAGCTCCGGCCAAGCCCAAGGGGAAGGCGCCGCCCCACAAGGCGAAAGCGGTTAAGGCGGTCGCTAAACCGTTTGCGAAAGTGAAAGCCCCGCCGATGGCGGCCCCCGAAGTTGAAGAAGATGAGATTTGCGCTGCTCTTCTCGCGGAGGAAGAGGGCGAGGCGGGTCCGGCCCGCAAGGGCCCGCCCCCGGTGAAGAAGCGGAAGGCCGTGCAAGATTTTAGTGACAGTGAGGTCGAGGCCTTTGGGATCTCGCGATCCGAATTATTAGCGCACCAGCGGGAGCCTTCCCCACTTGATTCGCTGTCCTCGGTAGATGTGCCCGCGGAGAGCCTGGCACGAGCTGTGCTGGACTACAACGGTGTTAGGTCGCTCCACATCTGCAGTAGCGTGGAGATCAAGGCGCTTAAGGGCATCAAGGCCCTCAATGCTTCGGAGCGGGCCGAAGTGAAGATGATTTTGTCGTCCGCGCCTAAACATAGAACCGCGCAGACGACTCGCTTCGGGATTTTCTTTGCAGACCATTTCACTGAACAGGCTTACGGGGTACGAGCGAAGATTGATGCTAGGTTGCCGCTCGAGGATCTGGCGTCCTACTACAAAGCCGAAAAGGGGTCGCCTACCACTAACGTTATGCTGATTCGCAACACACATAAAGTGCTCCGGAACTCCGACCTGGTTTCAGAGGCGGAGTTTCATGATTTGACTGCCCTGGGGGAGTCGCGCCGGCTGGATCCGGCTCAGTACCGCGATATCCTGAACGGCGAAGTGCGCGGGGGCACACAGGGCTTCGGGGCCCGTGTCGTTGGGCAGATTCGCTCTTTACAGATCCCGGCACCGCCTAAACAACTCGCTCCACGTCCCCCGGGTCCGGGTCCTGCCCCGCCCGGGCGTGCTTCTTCCTCCGGAATCCCTAAGGTCTGGGATCCGGTGAGAGGTGAAGAAATTTTGGCTACTACTTCCAACGTGGGGATTGTTTGCCACGACTTTCTTCGTGGCCGCTGTAATCGCGGAAGCAGCTGCAGATTCCCGCACGTGTTGCGGTCTCCCTTTGTGATAAAAGATTTGAGAGGGGACGCGCAAGCGCCTCCGAAGTAGGCACTGCAGCATGTGCAGTTTAGTTTTAGAGGTTGGCCCTCGCCTTCGGCCAAGTGGGTCCGTCGGCGTGTTGCTTTTTACTACTCCTACATGAACAAATCCATGCTGGCCTGGTTGCTCTTGGATTTTAGCTCCTAGCGAAAGCTTTGCTCTGTTGTGAGAACAAGATGTGAGTGTGATTGTTGTGAGTGGAAATTAGAAACGTTCCGGGCCCCCTTGGCCTGGTACTTATTTCGCGGTCTGGCGTGGCCAGGCTCGCGGGGTGTTCCCTTTGTTGCCCTCGGTCTACATTGCTCCCTGCATTCCGTCTCTGTTGATTAGGTGTAGATGCCGGTTAGATTCCGAGATCGGAGTGGTAGTTGTGCTCACGAGGTGTTTGTGAGCTGTTAACCTTCGGTCGAGAGGAGAGTGGCTCTTCACCCCCCGTGGGTTGTCTTTCATTGTGTAGCATAGACATGCTCAGCGGTCGGTCTCGTGTTGCCACGGGGATGAGGGTTGTTTGGCACTGGCGGTAACCAATCCGTTACCCTTGCAAACTCACCTCCTTGGCGGCGCGGTACTTTGTGATCGTTATGCTCATGCTCTTCTCACCCCTCAGTTCCCGTGCTGACACGAGACCGCGCCCAGGTTGGCTACTTAGTACACTCGCTTTTCTTGTTTTTCACATTCTGGTGGTTTTTCTCTTGTCGCTTACACCACAGGGTGTGGGTGCTATCTGGGCCCACCCCCCACACTCTACTGTGGAACCGTCGCGAGCGACGGTTTCGCCTTTTTCCTTTGAGGGAGAATTTTACTTCCGTTTCACAGAGTCGCGCTCGCCAGCGTAGTGCAGCATCAGAATGGAGTCCTCGCCGGCTGACAAGGTTTCTGCCTTTCTCTCTCGGGTCCAGCGGGACCGGGACAGGTTTCTACCAGGTTTGTCGCAGGACAGGAGCCACCCGGCCTTTTCGGGTCGGCGACTGATCTCGCGGCACAACGAACAGTGCCTGCGCGAAGGCCACAGCTCGTCCTTTGGGGATTTCTCGGACCGGATTCTGGCGGGCGTTTACTGGCTGGCCTGTGCCCGGGCGGACCCAGCGACCGTCTCTCGCTCGGAGCAGGTCTTGGCAGGTGGTTGGAAGGATACCAGGCCAATCCGGTCGAAGTTCAACTTCGGGGTTATTGAGAAGATTGGCAGAGAGTCTGCTTTTTCGGGTTTCTCGCATGTATGGCGGGTTTTAGCTTCCGGGGGGGAATCGGTCGGCCCCACTGCGGCTCAAGACTTTTGGCCGTCGAAACTCATGAAGGCGTCGGAGGGTGGACGTTTGCCCCCGGCCCCAACTACCGGCTCCGGTTCGGGGGACCTAGCAGCCTCGGTTGAGGGTGCGGAAAATATTTCGCGCCTGCGGCAGCGCAGCTCATCGTGGATGCCGGGTGAAGATGTCAAGCACTGCTGGGATACTACAATCCAAGAAACCGAGGACGGCTGGCTCCAGGGTCCTTTTACCCTGGACGAAGCTTGGGAAAAGGGGGCGCGCATCCTTCTGACTCGTTTTGCACACCATGAGGCGGACAAGATCCGCCTCTGCGACAATGGTGTGCCTTTGAATGTTTGCTCCGACATCTCGTCGTCGATGCCGATTCCGTCGGTTCATCATGCTCTCGCCCTTGCTTCGAGCTCGGCGATTTTACTAGAAGAAGGCGGCCCGCCGCGGGTTGACTTCTGGCGGGATTTGCGGGTGTTTGACCAAGGGGGCAACCGGGCAGACCCCCTGGCCTGTGAAGAGTATGATTTTGATCCTTTCCCGGATGCCCGCCCGTCCGACCCGGGCTGGCGGGAGGTTGCTTGGGCGGCTTTGGACCACATACCGAACTTCGACGCAGCGGAGGATGGTGCGGACCCTGAGGGTGCGGGGCTCTGCCAGTGGGTTATCGACATTGCCAACGCTTACAAGAATGTAAGCATTTCGAAGGCGGGGAGCGCGACGAACTGGATCGGGGTTTTCGACCCCAAGGCGAAGGCCTACAAAGCCTTCCGCGGCCTCACGCTCCTGTTTGGGAACATTCACTCCGTTACGGAGTGGTTGATTGTTGGGCAGTTTCTGGCCTTCTGCGTTCGGTGGCTTTTCTGCGTGGCCTTGATCATCTATATAGATGATATGACCGGCACGGCGCCCCGCAGGGTTCGCCGTCTCCTGATGCGCGCCATTGTGTACATGTTGGAGGTTTTGGGTTTTCCTTGGAAGCCGAAGAAGGTCAAGTGGGGGCGCACCGCTTTGCGGGTTTTGGGCTTGGATTTTGACGTGTCGCAATCGCCTCCCACGATGCAGTTGTCGGAAGTGAAGCGCGCCACCCTTCGGGCGGCCCTGGTTGAAGTCTTGGGGGCGGGGGAGCTCAGTCCCGCGCGGGCTTCCACCCTTTCCGGGAAGTTCCTTTTCCCCTTCTCACTGCTGGTGGGCCGGCGTCTAAATGGCTTGCTGAAGCCGGTCTTTCGGCGTGGAGGTTTGTTTCATTCTCGCGCCACCTGCCTTCCCTTGGGTTCCGGTTGTGCGGCGAGCTTACGCTTCATGGCGGCCTGCCTCCCGGTCCTTCCTCCGATTTCCTTCTTACGAGTGGGCCTCCCGGTGGAGGTGTGCTACTCGGACGCGAGTTGGAAGCGGGGGCGAGGTATTCTCGGCGGGGTCCGTCTTCTGCAGGAGGGTGCCTTCCAGGCGTTCCGCCACCCGGTCTCGCGGGCGGATAATTTTCCATCCGCCTCTTGGGGGTCTTTCCCGATCAACGTGTTGGAGAGTTTTACACCGGTCATTCTGTTGATGCTCTGGGGCCCGACCTTGTCGCACAAGCGGGTCGTATTCTTTCTGGACAACACCACTGCGGTGGGGGTTTTGCGGAGTCGATCGGGCGAGCGCGCTCACCTGTCGGTGGTAGCGGCTTTATTTTGGAGTTTGTGTGCCCGTTTTGCCATAGTGCCGTACTTCGAGTGGCTCCCCTCCGGGGAAAATGTTGCTGACGCGACTACCCGCGATGCACTTTGGGCGCAGTTCTGTCGGGTGGCTAGGGTGCAGCTTCATTCCTGTGTCGCTTTGGGGGATGAGATTCAGAGGTTCCTGACCACGGTGGCGACCCCGCTTGAAGATCCTTGTGAGCTGCTGGATTCTATTCCGGCTGAGGAGTTGCTGGCTCAAGTTTGAGCCACTCCGCGATGTTTTTTGCGCTTGCCCTGTACCCTTTTGTTTTGAGATCCGCCTGTGGACTCAGTGTGCAGATGTTTCTGGACGGTATGACGTCTCTTCTTCAAATACATTTTCCACCTTTGGGTATGCGATTTACTGCTTCGCGGGCCCAGGCTTGTCATGTGATCCCACTCAGAAAACAGTGTTCCCACTTCTACCACTGGCGGTTTTGTTTGGGTTTCTTCCCGTGTCTACTTGTCCCTCGCTTTGGGATTTCGTTTGTTCCACTTCGGCGTAGGGCCTTGCCGAGGGCAATTGGGGCGGGGCTGGGTCTCCCCTCATTCAACCACCTGCTGTGGGGTTCTGAGGGGTCTTGCCCTGTTTGGCAAGGTGGTGGTGAGGCGTGCTGGGCCTCGGTTTTGGGAGGTAGGCCCAGGACGCTTTACCCAGCCCCAACGGCGCGGTCCAACGGGCCGCTCGGGTTTAGGGATACCACATGGAAGGAACGAAACTAAAGACATATCTACCTCGGTAGATCCTTTTCGTGTAGTAACTGGGATTTGGGGTCCCCCGTTCGCACTATATCGGCTGGCAGATCCGTAGAAGCTATTGCACGTTTGCGATCTCCTCCCCTAGAGTGGGGAGGAGCGATGTAGAGTCATCGATATGTGCGTCTGGGGGACGTAGGTTTAGGTGAATTCTTGCCCCACCCCCCCACCCGAGTGGCCGTATACGTCGTGCCGGTTCGTCCGGACAGACGTTTGGTGGTGAGGCGTGCTGGGCCTCGGTTTTGGGAGGTAGGCCCAGGACGCTTTACCCAGCCCCAACGGCGCGGTCCAACGGGCCGCTCGGGTTTAGGGATACCACATGGAAGGAACGAAACGAAAAGACTCGGACGTTAAATTTTATGGAAGAAAGTGTTCCGTTCGTTCGCAGAAACGGCGCGTAAAAGTATCCAGGCGGAGCAATCTGGAAGAAGGGCGAGTAGTTTTTTGATTCTCCTGTTCAGAATTTCTGGCGCAAATCCATTGTCCTCTTTTCGCGAACAAAGAAAGAGAGGCTAATCATACGCGAATCGTTTTCTGGGATCTATCTTAGAAGTTAGTGATACACCGTGGTAAAGATAATTGGCTCGTTATCAAATCTCCATGTTCTTGGCTCATCGATACGATCCCATGGTAGGTTAGCACTTTTTTTCACACAAAGTAGGTACTTCAACTTACTTACAAGATTCCTAGAACTGTATCACTATCGCCGTTTAGAATTTTCATTAGGGAGACAGCCAGGCGCTAAATGGGTTCCGTTTTAGCTTGCATGTCAATCAAAGACCATGTCGTTGCCTCGGCTGCCCGACTCGGTTACCGAAGTCGTTGACCTCCTGGGCCTAGACGCTAGTTTCACCCAGGACGCGCTCGCACCAGGCGTGGCTAGCCAATTGTTCCAAGTGTGCAACCGACATTTCGCATCGATTGTGGAGGAGGCGATAATTCACCCGGACGAAGCAGGAACGCGACACGCGAAAAGCCCATTCGTTCTACTGGCGCGGCTGTTGAGAAAAAGACGGTCTGGAGCTGCTGCGCCCCGGGAAGATCAGAAGAGTGCAAAAAATACAAGCGTGGACAGAATACTGCGACAGCTCTTGCTGTGGAATAGCTATGATAGACGCGCGGAGATAGTTCTGCTTCCCCTTCTGGTGCGCGAACTACGACTGGCGCGGACCGCCTTTGCTTTTTCTGACAGCACGCTAGCTGCTAGAAAACGCCAGTCTCTCAACGATCCAAAGGATCGATGTCAGGCCGTGCTCGTTCCCCAATTGCAACGGCTTTTCGGGCGAGAGGGTGTGGCTCCGGCTGGGGAGCGAAGTGGTAGAGACGAAAGCAGGTTTCAAGCTTTTGACGCTCTGTTTTCGGACGATGTACTTGACGATGGAGCGAGCGGACGTCGCACTGCGCCTGCCGCGCTGGGTACGCTCCTGCTGGACTCTGTGCCACTTTTGAGATGCACCCAAAGCGCGTCCTTGGTACCGCGACCCAGACTCTCTCTCTTCGATCGTGCGAGAACTTGGAAATCCCAACGAGTCGAAGCGAATTGTGCATCTTCTTCTTCGCGCATTCAGACCGCCGTTGATCGGTGCTTGCTCAGCATCCGGAAGTGGCGAATTCATGCCCATTATGTGCACGAAGCACAGCGGGCTCGGGTGCACTGGTTGCATGTTCTCCGGGAGGAGCTAGAAACGCACACAATACTGCCGCACTCACGGAAAACAGCACCGCCCTCGCAGCTGGAACTTCACATCCTAGAGAGCCCGGTACTGAAGAGGAGGCTAGAGCGCTTGCTCACACTTCACACCACAGCAAGCCAGGTCGAAGCGGACGCTCTACACTGGAGCTGCAAGGCTGCGAAGGTGGTGCACCGTCGGGAAGAGCAAAAGCGGGAAGAGCTGCGAGAAAAACCTCCGCGAACTGCAGGATCTGAAAATCAACATAGTTTTTCCGCAGATCAAAAAGACCTTTCCTCGTCTACTTGGAGCTCCAAGACAACCGCACGTCTATGCTCCGCATTGCAAAAGGCCGAGCGGCGGTTGCTGTGCGGAGCGGATTTGGTGCACGACGACCTGGATTTCGTAACTGCGAGTACCACCACAAGCAAGCGGACCTCCACGAACCCGAGCAAGCAGACACGAAACGAGAGTTGCAGCGGGTCCGAGGTAGAAGATACAACTAATTCCGCACAGAGCGTACAAAGTAGGAACCGCCTCTTTGACCATGTTGCGCAACTGCGTGGAGATCAAACCGATAGAGGAAACAAAAGCAAATCCACAAGCCCGGACTTCCCCTCGTGGCTGCGCGCCGAGTGGCTGCGGGTGAAGGGTTTGCAGCGAGAAAAGCCCACCGAGCTACTACGTTTGGCGCAACGACTGGACGAAATTTTTCCCCGAGACGTCGAGCCACCGCCGGCCTTCTTTCTCCCAGGTCTATGTAAACATACAACTGGTGGGGAACAGTTGCCTACTGGAACAACGGGCACAGCAAGAGCTCCCCCAGTAAGTACACCAAGCTCATCCTCTGCTACGACCGCTCAAGAAGATCTCGTGGCGTTCATAGCACGGTATAAAGCGCGGTTACAAAATGTAGAGGCGCAGAGAAAGGTATCTGTAGTGGGAAGGGAACAGGCGTTAGAAGCGTTCGAGCAGTGGCAAAATAGTTTGGGGAAAGACGGCTATCACGTTTTGAAACAGTTCCAAGGTGCCGCAGATCTTCGTGCAGAAGCTGGTCTGACGCAGGACCGCATTTAAGAACGAAGACTAAAGAAAACGAAAGGGCTGTTAGTACTGTTGCACAGAGAGAAACGGCGCCTTTATTTTTGCTCGGTGTGCGCAAAGAATGATGGTGATGGTGGACGCGTGAATGACTGCGAATGACATCGAAAGCGTGGCACTGAAGATACATTGTGAACAAATTTTTAGCAATAGCAGGCGCTGCAGGTGGTCATTATGTTCTTCCTTGGCAAGCACAAGACTAGAATGATTCTCGTGTGGAACAAAACGATATTGCTTCGGATGAACATCAATCACTAGTGTCGCACTGGTAATACCTCCTAGAAGTAGAAGCGAAGGTGAAGAGACATCAATCAATACACACATCCTAGGTTAACTCAAAGCGGAACAACTTCGCAATGCAGCGTGTCCCATGAATTGCCACGGTTTTCTACCAGAATCAGAAATGCATGTATTTCCACACTCTCCTAAATAAGTAGAAAAAGAGGAGTGACCACCCCAGCTTGATCATTTGGCTTTGAACAAGAATTGTAGCAAACGCGACTAGATTAATATGCAAGACGAACCACTATTGCATAGAATGAAACCGAAAATAAATGTCAGGTTCTGCACGATAGATTTGATCATGGTCGAAACGGCGGCAGAGATTGAGATCTGTCTTCGATGTTGGACGAGAAAAAAAAACGAGCTAGTTGATGTAGAATTATCGCCTAAGGGCGCGCCTGCTCTGCTATAATTGTCGTGCTCGACCCACGGGTGAGGAACTCCACGACAGAACAAATCTCCTATAGCATTCTACTACGGAATGAATCACGTAAATAACCATCTTGAAATTGAAATTCTACGTGCTGAAAATGAATCTATCTTCCGAACATTCTACGGAATGAGTCTCCTGAAGCCGCTTCTACGGAAGCATATGAAGTAAGTCTAGGCGACAGCCAAAATTTAGCCGCAATCCTTCTCGCGCTTTCGTTTCGAAAAGTATCTTTGGAAATTCACTCTCGCATAGATATAGATTTCCTTCCATTTATTTTGTTCCTTATCGTTTGAAGTAGAAGTACGTGAATTTCATTGTTGACATTTCTGCCAGATAAAACGTCCAGTAAATGTTTGTTTGTAAAGAGTATATCTAAGTAGTTTTTGTTTTTCTCCTATCCCCTTATTTCTCCCTTTCTTAGCGAGCAATCACTTAGTTTTTCCTTTCATAAGTTGGCAGTATTTGTTTCTGATTTCACACTGACTTCACACGATTTTCCATACGGAGTCATAGGTACATTCTGGCGGAAATTCACACTCATACCTCATTAGGATTTTTCTCGACATACAAGACATCATCAGTATTTAGATGTTTCGATAGATGTAGCACTACGGCGCAGAGAAAATGATGAAAAAGAAACACTGACAATGGTTCATACTTGTGATGTCTCCCAATAAACATTGACCACGGTCATTTCAAAAACGAACAAATTTCCCTCTGCGACCAAGAAACGCGAAAGAATTGTTGACACTGCTGGCTTGCGAATGAATTTGCAGTTGAGCCAGAAGCTGAAAACTTCACAACACTCCGTGTAAATGTTACACTACGGCGGTCCGCCGCCAAAGGGCGGCCCTTCGCCAAAGGGCGCCCCGATGATGATAAAAGGAGGTGCTGGACCACCACCTGGAGTGATTTTGAAAGGCCCGCCACCCGGAAAGGGGGGTATGGTCACAATCAAGGGCGGACCGCCACCGCCAGGGCAACAGGTAAGAAGTTTTTTTTTGCTAGTACACAACTCTCACCGACAGACTGTAGTCCGCCTTCTTCGACACCTTTGCAGTTTTACACGGTAAGATTGACCTGCGTCTCCTTGCGGTAAAAGTCATCATCGACCTCCACTCACTTGACAGTTTGTTCCACCGCCGGGCGCCGCGATCATAAAGGGGGGCCCCCCGCCGGGAATGCCGATAAAAGGTCCACCAATGCACCACCAGCCACCAATGCACCAGCCACCGCAGCAGGAGCACTTTTCCAAGGCCGGGGGCAAGGAACACACGTACGGAAAGGGCCACAAGGACAAGAATTCGTACAAGGGCAAGGGGACAAGTAAGGACAAGTCGTACTCCTCCTCCTCCAGCTTTCCCCCCGGCCCGCCCCACGACTACGGGGCCCACGATAAAGGAGGAAAAGGGAAAGACCCGCACAAAGGAAACGGCCACAACCCGCACCAGCCCCCGCCGTTCCTGGTGGGCGGACCTCCACCGCCGGGCGGAAAAGGGGGCCCACCGCCACCCGGCGCACCGCCCGGGCCGCACGTCATCTACCAGCACGGCCCTCCACCACCCGGCGTAGTCGTGCACCACCATTCCCCTGCCGGCGCGCACATAGCCGGCCACCCCCCACCACAGCAGGCTCCGCCGCCGGGTGCACCGCCACCGCCGGGCGTGCTGTTTCAGCCCCCAGAAGTTCCGCCAGGGCACATCCTCGAAATAGTCAGGAATGCCGACGGTAAGACTAGAGGTCTGGTTCAAATGCTGTGAACAAGAACGAAAAAAAAAATCGATATGGAAGTACAGCAGTCGTGCTTATTTTAATTCGATATGTGAGTACAGCAGTGCTTCTTTTAATTTTTGGTACAACCTTTACGAATACGAACTCAGGCTCAAATCCGTTTGAATTTCATGGCAGGTACGGAAGTTCACACAGTCAGGCCGGCAACCGAAGCGGCACCACCACCACTCCAGCTAGTATCTGTTTGATTTTGTGTCTCTAAGTATGTCTTTCAATGCCGAAGAACGAAAAAGAAAACTACATCAAAACGATCAGCAGAGGCTAGCATTAGCTCTTGTGTGAAAATCAATCGTCATTTTTAGTGATTTTGTTTTCTTCGACTGGCAACGACAGGTGGACCCAGCGACGCCAGCCCAACAACTTCCTCCTGGCGTGCTGGTCCCAACCACGTCCTCCGCCAGCGCACCGCCACCGCAGCCGCCGGAGCGGGGCCCGCCGCCAAGTGAGTACCTCTCGGCGAGCGCCCCGGGAGAAAAAGAGATCGAGCGGGACGATTTCGCGACAAGGAAACCGGACGTTTATGACTATTTTCGCACAAAGAATGTTGTTCAGAGCAAGGAGGCGCCCGGATTGTGGGACATACATCTTTACAACGGAATGTGCCGCGATAAACATGTGGCCGACTTTATGGACTGTTTGGAAGCATGGTACTTAAGCTTTATTGAACAAAGCTTTTCTAGTGGTAAGACCGCCACTGCCGTGTCTTCAATGCTCGCGAAAGTGCATCACTAGCAGCAGCCTCCGTCTGCCTGCGGTGAATAAAACGCTATTACAAAAATAATGCAAGAAGCTTGTTTTTCTTTTTATCACGCTGTGGCTGTCGCCTACTTTGTTTTAAGTTCCTGCGAACGATTTGCGATCTCCTTCTTACAGGTGTACGCGCTTGATGGGTGAAAAGCCTTACCACATCCACCGATTCAACCTGTCCGGTAACGACCTGAGTGATAGCGCCGTGAAGAAAATCATAGAAACGCTCATGACCCTCGAAATCCGCGTGGACGTGCTGGACTTGACAAAAAACAAGGTACTTAAACAAAAATGAAGCATACCAGCTTTTATTTTGTACATTTATCATCGAACTGAAGAATTATCGTCCAGATGTATCCTAATGATGGCAAGTAGAAGAATATAGAAGGTGTTATTTGTGTTTTTTACAAAAAGAAATACAGGGAGGTTGTGGATGAGAAGCTAACCGGCATTGGTAACCATGTCCGTAGACAGTGAAAAGTAAAAAGTGATTCATCACATGAAATAAAACAGATCCAAAGCGATGCTGCTTCAAAGATTGCGGACTACGTCTGGAGTACGGAACCCTTGAGTGAACTGCTACTGGATCGCAACCTGCTCGGCTTCGAGGATGTAAATTCTGTGCTGCGCGCGTGCTACAACCACAGCGGTTATCCCATTCGCAAGTCCTACGGCCTTCCCATTCCTCTCAAGCTCGGAATCACCAACAATCCGATCGTGGCTGAAAGTATTGAGTTGTAAATTGTTTGCCACGGAGTTTTGTCGGCGCTAGGATGAAGGCAGATGTTTTTCATACTGAATTTCATTTTCCGTTCCGTTTTCGTTGGAACAAGTACTTATGCATTGTTTTTTTCATCGAAGAAACCTCTTCACAAACAATATCCCAGATCGCGTCGGGGAGTTGCTGAACACAATACGAAAGCAGGGCGGAAAGGAGCGCGTTTGGTTCTGTAACTGCGAGGAAGATCTTTCCGAGAAGGAGCTGGAGAGGCACCGCGAAAAGCTTGAGACCTGCTACCTTGCGGTCCACATGCCGGGCGCCTTCACCGGCACCGACGACCGCACAGCGGTCCGGCGGTCGAGGTCGCGGACGCGGACGAGGAAGCGCCAGCGAAAAGAAGCTACCAGCGACGACGAGGAGGACGAGGAAGAGGAGCAGGAGGTTATCAAAAAGAAAAATCCCCCCTCCCCATATCGGAAACGAAATTTGTGATGCTGTATTTGAGTACACAAATCGGCTTGTATTGCTAGAAGGCCAAGAGACGCAGTTGTGGCCTGAGTTGCAGGCAATTCGTCATGCTGTTTCCCACTTCCAGTTGCCTCGCGTCATGCTGGAGATGCAATACTTTCCCACGCTAGCTAGCACTACAGTCCGCATCTTTTGCCGTCTAGCATCACAAAGCTGATTTGTGACCACAAATCTGCATCACAGATTTTCGTTTTGATATGGGGAGGGGGGTTTTTTGTTCTTGATAGAGGTGTCCGAGCAGCGACCCGCTCGTCAGGGCCGCCGGAACGCCGAACGCGACAAAAGGTCCTGAGCTCGTGGAAGAAAACTACACGGAATATATCTACAAAATGAAGCAACTTGTTTTTCCATTCCGCGCCGCTGACGGAGTGAGTCTACGGGAAACATCAATGAACAGAAGCGTGATGAAAATGAAAAAATGAAGCCGCTAGGATGTTGTACAAAAAGAAATGCGTAAAGAAAAACCGAGCCCAGACGTTTTTTTTTTCCGTCCGTCTAAATCAATGCGACGTCGACAGCAACGCTGAATCTTCTTGTTTATGCTTTTTCTTCACTTGTCAAGTGATTAGGAGAGATGGAGGGCAGGCCGCAAAGAGTTTAGTTTGCTAGACAAAAATCCTAATCCGGTTCGAAATTTTCACGAGTGTCTGTGTACTGTGTGCGTTTTCTTTGAGTGTAGCCCAGGGTACCACCAGCTGAGGGCATTGACCTGCTGCGGTCGTATCAATTTGCAGCTCATCAATCAGCAAACGCAAACCGTACTTAACCCCGTCCGATAGCCCATTTTTCGCACGTAGAGATTTTGCTGTCGAAGTTACTTTCCGTAGCCTCCTGTGCTTATTTTACTTCAACGTTTTTGTTTTGATTGACACGCAAAAGTTTTTCGTCTGTTGAGGTCCACCTCAATTTTTTCGAGTCAAAGTCTTGCGTTTTTCACACGGCACCTGCAGAAAACCAGCATACAGCAGGGATTTTTTACAGCCTCGACGAAAAGCAACAAGGGCAGACTTACGGGACGGGGAAAAAAACCGGACTCGCAGATTTTTTGAAGCATACACGACGCCAGGTCATCTTCGCCCTTCTAGTTTTGCTTGCCGCTCACTGAGAAAGTTCTCATCCGTCGCGTGACATCGTGAAACAATTTTGCGGGGATCAAGCGATACGAAGCGGCGGCACCGGACCAATTACTGAATCTCCAGACCACAGCGTCTTGGCATAAAAAAGCAGAGACTTGATTGCTTCACGTGAAGCTATGTTCAACCACACGAAAATTAGCGCCACGCCGAACGAAGAACAGCAAAAATATAGTTGCACAAGCCCGGCACACGAGAAGTCAATGACCGAGAAGAGATAAGCTAAGTTTTCCACGCTCCTGTAGGACTGCTGCTCCAGCTGGTTGCACCGCGATTGACAACGAGAAAAATTTCCCCACGTACTTGATGTTCAAGCCGAGAACTCTTGGTCGTCCCACCCTGATCTCATCGCCTCGGCGTCGTTGAGTACTGCTAGCTGGGGAATTCGCAGCAGTATACTGAATTAGCTCGACGCGGAACAAAAAAACCGTTTTGCCCAAAACGCAAAGCAACGTGGTGCGAGGAATATCATCTCCAAGAGAGCTGCCACCGCTCCTTGTTCGACCGGTTAGGAAGGAAGAGAGGTTCAAATCCGCTTTCCCAACGAACTGCGGGCTTTTCTACCAAAGTGGAGCAAGAGAGGTGCTCAAAAAGGGAAATAAAACACCAAGAGGCACCGGTGCTGGAAGAAAGAAGCGAAGAGGAAGATACATGCCAGATCAGGAAAACGTCATGGCGGATCATGATTGGGATGCCCCAAGCCCCGGTGCAAAGTCCAGCCGTGAAGAACTTGTATCTATTATAGTTTAAGTTTTTTTTGTCAGCCCCTTGTTGTTTTCGCATTTGGAATTGCGGAGGAACATGTGGTTGCATTGCTAGATGAGATGATCTTCGTGTATTTCATCAAAAAAATAAACTTCATCCCTGCGACAGGCACGGGAACCGCTGGCGCCAGATAACGACTACCGACCCGGAGATATCAAGATAATACTTCTCGGCGATTCGGCAGTCGGCAAAAGCAAGCTTATCGAGCGATATCTCTTGAACGCGTAAGAATTCGTTGTTTTCGACCTCGAATTGTGAATGTTATTGGGAACGATCGGAAATTGATGCTAGGCCAGCCGGACTCACGTGATGTACTTCAGCGTTGTCAGGAAAAACCCAAACAGGTATACGAAACACACAGCGTCAACGTTTGCGGTGAACATATTCTCACATACGCACACCGACGCAAAATCAAAGAAAGACTACCGCATCGACTTCTGGGACACAGCTGGGCAAGAGCAATTCTCAAATCTGCACCCAAGTACAAATATGTTTCATGCTTTTGATCACTTTCTTCTTCTTGAAGTTCGTGCAAGGGAAAAAACATATAAAAAACAGGAAAGCTTTATTGTAAAAAAGTATAACAAGACAAAGAAACAAAAGCTGAGGCCAATAAAGCTTTCCTGTATCCGTCTCTCTATAACAGCGCCAAAGAGCAGCGCTGCCCGTCCAGATGCGCGCAGCATCTACAGCTACCCATCTAGAGTCCACAAAATTGCAAAGATCCCTGTGATCATTTTTTTCCGCCCTTTAGGTTAGATAGGAGGTGTCAGGGGGCGAGGTAGTGATATAGGCGCGCACACCTGAGGACGTAGGCTCCCTTACTAGCTGCAAGTGGGTCATTCCCGACGGTGGAGCGTGGTTTTATATGAGAACCAGGTAAGGCTTCACTGCCGAAACGATGAAGAGACGTTGGTCCAGCGTAGCACTGTCAAATGGCGACCGAACCTATGCACAGCTAAGGTTTTCTAGCCACGGCAGTGTTGCTCACTCCGTACCGGGTCCCGTGCGAGCAACCGTAGCCAGCGAAGTGGAGAGGGAAACCACTGTTCAGACGTTACCGGAGAAATTTGGTAACGATTGGATCCCGGGAGCGCACCCACAGAACTTGTCCATGGACCTGTGAAGAACACGACGGCAGCGATCCCCGATCATTCTCATCAAAACTCCGATCAGAAGTTGCTATTGTGATCTTTATAAGTTTATGGCTAAGATTATGTTTTCAAAAAAAAAAGTTCGTGCAAGGGTCCTGCTGTTCTGGTTTTACAACAGAAGATCACGAACAAAACAACACGACCGCAGGTTACTACTACGAAGCACATTGTTGCATACTAGCGTTCGACGTAACAAGAAAAATAACGTACAAAAATCTGGAGAAGTGGTACGAAAATTTGCGGAACGGCGTCATGCGAGACATACCAATAATCTGCATCGCCAACAAAATAGACTTCGACCCGACCAGCACACAGAAAAAGTATTGGCTTTTTATTGAGGTGCTTTTTGATTTTGGTTCCTTCCTGGAATGCATTTTGGCCTGCGCCAAGCAGAATTAAGTACCGAAGAATAAGAATAAGAAATTTGCCAACGACCCAGGTTCCAGTTTGCAGTGAAGCACAAACTGCCGTTTTTCTACGTGTCTGCCGCCGACGGTACAAACGTCGTGCGCATATTCGAAGAAGCCATTGCCTTGGCCATCAAGCAGAAGGAAAACCCCGATAAAGACGACGTACTTGTTCTTTTACGCTCTGTTTATCATCTAGAGGATGGACTCTGGTGGAGGACGTCGCGGATTTTATCAACGCAAAAAAATCATAATATGCAGGTCCTAGACGACATCATGGCACTGCTAGCAGAAGACGACAATGCAGACATGTTGTAGGTGGAAATGCAGCGTCCTGCGACTCGTCAACGTCGATTATACGACTTCATGGGCCAGCGGACTCACTTGCCAACAAGTCGGTATAAAAATGTGATGGAGGGCGCATCGCCATCCCGCGCACACGCGTAGTTACCCGACGAGAAGCTGTGTCGACTGCCGCACAACTGCATGCTTGCGGAGGGTTTTTTTGCCTCAGACAGTGGTCGTTCCACTTGCAGTTGGAGATTCTGCTCCCGGACGAGCACAATACGGAATAGAAGTAGACAGCTTCTGTCGTCCGGTGTGGGCCCGCCGCTCCTCGTTGAATTTTTGATGGATCGATACAATATCACGAAGCACTCAATATTGGATCGGTAGTATGTGTGCAGATCGATCTTCTTCAGATCTGCCGCTGACTGCTTTCCAAAATTAGCTGACCCATGTGAGGCGGCTGGGTATGGGCAGTTTGCCTCTGCTTGATGATGGACCTGACCACAGTAGCATTTCGGGTTTAATAGACAGCTCGTTTTTCTGCTTCCATGCAGCACAACTCCTTGCGCGCAGATAACAACACAATAAGAAAACGAAATCTATCCCAATCAGATCGCCACTTTTGGTGTTGGTTTAGCGTTGTTCAAACGCGGGCATTTATGAAATGCTGGCTGAGCTGCATGAACTATGCTAAAAGACCAACTTCGCGACCGTGTAGTGGTGAAGAGAGAGGAAGAAGACTTCGGCAGTGAAGTAGAGGGTGTGCGAGAAGTTACAGCCAAAATGACAAAAACTGACGATAAAAACTTTCTCCTTTTCTTGCTGCCAAATCCAGTGCGCCACAACTCTTTTTGAGGCGTATGCTACACCGGAGTTGTTTGAACACCATGTGACACTTGGCCCCGGGGAGAATTCCAACACTACGCGGGTCCTCTTGCCGAAGCGGGATGATGTTGGGGCGGTTCGCAAATCACGAGGGCCCTCGACCAGCGCGTCGGGGTCGGCGTATCGGGAATTGTGTTGCGTTGTTGCTCGGAGTGGTGAGCGGAATCGAAGGGCGAAGTTTGGGGAACAGGTTACACCTGTTCAACATGCAGAACAGTGGGAAGGAGCGGGCGGACAAGAAGGAGGTCTACGAATTCCGCGTCTCCATGCGTCACGATCCCAACAAAGTCGCCTTTCTCAGCTTCTCAACTTCAACTGGGTAAGGTGGAAGTTCATTGTAATATCTATCATGTCGAAAATGAAAATGAGAATCATGATCAATTTTCTGCTGGTGTCTGTTGTGATCCAAATGTCGCAATAAACGACTGAAGAGACTTCGGTATCATAGTTGCTTAAATGAAAAACCCGCTGCTCCTTTGTTCAGGCTTGCGGAAAAGAATAAGCAAGTGCCGCGGGCGGAAGAGAGCGAGAAGCAGAAGCAACAAGCGATGACGCGCGACATGTCGGTTGCCGTTTCGAACGCTCTAATGGACGCTTTCCAGGCGGGCAAGGGGCAGCCTAATGCGAACACGGGGTTTCACGTGAACAACGTCGGCGTGCAGACGAAGCAGGACAAAACCGGTTTCAATGTGCGTGGCTACCTGAACATGCCGAGCAGCATCCAGTCCAGCAGCAAATTTTTGGACGATCTCAAAGCCAAGCTGCCCGGGGCGTTGTCCCAAGTCCAGAACCTTGAGAACGCCAAAGTAGACGAAGTCAGCATTGTGCGGCTAGGTACTTACAGCTGCATAAAGTAAGTTCTCCGCTACAAAAACTCATTTGGTATATTCAGAAATGATGTAAACATTAGATGTCTTGTTCTTTTCACGGCTGGCTAGAAATTCTATGTATATCGATCTGCTGATGTTCAGAGCTTTGCAGCAGTGCGTGGCTGCCGAACGGGAAAACGGAGGAGGGAAAAATGAGCTGCCCTGCGACGGTAGAGGAGACTATGGCCTGCGGGAGTTCAGTCTGTACCCTATCGGACAAAGACGCGTGCTGCACCGACGAAGCCACGAGCAGCCTGGCTACGTCGAGCACGAAGCAAGTCGGTCCGGTGTTACTCACGGGCAATATGTGCGTCAACAACGTGCTGCAGATTGGCAAGGCATGGCAGATGGAGACCTCCGACGACCTGTGTCGGCAGCTTCCGTACACTCCTAGAGTGGTTCGATATTGATTTTTCGTCTAAAAGCAATTCGCAAGGAAGAGAGGAAAGCAAAAGTGTTAGCGTTCTTGATTGATGCATTTCTTCATGGCGGAATCTTGCCTCCTTGCCTCCGTTGCAGAGTTCGTAAGGGCAATCGTGCAAAAATCGTAAAAATTCAAGAAAACATAAACAGCTACCAGGCCGAAAAGCCTACCACGATGGCAGACTACATGATGAATGCGGCGAAAAATTTGCTGTCGGGTAGCGACGTGGCGAAGAAAGTGCAGTTGTCTTACGGGGTGTACAAGACCTTCTGCGTGCCGAGCAGCATGAAGGGGGCGGCGAACAAGGGCACAAACCTCTTCTACCTCAACGTTGGCGGCTACCGTGGCGAAGATGACAAACGGGAGATTCTGGACCTGTTGAACAACAAAGACTTGAAGGCAGAAGTCTCGTCTCTGATGGGCAACGTCGCAATCACGGATTTCGCTATGGGCAGCGGCTTTCAGGAGGGAGAAATCGAGTGGCCGAAAATGCAGGTAGCTTTTTTTGCGGATAAAGTTAAAGATTAAGAGTAGTTTACTGCCGTCCACGAAGCTAGCAAGTTTGTGAAAAACAAAGTAGCAAGTTTTTGGATTCAAGAGACTGTCACCTACTGTAGGCAAAGTTGAAACTACTGATATACACAGGAGCCCTGTCGAACCAATCCAGACGGAACGATGGGTGGCCTGTGTTACGTGAAGACGTTGGATGCTACTCAGCACAACCGAATCTGTCTACCTGCGCGTGCGACCAAAAAGACTATACGCTCGATACAACTTTGCATAGATAATTTTCCCATCTTCATCACATGCTTAGTAGAGGGAGAATATAGATGCAATACTTATGCAGTGCAACTAAGGGGGCAGGGGGACTGATTCGAAATCCATACGCCGTCAGGGCTGCACCGCGCTTCCGGGGGCCAAGCCGCCCAAAGTGCTGCCGGGTATCAACACCGGAAGTTTGAAGTACGTCGCACGCTAGGGGATAGTAGCTTCCCTCACCGTCGGCGGTTTTTTTGACAAGCCCCCTCGTTCGCATACACTCCTCGTGTCATGTGAGTTACAATTCCAAGAAATTTCTTGTAGAATACAGAACAGATGCGCTAATTAGTCATTTTTCCGAGAATACAGTTTCAGATCAGTGAGTAAAACAAAACGCATAGTCCAGCGATAGCACCAATGTTTCCTCTAGCATTTTACTTGAAAAAATGACAAGTCGACTAATTCTCTGCAATGGTGATTTGAGTCAAAGAGAAAAACACACTACTGCAAAAGCGCTGTGAGTTCTTTTTCCGTGCCCCACGAATTTTGTCGTGTCTTACTTCAGGCATGAAATCAGATCGGTGGAGCAAAAAATACTAGCAACCATAAACGTTTCGGTCAAATGTTTTATTTTTCTCGTGGTTGCACTGTGTCTCCTGTCGGTTTGATCGTAGCTGCAGCTCCTGAGTATGCATCGGTTGCTGTCGTGACATTAGCATGCGGATACGCTCGCTAAGTGTCGGTTGGAAGCTGATTCTCTAATTTCCAGTCGGTGAAAGTCGTGTAGCTAATGTTTGTAACATGGCGTAGTCGTACATAACATGAAGTTTTTGCTGGCGAGTTCGGTTAGCGGAATATGAAGTGAGCAGCTCGAAATTCATTGCAAATACAAACTATACGATCAGGCTACCATACGATTCCCATCAACTTCTACCTTTTAAGTTTAACGAAGATCTGCAATTGAAAAGTTCGCGTTCGCCGACATGACGCTCACTTAATTTTTGGTCCATACATTCAACTAACTTTCGCTTTTCCACAGTAGTGTAGTACGCGCTTTTCGTTTGACCGGCCACAACAGACTACGCAAGGATGACCTCGACCGGCTTCACAATCGAATCTCCGAAGGGAGGACCGGTGTCGCAACTCGCAAACGCCGCCATATCATCACCGTTCAACAACAGATTCGATCCGCAATTTGGTACGGATGATGATGCCTTACTGTACTGAGAAATATCAACATTGCGCTAGAAATCCAAATCGAAGTCCTTTTTTCCCCTGTTCCAGAGTTATTTACCCTGCAATGCCTGATTCGTCGTACGTTGCACAATATGCAGTTGTCAGTTGTATGCTAGAGTTTCTGCAAAGAGCTAAAGATTCCAAAAATTTCTCCAGGTCGCCGTCCGACGGCGCCGCAGCAGAACTTGTTTTCAAATGAGCGGTATGGGATTCCAGATGCGTCGACCGAGTTTCAGCTGAATAGGGGCAACTACTACGCTACACACGGAGGCGCGGCGGGGCTATCGGACTACAGTAACGCGAATCTTTCGCCGTTTGGCGCACCTAGCTACTTCCCGCCTGGTACTATGATAGGAGCAGCAGGAGGTCCTCCCGCCCACCCGTTTGGCTCGCCCGCTGCGGGAGCTTCCATTTTTGGGTCCTCGCTGGGACCCATGACCACTAACCCTTTCGGCGCGTCACCCACTGCCATGGCTGTGGGATCCTTTGGCGTGCAGCAGCCCACGTGGAACAGCGTGCAGTTCAGCGCCCAGCCCATCAACCCCACGAACTGGAGTGTGGCTCAGGTGTTCGGCCACCACAGCGGGTTCGCGCAGGCTCTGAACAGCGCAGCCATGACAAAGAACGATCTGGACAACCGCGAAATGGTCGCACTGGAGATCCTATCAAATGTAAAAATGTCTGGGTCTGGAAGAATGCAACTTGTAATGCGTATTTCAGAACACAGAAAAGTCTCTGATGCATACGTAGCAAGAGCTCCCACTTTTTGTCAGCAAAATAGGGGACTTGTCATGCGGATTCGGCATTGCGGAAGGTTCTCGAAACCTGTGATGCTAGAGCTTCCATGCCAGACCTTCTGTGTCATGCAAAAACAGCATGACTCTTCCAGACCCAGACATTTTTACATTTGATAGATCCACCACCGCCGACTGAATCGCATCGAGGACGTAGTGGACGCCTTGGCGCAGGAAACTTCCGCTGTCGTAGTGGACCATGAGCAGAGGCTGCGAAAGATCGAGGGCTTCTTGTCGGACCAAATCAGCCGCATGGCCACCGGAAGGGCCAATGTCATGTCGGAGCGGTGATAAGGAAGCCAAGCGCAGTTTTACTTTTTTTTTTGATCCGGATCCTGTATTACTTCCAATCATTCATCTGCTCCTTTCGTCCACATTGATTCTTCAAGCACAATTTCTGTCGCATTCTCATTGACGAGCTTTTTTTCTTGCACTCGGTTGTTTTTCTGTAGGATTTTTTTTCGCAGTTCCGGCTTTGACAGCACGGTAGATGTAGCAAATTGTAGTACTCAGTCGCTTTTTATTTTTCAAATGAGTAAATGATCTTCGATGATCAGTAAGAGTAACCAAACGACGAAGTTTTTTTCTGACAAAGATATACGACGCCAACTGCAACTGAACATGCAACCGAGAAATTTTGTGAGAGCCTAAATAAAATGTGTTCGGTTGTGTGTTTTTTTCACACAGAATCAACTCACTGATCAAGAAAGTCAATTTCCATTTTTTTGGAAAAAAATCGGGTAGCAACGATTTGTAAAACACCTGAATTTTCTATGGCTCTCATGAAGCGCGCACATCCAGCACAGTAAGCTTGTTTGCCAGTTTCCCGCTTCGTTTTTCTTAGTGCAAGTAGCTGTAGATACTCTCTCCAGAATGGTACCTTAGTACGTCGCGCAGTCGCGACGCAAAATCTATCACAATTTGCGAGGCGGTAGAATCCATCGCTCCGGCAGTTCTTGCGAGGGAACATTTATAGCCTATGAAGCTGCACTTTGATTGTCTCAAATTACCCAACATGTTGACGCAAATGCACTTGTATCTACGTTTCACAATATCACAGTAAGTTCTGCGCCTCCTTTCCTGTTTCGCTCGTTTTTCGTAAGAAAGCTATCGATTGAGAATGCTCAAACTCCCCCGAACGCGCACCAGCGACGTGAAAGTCGCCATCTGCGGCGCCGGGGTCGCGGGAGGCACTTTGGCGGAGATGCTGAGCCGGAGCAGCCGCGTGTCGGAGGTGCACCTGTTCGAGATGGGGCGCGGGCTCGGCGGCCGCGCGGCCACGCGCAAACCACGGGCGCAGCCGGGCATGAGTTTCGACCACGGCTTTCAGTACGTCACCGCCGCGTGCGGGTTAGACGTAAGCCTGATCAATGAGTGGGAGGAGAAAGGTCTGCTGCACCCCTGGGGTCTCGAGGGCACCTTCGCGCAAATGCAGTACCTCAGCACGGGCGAAATTAAGGTGTCGACGAACAACCCGAATTTCAGCTGTGGCGCCACCTCCAGCCTCTCTCCCGAGTTGCGGGGCGTGTTCATGGATTTGGGTATGCACCCCGGCACGTTCGCGAACCGCAGCAACGACGCCTCGGCGTCTCCAATGCACCACTCCGGCGCGAGCGGAAACAGCTTATATGATGAACAAGCAGGTGAACTACAGGCGCAGCGGAAGCCGGAAGAGTACCTCAGCGAACTTCCGTACGTGGGGTACACAAGTAGCAGCAACATCGTCGAGAAGCTGGTGGCGGACAACCCGAAAATTAAGGTGCACTGCGGCACACGCGTGGTGCCGTCCTTCCGAGGGGTCACCGGCGGTTCCTCTCCGACGATGCCCTCGCCGGGCGGTGCGAAAGGCAGCAAGCCGGAGCGGGCGTGGCGCGTGCGCAAGTGGGTGAATGCGGAGGACGCGATGCGCAAGCGGGACGGAGCTGCGGATGGTGCAGTCGATGACAGCTTCACGGAGGATAGTTTCGATTTCTTCGTGTCCGCGGACCGGCTTTTCCTGAGCATCAAGGGTGAGGAGCCTTTCTTCTCGCGACAAGAAACGGCGGAACTGCTCGAGCCCATTCAGCAGCTGTTGTACCGAGAAATCGAGAGCTTACCGGTCATCACCTGCATGCTGGCCTCGCGTCCGAAGGGGGAAAGAGTTATAACAGGAGACGATGCGAGTGGTCCCGCGGCCTCCTTGAAGGACAATCTGCTGAACGGTATTCACTATCTGAAGCACCCGATTCTGAAATGGGCCAGCCGCGAGAACGCCAAGCCGGGCCGCGGTGCGTTTTCCTATAAACCTGACAAAGCTGGAGACCCAGAGCCGGTCGATTGCTGGGTGGCAATGAGCAACCCCATCTGGACGAAGGGCAGAATAGACGAGTTGCGCCGCCAGCTGGAGTTTGAGGAAGATATGCCACACGCGGAGGATGAAGCTGGGCAGCTGGACAGCAGCACGTTCTTCGAAAAATTACGCGAGCGGTGCAACGCGCTTGCGGAAGCAGAAGTTCTGCCCGCATTCATCCAGTCCCTGAAGCTGTTGTATCCGGATTGGGAAGCCAAGAACGAAATTATCTACCAGGTTGGTGTATGAATGGCAACTATAATAATGTCAAAGTCACCGACTTCACGGGTATGTTGACAAACTGCTCTTTGTTATCGATGCATGGCGAGAGTACAAACGAAAACCTTTGCTTGTAGCGGTTAGTATAGTAATCTTCATCATCTGGAGCAAGCTCGTCCGTCCGTTGCAAGTGAGATTTGAACGATGCAGAAACTGAAATTCAATCAAGAGAACAAGCCATGCTGTCGTGCCGCGAATGATGGTGCAGTTGTCTCCACCGAAGACCAAAGACGTTGACATTTTTGCATGTGATATCGTCACCGTTGGGGAGCCGCCTACCCAGACCGAAGTGCGCAGTTTTTGCACTTGCTCGCGGACCACGGCAAGATCGTCGGCGAGGAAGAGGCGTTTTTTGCGGCGCAAAGTCACCTCGGCATGTGCGGGGACTATTTTACGCATCGGCCGGGTCGGTTACTCGCCGCCGCGCACTCCGCCAGGGTCTTGGCTGCAGAAATTTTGCAGTACCTGGATGAGCAAGCCAGTGGCATGGAGGGAGATAGCGTGGCGGAGGAAGGGGCGAAGCTTTGATCCTTCTTTTCAAATGCACGGCGACAACGATCGCTGACACACAAATGGATGCGCAAAAAAGTTATTTTGAAATTTGTACGAAAAGGTTGGTGGCATTGGGAATCGAACTTCGCAAAGAGATAGGACGTGTGTGTAGCAGTACCACTACCGAAACAACGAAGTTGAAATAAAGATGTTGATTGTCATGATCATCAATCATCATGCCAGAGATGTGAAGCTTGATGTATTCAATGCATCTATGTAAATGTGGATGTTTTTCTCCCAACCACTTACAGCCGATGGATTCTACGCGACGTTTTTGTGAAGGAAACTAGAACTCATGTTCGACCTGAACGGGATCGTTTCGACATAGTGCACAAGTGCTTTTGCTAAACTGTGATGCAGAAGGTTTGTTCCAGCAGCTTGTTGATCGTTCGCTATAAGTAGATGCCGAGATGAACGGGAGTCTTCAAATAGACACAGCGAGATCGACAGGGATCAGAAACAGTGGCGAGAGCAGCAACCTGCTGCTTGTGAGGACGAGCGAAAATAATTCACTGGAGAACGAGAGAGAGCCTGAGCCACAACCAGCTGCTAGTGAAGCCAAAGCGTGTACTTGTTTTGGTTTAGCTTCGTCTCGATGGGGGAAAGGGAATATGAATTTCTGTCGTGTAATATCCTATTCCTATTTCTAGACGGTAGTAGTTTGTTTATTATCAGATTCAGTAGTACATGCCGGCGCTTAGATGCGCACGTTCGTACATGCACACGTTCGTATGGACGATTTTCTTCATTCAAACACGTACTTGGTGTTGAAAGATTATCTCTTTCAGTTCGGAAGCATGCCGGCAATTCGACTCCCCTTCCAAAAACGGCGACCGCGCCGCCTCCTTGTGGTTGGTGGCGCAGGTCCATTTATGTTTTGATGCGTCTGTACTTTCACACTATCTCCACGACGTCCAATGCAAGAGCTGTGGACGTGGAGCCGCAGAGGACAGAAAACAGGAAGCAAATCACGCTGACGCCTACTGGAGAAGCGAGCGGCGCTCCCAAATTGCGCCAATCCACCGACTCCATCGCGTCTGATAGCGATAGCCCGCGAACAAGTAGCACGGGCGGGCGAAAAATCAGGAAAACCAAAACGAGAACCGGCACCGCGAGTAGAAATGCGGGTCCAAACGTTGCCAGTGGCTCAGTGGGCATCACCAACAAGACGCAGCCAGGCCAACCCTCCGCACAAGTCCTGCGTCGAGAGAAGACGTCGGACGCAACACACTTCTCGTCCTCACTGTCTCACCGCGGCGCCACCCACGCATCCTTGGCGGCAAGGAGCGAAGTTGTTGACAGCGAACAAGTGTTGTACTCCGCGACAGCGAAAGGAGGAGAAACCCTTGTTCCGATAGAGCAACTCGTTGCCACGCAGTCGAGCGATTTCGGTGGGAACGATTACAGTGCTTCCCCTCTCCTCTACGAAAGGGGCATGTCGACACGCTGGAGTGAGAATCCACACGGTCAACATGTCTGCAGCCACAATAACAACACCGTCGACAACGGCGGCTGGTGGCGACTGGAGTTCAAGGACGGAAAGAAGCACTGCCTTTCCAAAATGGAAATTTGGAACAGATACGATTGCTGCCAGGCGCGCTTGAACAACGGCTTTGTGCTTCTGGATCCCGACGTAGATGATCCAGTCACCAAATAAGTATTACAGTGAAAAATGCCCCCGCCCTGGAATCAATTTGCAAAAGTTTCTCATGCAGCAAAGTTTCCAAATGAAAACCTTATCTTTCATTCTGTCTTGCATGAAAGGACTACGAGTACGAGCCTTTCTCATGCAGAATTTAGGCACGCAAGGCATCTTCTGCATAACAGATCCGGGTGCTGTTGGGCTCCTTTGCAATAAGTACAAATTTTTGTTATTCAGCATGGCAAATTTGTGTATGCTGATATATGCAAGACGTGGAGTGTTTCCATTGGAAAGGTTTGCAATACAAATGCTGCCAAGTTCTGGGGTGGGGGCGTTTTTCATTGTCACGCCAGAATTGATTTGCTCGCTGCCGCCGGGAAAATCCAGCTTCCGGCGGAGGTGCCTTTCGTCACTACCGCGGACAATGGAAACGATACAATAGACGGCGCAGTCGTGGACCTTTCGTCGAAAGAGCCGTTCCAGTATTTGTACGTGATTGGTCCGGAGGATCAGACAACCTTGACCATTTGTGGTGCGCACTTCTACAGCGCCGACGCCTGGTGGGAGGCCAGCGCGAAAAAGTCTACCCCTGCGGCAACGGAAGAATCACATGCAATGGGAAGATCATGCAATAGTGTCAGCGTTCTCATCGCAGGACCTATTTTGTTGTCCACGTGGTTGTGGTTGTAGCACACAACTGATTTACAGGCGTGAAAAAGCAGCGTAGGATTGCCTGAATTTCTGCACCAAGGCACAGACTCATATAACGGAAAAGCGTCACGCGCACGGCCACGGTAAGCGGCCGCCGTTTTTGACTTAGCCGACAGTGTGGTGCGCTTCTTTCATGTTCATTGAGCGAAGCGAGATGTTTGTGTTTCTCTTAATTCAGGCAATCGATGCGTGGCTATGTGAAGATTAAGGGCGTAGAAGAAGAGAAGTAAAGATAGCAGCTGGTTGAGAGGATACGGTGGTTTGAGGCAGTGAGAAGAGGGGAGACGCACCTATTGTGCGGCCAGATGTGGATGTCCAACGACATTCATGAAACGAAAATGTGGAGCGATTTTTTTTCCAATTTCATGTGAGCTCATGCTGATTTTCGCTAAGTGCAGAGTAGAGCCAGTCGTGTTGAGTAACACAGACATCATTTACGAAGAAGGAGGAAAAGGAAAACTTGAAGGAGGTCGTGTAACATCAATCATTCTTGTGCGTGATCATATTGCACTTGCAGTAATTCATATGCTTATTCGAAGAAAGACTCATTCTGCAGCAGGCGTGGTTGGACTCATGGAGTCCTTCCCAGAAAAAGGGAAAACATGATGAGGCCTGGATTGATCAAAACAAAGAAAAGGCCTATGATTAGGTGGTTTACTGCGCTCGCGGAGTGACATCGGCTTGCGCTTGTGTGTCGTACGTTCCGATTTATCGAGGTGACGCGTTGCCCTGGAGATTTTCACCGAACGGCTAGCGGATCAAGAGCCAACAGCAACTGCTTTATAATCGGTACAGTTCAGGCGAACTCGCACGAGCAGTCGGCAAGATGATTCGGCCAGGGAGCTCTTTGTCGAAGCAGAAGAAGAAGGTGCAGGTCTCTGCGGCCAAGACCTCGACCGGGAGTACGAAGAAATCGGAGCCGAGCCGACCGAACGTGTTCGAGTACCTGGAAAGATGCGACTACGTCGGGGCTATGACAATCCTGCAGTTCGACAAGACCACGGGCGCGGAGAACATTCCCATGTGGCTCGCCTACTCCGCCTTTCACAACGGCGACTACAAACTCGCCTTGGAAAACTATGAGGAGATTATTAACAAGCATCGGAGTTTAGGTCCGTTCTTTTCATATGCAGTTTCTAAGGTTTAAGTGAGCTGTTACTGAAACTTCTATGCTTGATGAGATTCTGTCGCCGTCGAATCAGATCGGTCCTCCACACTACAGGAAAAAACGTCGATCCGGCGCTGCATTTGTACATGGGTTGTTGTCACTATGCGTTGCAGCAGTACGAGCAAGCAGAGGCGTGCGCGCACCGCTGCGAAACCGACTCCGCGTTGAAGAAACGGGTTCTTTTTCACGTCGCGCACAAAAGAAACAACGAAAGTTTGATGATGCAGATGCACTCAAGTCTCTCCGACAGCTGTGAAGACCAATTGTAACAAACACGAAGTTTTTCTTTGTGTTTTTGCCGTAGTTGCGCCGTCCTATGTGTCATGTGGTTGATGATTGAAAATACAACCGGTCAGCAAGGTCACACATCATTTCTTGCTCTTCCGGGGGTGTCTTCAGCCGTCGTAGCATGAGCACTGATGACAATATCTCACTCAGGTGCCTCGCCGCGGTGCAGTTTTTGCGGAGCCACTTTCAGGAGGCGACGGATATGTACAAACGGATCCTGGTCGATAATCGTGAGCACCTCGCCGTCAACGTGTACATCGCCGCGTGCTACTACAAATTGGATTACTACGACGTGGCGATCGAGATTCTGCAAACGTACCTGGCCCAGTTCCCGGACAGTATCACCGGGGTAAACCTGAAGTCTTGTGCGCACTACCAGCTGTATAATGGGAAGGCCGCGGAAGCCGAGCTGAAGGTGCTACAGCAACAATCCGAGTCCCCCGTGTTTCAGGAGCACGATTTGCTCAGGCACAATGTCTGCGTCTTTCGCAACGGGGAAAATGCAATGCAGGTGAAGGATTTTAGTTTTGAGAGGAGGACGGAGATTATGTATCCTTCGCCGACGCCGAGGTTACTCTTACTTACCGGCCGAACAAGATGAAAATTCTCGAAGTAGAAAGGATCGCTCGTAGATTCATTTCCTTATCGTTGTTTTGGCCTAATCAGGTGCTGCCACCGCTGGTGGACATAATACCTGAAGCCCGGCTGAACCTGGTCATTTACTATTTGAAGTTTTCACAAGACTACGAAGAGGCTTACAACCTGATCAAAGACCTGGAGCCGTCAATACCCCGGGAATACATCCTGAAGGGCGTCGTCTATGCCTGCCTAGGTTCGCTGTTTGCTCAGTGCGTAAATAGGTGCTGGACCACTTTCGCTCAACCAGAACTCACTGCCGATTGACAAATTTCTACATAAGCCAAACAACCGCAAACGACATAGCCAGCGGATTCCCGCCAAGAAAACAAAACTGATTGCAGGTCAAAAGACGGGCAGTCGCGAGCACCTGAAGATTGCGCAAGGTCTGTTCCAGCTTGTCGGCGCGAGCGCATCAGAGTGCGATACGATTCCCGGGCGACAGTGCATGGCATCCTGCTTCTTCCTTCTGAAGCAGTTCGAGGATGTTTTGGTGTACCTCAAATCGATCAAAGCCTACTTTACCAGCGACGACGACTTCAACTGGAACTATGGTAAGGGCACTATTCGATTTCTTGTTCCCACACTGAACCACGCGCCCCTGCTAGTACTATGCTCTCATGCAGGATGATGATTTGCGAAGACTCGGGATACAAGAGCTTGACATGGGGGCTATGATTCAGATTTCTTTGTATCTACTTACATACAAGTTACAGCATACCTAACGTCACTATCTGTACAATCCCCGTACTCTACCAGGAATCACCTGTGCGAACGTTGGCGAGTACAAAGAGGCGAAAGAGGCGTTCCAAATGATTACCAGTGACAAGTACCGGAACGAATTCACCTACCTCTCTTGGCTCGCAAGATGTTACATCATGAACGGGGAGCCGCAGTACGCATGGGAAACTTACGTAAGTTTGATTTAGATTTATCAGTTAGCTGTAGGAAGTTTTCGAATGACGTGCTGGACCTATGATCCGCAGGTACTCCTGGTTCAACATCAACGAAAGTTTCCCGCAGTATGGGCGAATTGCGAAGTGACAGTACCATTATTCACGTTTATTCCTTTACCGCACTTCATCGATCAAGATGATGATGATGATGATCCCGCTTTCACTTCAGGTGCGCATGGACACAAACAACGACAGCTTCAACCTTTTACACGTGATCGCCAACGACTGCTACAAGATGGGCCAATTTTACTACGCGTGCAAGGCCTTTGACGTGCTGGAGCGCCTGGACCCCGACCCGGAGTTTTGGGAGGGCAAGCGCGGTGCGTCGGTGGGGCTCTTTCAGCAGGTGGTGGCCGGTAAGGAGACGCCGGAGCGGTTGCAGGAGGTGGTAAACCTGCTGCGGGCCACGTCCAACCCCCAGGTGGAGTACATCATCAACCGGGTCATGAAGAAGTGGGCCAAGGAAAACCGGGTACGGCTCGAATAAGGGCAGCGAGGAGGAGCGGGAGAAGCAAATTTGGCGCTGCGGTGCTGTTCTCGATGTTCTCGGTGGTTGTGAAGAGAGCCAAGGAGGAAAGGGACGTCGAGTTCTTGCACCGGAGACGGGGGCTGCATAGGTTTTTTTCAATGGCTTGTGCTTGCGCTGCACCGCCCTTGTCGTTTTACGGTTTTTGTAGAACAAGCTATAAGCTAAAGCCATCTGGAGGCACAACCTTCTTCATCTAATACAACTTTTCACTACTAGAACAAGGCGCTTCATTTTTCGCTGTCCATGTCGACTGAGGACAGGACCGGAAACGCATATTTCCTGAAAAGTCAAACCTGAATTGTCGAACAAGAAATGACTGCCACGCGTTGTGCTGCGGGCACTTACACGACAAGAATACCGTGTAGTGTACTGCGGAGCCCGTGGTTGCAGCTTTTGCACGACGTAAAAATACCGATTCGCAGTAGACACGCACATGCACGCGCACAAAGTGAGATATCATAGTGGACGAAAAGTACAAGTACAAAATGGAGAAAATCATGGGACTTGGGCTGTTTGACAATAAGTATGGAGAAGTCCCAAGACGCACTGTTCTGCACACAAAATTAAGGAGATCGACGACAAGAGTCGAATTTTATAGAACATCAGATGATCGATATTAAAACTAGAACACGGATCGTGTACTACGAGCCTCGCACCGGAAAAAGTTATCTGCCACCATGGCGTCGACATCGCAGAGAAATCCATTGAGCATCCGCCGGGCACCTGGCAAAGTCATCATTACTGGACCGTTTGCTGGCCCGCTGGATATCTCCGAGCGAGAGGTCATCACGGGCGGAGCAGGCATGGATATCCCTTTGGTTTCTGGAGAACTACCACTGAAGCAGACGGGCAACCGGGTCTGGGAAGCGACAGTGAAACTTGTGCAGCACCTTGCGTGTCTTACGCCGGTTGTAGCGGATTGCGTTGTAGTCGACCTTGGAGCGGGCACAGGGATTGCCGGTCTCGTTTGCCACGCCCTGGGAGCTGGAACGGTCGTGCTCACAGACCTGCATGTAAGTGGTGCGTGTGTAGTAGTATAGCTATGATGATGCCCCCGAAAGAATCAAGGCGAATAGTACTTCCCAATGCTTTTGATTTCGGTCGCTAGGAGTAAATTCAACAGCGAACGCAGTTCAATATATCTCGTGCAACGCTCTGTTTAAATTGGAAATCTCTAGTTGAGCTTGCTGGAAGCAAATGCGAGAGCCAATTGCCGAGGAACTGCGTTGCCGCAGCGGGAAAGAGGAAATAGGGCGGCAGGAGCAGCCGGAGATTGCGACCTTCGTGTGCAGACGCTGGACTGGCGAGACACTGCATCGTCTCGGGCTTTGGCCACGAGCATTCCGAATGGAGGCGCCTTGTGGATTCTTGCCGCTGAAGTTCTTTACCCGCGCGAACAGCAAGACGAGTTGGTGGAGCATTTGTTCGACACGATTGTGACCTTGCTCGCCTATTGGCAAGGAACTACCGCGAAGGTTTTTCTCGCTTACACAGAACGCTCGAAAAGCGTCACAAAGAAGTGGAACGCTAGGGCTGAGAACGACGGGTTTGCGGTTACAGAAGTTTCTGGGAATAATTTTCCGACCGGCAATGACGAGGAACAAGCCTCAGGAGCGTTTGACGATCTTGCTGACAACAAGGAAGGTAAGCTGTTCGAACTAAGCCTCTCAGCCAGCGGCCGGGAAGACCTGCGGCAGCGGTTAAAGCGGAAAGAGACATGGGAGGCGGATTTTGACGAATCGTGGGCAGTGGTGGCACCCCTTCTAGGGCAGCTCGATTCCAACGAGTTGCGGGACGGAGCGAGGAAAGAGGTCCTTGGAATGCTCTCGACCGAAAAGAGAGCGAAGGACGAGGACGGAACGTTTTCCGCTCCAGCAGGGAGTGTAGGCTTCGCCCTAATCGCCTGGCACGCCCGCTTTGTTCTCCGGCAGTTTAGGGAATTGGTTTCGTTGTTCACTTGCATTCCCGCACTGAAGGAAGATTTCCTGATTGCACGGGCGGAGGCCCAGCGTCGAAAGCTTTGCGATAGATTGCGGGATCTGCGGTTGCAGTCGTCTGCTCTGGAACCGGCGGAAGGAAGCGCCGCACATTTGGAGTTAGCTGGAATAACGAAAACAATTCGCCAACTTAGAGCGATGCTGCATGGTGTAAAAAAGGCTGTCGTGAGCGTGACCGCGACATCGAGTGATGTTATGGATGCAGACGTGGATGTTGATGTTGAAGCACGCATCTATCTAGACGGGGTACTCGTTGCTTCTTTTGCGAGTGCACAGGCTGGTCGAGAAAACGTGGGTGACAGTGTCCTGTCGCGATCGCAACTGATACAAGCTACCAACGAAGAGCCACCGGGCCCACCTGCAGCCGTTGAGGAAATCGCTGCAGTCGCAGCATATCCTCTCACCGCGAAAAACCTGTCGCAGCTACCGCCGGCGTCGCTCGTCGATGCCTTGAGTGCCACCTACTCGGCCGTGCAAAGTGAGATTGCAAGGCAGTCGGACTCTCGCGACGGGAGCCTTTTGCAAATCGCGGAAGAGTTGCTGCTCCTGATGGACGACGAGCATGAGGCTGGGTGCAAGGAATGGATCCAGAGAATTCCGCTCTCTCCTACAAGAGATGCCCTACTGCGCGATTTACTCGAACCGTTACGCCTGTTTCTGATGAACCGCAGTGCTCGATAATCTTTTTGCTTGCGCAGCCTGCATAGCCAAAACGTATTGCGCTGGGGACTGGTAGAGGTGCTGCGGCTTGAGTTTACCGTGATGTTTTCGAGTGTATGTGTATGCGAACGGTCCCGCCTCCAATATAGAAAACGCAAAAAGAAATGGATCTCAAAGAAACGCAGACAAAAGAAAGCCGCTGCTGCGCCCGGTCTCAACTGCATTCAGAGAGATTTTTCAACAACGAATAAGACTCATTTTTGTTAAACTATTTGTCACACAGTAGTACGCCTCTTGCCCAGCTACAACTATCCGCGGTTCGTGACCTATTTCCTCGTACGATGTTTGATTTCTAGTTCTAGATCATGTCTCTCGCATGCTTTTTCACCTGCGCGGAAATATAAGTAGATTTGGATAGAAAATTTTAATTCTTAGGGAGGATTGATTACTGAACCTGCAACCATGGCCGTCGACGTGACCAGTTTGTATCAAAAATGCATCACGCGCAAGAACGAGATCGATACCGAGCTGGACAGTATCGAGGTCGGGCAGCGACTTCCGGTTGCAAAACGACAGCGGCTACAAGGACTGGAAAAAGAATTCGGTATACTTGTTTGTTCTGAGTTGTAGATCAACACGGCCTCTAGTATTTCCTCCACACAGGTTTTAGTGTTGATGTTGCGTATAGAAAAACCATGAAAATCTTTTTTTCTTCTCATGTCCAATCAGGCGATGCGTATGCGGTATTCGAGACCGAAGTGAAACGGGGCGGCAAAAACCTACCGGGCGGGCGAGGCAAGTGGGACAGGTATCTAAACCAGTTGACCGATGACAAGTCGACAATACGAGCGTCGCTTGAGCCGCACAAAATTGAGGACATTCGGCAACAGCAAATGGACCAGGACAACCTGGTCGGGAGCCGCGACGCCCGCGTGAACGACGACAGAAGCAAATTGCTGACGGAAAGAAATCGAATACGCGACGTCGACAGGCAGCTGGATGATCTGCTGGAAATGGTACTGATTTATTCTTGATGAAGTTCTTTACGTCTAGTACGTATGAGATGCTAACTCGAAGCAAGCACTTGTTCCGGGATCATCTGGCGTTATGTTCGCTTTCTTGATGATCCTTGTTTTAAAACCTTTCCCGCTCCAAATCTACAGGGCCATGAATCTCGATCCCGATTGCAGAACCAAAACGCGATACTCGCCGGCGCTGCAACTCGCATGGTTTCTGTGATAGAATCTGTCGGCCGCGGAACCGGTCTGGTCAACCGCATCGATAGGCGGCATCTGGAGGACAAGATTCTCGTCTATGCGGGCATCACCATTTCCATGGTGCTGTTTGTAACACTCTACATTTACTTCAAGTGGATGAAGTAGCAATCTTGCGCGCTACGAGCAGCCCGACAGTAATCCTGCTACAAGTGCACCTGCTTGCGCCGGCTCCTGCTGCGTATTGGCGTGAAGGTCGACATTACAGGCGGTTTTGTCCTTTGAATTTGGTGCAAGCGCGAACAGGAGAACTCGAAACGAGAAATCGACACGCGAGGTGGAAGAGAAGCTGATGCGTGGTGACGTGGTGCACAGCATCAGCAGGCGGAAGTGAGAGCTAGTGGATTGGTTTCCGCGTTGACCGAGGAATTTCTTCTTTTTGGGAAAATTCGTGGCGAAGGCTCGCAGAGCCGAACATGCACAAGGGCCCCCCGACTAGCTTCTCTGCCAAAATGAAACCAAGATGGAAGAGTCGCAGCGCAGACCAGCTTTGTGTTTGACCGGCAACGGCACACGAAAAAAATCCAAAAACTTTCGTAACTAAACGACTCGAAGTGATCAGAATCAACAACGAACAACAGGCGACAAAATCAAGCAAGAACTCAAAAATGTAAAGGTGGACCAACACATACACGGTAAGGACGCTAGTGGGGATGAAATTTGCCATCTAGCGAAAGTTTTTTCCTGTTCGAAATCTATCAAGTGAAGAGACTGATAACGCAGATGGATCTTTTTGAAGCAAAGTATTGTCTTCTTGCTCGGTGTCTGTTTCCGTCGTCTATCTTCCTTCGTCATTGCGAGGGTCATTCTTTTTTGCTGTTTTAGACGACTTTGCAGCATCGTGCTTGCTTGGATCTACTTCTGGTATAATTTCTAGATGCTCTGCACGGAGAGCAAGAGATCGTGATCCTCATTTCCTTTGATCGTCTTTTCCCTTGATTTTTCCCCCTTATTTTGTCAGTTACTGGGGTGCTGGCGTCGAGCCCGAACGTCGTATGGATCATATTCGTGGTGTGTTTCACAGACACAGAAGTCGTCCGCGCAAAAAATTTTAGTACAACACGAAATTTGATTTATTTTTATTGATTCATTTTTCGAGTCCTAAGTAAAGGCAAAACACGATAGACTGACACGGTCAGCTGGCACGGTGCCGTGTTGTCTTGAGCAGAAAGCAGACACTACGGATTTATATCGTGGATTTTTCGTTTTTGACGCACCTCCATGCCGAATTGTTTCAACATCCGCGCATCAAACTTCGAGCCAATGTCGATATCAAATGTAAAAGTGTCTGGGTCTGGAAGATTCTGACTCTGAGACTTGTGGTGCATGTTTTGCATGACCCAGGACGGCTATAATGCACGCCCTAGCATCTGCATCACAGATTTTTAAAGGGCTTCCTAATGCCTACTCCGCATGACAAACGCCCTCCCCGCGTAGCACAATCTAGACTCCTCTTGCTTGTCATGCAATACAGAGCTTCTTAGATTCCGAAGTTAGCATCACAAGTTCAATCCTCCCAGACCCAGACATTCTTGCATTTGATAGTCGACGCCGACGAACGACGAAAACTTCATAAAGTCGATCAACAAGACGAAGATATGTTGCGTTGGAGCCGGCTACGTCGGGGGGCCGACGATGGCGATGATCGCGAAGCATTGTCCTCACATACAAGTGCACGTCGTGGACATTGCGGAGGCGCGAATAGCCAAGTGGAATTCACCCGAACTTCCTATCTATGAGCCGGGGCTGCAGGAGGTGGTGGAGCAAACGAGGGGCAAGAACCTGTTTTTTTCAACCGAGGTGGAAAAGGCGATAAAAGAATGCGACATCATCTTCGTCTCCGTGAACACACCAACAAAAAAATCCGTACAGTTTGTCTTCGTTTTTCTTGGTAGGATGTGCTGTCGCTTGGTATTGGTGCTCAGAAAAAGTGTTCTCGCCACTGAGTGCTGCAAAGCGCATGCATCTGCATCTGCATGAATTTATCGTCCCTCCACCTTCCTTCAGGGTCTCGGTGCCGGTAGAGCAGCCGATTTGAAATACTGGGAATTGGTAGGGCGCACGATTGCAAAGGTAGCCACAAAGGAGAAAATCGTGGTAGAAAAGTCCACCGTGCCAGTCAAGACCGCAGCTGCATTGGACAGGGTACTTACTTCACTTTAATCCATCACACCGACACCGTATTCTCAAATCTACTCTCTCACTATTCTAATTCTTTCATCGGCGTTCGAATCGACCATAAGGTTGAGGGCGGCTGGCCGACTGCTAAAAGTGGTTTTAATTTGAAGCTCGTGTGCCGCTGGATGATCAAAGTATAAAACGATTTCATCGCATTTCAAAAATTTAGGTTCTGAACAGCGGGACGCACAACTCAAAGTTTGTTATTTTGTCTAACCCAGAGTTTCTCGCGGAGGGAACGGCAATCAAGGACCTCACGGCACCAGACAGGTAAGTTGGGAAGTTTAAGTTTTTATTCATGTGCACAAGAAGTTTGTAAAACATACCAGAAGCAGTGGATGCAGTTTCACCACCAGTTCGCTTTCAGTCGGAGCGCGGTAGTAGAAAGCCGAAAAACTTTTGACAGAATACTCATCGGGGGTCCGCAGAATCGTCCCGGACTTGATTCTTTGGATGTGCTCGCCGATGTGTACGCAAATTGGGTGCCACGGGACAATATCAAATGTAAAAGTGTCTGGGTCTGGAAACTTGTGATGCCAAGTGGCGATGATTGAGCATACTGCTGAGTGCAGTCAAGCATGACAAATTTTCAGGACGCCTTCTCATGTGTAATGCGCATGAGAAACTGCGTTTCTGCATGACAAAGAATTCGCGCTGTTGTCGGCTACGCAATACAGATTTTACAGGAGTGGAAGACACGCATTACAGATTCCAATTTTTCCAGACCCAGACATTTTTGCATTTGATAGACAAGATCCTCACGACGAACCTCTGGTCGTCGGAACTGAGTAAGCTGGTGGCGATATCCTGAGTAAAAACGTACCCACACCATAGTTGTCATGCAACTCTGCATGCTTAAAATGTTTCTCATGCGGAGCCCCATGAGAAGCGTTTTCTAATGCGGTTTTGAAATTTGTCATGCTCCAATCAGCACGAGATACTAGATCTGTAATGCTGCTAAACTAGCTCAAACAGCACTACACTACGCGGACAAACTTGTCATGCCAAACAACCAAAGCTGGCTGATTTGTCTAGCAGATTCCCCATCCTGACTCTGGTGTGGGTACGTTTTTACTCAGGATAGGCGAACGCCTTCCTGGCGCAGCGCGTGAGTAGCATCAATGCAATCTCCCAGCTGTGTGTAAAAACCGGGGCAGATGTCACGGAGGTAAGTACAACTGTTTTGTCCCTGTGGCTATGCCTAGCAGCTGCATGAGTATTTGCAACGTAAAATAATAGATTTTTGAGTAGATGCGTTCCTCTGTAAGATTTAGATTTCTTATCATTTTTTCAGCTGCTCAGAAATTTTAATTTTCGCTGGTTTCTCGCACCAGGTTGCAAACGCCATCGGCATGGACAGCCGGATAGGGCCGAAGTTTTTGAAAGCGAGTATCGGTTTTGGTGGGAGCTGTTTCCAGAAAGACATCCTGAACCTCGTGTACCTCTGTCACCAGTTTGGCCTCAAGGACGTGGCGGACTATTGGGAGCAAGTGGTACAGAATCTGCGTTTGGTGTGCAACTAGAGGATGTTTTTTTTCTTGTTCGGCCGCCGCGTTCTGAGAGGAAAAACAGACGCGAAGAGTGTTTTGTTCGCGTCAAATGTTGCACACTCCCTGCTTTTCTACAAACTTATCCGCCACAACCAGGTGATCATGAACGACCGACAAAAAGACGCGTTCACGCACAACATGATTGAGAGCATGTTCAACACGGTGAACGGAAAAAAGATCGCCATTTTCGGCTTCGCCTTCAAAAAAGACACGGGGGACGTGCGGGAGACGCCCGCGATTCGTGTGTGCGAGCTCCTGATGGAAGACGGTGCCATCTGCCACGTGTACGACCCCAAGGTCGAAATCAAAGGTATACATACTTGTCAATCTGTGCACATAGTTTCTGCCGACGATACAAGACTAGAAGCGCCATAAAGCTGTAGTAGGGACCCTGCTCTGCAACTGCAACTCCTCTTAAAGCGAATCACACGCATTTGCGTCTGAAGTAGAAGATGACGCGCCACTGCTATACCCTTCAATCCCACGAAATAAAACACACATGATCAGACGCACTGTTGGAGTTCAAGCTCCATGACGTGGAGGTTTCGGAGAGCCGGTTCAAATTGTGCGGGAGTTATCAGGAGGCGTGCGACGGCGCGCATGCCATCGTGATTCTGACAGAGTGGGACGAGTTTCAGACGTACAACTACGCCGAACTTTACGAAAAAATGCAGAAGCCGGCCTTTGTTTTTGACGGCAGAAATTTGCTGAACCACACACAGCTAGCGGAAATCGGGTTCGAAGTGCACGCAATCGGGAAGTCGAGAAGATACACCACCAGCACGAGGCGGAGTTACACAATGGAGGACAATGGTGGTCCATATCAAATTTAAAAATGAAGCATGCATATGTGCAGCAGCTCACGAGCAGGCTATTCTCTACTATGGGACGACGACGTACACTTTCGTAGGTCGGTCGTGACAGCAGATTTTCATTGTGTCGACGATATTCATCAATGAACGGTCAAGCAATGGAAATTTTTTTTGTACACTAAAGACTCACTCAATTTTCTTTTCCGTAGCGGCTGGAGAATCACGACGAGGACACCATTGGTACAGGTCGTTCCTGGCTAGCCGCTCTTGCCAAGCGACTTGTGAGAATCCGTCCGTTGAAAAATGCCGCTCCGAAATGTAAAGATAGTTCGGTTCTTTCGCGGATGCTGTAGTGGAAAGCACAATCAGAGTCTTCTAGCTCTATTCCATATGTAAATGCATTTGTCGCAGGACCCGCACACAGAGAAGCAAAGGCTTCAAGCGGGGAGCGAGACCTGATCGGGACGAAAAAAAACAAGCAAAAGTGTATCGCCAGTAATGTGTCACCTTGGTCCTTTCGCGTGTTTCAGAACTAAGTATTGGTTTGGTTTTAAAGCGCTCGCTCTTCAGTCCATGAAGATGACTCGTACTGGCTGTAAGTAAGTATCAAACATCATCAACAAAAAGCACTCTAGCCGTAGCCGTGCCTATTTTCTTCATCGGTCGTTGCATTTCAGGCTTCGTTGTCGGTTTCGCTTTCAAAGTTATGTCAGCACCTACGATGTGTCTTTCACCTCGTTCACTAGCCGTACGTACTCGTGCTTGACCGTCGTGATTCTGCTACTCTTCGTGAAGTTCGGTGACGTGCGGAGCGTTTCTGCTCTTCGGTAGAGTGTGCCATAGTACTCGAGGTGGTCTCCGCCTCTATCTTCTGTCGTGCATCTTCTGATTCTGTTGATCGTTCAATACATAGTGCCAGCACTTCTGCTTCTGGTCGTACAAGAACACGCGTGCTTGGTCTTATCGTGCGTCTCTCACAGAAGAAGAGCATCTACTTCTACGAAAGCATGCGAATGACGTCTTTCTATCTTCTCCCTTTCGCATCGAAATGCAGCAGCAGACCCGTGGAGATTTAATCCCCATAGCTTTCATGTCTGCAGGGCTTTTGCTATTTGCAGCCTATACAATTAACGAAGTTAGTTTGTCTTTCAATTATTGACAATCGCGTACTTGCGATTTTACAAATAAAATCGAATCATTGCCAATGCTAGTGGTTCCAACTCGTTTGCCTTTCAACATAGTAAACTGTTAAACTAGATGACGCTACGTCACATTCTACTGCAATCTGCTCCGCTCCGCCCAGTGAAAGCCCCCATCTTTCCTGTGGCATGGACTTCTTTTACCTTCCGCACGATTATCTGTTAGTTTCGCATATTTTCTGGCATTTAATCGTGTTGATTTTCACTATCGCGTTTTACTTTTCCTACGAACACCCGCACGCAATCCGGGCCTACTACCTCTTTGCGCAGTTCGCGGAGCAAACGGAGGGTCCGGGAGGCATCGACCAGGAGAACCGTGTGGTGTTTGTCTAAAAAGTAAAAGAACAACCAAGGCAAGAAGTTGTGCAGCTTTTCCTTGTTGCACGAAGAAGAAAAGAAACAAAAAAAACCGGACCAGCGCAACCACCGACAAAACAAAAACGGAGTACAGGAACATCGACAAGAACAGGGAAAATGTTGTGCTGTTTGTGGGCCGCGCGACCCAACGGAAAGCGGAACATGAGCACGGGGCACATTTGGATGGGGGTGGGGGCCCTCCTGCTCGCTTTGCGCGTTGCCTACTGGATTGTTCTGCTCGTCCGTGGCGGTGTGGCAAGGGACGACGTGGTTGGGGGCGAGAACAACCCCGTCATGGTCGATCCTTCGGCGATTCCTGGGGGTCCAGAACCCGAACTGACACTGGTACTCACTAGATTGTGCTTACTCTGTAGTTTGCCCATATCGCATTTGCATAGATTGAAATCCATTTTGTTGACGGGTCTGGGTTTGATAAAATAGTAAAACTTTCTACTTTCTTTGCTGCGCAATGCCACCGTGCGTCTGCATACAAACAGAAATTGCAATCGGTAAAGAACTCGGCGAAAAGAAAGGGTAATAAATATAATCAATCTGCCACTTCTAATATGGGCGCAAAAAACTCACCCTCTCTTCACCAAACTTAACCCAAAATTGACAGCTTTGGATCCACAAGGGGGGCTTCATCACGGTGGCCTCAATCGAATTTGTGGCTATGGTGTTTATGTGCTACCTGACCACGGTGTTTTTCAGTCGTCAAAAGCTCTTGCTCATGGTGACGATTGCCTTTATCCTGAGCGCAGAGACGCTGGCCGTCTGCCTGTACCTTTGCTGCGCGAACGATGTCGGTGGCGAGATCCCCCTCCTGCGTGTGTGGCTTCTCGCTGCGGTCGCAATCGGTGGGTGCTCGTTTCCGATCATTTTGGCCCTTAATGAGGCCTTCAAAGAGGAGCTGGACGAAAACGGAGACCGGGTTTTCTCGCCCGCAGAACTCGAGCGGTTGGCCCGCGAAGAGGCGGAGGGGCCCCAGAGCTGCGCCACAACCTGCGGGTGGTGTTGCGACTACTACGGAGCAGGAGTTTCAGCGAAGGACGCCCGCAGGATGCGCAAGGAAATGGGGGCGAATTCCGTCGGATTTCAGCAGTGGAAACAACAACAGGAGGAGGAGGAGGCGGCGATGGAAGCGGCGTTTTACGGGGACCAGCAACAAGCGCAGGCCAACATGTACAACATGGGCAAGAATGCGGGCAAAAACTTCGACAACTACCCGTACGGAAAGGGCAACGTCAACATGAACATGCCGATGCCACAAAATGCGCTGTACAAGGGCACGCCTTCTTCCGGGGGCAAACCCAAAGGTTTTTCCAAACAGCAGCAGCCGTCCGTCGGCGTGCCGGTGATTGTTCCGACCTACGGGGCGTTGGATGCATCTCAGCCGCCGTCCCCGCAGTCATCGAAGCAAAGCGCACAAGCTTCTGAGCGCCGCTCTTCCAAGAAGAAGAAGGCTTCCACGACGGTGATCGTGATGGAGCAGGAGGAGATGGCAGGATCGCAATTGGGCAACGCGTACTACAGCAATCCGTCGCAGACCGCGGGGGCACTGAACAGTCGGACCACGAAGCAGCCGGGAGCGGCCTCGGTCGGAACGGTTGGAGCAAGCCAGCGCCCCAGCAAAAAGTCGTCCGTCGCGCCGCCCATGGCGACCTCTGGCACCCATCTGCCGTCAGAACGAACCGCGGCGATGGTCCAGTCCGTGCCGCCCGCATCGGTCCGAACGACGGGAACGGTGCCACCCGTGTCGGTCCGAACAACGGGAACGGTGCCGCCTGCGTCGGTCCGAACGACGGGAACGGTGCCACCGGCCGCGTCGGTCAGAACTGCGGCCAACACCCTGCTGTCAAACCCGCCCGCGTCGGTGAGAGCGGCGGGCACGGCAGTTCGACCCGGCAGCAGCGTTGCCTCGCCACCGTACACCGTAGCGGCGACGGCTGCAGGGACGCTGCCGGCCGCGGCGCACAGCTACGACATGCTCGATGTCGGCCCGCTGGACAGCCCGCCCGCGTCCGTCAACTACACCCCGCAAAAATTCCCGGCGCCGGCCGGCAAGCCGCCCGGCCGCGTCCAAGGAGCTTTTTCGCAACTGGCCGGGCTTCCGCCCAGCGTCGAGGCGTCGCAAACCGATGTTGTTGCGACGAAAGTGCGCATCAACAGCAAACGGGACTCCTCGCAAGTGGTTCCGGCACGGCCGACGGGCGGCAGGCCAACGGGCACAGTCCAACCGATCATGAAGGACCCGTCTCGGTACGAACGGACGCCGACAACCCAAATGCAGCGCAACGACGCCCAGCTCTACGACCTGCTAGCAGGCTCCCCGGAATTCGACCGCTACACCGGCGGCACGCAGGTCATTCGAGACCCCAGCGCCCGCAATGCGGGCCCCAGTGCGATGCGCGTCACGGGCGGAAAGCCGGAAATTCCACTGCAAACCAACGTGTTGTACGACCCGTCGCTCCGAAAAGGCGATGGCTCGCAACGTTGAGGCGGCGGGGGAGCGATTCATCTCCGAACGAAGTTTACTTATGATTGAAACCATTTCTAGTCGTGTCTACTACGCATAGGACAATGATTGCGTTTGACTACTACAGTTACACTATGTACCAAATAAAGACTATCTCGTACTTATGTCTTCCCGAAGTTGAATTTAATGAACGACGTATATGGAAAACTGAGGCGAAAGCCACAGTAGGGTTTAGTTTTTTATACTACTCTCGAGGACGAGGCGGAGGTAGAGTCTCAAATGTTTCTCCATGTCGTGACCTTTCTCCCTGATAAGGAGCTAGTACTTTCTCAAACGTATCAACGCGAGATACAAACTAACAACATACAACATCATCGCTGCAAGAAGTACTGAACTTCTGAAATCCTGTCGTTGGATGTTCCTGCACTTTCCTCATGAAGTTCATCGTCGGTGCAAGCAGAAGATCAAAAAAGACTGTCGATCGATGCGAAGCTTTGCAATGGGAAAAACAGGATACAGATCTGAAGATTTGGGTTGAATTTGAATCCATATTAGCAGTGGAGAGTGAGCAAAAAGAATGGTCCTCTACAACTTCTCAACATAGCTCGTCCGGAAATCATATCTTGCAACGCTCCATGGAGTTGTTGGCGTCAACGCCGAGGAATCGGGCCGTCTGTGCTGTCCGGGCGACGACCCGTGACCACACGACGCACTCGCTGCCTCCCCTCCTGATTCGTATTGCACGTTTCGGCTCTGCTTCAGTTTCGGAATCCGATCGGAGGCAACGCAATCTTATGCTGTCCTATCCCAGGACGCCGTCGTGTTCCTCAACATCCTCACTTTTGCCGTCGTGCCGTGGCGTTCAGCTTCAGACCCCGACCTTGACCTCGTCGACTCCGGCTTTGCCATCGTGTTTCCCGGGGGCCAACAATCCAGGAACTTCGTCACTCAGCAGTTCCAGCGACCTGCACGTCCTCTCTCACAAAAATCAGCTGCAACAGGTGCGATGGAAGCGGCCCGGGCGACCGACCTACAAGCGGTATGGGTACGACAAGGTCAAGGGGCGCGGGTATTACCCGTTTCACAAGATGATCGGCAAAAGCGCGAACTGGCACAAGTACCAAGAGCGGTTCGTGCCGCCGAAGGCCATCGAGACCAAGATGCGGCTCGTTCCGGCGGCGCACCCGTCCTACCGCGCCGCGCGCGAGTCCAAGGGGTGGCACTGGCTGCTGCCGAAAGCGCTGGCGAACGCAACCACGGGCAACGACGTGCTGAACGCGTTTCTGCGGTTTCGGCACAAGCAACCGAAGAAAGTGCACCACTACCTGAAGGCGATGACGCGGCTGACGCAGGTCGGCGGCTGCGACATCGCCGACTGGCGCTTTAAGTACATTGCGAGCCGGCTGAAACCGCTGCGGTTCCGGATCGTGAACTTGCCGCGGCTGGCCTTGATGTACGCGAAGCTGAATGCGGTGAAGGAAGTGAAGGAGTTGACAAGGTTTCTGTTTGCCAAACTCGACTGGTACTCGATGCAGCAACTCGCCTTCCTGGTCCGCGCGTTCGCCATGGTGAAGTTGAACGATTCGTTTCTTCTGCAGGCGGTTATTCGCCGGGTCTTAGACAGTCTCGAGTTCCACCACGCGGCGACGCAAAGCATGTGCGACGTCGAGGCGATTTTGCCACTGAATGTGGACGGGTACTATTCTCAAGATGAAGATGAATTTTGTTGCGTCATTGTTGCTCTAGTTAATGTGCACAACACGATTTTGTCCAAGCACCAACCTGCATCTCTTTTGCTTCCTCCCGTTATATGCTCCGTTTGCGTTTGCCCGTTGGTTAGAACAAAGGTGCAGATGCATTTTTTTGAACAAAACATCTTTTACAGCCTCCTCACGCCCAGCGGGCCGGAAAGCGGATTGTGGGAAAAAATCCGGGACCATCCAAACTACCGCCACGAGGCTTACAAAGGCGCGTCGCGGTACAAGTACGAAACGTACCACTACGGGAAAGAGTACACCCGGTGGTACCAACTTCCGGACGAATCCGAGGCGGACTACGAGCGGCGCTTGCGCTACCTCGTGAATAACCGGCACTACACGGAGACCCGCGACTTTAACCCCGTGGCGGAAATCACCTACCGCGGCCGCCGCTCCTCGCAAAAACACCGCGCCGCGTTGATCGCCAGCGAAGGAACCGGGCGCGAAAGTCGGCGGGGAGTGAAGCTTCTCGCGGAAGATTGCGAAGAGAGTCCTCTTCGCGGAAGTTCTGGACGAGAACAAGCGTCTTCACCGACGTCCAAAGCGCTCGCGCTTGTGAACCATAGCCAAAATAATGGGGAAGATGACAAATTTCTGGAAGAGACAGAGTTCGAGGAAGGGACACCGCAGACGAAACTGTCCAAAGCAGAACACGGAGGCACAGAGGACTCGTTTTCCTCTGCATTCCTTGAAAAATCTAACCGCCGGTTCCACGACCATAAGCCGCGCGTCGCTCCGAGTGAACGAGATTTCTCCCAAGAGGAACACGCGTCAACGCCGTCACCGGACGCCCACGATTACCTTCGTCCGCCCACATTGGAGGAACTTCTGCAGATCATAGAGGGTTGTGCCGCGCTCGAGTTCCGGCACTACGAGTTTTGTGGCGCCGTAGCGCAAGAGTTTCTCCTTGCAGTGGCGGGACAGAACTTTTCTGGCGAAGAGGACACACTGTCAGAACAAACAGGGACGTATGGAAATGGTGATTTTGAAAGAACACGCAGCGGAGATAATCGAGATCCTCTGATTCTCCTCCACGGCAGCCGTCTGGCGCTCTCGTTCGCCCGCATCGAGTACCGCGACTACAGCTTCTTCACGGCTTTGTCCGATCTGCTCACGCGCCGACTGGTGGATCCAGCCCTGGCCGCTTCCATCCGTCTAACCCCTGGAATCATGATCGACGTGTTACGCGCTTTTCGAGTGCTGCGCATCAACGATCCAGTGCTGATGCAGCTGTGTGGTACCAACCGGAATTAATTTGACTTGTTTCGTTTATTTAGCTTTTCTTTCATCGAGATCGATCTCGCACTCACTCGACTCCCGACAAGCATATCGTCATCAAGAAAAGTAAAAGTTTTTGTTGATATTGAGTTGCGTTCTCCTAGCGAAAAACAACTCCGCCGATACAACAGGAACGCATATTAAGCAGTACCTGCATGAGTATCCTGCCCGGGAGTTGGCTTACTTGTGTTACATCACCAACGAACTGCCGGCCAAAGTCGCGCGAACGCTTCTGCGTGAGTACGAGTGTCTGGACTTGAACTCGGCTGCGGCCCTTGCCGGCGTTGTTGCAGATCTGAAATGCAAGAGAAGGATGCTGATGTCCACCTCTGTGAGTGACAATCATGTTGCAGAGCCCAACACGTCGGTCAAAACCAGCCTCGATTCGGATGAAGAGACTGCCGCTGTCTTCGGCGCAACCAGCGCAGCAGGCGCCAAGAAAGTACACGCCAGCAACTACAGCAGCACGACTTCAGCACCGAGTGAACATTTCGCATCCTTACACGTTCATGACGCCAGCCTAGCCTCGGACGCACAGTTGGACGCGTTGCAGGAAAGCATCACGACACTGCTCACGACGCATCATGCTCGGGAGTCGCGGGAGAGGTATGAAATCGGGAAAATGATGGAGGCCCTGACGCTGACCGAGGACAACAGTGCCAATTTCCCGCTTTTCCACGTGTTCTGCCGACACCTGCATCGCCACATGCAATTTCTGGAAAGCACCGACTACCTGCGCGTTCTAGCGGCGCTCGACCGCTTTCAGTGCTGGGACGCCCGCGTCGTCACCGCACTTGCCAAGTGGTTGCGGAAACGGAAAACCGAATTCGCGGGGAAGGAGTGGTCGCGGGCCCAGTCGCTCTTGGCGAATTTGGAGGCGCGTGGAATGTAGGAATAGACCACCTGCTCGTTAGAATAAAGACCTAATATCAACTACTTTCGTCTTCAACTTTGGCGGGTAGATGTACACTATCCAGTGGCGCATCACCTAGAGAATAAATATCGCGCACGACCCTTCATTTAAAAAACGAGAATACAGCCACACAGACAGAAATAGAAGAACCACGAACCTCGCGAGCAAGTGCCTAACAAAGAGAAAGCTAAACGTCTTGAAAAGCAGTACGTCGTAGTTTGGTCTTTTCGATTGGGCTCGCTTTTGGCCTCGCTGCCATTCGGAAACGATGAGAGACCTGAGAGTATTACTCGAGGCAAATGTAACTGAAGGCAAAGTGAGTGTGAGTTGTAGAAAATAGAAACAAAAATTTTTCGACGTCTCGAAGTTCGATGGGCTCGTCAAGTGAAAGGGTGCGCAAGCAAATGCAAGAAAGCCCTTACTGATGCGACGTAACCAGCACGAAACCCAATTTTGCTTTCCCAGACGGGAATTCCATTTTTTCTAGCGGTGAAACCAGAGATTGAGATTCACAGAAAGAAGGAAGTGGAAATAAAACTAATGGCATAACAGCTGGCGTGAAACCAGCACGGCGTCGCAGTTTTACGGAGTCTTCTCTTCGTCAATCGTAACGCTGACAAACCGGCAAGATGAACGACTTCGAGTACATTTACATGAAACAGCGGAAGGACTTCGGTCGCTACTGCCAATTCGATGAAGTGGAACCGAAAATCATCGGCGTCGTCGAGAGGAACATGGAGTAATTTTTTTTCGTACAAAAAAGAATGAAGAAGAACTACGAGCGTACGATGTTCATGCGTGAAAAAAATCCGTCGATGGGTGAAGATTATCTTCGCTGCGACTTGACTGTGTATCAAAAATGCTCTCAAAAATCACACTACAGCTGCCTCAATGACTTCGTCGAACAGACCGTTATCAACGTCGTCCTGGACAACATTCCAACAATGTCCGAGCACTCCGTGAACACAGCAAGGGTAGTTATTTCTACACCTTTGATGTGGCGATTTCAGCTTCGACGTTAAGTCACCAGATGTTTTCTGTTGAAAAGCTTGGCCTCTCCCTCTCTCGGCGCAAATCCTCGCGCCCACAACTAACTTCAACGTGTCGTATACGAATGAAAAATTCTGTTAGGTACAAACAAAAGCCCGCGGTATGCTCCACACAGAGGGTGGGTGGCCCAAGGAAGTCGACGCCACAGAGGCACAGGACACGACGAAGTGGAGAAAAAAGCTAGAGAAGGACCCGGTATTCACAAACGCAGTAAAGACGCTAACCGGCGCAACGAGCAAGTGCCTCGAGCAGAACAATACCATCGACCTCTTTGAGCACTACTTCTTCCAGGAAGAGCCAGATGCGTTGGTCGAAAACTTGCAACTCAAGACCGTTGCTTTATTTAAAGATCCCAGCGACGAACCAAGAACAATCAGCAAAATCGGATGGCATCCCGAGGGGCCGACGAAAATTGTCGGGTATAGAAGACACTTTTGTTGATTTAGGGTTTACTTAGGTCGCGCGGGATGTAACTGCAGCAAGGAAGAAGTTCAGTTGTACGCGGGTGAACTAGAAGCAATGTCTTTTCTCTCTTCTTTCCCATTTCTTATAAGAAAAACTGTGCATGTGTACCATATTGGTCGAAGAAAGTTTTTCACGATGCAACTTGACCCAAACCACGGACAGTTCCTACTCTTCGCTCCGTTTCCAGCGTATGTCGGAGGAGATGTCGACAAGTTCGCACGTTTGGGACGTGAACGAGCGCAACACGCCACTGTTCTCGTTGAAGTCGAAGTCTCCCATCATCAGTGCGCAGTACAACGGAAAGCAGTCCGATTTGATCCTGGCAGGGTGCTACAACGGTATCTTGAACCTCTACGATTTGCGAAAGGGCCCCACGCCGGCGCAGATGTCCGTCGTCGAAACCAGCCACTACGACCCGGTCTACGACCTCTGCTGGCTGCAGTCAAAGACAGGAACAGAAGCGGTACAGTGAAATTTTCGTTTCAGGATTTCTTGGTGCTTGTTTCACTGCTCCGACCGTTTTTACTAGCGTACATTTTTCTCCTTCGTTTGCTGATAATGTGCGCAATCTGAAAATGAATATTCTCATGCGACCTAGGTTTCCGTGTCTTCCGACGGCTACCTGATGCTGTGGGATGTGAAGGAAATGAACGCACCAAGGGACAAGTGCCTCCTCACCGATGGTGGCAAGCCAGGGAAAACTTTGGGCGCCGTTTCCCTCGAGTGGATGCAGGAAGCGGGTCCGACCAAGTATCTCGTCGGTACGGAGATGGGCATGATCTTGTCCTGCCAGAACAAACCGAAGAAGCCTTGCGAGGTACAGCCTGCTGATAGGTCTCTTGTGTCGCTTGTACTTTTGCCTGCATGGCTTTCCGCATGTTCCCCTCATCAAAAATTGCACGCCACGCGCTTTTGCGCCGAAACTGTATGTGTCTCGACGTCACAGCGGACGAAAAATTAAACTTCCAAACAGGTAACGGCATGGTTTGGAAACGAGGAGAAGGGTGGACACGGGCGACACTTCGGGCCGGTGTACAGCGTGAAGAGGAATCCGTTCCACTGCAAGTACTTCCTGTCCATCGGCGACTGGTCCGCCAGAATGTGGTTCGAAGATCTGAAGGGACCCATGACCATGACACCGTACGCACCGTGCTACCTGTCCGCCGCCGCCTGGTCACCAACCAGGCCAGGTGTCTTCTTCCTGGCCAGACACGATGGGTACTTTATTGGATCAGCATCGCCAGCACGACAGTCTATTCTTTGATCCTTTTACAATGCACCCAGTGTATACGAGCCTGACGAGCTGCTGTCAGCTTGCAAATCGTTTTCGTTGAGTTTTTACGTTAATATTGCGATTTTTCCTGCAAAAATCGCGGAACAGGTACCTCGACATCTGGGATTGGTATTACCGCATGAATGCCGTCAGTCTCACGCAGAAGGTGTCCGACCACGCACTGACTTCCATGTCAATACAAAATCAGGGTGGACTGTTAGCAATGGGTACAATTTTTTTGCAACTTGCAGCTTTTTATTCGGCTGAATTAGATTACTTGCTTTGTTGCTACTTCCGCGTGAATGTAGGCTCCTATGATCTGTGCCATTTACATTTTTATCAATGCGTCTACCACTTGTTCCACGACCGTGAAACAACAGGCGACAGCAACGGTATCATCACGTTGATGCAGTTGTGCGACGGTCTGATCCAGATGCAACCCAACGAGAAGAATTACGTGGGCAACATCTTCGACCGGGAGACCAAGCGGGAGAAGAACTTGGAAGCGCTGAAGAAGGCCCAGAAGCAGCCCACGGCCAGCTCCGCGAACCTCGAGGGGCCTGCCGACGAAAGCGCGGTGCTCAGCATCGACGAGAAGGCCTATGTCGAGTGCGAAGAGAAATTCTTCCAGGGCGTTGGCATGGAGGGTGACAACCTCGGTACCTCGGCGTACCTGAACAAGAAGGTCGCCGAATAAATAGGTCGTACTGGAACAATAACAAGCAGGACAACATTTGAATACTGAAAACGAATTGACGACCACGACAGCACGCTGCTCGTGAGTTTGTATAAAAACCTAATCAGATGACACTTCTACTGCAACATGCTTATCCTGCAAAAAGACCCACTGGCGCAGTAGAAAAGTAGAACAAAGGATAAGAGGTCGTACGTGAGGCTGACGACTCATTTCAGATTTCGAGGTACAGTAATTACTCCAGTAACGGGCCCCCAAAACAGGAGAAGAAGAAACTTGAAAAAAACCTTAAAAAAACTTGAGCATTTTTGATTTATGGCATTGCAAAAAGCAGAAATCAAGAGGGGCGACCGGAGGACAAAAAAAAGGCACGGAACGGACGCGATTTCCGGTTTCTAAAAATAACAATCGCGGCGGCGATTTTGAAAAACTAAGTTAGGTGAAGGGCGGGCGCAAATTAAAAATCCAAGGACTCGATCGGGAGGCTTTTTTTTCATTTTATAGCGCGCCAAAATCCAAATCTGTGCCGCAGGAATAGTCGTGCATAATTTTCACGCGAAGGCGCGCCATTTTCAAAACTTTATGCGTTCGACTAGGGGCAGATATTTTCCGCAGAAATGGGGCAGCATTTCGCACGAACTAGACGGTCGTGGGGCGCGGCTCTTCTTCATTTAGGTGGGGGCCGCCTCGATGCATTGGTTGCGCCGCTCGCGGGGATGTTCAAAATCCCTGCTTCGCACGGGTTCCGGCTGCCTGGGTGCCCGCGCTTGGCGGGCTGGTGGGGTTCTGGCTCTCGCGAGGCCTTTTTGTAGTGCCGAAGCGGCCCCACTCGGAGGGCTTGCCGGCACAGGCGGCGCAGCGGGCCGTCCTTCCCGGGTCCCCCCGGATGCCCTTTTATAATACGCAAAGCCCCGCGGCCCGCGCGACTCTGCGCAAGCAGCATCTGGGCCCCTAGGCTTGTATGCATAGGGGTGCCCACGCGTGTGGGCAGGCGGCCCGTGCTTGCGCGCCGTGTTTGCACGGGTTCCTTCGATCCGGTCTCGAAAATGAAGAAAATCAAAAGTGTCACACCATCGGCCGGAGGGTGTGATACTTTTTGCCGCGGTGCTGTCATGGATGTAAAAAAACACGCAAAACCGGCGTCGACCATACCATTGGCTCTAGGGTGTGATACTTTTTGCCAGGATGAGTCCACGGAGGCCGAAAATGGCGAAAGCGGCGCCGACCATGCCGTGGGCTCTAGGTTGTGATACTTTTTGCCAGGCTGCTACGGCGTTCAAACTTGCAACCCGGGGAAAGTGTTGGCGAAAATGCGCCACCTCCGCCGAAGCATCTCGGCAGCAGGCGAAAAAAACTTGGATCTGGCGACGTTTTTGGGCCAAAATCTGAAGGGCCCCGTCCACCATACCACCGGGGCTAGCTTGCGACGGCTTCCAAGCACGCGACCCGGCTTGCAAGTTTATTCCAAGTTTATTTCAAGTTTTTGTTGCGATTCCGGCCGCCCGCGGGCGTGCCCAGTTTTGGGCCATTTCCTGAGGCCTGTCCACGAGCTGACGGAGCCGATTCGCGAGTCGCAAAAGCGGCGGCGCCTTCCGAAGGCGCCGGCCGAACTTGGGAAGGGGGGTAAATTCCTGACTTTTGGTGGTTTTCTTCGCCCATGGTGCCGCCGTGGTAAAAAGTATCACACCCTGGCGCCGATGGTACTGCTAACGCAGGTTGCCGCGATGGCGAAAGCGAAAAGCCTCGCCCGCGTGCCCGCCCTGCCAAAAAGTATCACGCCCCAGCGCCCATGGTATGGCCGGCCGCGCTTCCCGCCTGGCCGCCCGGCTGCTTGCTAAGCACGCCGCGCCCGCTGGCGCCGCCGGCCTGGGCGCGGCCGGCCCCCTCGCCCGCCCCGGCGGCCCACGGCGTTGGTTCGTGATTTCTACCGGCGCGCCGCGGCCGCACGCTCCAGGCCCATCGGTTGCGCCGGCCACCCGCCAGGGGGGGCTCCGACGAGCTGTGCGCGCGGGCGCCTTGGGCTATTCCGGACAAAGGAAAGGGCGAACCAGCGCGCCACCCCTAGCGCCCAACGCCGCCCGCCCGGGCTGGCCGGCGCGCCCCCTCCGACCGTACGGCCTGCCGGTCTTTTTGGGGTATCAGGCTCGGCGGCCTTTTCGGCATTGGCCGCCGCTGCGCGAAGCGGTCGGGCGGGCTGATTAGCGGCGGGCGCGTTTTTTTTTCTGGGTATCTATAACGAAAAAGCAGCGAAGGCGGCACCCAAAACAACCTACGCCCGGTCTGAATCTCGACAATAGGCAGCTTTGGTTGGAGCGGCCAATTGTCCGGATTCGGGTCGTGTTTTGATTTCAAAGCAAACGGGCATTGGTTCCTGGCACTAAACGTGAGAAACAGTATGAAAATGCACAAAAAGCGTCGCACCGTTCCGCAGCTTGTCCTCCTGTTGTTGGTTTCAAAGTTGGGCGCGTCACACTCACAGGCGCGCTCACAGAGCAGCTTACGTTGAAGCTGTCGCGACCCTCGCGAATATGGGTCGCGCAAGTCTTTGGCAACTTAGTTGCAAGTTTCGATCTCCATGAAATTGGGGGTCCGTTCCACCAGTAAAGTAAGACAACTTCTCAGAAACAACTAACTTCACAATGGCCTGTTTACCATGACACTATTGACCAAACCGAAACCAATAACTCTAGAATGGATATAGCAAATATGACAACAGATTATCGAAACCAAAACAGTTTTATCGACGCTCAGCAAGAAATTATTGTTTGAAACCAGTTTACGTTTATCCTTCCTTGAAATCAAACGCCTGTTACTATAGCAAACAGAAAAATCCGCTACAAAACGCGTCCCTGGGTTGGCACCGACTTGCGTAGGGCGCGGAGACCACCAAACTGAATTTTATGAAATGCAAACGAACCCGCACGAAGTTCTTGATAGCTCTTAGCTCAGCATTGAGACAACCTTATGACTGAGCAATGTAGTTGTACCGGAAGTTTGTCGCGTCTAGGCTAAGATATTGAAATTGATATTAGTCTTGAGGGCAGGGCGGCACGAATTCCAATCTTGTTGAACCTTAGCGTTGGAAAAATTGCTTGAGCTAATACACCTCTGACTACGCAATCGGGACGATTTTCTCGTCCCCTGGCTTCCTACCCTGGGATTTCTCTGTTGCCGTGCTTTTCGTTGTGCTTCCTTTTGTCTGAAAGAATTTTTTCTTTTCGTCGTCGTCCATTCGAGAGCGAAATGGATGCGTTACCAACTTCGTCGTCCGTCATCGAGAGCATGGAAAATGTACCGTCGTGACACAGATCTTCTGCAGAAAAATCTTGGTGGAGTTTATTGGTGTATCGAGCGAGTTGTCTGACTGGGAGCGATTCGTCATTCTTTAAAGGTGCCGTGATCGTGTTCGTGCTTACTCACACAAATCGCAAACACGATGTGGTGAGGTTTAGTACATTAGGGAAGGCAGAGTACGAAAGTTTCGAACAAGCCATACAAACATAATTGATGATTTGACGTTGGTTTTGCTGCTCCGCGAGCCGGCCAGTGGATTGGAAGTGTCCTCCTTCGAAAGACCCTGCTGTCGGCATCCAGCATCCCTTGCACGCCCCTGTCGGCATCCGTAACGGAACCGAACAACCCGGCGGTCAATCCGGAATTATCAAGAATCGTGCTTCTGCAACATGTCGGATATCGTTGTACAGAGCCAGTGAGGTCCTGAGATCTCCGCACGATGGCAGAGGAGGAAGAGGAGCAGCCGGAGGCCCCCGTGGAGGAGCCTCCGTTCTACGAGCCGGCGAAGGGAAGTGTGGCCAATGAGCTGGAGTTGGTCTTTGACGACCTCTACCCGGACAACTCCGTCAATCTCGCACGGACGCAGCTCGCTGGACGTATGCTAGTGCCTTTTTCGGAAGTCGCATGCCTGTTTTTTCTTGTGATTTCATGTCTCTCTTGTTGTCTTTGTCACCTTCATTTTCATGCGAGTTGGAGTAGGCTTATCTATCTCTATCATGGCTACCCTTGATGTCCCACGCACGCCCTCCAGATGAGCCTCCCGAGGCCCCGCCGCTCTCGCCGGAGGCGAAGAGGGCGCTCCAGGATGTGGATGTCACGGCAGAGAAGGAGGCCATTAAGAAGGGCGCGGACGCGCTCAAAGCAGAAGAGAAGCGGATCGACAACGTGCAGGAGTACCTCCTCGCACAGAAATATGGAAGTGTCAGAATCGAAATTGACAAAGTCGAAAAATTTGCGATGCACAAAATCGATACCAGTTGAAGCCTCAGCTTTCAAGTGGCGCATGACAAATTTCGGGAGCACCAAAATCCAGTTTGCAATGCTGTTTGGGGAAAGAAGACTGCTCCTGTCATGCTACTCTGGCAGCACATTCTATACCCCTAAACAGGCTAAGGCTTACAATCGGTCTCATTTGCCTGCTCCCCAATACAGGCCGCCAGTGCGCTACATTGATTTTACGCATCACAATTTTTTCGATTTTGTCGATTTCGATCCTGACACACCCATAAGAAAGCGCAGGCCCACCACGAGGACCTGGAGATCGAGGATTATTTGCTGTCGCAAGGGCTGACGATAAAACACCAGTACCCGGTTGGGGAAACCATGTACAACCTGGACCAGGATCGCATCGAGCGCGACAAGCTGCTCGATCCCCACAATGCAGTCATCCCCGTGGAAACGGAGCAGGCCATTGCCATCGGCGCGAAAAAGAAGCATCCAAACTACCTGTTGAAAGCGAAACCAGAGGCACCAACGTACTACAAGAACACGGCCAGTTTGGCGATACGAAAAGAGGTGCGAGGAATCACGAAAGTGTACACGGAGGAACAACGAAAAGAACTGCAGAACAGGCACAGTATGGAACGAATTTTTGTTTTTGATGAAATGTAAGGCTGAGCCTGAGTAGTGAGTACTTATTAACAAAGCAGTTTAATATCGGTAGACAGTACGACCCATACACAATTTTGAGCTTTAGCAAATTGGACGTTGTTTTTGCAAAAACAAACACAGCCACCCGGCCCAAGCGTCCTCGTCCAAAAGTGCTTCCAGCGTCGGAACGGGAGCAGAACGCACAGATTCTGCGACGCATGACCATTCCCACCGACTTCCTGCGAAATCCGCGATACGTGCCCCGGGACGAGGGCAAGTGCCCCTTCCGGATCACCCCGCGCGAGGTCACTTTTGAGGGCTACGAGCTTGGCTCTGTCTACGAAATAAAAATCGAATTTCTCAACTGCGAGGGTTTGGGAAGAAGACTAAGGTACAATAAGTCCTGAAACACGGCCTAGTTTGCTGCGATTCATTTTCCATGCGGGACTTTCGCAGAGGGGGCCTCTGCAGCCTTTTGTGACTACGGATATTAATGCACCTCTGTGTGAGCCGATGCCGAAGTAGTAGTAGAAGTAGAGCTCCTTGATGTGTCAGCTGTCAGAGTCAGACGGTGTCGCTTACGCTTTGGAATTTAAAAAATCAGGCTCGTTCCCTTCGAAACTTCGGTGTTTTCCGTGTCCACGGGCTTGACATACGAGAACAAAAACGTCGGTCGGGACGCGTCCATTGCGCCCGGTATGAAAGCGTACCTTTCTGTGTGGTTTTCGCCACATGACCTGAACGACGTCAGCGACGTGTTGTATGTTCAGACCGAGCAGGGCAAATTTGGCATCCCTCTGGCCGCCCGGCGGTTCCAGCCGGAACTGCAAATGGACGAGAATCCGATTCAAATGGGCTACGTACTCGCTGGGGGCATGCTGCAGAAAACAATCACGGTGAAAAACGTGGGCGGCGAGGGCGCGTTCCGTTTCATCTCACCCGAGGTTGGGGAGGAGGACGGACTGCCACCGGAGGCGCCCCCGCCACAAACGGCACCGACCTCACAGGGGTCGGCTTTGACGGGAACGAGGACAGGTACGGTTTTATTTGTAGATCGGTTGTTGTTCTTTCGACATCATTGTTCTGCAATGGGAACAAAAACAAATTGAAAATGTTGATTTTGGAAGTCGTCTCTTTGAGCGTAGGATACCAGAATGCAATGTTCACATCTACCTCCTTTCGCACTACAAAAATAGACACCACTTTAACGGGGAAGACGATCTCCGGGCCGTACTACGATGTCTCCAACCCAGAAAGGATAACCTTCGTCCATGGCGCGTTCCGTATATCGCCGGCGAGTTTCTACCTGGAACATGACCAGATTTGCGAGATCACCGTGCTTTTCCAGGACAACGCTAGCGTCGCCATCGGGACGACCAACTTGCCCTTCCTGCTCGAGGCCAACAATTACACTTCTATGGAGGGGTCGATCGAGGTGCTGGTAGACACGCTCCGCGTGGAACTCACCGGGTTCGCGAAGGAACTCGCGCCGAGTTTGTCCCGTGCAGCGGCAGCGGGTGGAGGTGCGAAGGACGACCACGAACGTACGAGCAGTTCTATCGCCACGAAAAAGCTAGCAATCCAGGACCAAGCGGACGACGGCGTAATACGACCCGTGCGCCCGTCGTCGCCAGCAAAATCTAAGCCGTTTTCTCATGCAAGTATCTATAATATTAGTACGATTCTGTCTCGGTTTCCGATTTTCGCCTGTCCAAGTGGTTTCTTTTAGAGAATTCATTGCAAAATTACTTCTTCTGCACTACTCGGCGCCGTATAATTTCTGGGATCCGGTGGAAAGGGCACTGAACTTGAACACGCAACATCAAATCAACAGGTGAGGACGTGTGGAGCGTGGCTCCGTGGCAGCTGCGGTTTCAAATCCAGCTCCCAGCGGAGGAATCGCTCTCCAAGTACCTCGTCTGCAGCAACGGCAGCCACCTCCCCATCACGGTGCAATGGATCTTCGTAGAGCCCCCGCCCCCCGTGGCGCAGGCGGTTGCGCAGGGGAAGCTGGCCACCCTCGATCAGGAGCTGCTCGAATCGATGACGACCTGGACAGAAATCCCCACGAGCGATGCCCCTTTCCGCGTGTCGGCGGAAACTGCCGTGTTGCCTCCGTTTTCGCAGGAAAGGTTCGAGTTCGTCTACACGCCCCTGCAAACCAAGAGCGTGAACAAACGGGAGGTGTCGCATAACTGTTTTGCATACCTGTGCGTCGTGGAAAGCAAGCGGGAAAAGGCGTGCTCTTCCACCTCGGAGCAGCTCAGCATGCAGTCTTCGCTCCAGCCCGAGGGCTACACGCCCGGGCTTCCGCTCGCCGCGAACAAGTGGCACGAGCGGCTGTCCATGGCGGGGCTGCCGAGCACCGAGGCGAACCCTCTGGCAATCGACGTCTCCAAGGAGGACTACAAGTTGATCGCCCCCACGGAGCCCGTGCGCACGAGCGTGTGCCTCATGTACGCCGTAAACTTGATGGGAGCCCAGACCCCGCCGCAAGTAACCATGTCGCCCAGCGTGGTCACGTTCGCGAACGACCCCGCACCCTTTCTTACGCACAGAAGCACGGTAGTCTTGTCGAACTCGGGGTCTCAGGTAAGTACTCAAGATGTCTTTGTTTGTTGCCCAGAAGATATGTAGACGCGCCGGCAAAAAAATTCATATCGGGATGCATTCTCTGTTCCTGGCTGTCGTCATTGTTCTCTTTTGCATTCGTCGAAACCTTCGAAGTTAGAGCAGGTCGTGCTGCAAGCCAATTTACTACTGTAATCCTCCTTGTCCTTGCATCATCGTCCGCAGGTAATGAAGTACCGAGTCCGAACGACCGCTCGCAAACGGGAAAACGCCCGAGGTTCGAAGGGTGTTCGAACGGACTACCACGACGCTCTCTGGATCGTCGGGAGTGGAACCGACGGGGCGCGGGACACCGAGAGGCCCTACCTCGAGACCAGCGAAGGGTGGGAGAAGCTAGAGAAACTCGCGGCATGGTACGACGAGCAGTGGCCGCCGTTGCCCCCGACGCTGCGCGCCGACCCCTATGCGTCGAAGCCGACGGAGGACGGCGAACTCTTTCCGCTCCACCATTCCAACCTTGCCACCGACGCGGAGCACTTGTCACCACGCTCAAAAAGCAAATCGAGCTTCTCAAAAGACCCATCTGGAGGTGCAAATACCGCTACTTTTGCGGGGCAACATGGCAGCGACGCGCCGAACTTTGAGGGAACCGCGCGGTCGGAGGCGCGCGACCTGCTTGCGTACCCGGATGACCCCATCCGGAAGAGCCCGGACATGGAGCTGGACGAGCTGGGGAAAAGCATGACGCAGTTCGACAAAGAGGAGGACCTGAGGAAGAGCGGTGACTACGAAAAATACATGCAGGAAACCCACAAGTCGCTGAAGGACCTCCTCACCGCGGAGGAGCGCGCGGAAATCGTGTTTAGCAGCCACGACGCGGCGGTCGAAACCAAGCGCGAGTTCAAGTTGCAGAAGGAAAAAGATTTGGAGCCCTTTCGAACGCAATCCCTCGAGGATACGACGTCCAGCAGCGTCCTTGCCGCAACCACGTTGCCCGACGAGGGGTTTGGTGCGCTGGCCGTGCTCGGGATCACGCCCGGCGACGGGGAAATCCCCGCGAAAGGCAAGGTGGACTTGCAGCTCTTCTTCCGCGCAGCCGTAGAATGCGACTTGGACGCTTTGGTAGAAATTGAGATTGGGGACGCGGTTTTTCCGTTCCGCGTGATCGCCCCGGTGCGTGCGCCTAAGCCGGTGTTTCGAAACTGCGCGGTGCTAGACTTCGGTATCGTGCTCGCAAAGGAGACGCACAACTTGAAGATGGAGATCTTCAATCCGACGGACTTGCCAACGGTCGTGAAATTGAGAACCTGCGACCGCGCGACGAGCCAGCAATTCTGTGTCGCGTCCGCTTTTCGGCCAAACGCCATGGTGCAACGGGGGAATGAACTTTCGCTGGAGGAGTATGAGCGTGACAAGTCAGATTTTTACAGCGTCTGGAGCAGCTTCGCCGCGGTCGTCAAGGAATTCCAAAACGCAGTGGCGGGCAAAACGCTCTTCTCTGAAGGCGGTCAGGACAGTTGGGAGCACAGCCTCGTATCGACATCAAATCCACAGACGGACAAGGTTTCCTTCTTTCCGCAGTTTCTGTTGCTGCCACCAAACGGGAAGAGAGACGTCTTCGTGACTCTGCGGGCACGGAACGAAGAGTCCGTCGATGAGCTGGCGAAAGTCCTCACCTACGGCGCGCCGACGAGCAGTACTGAGATTTCTTCCAAGTAGGAAAGTAGGCATCAGCACTGATTTCCCTGACCCTGCGTACGCGACTTCTCATGCAGCACGAATGAACTTCTACGCATGTCAACGTATGATTATGATATACAACAGGTAACCAGTGGATTCAGGTCCTGGCCAGCGTCCAGCGGCCTCGTGTCGTGAGCAGCAAGAGCCATTTCCACTTCGCCATCACCTACACCGGTGAGATAAGCGACGAGGTGTTCACGCTCCGCCTGAAAAACACGGCTGGTGTGGTGGCTCCGCTGAAGTGGCGACTCCCCGGCGCGGACCAGCCGCTGGAGGTTTCGCTGACCCCCAAGTCCGTGTCGGCCTCCGGCGTGGAAACCATGAGCAAGTTGGACCAGATCGGGCCGGAATCCTTTATCGAGATGGAGGTTCGCGTGACGCCGCGCGTCGCGCTCGCGGCACGCCAAAGCAAGGAAACCCGCGTGGACGTGATGGTGGAGGTGGCGGGGCAGCCGTTGCCGCTCCGAATCACCGTCACCGCAGTGGTGTTTGGTTTAGAAGTGGACTACCTGGTCCAATCCCCTCTGGAAGAGAAGTGGCCGGAGATCCCGTACCTCAGACTCCCCCGGGCGATGCTGACCGAGAAGCAGATTCGTGCGACCGCCTGCCATCCGGTGTACAAGGACCTGGACTTGCCACAGGTGACCGGTTTTATGCAGGTGGGCCGCAGCGGCACGGGCATGTTCACGCGGTCACAGTCCCGTTCTGGGGCGCTGACGCGCGGGTCCACATCCGCCGTTAGCTTCACCTCCGCCGCCAGTAGCAGTCGTCGGACCGGCGCGAGTTTGCGCAGCGGCCGGGGGTCCCAGAGGAGCCAGGGCCCGACGGCCGACACCAAAGCGCTCGACTTCGGCAGCATGCCCCTGCTGGGAAAGCGGCACTTGCGACTTCTGCTGTACAACCGCACGGGCATCCCCGCCGATTGGGCCGCACATATGGGCAAATACAAGGCCTACGTGGCACCGCCGAAAGAGGGTCAAACCAGCCTCCAGAACCGCCCGGCGTCGGGCAAAAGAAAAAACAGCGCCGAAAAATTCATCCTCGACGACAAGCACGAGACGCAGGTGTTCTCCAGTGCCATGGGCCAGGAGTACGCGATGGAAAAGTTGAACAAGGCCGCAGGATCGCTAAACCTCAAATACGGGCTCGGTTTTGCGGTCGCTTTGGAGCCATCGAGCGGCCGACTTGAGGCTTTTGGCATGCAGGTATAAACAAAACATGTTTATGACCAGGTGCTGTTTTTTGTGCGGGAAAATACATACATAGATAGAAACGGTTGATGTTCATTCTTGTTCCCACCACACTGTAGTTAAAAGTTATCCGTACCAGTATCTCCCCATTGGCATTGCTATTGCAAAATAAACAGGTTATCGACTGCTATTGCTACTCCGATTTGCCCGGCACCATGACGGATCACGTGCATCTCCGCATTGGTTCCCTTCCGGAGTTCCTGGTCGACGCGAAAGTAGTGAGCAGTGGCAACCCGTTGTACCTCGCGCCCCTGCAGGTCGGCCTGAATCTGAACGCCGAAGAGCAGGAGAAGAATTCCGCTGCCGGTAAGCACCCCGAGCTTTCCTACGGCACGCTGGTTTTAGCCGACCGAATAACAAAGCGGCGATTGCGATTGGGCAACCTCAGCAGCGCCAACATTGACGTGGAGTGGCGGTATGTGAAGCAGCAAGCCATCGACTTGGCCGCGCCGGCGCGAACCTTCTCGGAGCTGCTGCTCGCCGACCAGGAGGGCGCGGGCGGCACCGAGGACTGCGGCTGGAGCATCGCCGGGCTCGACCCACAGCGCATGCAACTCCCACCCATCGAGCCTTTCAACATCGCGCCGGAAAAAGGCCGGGTGCACAAACACTCGCTTGCCGACTTCGACACCACACTCAAGACAGACTCCGTGGGCAAGTACCACTACAAACTCATGGGGATCGGCAAATACGCAGCCAAGCCCGGCGCGGCGGGGCACGACGGAGACCACGCGCATGAGGAGGAAGGTACGAAAAAAAGCTCACGTTGTACCTACTGGACAAGATGTACGAATGATCGCATTTTTGAAAATTCAGAGCTGTTAGTTTTATCGAAATGTCACTGTCAGCACTGTTCACCACACTTGCAGAAAACCCACGAAAAAATCTCTGTTGTTCGCAAAATCACAGCACCACCAGCAGCATCCGAGCCGCATTTGAACCTGACGAGCGGCGGTGCGGTATCTTCGTCCATGAAGATGCCCTCGGAAAAGGCCCTGGTCGAAACGCTCCCGCAACTGGAACTCGATCACCTGAACGACTCGGATTCGGATGCTGACCCGGCGGAGTTGATCGTTCTCGAGCCCCAGCCCGGCGATGAACCAGCGTCCCCGCCCAAGGACAAGAAGAAGCGAAAGCGGGCCAGAATAGCGCCGGCCGACGTCGCTGCCGCCGGCACAAGTGGTAGCGCATCCTCGAGTGGTCCGGGGAAAGTGGTAGCAGGCACGAGTCCGTCCTCATCGTCCAGACAGCTGCCGCCGAAACTCGACGACAACAAACTGGCAAGCAACGTCGACAACGTGGTTTCCACGGTGATTGTGGAGTGCGTCGGCGAGTGTGTCGTTCCGAAATTGCACCTCGACCGCAAGACGAACCCCAGCTACGGCGAGCCAATCGTGAAATTCTTCGCGCAAAGCATGAACCCAATACCAAACTTGTGGACCAAGAACCGCGTGGGCCCGATAGCAGTGGGAGGCGGAAACCTCGACCCAGCACCGGGAATAGCACTTGGTATAGTAAATGTTTAAGGCGGTCTTCATCGTCATGATGCATTCAGCGTTTTCGCTTCGATGCTTCAGTAATATCATGACTTCGGTGAGCGTAAGTAAGTACTTGTTGGCGTACATGTACAATTTCAAGCTGTAGTTCAGCTTTCACTTGGTTGATGCCTTTTATCGGATGGCTCCTGCTCGCAGAACAAACGGTTACAAAAATCACTACCCAGGTCTCATCCGCAAAGTGGTCTTCACGCAGGATTTACCGTGCTTCGTGCATTGTCGGTTTCGCGTGCCGCACGGTCGTTTCCGGATACTGAAACTCGAGCAGGTCGGGAAGCAGCCCATATTAGGCGCTTTCCTCACAAAAGAGCAGGACAGCGAGGATCGGTTTAAGGTGTGCTTGAAGCACAAGGAGGTGGTCACCCTTATCGTAAGGAAAAATCCCCCCTCCCCATATCGAAAACGGAATTTGTGATGCTGTATTTGAGGCGTGAGGCGTGACATGATGCTGTATTTGAGTACACAAGTCGACCTGTAATGCTAGAAGGCCAAGAGCCGCAGTTGTGGCCTCGTTTGCGGGCAATTTGTCATGCTGTTTCCCACTTCCATTTGCTTCCTGTCATGCTGAAGATGCAAGGCTTCCCCACGCGACCCAGCACTACAGTCCGCATCTTTTCCCTTCTAGCATGACAAAGCTGATTTGTGACTGCAAACCTGCATCGCAGATTTCCGTTTTGATATGGGGAGGGGGGATTTTTCTTCTTGATAACCCTTCTCGTTGAGTTTGTGCCCCCAAAAACTTGGAGCAAGCCGACGGAAAAGTTCGAGGGCGCGCTCTGGATCGAGTACCCCATCGACCAGCACACCACCACCCCGGCGGCGGCAACTTTTCATCCGCCGCAAGTGATCCGCCTCGAGGGAACGGCAAAGAAACCGGAGCTCCAAATGGACATCGTGCCAATAGTAGAGACCGAGCCGCCGCTCCCGATACCCAGCTACTACCCGCCCTGGGGGGAACCGCCTTTACCTGTGGTAATTTTTGTACAGTAGCTCTTTGAAGATCACGTATTTTTCGTCGCCTCCAGTCGGTTTTCAACTTGCCTTGCATACTTTCAAAAAGAACAAAATGGAATTCGAATCTCGTCAGGTCGAGTTTTCATACCTGCACGTGGAGGCGAACATGCCGAGGAAACGGCAGCTCATTCTGTCCAACCGGTCCAACGTGGTGGCGAAATGGAAGCTGTTTCACGTCAAGGCGCCCGCGCGCTCCAAAGAGCAATACACGGTGCGCGAAAGAGAAGAGCAAAGTCTCGACGATCCGACCGCATTCAAGTTCGACATCGTGGAAGGCACTGTGTGCGGACCTTCGCAACGGAGCAGGCTTTTGCCGGTATTTTTTGCATTTTGTGGGTCCACGATTCTTTTGCTTTTTCGATTCCCTTTGAGTTTGACTTATCGTATCAGTCGTGAGTTAAAGGGCTTAGGGCGCAGGTTTGGGCCTCATAGAGACGATGGTGGTATCGTAGCTTGCTCCTGAATGGCCGCCGGTAGAAGTGCAAAGAATGTTAAATAACTGCCTTCTCGGAATGACCCAACCTCATCGACTACCTCCAGGTTGGCCCCGCCCTTCCGGTTGCGTGGGGTCACGACGATGCGGAGTTGTACGAGCCGCAGGAGCTGCTCATCACGTTTGCGCCGAAGTTGAACCGGCTTTATAAGTGCGAGTTTAGGCTGCAGGTCGACAACGGCAATCCCGTCAACTTCATCTGCACCGGCACCGGAAGCTACGATGAAGAAGACGACACCATGGAGCTCATCGAAAGTTAGACGGGAACGGGCCGTAGAAGTCGTAGTAGTACCCATCGCAGTCTTTATCTTCGTGTATCAACGAACAAAGAAAACCAAATTATCGAGCAAAAGATAAAAAGAAGTAAGTAGACAGAAAGACACGACATAGCACTGTTTTAGACAGAGGTATCACGACAATGTTTGTAGAGGAAGCCCCTGACACTTGTAAGAACACAAAAGTCATGTATCAACCACAACGAGCATGAGCATCCTTTTTTCGCTCGCTCAGCTTTTTTACTTTCAATTCCGTGACTTTGTTTCATTCTTACCAAGCACAAGCAGCCAAGTAACAAGCTGGGAACGCGTTGCGTGGACATTTTCCACGCTATCCGCGACGTTCTTGCTGTCCCAATGAGTATCAAGGTAATAACGCAAGAAGTGTACCGCTTTGCGAGAAGGGGCTCTCAAACCTCGAGCTCTTGTGCCAAATAAAGGTGGCGGCAGAAATAAAGCGTATCATGTGAGCGCCGGCATGTGCAAGCGGTACCGGCAAAATGAAAACTTCGCTTGTCTCCCTTGAATAGCGAAGGCGCGCTCTCTCATCAACGAACTTGTTGGTCCTTTGTGTGGCGCCAATCGCAATCTTCGTCTTGACGCCTCACCAAAGTCGTGGCAGTCTACAGAGTCGTGGTGTGAATGTCTCTCAAAATCGAGCGACATCAAACAAAAAAGCAAATCGTGAAAGTGCTATTCCAAGTTAGTTTGCGAGTGTTTATATCCGACGTCGACGAGCAAAGAAAGTGCATGCACGTCAATGGTTTTGCCGCTGCAATCAGTTTCATCCGATGATCATCACTAGATTGATATTAGTCAAGTACATCCTCTTTCAGTATCGAGTCGTGCTGTAAAGTATAAGGAAAAGATGGCCGCAAATGCGAATGATGATGGCTACGCAAGCAGCGACGGCAGCTACGAATGGGAAGACAACGACGTCATCAAACCGGATGAACTCGAGCCACCCGTCTACCGAACTATCCCGCTGCACCACTTAGTCTATGAGGAACCGCAAAAACGTGATCTGGAGCAGTATGGTGGAATCGTACAGCGATTTTTGCAGAAGATTCCGACCCCAAACATGGGAAAGCAAGGAGATAGCGACTCCTCTGGCAGTGCGCAAAACACAGCAGCGGCGTCTGTCACCGGAAGCGGAAACCTACTGCCAATTCAGGGTGTCACGCTCCGGCTCAAACCAGCAAAATCCATTGCTGATCAGACCGAGAGTGACCATGAGAACAACCTTGTCTTTCGCGATTTGCTGCCCGGAAGAATGTCGTCACCGGAGCCAGGAGTGCCACTTTCCTGTGCGACAGCAGCAGCGGATGAGCCTGAGTTTCCGTGGTGTGTATACGTTCCCCGTAAGTGGTCCGATTTTCGTAGCCTCTCGGCGCGGAAGCGTGATCATGAAAACACGAGCGCTGCTACGCAGCAACCTGCAACGGGTAAAGGAAAGCATGCCATCAGCATCCGCGGATGCAAATGCGGCAAATCAAGTAAAGGCAAAGGGAAACAAGCGACGAAGGGCAGCCGGAGGTACCAAATGAAAGACCACGACATTTCTGCAAATTATCACTTCTTCTTGTTCCGGAAAGATGCAACCCTAACATCAACGCAGGACCAGTACTTGATGCCACAGGATCCCCATCACCGAGTCCGCCTCCTCTGGAACGGAAATCAGCCATACATTGTGGAGAAAGTGGAACTGAAGAATTGTTCGCGAGACGGCGACAATTCACTGTACGTGTCGGCCGATCTGAAATATTGCTGGAGGTTTCAGAACTTTGAGCAGCAGTTTCTGCTCCACATCATGACGGATTTTCTTTCTATTCCACGCAAAACAAGTCGTCCGGGCCCGAGCCTCTACGATGACTCCACCATCACAACTTTACAGGCATCGGAGCTGCACGCATGGTGGCGCGGAGATTTACCGGCTGCGGATCCAACAACGAACGCGTCTCCCAACACCCTGACGGACAGCGAAAGTACCATCGAAGATTACGTCGAATACCAGTCGTCGGCCATGCGGAGCCAGCTTGTCGATTTGTCGTTGCGGAACACAGCTCCGAGCGATATCGAGCCGCGAGGATTGTCTCTCGGACTCGACTTTGTGCACCAACCTAAATGGAAAGAACTAGCTGGGAAACACCAAAACTTTTTGGAAAACGACTACATACTGAAATCCGTGCGGTCCTCGTACTATTCGCTCACTAAAAGCGACTTGCACACCCACGTGCCTCTAGTGAAGTGCTTTTCGAAGACAATGAAGCTCGTGCTTGCACATGCGGAGAACACCACACTCCATTTGACAGAAGAGGACTTGATCTTCTGGCATAGGAAACTGCTGAAGTGGAAGCAGTACCACAATGCAGAGGCAGATGCTGCGCAGGAAAATCACCGGTTAACCATGCAGAACGTGCAGTCGTTGCCGACCCCACAAGGCGTTGCCGCCAACGCGGACACCTCAGATGACGACTTTGATGATCCGGGAAATTCCGATGCTGCGACCGCTGCTCCGGCATTAGGGTACCGAACGGCGGGAGTCCGGTGCGGGGAGTGTCGTTTCATGGACGCATCAGAAGTTCCAGATCGCATGGCCGAGTTCGTTGCAGTTGTCAATGCCATGGTCATGCAGCAGCCAGTCCAAAAGCAGAACGTCAATGTGGAGCCGAGCAGCGCGTCCGGGAGTGACGCAGCTCCAGGTGTCACTGCTATCCATCTAGACGAAAATAAGAACGCAAATCCATCATCTTCGGTGCATGAAGCCAATCCTAGCCAGGACACGGACATGTTCTCGCGCCTTTCGGCTGTAGGCAAAGCGGCTTTCATTTGCTACCACTTCATCCGCATTCATCCGTTCGTCGATGGTAATGGCCGCCTTGGACGCTTGTTAGCGATGTGGGCTTTGTGTCGTTTGCAGTTTCCGTTGTACCACGTCCGCCTCTGCGCCCCCGGTAGCGAGCGAGACCGCTTCATCGCAGCTATGCGGGACGCGGACCGAAAGGAAGGGCGTCCTGTGGCTGTCACGGAACACATTGGCGCGTGTGTCCGCGAATTGTGCTCCGTATTGGAAGACTGCTTTCCGCAGTGAGAAACAACGAAAAATAGCTCGATCAGTACAGCATCAAGCTGAATTCCCGCTCCTTATTAAAGAAAGACGCGGCCAAGCACTGGCACTTAATTGGGCAAAAGTTATGAAATCCTCACTATCATGATCACAGAACGTTTTTCTTCACGTTCTTGCTTTTTTTTAATGAGATCGTTGAGCTTGCAAAAAACAAAACCACCTCTGTTTATCAGGCAGACAAAAGCAAAAGCAGATCCTCGTGTTCCTTCTCCCCTTTCCTTGCCGAGTGAACGATCGTCCCCCGCTTAACCGATCTTGCAACCTTGCTTTTTTGAAGCCTCGATGCGTAGCTACAAAGCCAATTCATTGAGCGATTGAGTAGCAATGTTATAACGTAGAGCGAGTAAACGTAAAGGAATTCATCGGAATTACAACGCGGGAACCAGTGGCACAGCGCAACGCTCACAGCACAAGAAAAGTTGGAGACCCAGTTTTTGTCTGCAAGGTCATGACATGATGAGACTTCCTTACCCGCTTCCCTTTCACGGTGTCCGAGCACTCGACCTCCGTGGTGCGCGAGTATCTCGACGTCCTCGGTCGTTAGTGTTTCAGCTCTATCTTCTTGTGCATCGTGTCGTAAGTACTACGGCGAACCCGTACCACGAGGCCACGACGCATGCAGACCTGGATACAGCGGCAGACAAGCACGGGCATCAGCTTCAAGCCGTACGAAAATTGAAGCCGACAGGAAACAGTAAAGGTGAGCTTATCGCAGACACGAAGCATCAGCATGACAGCGAACAAGAACAGCCGAGGGACAGTGAGCGAGAAGAGGAGCTACTGGATGGACATACACAGCGGGGACAAGCAGAAGCCGAGATTTCCGAAGCGGATCGTCCGGATTCCTTTCTGCTTGCACCCCAGGAACAAGAATCCACGAGGGACATGGCCGCCGAGATTGCCGACCTACAGCCGCGACCGCGTGTTGCAGCGCTAGAAGCGCAGCACCAGGCCGACGAACCTGAACATATCCAAGAAAGCGACCCCGCCCTACAGCAAGAGAGCAAAATAGATCGCGGCGGGGCAGCATCACCGCCACTACCGAGGGAAGGAGGAGTGTCCAACAACGTGGAAGATTTGGTACCGGCCATGGCCCGGAAGATGGAAGAGATGGAACAGCAATTACAGCAGCAAGCTGCGGAGTTGCAGTCCCTCCGCGCCGTCGATGGGCCGGCCGACAAGCGTACTACAGCACTGGAGTTCGCGCATTCGCTGCAAGACAACACTACCGATGCAATACAGCGCATACGCGACGTCGGAGCCATAAATGAGAGAGTCTCCCAGAAAATGGCGTCCGTCCTCCTGGGAATCCTTCGCACCGACGCGCAGAGAAGCGCGTTGTTCACCCTAATAGCTTTCCTCGCGGTGCTGTTTTCCTCCCTGTTGCCGCTGAAGCTGGTCCTGTTTCCCCCGCTCTTTCCCACCGCAGAGGACGTGGTCGAACTCCGTCGGCGCGGCATGGGGCGGCTCGTGGAAACCATGGCACTCGAGGAATACTACGTGCTACCCTGGAACTTCGCGAAGCGCGGCACACTCAGCTCCGTGTGCCAGGTACAAAATTCTCCCGAGGGTATCATCTTCTCTTCGTGTTTCATTCTCGCAGGGGTGTGCCTCATTCTGAGTCAGTACACGTTCTTGCTGCACTCCCCCTGGTGCTTCATGAAACAGTCCCAGGCGATCGATCTCGGGATGGACTTCGCGGTCACCCAGACCCATAATGAAACCATCCTTCGCACGGTGCTGTTGCTCGTTCCGGCGATCTGTTTCATTCTCACCGCAGCGATGCCTGCCGCCTCGTTTGATGAAGAGGAAATTGGGCGCCTCGACACCGTGATAGAGCAGGAGTATCCGGCTGAGGCGCCGGCGATAGAGAGTTACGACTACGAGGCCGAGCAGCAAGGGGGGGAGAAGGATGGGGATACGAAAGAAGCAGCGGTGGAAAAAACAACATCTCCTGCCGAGGCTCCGCGGCAAAGCAACCTTCTAAAGCACCCTGCGAAGCTTCTCCGCCACGTGACAGAGTCGCGCAAGCGACGCTACATGAAAGTGTTGGAGCTGTCGCACAACCTTTTCGCCCCTACCGGCATGGCCCTAATGCTCATGTTCGAAACAGTGCAGATTTTTCTGGGTGAGGGTGTTCCAGTTCTATTTGGATTCCAGCTGTTCGGCCTGCCCACCGGCGGCTCCACGTACCACGTCGAGGGGATAAGAAAAGACCAGCCCTGGTGGGAAGTACATTATGATCCGGCTACGGGGAGCCATTTATCGAGCTGCCAGAAACGGGCGCTGATGCTTGAGCAGAATGACACCTTTTTGGCAGGACTTGCTGCGCGCGCCCTCGTGGTTCTGTTGGCGTGGCTCTTTAACACGCTATTCGTACTACTCGGATTTGTGGTCTACTTCCGGGTGTATCTTGACCCCCACGCCCCTTCAGGCCCGCTCGTGCCGACGAACTACACCCTCCTGTGCCGTTCCACTGAGTGCATGGTTCTTGAGGTCCTGGCGGTGTGCTCGGTCTTTCTCTTGCCTGTGCTTCGGGCGGGCCAGCTGCTGTACTTCGACAACGCTGTATTTCGAGAAAAAAGTCTTGCAGTTACACACTTTATTTCTTCGTAGATTTCTCTTAGCCGCACAGAGTTTATAGCACGTCTGTGTGGCTTCTACCTTTGAATTATTCAGGGGCCACGAGAGTCGGCCGGCATGACAAAGAAGAGACGAGAAAAATTTGTAGAACAAATGCGAAGAAGATCAACAGGGAAAATGCGCATCGTGAAGCTTCTTTGTCTCGCTTGCTCTGCAAGAAAGAGCACAGACTGAATCTACTGTAGGTGTAACACTTTTTTCCTTTCATAGCGCGTTACAGATTCAGAAGTGCTACTGGACCCGGGTTATCACATCGGTGCGAGCGTGCGGGAAGCATGGAAGGACTCCTATATCTTTTGGAGACATCCCATCAACACCACCGGCACCCTGCAACAACCCTGTGGGACCACGTGGGACTTGGTGCCAGAGGCAACACACAATATGTGTCGGACAACTGCTAACTCAACCGAACCCCCACGGTTCTGGTTCTCGAGATACAATGAGACCCAACTGACATAAAAAAATCCTATGAATGACTTGTCGACTGACTCAGGATCAGACCTGTTGAAGAAAAACAAGAACTTCAAGCGACCGAGTCCGGCGAATAAACCAAATTTATAAAGAACTATCAAAAGGCAAGAAAATGAAAATGATACCACACAAATGATTCGGAATTGCAAGGCTAAATAACTTCTCATCCAACGGCCGGGTCGATGAAAAAAAATGTGCTTGAGCTGCCCTCTCCGCGTCGTCTGTGTGCCGGCCAGCCACGGCCACCTTCGATCCCATCATCATTTTATCAAAATTCTTGATAGAGACATATGAATTGATGATTCTCCGATTCGATTAGAATCTTCATCCAAGGAGGATAAGGATCGGGATAAAACCGATCGATAATTAGAATCATGGCCAGATATGACAAGAAAGAAAGAAAGAAAGAAAGGAAGATATTAAGGATATTCGATAACAAATGAAGAAATATTTTCCAATATTGGATTTTTCGATGAAGATCAAGGTTGAATTTTCCTAGTTGATTCGATCGAATTGTATTCCGAGATTCTTATGTTGGATTGATGTCGGAATTCTAACACTTTTTGAAAATTTTTTATGTAATAATTATTGATTCTTTCTGTCTTATTCGGATATAGATCATGAAGAAAATATCCGACACAATTTTTTTTTGGATCTCTTATTTTCAAAAATTTTTCAAAATCGGAATATAATATCAATGATGATATCAATGATTCAAGATCCCAAAAATTGAAATATCGAAAAATATTATGATGAATCTCGAAAAATTCTTAAAATAAAAATCTTCTTGGATGAATCTATGGTTTTTTTTAAAGAATTTCAAAAAATCTTCATGATGGGTTGAATATGGGATATATTCATTCAGATTTCATTTTTTCAATTTCCGATTTTCGATGATTTCGAAAAAAAAAATTGTCATATTATCAAAAATCTATAATCAATTTCGAACATAACATAGACATAGAAAAGAATGGGAAACCGATATTATTCCAGATCCTTCCTATATTCCATGAGAGAATCGATATTTCGAATTATTCATTGATGAAAGAAAAAATCTGAATTTCGGGAAAATCTCCAAAAAAAAATATTTCATTCTGAAGAAATGAATGATTGATAAAAAAATCAAAAATGACGGAAAATTTGTGAGAATTAATATCCTCAGATCGGATCTAAGACCAATTTCTTCAATCATAGATACCCCGACAACATAGAAGAGGAAGAAATAAAATTACATGACAAAATCATACTAAAATTGAAAATTCCATATCTTTCATATTGATTCTTTCTTTCTTTCTTTCTTACCATGCCCGGGCATGGCGTCAGATTTCAAGACCCTACAAGATCCATCGCAATCTCATTGATTTCCTTCTCTCCATTGATCTTTCATGTCATCTGCAACTCTAATCTCATATTGATTCATATTTCATCCATCAATATCGGATTTCCTTTTCCACATCGAATTCGAAATTCATAGACGAAGATCAAATCTCATTGGTGAATCTTATTCGAGAGAAATGGGAATCTATCATCATGGGGTTCATGTTCATCATCATGGTCGACAAGAAGAGAATATCATAGTATGGGGATGCCGGTGGACCTGTTGCAACGCATCGATCATTGGATGGATATCAGGGTCAGCGTGGTCTACAATTCGCGTAGAAGAACAAAAGATTTTCTTCTGTTTGTGAAATCGGCGTTGTAGTTGTTTCTCAGAGAGTTTTTTGAAATTGTCGCGTATGTTTCTTTGAACAAGATGAAAGTCATCATTCGTCGATGTGTTCTTGATCTCGGTATTATTTGTGCAAGAAGTCGAAGATTCAAGTCCTCTGACATCATTTCATTTTCGTCAGGTTGCGTTGTTTTGTGCCGTCTTTGACCACTCGCTCATCAATCGCAAGGCCTTTGCGCCTGCGAACCGAGGTGAGAATTTTCCGCGGTATGTTTTGCGTCGCCGCCTCCGATAAGTTGTCCCCTTCGATTTCCACGTCCTCCTGAGTGCGCGCCTGCTCGGCGAAAGGGTCTTCCTCTATCATTTCAAAGCCAAAAAACCGCGCATGGTAGTGCACCTCCCCAGAGGCCACATGCCGGATTTCGTTGCTCAGGTTAAAGCTTTCCACCATCGGCAGCTTGATTTTCAACAGAAAGACGGACGTCCCCTCGCGGAAGCCCTCCTCCAGGGTCTGGCAGCGGCGCTTGCCCAGCACACCGTACACCTTGCCCATCGACGAGCCTTCGCACTGCAAGTCCAGCAGCAAAACCGGCTCCGCAATGCGCGCCGTGGAGCGTCGCAGCATCGCGTCCATGCACGCATCCCGCACGGCAGAGATCATGTGTCCTCCCAGTTGGTGGCGTGATATCGACTGCGAAGAAGTAGATGTTGAAGCCTGGTCTTTGGACGGTTTCTTCTCGATGCTTTCGACGATGAAGTGGACGTCGACAACGGGTTCGTCGCAGAGCGGCCCCCGGACGGACGCGATCTCAAACCCGGTGATTAAAGCCCCGGTGATCCAGCCATCGTCCTCGCCCAGGGCCGCCTCGCAACTGAGCGCGGTGCGGGCACCCTTGCTCGCCCGCACTGCGAGCAGATGCGGCAAGAAGGCGCCGACGCGCTCCCGGAACTGGGCCTCCGTCTCGTCCTCCTGGGCGGCCGTGCCGTCACTCGCATCGACAGGCGGGGGCAGCTTTTCCGCGCGCATGCGGAAGGAGAGCAGATCCTTGACGTGCTTGATCACAGGGTAAGAAGAGGCGCTCGCGGACGAGGACCCGCTGCTTGCAGTCGCTCCATCTCCCGCTCCGGCGGCCCCGGGCCGGCTGGAGGCTTTCTGCCAGGGCAGCGTGAGCAGGTCCGAGCCAAAACCCGGCTTCGGCGCGGTAATGGTTTCCCGGAGCGCGACAAGCGGCTCGCTGACCGAAATCGCCACGTGCGGCGGCAGGTACAACTGCTGCAGATCCTTCAGACACCGCCGAAGGTGCTCGTCGCCGCAACACCCAATCACGTTCTCGCCGGAGGCCCGGGTCGCCACGTCCAGGCTAGGGTCAGAACGGTGCAACAGGGCCAGACCCCGCTCCAAAAAACCGCGGTACTCCAGCAGCTTGGTTTCCACGGAAACTTTCACAATCGCAAACGAGCGGGCGGCGTATGGACTCTTGAAGATCGGCAGCCAGTTCGCGCCGTTCAGCTCCAGCTTCTGATTTGCCTGCTTCTTCGCAGCTCCATCACTGCTCGTGGCCAGATTGTGTTGCTGCAGAACGTGGTTGAATTTCCGCATCCGGGTTCGGGTGTCCTCCGTCAGCTGCACGAGTGTCAAGTAGCGGTCGGTCCGATGGATCGCGGTGCGCGAGTTCTCGAAGCTGATGGCAACCACGGAGCCCGCGGGCGCTTGTTCGCACGGCATCAGGGAGGAGCCCATCAGAATGTACACCTTCGCCACTTTCAGTGTGGTCCAATCGCGCAGCAGCACCGAGGTACTGTTGTTCTCCTCCGAACCGGCGGAGTCGGCGGAGCTGCCGCCGGCGCGATCAACACCAACATCTTGCTCATCCGGGTCCTTGTTCTCGGGGACCACAACCCAGTCGTCCGGCGGGGTGGCGAGCACGGCCGGACTTCCGCGGGACGACGGAGACACAATTTCCAAAGGACTGGTCATACCCGAGACGGTGGCCATCTGTGGAATTTTCGCTTGGGCATCCACCCGGTCCTGCTTCCACTCCGACGACAAAGCCGCAGGAGCATCGGCGTGTTTAGTTGTACCTTTGTCGGTAGCCGCGATGCAACTCGTCGCACTTGTTGACGTGGGCTCTGGTGGTGTTGCAATCAGTCCCTGCTGATGGTCGACGTTGCGTGCTTTGGTGTTGCCACTACTACTCGTCCCGCGGACACTACGCCGCGTGGCCTGCATCATCAGCATGCCCGGTTTCAAACAGCCGGCAAACACGCGGCACATCCCCACAAAATCGGACTCTTCGTTTCCGTGGACAAGACGGTCGCCGAGCAAAACTCCCCGGGACAAATCGGCACCGAGGTACTTCGTAACGTACGCAACTGCGGGCACATTTTTTTCCACCGCAGTCGTGGTGGATGATACTTCTGTACTGATGCCGCTACCATGGTCGTCATCACAATGGAGGAGCGCGGCTGCCAGCGCCGCACCGGTCGCGGAATCAACTTCTGCGTTTGCGCTTGTCGTAATTCCCACCTTGTTTGCCAGCGTGCTGACAGCACTGGAAAGGTAGGACGCCGCCGCCCTAGTTCCGGATACTTTAGAAGTACCACCACCACGCAAAGTCGCAACACCTCCGTCGCGGTCCAGACCGGCTGGCAAGGGATATTCCAAAAGGAAGGGGATGCGGTATTTCGCAGCTTCCCGTGGACCAGGCAGACACTCCACGGCAGCGCGCAGCACGCAGTCGCCTAGCGGCAACCAAGTTCCCAGCAATTCGCGGACACAACCCGACCGTAATTTTGTGAGATCCACGTGCGCGAGCTCCGGCACTGGGCGACACAACTTTTCCAGCAAAGGCAGATCCACGCTCCCCGGTAGGTTCTTGTCTTTCGTAGACTGTTGTTGCGAGGCGCCGGCTCCTGACACGGCAGCGTTGTCGCTATTGTCAAAAGTGCCGGTGGCTTGGTAGAAGCGGAAGATGGTGTCGAGGCACATCTGGGCAAACATGACGCGCTTCTCCGGCCCGTCCGTGGGCTTGCGGCGCATCACTTTGCGTTCCTTGGGGTGGTACCAAAAGTCGCCCCACAACGTCTTCTGCAGCACGTTGGCGCTGCACCCCATGCGGCGGCTCATGAAATGCGCGAACTTCTGGATGGAAAACCCCCACCCGTGCATGGCGCTGGTGAACAGGACATTGCCTTTCGCTGGGTGGTAGGTCCACCGTTGCTCCAATTCCTCGTCGAAGTCGAGCGCATGCTGCGCAGCTGCGTCGAGCGACGAGCTTGTCTGGTCGTGTTCATTTTCCTGCTGCGAAGATTTTATTTCCGCTGGTGTAGTTTGTTTTGATGAGGAAGTTTGCGCTGAAGTATCGTGCTTCGAGAGAACGTCCGCCATCAGTAATTCCGCGGCGGCCGCGTTCACCTGCTGGATCACCTTCATCACGTGCAGGTAGGCCTCGTCCGCACTGAGCTTCAGGTTGATGAAGAGACGGTCCATCTTGTTCAGGACGAGGATGGTTCGCAGCTGGTCCCGCCACGCCTGTCGCAACACCTCCCTCGTTTGCGAGCTCATCCCCTCCACCACGTCCACCAGTACGATGGCACCGTCCGCGAGCCGCGTGGCGGTGGAGACCTCGGAGGTAAAATCCACGTGGCCGGGCGAGTCCACGACATTGATCAAAAACTTCTGCTTGCCGTCTTCGGTCTTGTTCTTTATTCCTGGTGCAGTAGTTGATGTTCCCTCCGCCGAGGGTGCAGAAGGAGAATTACCTTTGTTGTCTTCCGCTTTTGGTTTTGCTGGTGGCCCTGCATTATTCCTGGGTGTAGAAGAGCTAGAGCCTGGGGTAGAAGTAGTTGTTTCAGTGCTGAGCGCCTGATACTTGTAGCAGAGAGATATGGCCGACGACTTCATCGTGATCATGCGTGCCTGTTCGTCTTCTCGCGAGTCCAAAAAACGAAGGGACCCAGCAACTTTTCGAGAGATCCATCCGTTTGTCGCCACCAAGCTGTCGCACAGACTCGTCTTCCCATGATCCACATGCGCAATCAGGCACACGTTTCGAATCTGGTCCGGATACCGCTGAAGCTCGGCGATACTCTCCGCAGGGCCGCGTTGCGCACCGGCGGTGCTGAAAGACGAACCCTGCATGGCGTAGGCTTATCCTCCACGTTGGGTGTTCGTATTTGTTCGCACAACCGCAACCACAAGCTCGGTAAATTTTTACAGCTGAGTCGCTACTAAGACGCAGTCGTGTGGGCGGTTTAACATGTTCGTGTTCGCGAAATGATCTTCACGCAAAGCTCCATAATTTTGTTCTCTGCGCCCAAATACAGTCGAGTCATGTTTCAAAGAAATCCATGCGAGCGAGGGAAAGGGAAATGAAAATGACTACGTCGTATAGGGATACAGAATACAACCTAAGGAAAACAACAACAAGTCAATGGGTGCCTGCAAGGAAAATTGATAGACGTGTTTCTGATTTTCGGTTTGGTTCTAGAAAGTGTTCTAGTCAACATCCAAAATTTCTTTTGTCGCTTGGATCCGACCTGGTGATCATGCCTCTTGTATTGATCGCGAGCTTATTGTATTTCATTTTCACTTTTGATCTAGAGTGGCGCTCGGCTCGGAGAAGACAGTCACTCCGATTTTTTCAAACTGAACACGCTTCTTGATGTCGTAGGTAGTTGCCTCTACACAATTTGCTATGTACTGTTCCTCGTAGCGTGCTATGTCGTTATCCGCGGAGTCAAGATTTCTGCAAAAATAAGGGCCACTACTTCAGCAATGCGAGTCTGCCGGTGACCTGGTTTACTATCTCCTCCGGGGCCGGGCCAAACCCGACTACGGTCTCTGACTCCGGTGCCACCTCCGTTCGCCCCGCGTCAACACAAGATGCGTACAGGACATTGCATTCCTGGGCCTTTCGTTTGAGCTCTGCGAATGCCTGCTCGTCCGCACATTCGCACACGACGATCTTCTCACCGGTGATCTGCCACGCCTGGACTTGCTGCTGGTTTTGCGCGGGATTACGGTGCACTAGTGCCAGGACGGCGTGCGCTACCTGGGCCGCGACTTTGCCAGGGGACATCTGCAAGTCTTTGCGCACCACGAAAACGGCCTTGTATTCGGGTCCGTCATCGTCCTCGTCCTCGTCGTTATCAGCTCCTGCCAGATTGAACTTGGCCTGGGCGATCAACGCCTCCGCGGGCGTGGTCTATCAAATGTAAAAATGTCTGGGTCTGGAAGATTCCGGGATTTCTCATGCTAGTCCGGCATGACTCTGAGCTCTGTATTGCGTGGCCGCAAAAGGCTTCTCTTGCATGTCATGCAAAAACGCAGCTTCTCATGCGGAGTACGCAACTCTGAACCACGGAAAAACTTGTCATGCTTGGCAGTGCATTACAGTATGCGCATTTTTCCCTGACTTGCATCACAAGTTTCCAGACCCAGACATTTTTACATTTGATATGGTCTCGATCAAGTCCAAAGCGCGCTCGACGTCGGTACTGCCACACAGAAGGGCCGCAGCCTGGGACAGCTCGGCAGAAAATCCCATCATCTGCAGGTTCTGGACCAGAACTTCCATCTCTCCGCCGGCGTCTGCCATGATACTAGAAGATTTTCTTTAGTCTGATTGTATGTGGCTCTACACTTATAAACGGGAATGGAAATCAAAGACGGGGCTGATCTACTAGATCGCTGTCTACTTCGTGGCGAAGTTACCAAAAGTGACAAAAACGTCTGCCATTACAGATCTCTGGTAAGATCAGGAACAACATCGCGGTCTGGAAGCATGAAAAAAAGTGACTAGATCTAGAATAACGAAATGCATTGATCCATATCCATCTACTCTACGTAGGCTGATCCACCGTGGAAGCTTGTGACTCTCGATCGAAGTGAGAGTTCTATAACATCAAATCCCAGCTGATCTCATCGAGGAAAAGGAAAACAGCTTGCATCGTATTTTTAGCTGCACTTATCTTTGTTCTCAGCAACCTTGTCAGAGTTGTTCCTGCTCGTGATGCCAGATCACGCCACTTTCTTTGATTTTCTGCTTTATTCTCGGTCTGACCTTGTGGGGGAAACAGTCGCACACCTTCACGCCCGACTGCTTTTGTGTATTCTCAGGATTTTGGTTTCACGCAGCTATAGTCGCAGGCTTAAACTTGCAGGCGATCTAGTTGTGTGTTGATGTCCTCTCCCCAGGGGATTTCTGCCGTTGCGGTGTTTGTGAAGGAGAAAAAACGCCAGTACTGCGGTGTTCTTTTCGTTGTGCTTCTGGCGCAACACGGTGATCTTCTTTTCCTCCGCGGCTTTCTGATTTTGTTCTGCTTGTCCTGCGCTTTTCCACCAGCAGCTTATTTTCGTCGCTGTTGTTTTCTTGGAACAGGATCTTGGTGAGCACTTTCTTGGAAAGGCGTTCAGCTACTTGCTCACTGGGCGACAGACCTTTTGTCGTGGTCGTCTTCCTCGCTGTGCTCGGACGACTGCTTCTCGTTTTCGTTGTCGCGATTTCGAAGTTCACAGACTTGGCTTCTTTTTCCCTGCTCCCAGATGGCGGCGCTCTTCTCACCGAATTCCCATCAGGAGCATGTGTCTCAATTGGCTGCGGTGCAACTACGTGGCTCGACGATCTATTCTCGATTGCAGCAGAAGTCTCTTTGCGACTTTGTGCAAGCGCGGACGGACTAGCAGACGCACCTGGAGGTGTACTAGCATCTTCATCTTGGTCTTCACCAGACGCGGTCCGTTCTTCCGACTGCTCTTCTTCTCCGGATCCGGAGTTTTCTTTTTCGTCCCTCCTGCCAGGACCGTCGGAGCCGCCAACCAGTTTGGGAGTCGCGCCGTCAAAATTTCCGCTCGTCGCTTCCTCGTCAGAAAAGTTTTCCGAGCTCTCCTCTTCTTCTTCGCTGTCGTCGGACGCAGCTCTATTTGCAGATGATGACGTGGTGTCGTCAAAACCAGGGAACGAAATCGGTTCCGTGTCGGATCTTTGCTGCTCTTGCATGTGATGTTCTTTCTCACGTGCCATCATATCAACTACATCAGTGGCTCCAGCATCATGCTCCGCCTGCTCGTGGTGTTCTTCGCTGCGTTGTGCTTTCGTCTCAGGCCTGGGAGCAGCGAAGTCCATTGCTTTTTTCGGTTCGTTCGACAATCGCGGGAAGTTCACAGAAACCTTCAGCGGACGACTTACCTTTTCGCCTTCTTGGTTCGACGTCTCCTCGCTATTGCTTTCATCATGTGCCGCTGGCAATTGTTCTCCAGCCGTTTTCACTGCACTGAGACTCTTTGCTTCTGCTCGGCTGGTGTCGATTGGTGGTCTTTTTCCGTCGAGTTTGTGTTTCTGTTTTTCTGCTTCATCTTGTGTAACTGCCGTGTTCGTTCTCTCGGTCGTCAAGACCTCCAAATGAAGAGACCGGTGTGAAGGTGCAATTGGGTCTTTCGACTGAGGGGGCGGAGGAGTTCCCACTGCTGTCTTTTTTTCTTCTGTTGCCCGTCGCGGAACAAGCGTTTCCTCATTTTTGATCGTGTCCGTGAAACTCGGCTTTTCATTTCTGTTCCGCTGGTTTTCCGCTTGAAAGGATAGTGGAGATTTGTCCTGTGCGACATCTTTGGCGCTTCCTTCAGTCTTTGTCTGATGTAGAACCTTCTTTTGTGGATGCGGCCCAGGAGTTTGTTCTGCTCCTAGTGAAGATTTTCGTGTCTTCAGTTTTTCACTTTTGCTAGCGAGTTGCTGTGCGTTCGCTGCTTCCTGGGCTTTTCTTGTTGATACCTTTCCACCAGCTTCTTCTAGTTTCACTGCGGGAAGTGTTTGCTCTATTGCATTCTGCTCGTCTCCGGAGTCTGAAATCCCAGCACGTGCGGTCCTCGTCGTAGGCGGCACCAAATTCGTTCCTTCGCCTTCTTGCTTTGCCTGAAACGCAGCGGGAATGGGCGGCACCTCGGTCGGAAGAGGCTCGAGGCCGATGTGGCGAGGGGAATCTTCTCTTCCGGGTTGCGCGCCTGCACCGCGAGTTGTGTCTACCGGGACTGGTGGACCTTTACTCCTCTCCGCAGTAAAAACATCAGCTGCAGCTACGGGTTCTTCGATATTGTGCGTTCGATGTATCGCCGGCAGGGCAGCAGCTCCTTCGACAGTCTCCGCAGCAGCAGTTTGATGAGCGACAGTGCTATGGTCGCTAGGAGTGTAGTTCTCTTCCTTGTTCCGGCGTATCAACATGGGACTGGTGCCCTGCGAAAAAGGAGCTTTGGGCGCCGCGTGGTACCCACCGCAGTCGAAGCGCGGGCAGTAGAAATGCTCGTTCGAATACAGGTCAGATCCCTTCCACAGATTGCCCTCGACAGTCGGGTGGCACAGTACGTCGTCGAGCTGGCACTCCGCGTGGTCCTTCGTGTCGTGGCAAGTGCCACTCCAGCAAAACGAGCTCTCGCTTTCCTTCTCTGCGCAGTCTTTCGACGCTCCGCAGCTTCCTGTTTCAATTTGTCAAAAACAAAATCTCTGCCTGTAGGGTCTGTGCGTCGAATTCTTCCATCGTAATCAGAAAAGAAACGTATCGAGCACATCCAGATCCAAGCGGAATAGAAAAATGGGAAAAAGAAATAAACAACTCGTCAAGACATATTATCTTTTTGTACTGAGGCAAAACTCCTTTGCCGTCGACCCACGCATAGACGTAAACCCGTCGGGGCAGGCAACGCACTTCTGGAGATCGCTGTAGGTCCCAGCTTCGCAATAAGTGCACTCAGTACCGCCGCGGCCCTTGGTGCAAACTGTTGAAAAAATGTTTCATTCATCAGCTTCTACTTGTTCGACATGCACAGTCAGAAACTGCAAGGTTGGAACGACCTTCCTACGAACCGCGTACTGACAACAGCACGGAAACGAAACAAAACTGGACTTGCTGAAGCTGAAAATCATTTCATACTCATGCGGAAAAAAACGCAATAATATTTTGTTAAGTAAGTACTGTCGCACTCCACAGACCCGGTTTTCTTGGTAGAGAATCCGGTACGGCACGGTTGGCACCTCGGTACCACTCCTCCACGACTGAAGGTTCCCAGTTCGCAGGGCGCGCAGTCGGCCCCGAAGTGGCCCGGGGCGCACGCGGTGCACTGCGACAGGTCGGTCGCCCCCGAATGCGGCGTGGAGAAGCGCTTTGGGCAAGGCTTGCACTCTGCACCTGTTCCGGAGTTGTAGGTCCCGATCGGGCAGGGACTGCAGTCGTCGCCCCCGAACCCAGGCGCGCAAACAGTGCATTCGTCGGCACTCGTCGCTCCGCTCTTCTTCGTGACAAAATTTCTCGGGCACACGTGACATTCCTGCGCGGTTCCGCCAACACTGTACGTGCCCGGCTCGCACCGTGTGCAGTGACGGCGCTCCCCCGGGGCGAGACCGTAGCCGGCCGCACAGACTGAAGGAGAGTATGCGAGACAATGAGGTCATGAGTGGAAGCAGCGAGGGAAGGTTTATCGGCGAAGATTCAGAAGATGAAATGCCTCTGAACGTACAAAAATACGCACATGTAAAAATTCCTATACCGTCGCACTCCGCCTCGCTGCCTGCGCCGATTGCAAGCGTGCTGCTACCCTCTGGACACGGCGTGCACGCGGGCCCGCCGTCACGACTGAAGGTTCCGCGTTCGCAGGGTGCGCACTTGTCTCCAAAGTGCCCCGGGGGGCACGGAGCTTCACAACAAGTCGCGGCGTCCTCAAACGTACAAGCACCGCCGGCGCACGACACGTCGGCAGCGTCCACCCGGAGCTTCGCGTTATTGTGGTGCAAGAACGCAGCGCAGCTTTGGTCCGAGAAAAACGCTCCACACCGCCCGGGCGGCGGCCAACTCGTTATCACGCACGGCGGGGGGTACTGCCCGCACACACGCCGCTCTGCGTTTTCCGGCGCGCACCGCCCCTCTGGGATCGCGTGTGCTGGGTCCGCGGGGCAGGCATCCCAGGCGCAGCCGTAGAATGGCGTGCAGTCTGGGCCCCCGCAATTCACCTCGAAGACGATGATGAGCAAGAGTTTGTCTTAATAGTGTGTTCTTTCAGTACAAAGTTACAAGCACCAAGCGCTCCAAAAAGAGCGTGCAACTTCCTAAAAGGATTTTTATTTCCGACAAACCAGGCGAGCATCTGCTTCTACTGTAGACGTGCAACATTGAGTATTTCGGTGAGGAAAAAATGAACGATTCCCGTCATACCCGATGCGCCACCCCTTTATTCGTGTACAGCTGCGGACAGCAGCGATAGACCGGGTAATAGTCGGCGTGAACGCGCTCCTTGTAGGGAAACAGGTACGCTCCAAACCTATTTGAGTAGTGCGTCACCGGATCCACGAACCGGTCGTTCGCTGGACCCGTCCCCACCGGGACGCCCTTGAACACGTCACAGCTGGGTGTTTTGCCGATCGGCATGGGCTGCGAACTTCCCGACGGAGCGGCAGCAGAGGCAGAGGACGCAGGGGTTACTTCTTCTGCTGAAGACGACGCTGAAGCACCCCCGGCAGCTGTTTCTCCTGTCGTTGTACCGGCAGAGGCAGTACCAGTACCGACAGACGAATCCCCGGACGATGTGCTGGTGGATGAATCAGTGGGGGTCGTCTGAGTTGTACCATTGTCCGCTCCTTCCTCCCCGGGCACGCCTGTCGTGGCCCCCTCACTGGAAGTTGTTGTGTCCGCAGCTTCCCCCCCTGCGCCAGGGATCGCGTCGGTTGCAACCTCTTCCTCCGCTGGGGTGGGGTGTGGAGTCGGTGGCAGCACTTCGTCCTCGACTGGCTCCGCAGCCGTGCTGTTTGTTGTACCGCTGGAGGTACTATCCTCGATAGTATCAGCTGCTTCCTCTGCTTTCGTGCCACCGTCGCTGTCATCTGTCGCTTCCCCGCCGGCGGAGGACTCTGGGTCTTTCGCCATGTCTAAATCTTTGATACCCGGAACAAGACCTCCCTCCGGGACGAGCTGGTCAGCTGCGGCGGCAGCCGCACCCTCGGCCGCACTGGGAATTCCAGCAGAAGATGCTGAAGCAGCCGAAGACGCTGAACCTGGGTCTTCTTGTGCGGTCGTGGTCTGTTCCGCTCCTTCTCCTGCTGCTGCACTTGCGGGTTCAACACCATCCGCAGCTGAACTTGTCTCTGCTGCTGCTTTTGGGGCTGCATTGTCTCCTCCTGCAGCTGTGCCCGCGTCGTCCGCTTGCGGTTCTTGCCTGTGTTGTACGCGAATCGCCTGGAGTTCCCCTGGCTTCATCTCGAGGGCCGGCCTCCGCTGCACCGCTGCCGGCGGGACGGTTACAGGTGGCTTGATAATGGTGAACGCGGTGCAAGTAGCCGCCGCGGTGGCCAAGAACCTCCGCGCTGTCACGGCCAGTGTCCATTTCATTCTTGCAGGGAAAGCGGCATTACACGTTCGGACACGGAAAATCCTATAGTACTTCTTGCTTTGTCGCCGCACTATGGCGTTCCCGTCCCCGCCAACAATGCATTGCTCTTCTCACACACTCCTGCTCTGACGATTGCAGAACAGCACCCTTCTCTCGCGATTTTGAGTGTAGCTCTCCCCAGTACGAAACGGCTCAAGTAGTTTAGCCTCTCTCTCCGTCCGCTTGCGGGCTACCAGTTCGCCATTTTTCCACCTTTTGACTCTGACTATTCCTTTCGCTCCCCAGGAAATGCCGAAGTGTTTAAGTCACTTTTCTGCCCTCCTTGCCTGTATGTGTAAAGAGCATGGCAACTCCCCCGCCGCGTTCCCTGTAGGATGTAACACATGCCATGTCGATGTATGTCGATGTCGTGCCACTCCGACAATAATCGCCCCCTCTGAAAGAACTCAGAGTGGGTTGTTGTGCAGGGATTTTCTAATACACGTGTTATCGCACTCCAAAGGGTCACCATTTGTACAAAGTAACAATATTTACCAAATTTTACATCAAATCAAATTGTGCAGGTGATAGTGAAGAATTTGCTAGTATGGCAATTATTACGGGCATTGCAACTTCTCCTGGAAACTACCTGGAAACTAAAACTCTCTGCTTCGTCAGCTTTAGAAAACCGCGTTTCATTTTTCATGACTCGAAGATTCTATACACACTTTTCCAGTGTGGCATGTACATGATGTAATTTTTGTATCGCGTACGCTACGAAAGACTGAAGCCCTGTACACTCGAAATAAGATCCACACTCATGCAAGTCCCCCACCCGCCTGAAGAATGGAGCAACTTCACGACAACACCTCGCGCTATGTATCCGCGACAGCACTGTGGAGGGAACAAGACATCGATCAATCTGGCCGCACCATGTCCCGGAGTCGCTGCAGTATTTCCGAAACGTGAGGGTCCGCCAGTTCCTCCGGTTCCAACTGCCGCGTTAAAGCAGTGTACGTCACCGCCGACACGGCTTCCCCGCGTTCCAGCAGCACGCGGAGGTACTCCAGTACGAAAGAGATCGGGTGTTGAGCCGCCACGGCGCTCGTCGCAAGTGCCTTCTCCACGGCTGCAGAGTGTATGAGATCCTGGTAAAACCGCAGCTGGTCCCGCACATCGCTGCCCAGGTACTGTGACAGAAACTGGCGCTCCGCGCACGCGCGCGCCCGCTGGGGAGACAACCACTTTTGGACCGCTTTCCGGCGGCTGGGAATTATGGATGGGCAGGAATCGGGAAGAGGAGCCGCACCTTCTTTATTATCTCCACGGTTCGGAGAGGAAAGCTTCGGCTTGTTCATCCCCGTAGAAACTTGTTCGCGTCCGTGGTTCTTTCCGCCAATCGGACTTCCGACAGTTGCGTCCTCTTCGGGTACGGGACCTAAAAATTTGCTTTTTCGCAAGAGCCGCTGTTGCCGCTGCGCTTCCTGGGCGTAAAGGATGTCGCGAAGAGTCTTGTCGCGGTTCGAAGAAGAGCTTTCGTCTACCAGCTGTGTGAGAAGCCGTACGGTTGAGGACAGACGATCGTCAGCTTCGTTCAACCGTGCCACCCGCTTTCCCCACTCGTCATGCCCGGAACGGACGGCCGCGGCGCGCTCCGAAGGGTTGCCTTTTTTTTTTTGCAATATAGAGGTGGTCGAGCCTGTTCATGCTCTGTACATTTTTTCAGATGAACCAAAACTAACCACGAGTCCGAAGAAAACGACAGATCCTCCGGCGCAAAGAAGCAAGTACTTGTGTTCGTCTCAGAGGCGGGTCAGTCATGCTTCATTCTCTAATGTGGAACACAAGTACCTTTGTTCTGTGTACCGCCAGCCCCACTTGTTGCTTTTGATGGCTGTTCGTTCGCGCCGGCAGCGTCATCCTCGAAATGGCAAATGTTCACGTCCAATTGGCGCTCGTGCCCCAGTTTGCGGTCAAACACGGTCCGCAGCTCCCGCCCGGTGTCGCGCAAGTCCCGGCCAGCATCGCGCTCGGCCTTCTCGAGCCGGCGGCGAAGCCGCTTGGCCCACGTATTGTGCACACTGCCGCCTTCATGCTCCTTGTCTTTTTCCCGCGCTTTCTCGGTCCCCTCGTGTGGAACCACGACGGACGCTAGGCGCACCGGCAAGGGTTGCGGCACTGCAGCTGTCGTGTGACTCACGTAGTGGCAAACCTTGGCTTGCTCGGGCTGTACCAGCAACCGATCTGGACATTGCTTCCGTAGCTCGGACCACGCGCGTCGCCCCAGCAGTCGCAGAAATTGCGGTCGCTTTTGCAGTGTCGTGGTAGCGTCAAGAACATTTGAGACGGAATCGTCTTGCTCGTGTGCAGCTGTTGAGAATGCAACTTTCCGCTGCACGCCATCTTGTCGTGAAGATGTTTCCCTCATTTCGGGAATCGTCTCCCTGCACAAGAAGCTGCGCTGCGGGATTGCCGGACGCCAAGGTGCACCGAAAACGAATGTCTCGGTTGTACCGCCGCCAGGAAGACTCGGATTGTTAGATGCCTTGGCACGATGAGAAGATGCAACATGCGAGGCGGCGCGTTCGTGGTCGTCCGCAGTCTGTTTTGCGTTCATCGCGGCTGCGGCCTGCTGCGCTGGCGATTGTGAAAGAGGATCTTCGTCCCCGTGTTGAGCAATTTTAACACTTTCATCCAGTAGCAATTCGCTCTGCTTGTGGTCTGAGGTTGGGTTCGCGACGTTCTGGCGTCGTTCTACTTCTTTCTCTGTAGCGAAACCGTTGTTGACTGCAACAGCACCGTCCTCAGGCAGAGAACTTTTCACAGCATCACTTGCAGCTGCTGCGCCTACTGGCTCTGTCTTTTGTGGCCATGGGCTTCTCTCGTTCACTACATTTCGGGTCAGCTGCTCCGTACCACCAGGAAGAACGGAATCAGAAACTGCAGCATTAGGATTTTTAGCATTGGTGCTGGGCATCAAAATGGTTGCGAGCGTCGCGACCGGCCGCGTTTGCAGATAGCGAAGTCTTTCCTCCGATTCTTTGACAAACTGCTGCAAAGTGCGCTTCGGACCGTGCTTGGCCGCCACGCGTCGCCTCTCGATGGCGCGCTGCACACTCTCGATGACTCGCGCCGCGGCCGCCGTCGAGGTTTGCGTCGACATCACGTTGCGCACATTGTTTGTGGTCGTGACCAACTTTTCTCCGTATCTTACCACAAAATTTCCTTCGTGCTGTCCGCCCGCTGCGCCAACATGATCCCCTGTCGCCGCAATGTTTGTTTTGTGGTAGTTATGCGGAGCGGCTGCGACTGAACCCATCTTGAAACTGGCAGGAGTTTTACCGGGCTGCAGCTTCTGCGCAGGAGAAAGGTCTCGCCCGCTTTTGGTTCCGGTGCTGGACGAGGCGTGCTCTGCGACCGCAGTTGTGTCCCCTTCAACATTGCCTAGTGGCAAGTACGGTATGTCCCTACGCGCGGCGAAACCGCGTCCCCGGCCACGGGTCTTGGGTTGCGCCTTCTGCTGCTGTCCGTGGACGCGGTAGCGACTCGTGAACGTGTCTGACCGGTGTAGGACCACGCGCTCGCCCAAATCTGCAAGGGACTTGGTGTCTTGCGCCTTGCCTGAGCCGGCCGCTGCGTGCGCGTAGTTGTACCGAGGTGGAGCTGGTGAAGACGGGGATGAAGATCCTCCACCGGTCAACAACATTTTTTCTATGCCGGACAACTCTACGGCAACAACGTCTCTCTCATTCTCGCTCTTGTTCTCGAGTAAGGGGCAGGCACAGTGGCAAGAGCTACACCGACGTCCTTGCTTGATGTAGTGCTGCTGCGCTTCTCAGTGCGACTACAACGGCCACTTCCACTTTGAGTTCGAATCTGCGCAACTGCACAAGCATGACTCTCACTGCAAGCAGCATCAACATAAGCTTCGGACACTGAGGACTGACAGAGGAACAAACTGGCGTATTCTTATACTTCGGTCCGAACGTGTTCGATCCGGAGCATTGGAGGTGTACTCGCGCGCAAGGCGTATCATGCACAAGAAAACGCGACGCACTCTCTAGGTATCCGCCCGCTTCTCTCAATGCGGGAAAGCAGGCGTCCTTCGGTTAGCGCGCTCGCCCAATTTGCAGCACCACAACAGAGCTTAGCACTCAATGCTGGAAGGGCGGGTCTATGCTAAGTGCGGCCGCAGCACAAAGTACGCCAGCGGCGCGGGCATACTGGGGCGAGCCGCTGGGGTTGCTACACTATTCGGCGCGCACCCTACTTCGATACTACACAACCAGCAGCGTGCGCGCAAAGCAGGGGGCACCCGGCAGCCGCAGCGAAACGGCTGCAGGCAGGGTGCTTGGTGCGCGCGGCCGCAAGCAGCAAAGAAGCTCGCGCGCGATGCGGGGCGGCGCGGCCCGACATTGTGGCCGCGAACATTTGCAGACGTGGGCCGGCGCCGCGCGCCCCCCCGGCCCTCGGCGTGTCGATGGGCGCCCTCGGCGGCAGCCTCACATCGTTAGGCGCTTCCGGCTCTTTTGTTCGCCTCGTCGTCGGGGGACGGCCCGGCCGCTTTGCGGCTTGCTCCTCGTGCTTTTTGCGCCAGCTCTTCAGGTCGCGATTTTCAAGCTTCCTCTTCCTGTAAACGGAAAAGGGCCGGGGCACCCTGCTGCAGGGCGTGGGCGTCTTCTGGTGTAAAACTAGTTGAAGCGCCCCACATTCGCCGCGCTCAGGACAGCGACAGTGGAAATAAAAGCGGCGGCGAAATAAGCCCGGCAGATTAGTGGAGCTCCGCGCCGCGCCCATCATTTCTGCGACAGCTCCCGACGCATCGCCCGGCCCCGCTGAAGAGCCAGCACCTACAGCCATAGGGTCTCCGTCATGGTCCGGCATTTTGATTTTATTTCTCTTTACTTTTCTGGAGAAGACCTTTGCCTTGTAAAAAAAATATACCTGTTTCTGTGTGAAAGTTGAGACATGCTAGCGGCCTTGACTCGACTACAAGAGCGGGGTGGCCGTGAGACGACACACAATCTACCATATGCAATCTACACCGCCAGACACGCTCCGGGCTCAATCTCTCGCCTTCTCTCCGGTTGAAATCAGTAGGAACACGTGGTGTAGCTTGATCGTGGTCCTTTGGAGCACAAGCATTGTACGTCTGGCACGCTCTGTTTCACGTCCAACGCCAGGACGAGGGCCCTCGTAATAATTGTGCGCACCCTCTAATTCGTTCCATCACCCTGTGCATGTGTCACCAGAAGTTTCTTTTTCCAACTGAACTGCAGACACATTTCTTTTCCGCTGTGCTGCGTGCGTGAGCATCAGCTTTCTTTTTTCCTCTCCTGCTCCAGAATGTCCGCGTGGTCCACTGCCGTCTGCAATCCCATCGACGCGGACAGGAGCAGTTTGAGGTTCTTGGAGGTGATGGTGCCGCCCTCGTTGCGCTCCCGGATGGCTTTTACGTACAGCGGCTCCAGGGCCTGCAGGTAGAACTGGGAGCCGTTGTAGGCCACGGCGCCACAGATGGTGGCCAACCAGACAAAATTCGCCAGCTGGTGGTGAAACATCAGGGTGGCGAACACCATGGCCACCCCGCAAAAGCCCAAGTGGATCACCAGGTAGATCCCCTGCACGAAGAGCTTGGGCAGCTTCGTCAGCATGAGCCGCAGGAACTTGCCCACCGCCCCGGTGCCCAGCACGCGATCCCACAGCGTTTGGTAGTTTTTCTCCTCCAAGTACCGTCCTAAAGCGACGAAAATCCACAAAAAGTACAGCCCACTCCAGGGCAGATAGAAATACCTAGGGGTGAGAACAGATTTAAGATTCCTTTGGCTGCAGGTCGCTATTGTTTTCTACGTACAGAAAAACAGTAAATTGAAAAAGCAAGTAGAACTACGCAGCACCTAAATTGGTTCATACCGCATGGCCTCGTCGATCAGCTGAAGGTGGGACACGCATATCCTCCGCAAAAGTTTCGCATTCTCTCTAGCGTTCTTCGCGTAGTACAAAAGCGAGTCAGGAGTTGCGCGGCTCCTCCTCCTGTTCCACATGATTCATAGATAGTACACAATTGACTCTACTCCTGCTGAACCTGCACGAGTAGACTACTAACTCGTCCTGTTCAACATCATTGATCCACTCTCTCGCATATTTGAAACTGCAAAGATCTTCTATTGGAAAATTTCTGTTTTCGGTTTACTTCAAAACCCGTGCTATGCGATTTAGAGATATGCGACACTACTAAGTAATGCCATGCGTAACGTCGTCACAGGTGGGGAAATCCTCGCAAATGTTGAATCTCGCGTCGGAGTGCCACCTCAAACCGTAGACCAGCACCAGAGGGGACACGTGTATGACCACAGAGGTCATGTGTGCGTAGGAGTGGAAGATCAAACTGTGGTTGAAACAAAGCGGTTATGCCACAAAAGAAAGATACTCATACTTGTGCTAGCCTTGTTCACTCATCTTTGTGTTTCAAAATGATGTGCAAAACGTAATTTCGTCCTTCATGCATAATCTCAATCATGCACAATGAATAGCTGTACTAGCAAGTGCCAAGTAGCTCTTTTGCAGTGCGATAGCACCGCAATGGCCAGCGGTCCGCACGCGTTTATGAAGAGCACGCGGAACATGAGTTGCGAATGCGGGTACACCCAGCAGTAAAGGAGGCAGAGAGCGTTCACCCAGTAGCAGAAGTCGTAGAGGAGGTAGTGCTGCTTCTTCTTCACGAATGTTATCCAGCGCAGAAAGGTGAGGGAAATCACTTTGGGAGTGTAGTACGCATAATACCAGGCTTTTCGCGCGAAAACACCGCTTCATTGTGGCTGATGTTGCTCATGACTTTCCGAGAAGATCCGCATACCTAACATCTCCTTCGCTTCCGCTTGCACATGATAAACAAAATGAAAATCTCCTCTGTAGAAGTTTGGCTTCCGAACCGACGACACGCACTGAGTCATCTGCATCACAAGACCACAGTGAAACGGTTTTTTTCGTGGATACGGTCGGGGACAAGCCTAGGACGTACGCCGTAATGGCCACATTCCCAACGCCCAGCATAAACCACAGCTGGTCCAGGGTGCTCGCCTCCGCAAGTAGCTTTTTATCCTCATCCACCAAACTTTCCGTACTGGCGCGCCGTATTGGCGGCGCCTTGCTTGTGCTTTCCCTCCCGGCCGCAGCTGCATTTCCATCTGCACTGCCCCCCGCAGGAGGTGGCGCGAGCAGCTGCTCCGAGGGACGTGGTACGGTCTTCGAAGGGGTGCGGGGTCTCTGCACTTGGACCACGTCATTGCGCTGCTGCACAGCGGTCATCTGGGCCACCGCAGCAACGGTCTTGCGCTGGTTGCGCACAGCATCGAAGACAAAAACCACCGGTACGAAGGCGAGAATATTGTAGGCAGTGGTGTGGGAACCAAGTTGGGACTGCATCACACCCACCAGCTGGCTCCAAACGTCCCAGATCATTTCGTAATGGATCGTAAAACCAACACCCTCCATCTTGTTGCCTTGGTATGTAAGTATTTACTTATGGTCGCGGTCTCGGAGTTTTCGGTGCGCGGGAGAGAGTCTATGACTTGCACATAATCATATCGGAGCTAGAGGTTAATAGCCCTCAACAAAGCAGAGAATCAATGAGAAGCCCAAGTCTCGTTGTTATTGTCGCTGAAATAAACCGAAAAGACATCACGGTAGCTCCACTCAGGTTTAAATTTCTCTCTGGATCATGTTCTCAGTCAACCTGAAGGTTAAGTAGAATCGGTCGGCTCAATTTCATTCACGATCTGCAGCAACATTTCCCGGCTTCTCGTAAACCGAATGTGTGTCGAATGGTGCCTTGCGTACTCTTATTTTCATTTCCCTGCTCCTCAACGGATCCGGCACTCCAACTTTATCAAAACCCCGAGCTTGACCCCTGCCTTTCACATCAGGAGAAACAAAAGAGACGGACAAGTCGAACTCCACATTGATTTTTCGCCGAGACAACATGGTAAGCGGACAGCTAAATTGGTTCGATTGAAAAGTGGGACAAAAAATTTTTCCAATGCGAAATCAGCTTTTGATACGGAGCGGGTGCTGCCGAGGTCACAACGTGTGCACATGACTACTCTCCTCATCTTTTGTACCTACATGCATTTCGTTCCGAATTTTTTCATTTTCGAAAAGGAAGCAAAGAGATCAAACTATCGGCTTAGCTTGAGGAATTATGCGTCCGTCGTTGTCGTTGTAGAGCAGAAAGCAAACTCGGGATAGAATGGGTGTTGTCGGAGCCGATGTCATGCCGGTGTTTTACCGGCACGCAACCGCGAAAAAACCCAACTTTTATGTAGTCAGCCCTGAATTGGAATCGGGCCGCGGCGAGAGCAGATAATTATAGTGTATCACCCTAGTGGTCGACAGTTCTGCTTACTTTGTTCACGTTTGCGGGGTATTAAGTCAGTAATAGAAACCGGGCACGGGCGAGAGACCAGAGAGCCTTGTCGTTGGAGGTGCCGTACACAGCCGGAATAATAGGGAATTATTATAGCTCCGTCAGTTGAGGCTGAAGTTCTCCTCATCTTTGCGTTCCTACCAAATGAACCCTATGAGATCCGTGCTACGAACGCAGTTCCCGAAGCACCGTCCACCATTTCTCTTAACTTAAACAAACGAGTTTGCATTTTCGAAAAACGTGTACAAAAGAAATTACATATGGCTTTCTTGGCTAAGTACTGGAAGTAGATGAAAACGGTTCAATAGTACATACAACTGTAGATAATTTGAAAATTGTCGTCTTCGCTTTGCTGTGCTGCGATCATCAACACAACTTCTGCCGCACGATCTTTCTTGTATGGTTTATCGTCAGAGTTGTTGCACCGAATGCAGTGCTGATGGGAGCACTGGCAGAATAGTGTAGTGCAGCTGGTTCAAAAGGTTCCATTTCATTTCAAAAGGGATAATCATATGGTCTTCAAAATATTCAGGGGGCACCAGCAAGAACCGCATCGGTCAATGAAGAACTGAAATATCATTTCCTTTCCCGAGCACTTCTTTTTCCTCTAGAATCCGCCCATGTTCTGACCCGGTCCCCGATTGTTGTAGCCATTGTTGCCGCTTTTGTTCTTTCCCTTGCCCTTGCCTTTGCCCTTCTTCCCATTGCCGCCGTTGGGAGCGAACGAGTTACCTGGTTGACGCCAGTTACCGTCCTGCATGCTCGCGCTCTTACCGTTGTTGTTCCAGCCCTTGCCACCGCCGTTGCCCTGGTCCATCATGTTGCTACGACCCATCTGGTTGGATCTGTGATTTCAGATGAAAAATGGCAATGAATTGCGGCGGCCGCCTGCATCAATGCAACAGACGCGTCATAATCAATCTTCGAGGAGCAGGCATTTATCTTGAAAATCATCTTCCTCAAAGAATAAAAGCACATGCACAGGTGGAGGAGCGTAATAAAGTACGTTTGCTGCTGCGCGAAAACGGACTTTTGCTGAGACAGAACCGTTTCGTTCACGCTCAATCCCCAGTCATCACTCGGCTGTTCCTCTCCCTTTTCCTCTTCGTGCGCGGCAGCGGGCTGCTGGACTGCCTGTTGGCCATTTGCGTTGTACCTGGGGTTGGGGAGTGATTTCATGGAAAATAATGAGGAGTGATTTCATTTTTCATCCCTTTCGAGCCCGTTCAAGCGTAGCAATTCCGATGATTCTACTCCTGGGATGTATCGATCTTCATACAACTGTGGTTATTTTTTACAACCTACACGAGCACAAATCGTGTGCAAAGCGATAAGAGCACGTAGAGATAGAGATGCAGGAAGGTTTACAGCAATAGCAAATATCGCTTTACTTATTGTACCCGGCTTCGTTGTTCCATTGCTGGGCAGGCTGCTGCTGGTTGTATTGTCCATAGGAAGAGGGTTGCTGCGGCTGTTCTCGGTTGTTGTATTGGCCTCCCTGGGCGGAGGTGCTGTTGTAGTCGCTGGAGGGCTGCTGGTTCTGCGGGGGTTGTTGCTGTCCCTTGCCATATATCAAATGTAAAAGTGTCTGGGTCTGGAAATTTGTGATGTTGGGTGGCGTATCATGAGGAGGCCACAAGAGCTGGCCCAGCATGACAAGTTTTTGAGCTTCTGTTCTAGGTGTTGCCTATTCTGCATGACAAACTGCGTTTCTGCATGACAGAAAAATGGGGCTCTTGGGTAACATGCATGACAGATTTAAGAGTCATACCAGACAAGCATGACAAACATACATTCTTCCAGACCCAGACATATTTGCAGTTGATACCATAGCCGCTGTATTTCTTACCGGACATGTTATTACTGTAATTGTTTTGCTGCTGGTACTGCTGCTGACCGTTCCACGCACCGGCAGTCGCCACTCCGGCCCAGTTACCTATGTTAATGTTATGATTTTTAGCAACATTTCTACAGAGCACACAGACTGTATCACTCCATCACGTTGTGTCGGAGAGTTTAGTACCAGCACCAAAAAAAAAGAAAACAAACGTACATCAAGTTAACTAAATATCTACCCTTCGCGCTGCTCTGTCGCAACCGTTCGGCCTGCTCTTCCTGCTGCTGCTTGCGTCGTCGCTCCTCCTCCTCGCGTTGTCTGCGCATCTCTTCCTCCTGAATTCTTCGGCGTTCGGCGGCCTCCGCCTCGGCTTTTCGTCGGGCCTCCTCCTCTTCGGCTTTGCGGCGAGCTGCAGATTGATAGGAAGATGACATACGCTTCAGAATTTCAATTAGTTTATTCACGTGGGGAGCGACTGGGCAACTCGAAAGAGGATCTACCTCAACGAGAACGAATTGATATCATGAAAAGAAAAACCGCATAGAGGTCGTGGCACAAGGACCGACGCAGTATTGCACATCGCCCGCACCGTAAAAAGCTCCAAAAGCCGACATTCAATTCTACCTTCCTCTTCCGCCCGTAATCGCTCCTCCTCTAAGCGGATGCGCTCTTGCTCCCGGCGCTCTTCTTCCTGCCGCTTCTTTTCTGCCTTCTCGGCTTCGATCCGGGCCCACTCCTGCTCGATGTGTTTTTCTCGCAAGGCCTCGGCGTCTTGTCTCAAGCACTTGTTGACAATCTCCTCGGTCTTTTTCAACTCGAACCTGAAAAGCATTTTGCTGCCTCTGATACTGATGCACTAAGAAATTCAAAATGAATAAGTAGTCTAGCTCCTTCCATGATTCAGAATCAGAAAGAACATGTGCATGGTGCATGAAGAATCTGCAATGCAATGATCTTTGTCTTTCCTATACTATCAAAAACACCATTGAGCAGTACATGAGCTCTCCCTTCTTGTCCAATTTTGGCAATTGCAGCTGGTCGACCTTTTCGCCGGTCTCGAGTTTTTTCTCGATGGTTTCAATTTCTCGCATCTTTTTCTTAAACTTCAGCAAATCCTTTTCCGCTCGGGATGGGGCGCGGTCTAACTGGACTTGCTGCAAGAAGTACCTGTTTAGAAGAAGAAACGACATGCATCACCTCTAGTCGCACGTCATGACCCACAAGGAAAACTTTTCCATTTTCAAGTACTATTTCAAAGTAAGTAAGTACATGCAAACGCAGCACAACATGTTGGAGACGCACGGGCGTTCATGCGCTCAGACTCTCAACATCAGATCATGTCAAAAACATCGTGTGAGACGACAGTACTTTCTTGAAACAGTATGAAACTCTGTACGCGAATTCTGGGACCACGGGTTGCGGGTCGTAGACCTCTTCCACCACTGCGGGCGCGACGGGTTCTGGCACCGGCTGTGGTGCGACCGCGGCTGCCGCCGGTGCGACGGGCTCGCTGGTGACAACCTGTTGTTGTTCCACCGGTTGTTTCATCTGCTGCTGCTGCTGCTGTTCGTAAACAGCCGCTGGGGCGGTCGTTTTTTGCGCTGCGGAGCTGCCGGAAAAATACGTTTGCTGCATGGTCTGCTTTCCGCCGTAGTTGTCCCCGTATCCGCCGGCTGTGGCGGCGCTTGGCACCGCGGTCTTCGCGTGGCCGTTGGCCCCCTGTGTCTGGAACGCCTGGTCGTCCGAGGTAAAATCCTCGTGGAAACTTGCCGCCTTCTGGGCCCGCGCCTTCGGACTGTCCCGCTCCGCGATTTTGCTTAGCAGCAACTCCATGGCTCGCTCCACATCCTCCCCGGACTGAATCAACGCCTCACACGCCATGTCCTCGCTGCACTGCGGCAAAATCGACAGAATCATGTGCACCTGAGAAAAATTTCCTTTGAGAATTTCATTTTGCTGGTTCTTGGCATGTGGTCTACATCTTCAGAGCGAAGGAAGCTATCAATCGCCGCATCATCATGCATCTCATCTAGATCCAATGTATAAGAACCTCCAGCCACAATAAAAAGTTATCCGGATAATTTTTGCGAAAGAAATCCACGCTGGTCTTCTACCTGTGGTGCCAGGTCCCTTGTTTGGTACATCGCGAGATCGCGAGTGACTGTTGCTGTTAGCGTTGTCATTTTTTGTCGTTTTTTCGGGGGGCAGAACCTAAAGAAAGACAAGCTGCGATACAGTCCTGTCTTGTCTCTAAGAAAACTTCTAAAGTTAGAAACTTCTAAACAAGCTTAGAAGATGGAGAAATGTGAAAACTTCAATCCAAGCAGCACGTTGAGCAGATGATGATGAATGCGTCGTTTTATTCTTAGCAGTAAACTATTCGAAATATGACCTACTGAAAATTCATCACTAGCGGGGCCGCTGCGGAATACCAGAAAATTATTTCATAGAATAAGAATCAGCGAACTGAAATTGAGAAGCAGTCTAGCAAAGATCGTAAAATCTACGAATAGAATTAGAAACGGGAACCGGGGGCCTGCCAAAAACGACTTTCTTCAAATTCTCAGAGCAAAAGCGCGTTTTAATTGAGAACAAGATCGGTCACAATGGTTCGCGAAAGTTCAAATATCGGATCTTCGCTGTCGTCAGAACCAAGTAGACATCATCGCACGCGTTTCTACTCCTATTCATTGTGATAGCAAGCAGCATGAAAATCTTTCGAACAATGTCTGCGGCTGTACACTGCTCACACTTCTCACAGTTTCTGTGTATGATGTGCTGCTTCTTTTTGCCGCAGAATTACGCAGATCTTTTCTACATTCAGATGCCGCACGAGCACACAGGTGCATCGGCGTCAAGCGCTGCCGCATCAGCGTCCCACTCGTCCTCCCCTTGCGGGATGCCGTCCTCGAACTTCGACCCGATCCCATTAAGGCCGTACGTGGGCCGGACAAATTCGTCCAAGGATGGGGGCGCAAAACATGGGCCCGCCCCGGCCAACCTCCGGCCGTGGTGCGTGCGAAAAGCAGGCTGGGCCGAGTACTCTTTTTCAGTTTTCGAGAGTTTTCCCTGCTACAGGGCTTTCCAACTTTTTACAGCTCGGAACAACTGAAATGCCCGGACCCTGCCCAAGGGGGTTGGGGCTGCGGACAAAAAGTTCTGCCAAACAATACAGGGCTGGACAAATGAAAACAACAGAAACACGCCTGCGTGTGTGCGGGGGAGGGGGTTTGGCCTGCTTTTCGCAGGGGGGGGGACAGTGGGGGCCCATGTCCTGTTCCGTGATAACCAAATCTCCGCCGCGGTGGCGGCCGGTTTGCCCTGCCGCTTCTTGATAAAGGCGGCCGCCTTGTTCCGCGCCTGCTTGCGGAGACCTGTGGCGCCTGCCGAGTCGTAGAGATGGCGCAGCTCGTCGGACACGATCTCGCTTGCTGGCGAGCGGGGGTTGAAGCCGTTTGCTGTGAAACTCCTCGCCATTTCTTTGTGCTGAACAAGTCTCCAGGCTTCAACACAGATTTCCATCTGTTCTTTTCGTGTGATGAAGATCGTGGCGGCTTCGGCGCGAATCCCAGAGGCCTTCCGCTTGTTGGCCAGCAGCTGAACTTCGAGCCTGGGGTGGGGGGGTTGTGATTAGTAAACTACTCTAGAAAATACCCAAAGCGGGCCTTTGCCAACGCCCGTGCCTAAGTACTTATATCAGCATTACAAATTCAAACTCCCATGATCTGCGCCAAGAAGTTTTTCCTTTGCTGTCCGTACGTGACAAGCTTGTGCGTCGTGGACTTGTTAGAAGGGGAAAAAGACTTGTTCGACGTGGACTGTTTGGAGGGCGACGGTGTTTTGCAACTTCGCCCACTGTTGGTGCTGGCGTTCACCTCCTCCGGGAAGATTAGGTGGTCATCATCAGCTTTATAATTTTCCTCCTGCTTCAACATTTCTATTGAGAGGAAAAATCCCCCCTCCCCATATTGAAAAGGTATGTTTCCAAAAATTTGCGTTGCGGATTTGAGGTCACAAGTCACATCTGTCTTGCAAGACGACAAGGGCAGAAGCTTTCGCCCCATTAGGGAAGCGATTTGTCATGCTGGTGGGCTTAAAGGGGAGCCGTTTGCCATGCTGAGCAACTAGACCCATACGCCCCTACCTAGCCTGGGGATCCGGCCGCAGTGCCGCTCTGCAATACAAAGCTGATTTGTGGTCACAAATTACGCAGATCTTTTCTACATTCAGATGCCGCACGAGCACACAGGTGCATAATTTCTGATTCTGCACTTTGCAGGCTTTTGGGCTTCGTGTTCGCCCGGCGCCTGGCAGACGTGGCTGAAGCGGCCGACCTGTTGCACAACGAAAACTTCGGAGCGAGAAAAGGACGATCAACAACTGATGCCGCTTTAGTCATGCGGCGGATGATCGAAGATTTTAGAAAACACCAGCAACAGTCCGGATGCCCCAGGTTGCGGTGTTGTTTTCTTGATCTTAAAAAAGCGCACCCGTCGTTGTGTGCACAGACTACCCTGCACGTTGCGGGCGTTCTCGGAATCGCAGAGACCAGAACCTGGAGAACAATCTGGGGACTACATCGCGCGTGCCGCTACTTTGTAAAGCACGAGGACATCTTGTATCATTTAGATTCAGGACTACAAGAAGGTTGTCCATCTTCGCTTGTCCATACTCGACGATGCCCGCTCTGCCACATCACTTTTCGGGGCGACTATCTCCAGCACTGGCATGCAGTCCATGGCGCTCGTGATTTCTCCGCAAACTGGTATGGCGACGAAATTGCAATGCGAGGGGTTTCGATCGACAGAGCGGTGAGAAACCAAGAAGAGAAGGAGCGCAAGGACCTGTTGCATAAGTATGCCGCCTTCATCGATGAAAAATCGCATGATGTGTTCCACTGTTCCGAGTGCAAAAAGGACTTCAAAACAACGGTCGGCGCAATTGCCGAACACGCGGAGCATCACGTGCGGAACGAGTTCACGAGGATCGCGCAAGACCAACAGTGGAAGTGGCATCCCGTTGAGGAGTTTCGTAACGAGCGCACACAGATATGCGCGTTTCCCATGCAGGGCAACCGGTTCAAGAAGAAGATGATCACGGTGCCAGCGAATGTCAAGCACGAGTCTATGCGAATCCAGTGTCGCCATTGTTCCGCTTTCTCCACCGAGTGGAATACCCGACTCAGCTACCAGGAGCGCAGTGGGTCGCTTCGTCGTTTTGAGAACCACGAAGAACAGTGCAGGAAAAAGAACAAGACTCTCAAAAATGCCAAGTCGCTACGGGGCAGCCACCAGCGAGTGCTGATCCAGGAGGGAAGCAGTAGACTATGGCAGAAACCGAATGAACAAGCTTCGTCTGCACGTGACAAAGTTCACCACCGGCGACGCGGAATAGTAGTAGTTTTTTAGCAATCTAACGACAAGCGCCTTTCCCTCATGCAGATCGGGCCTACCTTCACGTAAGTCGCAGCGTGAGCAGGCGACTACATTGACTTCTGGCTAACCTCGGTGGAAGGAAGTCATTGCGTCCACCGGCTCAAACTGCGCTTCAGTACCTATATGCCGCCGCGAAAACAAAAGAAGTAAAGAAGAACCAGTGAAAGAGTTGTGACGTTTTGGCCAAGCCTGGAAACACGACTAGCCGGGCACCTGCGTCATCTTTTCTACATTCAGATGCCGCACGAGCACACAGGTGCATAATACTTTGCGGCCGTCTGATTTACGCACCTGGCCGGCGCATGACTGTTGCAACCTGATCGACCCCCAAGCCACTCGTGTTGACGTGGGACTCTTGCGTGGTCCCTTAGTTCCTGCCTTGCGGATTGTATGCTGCTGGAACATGAAATCGTGCGCTACCGACAGCACGCCAAACAGCGGCTTGAGCGCCCAGGGCGCCAGCGTGACGGCCTTGTAGATCTGGATCCGCGGCCCGGACACCTGGTAGAACTTCAGCGCGAAGTCGATGGACGTGGCCAGGTAGCTAAAGACGAACCCCTTCATATCCTGAGTAAAAACGCACCCACGCCAGAGTTAGGATGGGGATTTTGCAACACAAGCCTAGGAGTTTTGTGAGTCACGCATGACAAGTTGCGCTATGCAGTGTAGTGCAGGTTAGCAAGTGCAGCCGCGTCACAGATTCATCTGCTCATCCGGTTCACAGCAACACAAATTCCAAAGTTTCTGAGCTCCTAGGTGTTGCCTATTCTGCATGACAAACTGCGCTTCTGCATCACAGAAAAACGGAGCTCTTGGGTAACGTGCATAACAGATTTAAGAGTCATGCCGGACAAGCATGACAAACGTGAATTCTTCCAGACCCAGACATTTTTACATTTGATAAGCCGTACGTGTCTACCAGCAGCTGCAGCCAGGACGTCAGCCGCGCGAACTGCGCCACCGGATCCAGATACCGCAGCCACGGCACCAGTTCATCTTCTTTTCCCTTCATTTCCCTCGTCCCCGGCTGCCCGTCGTGTTCTTCGCCGCCGGGGCTCTGCCTACTGCTCCCGGACGCCGCCGCGTGCGGTCCGCGGCTGTCGGGGCCGTCTTCGAACGCATCCCCCTCCGCGATGGTCCGATCCACAGCGAAGTTGTGATACTGGCTAGTAGTACTCCGCGTCAGAACCGACCCGGACTCGGTCGACGAGCGCCCGCCGTCTTTCGGCTTCGCGACTACAGTCGGGAGCAGCTCCTCGTCGTCCGAGGCCACCATGGTACGTTGTAAGTGCCTGGATCACGAAAAAACGCGGATCCTAAGGAACATAGCTGCACTAATCTTCCCCTTTGCTCTCGCCCTCAGTACAATCAGTGCGCAGCGCGGAGAAGAGAGAAGTCCTACGGGAGCCTAATCGGTGTTAAAAACGCGTGGAAAAAAAGAAACATCCTCGCCCTGTCTCTGTCTCTGAGATGAAAACTGAAAAATATAAATTTCGGGAAACCTTATTCCGGACCAGGCTCAACAAGAATCATGGGCGACCAACATACAAACAATGTCATTGTCGCTCAGTCTCTTGCACTCCTGTCTTCACCCTTGAGAGGACGAAAGACAAACAATACGATCGCGCCCTCACGACAGCAAACCGACGTAAGGTTGACGACCCACTGGTAGCTGCACAAGGAGCAACTGTCCATCTTTATCCGTACCCGACGACCCACAACCACACTTCAAGAACAAGGCCAAAGCAGAGCAAGAAGCAGCTGCGCGTGTTGTAAAAATGGTCGAGAATCTCTTCGACGTCGACCCAAAAGTAACCGGCCTTTATTTGGAGTTGTAAAACAAAATAAATTGAATCGTAGCTCGCTCTGACCTTTGCAGTACCATTTTCACGTTGCAAGCAACCTTGGTTCTTTTGCGGCGTCGCACGAACAGACCTCACGTCCGTGCTTGAAAGTTGAAGTTCGGGATCGAGTTACGTCCTACGCCATCGAGTACGAGTACGATTACCATTACGAATGCGATTACTTAATGTTAAAACTTAAACTAGTCAAAGTACTAAATTGGTTTGTGGATCTTAGAGTCTTAGTAGCAGAGACAGAAGAACATGAAGAGACAACGCAACAAGGGTGGAGAGAAAGACAACACTTCTGACCGTAACGTGCATCTTTTCTACATTCAGATGCCGCACGAGCACACAGGTGCATAATTTCTGATTTCATCCGCGGTCGTCAGAACGAATTATTTGCCGTGTCTACTTCCACCATATGATCGCTCCGCACGCGTCTTTCACTTCCCGCGGATGCAGCGTTCTACTTGAAGCTCCTGTGTGCGAGTTGGTCCCAGAACGATGTAGTACTTCTTCGTTACGACCCAAACGCACGTACCTCGCCGCCGCACACCAGTCCCTGCTTCTCGCGGAGGTTGTATTTGAGTCGGAGGCGCGTGAGAAGCGCGTCAATCTGCAGAAGCGAAAATTTCTGGTACCGCACCATCTTGCCGTGCGCGTCCGCAACCTCGTTCACCAGTTCCGCCCGGAGATCGTCAGAAAGGTCGTTGAGCGACTGGTCCTCCAGAAGCATGCGCTGCAACCAGCACATCACGTCGCGCAGGGGGTAGCCGGCGCGCTCGAGTCGCACAATCTGTGAAGAGGGAGAGGACGGTGACCCACGACATGTTGACCGATAGAAAACAAGAGAAGCATGAAATTTCAATTTGTTCTTCTTCTTCATTTTCATCATAACAGAGTCAGAGGACAAAGAGTCTCCTTCAAGCGGCCTACATTATATGCCTAGCCTCTTTGTACGAAGAATAACAGATACCGGGAAAAAGGCCTGCTGCCAATCCTGGCCGAAAAGGCAGCTCCTAATGCAGGACTTCAGCAAGTCCGGGTTCGGAGCGTCAGACGCACGCAGAACGTTCGCCTTTGTTACGGCTATAATTTCACCGGTTGCAACTGCGTCACCAGCAGATTCTTTCGCAGCCGCATCCCCTTCTTTCGAAGCATCCTCTTTCGTACTTGTTTCGTCCAGCGGTTTATTTCCATCGGCATAATCATCCATCACAACGTCGTTCTCCCCCCTGTTTTCGTCGCTAACGTCATTAATCGTGTGCTGCTCCCGCTCGATATTTTTCGGCGACCCGCGAACATCGCCATCCCGCACGCGATCCGCAACGGCTTGCAGCATCGTAATCGCTTTACGCATATCACCGTCCGCCATGAAGCACAATGCATCCAGCCCGGCGGCGTCGTAGGTGAGATTCTCACACCGGCAAACTTGTACTATGCGGTACACGATCTCCTTGTGGTCAATCTTTTCAAACCTCATGATGTTGTGAAGAATAGGAAACGACAAAAGAAGTTAGTGATCAAACGATAATACGTGTACGATGTAGTTGAGAGGAACTGAGAGGCATACATGAAACTATCATCTTTAAAAAGAGAGCTAGCGCTACGTTAGAGTCGTACTGTACTTTAGCACGCTGCAGCGACTAATGATCGCGTCGAGAATTTTGCTCGGGTGGTTGCAGTATCAAATGCAAAAATGTCTGGGTCTGGAAGATTGCGCGATTTGTCATGCAGCTTTCCTATGACCCATGAGGTCTGGAATGCAGGACCTAGCATGACAGATTCTGTGCGATCTCTCTCATGCCTATCCTGCATGAGAAACTCCCTCACGACTTGCTCAAAACTGGACGACTTTTGGTAATCATGCAACACAGATTTTTGCATGCTTCAGATTTAGCATGACAAGTTGCATTCTTCCAGACCCAGACATTTTTGCAGTTGATACGCAGGCCAGCGCGAATCGTGCGCGGTCGCTGTACTGCTCCATCACCTTACGCAGGGCCTCCTGGCCCTGCACCGTCATGTTGTCGAATTCGTCCAGCAAGACAAGGCGGTAGGCCTTATTTTTCTTTCCAATCAGATCAAACCGGAAGTTGCTGAGCCAATTCACGATTAGTTCGCGCACCACGTCGATGCCGCGCTGGTCCGACGCGTTTATTTCCAGGCAATTTTCCTCCTTCTCCTCCCCGTGCAATGCGTGCGCCAGCACGTGTAACGCCGTGGTCTTGCCGCACCCCGGCGGGTATTACAATGAAAAACGCCCCCACCCCCGAACTTGGGAGCATTTGTATTGCAAACCTTTCCAAGTGAAACATTTGCCCTCTTGCATCTATCAGCATCACAGGCTTCCAATCGTAAATAGCAAAAATTTGAATTGCAAAAGACCCCAGCAAGAGTGGCGCTTGTTATGCAAGCGATGCGATACACGCCTGGACTCTGCTGCATCAGAAAGATTCATACTCCTTTCATGCATGGCAAAAAGTTTTCATTTGGAAACTTCGCATCACAAATTTTTGCAACTTTGGGAATGGGGGCATTTTTCACTGTAATAGCGGACCCGCGAGGATCATGGACGGCATCTGCTCCGGCTCGTGCGTGTACTGCTGCAACACAGACAGCATATCCTCGTTCCCTACCGCATCTTCGAAGGTTTTTGGCGCGTACTTGTTTACCCACAAGTCATCGGCGGAGGAGGACGAGGAAGAGCCGCCAGACTGCAGCTGGCCGCCCGGGGTGAGCGAGGGAGCCATAATTTATCCCGAACCACGAGGTGCGACTTCAAATTTTATTACTTCACAGGTAAACGTATATGATGAGCCACCCGTAGTACGCGCAGATCGATAACTCCTAAATATCCAACAAGAAGCACAACTTCACAGCTTCCGTGAGGCGCGGTTGTGGCTGCAAAAACCAATCGAAACTCGCAACAGAAATGGCTAAGTGTAGCTGACCTAAAAAAGATCGTGCACAAAATCCACATTATCGCTTGCTTGGACGAGCATCGTACTCATTCTTGAAGTGGCAAGCTCTGCCGCGTTCGCGTCTTTGATGTTCCGGTGGATCAGGATCACTGTGTCCCTTCATTATGCCGCTGTGATCAAACTGCGACCTCGTGACAATCCCGTTGTCAAAAGGGACGAAGAGCAAACACGCAGCCAGCAAATCCAAACACCAAGGCTGTAGTTTATCTTGTAATACAGATACTTGGTCTTGATAATGTTTTTGGAGAAGTTCTAATTCCGTGTTCTATCTTACATAGTTCTGCGCTACTGCTGTTCGATAAAATTAGGTACAGGAGACGCGATCAAGCAGCAGAAGTTTTTACTCGTCAACAATCACCCAGTGCTTCTGCACGCTGTACTTCTCTGTGCAGTGGGTGCTCTGTGGCACTGTTTCGAGGTTGATGTGGCATGATCACAAAATAATAGGAATCTTCGTTCTTCATGCTCATCAACCTGAAACGAGCGTGGCTGCCACAACACTTCACCTTTTTCTGATTTGCTTAAGTATAAACCATTAAACCTTTTTGAGTTTGGGGCACTCAAAGTGAAATTTTGTCAGTATTAACCTTCAACGGAGTTGGATAGCCAGGGCTTCGGTGTAGCCCTCGCCCTGTTTTTTGACTGTTTTGCTAAAATAAACTGAAAGATGTACTATGAGGACTGTGCGTAGCTGCTCGATGAACCGAGCCATCCGATGACTTTACCCGTCCACAGTGGTGAACAGCTGGTTGCGGCGCTTTTGGTCGAAATATTTTCGTTTTGTTTCCTGCAGGTCATGCTGCGCCTTTTCCACCTCGTCTCGGTAGTCCGTGGCTTGTGCGTGGCACATGTTTAGCTCCGCAGCAACAGACTTCATTTGGTTGGTGATGTCCTGTGTATGGTGAGGAAATTTGCTGTGTGTCTCAAGAACAACTAGGCCCATACTTGCTTCCTTCGATTTTACGCTGCCATACTTTCTTACCGAGGGAACGCTGCCGCACTTCTAAATCTTTTGTACGAGAACGCAAACGCACCTCGTCAAGGTTGTTGACAATAAACATGTACTGATGTAAAAATACCTTCAAGTAGGTCTGGAATGCGGATACTTGCGCTGCCACCTCCGGTCCGGGCTGTTGGTCGACTAGCTCCTTCAGTTCACCGAATAATTTCTCCTTCTCCTGCAGCATCAGATCGTAGTTGACGGACTGCTCGGTCTTGTGGATCAGCCGCTTTTGCAGCGTCTTCACCTTTTGAATCATCTCGTACATGGCTGGGTCGCTCCCGTCGAGCTTCCGCCACCTCTGCATGTTCATCGGATTCTCCAGCTCCTCACTCAGTGCTTTTACCTTCGTCCGCTCGTGCAACAGTTCGCGCTGGAGCACGTAAATCCGCCTCTTCACCTCCTTCAGCGAGGAGCCCTGAATTATTGTGCGTACGCAAGTAACTTCTAAAGATATCCGATATTAAGGAGCCTCAGTAGTTTCACGCTAAAAAATTGCAACTGCTGCAGTGGACGCAGCTCCTATCTAGACCCGTGCTGTTCATCATACTAGACGAGAAGAGTAACAGACCGCAACTCGATTTGTATGCACGCCTTGTTCCCCTCCTAGAGGCATGATCTTCTTTCAAGTTTACAACTCAAGCGACAAAACAAACGCCACAGCTACTTCATACCTTCGCCTTATTCCGTTCTGCTTCTCTGGTGAGGTTTTTTTCCGAGATGCGGAGATTTCGCAAGTCTTCTTCAAGGTCCTTGTACACGTTCTCCGCGTTTTCGAGCGTGGAGAACTGTATTTTCACTTTTTCATACAGCAGCGCCAGCTCGTCGTTTCTGCGGATCAGCTGCGTCCCGAGCAGATCTCGCTCCGCCACTACCTCCTCATACTCCTGCTTTTGCGCCAGCCGCGTGGACTCAAACTCGTGTATGCGGTGCTCCAGCTTTTTGATCTCCTCGTTTTCCAGTTCGGCGAGATGCGTCAGCTCCTGCTGCTTCTTTTTCGCCTTACTGGCCTCCTCTTTTCTCTTCACGCACTCGCGCTTTTTACGGTCAAAGTCGCTGGTCTCGCGCTTCAGGGCTTCGTCCTTTTCCTTGATCTCCTCTTTAAGCTGCTCGATCTGGTGAAACATGATCTTGAATTTCCGCTTCATCTCCGAGATTTCGTCCTGCGACTCAATCAGGGACCGGGAAAACGCATTCCGCTCACTCCTCACCTGCTGGTACAACTCCTTCTGCTGGTTCAGTTTCATGCGGAAATCTCCGTGGTTCTTGCGGAGATCGGTCGCCTTGTTTTCTGCGTTCTTGATCCCGTCCAACAGTTGGAAATACCTGAGTGAGGACAATACAAACATCATCATGATGCAAAGCGAATATCAGAATCTACTTCTTAGTCCTGTTCCTGGCGTAGTACCTGTACATACATAGTCCATGACGTTCTTTTCGGGCTTTGTGAAAACATGAAGGGAGAACTTTTATTTTCTAGTAAAAGTAATGCGAAAATGAAAATGGACACGTACTTTTGATTTGCAGCGTTGCATTCCAGCCCTAGCTTTTCCCTCGCGCGGTCGAGCTCGTCAATTTTCTTGACTCCTGCTTGCACCTTTACCTTCCAGGTAGCGATCTCCTCCCGGCTGGCCTCGGCCGCCTGGTCGTATATCTTCACGCGGTTCATCTGCAGCTTTGATCTCTCGTCGGTTTTTATCATAGCGCGATTCAGTAGATCACCTGTTATATTGCCATAGTTCATGTAGGAGGTATCTTCAAGTAACCGATTGATTATGTTGTGCTTCGCTCCGCGACCCTGGTGAAAAAAAAACATGATCTTGATCACGACAAGCTGCACTAAAATTACGCATCGCCGCAAATGAAGAATAGTCTACTTACTGCGTAGAGAAACTATCTAGTTACGTTCATGCAGAAGCTTGTTAAGCGAGTTGTCGTCCTTCTGCGCATAGGCTTGCATTCGGTCGACTTCTTTTATGATTTCTTTCACCTCTCCGACGAAATTCTCTTTCGTGACGACGAGCTCGCGAAACTTCACTTCCTCTATTCGCTTGGCGCGTTTCAGGTCCGCGAGCGTCCTGTCCGCCTTTTCGCTTTCCTGCCGGCTGATTCTGTGTTTTGTTTTGGGATGCGTCGCGTGGTTTGGACAAAGATTGGAATTGAGTATAGAAAAAACTCCCTGCACCTGCTCCGCAGGCAGCAACGAACAACCATGGCAAAAAAGAACTACCACACAGCAAATGCAAAGTATAGATACCTGAGACTTTCCTGCAGTTTCTTTATTTTGTTTTTCAAATCCATGTTTGTTTTCAGTTGGTCGTCCTTCTGCTCCACTGCCTGAGCAAAGCTCTTCTCGTTGCGCTTTAGCTCCTCACTCAGGAGTCGTTCCTGGACTTGCAACTTCTCGAGTATTCTGTTCTGCTCCTTCAGCTGCTGCTCAATCAAGGCACTCCTCTCCCGCTGCATTTCAAAAGTCGTTCCCTGATCGGAAAGGCCTTCAGCGAGGTTCTGCTGCGTCGTTTTTAGCTCCTGTGATGAGCACGTGTTTTTTTGTATATACAGTTTTTCTCACTCTCACAGCCGGGTCGGGCACATCCACAACTACAACATTCTACAGCTTCCACAAAAGCACTGTTTCGTACCCCCAAATCTTTCGCGACGCGGTCCAGCGCACGCTGCTGTCGTTCGACCTCATTTCGTTTTGACGTATTCAGTTCCCGTAGGGAGGTGATTTCCAGCATGCCCTCACTCCTCTCGCCTTCTATGGACTCCAGTTGCGTCAGCAGCTCCGCGTTCCCAGACGATAAGGTGTCTGCGCTTTTTTGCAGGCTCTGTTTGGACTCAAGCAAATCCTCCCGTTCTTTTCGCAACGCGGAGACGGTCTGCTCTTGTGTCCTTGCAATTATGGCGCCCTGCTCCACGAGTTGATCTGTGATATGTGTCTTATTTCGCATCGAAGCAATGGCAATAAACCACTCTTCAAGTTCAACATGGTGAACAAACCCCGCACTGCATACTTAATTATAAAGGGCACAGTCTCAGTTTAGAAATAGGCAAAAAAAGCGGACAGCAAGTACTCAAGTTTGCAATCTCTCCTTTCAAGGTCGAGATGCTTGCTTTCGCGGAGGTTTCCTTTTCGTGCGCCGCTTCCACCATGCCCCAGGCTCTTGATATTTCCGTTTTCATATCAAATGTAACAATGTCTGGGTCTGGAAGATTCTGACACTTGTCACGCACGTTTTGCATGAGCCATGATGTCTGTGATGCATACCCTAGCAATGCAGATTTTCTGAGGGCTTCTTGATGCCTATTCCGCATGACAAATGCCCTCTCCGCGTAGCCAAAATTGCACGCCCTTTGCTGGTCATGCAATACAGATTTTTTTGGAATCCAAATGCAGCATCACAAGTTCGGATTCTTCCAGACCCAGACATTTTTACATTTGATATTTCAGCTCGGTGATGGTTTCCTCGTCCGCTTGGCTCATTTTCAGGGCCGTTTCCACCTTCTCACTGTTGTCGACGATCTCCTGGTTCAGCTCCCGGCACTTTTTTAGTAACCGTTTCTCGCTCTCATGGCTCTTCTTCACCGCACGAAAGAGCTTTTCGTACTCCAGTTTGAAGTGCTCCAGACCCTTGTCCGCGACCAGCCCGGCGACGACATCCTGAAACTCGGCTTCCAGCTGCTCAAACCGCTCCGCCTCTATCTCCTCGGGAAGTTTCTTCACGGGCGGGGGCGGGGCCTCCTCCTCCTCGCCCTCCTCCGGGTCCATCTCGGGCGAGTTCTCCTCCTCGTCTGGCATTTTTGTAGCGTGTCTTCGTGTGCTTGTGGTCCCTTATTCGTCAGTGTCAAAACGCGGCCGCGGTCAGCATCTTGTTAAAGAAATCTATTCCTCCAGATCATCGAGTTAATTCTCTCGTAGGTGCCGTAGCTCTTCGAAAGTTTTATTGGAGCATGTACTGTAAAAACGACTTTTTCATCAAGAAAACGAACGATTAAACGCATACGAAACTAGTCAAGTGGCTCTCGTCTTCCCCTCGGTGGCGCCAGCGACCACCACACTCTCTACCCCTCTCTGTCATGACGATCGACAAAACACGAAACGATGTAAAAATTTCTGCATTCCTCTGCTGATTCAACGAGAGCACACGACGAAAGGACAAAGCGCTGCAACTATAGACACAGGAACACCACGGGTCTGCGTAACTCATTGCACCTCAAACTAAGTGCAAGTGCTAGTTTCTTTTGTTTGTGAATGGGTCGCTTTTGTGTCGCAAGACTGGCACAATAAAGCTCAAGATCAAGGAAGAGAATTATCCGGTTCATTTGCAATGTCATCCCTTCAGTTGCAGGTGGTACCGCAAAATATCGTTTTGCTGCTCCAGCTTCCTGCACCTCTCCTCCACCTGATGTATCGAAAAAATTTGGAAGATTTTCGCTGATCATTGTACGGATTTGATACACCGCCCAAAAGAAGCGAGTCAGTTCTTCGATGTTGGTGCAGTCAATCGTATTAAAAAGAGAGGTAAAAATAAAAAAGTCGAAAAACAAAACCGTACCTCGCTGTATCGCCGGTTGGTCGCTTCCTCGGTCTGTCGCTCCTGTTGGGTTTGTCGTCGTAGTCGCTCGTTCATTTGTGCAATGGCTCTGTAGAGCACCTGATTGGCCGTGCGGAGTTTTTCGTACCTGGTGCCCACGTCCGACCGTTTACTGTACTCCTGCAGCAGCTTGATGCATCTCCTCTGTAGCTCGGCCCGGTCGGTCGTGGACTCGAAGGCCAACGCGAACTCCTGTGCCCACCCTTCAATCGTCTCGGGTGCGGCCCACGTCGACTGGTGCTGGTGGTCCTGCTGCAACAGCTCCCGCGGGGAAGGAAACGAATTATGGTGGGCCTTATTTATTCCGGTAAATGAGGAGGAGGACCCTCCTCCACCAAATACCGGCCCCGCGGGGGGGCTCAGCACGTTCTCAATGCTATGGGGATCGTCATGGTCCGTTGGTCGGGGTCGCTTCCGTATCAAACCGAAAAAAGCCCCCACCCCATATCGGAAACGGAAGATGCGCGAATTTGTGATGCTGTATTTGAGTACACAAATCGACTTGTATTGCTAGAAGGCCAAGAGACGAAGCTGCGGCCTAAATTGCAGGTAATCTGTCATGCTGTTCCCCACTTCCAGTTGCCTCCTGTCATCCTGGTGGAGCTGCAAGGCTTTCCCACGCTAGACAGCACTACAATCCGCATCTTTTGCCTTCTAGCATCACAAAGCTGATTTGTGACCACAAATCTGCATCACAGATTTCCGTTTTGATATGGGGAGGGGGGATTTTTCCTTTCAATATTCCGCACAAAACATTCCTGTTGAAACTCTTTCAGCGCCAGAATACCCTCTTCTGGCTCGTTTGTTTCCAAGACCGCGCTCACGATCCCCTGCGGAATGTGGTGCCTGTTTTTTAATTTAGAGTTTTGGTTTTTTTCTTGCTTCTTGGACGAGCTCGACTTTGAAAGAAGAAGCTGCCACGATGTGGAATGCACAAACAACACCAAGTCGATGTTGAAATAGAGAAAAGGTCGAAAACCGGCGAAAAAACTTGCACTTTCTAGTACTACATCAAAACTCTATACTTGAAGCTAAGCTCTTGGACGACATTGTCGGGCACGACGACGGGCTGGTCTGTTCGTCGTTTCTTTGTTGAGTCGGAGGACCAAAAATAGTCGGCGGGCCGTTTCGAGGAGGAGGAGAAGGTGGAGGAGCTAGACCGACCCGGGGAGATGGGCTGGTGCGACTCTACCGAATACATGGCTGTGTATTAAAATCCCGCAGGGGCGTCGGCATGCGTATATTTTCGTAAGATTTTTTGATACAGTTTTTAAAGGTGTGACAGTGCCAGCTGTATTAAAGTGTGGTCTTTCTTTGGTGGTCGTGTCCCTATTTCTATTTGTTCTTTTACTAATACTGTAATAGCTCGTCGCAAACCAAACAGTTGCAAGTAAAAGCGTGACCTTTGCGGCCCCAACTCAAAGGCGTAGCTCTTACTGTTGGATAGTACTTTCTTTACTCGAAGGCGCAAAATGGAGGTCGCAATAAAACAGGTTCGTTGATGTGCTTGTGACTTTAAAGATCAACTGACTCAATGACTTCAAAAAAAGTGCAATGCGAAATCAATGGCGAAAAGTAGACTCGGACCGACGCACAAAAGGTACAAGCAGCAAACTCCCAGTCGAAACAAATTTACGTTGCGCAACCACTAGTTCTGTTCTTGGATGAAAACCAAAACAGTTCAAATAAAGTACTCTTTTACTTTTTCTACACGGTTAAGTCGAGAAATAATTGCTAGTGCGCCGGTCTCCGTAGCTCCTCGGCAAAAAAAAACGCAGCTACAGTTGTAGTGGAGTCCATAACATTTTCCCACAATCATCAAGCTTAGCACAGCCTGCGGGTAGTTGTTTACATGTTCAGAATGGGAGGCCTGGGGTAATGTACTGAAAGTAAGAGGGTCCTGCAGGTGCGTACGGAAAGGTGAGTTGATGTGATTTCGTTTTTCTCTTTCTTGCGGAATCAGATTCATTGTTGAGAGGTTTGTTGTTGTATCTTTATCATCTGTTCCAGTTCCACGAGAGGTCGGCACAATTTTCATCTCGTTTTTTATTTTTCACGTCCCACGTATCGCGTCGAACCGAGTTATTCGTTAGATCGATTTCTCTCATCCGATATTATCTTCTGCTACTTAGACTTACGACCTTGGAATTGACTTTTGCTCGGTCGATCATGTGAGTTTCTTTTGGTGTCCTACGGTGCAATCAAGTGTTCCGTGCTTTCGTAGTTGATTTCGTTTCTTGATGTTGCCGTCAACGATGCCTCCTAGTAGTGGATTCTCGTACATAGACAGAGTGTCAGAGAAATGACCGACTTTGCCCACGGGTCTTAGCCAACGATCGCTCTAAACACGACTCAACGCGAAATGCATTTACATGCTGCAATCTGAACAGAATGTTAACTCAGAAAGATTTCACACTCAGCGGCTCGCGTTCAGAACATTTCTTCACGTGACTGATGATTGGCACGCAGCATAGATTGATGAGTGGGATTTAGCTGAAGGAAGGCAGCGTACGCGCAGGGGACCAGATGTGAGTAGCTTACTTGATACGGAGTTGGGAACGTGGAGACTGATCGCGTGTGGAGTTGTTGTCGCCAGCAACTAGACCTGTAGATATCTTCTGCTCTGACGCACCGCCCCCCCGGCCGATTCGGTGGCCTCGGTTTCCGGTGGTGCGCTTTCGGGCGTTTGCGTGGTGTGGCCCAAGGTGTCGTCCTGGCCCAGATCTGCGGCTTCTTTTGTCCGCCGGGCGATCCGCCGCTCGCGTTTCTCCAGAACCTTTTCCCGATCGTCCAATGCTTGTCGGCGTTTATCCAGATTTCGGCTTGTCTTTTGTTCGCGCCGTAGCAATTCTTCCTCCCTCTTGCGCAACGCGGTCTCCAGCCGGTCCAGCTTTGCGCGCTGTTCCTCCTCGCGCTTGTCCATCTGTGCTTGCCGTTTGTTCAAGTTCAGTTCTTTTCTCCGCAGGTAGTCACTTCGCTGGCTCAGCTGGTCCGCTAGCGCTCCAAGGTGCTCTTCCTGCTCTATCTCAAGCCCCGCGCACCGGCTCGCAAGACTCTGCTCGTCCAGATCTGTTTCCGTTTCTGCGCTTACGTCCCGTCGACGTCTGCCTCTTTCTGTCTGCGCTCCAGTTTGTGAAAATTCAGCGCTATTGCGCCCGGCCCTCGATTTTCCACGGCGCGACGTGTCTCCTCTCGCTGCTGGCGTTGCTTTGCGCTTTCTCCGTCGTGTGAAGTCTTCATCCTTCGACCTTGCTCGCGATTTTTTGGATTTTTTCGAAGCTGCCTTTTCGTCCTCGTGCAACCACTGCGAGGAGTCATAGAATGAGTCGCGTTTGCTCTTCTTCGACTTCTTTCCGAGCCTGGATCTCGCCGCGGCTCTTGACTTGGATCTCAGCTGAGCTCCAGACTCGGATCTGGAGTGCGTGCCCCGGCTGCAACTCTCTTGCTCGGGCACACGACGTGATTGCGTCAGGGTCAAACTGCGTTCACTTAGGAGACTCTCAGCTGCCGCACACGGATCCGGCGCTTTGCTCGATTGCGCTGAAAATGAAGAGCGTGGCGATTCTCGTATGGGGGACACGGATTCGAGTGTGGAGCCCAAGTACAAACTGGGCCCCGGCGCCACACTGATGAGCGAAGCATTCTGTCGCGCGCCACCATAAGACTGGCCGAGCTGTTTGTAGTCGCGGGGCACATGAATGCCAGGCCGGTCCAAGACACTCACCGGCTCAATAAGGCGGCCGTACCGGCCGGGAACGTTCAGCTCTTCGCCGATCTCCAGCGTCAATGCCAGGTCGTACTGCATGTCGATGTTCTTTTTGTGCTTCAGACTCTGCATATGCTCGAGCCCGATTTGATTCTTGTCTCTGCACATCCGACACCGCAGTGCCACAAATGAACCGTCGCCCTGCGTTCCAGAGAACGAAAAAAAAAACTAGCGCAGGTGCATGCGTTCGGCTAAGCCTGAGCAGCATCAGCACAAGAACCTTCAAAAACCAACAGGCGAGCCCGAGCGCTAGCTAAACAATAGTTCCTCACTTTTAAGATTAACAAAGAAACAGAGAGCTTTACATTTAGAGGCTGAAGTAATACCTGCCCCGCGTGATGCATCTCGTAAACATGCGGCCGCCTGTGGAGCTCTGCTACCAGTTCCTCGTTCCTGTCTTCGCCCTCACCGAAAAGCATGGTAATAGGGATGGGTCGAGAGAGGCAATCAACCGGCTTGCACTGCAGAACATCTTCCGAGTCTTCAGGGAGCTGCGTGCTGCCCGTTACCGAACCGGGCGGAAGCGTGCCACTCCTTCCGGCCGTCCCGGGACGCGAGTAGGACCTTGACATCGACATTGAAGGTGTGCCCGCCATCTTTCAATAGGATTCGATTTATGGGAGTAGCAGCAGCAGCAAGAGCGTTGCCGCGTCGCAGTGCCGATGGCGCGTTTGCGTGGACTATAATGCGTCAATGAAACGAGACTTAGACAACTTTACACTGATCTATCAGGAGCATCGTGTGAGTTTTCAGCTCAAGCGTAAGTTTTTTCCTCAAAAAAAAAAACCGGAGACTCGCAAGAAACAAATAGGTATGCACGACACGAGCACACAAGGTCAACTGCCTGTTGCTTCAATCAACCTGATCCTGTGTAGTTGTTGTCTGTGCGTGTGCATTTCGATTTCGATCAAGATCGGATCACAGGGAAGGCACCTCGCAGCCTGCTTCCACCTTAGAAGTACAGAAAAGATGAAACATGTTTCCCGCGCACTTGTACGTACTTACGTACCCCGGTCAGGGTCAGACTCTTGGGTCGGTCTTTCTTTTCATAATCTTCGAGCAAGAAAACTACAGCATCATTGAGAGTGGACAACCACGCACAGAACGGGAATCAAGAGTAACAGACGTCTCGTTCTAGAAACACCAGGACCAGCGCCATTGAAAGCACGGCGCCAGAACCAATTTTTGAGGTTGAACATTTTCTGCATTGTGTCGGTTTTCAGCCCTGGCATTATTTTATCACTCGTCATAAATCTCATCCGCTGAGTCATCCTGAGTCGACGGTGTATTTCGGCTTTTGGAATGCGTTTTTTTGCCTTTGGCGAAGCCACTACTTAATTTCGACGAACGCCCGCGCTGGGAGCAGGAAGAAGATTGGCTGGGCCCTGGAGTTTTCTTCCGCTTGCGACAACTGCTCCTTGCGGGAACAACATGATTTCGCCGCCGATCAACGCGAGGACTTTTTCGACACGGCTCTGTGGATTCGTTGCTGGAGTCGTCTCTCGAAGACGAGTCGGAATCGGCGGACGAGCTAGCGGCCCTCATGCTCCTTGCCGACACAGAGGAGGCAGAGGACCCTGTATCGCTTGCACAGCAGAAGTGTGGGGCCCATGCCTCCACGACGTCAAACCGAACCTGCCGCTTTTCCCGAACAGAGAGGCAGGCCGCGAAAGCGGACGAAAACCTGGGCCGGAAAGTCTGGAGGTCGTTCTGCCACTGGTTCAGTGCGCGCGCCCGCGCATCCAGAAGCGCGTCCTTGTAAGCGAGCCCCGGGAAGCCGCGCCGCAATTCTAAGTCCTTCTGCCACTCGTCCAAAACACGTTCGCGCTCGTTCAGCCGGGCCTCCTTTTGCTCAAGCGTCTCAGGCTGTCTTACTCTCGCCCACATCAAGCTTTTCGCAGGCAGTTGTTCTTTTCGCTGACCAACTTGACTGTGCTGCTGAACGTTCGTCGTGGAAAGCAGCTTAACATCTTCACATGGCGGGCCTGCAACTCGATTTCGGGGCAAAAGTGCGGGGGCGGCCGCTCTCCGACGGTGCTGCTGGTCCCTATCTTGGCCTCGGACAACCCCCACCCGCGACGACGAAGAATCCGCTCCGCTTTTTTCGACGCCTCTACGCTTCCCAGGCGCAGGTGTCGGCTGACGCACCATCGCGCGGGCCGCACAGTTACCTGCGTAGCTCTCTTTCGCCCGTCCTCGCTGCTGGCACGAGAGCTTTTTTTTCGCCGAGCTGTCGGCAGCAAGCGAATCACTTCCATCACTGGTGCCAGAAGTTTTGTGGAATCTAGATAGTACGTCGGGCATACATCTACTTTGTTCCGAGGATAGCCTCGACACAATAATTTCCTCTCGTGCTTGTAACCTGGCTTCAGCGACACGCTCGCAGTCCGGCCTGCTTTTTTGCAGGTTTCTGCCTTCCGGCACGATGGCGGCTGCGGGATAGTGCGCGTCGAACTTCGCGTACTGTTCAGGAACATGCCTTCCGGGAAAATTGCGCACATTCACGGGTCGCAGGTTGGCACCAAACCTCCCCTCGATAACGAGCGGCTCACCGTACTCGAGTACGAACGCTGGGGAGGCGTAGGGGGCGTTCTTTTTGTGCTGCCTGCAGAGGGGGGCGATGTGTCTTGAGGTCATGTCATTGATGTCGTGGCAGATTCGGCACTTGAGGCCTAAGCGCGCACCTCGGCCCTGTAATATCAATGTAGATCTAGATTCACTTCAGATTGCTCTCGTCCACCGGAATGCGTGGCCACCGAAGTTTTTGTCTTCACCTTCTAGAAGCAATTGCAATGTTGAGCAGTACTTAGTGTAGTGATGCCAACATCCACGCTATTTTCATCGAGCTGTAAACGGATAGAGGTGTGCTTACCGTTCCAATCGCGTGAAGCTCGTAAAATTGCGGGTTTCTGTACAACTCTTCCCAGAGGTCGTCGTTGCTTTCCTCCCCATGAAAATGATTTTTTGGAATGGGCCGGGAGAAACAATCGACGGGATCGAGGCGGTTGCACGCGTGGCTCCGAAATGTTTGCGCAGAGTCATTCATCCTGCCAACCGAGAAAGAAATAGCCCCAAACCCTAACCCTCAAACCCTCAGTGGAATCTACGCACTATATTCTAGACAAGCCTCGTCCTGCATGTTGTTTATATATTGCAGCAACTGCAGCCGACAGCATCAACGGCCTACCTCAATCAAAACGACAAGAAAGAAGAGAAAGCTGCAAGCAGTCGTGCCAAAAACGCCGAGAGCGGACTGCTCATCGCCGTCCATTGTGTACTTAAGTGCCGCCGGCTCTACAATGGCATAGTCGTTAAGACATGATGGCTGGTGTAATGTAACGAGGAACGCATAATGTGTCAGCAAGGTGGTTCGACAAAACCGCTCGCAACGAGCGCTTTCTGCCTTACTGCGCCAACGAATCAGCTTTATTTTCTCATTTTCTTCGAAAGTTTTGTTTTTGATTTTCTCTGGCGGAGAAATTCACTTCAGTAAAGTCAAAGGAATCGTCAACATCTTCTTCATCTTCAGGGGTCTTTCGCCTTCCCGTGGATTGGTTTACAACTTCCAATCGAATCTAGGCTTTGCGCGCCATAAGCAGAATTTGACTGTTTAGTTTCCGAACTGGCGTATGATGGCAAGTTGCAACTTCACGACCTGCACTTTGTTCTTTTCTCGTCGTACTTATAAACGTTCTTCGTCGTCATAGTTTACACTTTACAGATCATTCCAACTGTTGCTCTACATTAACTACATCGCCAATGGGGCTGCTTCTGTACATTCATTTATTGGGGTTCTTCCGGTGCCTGCTCAGCAGGAGGTGGCTCCCCTGCTGCTGCCCCAGCATCAGGTCCCGCACTGATTTTCTTTTTCTTCTTTTTCTTCACCTCCGACGTGGAAGCAGACGCAGCTGCATCGGCGGAAGGATCGGCAACAGCCGCTGTCGCTTCAGGCACAGTACTGGCGCCGCCTTCTCCTGAAGGATCGCCCGCGGGATCCTCGCCGTCCTCCTTGACTTTGCGCTTTTTCTTCTTGACTTTTCCCTCTACCGGTAGCGACGCGACCGCATCCGGCTGCGGTTGTTCCACGGCTGCGGTGGCGCTTTCCACGCCCGCAGCGGAATGGCTTGTCGTTTGCTCCGCGGCAGCAGCGGACGTAGCTGGGGCGTCCTGTGCTGCAGTGCTTTCTTGTGCGGCCGCATCTTCTCCCGCTGGCTGTTCTTGCGGCGCAGAAGTGGTAATCGATTCTTGCGGTCCGCGCGGGCTTGCACCGACAGCTGCATCCGACAGCATCCTGTGGTCCGCGCGGGCTTGCACCGACAGCATCCTGTGGTCCGCGCGGGCTTTCAGTGACAGATTGCTGCTGGAGCCCCGGCACCGGTTGCTGACCCTCGCGTGGGCTTGTACTGCCCGCGGGAGGGGTCCCAGCCGGCGGCTTCTGCTCCTCTTCACTGCTGCTGCTCGATTCATCGATCTCCCGTGCCAGCTCCGGTCCTGGAACGCCCTGCATTCCCAGCTTGGTCGGATCCATCACGGTAAAGCCAATGCCGACAAGGACAACGAGACAAATGATGGCGATTGCAGCGATCGCACCGGTCGATAGTGTGCCACTACTATTTTTGTTAATGTTAATCGTGATCGATTTCTCATACACGACCGTTTCCCCAGAGCCAGACGCGGGGTTGAGGGGGAATGGCGTGCTGTGTTCCTGTTCGTCGGGCGCGGAAGACGTGCTCTCATCTTCTGCCTCCACGACCGTGATGGTGTTCGCGAGGCCCGGACTTTTGGCTACCTGCGTGTTCACCGCCTGCACCAACGGACCGGCACCACCTATGGGGCCGGCCCCTGCGTTGTTCGCGGACCCCGCCGAACTCGAGGTGGACGAGGGCCAGGCATTGTTGAGCAACGCAGCTTGGTTCGAGGAGCCGTTGGCGCTGGGGTGAATGGTAAACTGCACTTTTATGTTCGACATAGACCTCTTGTTGAAGACCTTCTTCTGTCCCACCTCCTCTGCAGACAAACCCGCAGCGCCGTCGGTTCTTGCCGCGTCTTGGTCTTTATCCTCAAACCGCAACACCCTTGCATCTTTGCCGCTCTTTCGTATTCTAGCCATGCGACCCCGGCTAATACCCTCCCTTGGATTACTGTTCTTTGCGGCACCGGCCTCGTCCTGGTCTGTAGCAAAACTCGCGGTGGCGGCGGAAGACAAAAATGCAGACGAAAACGAAGACTTCTCCAGGGTAATCTGTATGTTCTCGAGCTGATCCTCCTTGAGATCGGTGACGCCCTTCTCCTGGAAAAACTTCACAAGACCCGTGGCGATCGAATTTTTAAATTCTGCGCTGTTCAAAACTGCTTCCGCTTCCTGGGGGTCCGCTGGTATATTCACGCCCATATCAAATGAGCGGACCTGGTCCTTCTTGTCCTCCTCGACTTCAACTTCGGGCTTTTCCTCTTCGATTTCGCCTTCGGCGGGCCTTTCATCTTCGATAACTTCGTCTTCAGGCAAGATCCCGGGCTCGGTTTCGCTGGCCAAAAATCCTGTTGTGGACGTTGTGGTAACTGTCGTTGTCACCGTCGTCGTTGTCGTTGTCGTCGTCGTCGTGGTTACGCACACAAGGTCCACTTTCTCGTATCCCTCGAGACACGTGTCACAGCCGGGCGTGACTCCATGCTCCACACATGTCGGAGGGCCTGTCAAGGCCGTCCCGTGGTCACACGTGCATGCATTCGCTACGCATTTGTCCTCTGCCGTTGCGTGGAATCCGTCTTCGCAGCTGCTGCACAAATGGGCACCGTCTGTCGTGCAGGCCTCCCCCGTCGCAGGCGATCCCCCGGTGTCGCAGGTGCACACGTTTTGATCGCACTTGCTCGTGCCAGCGTTCAAATGGAACCCGACCGCAGTGCACTTGGTGCACATCTCCACTGTGCCGTCCGGTTCACAGTCAATTCCCGTCGCCGGCACGCCATGAGGACAGACGCACTGCAAAAGCGTGCACTCGTCCCCGCTGAGCCCGTACCCGGGTTCGGAACACGCCGTGCATTTTTCCGTCGTCCCATCCGCTGCGCACTCCGGCCCCGTGGCGTGCGCTCCCTTGTCACAGAAACACCGGTTGACCTCGCAGGTGAAGCGGCCCGCCTCGGAGGTACTCTCCACTGCATGATACCCGGCGTGGCACTGGTCCTGTAGACAGCCGATAGTGGTGCCCAGCGCGTTGCACGTCGGCCCAGTCTCCTCCTCGCCGTTGTCGCACTTGCAGTGATGCAGCGCACACGCAACCGACTCGGTCTCGCCGTTCGGGTGGGCGCAAGCTGCACCGGCGGGGTTGGTGGATGCAACCACGCTCTGCAAGTACGTCCGAGTAAGCGTCTCTCCCGCCCCGGTGCACTGGTTTCGCAGCTGCTCCAGCGTCTCGACATCCCAAGTGCCGACGCAGTTGGTCGGACACAACACGTCCTCCGTTGTGCCGTGCGCCGTCGTGCAGTCCGTGCCCCCGTTTAACGCCGGCTTGGTGTGCGTGTAGGTCCGGGTCAGAGTCTCCCCAGCCCCCGTGCACTGGGCCCGGAGCGCCTCGAGAGAAACAACGTCCCAGGAACCCACGCAGTCCCGCCCACAAATGATGTCCTGCGTCTCGCCATCCGCCGCCTCGCAGGCGGCGCCACCGTTCGCCGGCTGCCTGGTTTGCGTGTAGTTCCGGGAGACCACCTCCCCGTTCCCCGCGCACTGATTCCGCAGCGCCTCCTCGGAGGCCACGCTCCAGGAGCCCAGACAGTCAGTCGGGCACACGACCACGTCCGTCTTGCCATTTTCCTCCGTACAAGCGGTGCCGCCGTTCGCCGCGACTACGGTTTGTGTGTATGTTCGGGTCAGGGTTTCCCCCGCTCCGGTGCACTGCGCCCGTAGCGCCTCGGTGGAAGCCACGTCCCAGGAGCCGACGCAGTTGGCGGGGCACGTGATGCTCTCCGTTTCCTCGTGCTCGTGGGCGCACGGCGCGCCGCCCGCGGCAGCGATGGTGTGGGTGAAAATTCGCGTCACGGTTTCCCCCTGCCCGGTGCACTGCGCCTGCAAGTCGGTCACGTTCCACGAACCAACACAGTCTACCGTGGTGGTCGTAGTTGTGGTGGTTGTCGTGGTGCTAGTGGATGTAGTCGTGCTGGTAGTGGTAATTTCAATGATTTCCAGTCCAGTTATGTTCTGGGCCACAATCTCATCCTTCTGCACCCCCACCATTGCCCCGTATTCGTCAGTGCCCTCCTTCACAAAACACTATGCAAAGAGGGAGGGTATTGCTGCAACGATCAGCAGTGCATTTGGTCTATCTACTATCGCCGTGCACGACGCATATACTGGCTAGCAAAATAATGCCTGGGTGGTCGAAAGTGATCGTGCTTACCTACAACGTTTGTCGGGAAAAAATTCTTCGAACTTTTTCCGTTTCACATGCACGGGGCACAACCGCGGCCCCCGGTAGGCGACCAGCGTTGTGTCAACTGCTCACGAGCAATGCCCAGTAGCCATACTTGGATACCTTCCACACGTCGTTTACTGCCCACGCCTGTTCCTCGGAGGTTGTGTTGATGTGAAAGGTCACCTCCACGGTCTCCTGTGCGTCGCTTTTGAACCTCTGCATCACACTGACAATGGAGCTGGCGTTGCTGAGAGTCGACCTCTCGGGACGAGCAGCGGCGGTCCTCCTCTGCACCTCACCTGCACTGCGAGAAGTACTAGAGTCTGGTATTGTACTATTATGGGCAGCAGATAACATCAAGAAGCTTGTGCTACTAGTAGATGAACCCTCGTCCACGATGGTTACGTTTTCCACTTGCGACTGGTCAATGTGCAGGCTGACGTCCGATATCTGCTGGTTGGTGTAGTCGGCAATGCCTTTTCTGATAGCGTATTGAAACTCCGGACTGTTCACCGAATCTTCAACACTAGGCGTCGTCGTGCTTGCTACATGGTGCCGCCGCGTTTTCGCGGCTGCCCAGCCGACCAGCTGCGACAAAATGCTGAAGGCGGCAGCGGTCTTCGGAGCGACGCCGATCCCGAACGCCCCTTCGTGGTCGCCCGGGGTTGTGGTCGTGGTCGTCGTGGTTTCGCACACGATGCCAACTTGGTCGTAATCTGCATCGCAGGAGGCGCAGCCCGGCGTCACATCGTGCGCCAGACACGTCGGCGGGCCCGTAAGCGGGGTGCCCCGCTCGCAGGTACAAACATTTTCCACGCACTTCGCGTCTTGGCTCTTGTGGTACCCATCCTCACAGGTGCTGCAGACGTGGCTGCCGTCCTGGGTGCACGCGAGGCCCACCGCGCCGCTTCCGTTGTCGCACGTGCACTGGTTCTCGTCGCACTTGCTAGTTCCGGAGTTAAAGTGGTATCCGGCGGCGGTGCACGCCGTGCACTTCTCTACGGTCTTATCCGGATCACAGCCGACCCCGGCCGCGGCGTCCCCGTGCGGGCAAACGCACTGGAGCGGGGTACACACATTCAAGCTCCCGCCTGTGCCCGGGGTCAGGTGGTATCCCGGCGCGGTGCAGGCCGTGCAACCGGGCGTGGTGCCATCCGGCGCGCAGGGCGTTCCAACTTCGTGCGTTCCGTGCGGGCACGTGCATTCATTCGGTGCGCACGTCAACGAGACAGGGACAGTGGTGGAGTTCGTCGAGTGGTAGCCCGCGTGGCACTTCCCCAGCGCGCATCCCGGCGTGCTACCATCGGCGTCGCAACCGGCGCCGGTTGCTTCCTTCCCATGGTCGCACACGCAGTGGTGCAGCGCGCAGGTGATGCTGTCTTTCTGCCCGTCTTTGTAGTCGCACTCTACCCCGGGAGGTTCGGTGTCCGTTGACGCCGCACGGGTGCGGGTAAAAACCCGGCTTAACCGCTCCCCCGCACCCGTGCACTGCTCCCGCAGCGCCTGCGTCGAGACAACATTCCAGGATCCCTGGCAGTCCGTCGGACACAAAACGCTCTCGACCGCGTTGTGCGCCGTATCGCAAGGGACGCCGCCGTCCACCGCAGGCACGCTCTGCGTATAGGTTCGCGTCAGGGTCTCCCCTTCCCCGCTGCATTTCTTGCGAAGCGTCGCGAGAGTAGCGACATCCCAAGAGCCAACGCAATCCGTCGGACACGTCTCGACCTGGACGAAGCCTTCCTGGAAATCACAAGCGACACCGCCATTCGCTGCAGGGACAGTGTGTGTGTATTTCCGCTTGACCGTTTCCCCTTTTCCTTTGCACTGCGCTTGCAGGTCTGCGACGCTCCACGAGCCGACGCAGTCCGTCGGGCACACGTTGGTTTGTACCTGCCCATCGTCGAATTCGCAGGCCGCGCCCCCATTCGCGGCAGTGACGGTCTGCGTGTACTCTCGCGTCACGGTCTCTCCCTTTCCCTTGCACTGCGCTTGCAAGTCTGCGACGCTCCACGAGCCAACGCAGTCCGTCGGGCACGTGTTGGTTTGTACCTGGCCATCCTCGAATTCGCAGGCCGCGCCCCCATTCTCGGCCGTGACAGTTTGCGTGTACTCTCGCGTCACGGTCTCTCCTTTGCCCTTGCACTGCGCCTTCCAGTCCACCACGCTCCACGAACCAACGCAGTCCGTCGGGCACACGTTGGTTTGTACCTGGCCATCCTCGAATTCGCAGGCCGCGCCCCCATTCGCGGCAGTGACAGTCTGCGTGTACTCTCGCGTCACGGTCTCTCCCTTTCCCTTGCACTGCGCCTTCCAGTCCACCACGCTCCACGAGCCGACGCAGTCACGGCTCGGGAGTGTGGTGGTTGGCGCCTGTGTCGTGGGAGACGGCGGTGTCGTGGGAAGTGGCTGGAACGGGGACGTGGGAAGTGACTGGAAGGTCCCTGCTGGCGTTGTTGGAGCAGGAGTCTGACTCTCGATGATGGGGCAATCGCTCGCGGGCACTTCGCCGTACACACTGTATCTTCCGCAGATCTCGCAAAGCGCAGCCTGGCTGTCGCACCGGTGGTAGAGGCCCCCCATCTGGTAGGGAAGCAGGCGCGACGGGTTCGCGCGCGGCAGGCTCGCTCCGCGCTCCGCCGTCGCTGGGGTCACGAACTCCACGACCGTGCCACCCCCATCCTGTCGGTATTTCGCCACTGACTCCAAAAGCAGGCCGCACATCGGGTCGCGACGGTCCGGGCCGTCTCCACAGAGAAGAAGCCTTGGCACTTTTTGTGCCGGACTCCGTTCTTGTATATGTAACCCGCGTCGCTGCACGTTTTGTGGCAGTAGCTCATGGTTGCCTGCCTGCCCAGATCTTGAACGCCTTGCGAAAACGTTTTTGCCCACAACACCGGTGCGTACGTCGCTGCGTCCACCTGTGCCAGATTGTCCGCAAAGAACAGGCAATTGTGGTCCAAACCGGGCCCGTAGGACTTGCCGCAGCGTTCCTTGTTCTTGCCGCAGGGGTAACACTCGAGATGCTTGTATTGCCACAAACCCATGGTGGGTGCGATGGGGGCGCCGAGGGGGTGATACCAGCCGGAGCTGCAGCTGATTGGGGGGTCCGTCCCCAGGGCCGCACGGCAGTTGCGGGCGGTCGTCACCTTTGTTATCGGCGTCCAGACGCCCATCTTTGCGCGGTAGTTCCAACACAGGGGCCTCTGCCCCTGGCCAGCCGCTACACCGGAGGCTGCGTCCGCCTGCGCGCCCCACACGTCGGAGAGGAACAGCCAGCACTGGTTGTTTTTCCAGGGGTTTGCGATGTCCGCCTGCGCGTCGAACAGGTACAGGTCTTTGCCGACGTTATGCCAGTACTCGTAGCCGAAGCAGTTTCGGCTCTGCAGCTGGCACAGCGCTTCGCAGCCCGCCTGGGTGGCCAACGCCCCGGTGCTGATTTGCGCCTTCAAGTCGGAAAACGCCTGGTCGCCGGGCCACACGCTGTCTCCCTCCACCGTGATCTCCGGCAACCCTCCGTCTGTCACGGTCCCGTGCCCGTAGAAGATGCGCCGGATGTCGACGCCCGTCCCTCGCGTTTCCTCCAGGAAGCAGCCATCCGACTCGTAGAAGCCCTCCTGGGCGCCACAGATTCCGCACGGCAGCTGCGTTTTCCCCGACTCGGTCAGTCCCCCCGTCAAAGCGAGGTTTTCATAGGACATTCGCGGCGCGTTGTAGCTTTTCAGGCCGCACATAACCAAGAACGTTCTGTCGCACACACACACGTCGTCCCCGCGGTTTTGCTTGTGTGTCCCTGCGAGCGGCCGGTACTGGTCGGTAGAGAACGGCATGGGCAGCTGCTGGCCACCGGGTTGCTGTGAATCCGGGCAGCCGACCGGGTCGGGCTCGTTTCCGGTTTCGCACCAACGCGCAGACACCACACTGAAATCGTCCACGAAAAGGCTCTCTTCTTCGGAGCCGTCGGTGTACCGGCCCAACCCCGTGCGCACCCGGTCGTTCCAGCACAGCACCGGATGAATCTCCGGCATCCCGGCGTACTCCTCTTCGGGCTCTCCCTGCCACACGTCCGCTATATGCAAATAGCACCAGCGCTTCCTCTATACCCGTGCTGGACAACCGCAGCTCTACTCCCTGCTTTCATTTGGGGAGCGGCAGGATAAGGGAAACTCATGTATGATCCTTGTGGTGCGAGGACAACAGTCAACAAAAATTGACGTCAGTCTACAAAGCATTGTCATGGTACGTACCCGCTAAGTGAGCTGCCGCAGCTTGTCATGCTGACAAGCACCATCTACAACTCCGAGCGACAGCACACAGGGATTGTTCCGCTCTGCTTCTGTAGAAGTTGACAAATGTATGAAAACTGGGAAGAGGGCAATGTCCAATCTCATAGCTTCGTTGGGTTTTCTCCCGGGTGGATGTTCCACCTCACTTCGTAGCCGAGGCAGGTCTGCGCTGTCTGGGTTGGTGGGGTAGTACCCGCGAACGCATTCGCTCGCTCGGTGTCGCACAACTTTTGGCACTCCTCCTCAATGGTATCAGCGTAATATTTGGAGACGTCACTCGCGTAGCACACCTCCCTGTGCATCTTGGGTGCCTGCACGTCCACGGAGCACCCGGGGTAGCGGTTGTATCCGGGCACCGTGCACCGCCCGCAGACGGGGCCTTGGGTCGACGAGGTAGTGGTGGTGGTCGGTATGCACAGCAAAAGTAAGTACTTCTATCGCCGCACGTTGGCTCTTTATTTGTAAATTTATTTGTTCACGCTCCTCTTTGTCGTCGAGTTTGTTCGCAACATAGTGAGAAAACCCGCACGCACTATTCGCAATTTTTGCTCCTGAAAAAATACTTTCTTAATAGGCGTCAAGTACTTACAGCAGATCAGTTTTGCTGTTGGTAGTCGTCGTGGTCGTGCAATCGGTAGCAACGATGATTTTAAAATGTGACAGCCGTCTGCAGACCTTGCACGTCGCCGCCTGGTTGTCGCAGCGGTGGTGCACGTGGTGAAAGCCGGACCCGATGGCTTGGTCCGAATCCAACAGAAACAGCTGCGACTTGTGGTTCACCATGGTGTCGCCCCCGTGCATGAGCTGCACCGGCTCGGCCAGCAGCCCGCACAGGGGCTCGCGCCGGTCGTCCTTGCCGTCCAGGAACACGATGCCCGAACAAAGGTAGTCCTCGTTCGCTCGCCCCTTGTTGTCGCACGCTTTTTTGCAATCCGCAAGTGTGGTCCTGTTCGTCGGATCTGTGAGGTCCTGATGGGTGACGGTCCATTCCACGGGCCGATAACTCCCCCCGTCCACGCTACTTAAGTCGTGCGGAAGAAACACGCACGCATCGTCTTGCGGGTGCCCATACGAATACCCGCACTTCTCCCGCGTGGACGTCGACGTTCTCGAAAGCCATTGACTGGAGCCGCACGGGTAGCACTTCTCCTCCAATCCGCCTGCCCAGACCGGGTGGTCTTTCACGTACAGCCACTTATCCCCTTCGGGAATAACGGGCGCTCCGAGAGGCAAGAAAAACGGGGCGCTGGCAAGCGGGCACGGGGTGGGCGACGTGGTGCCGAGCGTCTGTCTGCAGTTGCGCGCCGTGGTCACCTTGGTCAACGGCGTCCAAATGCCGAACATGACGCGCTTGTTCCAGCACTGCCCCGCCGCCGTGTCCGCCGCTGCGCCCCACACGTCCGCCAAGAACAGCCAGCACTGGTTGTTCTTGTACGGATTGGCCTGCTCCGTACTCTCGTCGTGGATATACAGGTCCTTCCCGAGATCGTGCCAATACTCGTACCCGTAGCAGGCACCGTGAAGTTCACACAGTTCTTCGCAGCCTTTTTGCGTGGCTTTTTTTCCGCTTTCGATCTCCGTCCAGAGCGGCGAACCCTTCACGGCGGCGAGCACCGTGTCTCCGCCCTCGACCACGATGACCGGGCGCAGCACGGTTGGAGCGCCAGGATCGGGTGTCGTCGTGCCCGGGGCGTAGAAGGCCCGGTGGAGGTCGGTCCCTGTGGAGCTCGTACCCTTCAGCCAACAGCCGTCCGACTCGTAGAAGCCCTCGTCGCTGCCGCACACGCCGCACGGAAGCTGTTTTTTCCCCGACAGCGTCGGCCATGCTCCGGAAAGGTCCTCCGGCGCGGTGATCGGCGCGCGGTAGTCAATCGGCCCGCAGTACGCAAGGCCGCTGCACCGACAAACGCGCTCCAGGCCTGCGGGCCGGCCTAGGTCCTTCGCGACAGGAGTAGTCACAGGTGCTGCGTTGGATAAAGGCAGCGCTTGGCCCGGACAAGGCAGGATAAATTCTGCGCCACCGTCGCAATACCGCGCCGAAACCACGCTTCTATCGTACTTGAAGGTGCGTGCCGCGACGTCGTCGCTGTACTCGCCTAGACCCGTGTGCACCCGCTCGTTAAAGCAAGGCTCCTTGAAGCCATCCCTAGTTCTCCGGGTGAAAATGTCTTTGCGGTAGAGGTAACACTTGCTCCCGGCTACTTGGCCGTCGTACATGGCTTGCCACACTTCGTACCCGCGGCAGTCCTCGCCCGGTTTCTGCCGCTTCGCGTCACAGAGGGCGCGGCACACGCTTTCTGCTTTGTCGTCGGGCGGGCTTGAGACGTCGAAGCACATCGCCCCAATCATGCTGTACCGGTCCACATCAACCCAGGAACCAGGGTAGCGGGTGTATCCAATTTCGTCTGTTTTGCATTTCCCGACAACGGGCGAAGAACTTGTTTCCGCGTGGTGAACCAGTTTCGTCTGTTCTTGAGAAGACACGACAGTCGTACTGCGCTCCAAGGGTGCAGCCGGGGGCCGGTCGTGGCGTCGATCTATTCTATCCACTCTTGTGGACGAGGTTCTACTACGGCCGCCTTCGGATGACAATATTTTCTGTCGCTTGTTGCCACCCCGATGACTCGACGCAGTGGCTTTCTCGTAGTGCTCTTCTTCAAATTTCGCTTCTGGTTCCACCTCTTCCTTCACATCCTCCGTGTTCAAAGCGCTAGTACTTCCGAGCATCTCCACTTCCGCACCTCCTGCATCGAGTTCTGCGAAAGCCCGCCCAGCCGTTTCACGCTCCTGTGACCGGAGTAGGACCCGGTCGACGGCTCTTGTGAGAATCATATTCGACATGGCGTAGTGGAGCACAAACATCATGCACGCGAGGGCCCAGCAAGGAGGGTGCTGCAACGGCGCGCGCCAAGGTTGTGCCATCTTTTCTTGAAAGCGCCAGTACGTGTAGGTTTGGTGGCGTTCTGGTGCAGCAATCACAGACAAAAGCACCACGATGACCACGTCGTACTGGCCGCGCTGGCGCAGCCGAAGAACGACAGACGACTACTGCGTCGCTGCATGCGGCCCATGTGAGGACGCAAATCAAGCAGGCGACAGTGCCTTGAGTTGCTTCCGCAACAAAGCGGACCACAATCCTGCCCGCGTTGTGTCGCCGCTCACTTGCGAGAAGCGGAAAACGACAGCACCAGGCAGGTGTGTCATGACTGGTGTTGTTTTACGTTCAGTACATAAAACTGCGTGCTCTTAACATCATGCAGTTTTGAAGCGATGGTGGAAGATGAAGATCAAGAAAACCTTTGGTCAATTTCATCCAGCTCAGAACATACTTCAACTCTACTCGCTCAAGCTTTTCTCTCGTGGTCTCTGCCGTGGTTAAAATTGCCTCTCCCCCCCCCCGTCTTTTTTCGGCCGCACAATTATCCAGCGGACTCCTGTTGACCCCACACAGGTAGTTCGATTTGTGAAGCACGCAGAACAACAGATCCGTAATCACACCTGTTGGTGAACGAAGAGTACAGGCAAAAAGCGCCCTGAGTCTTCGGTTAGTTAAGTTTTTGCTTCGCATGATCGCGCGTCTGCGCCGACATGTAATACCAAAATACGCGTAGTCATGATCCTCCTCGTGTGTACCTAGTATTATAGGTACGTCGCTCACCATCCTGCTCCCATCTCAGGGTTGTCGCTTGTCGCTTTTTGGAGTTGAAACATCATCGAACCCGGTGCGGGATCATCATCCATCCTGGCTACGCGTCAGTTCGCCGCCACCAGTCCAAAAACTTCGCAGCCGGAGATGTTGGGCGGTAGCAGCGGCTCCTCGTCAGTCGCCGACGTGGCCTGCTGCTGCCACAGGTAGATTTCGCGCAAACAGCTGCGCCACACGCCAACATACCGGAAAAGATCGGGACTTCGACACTTTTCCCCATTTTCCTGTTTTTAAGAATTTCGAGGTAGAGTGCGCTTTTAGCGACGAGAATCTTCAGTCGAAATGCTACAAACGAAGAGTCAAAAGTCTGTTTATGGTGTTGCTTCGGGCAACTAGCAAGTCCGCATAAAATCATACCTTCAGCAGCACGCGAGACTCGCCCCCGTCCTCCACCTCGACGAGAGCGGCGCAGAGCTTTTCCAACAGCGCCACGAAATCTTGCTCCTCCTCCGCAGTTTCGGGTTCCGCGGCCAACTCGCGGGCGAGATGCGCCAGGATGCGCTGGAACACGCGCTCCAGCAGGTGCGCCAGCGGGTAGGTCGCCAGCTGGGTTTGCTTGATCAGAAAAATGGCGTCCACAAACTGCTCGGAGAGCACGAGGCAGTCCGCCACGGTGAAGAAATCGCGGAACCGCAGCGCCATGTCCAGCGCCGACTGGGTCAGCCACTGCCGGTTCCGCCGCAACCCCTCCAGGTACTGGAGCACTGCGGGCGAGTAGGGGTTGTTCTCACAAGATGCTGTGCCCTGCTGCTCCGTCGCGTAGTTCTTCAAGGACCCGCTACTTGCCGTCGCTCGCAAGTTCGGCAACAGCAAGAACAGCCCGGTGCTGCTGGAGCCGGCGCCGGAAGAACCGACGACGTTAATGCCGTGCTGTGCCGTCGTGTCCGGACTCGCAGTGGATTTGCTGTCCGCCGGCGGAGGTGTGGTGTCTTTTCTCGAGGACGATAGCTGATCTGATGACAGAACCTCCTCTGAGATCAAGCAGGCTCTTATCAAACTCGCGTAAGGGGACGACGCGGAACATGTAGAAGTTGAGGCAGGATTATTGTCTACTTTGTTCGGTGAGGCTGCAAACGGGGCGACCGAATCGTGATCGTGTAGGAGCATTGCGTGTGTAGGATAGGGGCTCGACGTTGACGCCGTCGTGGACTGCAGAACGAGGCTGACGAGGCGCCGACACAGGTCGGGATTGTCCAGCAGGACGTGGTAGTGGAGGAGCTGCTGCAGCAGATGGAACTGCTCGAAGTACACACAGAGATCAAACAGAAAACACTGCAGAATGCGGTGCGGCAAAATCTGGAGGTTCAGCAGGGAGTTCAGGTACGACAGCGCCACCTGCAACAAGTACGGCGCATTGCCGGGGATGGGCACGGCGGACATCAAGGGTGGGGCAGTGTTGTTCATCGTTTTTTTCATAGTCCGTGGCTGCGGCGCGAACGACGCGCCGTTCGGATCGGTCAGGGGACTGGGGGCAGCTTCAGGGGTGCTGTAGTAGAAATCCCGGCGATGCAGCTCGGAACTCGGGCGAGACCACCGGAGGCACGGGACGCCCGGGCAGCTCTCCGGCTTGCCGCGTACGTATACCTCTGGCAACGGGCGCACGTTGCGTGGCTCCAGCTGGTACGAGGCTCGCCACGCAGCCGAGGTCGAGGTGGAGGAGGAGCGGCGCTCTTTTGTCTTGCCCGCCGACGTCGTAGCGCTGGCGCCAGTCGTTGTATTTGCTGGTGTTCCATTTGCTGGTGTGCCATCCCCAGGAATTGTTGAGTGCGCCTCTGCAGAAGCGTCGTGGTCGAGCGGTAGTTCCACAAAGAACTCCGCTGAGGATCCGTAGCACCGGTGGAAGAAGGGCATGAAAACCTCTAGAACAACGTCCTTCTCACTCAGAATGGTTTTCCCCTGCAATTGGGACGTCAGGGTGGAGAGCGAAACCGTCTTGTCCTTCTTCTGCTGCGCTGCCACGGTGCTAGACGCACCTCCCCCGGCTGGGTCTTCACTGCCCGACGCGGCGGTGTTTTCGGCTGCGGACGAAGCGCCACCTTTATTTTCCGAGGATTTGCTATCGCCGTTCTTCCCCGCACCGCCCGAACTCCCCTCCCCGCCGGCGTTGACCGCCTGCTGTGCGGCCTGCTTGCTTGCCGTGGCGGCCTCCTGTTTCGCGGCGGCCGCACTTTGCTCGATGGCACCCCGGTAAGACAAGTTCAGCGCTGCAAAATTGTGCGCCCACTCCTCTAATGACAACCGGTTTTCCAAGGCGCGCTCCAGGAGAAAAACCGCCCGTGCCCGCGACCGCGGTCGCCGCAGCACCAGTTGCAACAAATAGGTCGAGAGGTAATCGCTCTCGTCGCTCGGGCCCCCGTCGCGCTCGCGCTTCCGGGAGCCAGACGCGGCCACCTGCCGGAGGTATTCCTCGTAGCTGGTCGCGGGCGCGCGCATGTGGTGCGCGGAACTCAAAAGGTACTGCTGTTCGCGCAGCATGCTCTCTTCCAGCGACAGGTGCAAAAATTGGCTTTTGCACAACGAGTAGTTTTGCTCGAAGAACCGCATCACCTTCCACACATCCACCTGTAGCTTGTACACGCTCCCCTTCGGCCGGTCGATCACCACGTCGCTGGACAAGTACTCGAAGGCCGCGTCGAAAGAGCGGAAGAAGCCAACCGCCTGCGATTGCGGCAGGCGCACGTCGAAGACCCAGCTCCAACCGCGGTCGACCCTGTGCACGACCAGGAGATCCTCCACCACAGAAATGCGCAGCGGCCCGCGGGCCGTGTCCGAGGGAAACTGATTGGAGTCGTCCGGGCTGTTCGCTGCAGCGACGGCAAGAATGTTGCTTTTTTCTTCTGCGTTAGGTGGGCGCGTTGGCTCCGAAACAATTCCGCCCTCTGGCGCGGGGTCCTGTAGCTTGTCGCCGAGAAAGTAGCTGGCCTGACCGGGCACGGTGCCCTCAGCGGTGACGAGATCTATCGTCGTGTAGGGCATGACGGACAACACGATGTCGTTCTCCGGGGTGGATTTTCGGGCGTCGCTGATGTTGCGGAGACTCACCTGGTGTTCGTAGTTTCTTGGTGAGGCAGTAGTAGATATCAATTTCCTTCAGCAGCACAATCACAAAGAAAAACCTGGATTATAGCAACAGTCATGATATGCACTACAGTTGAGTACCTTCCCGTGCAACACATCCAGATGCACGCAATAAGTTTCGCCGTACAGCGTCAGCACATTCACGTCGAAGTGCTCGATGGCCTTGCTCTTCCCGATGTACAGGTCGAACTTGGGCAGCTTCTGCGGGGTCCGCTTGGGTCGCAAATCGAAGGGTTGGAGCGTCCGCGCGCCGATGCAGCAGACCATCAATCCAACCTTCGGCTCCACCCAGACGCGCCTGGCCAGCGTCTGGTAGGTGCGCGCAGACTTGATGTTCGACTTCACTTTGAAGATCTCTATTCCGCACGTCGATACGGCGATCAGCTCCAGACTGGAGGCGGTCGGGCTCCAGAAAAACGAGAGAACCTCGTAGTGCGACTCGGTGGACCACTTTTGCGTTAGCGCCATGGGCTGTGCGCGGTTCGCTATGTCGTTGCGGTTTGTCACGTAAACCTAGTGAAAGATGAATGGGCGGTTTTTGGAAAACTAAACTGTAGTTCTGGTGGAGAAACAAACATGAATCTTCGAATATCTCATGCATGGCGAGAGCGTCCAATCAAATGAATCAGCAGATCATGTCCGAACACCATCTCTACCTGGTGCCCGATCACGTAGGCAATGTGCTGGTCGTCAGGTGCGAACTTCGCATCAGCAACGACCTCCAGGTTGCTGTCCTCGGTGATTGGCACGAGGGAAATATATTCTTTTTCCACGCCATCTGCTTTCCTCGCAATCACCGCTGGTTGGTCTCCTGGTGCCCCGAACGGACTGGTGGACGACGACGAGGTTCCCGTGGCTAAATCAACCGAGTAGAAACCGAACTGGTCGTCGGGAAAGTGCAGCGCCCGATCCCAAAGGCGATCGTACGTGACGCGGTCCGTGCGACCCGTCGGCCATTGATAAAGGGGGCCGCGCAGCGAAAATGCCATTTTTGAGAAAGAAAGTTTCTTCTAGGAAGAGAGTGAGTGAGTGTAGGTCACAAGAAGTTGAAGGGGTGCCATGTTCAGAAAAATCTATCTAGTAGTATCATGATCAAACATCGCTCCTAGAAAGAGAAAAGGAAGTGAGAAAAGCAGCCGTAGCCTGTCCGGGTTATGCGATTCCGTTTCGGATTCAAAAGTTGTTGGTTCGGAATGAAAGATCGCAGATGTCTGTATGAAAATGCTTTCCTTTTCTTGCACGATCTTGCGACAGCGAGTACTTTCAGGATCTTCGGCCGTGAGCAAATTGCGGTGACTGGGAGAACAGGTGCACTAGGTGATGTCCCAGAGTGTCTCAGTCCGCGCGTCCGCCTTCTGACAAACAAATTCCGTTGCTGGCGTAACAACTGCCTTTTTCTGCGGACTGCCAAGATTTGCGAGTTTGTGCCCAGTCCAATACAGTTTTCCGTAGCTCACATACAGCTCTTCTCCTGCCTCTACGTCTCTAAGAGTGACCACGTCCGCCCACCCATCCTCCGGGCGCTTCACGAAGTAACAGTTGTAGGGCCTGGCGTCGTTTAGATAGCAAGCGAGCGACTGCACGTGTTCTCGTTTGTCCGGGTTCGTGTCGGTGCTCCGGGCCGGATTGCCGTCCACGTACTTTCCCAGTCCGAGCCGCATCAGGTATGTTTTGTCGTCCAACCGAAATGCCTCCGCGGTGGAAAGCAGTGTCCCGGTGTATTTGACGATCGCTGTGTCTCGTGGTATTTTTTCCACGGCAAACAACCCATTTCCCGCTGCGGTTATGCGTGAGGGGGCAACGAGAAGACGAGGGTCGTCTGTTGGCCTCACATCTGGCGAAGGCAATGGACCTGCGTTTTCCGTCCTTTTCTCGCACGTACTAGACGGAGTCCCTGCGTGCAAAACTGGCTGTTGGCCCATCTGCGCAAGTTTAGAACGTTGACACGCGCGCCTACAACAGATAGTCTTTATGCGGAACAAACAACGCAGAATCCCCAGGTGAAACCAGCATACTATATTCAAAGCTAGAGCTACTCTATCATTGAAATGACATCCTCGATCACGTGATAAAAGTATTTACGGCACTAGGACTACCAGAAAGGTCCACCAGAAAGGCTGCAATGACTGAGGGTGCGTTTCAGCTGCATCGCCTAGATGTACTCATGCTGTTTAGTCTCATTGATATGAATCACCGCGACCTGAAGCTTATGACAACTGAATATACAACCCTAACAAACAAATCTTCTGCACCGACAATCAACAGAGAACACCTGGACGAAAAGAGTCTGATCAGCCAAAATGTCTGTCAACTCATGGCAGCGCGTTCGACCACCGATCTGAATCTGTAGGCTTCGAATCAAATCCAGAGGCGGATGAGCATTTGGGAACGATCAGGAATGGAAACGATGACGGAATGCGTGTTGTTTGCGCATGTACTCTTCATCTCCTCGATGCGTTTTCAAATTCAAGCTCGCTAGCGAGTTGCACAAACCTTAAGTCGCTCCTGCAGTCCCTAAAACAATCTGCAGTGGCATTGCTTTCGTATTCGTTACTTCGTGCGGAGCTCACGTCGTATGTCCCGCGTTCGGATACCGAAATAAAGAACCTGGAATCAGGCAGCGACACCGTTCTGCTCGATAGTGTTCCCGTAAGAGAAATTGCCGGCTCCTGACTCGGTGTCGGTGTGCATAGACACTGAGGTGTTTGAATTCCCACGAACCGTCTCAAACAGTGTTCTCACAGGCACAAGGATAAAGGTGGCGGGCGGCCCACACCTGTTTTACTACATTGAATTTGAATACTAGCAAAAAAGAGCAAGAGCTGCGACCATGACCATGCTGCTAGACTAGTACGGTCACAGTATCAACTGAAAATTTGAAGTGGGAAACTAGCGACTCCATTCCTTGGTCGTTTATGGCTTCGACCCAGGAAGCACAGCTGCCTCCATGGCCGAGTAGTTTAATCAAGCACTAACATAGATACCTGAGGACTAGCATCGGCTTTCCTCCTATTCCGCGTCGCTGTCCTCGTCGCTGTCCTCGTCGCTGTCCTCGTTGCTGTCCTCGTCGCTGTTCTCGTCGCTGTCCTCGTCGCTGTCCTCGTTGCTGTCCTCGCCGCTGTCCTCGTCATCGACTTCGTCTGTGAATGTCTCGAAGTCACATGGGAAAAAAAACTTGAACGTTGGATCCCCGGGGATACTCCTATCCCTCTGCGGCAGTCCGTATTTGTAGGACTCGGCTCGGAGGAACATTCTTCTCCGGAACGTCCTCGCATTGACTCGCCAGTTGCCCAAGGAGTGACTGAAGCTTTTCGCGTCCATGAACATCCTGCACATGTTCATTACCTTCCGAACGTCCCAACGCCCCAGGGGCTGGTTGAACGCGACTGCTTTCTTGAACATGAAACCCATGTCGACGACGTTACTAATGTTCCAATCCGCCAGTGGCTGGTCGAACGTTGCCGCGTTTTCGAACATTGCTCGCATACTGGACACATTACCAACGTCCCAGCTCGCCAGGGATTGGTTGAAGCTACTCGCGTTCAAGAACATGCAGTTCATTTCGCGGACACGGCTGACGTTCCAACCCGCAAGCGGCTGGTTAAAGGATGTCGCATCGCAGAACATGTGAATCATATCACGCACGTTACTAACGTCCCAGCCCGCCAAGGGCTGGTTGAAACTAGTTGCGCCGTAAAACATGCTGTTCATGATGTCCACTTTGCTAACGTCCCACTTTTCCAGTGTCCCGTTGAACTGGGCCGCACCGTTAAACATCTGAGTCATGCGGCGCACACTGCTAGTATCCCAGTCGTCTAGCGGCTGATTGTATGCCCTGCAAATATGTCTGGGTCTGGAAGATTACGAGACTTGTCATGCCGGTTTAACATGATCCGTGACGTCTGGATGGCAGGAGCTAGCATGACAGGTTCTGCGAGACCTGTATCATGCCTATCCTGCATGAGAAACTCCCCCTCAACTTGGTCAAAAGTGGACAGCTTTTGGAAATCACACAACACAGATTTTTGCATGATCTAGATTTCGCATGACAAGCTGCATCCTTCCAAACCCGGATATATTTGCACTGGATAGATTGAACTGCGCCGCACCGTCGAACATTCCCTCCATGTCCTCGGCGCCAGAAACGTCCCAGCCGCGGATGTCACGGTTGAACTCACGTTGCCGATAAAACACGCCGGACAAATCATCCACACCGCTTACGTCCCACACAATTAGGGGTCCGTAGACATTTTCGACCGCCTCGATTTTCGCATCTTGCTCCGCAGCGGTTCCTGCCGGGTCCAAATAGGGAAGCAGCGCCGCATCGAGTTCTTCGCGGCTCTCGAACGTCTTGTTGTAGCGGACGTAATAGCGGAGGTTCTTTACTTTCACTTCTCCGCCGCATTGCGATGCGGCTTCTTGATCTTCTTCTTCGTCGGCGGAGTCGCCTCTCCCTGTCCCCTGCAAGCCCTGCAACCACTCAGCGAAGTTTGTCTCCTCGTCGTGCACTACGTTGATGACGCACTGTTCACTCATGTCCGCCCCTTCAGGAAACAGCGAAACGCGTCCCCAAAAACAACTGCGCTTCTTTTCCGTATTGCGTTCGGAGGACAGCCAAGCCTTTGCAGCGGCCTGCTTTACTTGCTTCTTCGTGGTTGTTGCAGCGTCCCATCTGCGCTGTTCAAGAGGTAGAGCATCATCACCTGTCACTACGCTCAGGACCTCCGTCAGTGCGAAGGTGGCTGGCGCCGCCGCGGCATTTACGACAGAAGGAGCATGCGGGGTCGCATCTGTCGGTCTGAAGTTCGACATCTTCGCGGCTGTTTTTCGTTTTGCTTATGTTTTCCGGTGGTCCGTACAATGATGAATGTATCTATTCTCTTCGACGAGGTCGCGCTAAAGTTTATTCCTTAAGCAATGTAAACTTACCGACGTATCTACTGCTGCGCTTGATTTTGCTGAAATTGCGGCTGATGATGAAGAGGATAGAAGTGCTGCAGATGTGACATACGATGACGACGAAGATGAGAAAAAGGATAAGAAAACTACTATTCGAGCTTTTGCAAGGGCATTTTTACATTTTTCTTAGCTCTCTAAAACTAACTAAATGCAGTGGGAGAGCAAAACCAAAAGATTAAGACTGCACTAAAACTGTACAGCTGAAAGAAAAACAGCGCATCAAGTACAGTTTACAACTTAGAAAAAACCCCGAGCAAATTTGACGATGCACGATTCAATACCAAGAGTTTTTTCTCGTATTCCGCTCCCTTCAACTCGTATTTGCTCTATCAATCTCTTTCTTCTTTTTTCGAAGTGCATCGTCAAATCCAATACACAGAAAACACCAAGCGCGACCTCCCGCAGCATAGCAGATCCAGATCGTCTCGTACTGACTATGTATTTCTGCGTATGATGATGTCCCTCCTGCACGCCAAGGAGAATAAAGTGAGCGCTTCGACTTCGACGACTCTACTAGATCCCGCGTCCGAAACAGATACATTTTGATGTTCGCACCTACTTACTTTACACCTCTGCGGGTTGAGCATTTACTCAGTTCGATTTCTGCTCTATTCGCATTTACTTACAAAAAGTTCAGCGATTTGGTCCTCGAAAGCTTTACATTTGGTCTTCTTTCTTCGCTTGTCACATGATCAGCGACCTCCGCCAAACTCGTCCCGACACACCCGCTGACGAGCCCTGCAACCACCGCCCCAAAGACCGGCATCGCACTTTGCGCCACGGCCTGATTCCCCTGCTGGAGCATGGTGTTCGCGTCGTCGCCGAGAATTCCGATCCTTTGTTTCAGTTCCAACAGTCCCGCCTCCGACTGGTCCAGCATATCCTGGATGCCGGTAATGATTTCCGGCACGTCTTCCGGCCCGTACTCCACGTCTGGATTATTGAAGTACTTGGTGACCAACGCCCCCAGGTTCTGCAGCTGGTAATTCGTTTTGCTCACCAGTTGCTCAATCTCCCGCTCGTCCGCGATGAGACCTAGTGGCGTCGGGTTGCGAATCTTTTTTTCCACGTCCGGCGAGGGAGAGTCGCCGGCGAAATTCGTTGCGTGAGCACTTCTTCTACCTCGATGGGAATGGGTAAGAAGATTTTTGGGCAGGTACTGTCGTGTGGAGTCGATCGGTGGGTTTCTGGAACGGCTCTGAAAATAGCCTGCATCAGAGACAGAACTCCTGGCTGAGGAAGAAGAACTTGCTGTAGAACCGGTAATCGGTCCCGCTGAAGACGAGGTTCCGTCCGCAGCATCGAACGTCGCGGCAAAAAGACCTGAAGATGCCGGCATTTTGTCGTGGTGCTGAAAGAGAAATTATGGCGGATGAGTAGTTGACACAAAAGACTTGTGGTTGTGAAAAAATCTCTCAATCCTGCTATCGCTTGCTCATCCTTGGAATGCCGTCAAAACAATCGCTGTTCACGTGGCACTTTCCAAACTCCAGTTCTCGATGAGTCAAACGAGGGGTGAGACTACGGAGCAAGATAGTGCCTCCTGGCACTAAAAACGATTTTCGAACCAATAAACTTCGTTCTCTACTTCGATTGATGACGCATCGACGCTCATTCTAACAAGGGTATCACTCGGTTTCAGCTCCTCAGGTGCAAAGTGAACAAAACAACCAAATCCACATATCCGGTGTCTGATGCTACAACGTCCATGCTTTGCGCACGACAAGTTTTCATTCGCTTCTTTGCTTTTCTTCTTGTTTGTTTTGCTCATGAATGATGACGCCACATCCCAGAAAATGGCAAGAAAATCGTGTAATCATATTTCCAGCAGCTCTAAGCAGCCATGTCGCGCGTGCCTTTTATGACGACAGCAGCTCCGCTTTAATGGTTCTGCCCGCAAAGAGGCGGCCGTTCATGACGCGGTAGCAGTCGCTGGCTGCGTGCGCCTCCTTGAAGAGGATGTGCAGCACGTCGCCCTGCAACTTCAGGGAGTCGATTGGTCCCGACTTTTCCGCTTCCTCGTGCACGTCTTCCTCGACGTCCTCCCGCGTTTCCTTGTCGTCTTCCGCCACTACCAGATTGTGCAGGACCAGTTTTCTCGCTGGCGGCGCGCTTGCTCCCGCCGAGGCGTTCATCGAGGAACCCGGTCCGCCCATTCCTCCCTTGTTTTGTGCGGCCATCGCCATGTTGGCCATCGGGTTGTTCTGCATCCCGTTCGGCATCATGCCGGGCATGCCTTTCCCCGGCATCATCATCCCGGGCATTTGCGGCATCATCATCCCCGGCATCGGACCGCCGCCCATCTTCCCGCCGGGCGGCATCATCATGCCCGGGTGCGGCATCATCGGGTTCATGCCCGGAAAGGGGCCCCCCTTACCCGGCGGACCCATCATCGGGTTGTTCATCATGGGGTTGCTCATCATGCCGGGAAGCATCCCGGGTGGTGGAACCATCATGCCGGGCGGGGGCACCATGGGCATGTTGGGCATCAGCGGGTTCACCAGGGTCCCGGGCGGCGGCACCAGCGCGGCGGGTGGGGGAACGCCGAGAAGCCCGGGGTTGGTGGCTACGCTTGCGGCATTGTTGGCTTTGTTGTTCAACGTGCTGGGGTGGGGCTTCGAGTGAATAGCGGAGAGTTGTGCGGGGGGCGCCGCCGGGGGCGGCGGCGGTGGTGGTTCGTCGCTGGGTGGGGCGGAGGGGTCGAAGGCTTTAGCCGGCTGGCCGCCGACTTGCCCGGCGGCAAACAGGACCGCCGCGGTGGAGCTGGACTTGCTCATGCTCACTTCGCCCGGGAGACCTGAAGAGTGACGATAGATTTTTTTGCAAGGATGCGAATCGTGGTGGTTGTCCACTCTTTCGGCTGGAATTCGACGTTTTTGACATCAACGAAAAAAAGAGATCATGTTGGCCAATCAGCAAAAAAAGAGAGCAGTTTAAACGCGCGCAGGAAAAATACCTGTTTCCATGGTCTCATCCGGGTCATCGGTGACTGTGTTCATCGCGTGGTCGCGCATGATATCCCTCGTGCCAAAAATACTGGCACCCGCGGGCGGCAGCGGGTTGTCGTTTTGTATCAACAGCCGGAGTTTCTCGCTGGCGTCTGTTATGAGGCCCGGGACTTCCTCGGGTACGGGTCTTCGCTCTGGCTCGGGTTCGGCTTTCGTGGCGGAGTCAGGATTGTCAGCAGCCTGTGCATTGGTTTTGGCTATATTATTTCGAACCAGAATTCATTTGAAATTCGTTGTCTTCTGCATTTCCGCGACGATAGATACAAAGCGATGAACCCGTCAGGACTAAGGACCGTGTCATACTACATACTGCACAAAAAAAACAACTCTAGTCACACTAACCTGCTGCTGCGCCGTGCCTGCGGCCCCCGCCGTGAGCATGAGGGGCCCTCCCTGATCTTGAGCCACACCGACGGAAATTTCTTGGTCGCCCATCATGGAATGCTTGAAGCCGTTCATGACCGCGATGGCCTCCCGCCCTTCCGTCGCCTTTTCGAACTTTATGTAGGCGTAGCCTTTGCTTTTGTTCGTGTAGGGGTCGCGGTGCAAATCGATGAACTCAATGTTTCCGGACACGGCAAACGGGGCAAACAACTTCTTCAAGTCGTCCTCGGTGATCGCGGCCAGCGCGCCGTCGAGACCGGAAACGTACAGCTTCAGCCCCGGGTCCTTCGCCTGGTTCATCAGAGCAGCCCGGGCGACGATGCTCGCGCGGTTTTTCTCCGCCTGACTTGGCTGGACCTGTAAAGAGTGGGGAATGCTAATGCACGCTAAAGACTTTGACATGAAAACTGAAACTCCCTTTGATTTTGGATGTGATGAAACTGAGTACGCTTGTGGTTGTACATCCAGATTGCTACTAACATCATCTCTATTTGAAGAAAAAACTACTTGTACTTACCCTAACAGGCTGGAGCATGAGCACTTGGCCGGTCATTTGGCAGGCGGCGGACACGGTTTCCTGCTGGTAAAACTCGACATAGGCTACGCCCTTGGACCGACCGCTTCGCGCGTCGCGGATGACTTGGATGTCGCGTATGCTCCCCGCAGCCTTGAAAAAGCCGTAGACGTCTTTCTCTGTCGCTTTTAGGTTTACATTAGTAACCATCACCGTGCGCTCGCCCCGGGTGGCCTCCTCGAGTTGGCGCTCTGTAATTTTTTTTTCCGAATATTAAAGGTCAAGCACCATCAGCACTGCTATACTTGAATGAAAGCGGAATAACCTCAACTTCAGACGCTCAAGTGGTTTCTTGGCTTATTACGTCTACAACATGCGCGACATGACAGAAAATTATATCAAAGTGAAATACTTTTCTCCTCCTCCTCTTCCTTTTGCCGTCGCTCTTTTCTTGCTTGTTCGCGCCTCTCAGCCGCTTCGCGGGCTTTTTTGTCCCTTTCCTGGCGCTCCCGGAGCTCGCTACGCCGCCGGCGGCGATTGCGTCCGGTGATGTCGTCATCGCTGGGTTCTTCTTCCTCCCACAATCCTGCGCGCGGATCGGCCAGAACTTTCTCGTTGTACTCGAGTCGCGCAACTGAGATTGTCATTTTTCATACACGAGTTTCGGTCGCTTTTTGCAAAACTGACTCAGCTCTACACCTCACTTGACAACAAGCACCTCTCCACTAAGACAAGGACAACAACATTTTTCTACGGAACTATCTGCGAGTGCGACCTGCCTAATTTTATTTGGAGACTTGTTGTACGTAATCAGTACTTATCACAGAACTTAGCGCACGTCGCCAATACCACCGTTCTAGCGACAAGGCACAACCCCATAGATGGAATGTCGCTGCAGGGAAGGAAGATGAAGATCTGAAGTATTTGGGTCATTTGGTTTACTCACAGCTTTTGCGCTGTGCTTCATTTTTGAAGACTTCCTTGCAGGGCGATGCAGCTGGGGTGCGTACTGCTGGAGCGAGAGAATTTCTAGCCACCATTCCACCTGTGAGTGAAAAAAAAATTTGCATCACAAAGTCAGATGATCTCGTAAAATTTTCACTTCGCTGAGCACACAGTTTGATCGATCTCGTAAAAAAGACGTGCTTGTTCGCCAAAATTTGAATTTCGCGCTTTTCGCAATGAAAAGGAAAGAACTTGCTGGACCCACTGCATCACAGAGATCACGAACACCTTTTAAAATGGTCCGGCATTTTCTATCGATTCCTTGGCATATGCATCAAGAAAAAGAGCTTTTTTATTCCCTTTGATGCGTTTGTCGAGGACAAAACATCGCCGATACAACATCGAAAAGGGCCAAGTCGGCAAATCAATGCGTGGGTCTGGGCTCTTTGGGGAGAGCTGCGACAACGAGTGTAGGTCCGTTATTCAGGAAAGCCAGGTGCAGGTCGAATGATTTTTGAGGAAAAAAATCAGTGCGGGTAGGTATTCATTAATAGGTTTCTATAGCCTATTTCAGAGAACTTTCCAGCACATCAACCAGGCCTGACCAGCAGCCAGTTCACTGCCCGTCGTAGAATCCGTCCCAGGGGGGCAGAATTCCGTGGTTGTCGTTGTACTGCACGACGGCCAGGGGGAAAATCCTGCCGTTCCGCGTTTGGTAGTCGAAGTGCGGGCTCAGGTCCAGCATTTTTGACAAATACCTGTATTCGTCGTACCACATCTCGAGGAGTCCGTAGGTTTCCTCCCGGCCGGGCTCCTTCTGGCCGTCGATGCTCCAGTAGGCGAAGTCCACGCGGTTCTCGTTGATGTACCGCATCATGTTCCGCCACCACGAGCCCGGGTTCCCCGTACCAAACTCGTTGAGCCACACCGGCGCGCGGCCGTTGTGCAGCAGGAAGCCCCAGTTCTTGTCGAGTTCGTCCGCGAACCGCTCGTAGCTGCCGAGGTAGGAGTAAATCATGGCCAGGGTGAAAACCATGACGATGAGTAGGATCAGAAACCAGTGGTACCAGCGGAACCGGATGCACCGGCGCAGCCACCCGCACCGCGTGCTGATCCGCGGCGCACACTTCCCCGCCTGCTCGCGGAGCTTCAGGTCGGCCAACTCCGAGCCGCCAAACAGCGCGGGGGGCACCACGGACTGCCGCGACCGCTTCTGCACAAACCGGTCGGCGCTGTAGCGGAAGGCGGACGGCGGCGGCGGGGTCAGCGGCTGCTCCTGAAACTGCACGCTCTTCTTCGCGCCGCCGGGCGGTTTCGCGGCGGCGAAAAGCGAATTCCGCATCGACGTGCTTCTCGTGCTGCCCGGGGCTGCAGCACCGGCTGTTGTGCCGGGCGGGACGGCGCTGATCGCGCTCGTACCGCTCAAGATCGTCAACCCCGGATTCGCTCTGCCGGCGTTTGTAGTGCCAGCCGGTGAGATGCTACTGGCGCCGTCGATGTTGATGCTCAATGGGGAATTGTCGTTGTGCCGGATCGCGGACGGCTGCTCCGAGGTTGAGTAGACGCTTCTTGAGCTATTGGACAAAGACGAGTCGCCGGCGTTCCGGGTGTTGTGAAATTGGAATTGCCACACTGCGGGGTCGCTGTAGGTGGCGCGATTATAATTGTTGGTCACAATAGAGCGCGGCCGCGTCATCGTCGTCGTCCGCGTCCACCTGTCGTGCCCAGGAATGGAGGGCGGAATGTTTTCCCCTTCTGCTTGTGGCACTCTGTGATCATGGTGCGCAAACATGAGATTTTCGGCCCCAGCAAACCTTGTTCCCGTCGTGTCCACTCCCATTTCTTCCGCGTGCCGCTTGCCCGCGGATCCAGGGTCCGCTTCGGACGAACTTGCACAGTTTTCGAACGCCAACTCGTCCCCTAGTGGTATCGGTATCTGACTCGGCCCGCGGTTTTCGTCCAATCGCACCCCGCTCATGCTTTGCTGACTGAGCAGCTGCTGGTCGTCCCGCCCCTCCTCAACTGCAACTTCTTCTCCGCCAGTCGCGGCTGGGAACTCCGTCTGGTGGTCGCCTTCGGCGTTGAACTGCAAGCGGCGCTGGAAGTCGGGGTGCCGGCTGTTGGACGCGGGAACCCCGGCGGCCACGTCCGGGCTTTCCATTACCACCGCGCGGAACGACGGCTCCTCCTCCATTTCCAGCTCTTCTTCTGACAAGGAGTGAAAGTCATGTGTCTCCTGCGCAGACGAAGACGCGGAGGCGGACGACCCCTCGGCGCGCATATTCTGCGAAGACGTTTTACTGTTGTCGCGGCTAATAAACGCTTGGTTGCCTACTTGCGGGGCGATGTGCGGATCGACGCGCCCTCTAACACCTGTTTTGTGCAAAAAGTCAGTTTGCTGCAAAGCGCAGTTTTCAACATCAAGAAAAAGCATTCTGCACTGACGATTCTACTTACTGAGCCCAACGCTCAACCTCCTCGGGACACATGATCAAAGATAGGTTCTACTCTACCTGCGAGCCTCGTCGGCCCAGGCTCGGCGGACGAGCTAGAGGATGGCACAATGTTGTAGTGACCACCCTCGTGCCCGATCAAACTGTGCACTTCCGGCGTGGGCTCTTCGGAGCTCATGGCGACGCCCATCTCCTGGAAACTTCGCTTCAAACCGAGACTCGCCTCCCGCAACTTCAGACGAAATTCATCCGGTTGGGGCGCGAGCGGGGTATTGCTGGTGGTAAAGTTTTCGCCGTCCCTGGATGAGGATCCTCCGTGCTCCGACTCGCTCACGGTCGCGTGTGGAGACAACTTTTCGTCTTCCGGCGCGTTAGCTTCACCCTCCGACCGCTTTTTCCTCTTCGCTTTCTGTTTTCGTTGCAGCGTCGGCGCAAGCGCCGGCGGATTCTCGGCGGGCTGCGGCTGTTGCTGCAGGGCGTTCCTCGAGGGGATTTTCCTGATGACCTGGAGGCGCACGCCGCCTGTCGTGTCGGAAAAGGTTCGGCGCAAAGATCCGCTACTCGTTTGCTGTCCGGAGATGTCGCGGTGCAAGGGCGGCGCGTTCAGGGCGCGCTGCAGCGGCGTGCTGCGACCGCGGATTCGCGGCCCGCCAACCGGCGCAGGCTGCAGCAGCCTCCCGCTTCGTGTTCCGCCCCGGTGTTGCTGCAGTGCCGTTTGCTCGGTAAAGCTGCTGGAGCGCGTGGATGGCGGGGTGATGCCGCGCTGCTGATTTAGTACAACCTTTGACGGTTTTGGTGCTCCGCGCACACTGCGGCCCGTCGTGAGCGGCTTCTGGTCGCTGAAAGCGGTGGCCAGGAACGAGCTGCCGCCGCTGCTGGTGGGTGGTGGATACAGCGGCGAGCCGCGCGAGTAGGTACCGCTGACCGGGGCACCAACCATCGGTCGCGGATACACATCGAGCTCGGCAGAGGAATGCCGCCAACCCTCCTCGTCGCTGGAGTCGTCCTCACTGCTGCTGATCTCCGGACTGAGCAAGATCTCCCCCCGGGACGCTGCCTCGCGCCGGAGTCGCCTCCTCTCGCGCCGCTTCAATTTACGGGACCACCGCTTCTCCCGTCTGCGCTCCTGTTTCACCATCTCCAACGGCGAACGCAGCATGGACAGGTTGTGCTGACTGGAGTGCTCGCTGTCGGACCCTTCGGCCCCGCTGTCCGCGTTCGCCCCGGTCGGGGAGTTCGGACTTTGCAGCAGCTGGCGCAGGCGCGAGGTGCTTGCTTCCTCATTCAGTAGCGGTCCGTATTCGATCATGCCGCGGACGAACACGACAAACCAGAGCAGCGCTGATACACCAGCAACGGCGCTCGCGAAAATGAAGAGCACCATCGCAGTGGCACGCGCGTGGATCGAACAAATCTCGCCTACAATCGCACTGGTCCACGCCATGATGGGGACGGAAAAGGTCAAGAAGCCCGCAAGAGACACAACGCGATTGTACTTTATGAAGTGGCAACACCTGAAAGTAGAATCATTTTTCCGATATTCGTGTTTCGATTTCTTTTTTTTCGCGCCGTGCGAAAACAAACTTCTTCGATTGGATATCTCTAAAATCCGCTCTCAGTTCCGCATCAGAAAAACACAGCATGCATTTGTACCTCTCCAGCACTCCATCCACATTTTTATTTTCCGCGTCCCCAGCATCGTAGTTGCTCGGGGTCGACATTTTGCTGGTTCGGTCGCTGCGGCGCGACGACGCTCCCAGTCGTCTCCGCCGCTTGCAGCAGAACCGCAACGAGCGCGTCAACAGCCTCGTAAAGCAGTTGTTGGGGCAGTAGCGCGTTTGCAGTCCGAGGTAGAGCACGAACATCCAGGACAACACCAGAAACGCCACGAAGGAGGACAAATACACCTCGATCATGGTCCGCACGTGCCACCGGATGGAGTACCACTTGTAGGCGTGGGCGGCATACACGATCGACCCGGGAACCAGCTCGTGCACGGGGAATTCGTCCACGTCGCACATAAACATGCCGTAGTACAGCGCGGACACGATGATCAGCTGGTGGGGCACCGCCTTCTTCATTTCCAGGCTCGCGCGCAGCGCCGCCGGCGCCCAGGCCTCGAACCGGTCCTTCGAGAACCACACGGGGTCCTTGCCCATGCTGGGCCGGATCTCGTTCCGTATGTCGTGGCCGACCACGTAGCGGTTGTTTGCGTAGCGTTGCGAAAGCAGCAGCAGCCCGTTGATCCAGTCCCGCTCGCTGTACTTCTGCGTGTACCACAACCCCTCGCCGTCGTCGTTGTCGCAGCACCAGCCGGCGGAGGATATGTGATTGTTCAGGAACACCATGATCTTCTTTCTCGTCAGCGCTTCCACGGTGCGGTCGAAAATCTGCATCGGGGACAGGTCCCACAGCTCGCGGTTCTTGGCCAGTTGGTCCGATGGGTTCCCGATGCGGGTCTGGTTGTACACCAAGTCGAGGGAGTAGGTCAGGCGCACGCAGTTGAAATCGGCCTCCACGATGATTTGCGCGATCACGTCCAGCGGTTGCGCGTTGAGCCCGTTCACGTGCGCGTGCCCCATGTGCGGCCCGTACCAGTTCACGCACCTGGTGTTGTTGAACAACGCGACTCAGGGAGAAAGAGTGATGATCACGACTAGAAATGTCAAAGAGAAAGAAACTTATAATATGCGTATGCTTTCCTTAAGTAGCACTCGAAGCAACGTCTTTCTTACCGGAGATTCACCCGGTTGTTTTGCGAGTCCGTGACCCAGCGCCCCCTGGTGAGCAGCGGGAGGGTATCCTGCTCCACCCTGCCTGAAATGGTGTTGTTGAGGTAAAAGGTGACATTCTGGCGCGTGTACGAGATTGGCTGCGACGTGTCTCCTGTCGATGCAGTCGTTTCCGAACTTGAGGAACTGCCCGCGGTTTGGAGTTGGCGAGAAGGACTCCCAGCTAGGTTATGAACTCCCGCCACATCTGAGGCTTGCATTTGCTCGCTATTGCTTTCTCGGCCCCGCAACCGCCACGCGAAGCCTGATATCTGAACATTTCCCTCCGTGTTCCACCGTATGCTCGCACTTTCAGCATGCTCTGATCTTTTGTCAACATCTGCAGCACTGAATAACACGCTCGATGCTGTTGCCCTTCTTGCTACCCCAGCTGCTTCTACCGAACTGCTCGCACTGCTTGCCGGTGCTGTGAGCTCTGGCCATCCTGGTGGCTTGTCAATTCTGTGTGGATTCTTTCGATGCTCTTCTAATAGCCTGCGCGCGGTTTCGCACACACCGATCGAAACTTTCGTTTCGAACGGCGGGCAGTGTATTCTCGCATCGCTGCAAAGCTCGTCAAACACACTGCCTTTTTCGCCGTTTGCCTGCACCGTGCCTGGCAGCGTAGATTCCGCAGCGGGCCTGTCGATGCGATTTGCTGATTTAAGCGGTCGTGGGCCAAAAACGAGTAAAACAATCACAAGAAGCATGCCAAGAACGGCAGCTGCTGTCGCCTTGAATACGCCGACTTGTTTCATCCCGGGTGTGGTCATTATGTTTGGTATTTAGGAAACCGTTATCATTAGATGTAAATCTGCACCAAGCAGCCTATCGGGCAAAGCGCAACATCGGTTCTCTCAGTACCAGTGCCACTCCGAAAAAAAAAGACGTCATCTCTCAGAAGACACAAACAAGCAGCGACGCTCAGGCGCTGCTCGGCGCTTACTGAGGGGATTGATTCCTTGTAACAAAGCAAAAGTCAAAGTTTAGAAACGAAACTCTAGCAGAAGTGCTGGCGACAACAAGAAAGACTTCTTTCTTACATAGTACTAGAATTATGCGGAAACTGATGAGATGAATAGGTCATAAAGGGACTACACATCAGCAGGGGGGCGCACAGATAGAGGACGTGAGACGTCAACCTGCTAGAGTCTCATGGGTGACAGCACAATGGACCACAACAAGATTCGACTACAGTCTCGAATTTTTGACATGCACTTCTTCTCCTCAATGATTCTGAGTCAGACCGACGTTGCACCGATATCTTATCTTCTTTTTAAGCTGCCTGCAGCAACTCAGTGCCACACTTTCCGTCCTGAGCAGCTCCTGGAATTGCAAGGAAGAGTAGCGTAACACTTTTCTTTGCTGAAAAGCAAGAATTAGTCGGCTCTTTGCACGACTCTTTTCGCCCGTTCAGGACAAGAATTTGATAGCACGACAAGCTCATGCAAATCTTTGGGTAACTGTCATCGCATTTTCCGTTCTTCACGCAAGACACAAGAGTTGGAAATGGGTAGACTACACAGTTTTGAGTTCTTTACGGCAAATGATAGAAATCGGGATAAAGCGCCTCGTTGTCTGCACCACGGTAACCTGTGTCCGACGCTATCCGTTCCAACAAAATGCAAGAGATTTCAAACTGTAAAGGGATGTATTCAATCCATTATTTGCAAGAGTATTCAGAAACAAAGCTCTTTTTCTACTAGTCATCACCACGCGTCTCTGCTCGCTGCTCTCTTTCTCTCTCCCCAGAAAGCAGTTCGCTGATGCTCCCATTGCGAAGCAAGAGATAAATGGTGTGCAGTAGCAGTAGACAGAGACCTTCCGCCTCTGGTATCGCTATATTCGAATTCTGTAAGAGTGAGTATTGCTATCGTTCCTGGTACTACTAGTATAGACAAGTATAGTTCCATTCAGAGTATTGCAAAGAGTATAAATTCCACTGTAGAGAAACCGAGGTTTCCTGTTACTTTACTTGAGAAAATCAACTGTGTTGATGGGAGGTCGCTACTGGAATAGATGCGAGAATAAGAACAAGATACGCATCTTTCAAGGTCTTCATACAAGTTTTTGGGGGAAGATCTTTTGTGTGATAGGTAAATGCTGAGCCAGCTTCAATCCCGCCTGAAGAAGCCTCCCTCCGCAATCACGCCGGCGAAAAGCTGGGTGAAAACTAGGGCAAACACCAGCGCCCACGCTGGGAGCAACCCCAGTACCGCCTTTTGTCGACTAGACGACGGGTACAGAACTTTGTCGCTGCTTTCGCCGAAGTTGAACCCTGGGATGGGGAACGTGAGCGGGATAGCGGACGCCGGTTCGTCGCGGATGCTGCGGCACTGTCGCGCGGCGCATAGGGAAACGTACCAGATGTTTTCGCTTGGTAAATCTCCGACCGGTAACTGGACGTAAAACTCAAACTTGTACCGCCCCTGCGCGATGACTAGCCCGGCGGCCTCGTCCGTGAGAATTTTCACGAATGCCGGGTATTCGTTGCGCGCACTAAACTCGATCCACTGGTCTGCGGTGGTATCAAATGTAAAAATGTCTGGGTCTGGAAATTTGTGATGCAATTCAGTCAATAAAAAATGCACTGTAATGCGCCGCTACGCATGACAAGTTGCTTCGTGCTTCTGTGCTGCGTATTCCGCGTGAGAAACTGCGTTTTTGCATGACAGGCGAGAGAGGCTGTTTGTGGCCACGCAATACAGATTTAATGGCCATGCCAGATCAGCATGACAAATCTCGCAATCTTCCAGACCCAGACATTTTTGCAATCCATAGGTGGCGACCGGGAACAATTTGTTCAGATTCTTCACGTCCCTCTTCCGCTCTATCAAAATGAAAAATCCCCCCACCCCATATCAAAATGGAAATCTGTGATGCGGGATTTGGGCACACAAATCGGCTCTGTGTTGCAGTAGAGGACTGCAGCCAGGCACGCAGCCTGAGGAGGGGCGTTTTGGCGTAGGCACCTAGCAAGGCAGGCACATCCTCGGCAGGCGATACAGCATTACAAACTGCCTGCACAACGCAGCGGAGTCTCTGGGGTTGCCTTCGTGCAATACAGAGACGATTTGTGGTCACAAATCAGCATCGCAAATTTTCAGGCGTTTGCCTTTTTAGTATGGGGAGGGGGGATTTTTCATTTTGATACGCTCAACCAATTCCTTCGAGAAATCAGGCGTGATCCCCGGCGGAAGCGTCACAAGGATGGCCTCCATCGGCAAGTCGAAGTCGAAGTCGAGCCCAATGTGAACCTGGTCGTGTGAAAAAAATGGATACAAAACATGATCTTCATGTACGCAATGATCCTGACTTGACAACTTCTAGTTCTAGCTATTTATTCCATGGACCTGGATGGCAAGAACTTTCAGGTGGATTACGTCTTCCAGTACTAGTTCCTGCGACAGCAGGAAAAGAGCAGCTCCATCGTGACGTAAAAAAATACCAGCTGTCTCGTCCCCTCCACTGGCGCTCCGGGCCAGTTGAGCGTAGCCCGGCTGGCCATCGTCAGGGTTAATGGTAGCCTGATCGGAATCTTGCTGCTGCCGTCCAACACTTCCCCGTCGGCCGCGCGAACCACCAGCGCAAATTCCTGCGTCACCCCGGACTGCGCGTCCTGCGTGGGCACGTCGCCGCCGATAATGAAGCTGTACGTGGTCTCTCCCTTCAGCGCCTCGGTGAGCGTCAACGCCAGCGGGCTGTCGACGCAACCCGGCTTCCCCCCCGGCAGACTGACCTGGAAGAAGGCCGGCGCGCCCGTCGACGGCATGGTGCTGCAGTACACTTCGTACAGCACCGGGGGCACCACGTTTATGATCCTCCCTCCGTTCACCGCCACGTAGAACGTGAACGCGAAGTTCGCCCCCTGCAGTCCGCGCCGCTGCGGGTACCACAGCTTGATGGGCGTCATCTGCCGGATGTTGAAGCCGGAGTATCTCTCCCACCCGGTCACGCGGAAGCCGCCGCTGAGACTGCCGGACATGGTTTGCACAAACCAACTGCTCGCCGCAGGGGTCACTGCCGGCGTGATCGTCTTGATTTGCATCTCGTTCAGCGTGGCCAGCGTCAGGTCCAGATTTGGATCCGGCGAAAAGATGCGCACGGATTTTCTTCCCGGACAGCCAGGGCCGCACTGGTACACGACGTAGGGCTCGCAGTTGGTGCCGCAGTCCTGCGGGAAATCGAAGGTCGGTGGCGCTATCAACACGACTTGCTTCACGGACGCATTTCCGGACACGACGCGCACCTTCAGTGTGATCACAGCCAACGGCGGCCTACGGTCGTTCACGACTAAAATCGTGACCCCGATCCGGAATACCGGATCGAACGGACCCTCCTCGCCGTCGTTGGTGTTCGATGGCAGCGCGAAGTTGTTCAGCGCAAAGGTCTCAATCTTCCAATTGGACTGACCCTTCTTCGGTGTCACTCGAAATCGAACCTTGTAAATCTCGTTCGCGTTGATCACCTGTTTTTGTTGATTCGATTTTTTCATTTTCAACATTTTCGGTTTGTCGAAAACTTGAACTTCTGACAAAAGTACAACTCATCAACTCATCACCAGCTCTAAATGTTCCAATCACGATTCAACAAAAATTTCCTTACTGCTTCCGCTGGCGGTTTTGACGCGTGCAGCTGCACCTCGAGCCCGCCGGTCGCCGGGTTCAAAATCACGATCTGGTCGTTGACGTCGATGATGTTGCTTCCCCCGGAGATCGAGAACGCTTCCCGGTCCAGAGTGTACGCCTGCGGGCCCTGGCAAGTGATGTAGATGTAACCACCCGCGTAGACCGTTTGGGTTGTGCGGAAGGAGATTTCTGCCGTGTTCAGCTCGGACTCCCGCGCCGGGAACTGGCTCATGGTCGGGTAAACGGAGGAAGAGGAATAGTAGTCCGACTCCAGCCGTTTTGGCGGGTTCTCCAGCACTTGCAACTTTCCAGGCATGATGAAACCCGGCACGTTCAACCTCTCGTCCATCAGATCCTGCGGGACCTGCGGCAGCCCGTTCACCAGCTCGTTGATGTAGGTCCGGATGTTCCACCGGGTTTGCCCCCCGAGCTCACCCAGCCGCACAGAAGTGATCAGCACGGCCTTGTTCGCAACGCCGGCCTGCACGCCCATACTGTTCACGACGAGGATGTTTCCCGCGGTGGCTACCGGGTCCTTGACCTGCGGCTGCTTCACCGCACAGGTGTCAAATTTGAAGCCCGGCGGGGACACCACTTCGGCGAGCATCGTGACCGCATTCTGCACGGGGACAAAGGCGATCGTGATGTTCGTGTAACTCTCCGCGGCTTTTCTGGAACCCACAATGTCAATGACGACGTTTTGCAGCTGCGGACGCACCACCCAAGACTTGTAAGCGTGTGTGGACCTGAACAGTGTAATGTATGAAAATGACGCAGCTCTTTCTTTTGTCTAGTGTCGTCGTAGTACATGCGTCCGCCAAGAGAAACACCATCGGACCGAGAAAAGCGAAACACACACTCTAGGTCTACTAACATCTTGAGTTCATTTCTTTTTACCTTGTTGTGTAACTGAAGGTCGGCACACCTCCGATGTTGCCAGTTTCGGTTCCGCGCTTGTGGAAGACGACCCAATGGTTGCCGATTTCCGAATCAACTTGCTCAGGATTCGACGTGTCCACGGAGAACCGCAACTCGAAGTTTGCCGGCGGCAGCGGCGTTCCCGCAGCTACCGACCTGAAGTCAAACTCGAGGCCGCAACGTTCCTTCCCGTTTAGCTCGAAATTGCAACCGCACAGCTCAGACACGGAGGTGGGAAAAGGACCCGGAGGACTGTAGCGAAATTTTTTGCAGTTCGATGTCTTTCGATCATGACTTCGTTCTAAGGTTCATCGGGACGCTTAAAAGAAACCAGCCACGGCGCTGCCTCCACTTACTTTGGTTGCATGATATCCTCAGCCTCACTGACTGGGTCTGGGACTGCTGCTGCTGGTACGAACAAAAACATAAAAAAATGCGATAGCAAAACCAAAACATGCCAAAAAAAGTACCCCGAAGCCCACTGGAAGTTGTTGCAGGCGTTCGACCCACCCTGATCGCGCAGCGTGAAGCCCAAGGGCGCGTGGATTTCGATTCTATCCGCAGGGTTCAGCGCGTCCGGAAGGGATACGACGAACTCAACGCCCGGCACGGACTCCATTCCGTTGTACACGCCCGCCTTGTTGTGCACTTGCCACAGGTTGATGATGTTGATGACGTCGAAACCGGGAATGCGCGCCAGATCCAACAGCGTCATGGTTTTGTCGAAGGTCCTGATTTCAAAGTCGCCGGTCCCGGTATCGGGCGTGACGATGTTGGCTCGGTTGTATACGTACACGATCAGCTCCCACACCTTTGCCGGGGTCAGTTCCTTCTCGACGGAGAGGACTCTCGCCTGCAGCTTTCCGTTGGCGAGGATCTCGCAGTCCACATCCACGCCGGGGACCATGATGGTGGTGCGATCCACGGTCTTCAGACTCAAGTTGCACCGGTTGGTCACGAGCCTCCGCAGCGGGAACATCTGTTCTTGCGCTTCCTCGGCGGTGTTGATCATGCGGGTGGTCATCAAGCCGGAGTTCTGCATTTCCTTGTGCGTCTTTGGGAAGTCAATGTTGTAGAGTTGCTTGTAGAACGCCGCTTCCCGCGCGAGCTCGTCGTCCAGAAGTTGTCTGTCTTCCTCGTCAAACGTGTCTTCGCTGTACCAGTAAGGACCTTTTTGAACCACTCTTGTTGAAGTTGCACTTTTCTTCTTGTCCTGCAGCGCTCTCCTTGGCAACGTCAAGTGCGCCGCTGGCGGTTGTCTTTTGTAGAGGTCAGCGATCAGGTTTGGCAGAATTTTTCCGTTGTCCGTGTACATCGGCAGTGGCGGCGCGCGCCCCTTCGCGTAGATCTCTTTCCTTTCCCACGCGGCTAGGTCCTGTGCGAGTCCCTGATTTTCATTGTCTTCCGATTCCACCTCGGTCACTTGGGCGAGCATTCTTGCGCGTTCCCGCCTCCGCGTCAGTCTTCTACGCTCCCGCAGCTTCTTGATGGTGCTCAAGAGCCGTTTCTTGTCGTACTTCGAAACCGGCGTGCCATCGCGAAGAACCCTCCTGCTCGCGGTCTCCGACACGAAGTCGTAGCCGGTTGGCGCTTCGACCGTGATGGTTCCGCCATACGGATCGTTCTCGTCCCTTTTCGGCACGGTCTGGAACGGCTGAAACGTGAACTCCACCGGGTTCTTGAAGCTCTCGGCGAGGTTCGCTGATCTGACCGCGCGGCTGACCTGCGAGACGGTCAAACCCGTGACGGTCTGCAGGACAAAGGATTCAAACAAGGTCGACGACTCACCACTGTATTCAATGCTCCAGAAGTTGGGATTTGGGGTCTTCGGCGGGTTGGACTCAATCTCGATCCTGAACACGTAGTCCAGACTATCGTCTAGCCCGACCGGAATGGTCATCCGTGCGACATTCCCAAAACCGTTGCAGACCTCCGGCTCCTTGCCTGCGGGCCATTCGGTGATCGCGTAACCCCCGTAAATCTGGTTCGCGTTCATCTTGGCAGCACGACACCTTGGGTTGTTCAAACTGGCGGCACATGGAACCATGGGTGCGCAGTTCGTCAGGTAGTCTGGCTGACAAACAAGTCCGAGCCCGCTGTGCTCTCCGAAGACCTGAGGAGGTTGTTGTTATAGGATTTTGAAGACAAAACGCTAAAAGGCATCGCACAAAGTTTCCGTTTGTTTGTGGTCGGCCATGGTCAACATCAAGCACCAGATTGATAGCAAAACGTAAAATTTTTGCAGCATTGATTTCTGTCTGAACAAAGCTAACACGAAGAATCAGTACCCTATTCTTGTCCACGATAATCTTGTCAGTGCAGTCGTTGGCGAAGACGAATCCGTCTGGACCCTTGAGCACGAAGCCACCGTCTATCTTCACGTTCGGCGCGTTTTTCATTTGGAACCGGAAGATCAGCTGATTCTTCTGCGGGGCGTCGGGAACGTAACCCGGCCTGTCGTCCCGCCCAGTTCCCTCCCTTACGTCGGCTTCCAACTCTGCATCCGCGAACTTTACCAGCAGCCCCTTGGTCATTTCGTCGTAGATCGAAAACCCCGGCGCCACCGCCGCGGCGTCGATGGTCTCCGGGGTGATGACCGGCCCGCCCTGGACCTCCTGCGGGAGACCATTTTTGAACGTTCCAAAACTCCACGTGTCGGGGGACTCGTTTGGGGGAACGTTCGTGATCATCAGGTCCATCTTGTAGTATCCGCTCTCGAAGTTCGGCGACATGCCCTGGGGTGCCGCCGTCGTGTTCACGTACAGGTACAGGAAACCGGTACGGTCGTCCTTGCACCCGTACCCGTGGGGGAAGTTGGTGAAGTCGGGCGGCGCGTGCGGAAAGATCTTTTGCTCGATGATCGTGTACGCAACGCCGGTGTTGTCGTGCTCCCGGCGGTCGCATTTGAAATCGAAGAGCGCGTTCTTCCCTTTTCCCTCGATGACCAAGGCTTCTTCATTCGCCACCAGCGGGGTAATCAAACGAAACTCGATGGTGATCACATTATCGGAGTTCGCCCTGGCTGTTCGGTAGTGGAACCGCGTGTTTCGTAGCGCGCGCACCAAAGGAGCGTCGTATGGCATCGCGTTGTACCTGATAATGTTTTTCGTGCAGTTGCAGCAGTTCTTCAATTTCATTTTCAGCCAGCACTAAAACACGCCGGCGCAGCAGTGCTTAGATCTAATATCATGCAAAAAGTCAAAAACCCCTACAAGGTGCAAAAAAGCAAGTATACCGATAGGTGTCATTGGCCGAGCTGTTGGTCACCTGCGTCCCCAGGTACCCGAGTTCGATGTAGAAGCTGTTGGACGAGTACACGGGCGACAGGTCCGGGACGGTGGCTTCCATCGAGAAACCGTATGTGGTCATCCCGTTGAACTGGCAGTTTTGCCAGGTCACTTGGGTGAACATCAAAATCTGCAGGTTTTCGCAGGGCCAGATGTTTTGCGTTCCGACGACCGAGGACCCGCGCGGGCGATTGAAAAACACCGGCCCGGGCTCGGTCGTCCACCGAAAGCCGAGGGGGGAGATGAACCTGAATCCGACACCGTACACGTCGTACATCAGTCGCAACCCGTTCAGCGTCACGTACGTCCCCTTATCCCCCTGCGGTTTCAACGTCGCAGGCGTTAAATTCTCCACCGTCACCGCTATTGTCGGCACTTTCGTGAAGTCTGTTACGTACAAACCGAAGGCCTTGTCCACCCGTGCATCCGTGTTTCCTTCTTTTGATATCTTCTGGAAAAACAGGGTGTCTCTCGTTCCATCCACCACGAAGTCCGCGTGGTCGGACACAAACAGCTGCCACATGGTGAAGTCCGCCGGGTACCGCAGTTCTAACGAGTGCAAAACTCTCAGCTTGAACCCGTACTGTGCCATGCGACCAGTGTCCGCATTCTGGCCCATGCTGTCTCCAATGTTGAGCACGGCGCGGTTGTACGGTCCGGGGGCCGGGCATTGCGGGATCAGGTTCTGGGCCGTGCAGGAAAGCACATTGGTGAAATTCGTGGTACTATCGTAGTTCGAGTCTATGTAGTCGTAGTAGTACCTGTTCGAAAAAAGAGTTTTCATTTTTTCGTTTTGTTCACTCCGTCTACTTGTTGACATTCTTCCTGCTCTTGAGCTGAAGCTAATCATGATGTTGAATGCCACACATGAACGAAATGGAAAAGAAACGCACTAATTGTACCTTGGCAGACCGCCGGTGACACAGTTGGTTGGCTTGCCAATCACCTGGTTCCCGAAATCGAACCCGCAGGGCGCGTCTACCTTGATGAACCCATTCCTGCCAACCACAGTGACGATTTTGAAGAAAATGTACACGTCGCTGTATTCCGGCCGGAGAGTATTGAGAGGAAAAATCCCCCCTCCCCATATTGAAAAGGTATGTCTCCGGAAATTTGTATTGCTGATTTGAGGTCACAAATCACATTTCTCTTGCAAGAAGACAAGGGCAGAAGCTTCCGCCATATTATGGAGGCGATTTGTCATGCTGTTGGGCCTAAAGGGGGGCCGTTTGCCATGCTGAGCAACTAGACCCATACGCCCCCACCTAGCCTGGGGATCTGGCCGCAATGCCTTTCTGCAACACAAATCTGATTTGTGTATCCAAATCCAGCATCAGAAATTTCGTTTCGATATGGGGAGGAGGGATTTTTCCTTTTGATAGAGAGAAGTCGACAGCCTGAAGTGCGTCGGCGATAAGACCGGCTGCTCCAGAGGCGACACAACCCCGACATTCTGGTACCACAGCTTGGGCTCGTTGGGGCGCTGGTAGGTGGCCTCGGCGGTCAACACGTTATTTGTGTAAGCCGGGTTGAACGGGTAGATGTTCGGATTTCCCATCGGTCTGGCCGTGCTTGGCGTACCAGCGACGCCGCGCGACACCATCCTGATGCCCCACACGTTGTCCACGTCGTGCTTCGTCATCGCCTCCGTCGGGTTGTCCATGATCAACTTCACGTAGATGCTCATCCCGGCGTAGATCGCTTGGTTTGGGTACAGTGTGTACTTGCAAAAGTTCAAAGCCTCGCCGAAACCCCACTTCCCCTCGTTCGTACTCGTGCCCAGTGTCCCGTGATTGTAGTCAATGTACCCATCGCGGTCGAAGTCAAAGAAATTTGGGATGTTCGACGGCGCCGGCGCGGTTTGCTCGCACCGTCCCTGGTACTTCTTGTTCGTGCCGGACGGCGCCTTGATCTCCAAATACGCCGCATCGGTCTGGCCGTTGTGGAAGAGCGTCGCGCCCAATTGCAACCTCACGTAGAGTTCGTTCCGGATGTCGGAGTGAAAGGGGGCGATCCCATACCCGGTGGCGCCGTTGATCACGATCCGCCCGGTCGTGTGTCCGCCGGTCCCGGTTGCCTTGTACATCAATCCGGTAGAGGGTTTGTACACCGGCTTCAAATCCGCTGAGTCCGTGAGCTGCACGCCCATGCGCACGTTGAAGAACCCGCCGGGGGGGAAGTCTAGTGAGGAGATCTGGATCCCGTGTTTTATCGTGGTGGACACGACGTCCGTCATGGTCTCCGGCATGCGGATTTTTAGGTAGTTCCTCCTCGCGAACGGCGTCAGCGACGCGATCGCCACCTCCAAAGTGGGGTTCACCTGGTCCGTCGTCCCGCACTTGTACACCGTGTTTGCCACCGTGTAATCCACACACAGAACCGAGCACGCGGCGGTGGGGACCTCCCACATCAGAAGCGGGAAGAGGTACAACCGCAGGTAGTTCCCCGCACTGATGCTCTGCAAGCCGTCGCCCGCGACGAGCTGGGCGTCCACCACGGTGTTCGAAGTCAAATCAAACACGTCCCAGGTGGCGTCCTTCACCGCACTCGTCGCGGGATTGGGCACAATGAACTGCTCCAAGTTGGGGGACGTGTTGTCACCCGGCGCCAGAGAGCCGCCGGTCGGGGAGTCGGCATTCAGTGTGGTGATTCCTCGCTCGAACATCACGTCGCGGCCGTTGGCGCCGCACCGCGGGCACTTCGTGTACACGTCGACCAGGTTGTCGTTGGCGACCAGGATGGACTGCGCGCCAATGTACGCGTTCAACACCAGCTGGTACCGACACGCGATCGCCTGGTTGGCGTGGCTCTGGCAAATGTGCTTGAGGCCGTTCGAGAAGGGAAAGACGATGGAAATCTCGCGCCACTGCAGGTTGATTGCGTTCCCCTCTGACGCGTCTCGATATTTCCGGCTGTAATAGCAGCCCTTAGGCATCGGGAAGCCCTCGCGATCGTTACTCCACATCTCCACGAACAGCATACCGCAGATGTCTGTTTTTGAGTTATTTTGCAAGGCATGATCTTCTTTAACATTTTGGAATCGGGAGAGGCTTGTTCTAGCTGTGCGAATAATTGTGGATTTCTTTTATCCCACACAGAGGACGAAGAAAAAGATAAATTTTTCCAAAAAACTATACCCTGAAACGCGTCCAGCTCTTGCACCTCGCCGCTGTCCATGGGCTGAGGCACAACGACGGGGGAGTGGTCGGTGTTCTTCCGCGGGTCGATCTTTTCCAGGTCCTTGAACCGCAGCGTGATTTGGTGCTGATACCCGATCGAGTACTGCTTGTAGGTCGTTGCGGTGGAGGAGGTTTCGAAAGAAATGATGATCGGCGCGTACCCCTGCTGCTTGGTGCTGGTCAAACTGACGTGCGCCTTGGCCATCGCGGGAGCCTGGAAAAAGGTGAGTTGCCCGGCATCCGCGTAGAACTTCGGCTGACTCCCCTCCAGCCGGCCCCAGCATACGCGGAGCGGGGCGGCCGTGTTGGTCACCGTTTTCCCCTTGATCTCGGCGTTGGACTGCGTCGCGGAAGAGCGCAGCCAGCGGCCGGAGTTGTCCTTGAAGCTGATGGTGTAGGGGTACTGGTACCAGTAGATCTGCCCCGCAACGGTCACCGACCCCATGAACTCGTTCCAGCGGAGAGGGATGGAGAGATACTTCGCCTTGTCCACGTCCGGAATCCTAACGTCGTTCGCGCCGTAGAACTTCACCTTCCAACCGATCGGGTTCGTCCGCTTGTCGCTGATGGTCGGGTCCGGAACATCTTCCGGCTGAAAGTTGTTGGTGAACACGTTCGCGACCTCCCGCATGCGGCTGTTCAGCTTCCAGAGACTTATGTCCTGCGCGGCGGCGTCCTTGTCGTTAATGATCAAATCATTCTTGTCAATCAGCAGCGTGTCGCCCTCCTTCAGGCCGGAAAACTGAATGTTCCCGGTGAACTTCAGCACCGTGTAGTCTTTCGTGGCTGTTCGTGATTTTAGGAGTTTTGATTTTTTTTTGTGGCAACATGGGAAGAAAATTCAAATTTTCAATTTCAGAGCGAATATGAAGCGGAGCTGAACCTGAAGATTGATGAGAGAGCATGCGCACATCGGAAACAAGCAAAAGTAAAAAATACAGAATTGCGTTGCGACGGACTCGATCCCTATTGGCGGGGTAATTTGGTTCTTGCCGAGAGTTTGCAGGTAGATGAAACTTCCGTACTGTCCGTCGGTAGCCGACGCCGATCGACAGGTGATACCGGACGTCGCGGGGCAACCGTTCGTGGTGATACAGCCTGTTCCTTCCACAGACGGGCAGCCAATCTTGTAACTTGTGTCCGGCGCGGGATTGTTGCTGTTGTCGGTGCACTGCACGTTGTTCGGTACTATGCGAAGAACGTCACCCTCATCGAAACCCGAACCTGAAGGAGTTTTATGATCGAAAATTCGCTTCCCTGATGTCCATTTTTGACGAGGCTGTGGCCACTTTCAGGAGGCCTTTGATGCAAAGGCATGCTTGTTAAAAGATAAAGAGAAAAACGATAAGTGTGAAGCGGTATTTCACTATACCCTGCAGGATGATTCTAGACACTGCATCGATGGGGAGCGACCAGACTTGGTTCGGCAAGGGCCCACTGATCATCAAAAGCGTTGCAAACCGCCAGTTGACGTCGTTGCCCTTGTCGCAGCTCCCGTTCGCGGCCAGAATGCTGCAGTAGCAAATGCCGACGATCCCCGGTTTTTTCATCGTGGTTCGCTGCGTTCCGCCGTTCGTGAAGGCGTGGTACCTGGAAACCGCGTTTGCATCTCCCGCAATGTTATCCGACGCTTGCGGCAGTTGGTCTGCTAACGTGGTATCCAAGGTCACCGGCACATTGTTCTCGTTGTTGCAGTAGATGTCCATCTGCTCCTGTCGGTTTTTCTGCTCCACGTGGACCGTGTCGTAGCCGTAGTACTGCTCCACCGTCTTTGCCGGACTCGTGCCTGGCACCTGGCCAAAATCGTAGGGAAAGATCTTCGCTTTCGCGGTGCCACTGTACCTTTGTCCATCACCGTAGGCCGGGTAGTCGTTCTTCCAGAGTTCCTTTTGCGCATTCGTGGTCGGGTTCGCGGGCATGTAGAACGGCGTCGTTGTGCCACCGTAAAACACGACTGCGCCTGGTTTTCCCGTGTACCGAAGCAGATGGTTTGCCGCTAAAGCCGTCCCGTCCGCGCCCTCGGCGCTACCCAGTGCGAAGTTCGCGCCGATCACGTGGCCAATCTTGAACCAGTTCATGTTGGCCTGCTGCGAGCAGTCGTTCTGGCAGTAGCAGATGTCCTTCTTCTCGCCCGGCGCGAAGTCGAGCCTCGGCTGTACGTCGCGCCAGACTTTGTAATCCATGCGGGCCCCACCCCCCAGCTTCCGCATTTGCGTCGCTCGGTTCGGCCAGTGCACGAACTTGTCGTCGATCGCCGTGCCCATGCAGCCCGCAGACGGGTCCCAGCTGGGGAAATCGTTAAAGTCTTGCGTCGCCAGAATCCCGATGCGGTTGTTGTCGTCCGGCTTGCAGGCGCCGCCCATCGGACAGGTGATTTGGATCACGAACTTCTGGTGCGGGATCACGCGAATGTACGGATTGGTGATGCAAGTCGAGCTTAACGCGTTTTCGTAGTCGCAGACGTTCATCCGCCAGAAGTACAGCCGCCCAAAGGCCTGGATGAACTCCGCCCGGCCATCGCACTTGTTGCCGGACTCCGCGTAGTCGCCGCAGTAACACACCCGCATGGTGAAGGTGCCGGTCTGGTCGTGCGCGACCTTGGGCATCGTCGCGATCTTCACCCCCGTCATCTCTACGAAGGTCGACGGGTACGGCTGCCAAATGGTGCTCACCGGCTCGGACGCTCGGCACTCCGTCGGCGTCGCGGGGGTTGTGATGGTACCGTTGTTGTCATACTGCTCCCCACTGTACAGCCCGGTCCACGTCATCTTCGAGACCGTGCTAGCGAACAGAGAAAACCCGACACGGAATTTCTGACCTGTTGTGCAATTTTGAAGTTTGTTGAAATGAATTAGACAACAGAGTTTCCGTAATCCCGATAATTTTTATGCGTACTACGCTTTGATTGATGACATTGTTTGACCACGAAACATGACTGTATTTGATGACAAGCAGATTGCGAAACTTTCAACCAAATAAAGTTTCTACCTGTAAATGCGAAGTTGCAGTCCGCTGCCTGGTCGCTGAGTCCGGGGTACCAGCAGTGCCACTGCTCGTCCTTGATGCAGGTTGGGCTGTTCAAGCAATCCGACCTGACCCCGTACACCAGCATCGGCGACGGCAGCCACAAGGAGGTGATCAGTGCCGTGGTTCGCGGAGACGTGCTGACGAAATCCCCGTCGGGCGCGTAGCACACCTTGTAATTCCCCCCGTGCATGAAGGCGAAGTTCTGATTGCTGCCCTGCAGCAGCTCTGGATTGTTCACGTTCAAATCGGCGTCGAAAAGTTTCGTGTGGTTGGCGTACTGCCCGGAGATGCCAAACGACACCGTCCCGGCAAAGTCCGTCACGCCCATGCGCACGTCCCGGCCCTGGAAGTCCTGGCACTGTTCGCGCGCACTGATTTCGCCGTCGACGAACTTCATCTTGGGATCCGGATGCGCGCCGGACCCGAACCTGTTCGGCTGTTGCAGGTTGACGATGATCTCGTTCTGCAGCCACAGATTGGTGCTCGCGTACCCAATTATGGGTACATCCTTCAGCGTTGGCGTACCGACGATGTCCGGGCCATTGATGGTCGTGGTCGTCGGCACGTTTCCCTGCAGATTGATCCAGTCCCACGTGGATCCAGACGGCTGCGCTGCAAGTTGACGGGGAGAGGCAGCAGCTTCGGCTTTTTCAGAAGTCTGTTTTGCTGCGGATTGACCTCCAAGCAATTGGTCATGATCTGCGCGCTTCTTCTTTTCGTATTCCCGTTGCAGCTCCTGCTGGAACGCTGGGTGGTAGTCGCGCAACTGTCTCTGTGGCTCTACTGGGTCGTCCACTTCTTCGCTGTCCGCCGACGCGGATATTGCCGCGGCCGCGCCAGCTACTTGCGACATTGCACTTGGTGCTGTTGATGCCGCTTGTTTATTCGCTTCGCAGTGCTCGTCCTCGCTGGCGCAGCGGGAAGATTTTGAGAGGTCCAGATCTTTGTACTGGCCAACGCCCAAGAACAACTCCACGGGCTCTCCTTGCACAGTAACGCGCTGCTCGTCCGCTGCCCGCTGGGCGAGCATGCGTGCCATGCCGATCCGCTGGCCGTGGGAAAAAGAGTCCAGATCCCCACTGATGTGGATTTCCGGGTTCGCCACGTGGTTGAACTTCTTGGTGTGGGGCAAGGTGCCACTGATGCGGTCCTGTTCCGCCCAGTAGTCTGCTCCAGGGTCGAGCATTTCGTCGGAGGAAAGGGGGGACGCCTCCTCGGCGTCGACATAATCTTCGGGAGATGGTGGTAGTGCATCTTGGTATCGATCAACATTACTGTCCTCGACACCCGGCAGGGCTCCTTCCGGGCGGTACGACTGTTCATCGGCAGTTCTTCTTCGTTTGGCATGCAATAGTTTTCGGTCTCGGATGTCGGAATCCGGGTCCGGCTTCCGGAAGTTGCCGGGTTTCCCGGGGTCCTTCGGAAGCGGGGGTTCTTGGTCTTGCTTTATTGAGTCCTTCAATACCCGTTTGTCTTCCGCGTCCGCGGCCGCGTTTAAGTGTTGGTTTTTAACGTCGGTGGATCTACTGCCCTCCTCGGCAGCAGAAGTCTTCCTCCTGCCGTCCTCCGCACCAGAGGACTGCTGCTGCGCTCCGGTCGGATCTTTGCCATCGCTCTCCGGCTTCTGCTTCTCCCGTGGCGGGATGAAGCGCGTCGAACGACTGGAGGAGGATCCGCCTTCCTGGTACTGACCCCCGACACTGAACGCGGCGAGACCAGTGTGAAGCAACCGTCGCATACTCTTATGCGAACTGTCCGATGCTGTCTTCGCCCATCATCAACCGATGAGACTCATCGACCCGCCCTGATGCGTTTTCCACGACACCAGGCGTGTGCTTTCTTTTTTTTTCTCCTTTTTTTAAAAAAATCTCTGTATCTGTTCGCTACGGGTTGCAAAGTGCACTCGTATAATTCGGGATGCCTTTCGGTTGGCAATGACGTTTTAGAAAGGAACTTGAGGGTAGACGGCAAGAGCTAGAGACGAGCTATGACGAAGTTCTGGACACAAAAAGGTAGTTCTGCGGGTAGCTAGAGTAGTCGCATAAAGTGAAACCGAATAGGTGTAGTCACATGCAAAAAGAGTAAAATTGGGTCCTGCGAAGATTCGAATTCCAAAACGGCTATTTGCGCTAATTCAACACTGATGTACCCCAGGCAGTCTCTTCTACTTCTCTCTCTCTGCGTCTCTGACACTCACGCACGTCTCTGACTCTGTCTCACTACTCTCATGCTCAGCCAGTAAAATTCTTTTCGAAATTGCAAGTGCTTCTCGCTCCGAGCAAGAATGATCACTCGCATGCTTTTGCACGAATAGCAAATCACATTCGCTCGCAGAGTGCGACAAAGAAACCGAGTAAGTAAAATGTTCAAAACCAGCGGACTTGCCTTCTCAAAATCAGGTCTCCGACACGAACACTCCCATAGATATAGCAAGGCTTGGCGTTCATCCGTAGCAGGTTAGATAAAAAATGCGTGACTGTGTATGTGGAATATCAACCGCAACGATCGAAAAATGAGCACAGTTGATGTGCACCGTCGAAATCACAGCGCTGCAAGATTAGTCAGAAGTCCGACACACCGGCTTCTTTGAGACGACCTCACAAGAATCAAGATATCGACACTCCTTTCTGACTCACAAAACAAACACCATCGGGCAGCGCGTCTCTGTTCCTATTGTTTCCCTCACTACCGGTCGCAAACACCATGCGGACATCCCGAAACGCGGATTCCTTCAGTAGCGCTCGCAACCAAATTGACGGCTGCGCATAGAAGTCGAAATCGTCGCAAACAACCAAATCAAAGCTGCGTTGCAGGGATCGCAGCTGCCCACGTCGGTCCATGATGTCGCCTAAGATCTCAGCACTTTCTGCGATCAGCACAAAATTCTGGTCGTCCCTCATGAGGGCCCTTCTAAACGCTTCTGTCTTGCGCGTAGAACCGCTCATTGCGTGCATGGTGGCATCTGCTGCGTCCGCATCCCAAAACCGCACAGCGGTCAAAACTTTGCAAAGTTGCTGCGCAAAGTTGCACTTTTTCTTCCTATCTTGGGTGACGACCATCACCTTTGCCATGGGTGTACCACCGTTCGTAAGGAATTTCAAAACGCACAACAGCAAGCACAGGGTTTTTCCGCTGTGGTTCCCCGCTTGCAAGCATACTCTGTTTCTTTCCGCAGAACACCCCATAGGCGCCGGACCGAGCAGCAGGGGAAGCGCGCACTTCTGAATGGGACGCAATGCGCCATCACAGCTGTGTCCAAGGCCGCCATTCTGCAAGTGCGCAAGCACTGCGACCATAACCGATTCTTCATGGAAAAACGATCGCACTTCGAGAAAAGTCTCTGGAGCTCCTATTTCTGCTTCGTGTTTTCGCCTTTGCGACGGCTGTTGAAACAGCTTCCTCTTTGAAAGCGGCGTTACGACGGAAGCGGTGGATTGCGGTGAGTTTGGCTCAGAAGAAGGCTTTGACGACCTTCCGGACGAGCGGTTACCAGCGATAGTAGCTCCAGCATCTTCTGCGCGCGGAAGAAGGCCCGCGGCTGGTGCAGCCACAGATGGCCTGCCTATGTGATCTCGTGCAGGCGAACGCTTCTTCGCTGAAAAAGATGACAGTGATGCAGCACTACCGGCAGAGGACGTTCTGCTCGGCGCGGCTGTTTGGGGTATTGACTGTTGAGGCCGCGCAGCCTCATCAGGTTCACGTTCAACAGATGGTGGACAATCCGCACTGGTAGACAACGGCCAGGCTCCTTCAGGGCAGCTGCTCTGCTGCAGAAGCGACGCGCTTCCGTCTCCGCCTTCGGTACCGGTCGCGTCATCCCAGGAGGCCGCGAACGGCCAAAATTCCCCAGACCAATCGTTGTACCAGTTCTCATCCGTCGCCCATCTACTGTCGGAGCTCAAACCCCAGTCGTCATCTTCAAATTTCGCCTCATCTTGTTTTTCACAGGTATCTGAAGACGATAGAGAGTACGATTTTTCCGGTGGAGCGGTCACGTCCACGCTACCGGCCTTCTCTCTATGTGCACCTAAGTTTGCACCGCGTGAAAACAGTCCAAAGGGATCTTCCGTATCACTTGCGGCTGGAGCACCTGTCCCTGAGGGAATGCCACTAGCGTCCTCACTTCGCTTGCGCACGGGTCGGACGGCCGGCGTTGGTTCATCATCTTCCGATGCCACTGTGGCTTCCTCCGGTCGCGGGAGTTCCCCGAGTTCCTTCTGCAGAATTGTGCCTGCGATCGTCACGTCCTGCCGCCGTCCAGTCACGACGCAAACATCCTTTTGAGGACCAGGCTGGTCGTCCTTCTTCGTTTTTACGAAGCAGGCCTTCTCCAGCCCATGCTCCTCTTTCAGGCTCTCCACGAGAGCGCGCGCCTCAGCCGTACGCGCAACCTCGGGCCTGCAAACAATGTACCGCTCCTCGCAGGAAACTCCGAACTTTCTCGCATTCATGCCACGAGTGTGCGTCTCGGTCAGAACGACACTACGACCGCCCGTAAGGGAACTGTACTTGCTATCGAACGCCTTCGGGCCGTTTTTCGCGTCAAAGGCGTTTGCGCTTGGATAGTAGCGTACCCGAAGCTGCATTTTGTGGTGCAGGTACTCGGGGACAGCATTCTTTATGCACCACAGGCGCCTGTTATCCATGCTGACGAGCTCGCGCTTGTGGCACACGACTTCCAGCGGAGAGTCAGCCAGAACGTCGTCCGGGTGCCGGTGGCGCAACTCGTCCCGGAGCTTCGTGATCGGCCCATTTTTCTCCTTAAAAGTACGGGAAATTGAGGTCTGCGAAAATCTCAGGTCGGAAAGCCGCACGATGCGAAATTCATCGTCGACGGTCTCGGACGGAGTTTTTGTTTCTTTCTGCGTTTTGCTGGCGGCACTGTTCGTGGTCGTGGAGGCCATTTTTTGTGGATATTTCCATGAAAAGGCTCCTCAAATTACGACGATGCAAACAACAACGATGCATGAAAAAACGAAAACAAAGTCGACGTTTTGCAAACAACTTTGTTGGATCGTTTTGACAAATCATGGTCGTGCCCTGAAGGATAAATTGATTTCGATTTCAGCTGGAGCACAGTGCCGTATGAGTTTGGTTTGCACCTTCTTCAGCGGTCAAGGAGCCACGGCGATGTTTTCTCTGTCAGAAGCAGAGAGGAGGATAACACACTAGTCGTCGCGACAATGGATACACGAGCGACGTGGTTCAGAACCTAGTAAGTACACAAGCACACTAGATATTCTCGATTCCAATGGCGTTGGCGGTAAGAATGAGTCCTTGCTATGAAAAATGCTTCAATCTTTTCTTCACAAATGTTGAATAGGTGTCCGCGAGACAACATCGACTGTGCTCTCTTTCCAGGGACGCTCGAAAGGAATAAGGGAGTGTCCGATAGATGTTGATGAATGAGCCGGAAGAGCGAGCAAGCGATGTACAAAGCCTAGTCTCTAGGTAAAACGGGGAGTTGCGCAGAAAGCTGCTAAAAACTAGAAAATAGTAAATCTATCTTTGTCTTTTCCCGTAATGCCAAAGTTCCGTGCTTGGTCCTTTGATTTTCGAATCGACATATTGCAATTTCTCGCATCCATTTCTGTGCCAGTAGAGGAGAACTACCTAAAGTAAGGATACGACAAGGAAGCGTGGAAAGCGAAAGACAGACAAAAAAGAAGATCTTCTGTGAAACTGAGGCCAAGATGAATGTTTTTCAAATCTATCACAGCGTCTTGCCTTCCATTCACCGCTGCTCGATTTCTTCTAGAATTTTGGGCAAGAAAGAATGGTCCGGATGCTCCAAATGAACGTCCTTGGCCTCCACGACCCGCAGGTGGTCTTCGGTGGTTCGCAAAAAACTGTCGATCGTGATGACGGGCGGAATCTCGCTGCCCGTGGTGAGCAACGCTTTCTGCAGCGCAAGAGACAAGCGCCCCCCGACAACGTGCATGAGACCGAGAGTCACGGTTGGGTCAAGCTGGTGTCCCTTGGTGTGGTCCTTCAGGAACAGGTGCCGCAAGCGCGAACTCTCCCACATCTGGTTCACCACGGTGCTCTGGATCCGATAGTGCAACAGATCCCACATGTCTCGCACGTCGCTGCTCCAGTCCGTTTCCTTGTCCGCCCGCGACAGCAAAATGCGCCGAAAAACCTGCACCGAAACCTCGCTGTCGTCCTGCTTGCTCGTCCCAGAAAGGGATCCAGAGTTTTTCGACGAAGACGTGGTTTGCTTCTTTTCTGTGCCTTCCGCTTTCGGAACGTCGAGCAGGCAGGCGAAACTTCCGGACCACAGGCACCCGAGGCTTTTATCCGAAATCTTCGGGTCGGTACTGACCAGCTTCAGCAACGCTCGCAGCAACTTTTCTCGCTTTGCCGCGGAGTCGCCGTACGTGACGCGCTGCTGGTAGGAATACTGCTGCGCCCACAGCAGGGCGGCAAGCATGTTGGGATGTTTGACTCCGAGGTCCTGATTGCCTTTTTCTTTTTTAGTACCACTGTAAGGGTGGTCGCTTTGCTCAAAATCCTTCTGATCGTCCTCTGCTCCCGCTTCTTCTTTGTTCGTCTTCTCTTTGCCCGGCGTCGGAACCGCGTTCCTCCCTGTCGTACGGGACCCGGATGGAGACCCGTCAACACTGCCGGTCGACTGTCTGAGGTCGGTCAAGGCAAGAATGTCCTTTGCTTCATTTACCTCTTTGTCATCGCGAATCAAAATCCACACCGCCAAAGCGTAAGGATTGTCGTGTTCACCCGTCTCTTTCTGGCAAACCTTGTACTGCAGAATGAACCGCGCAAGCGTGCAGGCATCCGCGGTGTTTCCTGCTTGGCACATCAGGTTTCGCAGGTTTGTAGCGCGCGTATTCATCAGTATGGCGCTGGGCCGGCGGTCCGCGTGCAACAGCCTGCAATAAGCCTCCAAATCCGTGACGTCATTCTTTGACCACTGCTGCTGGTACACATCTCGCCAGTCGACGCTGTGCCCGCGCTTGACCGCATCCGTGATGGCATCCAAGTTCGAAAAATCTCCGCCCCAGGAGAACGCGCGACCATGTGCGTGATTCAATCCGGGATCCTGTAGGGTTTTAGATTTGATATTCTATCTGTTCCTCGTAGGTGCATACAGGCAACAATAGGAGAAAATCCAATAAATCAGAGCTCGCTTTATACTTTTTCGCACTCGTTTGGTTACTTCTGAAAAACAGACACAGAGCAAGTTGTACCTGCAGCTGAAAGGGGTAGCCGACTTGATCCACGTACTCGCAACTCAGAATCGGGCTCAAGTCAATAGCGGAGTTCGAGTGCCCCGTCTGTTCCAGAATGTAGCTGCACCAGGCCAGCATGCGGACCACGGGCGGCACCGCCGAGAGTTCCGGCATGTGTACCTCGGTGAATTCGCGGTAGGGGCACAGCTCGTCCTTGGTGTCGAGCAGCGCAACCTGGTACATGACGGCACAGGAGCCGCCTAAACTGTTCCCCAGCTTGCAATCCTTCAAGAACGCACCTACAAACTCGGTCGCGCTGCACCGAGACAGAGTGGGAACTTTGTTCAGCAACAACGCCTCGAGGTTCTCGTGCTGACTGCGACGTTCGTTGTTTGCAATAAGAATTTGGTACAGCTCCGAAATCAGTCGCAGCGAAACGGACTCGTCGCCGAACACGAGGCGGCTAGCCAAAAACCACTTGAGAATGCACGTTTCCACAAACTCGTTGCACGCTGCCGACACAATTTTCGGCATCACCTCCTTGATCTTTTTCTGCGTCAATCGTGTTTCCAACAGGACCACCGACGAGTGCGCGGGGGCACCAGCAGCCGAACTTTGTTTCTTAGACGACCCGACATCCTGTTCGCCCTCCTGGCGGAGCAGGCGGCACTGTGTTAACTTCTTTCGGTCGCGGGCGTCAATGCGGTTTGCGATCAAGACCACTGTCACCTGACTACTTTTGTCGCGCAACCAATCGAAAAGCTCCGTCTTCTGTTCTTCGGAGAGAAAGTGGTACTCGTCCAGAATCAGGATGCGACGCCCCCCCTGCTGTTGCAACGCGCTGGACTGCTCGGGCTCGCCCTCGGCGACCTTCTTCTGACGAGTGCGCAGATTCGTCTCCCCCCGCATGGTTTTGTCCAGTTGCTCCGACAGAGTTTCCTTGACCAAAATATCACTGGATCCGTCAAAGTCGTACACCGAGTCTCCGGCCGCTTCCAGCTTCGGGCACATTTCTTTCGTGTGGTAGGTCTTACCAGCTCCGGGCGGGCTCACCAGAAGCGTCAAGGACACGGAGGAAGCGTTATCCGATCCGGTGGGCAACAAATACTTATCCAGTGTGTCCCGAAAGTCGCCCTGCAGTTGCGATTTCCCGGTCACACGAGCGGAGGCCGATTGCTCCGGGGTTGATCTCGCCGCAGACGTACCTCTCGCCGTACTAGCAGAGCGGGGTCCACCGTGGTTGCTGCCGAAAAAGACGTCAAGCTTCTCCTCGTCGCGAATCAGCGTCTGAAATTTGTCCCGAAACCACTTCCGCAACTCAAGAGGCTTCCGCGCAACTTCGCTGGAGCACAGCGCGTCGGCCTCGTACGCCACGATGTGACTGGGGCGCAGCCCTCCGACGTGCGAGTTGTTCAAATCCTGCACATTCTTGATCAGGTGCGCCGGGTTCGGGGGCGCAAACGTGAAGTAGCAGCGGTCCCGGTTTTCCGGGAAGTTCCAGGACAGGTCGACGTTCTCCAGGTAGATAAAGCGCCACGGATTGTAGCGGGAGTACTCCGCCAGCCACTTAAGCAGCACGTCGTCGATCTTCTTCAGCCCCTGCACGTAGACGAAGCAGCAGTAGTCGGACTCGAACCGACGAATGATGTCGAGGTACATGCTGCTGTTGTTCATGGAGCTCTGCCACACCTGACGGCTGTAGTCCAGTTCGGCGATGTTCTTCACCCCGAGCTGCTTCAACTTGGTCAGCGTGCCACCCTTCACCACATACACGCCAAACCCGCCGGAGCGTCGCTGGATGAACCGCTCCAGCGCCGGGGACAATACGAAACTGTCCACCAAATGCCGTCGCAGCTGCTGTGCGTGAAAGGTGTCCGCCGGGCAGCACCGCAGGAGGGAGTACAGAATGATGGACAAGTTGGTACAGGACGTTTCCTGCGGCGGCGCCCCCGTCGCTTCCCCGACACAGCGAATCATGTTCAGGAGCCACGCCTTCACGTTGGCGGCCAGGGGGGAACGCAAAATGTTGCCGATCCAGGGCAAGAGCTGGCCTCGGAGCATGATGACCCGATCAATCGCGCGGTCACGACCAGCTTCCTTCGCCTTCGCACGGCTTTGCTGCTTTTCCCGTCGGCGCTCCTTTGCCTCCTTCGTGAAGATGCCGGCGCTTTCCCGCTTGCGTCTGTTTGTCGGCTGGTAAGTTGAACGCTGATCAGTCGCGCCGTGGTTGTTGTTTCCCTTGTTGTTCCACTCTCCGTTCTCGTCGTAGTTATCCCAATACGGTATCCATTCTCCATATTCGTCGTAGTAGCCTCCTGCCCAGTCATCGTCTGCCTTATCGACAACCTCCTCGTCCACCGACTCGTCGTCCATGCTAGAGCCGGATCCTGACGAGTCGCTGTCACTCTCATGATCCGACTCAGAGTCTTCGTTGCCCGCGGCACAGTTGTGGTAGGTTCGGTCGAGCAGGTCTGCGGTCAGATCTTTGTCAACAACGTAGGCGAGCGGCAGACCCCGCGCGGCGGTGTACTTGATTTTTTGCTCGTGATGATTCAGGTGAACCAGGTAGAACGGCAAGTCTGCGTTCCACAGTGACAACACAGTGGATACGGAATTCACCGCCCGTCCAAAACCCGTATTTTCCTCGGAGGGAAACAAGGTCGCGCCGCGGTTCGGGTCGCGATCCACGTCTGTGTCGATGTAGGTGCGGGCTTCACATTCACGCTCCCGATACAAAGCGTTCTCCGTTTCCCGCAAATCCCGGCCAGCTGATTCACGGGCCACCGTAGTTCCAGAAGACCTGAGAATTTGATGATCACGATTTCGTAGGCACTACTTAGGGCACTTCAAATCAGAAAAGATTTAAAATCAGCATGTTGAAAATTTTTAGAAACCTGGCCGGTTCGCGCTGCAGTCCAAAGCCGCCTGCAGGACCCTCCCCGCCATCGTAGTCCTCGTCTTCTGAGTCGGAGTCGTTTTCGTCCTCCTCCTCGCTGTCGGTGATATCCTTGAACCAGTCCATTTTTTTCCCTCGTGCGGGCTTCCCGCGGCGGACCTCGGCCAGCCGCTTCGCACCTTGAATAGCAAAATCGGTTTTGGTGATTCGGTGGTTGCGCGCGATCGTCTTGTCCCGACTCTGCTCCATGGCTTTCACCACCGCTTGCAGAATACTTGTCAACGGGAGGATGGGCGCCACGTTGTTGCTTCCCACAAGATTGGACAGCGCACGCACCAGTCGGTTGCCGCTGGGGGACAGCTTCCCGGTTTCTTCAGTACTGAGAAAGAAACAGCCACGCACGGGGCGGCTCTCGTCGGCGGACTCTTGTTGCGGGGAACCGGTCCGCTGCATGAACTTCTCGATGATGACACCCCGAACGGACTCATCGCTACTTCCTTGACGACGATGCAGTTCTTGAAGGGCTTCCAGCAGTAATTTGCAGTACTCGCGCTCCGTGTCTTGATACACCAGGAACGACCATTGGTGCAACTCGTCAATGGGATCGCTGTCTTGCCGTCCAGCTTTGGACTTCCGCAATTCGCGCGAGTGGTTACAAATCTGCCGGAGGCGCTCCAGCTGCAGCGCGTGCGTCACTAGGTTGTCTGGGCACTTTCTCCTTTCGCTAGGTTGTCCGGGCTCGCTACCCTTCGGATAGTACTCGAGCTCCTCACAAGCGGCCCAGAAAAGCAAATGCAACACTTCCATCACACGAGGGTCGAGATTGAGTCCCGCCATGCGATGCGAGTACAGGATGGCACTCAACAAATGCTTTTCTTGCTTCAGTTTTCCGGGAACCGTTGCAAGCGCTTGCTGTTCCTTTTCCGATGCGCAGGTACACGAGAGCAACAGCATCCAACGGCCGTTTTCCGCCTTGCGCAGATAGAAAAACTTCGACTGTAGTGTCGAGCCGCACGGCAGATCGTTCAGCACTCGCCAAGCATCCCCGTTGTGCGCAAACACCTTCACGATGCTCTCACTATTCGCACGGCCGCTGCTGTTCTTCTTCCGCCGCCGCTGTTGTTCCTCTCCCTTCATGGAGTGCCACAGCTTGAAATAGGGCGTCTCGCCGGCGCCTTCACCATCAACGTGCACTAGAAGTGGTTGCAGGCCGGGGGTGATACGCAGTGTGCCGTACATGGCCATTTCGTCGCAGGTCTGAATGTCAAGCAGCTCCCGACACGAAATTTGCGCCGTGCCACTGGCCGCGCCAGCCCCTCCCGACAAAGCAAGAACTCCGGTAGAGGCGCCCGCATTACGATGAACCCGATTGACGTTGTGCACGTTGATATCCGGTTTCATGCCAGCGATGAAAAACCGCGCTTCCTTTTTCGCAGATTGCTTTCCTCTCCCTTGATCCACACTCCCGCCACTGTACATGGGCGCGCTACGAATGTTCGATGCGGCGTTTGCGTCTTCTGCTTTCGATTGATCTTTGTTCTTCGTCTTTCCATCCCCGGAATGCTCGTCTGGAGGAGCGCTGTGCTCCGCGCTCTTCTGCTCCTGCTTGCGCTTCTCGATCTCAGTTTTTACCTTGTCTAGGTCACGAAAGCGCGCGGCTCCGTCGTACGGCGGACGAGCAAACGCATTACCACCCTGCTCATTGGTGCAATGCTGCATGACCGTGGCAACGTGGGGGACATTCGCCTGGAAGAACTTGCGCTTCAATGTTATGGTCCTGCCTTTCTCGCCATGGACGCTCCACATCTGCACAATGGCTTTCATTCGGGCGATTGTTTCCTTGAAAAGCGCCTTCAGGTTGTGCCATTCGTAGTAGTTTTGCATCATCCATAAAATCTCCGCTTTGACTTGCTGTGGAATGCAGAGCTTGCGACGGTCGTACGCCTCGGCAAGCATGTACATCTCCTCCCCGAAATTGAGCGGGGTGATTCCGTACAGCACAAGGCAGGTGTCGAAGACAATCGCGCTTACCATTCTGCCCAAAATCATGCCACGTTCGCCACAATTGGGGTCTAACAGCTTTTGCTGCATGAAGAAAGACAGTCCCTGTGTCAAATGTTCCATGAAGACTCCGAGCATGTGGTTGGACGCGGACGAACTGTTCGTAGAGGCGTTTCGCCCCAAGCAAAGTTGATTCGAGAAGTCCGCGACGATGCTGTACCGCTCGATCAATCGTCTAGTGTCAACATCACGAGCCTGAAGCCGCACAAATTCGGATGAACCGTCCGGCACTGCGTCACGGGCGAAGGAATAACCGACCATAAATGCCACCTCTTCGAGCGCCTTTTCGTAGCGTGGCTGAAATGTCACATCACTGCTGCGGCCTGCTTCGTTTTTCGTCATAAAATCCGTCAAGTGGTACTCCTGGTGGGCGCTTGCCATGTCCAGATGCGCAATCAACGTATTCAATTTCTGCAGCGTGACTCGAGCTGACTGGTCGGTTCGCCGAAACAGTGGCACCTCGCCGGTTTTTTCGTCCTTAAGCGCTATCTCGATCAAAGTTGGCAACGGTCCCAAAGCACATGTCCTTCGGAGTCTCTTGCCACCCTCCGCGGCGAAGGTCTGCCAGATATTCAAGAACAAGTCCTTGAATGCAGGCTTGACCAGTGCCCGTAACACGTCTCTAGTGAATCCAATTGCGCAGAACCACGCGACGATTGTAAAACCAAACATGTACGCGTGCGACGTCATGGCCGCCCCCGTTTCCTCCGTGGTGTCGATATGGTTCACATAGCATTTGTTGCCACGTTCCAATGCAAGGAGAACCTCTAGGTTGTGCCGAATGCTACTTCCGCTCACTCCATCTTGCAGTCTGGGAAAGAATAGGCGGACATTGTTAAGAGGCTCCACCGAATCTTGCATCTGGGAGGCGAACTTATTGACAATTCCCTCCGGAAGCGGGCGGTTGTGCCACATCAAGTAGTACGGCGGGAAGTCCTTGTTATCCTCTTGGCCGATTAGGAAGAGCTCCTCTCGCAATTCGTGACTCGGAACTACCTTGTCAGCAACCGCAAAACCTGGACCACCGGCTTTCGGCCCATCCTGCCCGGAATCATCCGCACCATCCCCAAACAAACGAGCAGCGTCCGCTTCGGACAACGTAGCCGCCCCGACTCGGGATCCTGTTTTCACCTCGCCAGCGAAATCTTGCACGTAGATCCAAGGTAACTTCCCGGATACCGAGTTGTAGAGGCCCTTGTTCAGCGTAAGTGGCTTTAAGAGAAACTGTGCCGTCTGCGAGAGTACATTCTCCTGCTGGGCAGCTTGCTCGACGAAGTTTGTTGCCTCGTGCTGCAGGGTTTGCACAAAAGACTCGGTTTCGCGGCGAGATTTCGGCAGAAAAGCGTCTTCGAAAGGGCGGTCGGGCAAACGACCCCAACAATGCCAGTACAAGGATTTGTTCTTGATTTTTTGCTGTCTGCTAGTGCCCTTCGCCCCTGGCGCTTCGGTGTGCTCCTCGTCTTCCGCGCCTGCAAAGCTATCCAGCGTCGCAAGAGCATTGAAAATCGAGATACGCGAGTTGTCCGTGAGTAGGTATCGGTGCAGATCGAGATCATCGGGCAACTTTTCGTACGAACAGTGCTTCGTAAAGTAGTCGATGTAGAGGGTCCGCATGATTTCGGAAGTGTCGCAAGACACGGGAATGATGGGCGTGTCGCCATCTGCCTGTTGAGCTTCCCGATCGATTCGCTTGCGGGCCAAATCGATGTACTTTCCCAAACTGCGCGACTTCAGGCACTCGTAAAGCGTGCACACTGCGGGATTGGTGACGGCAGACAAGTCTATAACGCCATCGTTTTGCTCATCCACACTGCGTTCTGCTTCCTCAACAAGCTCCTCCAAAAACGGCACGACTAACGTGATATTCTGCTCCACTAGTGCTTCGAGCACCTTTGCCAGCACAGTAGCGGGCCGCTGATTTGTAGCAAAAGAAGTAGCCTTCAGGGTGTGCCTTAGGAAGGCACGAACCGTGATTGCGACTTGCTTCGCGCTCGTCGAACGAGCTACGATCGCCACGAAAGCGCTTGGGGTCAAACGCGACGACACCAGACGTGCCTCCTCGGGGAAATCCTTTTCCTCGCCGCGACAAAAGTCCAGCAATGCGCGACAAAAAGGAAACCGGAAGAGCGAGACACCTTGATTTCCCTGACAGAATTCCGTTCGGTACTGCGAGGAGCAAATGAACTCGATCAATGCCACACCTATTGTCTCGGGCAACTGGTTTTGCGTGCCAGCCGGTCGAGAATGCTCCTCCACTTCGCCCTCGTCCGCGGAGCAAAAATTGTAAGCCTCCTGTTCGTCTGAAGATTCCAGCTCGGTAATGCGCGCTGCTGCAGCTGCAGCTGACTGTACCTAAAACAAATTGATGTGATTGATGAAAAGTCTACGTTCGAAGATCACATTTCATTCTTTCACACCTCGCAAAACAACCAAACAGATGGCTACCAAGCAAGTACTTCCTCACAAAAGGGTTTTGCACCTGTCCCACCTTCTGCTGCGAAGATGACACCACAAGTGATTTGAACTTTGCCTTGAGCAGGTAGTCCCGTACGTCCGTTTGCGCGAGCAGTACGTTCCGGGGGAGATCAAAGCCGATTAGCATTTCGACCAATTTCTGCAGAATGTCAGGGCGATTCCGGGGGCACAGCTTGACGTGGCATCGAATCAACAGCTCCAACTCTTCAAAAGTCAAACGAAAAGCATCACAGTTTCCCGGCAACACGCTCCATAGCAACCATTTCACTGCGCACCAACGCTTCCGCGCCTCGGGATGGCTGACGAGACCGCCAATGCCGGTGCTGCTCTCGGTGTTGATGAGAGCACCGTCATTCACGTCATTCTTCGGTGCAGACTGCACCGGCTTTCGCGCCTCCTCCTGTCGCTCATCTGCAGAGGCATTCCCCTCAAACAAGCAGCAAAGGCTTAAAGCGTCCTGTTTGATGCGCTGCAGAGTCTGCTCCCGAAGCGGACAACCGCTTCCGTCCTCCGCGGGTTGCAAAATCGAAGAGCCCAAGTTGGTAATCTGCACCGGCGACAAACAGAAAATAAACTTCAATCGGTCCCGGGAAGCAAAAAGTAAATCTTGTTGCAACCTGACGGTCAGATCGAAGTTGGATTCCCAGCTGTCAGCAAATAGCTCCCAGTCCAAGTCGCCGCCCTTCAGGGCCTGTCCCAGGTAGATCTCGTCTTTTTTCACCGTGACATCGAGCTGGCCGACTCCCACGTACGACGGCGCGTCACCGCTCACGATAGGCTTCCAGCTGGTGTCAGCAAGATCGGGCAGTAAAGTCTCGATCAGGTTGTTGCAGTGCACGTTGCAAACGATGCGCGCTCCATTTTTTCGCAGAAAAGTGGCGACAAGCCCGGAACGCTGCTCCGCTGGACTCTGGTCCTGAGGATCCCGCACCTGTTGCTCCTTTTGCTGCAAGTACCGAAACCAGGCACGCACACGCTGCACTTGGGAAAGCCACCGCAAAGCGGCGCTCGCGTCGTCCAACAAAAATTCTTCGAAGCTCTTCAAACTAGCGGAACCATCTGGATTTCCCGACTCCGCTAGTTTCGCCACGAGTCCGCCCATCAACTTTCCAAACTCAAACAGCGGACTGTCATCCACGTGCTTGCGCTTCATTGGAACTTTCAAACCGCTGAGAAGGCCCCAAATGATCTTTTTGTGCCGCTCGCGGTCGCCTTCGGTATTCGATTTGTCGCCACGCTGCCCGACGGCATCGCGGGCACTTATCTCGGGGAGAAGTTGCAGAAATTTTACCCACGAGATGTGCAATTGATCTTCTCGCGGATCAAAATCGTTTTGCAGCGCCCGTTCGAGTTGTTGCAGCAGACTACACTTAACGGAAGAAGGCCCAAAGATCAAGGTCAACGAAGTAAACATTGCCTGCAGCGTGACATGCTGCGCGCGGCGCCCAGTGCTGTAGCCGCCCATGGTCTCAGTAACCTCAGCAGCAGTAACCCGCACGCGCACCACAAAGGGCGTCAGGGTGGATTGCTCCGGCAGTGCAGAGGTCCTTTTGCAGCGAAGCGCGACCAACGACGCCTTGATATTGATTTGAAAAAATTCCGGGCCGACCTCTGGGACGACGACCGCAAGCTTCAACCCGTAGAAGTAACACCTCGCCACGACGTCTTCAAGTTTCGCAGTAGACAGGTACCGCGTGTCCAGCAGGACAATCATCGTGGCATTGGGCTGCGCGTCACGTTTGCCTGCTCCAGGAATCGCTGTCCGGTTTTGCTTGGCAACGCCGCCAGCCGCAGCGACAGTCTCCAGGTAGTTCTCGAAAGCTTCGAAGTCCTTCGGGTTGCTCGCCTCGACGATCCGTACGCCATCCACACTGCGACTGTAAAAGCGACGCAACACTTCCACATCGTGTGCGACCAAAACCATGAAGGCCTCACTCGCTTTCAATGCCGCACGACTACGCCACATCTCCTCCTCTCGACGCCAATTTTTCTCGATCTCTGCCGCAGAAGTCATTCCGTGCAACCCAGCGTCTTCGACCTTTCTCGCAGGCGATCCGCGCTTCTTAGAAGTTTTGCTTTCCTTCACGGCCGCAGAAGAGTGCTGGTCCTCGGCTTCATTTTCGGAATTATGGGGAGAATCCGAATCACTGCCCCCGCTCGATGAATTTTCCGAGGAACTCATCATGCCTGAGATAGAAGATCTCTTGCCATCAGAGCGTTCAGAAGCGAAGCTCGCAGAACGGCGTTTCGACCCCCGGTCGCGACCAGCACCCGCTCCTCCAGCGCGGTCACCGCAAGAATCCGCATCGTGCGCAGACGACGACCGTCCTTGGTCTTTGAATTTTCCCTTCCTGAACGAACGCTTTCGCCCACTTCGGATGCACGCGTCCTCTACGAACTGCAAATTCATCTTATCTGGTCGTAATAAAGACGCTGTCTCGGAATTCCGAAAAATCGTGTCAAACAGATCCGTCTCGGCCGCCTCCGACAGCGCAGAAAGTTGTGTCACGATGCTTCCCACAGCAGAATTCTCTTTGTAAAACGTTCCGTTTTGCAGCAAGTTATCGCCAGCACTCTTTGCGAGCGAGGGTGGGATCAGCACTTGGTCTAAGGTTTGCGTGACGCTGAGTGTGCGAAGCAGGCTCGCATACTCGATGAAAACGACCCGGATGCAGCAACCGCGGGAAGCTCGGCAAACAAATTCCGCTACCTGGCGCTGTTCCAGCGGACCGGTGACTTGGACGCAAACGAAAGTGGTGGTGCTGTCCTGCAGGATTTCGTCGATTTCCGCCATCATTGCTTCGAAATTGGCCCGCTCGATGAACAAGTACTTCAGCGTGTGCTTCGTGACCTCGAACACGATGTGCTCGAACTCCTGGCGATGCGACTGCGGCAGCACAGCCACGTGCGGATCCTGTTCGCTGGCGGACAGCAGGTTCACGAGCAGCGAGCGCGTCTCGCGCTCCAATTCGCTCATGTTGTACTTCGGGTCGTCGAGCGACAGCTCCCGGTGCCAGTGCTCCTTGATGGCGTCCTGAAAGTTCTCGGACACGCAATTCAGCAACGGCAGCGAGGCACAATACAGAAGGTCGGGCTTCTCACTCAAGTGCTTGCAGAGGGCCTGCGTCGGCAGCGTCTGGTAGCCGTTGTAGGCGAAGAGGATGCTGAGGACCTTCGTCAGAACCTCGCCGGTTTCGATAAAGCCGTCCTTGTTCCGGGTCAGGTTCTGCGGCAGAGGGATCCCCACGTCGCGGCCGACCTGCACAATGAAGCGACGAAAACCGCAGCCCTCTTCGTCCGCGCAGTCGCGATGCTTCGTTGCGAGCACTTTGTAACTGAGCGAGTCCGCCTGGACCATGCCAGGATCCTGCAGGCTGAGTTCGATCGGCTCGTCCTCCCCGCTGGTGCTGGGTAAGGCCAGACGCAAGTGCGTCACGTCCTCGTTCTCCAAGATTTGTCGTAGCGGAACACTGTCCTCCACCACGAAGTCCGGCGAAATCCACTCGTAGTAAACCTCGCGACGGTGCTGGCCGTGCTGGCTGTAGGAAGCCTCGATCTGCAGTTCGGGTTCGAAACGACGGTAGCTGCCCTCCAAACGGAGGCCGATTTCTCGCAACTCGAAATCCACACCTTCGTTGATGCCGGCGTGCAGCATGGAATCGTCGGTGGCGTCGTAAGTGGGCTGGAACTTGATGGTTTTCAGCACAACAGGATTCTCCTTCCCACCCGGCTTTTTCCCCTCTCTGTTCAGGCCGAAGACCGCGATTTTTCGCGAACCCCCGACGGCGGCCAGCGCGGAGCGCGAAGCCCCACCATCCGCTCCGGCGGTGAGAAACCCGCGATTGGCGTCGGCGGTGGCGGTTAAGAGGTCTTCGGGAAGATTTTCCACACTCCGGTTCACGCAATTACACAGCAAGGCATCCACCTCCAGGCTCTTTGCTTTCTGGTTCCGAATGAAGAAACTGTGGCACACCCGCACAACGTTGTCGATATCCCCGGGCGTGATGTCCTTCTGCAGCCATCGCGTCACCGGTTCCGGCAGCCGGCTCTCGCCCGCGTCCTTGCCGAGGCCCTTCAAGTGCAACTGCCAAACTTCCTGCAGCGCCCTGACCAAATCGCCCAATTCAATGACCGACAAGACCTCCAGCTCCGCCATGCTTTTCTGCTCGTACTCGGCCAGTTTCCGCGCATGCACAGCTAGGTCCTTCAACTCCTTCTCAGATAGTCGCTCGCGCGCGTCTTTCGCCCGCGTGGCAGTTACTTTGCGGCTTCCCGGACCGAAGAGCGGTTCGTTTCTGCTGGCGTCCTCTCCTTGTGTGGTTTGCTGCTCGAGAGAGGCTAAAAACCTGAAGCTCAGTGGGTGGCGGGACACCGCACGATAATCCTGGTCTGTTTTCGTTTCCTGGTCCATTTTCCCCTGGCGCCCGCGTTTCTTTTGGACAAAGTCATCAAAGGAATCCACTAGCACAGTCATGAAGAGGGAGAGATACTGCTTGTGCTCCGCAGAATCTGGAATGATGTAGGGCGCTAATCCCTCTGGAAAATCGGCAGCCTGCTGTGCGGCGTTGTTGAACTTGCTTACCTGTTCCGGGGCATTGTAGTAGGTTTGCACGCTCAATTCCGCCTTTTTCGCAGCCTCCCGAAGCTCGCTCACATTCTTGAGCTCCTGCGAAGAGAATTCTCCCCCACAGTCGGCAGGCAGGTGGTGATCCAAGAGAGTGAGCACGAAGGTCGCCAGCCGCCCGAGATGCAAGTAACTCATGTCTTTTTGATCGAAAGAACGTCGGGCGAACTCCTTCGAAAAGCCGAGCTCAGGATGCATTTCAATTTGCTTCATGTGCTGGATTTGGTCGGGCGGGCGCGCTTCCACAAGGAATTGCTGGAAGTCCGCGCGCTGTGCATCGTCCACGTTCACCTGCTTCTCAGGCCAGCATTTTCTGTTCTTTGTCGCGTGCTCGAGCATCTTTTCGAAGCACTTGTTCTTATCCGCATCTGCGCTGGACACATCCGCGTAGAAAATTCCAGATCCGAGGCACCTCAGCAGTTCGTAGGTCTTGATAACTTTCTGCTTTTGCTGGAAGCCTGAAGAAATTCCATTCAGACTCAGGATTTTCCGCATCACAGACAGGTCCTGCTCGTACCAAGGGTATTGCTGCAGCTGGAGCTGCCACTCGTCCAGCAGCAGCACCAGCTCATCACGTTGCTTCGTCTGGGTTTGTTCGCGATGCATCTTCATGGTGAAGCTTCTATGCAAATCGTGCGCAATACGATTCACCTTCTCTTCAGAAAGCTTTTTTCCACTCGCGGCACCATCTGCAGTGGCTGGCTTCGTCATGTTGGGCCCCGCTCCGCTAGTGGAATTTTCACCACTTCCGGGCTCAACCGGCAACAGCGGTGGCAGAGCAACCCCAGCAGAGGTCGCGGACTGGGATGCAAAATCCACCGACGAAGGAGCACCGCCTCGCACGGTCTGGGAATTTCGCCCAGCAGCGTCCTCATCGTCACTAGAGGACTCGGCGTCTTTCCCTGCACGGAAAAGCCCCCGAATCGCGGAGGTCATCTTGTAGTTCTCGTTTCTAGCGTATCGTGTTTCAGAATGGCCAGAAGATAAGACTTGTGGAAATAGTGGATGACAACTCTTCAAATTCAAACACGTCATACGAGTCGAAAAAAAGCGAATCTAACTCCGAGAGACAGAGACCCGAAGCAACAAAACAAGGATGTAGGAGAGAGGTGGGGTTTAGCTTTTTCTTTTCTTACGGGCTTGCACAGTTTTGAGCGTAAAAAAACTTGCCATACTACAAAGTCTTCTCGCGCGGTTCAGTTGAGCTTCTGTTTGCTTCTTCCATCGACAGCGTTGAACTTGAAACAGCTTTTTCTAGACTACTACATTCACAACACAACCACGTCCACGACCGCTGATCAAAAGCCTTCCAAAACATGTGAAGAAGTACTGAGCACGATACTAGATCTTGTCGTTATGTCAGATCCAGGATCTTTGAGAATCGAGTAGACCTGGACGTTGTTGACCTGCTGCTACCTACATTGACAAAGATTATAGTGGCTTGCAGTCTCATTGCTGCGCCTCCGATGGCCAACTGCAACTGCGGGCGAAGATTGGTAGCCGTCCATCCAGAATCAGGATGCCGATATTGACTTGAATGAGTAAGGGAGGGCCACCGGCGATGGGTTCCCCTAGAAAAATCCGCCATGGAATCACGAATGAGGGCGGACGAAGTCGCACATCAATGGGATTGCGTTTGCGAGTAGTACAAAAATTCATTACCATCAAACAAAGGCTTGCTTCGTACTAGAATCTAAGTGTAGATGAAGATCTCGAGCAAGACCTTCTACGATATGGAATAAGTTGACATTCTTTCAGATTGAAAACACAAACATCAGCGACCAACTTTTTACTGACTTCTCTCAAAAACTCTGTAAACAGTAAGCAGCTGCGTCAGCAAGCAATCCTCGGGAATGGCTTGCTCGAGAAAGATGCCTTCATATTCGATCAGCCAGTCACGGAGAAGCGCAGCAGCCTGCGGAGGTTGGCCTTGAAGGTGCCGCATGACCTCTCGCATATGCGCTGCAAGCTCCTGTGCATGTACGGGGTGCAAACCCGCAAACTTGGCCACCTGATCTTGCTGGATGTTGGACAGGGGTTCCTCATACCCAAAGCCCAACAATTGCGCTACATCGATGCCCCGCGCTAAAACCTTCTCTACCACCGTACTCAGGTGGTTGAAGTGCTTCAAGCGCAAGACCCCCTGCCAGGAAATGCCGACAACGGGGAGCTTGCCTTCGGCAGAAACTTCCACGGAATCATGCGTGGCGGCCACGTTCCGAAGCTTCTGGAGCAGTTCGTGACTTCGTCCATTCTCCTCGCGCAGCCACTTCTCCAACCCTTGCACCGCTGCGCAAGACAGATCTTCCTGCGGTGCCACGTGAAACAGATGGGGGCACAAATTTCCCGCGATTGAACTACCGCCAGTTCTCGCCTCTCCGAAGCGAAACATCGGCCAGGAGTTTAGCGAGAATTTGCAAACTTGCGACTGCGAAGACAGTTCCACACGCATGCACTCCTCGAAAAAACGAAACCGCTCCAAGATACTGCGCTTCCAGTCCCCCTCTTGCCCTTCGTTGTGGCACCGTTTCTCCAATTGTCGCACCAGCAGCAGCTCATCGCGGAGACGCTGCAGAGCCTGGTCTACGTGCGGCCGATGCAAAATTCCTGCACCAATCCGAGCGGTGGGCTTATCGAGCCCAAACTTTCCGCCGCCAACTAAACCGCCCGTGAAGAGATCGATGACTGGAAGGCGCATGGGCAAAAAGAGTTCGTCCAACAGGCTGTTGTGTTGCTTCACCAGATGCTCTAGGAGCGAGAAACTCAGGTTCTGCGCACTGCGCTTCTCCGGTAGAATCGTCGAAGGGTTGAAAACCACGAAGCTTTTTGCTGGTGCACAGGTGCCTTCGATACCCGGCGGACGCAAATTGGTTTGGCACTCAAACTGCACATGCAACTGGCTAATTTCGTTCCACGCGGTCTGAAACTGCGTGAAGGATACCTGCTCCGTACAATCGTCGGCTTCTTCCCGCACCCCTCGTCCATGTAGGGCAAACAGTGTTACGAGTTCAGTCTCCTCGTCCGTTTCGGCTCTCAGAACGCCCGATCCCTGCTCGTGGAGAATTCGCAGTCCCGCGACCAAGCACGGAAAATGTGCGAACAGGCGCTGGTAATCATTGAACTTGTCGCTTGACCCTCGCATGAGCATCTGCGCAAAAGGGAGCACCGCCTGCTCCTCCTCGAGTAGAGTGTCCCACCACTCGCTCAGTTGCCTGTCGTTACAATCTTCTTGTTCGGGTGCGCCAAGGGCCAGGCGCTCCGGGGCGTACTGTCGCGTTTGCTCCTGGGGTGACAAGTTACTGATGTACGAATCACGGAGCTTGTCGAGCGGTGTAGTGACCGCGGTTGACTCCGCGGCTGCCATCTGTCGCAAGAGCGCGCTTCGTTTGTCGTCAGTCGAGACCTCGTCCATACAGCTCTGCAGCTCGTTGCGGTAGGAGTCTTCGAAATTTGCCCGCGATACTTCTGTCACGTGGCCAGGGGCTGCAAGGTCAAATACTCCGTCCGCAAGTTGCAAGATACAGACTGTCAGAAAGTGCATTGCGTCTTTCTGTGTGGACGCGTTCAACAGGCGCTGCCAGGCAAGGACATTCTCGCGCAAAGCCTGTGCGTAGCGCTCCCGATCGGCAACGAAAAGTCTTTGATTCGGCGAGACAATAATCGACAGAAAGAGCAGAATCTGCGAGAGCCGCCATGTTGCCGGACGGAAATTCCGCACATGCGTATCGAGATTCGCCGGACACAGCTCTGGGGCGAAGCCCACCTTTAGTGGTCCTTCGCCAGCAGCAATATTGACGCGCTGACTTGTGTTGACTACGCGATGGTGCTCGCCGCCAATGCCTCGCCCACACATCGGACAGGTTCCAGTCACCATGGCTTCGCCACAATCACCGATTCCGTAGTGATACCCGCACTGACAGCGATACAATTGAGTAATTCCAAGTGCGCGTAGGTTCGTACGGCGAAGCTGTTCCATGTCCGACTCCGGCTGTCCCGGAAGAAAAACGGTGGCTGCCGAATCTGGAGAGGCAAAGAGCGCGACGAGCGGCGAGTTGCTTTTCGTTTTCTTGCTCTGCAAACGAAGCCGCCAAAGCATTGCGGGCACAAACAGGAAGTCGAGCCCTGACGGCAAATCGATCCCGGGGTCTGTGTTGCTGCATAGCCGAAGCTCCACGGGCAGTCGGGTACCTCGTTTCGCACAGGCTACAAAAAGCGCACTCGTCCACGGGGTAGGCATGTCATCACCAAGCTGGTGCCCGTTTTTGGGCCGATTCAAATTTTCCTCTAGCGCGTTCTGGTATCCTGGAAAGAAAGCCAAACCATGCTGCAATCGCTCACTGATGTCTCCTTCAGCTTGAATCTGCTGCTCCAGGTAAGCGAACATCGGCACTGCAAAATCACCGAAAAACATCCGGCTGATACCGTGCAGGTGTGCAAGCTCCGCTTCGCTGCAGTAGTACAAAAACGTTCGCAGCAAATAGTTTTGCAAAGGCTCCACTACGTTCTCCCGATTACGCAGAAGAGTCTCGCCGTCCTCCTGCTCAGCCGCGCTAAGAAAGAGCAAGCGAAGCAACTTACAGAGAGATTCACAGCCCTCTAGCGAAACCCCGACGGCGGCGCTTTGATGGATTTGCAGTCCGCGAACGAGCGACGGGAAAACGAATTTCGCGACCGCAAAAAGCGCTGCTGTGCCGACGCAGTCGAAGTCGCTCGAGAAAATTTCCTGGAAGACAGGAAGCGCCATGTCGGCAAGCCGTTCCACGATCTGCAATTGGTCATCCGTCTGATTTTTCCTCAGTTGCTCGGCCAGGAACCGCGAGGTGGTTGCGTCGACAAGGTGGTAAATACTGCTCTCCATCGTGGTGAGGTCAAAGTGGCTCCTCGGGTGTAGTTGCAGCAACGAAGAACTGTCCTGCTGATCATCCGGCTTCGATTGGTAGTGCAGCAGCTGTCGGCCCTTGTCGACGACTTGAATCAGTATTTCTTTCATCCAGTCACTGTTGCTCGAGTTGTCCTGCGCTCGGCTCGTGCCCCCATTTGCCCGCACTTGATCCTGGAAGTACAGGAAATGGAAAAAACAAATCGCGCTCCCGAAGTCTTCCAGGAGCAGTTCGGAGAGCAGCAGCATTTGCTCGTCGTCCGTAAACTCCAGAGCCGCATGGGCGCTGCAGAGCAGAGGCACCAAGTTCTGCACGCGCCGTTGGTGAAAGTCGGCCTGCTCTCGGTAATCGCGCAACAGAGTGCTACTGCCTGACAGTTGCGCGGGATTGGTCTTGTACAGCTGCACTCGCCGAGACAAGGTAACCAGTTTGCGCAAAATTCTTGGCACGCCCCGTCCGCCAAGCTCGGCGTCCGCAACTTCAAGAAGTTTCGCCACGTCGATTCGATCCGCCGCACCTAGATGCGGCAGCGCTTTGAGAATTCTTTGCGGGGTCGTCTCCGTCAAGTTCGAAAATGCTGCCACTGCGACCCCGTATGCATCTTCGACCGCCATCCCGATGCATCGCGTTAGTCCGCGCCACAATCGCAGTAAGCGTAGCTCCATAAGAGCGGCCGTGCCGCTCTTCGACGCCCTGCCTGACGCAACTGCATCCTGCGTCTCTCGTACCGAGCGACGGTTCCAAGCGTGTTCCAGTGCTTCTTCCGATGGAATGAGCCGACACGGACCAAGTGCATTCCGCCCAACATTGAGTAAAAATGTAACTCCGTTCACCTCGAAAAGCAGAGCCTCCAAAACCTGTGCGATGGACGCACCCAGGGACTCTACGCGTTTGAGTGCGACGGTTCTCGCTGGCGGTGCAGCATTTTCTTCGCGCTCAGAGGACAAAATCTCGACGTGCTGCAACAGGTGGAAACTCGTTTCGGACTGGTACACATCAAAGAGTTTTTCACACAAAGACGCCTCAGTCTGGCCCTGCAGCAAACCAGCCACGAGTCGCAGAGCAAAGGAAGAACCCTTTGCGGCCTGTACTTCCATAGCCGATTTTTCGTTGTGGTACACTTGATACGCCACGGAGAAAACAAGTGCGTCCTCCAGTTGCTTCGGCAGCGCTTCTTCCGCGTCGTTTTCACGTGTCTCCAACTGCGATAGCGACGTGCTCGGAAATGCGAGCGCAAACGCGTCAGCGACAGATTCCGGATTCTCTAAACCTCTTCGTGCGTCGTACGACCGCAAAACCCGCAAAATTTCAGGCGCAAAGGGAAACATGCGCCGGGCGTCCGAGACAACGAAGCTCTGCTCTATCGATTCATTCCAAGAGGCGAGGAAACGGCGCATACTGGTGTCGCAATTATGTGCCGCAGCACTTTTGTCGAGGTGATTCCTGGTCACAGTTGCTGATGGAAAATCTTTCAAAATGCCACTGATCACGTTGTCGTACTTCTCTCCGTGTAGTGCAACCTCGTCGCCTGGCAACAGCCGTTGCTTCGCATCGACACACAGCTGCAACCACGGCCTTGCAGCGGATACCGCACGTTGCGCAGATGTTGCATGATACCCCAGTAGCATGGCCCGCACCGATCCAGAGCGCTCCACGTCTTGTGGAGTCAGCTGCACCTCCGGATTCGCATCTACGCAAGTCCTCAGAAAGTGGTCCATGATAATGCGCACCAAGTTTTCGTTATCGTCTCCGTACAACGACAGACAGTGCTTGACGCGGGGAGAAACCAATGACTCCTTGATATTCTCGGGCTTCAGGACTCCCGTAAGAGGGCCGAACTCGCTGAACGAGGGATTCACTTCGTCGATCCAGAAAAACTCCACTTCGCGAGTAGAAGCCTCCATGCACCGGCACACCAATCGCTGGCTGAAGATGGGCGGCACGATGATGATCAGGTGCCGTGGTAATTTCTTGATGTGGAGGACAACGGCGTCGCTGTTCTTCTTGCTGGAATCTTTCAGTCCTACTTTGCCACCCACTCCGAGACTCAGAAAGAAATCTAGTGTCCGCAGCAGGGAGCTGCCGTACATGTCCACCGCAACAACATCAGATTGCGATCGCATTTCGCGGAATCGACTTTCAAACTTGGCCCGGCTGCCGCACCCCATGACCTGGAGATACTGAACCTGCGGTTGCTGCGCAAAGTATCTGGTCGTCGATCCTCGCGTGACGACTATCGAAGTAAGGGGGTTTGTCTCTGTGGAACGGGCTAACACCTGGTCTAAGGACATTTCGATTGCGGAGAAAACCGACAGCAGCTCCTCGGTGCTGTTCCGCATCAGAGCGGTGAGATCAATAGCCGGAGAGCTATTTTTACTGTGACCGCCTTCAAGCTTCTCGCTCTGTGCGTGACGGAAAAGTAATGCTTCCGGCGACAGCGGTGGCGACCGAACCAACGAGGTCGCGGCTCCCTCCCCCTCGTTCGCATTTGCATGACGTGCGGGTGCGATTGCTTCGTTTGGATGCAGGATGCTCACGCGACTTAGAATCGCCGGGTGATAGTTCTTTCGAATTTCACTTTCTTCGGACACCAGCACAATCCTGGCGTCCAGGTGAATGGGCACTTCCTCATACAAGCAGTCGTGGTTGATGGTAGTTGTGATGGACTGCTGTCCCTGATCGGCCGTTGCTGTTGCATAGTCCGCGTTGAGAACCGCATGGAGAGCGTTCAGAATGGCCGCTGGTGGGTTGAAAATGACCGCGATCATGCCCGTTTCCAAAGCGGTCTTGATGTCGAGCAAGTGCCCGTAAATGTCCGCTTCGACCACTTGTAACGACGGATCGCACCGGCACCACAGCACGGCATCGTGCTTCAGTTGCTTGGCCTCGCACGCAGTAGAGATTGCGGCCTGAATCCTGTTCAAGACCCGGACGGCTGCTTCCGGCGTTCGATAGGGAACTAGGCAATGCCGCACCACCTGGCCCTTTCCCGCCAGCAAAGCTCGTAAGCTCTGCTCCAGGGGCGTCGCGTGGCACAGAAAGGACGGCTTGGTAGCATGTCGAAACAGGTTACTGAGGGCATCCGAATACTTGTCCCAGCGTGCTTCGGTTTGCCGCAAATCTAGACTCTGCAAATGGGTCCAAAAAAGAGCCCCGAGCTCGTGCACGCCAGATTTCGAGCCCACGCTGCGAGAAAAAGCCATCACGTCGCGCACGAAGGAAAATCCTCCCGTTTCTTGGTTGCACACGGTGCGGACGATTTCTCGCCGCCGGTCGGAGAATCCCTCGGCTCCCGCGGCGCTCTGCGCCAGCTTGATGCAGAAATCCTCCAACTTTACTGCCTCGAGCTTCTCGCTGCGCGACACGATCAGTCGATTGATCAAAGCACTATCGACCGGATCTGCTCGCTTGGACGTGGACGCTGTCTTGTTCGCGTACGACGCATTGACGGTATTGTCCTCGCCGGTTTCGTGACAGTAGTTCGCGGTGGCAACGAAGGCAAATTTCGGTTCGCGCGGGTAAATCTTCGGGCGGTCGAGCAAGTGGTGCAAGGCTTTCAAAGGCTTCGATGGAGACAGCCGCGCCATACCCAGCTCCTCCAGAATCACCAGCGCACGATGCGAATGCCCGAGGGTCACGTTCTCTAGCGACGTTTCGGTCTGCTCGGATGCTTCTTTTTCAGCGTCGCTACTTTGGCGACTCAACCACGCGCCGACACAGTCAGTCAACTTCTCGATGTGCGATGCGGTCGTACCAGCGCCCAGCTGGAGACGGAAGATCTCTAACCTTGGAAGCTTTTTGAAGAACGCCGTCTGTGACAAAGGCCCCTTCATTGCGCCCGTGATAAGACTGATTGACATGGTCTTACTCCCGCCCTCGTCGCCAAGCAACAAACACGGCCAGCTCGTGGTGATGCAGCACAGTAGCATGACTAAATTCTCCAGGAGAGACTCTGTCGGCACCACATACGAAGCCGCTCCGATCTCCGAGAAGATTGCGCGGCCCAGCGCGCTGACCGTAGCTTCCGCAAATCCCTCGCCGTAGATCTCGTTCATCTGCGCGTAGAAGCGCGCACGCGGACTGATCTGCACACCGTAGGACAGGAATAGTGCCAGAACCTCAGCGATGCACAGATCTAGGTCCATTGAGCCGGCCTCGCCTGCACCTTCGTCCGTCTCGTCGTCGCTGCTGCTGGTACCTAGTTGCAACTTCTCCCGTAATGCGTCCCTTTGTAGTAGACAATTCTGCTTGTCAGTGCAGTGTACCAAGAGATCGCGTTTCAGATCCAGCGTCAAATCAATGCAGCGCGTCGCGTCACGCAAAGATACCGGGGCTATGGACTTGAGCAGTGCCTGACACCCCTGTACGCCCTTGACAAAATCGCCTCGAACTTTCATACACAGGTACTGCTGCATCTTTTCCGGGCCAAGACTTGGAAATTGCAGACGAGCGCACTCGAGCGAGCCAGGAAGTTGGTAGACGTTGTATTCCTTTCCAATAGCGGGATTGCACGTCGCTAGAAACAACACGTTGCGCGGCAAATTCTGCGTTTCGATACCGCTGCCGTACTTGCGGTCCACCAACAGTTGTTTGCAGAAATCTAGTGCGGGCGTTGAGTTCACTTCGTCCAAGATGATGATGTGCATGGCTGCCCGCGTCCGCATTTCGGCGACGTCCTTTGCAAACTCGTGTAGTTGAGACTCGGAGAAAGCATGACTGAGCGACAGCAGCGAGCACCGGATCTCTCGCAAGCCTGTGCGCAAGAGTAGTTCGACCAGTTTCTGAAGTGTGTAGGTTTTCCCTGTGCCGGTTTCGCCCACAAGCATCACCAGCTCATCGCGCTGTGTGTTACTTCTCTCGTCCCGAGTTTGAAAAAATGTCACCATTCGCTGCAGGATTTCCATCATTTTTTCCAGGGAGTCGGCCGTGTACGAAAAAGGCGAATCCGACCGGTGCTCCACCGACCTTTGCGGCGCAGCAGTGGTGTCTTTGCCGTTCACGTCTCCATTTCGTTGGGCGCACGAAGAATCCATACCCAAAGCACCCAAGTCCACGGACAGCGCACTGATGACGTTCTCGTCTTTCAGAATCTCGTTCCCGACACGAGCCCGCAAAGCTTCGAGACTAGGAAAAAGCTTACTTGCCGAGGGGCGCACGGTGTCCGCGGTGGCGTCCGCCTTAGCGACGCAGTTTTTCTGCGGAAACATTGCCAGCGCCGGAAATTGCGCCACGCTGCAGATCTCGAAAGCCAGTGGCTTTGTCTTGCTGCTTGCGTTGAGCGGCCAGCCCGGCGACCGCCACACGCACGGGCGCGACAGTTGGTGGGACGCGACACCGAACACGCAAAGCGATACGAGAAAAACACCCAAGCGGTAGGCCTTGTCTGGTAACGCGCACTGCCCCAAATCGACGAGAATCCTTTCGCCGTCCTTTTCTGCCACGAGCTCCCGCAGCTGCTGTGCGATGTCTTCTTCTACGCACTCGTGTGTCACCAATACACGCCGTTTGGCCGCGTCGCGAGACCGCACGGAATCGTGCCCTTCAAAGTCGCCCGTTTTTCCGCACAGCGGAGCGCCAGAAAAGACTGTCACGTTGCTGTCACGCAAAACCGGAAACTGCGCCACCGAGCCCGGACCGTAGAGCGACGCCAATTCATTTTCCGTCTCCATGTTTCGCCACGCACATAAGCTGAAGTACGCAGAGGAAGCACTGCCGACGAGCACCAGAATGCGCGGGCCGCGGACGGTCGCTACTGTCTGTTCTTCTGTCCAGGCGACGAGCCGCCGTACGAGCAGGTTCTGCAACTCCGGATCCATCAACTCGGGTGTGCTGATGATGACCAGATCTTCCGTGTCGTAGAAATCCACATCCAGGCGGAACAAGAAACCGTCAATCGCAACGGACCGCGTCGTCTCGCTGCAGTTGAAAACCGCATCCGGTGTGAGCCTCAGGTTCTCGTCTGCGTGCGAAATCACCGCCAGTACAACTTTGGCAAAAGCCGTGCCCAAGTCAGCTGGTTCGCATTTCAGAACGGTGAATCGCGCGTCGTCTTTTGTCAATTGGTCCCACACACCTTGGGTTTGTTTTTTCACTTCTTCTGGATCCCTGAGCACCTTGCTCCCCAACGCCGCAGCATAGTCAGCGCTCCGCACACCGCTCTGCAAGCGCCGTTCGTGGACATCGCGAGCTTTGTCCAGGTACCCTTTCTGCGTCGAGGCGATGTCGGTGTTTCGCAGTGTCGTTGGAATATCGAGCTTCACGCCGTCGGAGGACACCTGCAAGATGGAAGCAAACGCAATGGAGCGATAGAATGCATTCTGTCAAAATGATTCTAACTCCAAGTGTATTTCGATTTCAGAGGAAGAGAAGTGAACGCACAGGCACATGAGATGAAAATAGAACAGAATACATCGAATCCCTCCCCTCGTTCCCGGATCGGGATGCTGCGAAGAAAAGGTACGACAGCCTGCTTTTCATGTTCCACCAGCATCGGGTCGACGAGAGAAAACAGTGCGCACCGGCACCAAATCTGTCGCAGGAAGGATTTTTGCTTTTCCAATTCTTTCTGGAGGAGCGCCATGTCCAAGTCTTTGTCGATTGGGGCACAGCACGCATTGCGATCCGTGGGCAGCGCGCTGAATTTCAACTTTGCGTTCCCGGAGGGAAAACGCCAGCCCCGCTCAAGCAGTTGGCACAGCACCGGCAGCCGCAGCAACAGGCAGTCCACCCGCTGCGAGAAGTGGTCCGCATTCTCCAGAAACACCTGATGCAGGTTTTCTTGCGTTGCGTCCTGTGCCGCGTCCTTCCATGCTCGCCCGCACGCGAATAACTCGCTGCGCACACGTGCCAGCTGTCCCCCGCCGATGCGCCGCATATTCGCCTGGGCTACTCCCCCAGCGTCGCGGACACGACCGCCACTGCCGCACACCGCTGCAATCTTGCTCAGGTGGTTCCCGGAGAGCTCCGAAAACTCGAGGCTGAGAGTGGCGGTCACGGAACCGATGTCCAACGTGAGCGTCGCCGCCTGCAGTTCGTCGAGTAGTTGGCGCCCGCGCACGGAGGCGTTTTCGCTTCCCGCGGAGCTGAACACCTTTGCGAGGTTCTGCGCTCCCGCCGCGTCCAGACTTTCCAAGATGGTGCACCAGCGGTCCTCCAGAAGCCCTACCACCTCCTCCTTCAACTCCTTCTGCTGGTCCAACACCAGCTTCAGTTTGCGATTCAAAACGATGGTCTCGAGCTGTTTGCACGGAAGCATCAGCTCCGGACGATAGATGCACATCGACCGGATGGCGTCCAGCTTCGATTCGCGCTGCGCATGCGAGTAGCGAACGAGCTTCGGAAACACCTTTTCTGCAATAACGACCAGGCAGTTTAGCTGCGACCAGTGCAAACGAAACAGACGCTCGCGCTGTTCCTCTGCCCGAAGTCCGAGAAAAACGGACAGGTCTTGTAAAACTTGCTCCACGGAGCGTCCGTCCGAGGTTGAAAAAAGGGACAAGCTCGAGTTTTCCAGCTCCATCGCGAGTCTATCCAGCGTGCTGTCAGCCGACCGGCCAACTGGTCCTCCGCCCGCAACTTCCGCGGCCTGCGCCCCTGTCCGGTTCGCATGACGGCTCTTGGTGGAAACGAGCTGCCGCAGGAGAGTGATGCGCTCGCGCCACACACTTAGGGTAGACCCAAGGATGCGGAGGCGTGTGCGAATCACGGGGTCTTCCTGATCCTCGCCCATCAATCGGCACAGGTGCTGCGCCTCTTCGCCAAGTCGGTAGGAATTCTGCGCAAATTTTGCACGTATCTTTATCACTAGTGGATCGTCCGGGCGAAGGTTACCGCTTCGCAAGGCAGCGAATAACCGCTTTAAGCGCTCAAAACTCGAATTCAATGCTTTCCAAAAGTCGGCGCGGTGCTGCCCATTCTGGCGCTCCAACTCTAGAGCGAAAACAAGCAGTTGGAATTCCGCTCCTTCGAAGTCCAGTTGGAGGCGGGACAGGGTGCCGCTGTGGTCGCCTTTCATCTCTTCAAAACTCAGCTCGGGGTATTTCAAACCAGATAATCGCTTTTCGAACCCGGCGCACCACTCCCGAATTCCGCTTTCACACCCGGCGCTCTCGTCTCCCCGTGAGATCCAGCCAGCAGCGAGAGCGTGTTTGGTGAGGACGCTCGACAAATTGAAGTGTCGCCGGAACTTTTCCACCTGATGGCGGTGAGCCTGAATGCACGAGTCCTGCCCGAACTCCTTCTTTAGTTGGTTCCTGAAAAATGTCACTGGATGCAGAAGGGATCCAACCTGGAAAAACTCCGCGGTGTTGTGTTCTACAGCGAAAACACACCATACGAGCCCCCACGTCGACGAGGAGCTTTTGTCCGTGATTGTGTGCATGTTATCGGGAGTTGTGTTCCCGAGAAGTTTCAGAATCGAGACGTAGCTCCAAACGTCGCATAGCATTTTGCTGGAGCTCGACGCGGAGCTGGTGTAGTTTTTTCTTGACAAAGCACTCAACGGACGGTTGTGCGCGACGAACATCTGCACCGCCCACTCAATACACTTCCTTTCCTCGACACTGCCATTTGATTCTACTTGGAACAGAGTTGGCCACACGGAATCTTCTTCGTCCTCACGTCCACGCAAAGACTGCAACATGTGCATTTGCGCAGCGTCGTCGATGGAGATGTATTTCCCTTCGGCCCACCAAGTTGCCTTTGTCCACCGCTTTTCGAGTTCCATGCAGAAAACTTCCGGATGCTCATTCATGAGAGACACACTGAGATCAGAGATTGAAGTGCTGTCGAAAAGGCTACTGAGAATGCGTGAACCCAGGCTCTGCAACTGGTGTTCGGCGGCAGGGTGCTGACCCGCTGCCCGTGATTCCTCATTGCCTTCAGGACCCAACCAGAAGTTCGGACTTTCCTTCATGTTCGGGGCGGTGGTCAAATTAGCCAGCACGTCGGAGAGTACCATCTCTTCGAACTTCTTCTTGTGGTCAGCATGATCCACGCCGCAACCTTGCGTCAGCGCGTACTCAACAAAATTCGGGAAGATTGCAAGGACCCTCGTGTCGGTCAGAGACGGAGAAAGCTTGAGCAGCTCCGCACACATCTGTATCCGGTTTCGAGCAGACATTCCGATGCCTTCAAACTGGGGCCGGCAAAACTCCAGCAGACTCAAATCGAGTTCATAGCGGTGTTCAGGCTTGAGTTTTTTCGCTGCCAGTTCAATGACGGTGCGTGTCAGCACGTGGGCCTCTACCCGGTAGATCTTCGCAAGCTTCCGCAAGAGAAATTTCAGCATTTTTTCCGAGTGCGGGACGCAACCGCTGGACCCGATGAGACGTTGCACAAAGGGGTTGTCCTTGCCTATTGTCCCTGGAGCTCCAGTTGCGGTGAGGTAGTAATGGTTCAGGAAATGAACGACCAACTCACTCAGTTCCTTGCTGTCCTGAAGCCTGCCAAACTCCGCCTCGTGTCGGGAGAGAAACCCTTGGATGCTGACAAGAGTCGACTCGGTTACATCAAACATCATTTTGTCCGGAAAGGAACGGCCTTGGTACTCGTCTCCAGGAAAGTCCCGGCTATTTCGTGCGGCCAGCATAAACTCGCGCTGTCGAAGGACGCCTTTCTGAATAAAGAATAGCTTCAGGTCATAGTCAATACTGTGTTTCTGCTGTGGCACGGACCAGTCGGGTGGTGCTGTTTTTTTGCCTCCACTGCTCGAAGCCCGCTGGTCATAACTGCACAGGCGGGTTATCATTTTCTGTACGGGTTCGTAAGAGAGCCCCTGGAAGCCGATAACTTTGTGCACCGTCTCCAGATCCAAAACGGGGCGATAGCGTGCCAAATCCACATCCGACACTGCGGAATTGCTCTTCCACTGAATGCTATTCTGGATTACATCCACTAGCGCCTTCTTTTCCACAACTCCCATAGCCTCGCGTTTGTCTGGCCCAGCCAGACCCGACCATCTCAAAGCCAGAAGAAGTAGCGCAAGGCGGTGTTTTTCGAACCTTTTGAAAGCGCGGTAAAACAAATTGAACTCCGTTCCAGAGCGAGACAAAACCGCGTTTCTACATCTCGGAAGGTCACTATCAGACTGCTGCAACACCTGATGCACCAAAGCCGTAAAGTCAAAGTTTTCGCTTAGGATTTCTGTCACTCCGGGAATGTGAAAGATTGCCCAAAACGTAACCGCCGGACTGAATTGCACGATTGAGTCAAGCTCCCTCCGGAGGTTCGCGTTTTCGTGTAGTGCACTGGTCAACCTGTCAAGCACGCGCTCGCCCGTACGAAGATATACCCGCTGCAGGTACTCATCAAGAAACTCTGCTAGATCACTTTGCTTTTTGCCTTTCGCTTCCGCAAGCAACAGCCGGAAATAATCCTTGATCATGTCCTGCAGCCGTTCTTCGTCTTCCTCCGCTATCCCGTCCTCCTCGACTGGATTCTGTGTGTCAAAGTCCTCTCCCTTGCGAATCCATCGGCGATCGAGGAGCAACACCGTATAATCTTTTTCGTCTTCATGTTCTTGGGGCGTAAAGGTCATGCGGTACCTGCACCAGAGTACTTTCACGTACTTGTTACTCATCGATTCTGCGGAAGACGTTTCGGCGTTTTCCTCGACGTTGCCCTCGTCACTCTTGCTTGATGCTTTTTGCTGCCAGATAAATGAGAAGGTATCTTTCACCTGCTTCCAAATCCCAGAGCTGCTGCCTCCATGTCTAGGCTGTCGATAAACAAAAAAAGGCTCCTTGTCTCTACTCGCCCCCTGAGACGGTGACGAGACCCATTTCTCGAGATCGCCGTGCGTCTCCCGGATCGTTAGCTTGGGCGCTTTCTCCCGCTTCTCGCGCGTAGCCCAGAGGAACCGAATGCCCTTTGGTCCCCCCATGGTCGATATATTCACTATCGCAAAAAGGTTATAAACTCATCATGGGCACCACGGATGGAGAAACTTATTAGCGGGCGGTGCTCTTGCTTGTTTTCGATCAAGCAAACCTTCTCATGTAGCCATAACGGCGGATAAAGCCTCAAGAATACTGATCGTAGCAGCCATGCACTGATTCACAGGTTGATCGCAGCGATGGAGACGAATCGAAACGGCAAATCCTGCTCCTCGAAAAATAAAACAATTCACTTCAATATTTTCGAAAATCAAAATGAAAATGCAGTGTAGCTTTATGAATTAAATTTTTCTGGTAGTGGAATGGCCTTCTTTTTCAACTCGTCGTCCAGTAGCACTACTTCAACAGGGCCTCGGACTGCAGGATGTTTACATGTGACTTGTTCAAGCGTAAGAGAACGACGTGGCAGATAACGACAATTTCTATGACCATCCAAGATTCCTTTTCCTAACACCAGCCACAGCAAAACCGGCAGCTAGATCCATTCACATCTGCCCGACCCAATCGACAAAGAAGCGAATAGAAACTTTGATTGGATTGGTACTGCAAGAAGATAGACCTTGAGCTGGAGAACTATAAGGACCGCGGATAGATCTTCTACGTGACTGAGATCGTTGCTCTTCCATCACCAAACACTTCCCCATCTCCTTGATCAGATAGACTCTCGTCGTCAAGCCCAGGGCCAGGAAGCAGCACTTCCACGCACTTTCTGAAATTATTATACAGCTCAGTTGCATATTTCTGTACAGCATTGCTATTCATTTCTGGTCCTGCAGCAGGGCGGCGGCAACAAAAGTTACCACTGCTCTTCTGGCCGTATCGTACAATGCATTTTATGCTGATAGTCAACATGCTAAGAGATTGATAAGAACCAAAGGTGGGTCTAAGTAATTACGTATTTAAGCCCTCGCAGCTGGTTAAAGCTTGATGCTTGTAAATCTAACATACTCGAAGATGATTTTGGTTTGCTGTTCGAAAACCAACTACCTAAACAGCGCCCTCCATGCGCTGTCCTTGGGTAGTAACTGCTATTAACTGAGTATCTCGAATTCGCCGAGGCAGCGCTAGTGGCGCCACACGCTCGGGGGGAAAGCATCGCGACTGCTTTAGTCTGTGCCCGCGATACTTTCTAATGTATCCTATTTCGTGACACTTTCAGTAAGGTTCAGAATTAAGTGCGATTTTTTGGGATTGGGTACCAAACTCGTCTGCTAAACTGTTAGGAAAACAAAGCTCGATTGAGGATCATCTCGCTCGTAATTTACTGCAATCAACTGGAAAGAAAGTTATTGGTCTGATTCACACACTATTAGCAATTGAATGATATAAGAGAGATTCTTCACGATACCTGCAAGGCATCAATGATCTGGTCATATTTGCTTTAAATTCTTTCACACTTCGACTACGGGATGGTGTATTAAGCTAAGATTGGTAAGATTAAGAATGGCACTATACTGAAATTCCGACTGCACTGCTGTACTTTGCGGCGACTTTTGCAAGCAGACCGCTGAAAAAAATCTCTACTTCTTGCAATTTTCCAGCAAATCGCTCAGCCACGTCTCTCAGCGGCTGCGACGCCGAAAAAACCGCCCGCAAACAAGAAGAACGTGAGGAACAGGGTCGCGAACACCGAGCTTCCCACCTTCGACCACCTCCCGCTGGCGCTGCTGGTCCGTTGCGCGTTCATGGACACCTCGCCCTCCCGAAACCCACCAATGGGAAAGGTCATGGGGATGACGGTCGTGGACTGTTCTATGATGCTGTTGCACTGCCGGTTCGCGCACAACGAGAAGTACCAGATGTTTTCTGGCGGGACCTCGGCCGGGAAGAGGATCGGAAACTCGAACTCGTAGGTCCCCGCGGGAATGGTCGCCACAACGTTGCCGCTCTGGTCGACCAGAATACGGAGGTACATGTCGTTCCCGTGGTCTACCCAGGAAGTGGCAGGCGCAACAGGGAAGGCTGTGGTGTGATTTTGGTTGATCGAGATTGAAGAACTGTTTTTATAAATTCTCATTGAAAGCAAAACGGCTGCGCATGAAACTTCTTAGCTACTCCCTGCTATCGTGAAAAAAAAAACGCCAAAACAAACAAACCACTTTATACCTTTGTTCAAGTTCTTCACGTCCGTGCTGGTTTGGATGTCGTGTCTCAGCCCTGGTGGGAACGTGATCAAGAATCCTTCCACGTTTCTTGCTGCCATGTCGAACGTGATCCCGATTGTGACGACCACAGTCCGTAGCCTTGCCGGTGCGCCCTGCCAAGTGAGGTGGGCCCGTACCGCGGGGATTTCCTGCAGTGGGTTCACCGCTGGGATATCGTACGCGGCGTCCAGAACTTTTCCCAGGTTGTCCTTGATCACCAAGCTGAAGTACTGCGTCTGTCCCACAGGTGGTGTCTGGGCCGGCACGTCGCCACCAATCATAAAACTGTAGGTGCCAGCGTAGAGGGGGGAAGCAAGAATTAGTGTCAACGGGGAGTCGATGCAAGTCGGGGGGTCGCCGGGAAGCGAGATTGGCAATAACGCTGGGAGACCGGTCTGGGGCATCGTACTGCAGTACAGCTCATAGAGAATCGGAGGATTGACCTGTTTGGTTTTTGCTGGGTTGCCATCGCGTGGCACCAATGGAGCAGCTCTTCGGGCACACAAACACAGTCATGGCCAGAATTTCAAAACAAAAACGACACCAACAGCCTAGAGCTAGGTAAGTACTTCTATTCTCTGCCCGTTGTTCACGCCCAGTGTAAACGTGAACGCGAAATGCGTTCCCTGCAACGCTCGCCTGCTCGGGTACCACAGTTTCGTGTTTGCCATCTGCTTGATTTCAAACCCGTTTTGCGTCCTGCCCCAGCCCGTGATCTGCATGCCGCCCGCGATCATGCTGCCAGACCTGGTTTGTACATACCAATTCCTCTGTGCCGGCGTTAGTGAGGGAGTGATCGTTCGAATCACCACGTTGTTTAAGTCCTGCTGGTACAGCGGCACGTTCGCCTGCGGGCTGCGCAGTCGCACCGATCTCCTATTTTCCACACCGACGTTGTTGTATTTCGTGCACGTGGCGCCACAGGTGGATGGGAAATCGAAACCCTCGGGGGCAATCACGATGACCTGAGGGTTTGGTTTTCGTTTTTCGGCTTTAGAGAACAAACAAAACAAGAACGTTGTGAAAAAAAACTTTAGAAAGACCATGCCTTCGGCCGCTGCGTGACTAACAAGTAAACATCATAATCTCAAATTTACCTCCATAACGCTCGCTCCGTTCGTTTGGATGTTCAACGAGATCTCGATTTCCGCTTGCGGTGGTGATCGGGGCACGCCTGCCGCGGATTCGATCAGATTGATCGAGAAACCCAAGGTGTACACCGGCGCGAACGGGGGGGTCAGCCCGTCGTTCGTGTTAGTCGGCAACTCACCCAGTTGGAAGCTACTTCTGGATTGGTACGTCACAATCCGCCAATTGCTCTGCCCGATCTTCGGGGTAGTGCGGAACCGCATGGTGTACTTGGCGCCGGGGACGAGCACAGAAACCGTGTTTGCCCCGGTGGGCTTCAGCTGAACTTCCAGCGCGCCGGTGACAGCGTTCAGCACGACGTCGATTTCGATGCTACCAGTTCCAGTGAGGGAAAAGCCATTGGCTTCGAGGGTGTACCTGGTTTCGGTTTTGTATTTTTCAAGTCACACAGATGTTATCCATATCCCCTGATGAGTGATGTTGCTTATGTTTTCTTCACCATGCACCACATGCGTCCATCGTAAAAAAAGTGGCCACCTCTTGACAAACATTTTCTCACCTGTCTTGGCCCTCGCAGGTGACGAGCATGAGACTCTGCGCGAATACGGTTTGTGACACCGTGAACACCATCACCGCGGTGTTTAACTCCTGTTCTCTCGCGGGGAACATGGACTCTACCGGGTGGGCAGACGGGTTCATCAAAAAGTCGGATTCTAATCTCATGCTCCCTGGGGTTACGGACAACAGACCGGGCATGCGGAAACCGAGGGCGGACAGCTTCTCGTCCTGGAGATCCGACGAGTCTTGCATCTCGCCACCTGAGTTGTTTGAGTATCGAGCTCAAAAGTGATAGTGAAATCGAGATCTTCTGGTATGACCTAAACTTCATTCTAGTTGTAGTTAGCATGGCACGATCATCTCGTTATTCTTCAACAAAACTTACTTTATACCGAGCAATGCGCGATCAAAGGTGCGCAGGTTGAACACCGTTGGGCCACCTTGCACACCGAGCTTCACGTTTTTCACCAAAATCTGCTTTGTTTGCCCGCTCGAGATGTCTGCATTGTTGACGACAAGCACGTTGTTCCCCGTCGCTCCGTCTATTTGGAACCCCTCCACCACCGCCGCGTCGAACTTGAAGTCGGCGGGCTGCATGGCCTCAATCTTCACCGTAACTGCGTTGTTCACCGCCAGGAAGATAAACATAAGGTCTGTGTACGCTTCCGCCGCCATGCGCTGCATGTTGTGGATCGAGATCCCAACATTCTGCAGCTGCGGCTTCACCGTCCAAGAACGGAACGCGTGCTCTGATTTTACTTCGTACTGCGTCTGTTGTGACGCCTTAAAATGGGCGTGATTGTTGGTGTTTTGTCTCCATTGAGTTTGTAGTTTTTGGTTGGCATGATTTTTCATTTTCAAGTATGTGCTTCTGTTTTCTTGATTTTTTCAAGGGCAATAAATCATGCCTACTCATTCCCACTACCTAATTTACTTGCCCATCATCTCTTCAGCATCAATGGTCTCGTCGATAAAGCATCAACAAAAACGCCACTGTAATCGTGTCATAATTGTGCCACCCCGTTTACCAGAACGTTCCCCTTGTTTTTCATGTGCGAGCACTTCCAGTAGTTCCCGATTTCGGACACAACCTTCGACGGGTTTGCCGTGTCGATTCGGAACTTCAACGCGTTGAAAGCGGTGGAAATCGTCGTCAAACCCAACCCGTTATGAACTGCAAAAGTATCGCACAACTCGTATAAATGCATTACAAATTTTCTCAGCATGAGAGATAAAATTTGTAGTGCGGATTTAGCTTAAGAAAAAGATTTGCAATGCATGATTTTTTTTTTTTTCATTGGGCCCCGCTCTGTTTACGGATTCGGATTCGGATGTGCGCATTCCGCTCGTGATTCGCGGGGGTTACGCCGTGTACAGCAGGTCGACACTGCCAGGAAACTCGATGTGCGTGCCGCATAGGTCCGATCAGGAAACTCGATTTACGCATATAAATTCATCACTAAGCTAGGAGGCCGGTGGACGTTGCCTAACATGTGATGCAGTTCTACGAATTCACCTGCCTGCCGCAGCAGGTTACACAGGGCCGACACCTTTCATACAGTTAAGCAGAGCGCGTTTATACCATCTTTTTTGATTTTGTTTTCTTACTTTTGTCGCCCGGTCTTGCAGGACTCTCGTCCTGTGGTCTCTTGGGCTGGATGCTGCTTAAAAAGTGGCGCCTAAGTCTCTCCAGATTTGTAATGCATGATTGCAATACGAGTAACGATACTTTTGCACAGGATACCCGTTCATCACCATGGTCATTCCGCACCGCGGCACGCCGTTCGTGGTCCACGCGGCGTTGCACTCGCAGACCCGGGTGTGCGACGCCGGCAGCGGGCTGGTACCGCCCTCCCAGCGAAAGTTGTTGCACGCCCCGGTGGTACCGACAGACAGCACAAACCCTTGTGGCGCCAGGATCCAGATCTCGTCCCCGTCGTACAGCGCGTCTGGCATACGAAGCGTCAGAAGAACGTTCCTCACCGGTTCCGTCCCCATGTACTGTTGCTCGGGGTTTTGCACCGTCCACTCGTACATCAGCGGCACCGTCGGGAAGCCGGGCACTTGCGTCAAGTCCAACGCGGTCTTCGCCTCCGCGTCTTGAAACGTTTCTACCTCAAACACCCCACCGTTGTCACTATACGCGATGGACACCCGGTTGTACAGATAGACCGTCATCTTGTACGCCGTGCCGGCAATGATTGACTTGGTGGAACTCTTGATCTTCGCCGACAGGTACATCCCGACGTTCAACGTCCCAGTGATGTCGCAAATCACGTCGGTCCCGGACACGAACCGGAGCGTTCCGTCCGCCGTGCGGAGATCCACCTGGCAGGTGGATTGCAGCCTTCTTCGTTCCGCATCCGCCTCGTTGTCCTGCCTTTCCATCAGTTCCGCCAGTTCCGCGTCCCGGCAGTTCATGTAGCGTTCGCCGCGAGAAGAGATGCGGTTTTGTGTCAGGTCCTCCATGTCCGCCTCTAGCACGTCGGGGAGCGCAAGCTCCTCGTTGCACTTCGATTCCAACCGCCGGCTGTTGGTGTTTGCAAGTGGGACATACTCGTACCCCGGGGGCGCGAGCACGCGGACCATACCGCCGAACGCGTCGTTTTCGGCTCTCGCCGGGACATTCTGGAAGGGCACGAAAGAGAATTCCACTGGGTTCACGAACACGTTCGTAGAATCGGACGATCGGACGGACAAAGACACCGGTGTGATGGTAACGCCGGTGGCGGTCATGAGGGTGAAGCCCTCGAAGGGCACAGATGACTCGCCGTTGTACTCTAACGTCCAGTAGTTCGGGTCCGGAGTGGTGCTCGGATTATTCTGGATTTGCAACCTGAAAGATATCATATGGGCAGGGGTTTGCAACGCTGTGGAAAATCTTTCATCCAGATGAAGTAGAACAGCACAAAAGGAAATCATCAATCTCTAGTGCTTGCAGCTCTATGACGCAGCTACCGGGAAATCATAAATCAAAGTGATCAACTACAATCGCAATAAAGTACTTGAAGACATAGGTCGACGACGCATCCAGCCCCACCGGCACGGTGATGTTTGCCCTGTTGCCCTCGGCCTCGCACTTGGTCGGGGCATACGCGGATGCCCACTTGGTGAACTGCGGGTCCCAGGTTGCGGCCGAATTCGGCCCGAAAACCTCGTTCTCGTCCGTGACGACGCCGGAAGTGCAGTCATCCGCAATTTCAAAGCCCTTCGGCCCCCGCAAGATGATCTTGTCCTCGGATTCTGGTCGGTCCTTCAGCGTGAATTGGAAGATCAGGTAGTTGACCGTCGGTTTGGTTTTGTAACCCGGTCTGTCGTCCCGGTTCGTCGCTGCGTTCACTTGCTGCTGCTTTGCCGACGAGGAGAATTGCACGAGCTTCGCGTCCGGCATCATGTCCCTCGTCGGGAAGCCCAACGTCAAAACCGGCTTGTCCATCTTGTTGTTTGGGTACCCACCGTTGTGCGACTGATGGTAGGTGCCAAACTGCCAGCTCCCCGGCGACGGGATCGCGGAAAGCGGGTTTGCGACGATCACCTGCCACTTGTAGTACCCGGCCGGAAAGTCCTGGTCCTTCCGGTACAGCGTGTACCGCTGGTTCGCGAACTGACACCCGTAGTCGGTCGGGAACCGCAAATACCCCTCGAACGGAAACGTCTCCGAGTAGCAGGTGAACTGGAACTGGTTGTTCCCGTTTTGGTCGCCCACAATCACGATACCGTCGTCCAAGGTTGTCAACGCCGTGACCAGCCGCATGTCGATGGTCATCTTCTGCGTGTCCTGCGCTCGGTTGGAACTGTAGTCCACGAGCGTGTTCCGAACCGCTTTCACCATCGGCGCGTCAATCATCTTTGCATGCAACCGCGTGGAGGTACCGGAACCGGTGATATCCGTACCCTGGAACCCCATCTCGACGATGAATGTGTTGGTCGCGTCAGACGGACTGTAGTCCGGGACTTCGACCTCGAGAGAGAACCCGTACATCACGTTCGCCGCGAACTGGCAGTTGAAGAACCGCAGCTGATTCCTCATCGTGTCCTTGATCAGCGGTGGCGCGTCGCACTTCCACAGCGCGCGGTTTGCGGTGCCGTCCGGGAACCCGATGAAAGTGTCCACCAACCCTGCTGGCTTACCATTGAACTTGAAACCGGGTGGAGCGACGATCCTGTTGCGAGGGGGTAATGAATTTCTGAGGCTGCACAAAATCAAAAGTCGCTAAGAGGTTTAGGCACAAAATAAATGCCCGAACATTTCAAATTGAAAAATGGTTTGACACTTACGCAACCACGAATCGGTCAATTTATGAAGTCACTACCTCAGTGTGGTTGCAATCGCCGTTTCGGTGACGAGCCCGTCGAACGTGAACATGGTCCCGAAATTTCCCGCCAACGAGGTGGGGAACATGGAGTTCATCGTGATGGACAGCGGCATCTGCCCAAAGTCGGACTTGAACAAACCAAACGCCCGATCTGTCTGCGCTGCATAGTCCACATCGGTGGATTCCAAAGTATTTCGCAACAGATTCAGGGTGTCTTTCACACCGTCGATCGCGTAATCGCGATTGTCGGACAAAAACAGCTTCCACTGGTTTTGCGTAGACTGGACGTACTCCGTGCCCACCGTCACCGTGATTTGAAACCCGTACTTCGCCTCCTTCACAATGTTGTCCCCAACCATAATCCTCGCGCGGTTGAACTTCGTCGTGGTCGTGCCGCAGAAATCTACGAGGTTCTTGCCCTGACAGTTCTCAATCCGCGTGAAGTTCCTCGTTGGGGTGACCGAAACATCCGCGAAATCGTAGTAGAATGGTGGAAGGGACGCGACCTTGCAGGCGGAGCCGAAGTCGTACCCACACGGGGCGTCCAGCTTCACGAAGCCCATGCGCCCGATGAACGACATCGTCTGGAAGAACACGTAAAGCTGCGTCTCCCGGGGCGCCGCAACCGTCCCCGCCATTAGCGACAAAGGCTGCAGCACCGGCTGCGAGATCTCGTCTAAAACGCCGAGGTTTTTGTACCACAGCTTCGGCCTTCCGGGGGTGTTCACGGAATTCTCTCCCGTGGTTAAGAACGAGTACCCACCGGTGTTGGGCATATCCACGGCGGAGTCGCCACCTACCCCCTTGCTGCGCATCTTTATTCTCCACTCGTTGGACGGGTCGTCCTTGGTCATGGCATTGTCCGGGTTCTTGACCGTCAAAGCGATGTAGAACACCTGTCCGGCGTGGATCGTTTGGTAACTGTTCAGGAAGTAATCGCAATCCGGCCCGGATTGCGCCGCCCAGTACCCCTCGGTGGTGTGGGTTCCGAGAACACCGAAGTTCGCATCCAGGTACCCGTCCTGGTCAAAATCGTAGAACGGGGGTAAGTCTGTGGGCACCTCGCCCCGTCGCATTCCCGCGGCCTGCTCGACGGAACAAGTGTAGGCCTTCCCACTCGCGGCGGGGAGTTTCAAGGTGAACGTCCCTGCATCCGGCTTTCCGTTGTTCCAGATCGTCGCGCCCAACTGCATCCGCACGTACACCATATTCCCCGACTCCCCTTTGAAGGGCTTCGGACCGTAGCCCGTCTGCCCGTTAATCACGACCCGGCCGCTGCTCTGGCCGACATCCGGCTCTTTCAAAAAAAACCCGTTCGTCCAGGACCAGGATGGCGCCGTGTCGTCCTTCTTGGACAGTTGAATCCCCCACCGCTTGTTGAAGAAGCCGGATTTCGGGGTTTCCAGCCCGACGAACTTCAAAATGTGCGTGGTCTGATCCGTGACGAAGTCCTTCATGTTCGCCGGCATCACGATTTTGATACTGTTTCTCCGGGCGTTCTGATTCTTGTCGATCTGGTTCTGCGTTTGCGGGGCCAAGGCTACATTCGTTGCGGAAAGGGTCGGGTTCGCGTCTGACCCGATGGCGCCGCACTTGTAACTGATCAAACCGGAAAAGTGGTCCATACACCTGACGGTGGACGTCGTCGCGGACAGGGACCACTGCAACAACGGCATGAGGTAGAACCGGATGACGTTCTCGGATTTGATCGCTCGGGGCACGGATTTTGCGACCATGCGGACGTCAAACGTCGCGTACCGGCCGCCGACACCCAGGTCGCGAAAGGCGGCACCACTGTCGTAGATCACCTTGAACTCCTCGATACCCGGGTCACTGTTTCCGGCCTGCGGCTGCGTGGAGGGAACACCGCCCACGAGGGGCGCATCCACGTTCAGAACCGTGGCACCTGTTGTTTTTGATATATGCACTCAGCTATCCAGCCCGCAACTGCATGATTAAACTCGCGATAAAATAACGCTCCTTCAAATCGGAAGACAGAGAGAAAAAAATAGATGGTCCATGACCTCCACTTACCTGACTCGAAGATGATATCGCTGCCGTCAGTCGCACATCCATCACACTTGGTGTAGATATCGACGTAGTTGCCGCCTTGCACCAGCGAGGGCTTGGGCTGCCCGTAGATTACCATCTGGTATTCGCAGGCAATCGCAGCGCCCGAGTCGTCGTGACAGCTGTTGATTTTTGAATGCTCATGTTGCTATTGCTTGGCTCGCTACTACTAAACTCGAACTCCACGAAAACTATGCATACAGATTACACTACAGAGTGGGGATGCAGATGGACATGGACATGCGTTGGCGTTGCTGTGTCAAGAGATGAAACAAAAATAAATCCAAAGACGCTATATACATGTGCTTGATGCCACTGCTCTTCTCGAAGATGATGGTGAATTCCCTCCACGTGGTCTCGCCGCCGCCCTCCTCCAGATCCGTGTACTTGCCGGAGTAGTAGCAGCCCTTGGGGAACGGAAAGCCCTCGGAATCCGACGACCACAGCTCCACGAACAGCTGCCCGCACACGCTCTGCTTCGCGTCCGCCTCGTAAACAAACGTGCTGCCGGCGAGCGCCGCGATGGCCGAGGTGTGACTGGGCAGCTCCGAGTTGCGGTACGCCTCGAACTTAATTGTGTCGAGGAACCGCAGCACCAGCTTGTGGCTCTTATCCCAGAGAAAAAAGCTGGCAGGGCATATTTGTAATGCAAAAATGAAAACACACAAAAATTTGTCATGGGTGGCCCCATAGCATACTGTTTTGGACTTGCAATGCCGATCTTTTGCGTATTTATTTTTGCATTACAAATAGATGCCCTGCCAGCTTTTTTCTGTGTGATAGCTCTTCCCGACAGAGTACGTGGCGTATTCCGTTCGCAGCCCGGAGGTTTGGAACGTGATGATCGCCGGCGCAGTCACCGACTCCGCGGAACTCGTCAAGGACAGCATGGCGCTGGTCATGTTGTTGGGGTGGAAGAACGACACCTCGCCCGCGGACTGGTAGAACTCGGGCGTGCCCGAGTTCAGCCGCCCCCAGCACACGTTCAGGGGTCCCGAGATATCCCCGGTTTGCTCGATGCCCTTGATCTCCGTGTTCGTGCGGATCACGTTCGTGCGGCTCCAGCCGCCCGAACCGCCCGCGAACTCTATCACGAACGGGTAGCGGATGTTAGCGCTGACGACGCCGAACTCACCCGACCACGGTAGCGGGATGGAAATGAACTTTCCCTTATCGGTGGCAGCGATGCCGGTGTGGTCGAAAAAGGTGATTTTCCACCCCATCGCGTTGGTGGCGGTGCCGTAGTTCGTGGCGTCGGACTTGTCCATGAAGGCGTAGTCATTCGTGAAAACATCCGCCGCTTCCCGCATCCGCGAGTTGCTCTTCCACTGCGCGAACGTGTAAGCGGTGTCGGTGACAAACTTGATGTCCGCCTTGTCGATAATGATCGTGTCACCGTTCTCCAGTCCGCGGCCCTGGATCACCTGATTGAACTCCAACACCGTCATGGTGTTTGTGGAGTAGTCCGCGCGCACCCGGTAAATCCCCGTGGCGGGCGACATGTTGCTCTTGCGCATGTTTTGCAGCGAGAGGTACGATCCCAAACCGCCGTTGATGCCCGTCATGCCCGCGACGCGGCAACTCGTCCCGTCCGCTGTGTTTGGGCAATTGGTTCCCGTAATACAGCCGGTCCCCTCAACGCTGGGGCAGCCGGTTTTATACGTTGGCGAGGGCGCCACGTTGCCGGCGCAAGTGGTGCCCTGTGGGACCAGACGGAGAATATCGCCGGCAGTCATGCCCGCGCCGCGAACGGTGAGCTTCGAAACCTGGTCAGAAGGTTTTTGTAATATATTGGACAGAAGATGCAGGCATGCAATAGCTTTCTTCGGTACTCAAAATTCAATCGCGAGCCTTAAATGAATAAACGGAGAAGAAAAAAAAAACCATCAATACCAGTTTTGTGGGCAGATTCCACGTCTGTGTCCCCAGAGGCCCGGCGATCATGAGCAACCCGGCAAACCGCCAGTTCTTGTTGCAGTTCCAGGGCGACGCAGCCTCGTTAACGATCCCGCAAAAGCAAATCGCAATGGTGCCAGCCTTCTTTACCGTCATCTGGAGGTCTTTGTTCGCACCGGTAAAACTGAAATACGCGGAAGCTTCATTCTCATCCGTGGCGTTCGCGACCGCGTGGTAGGTCTGCGCGGTTGCGGAGGTGCCCGGTCCCGTTACCAAGTCTGTGGAGTAACTGCTTGACTGGCAGTGGGTATCCAGCTTCGTGCTCTTGTCGCTCGGCGTGGTCTTGTCGTAACTGTAGTACGCCTCGATGGTCCGCATCGTTCCCTGGTAGCTGATCATCCCGATGGTGTCGTAACTCATCAGCTTCACAATCGCGATGTCACTATACCGCGGCCCGTCCCCGCGGGACACATACCGGTTTGCGTTTGCCTCGGACGTCGCTGCCTGACTCGTACTCGTGATGAAGGGCGCGGTCTTGTAACCACCGACGAAACCCAGCATGCCCTGCTTCCCGACCACTTGGATGAGGGACATGGACTCTGCAGCGGTGCCACTGCCGGTGCTGTCACCCTTGAAAGCCAGGTTGAAATGACCGCCGACGACGTGCCCAATCCGGAACCAGTTGGATGGTGTCTGTGGGTGCGGAAAGTTTTTTCATTTCTACTGCTTATCTTACGTGCAAAGAAATTCATGCTCACGGGGAGCTGTGCTGCTGTTCGTTGTAGCACCAAACAAAGATAGTGAAAGAAGCCATATCCCTCAGAGAAATCAAAACATCAAAAAGAAGAGTAAGAGTACGTTGCAATCGCTGACAGTAGCCCCGTTGCAGTAGCAAACATCGAGCTTCTCGTTGGTTGCAATATCCAACCGCGGCAGAGACGTGGCCCAGGCCTTGTAGTCCTGCCTCGAACCGCCGCTGAGCGTTCTGGTCATCCCGGCGGCGGGCCACACCGCTTTGGTGCTTTCCGTCTGCCCGGTGGTCGCACACCCTGCGTTGCTGTCCCAGAAGTTGCGGTCGTTCGTTGGCGCGATGTCGACGAAGGCTATCCTGTTAAAGCTGTTCGCGTGGCAGCCACCTCCCATGGGGCAGGAGAGTTGGGGCACAAACCGGATGTGCGGTAACACTCTGAAGTAAGGCGCGTCGCGGCAGTCCGCCCCGTCGTTGGTTTCCGCGTTGCCACTGTCGCAAATGTTCATGCGCCAGATGTAGAGGATCCCGAAAGACTGGATGTAGTCGTTCTGCAGCCCGCAGTTGCTTGCCGCGGCGTTGTTGGCTTTGTAGTTCGGGCAGTAGCAAAGACGCACGGTGTAACTCCCAAACCGGTTGTGGCCGACGCGGGGCATCTTTCCAATAATGCTGGAAGTGACGTCGAGGAAACCGTTATTAGTGAAGCCTCCCATGCTGGTGTAGTCCCAAATGCCACCCTCTGGGTCGCCGGAGGCGCAGGCGCGTTCCGTGGCGGGCTGTTTTGGTGTTTATGTTTTTCGTTTTTCATCGTTTATGCGCGATAGGGGTTGCGTTGCTCAATCTAAAATACCATGCAGCTACCCGACGTTCTTGAGGAAAGTTTAGTATTTTACATGCAAAATACAATAACCTATTCCCACAAGAATGAACTTTCAACTGGAAAACATAAACAGAAACAATATTGCAGTAGTACCGTGTCAACAGTGCCGTTCCCCGAGTGGTAGGTTTCCCCGGCAAACAGCTGGGTCCAGGTCATTTTCGAGGTCGCACCGGATAGCATCATCAGATCCCACCCGGCTCGCTTGTTTCCCACAACAAAGGAAATCTGGCATTCTACGTACTGGTTGACGTTACCGGCACCCTGCACGTACTCTCCGTGCCCCGCGGACCAGCAGTACCATGGCTCTGCTTTTAAGCAGTTCTGCGTCGCACAAGTCGAGGACACCCCTTCCACTACGACCGGGTTAGTCAGCCAGTAACTGGTCACGTCGTCCGTCCGCGTCCCGAAGTTTCCGTCCGGCGCGAAGCAGAGTCGGTAGGTACCGCCGTGCATGAAGGAGATTTTGTTGTTGATCGCCGTATCTTCGTTGGTGGCGCGGGTCGGCTGCGCGGGGGTGTCTTTCAGGGTGCAGGGCAAGGGATGGGTCTCCGAACCGAAGGAAGGGTTGTTGCTGGTGTCCACAGACCCCAGCACGACGTTCCGCCCGTTGGCGCCGTTCACGCACTGCGTCCGTGCCGTGGCGGTGCCGGCGATGAACTTCATCGTGGGGTTCGGTTTGGAGGTGGAAAAGTAGTTTCCCGTGGACATTTTCACGTCCACGCGGTTCACCAGCGACATGTCCGTCGTCGCTTTCAGGAAAATGCTCGAGCCGGACGCCACGTAACTACCGGTACCGATTCGCGCCGTCGTCCCGGAGAGCCAGTTCCAGTCCTTTTCGAACGGCTGAGTGGCGAGACGCCGGCGAATCTCGGACTCTTCCAGCAGGTTGCCGTTGTCGTCGTAAAAAATGGAGGGGTCGATCTGTTCTTCGTGCTCCTGGTACAACGTTCTCTCAACATCCTGGGCGTTTTTCGCTTCCTCCCCACTTATACCCGTGTGTATTGACGACTCCTCTTTCCCGGCGCGCGCGTCATCCTCCCGGAGCCGCCGGGCGGCTCGCCGGAACCGGGCGGTCGACAGACCGCGATCTTCCCGGCCGGGAACATCCTTGTGATCGGCTAAAAGTTTGTAAGGGTGTTGTGCTTGGTGCTGGTCGTGTTCTTGTTCTCCGGCGTGCGACGACGCAGAGGACGACCCGCCAGATCTGCCGTTCGCCGCATCCTCCTGCTCGTCCTTTTTCCCATGTGACGACGTTCCAGGCTGCCCCGCCTCCTCCTGCGCTCGCCGGCTGGACGAGCTCGAGGACTGCCCCTTGGTTTCGAGGGCGGTGAGCCCAAGAAGGGCGAGCGAGATCTTACGCATCCACCACTGTGAGGCCCGACGAGTGGTCACACGGAAGCTGCCACAAACCCATCGCTCCACCTATGCTTCCGCACACAAGTGGAGGATTCTTCTATGCCAAGCGATTCGGTGATCCTACGCCGTCCCTATTTTCTCGTGGCGGTGGCGCTCTTAAAAAATCTTGAATTACAAAAACGTAACCTGCTGAATTGTAAAATAGGTGTTGGTCGAATTGTGGCAAAATCACAAAAGCGTGTGGACGAGTAGTAAACGATTGGGGTCGTGGGTATTCAACGATTGCAGTGGTTGGGTAGAAGAGTATGCGCAACAAACTTTTCGTATGTTAGCGCGACAATCATGCACCGTGATTGATAAAGGGTATCTATGTCTTAGCTCTTGAACTGCATAAACGCAAAAATTGCGACGATGGCATGCAAAAGTGTTTGATGAGGGTCCTGTGCGGATGAGTTATGTATGAGATACGAGGGTAAAACACAAAGGTATAGTAGGCAAATCTCTCATTACGGCTCTCTCTTCCCACGACCCAAAGACGCTCAATACGTAATTTCTCCACCGATTCTCGTAGTTCAAGACCGAAACTGGATTGCCTGGTAATGCTACAAGGCAGGTACCAGTATGGCGTGTCGCCTCATATACCTAGACGATTGCAGTCAAATCTTTCGACGGCATGTTACCGAAAACCTCAGAATACGTCACTCACGCTTCTGTCACACGACCCACACGAGGTGTATTTTTCTCTATTTTCTTTACCGCTACGGTGAAGGCGATGTCAGCATGCTAAGTCGAAAACAAACGATGTCTGCGCGGGGAGGTTTCGCACACGCGAACGCGTCCCACTCCCGTGGAATTCTCTGCTGGGTATCTTATGCTTTGATTGTTGAAGACAAAATTATTTGCAGCCTTGTCTTGCGGTTGAAAGGGCATTGTCTCTTGCATGCAAAAAGAACCATCAAAAACGAATATTGCCGTTGTGATTCTTCCAATTACCGATCTGGGAGACCGCGTTGAAACTACCTTCCGGGAGGTAGCGCAGGTTTTCACCCTAAAACTCCCGCGAAGAACTAAAGACAATCAAGAACTGTAAATCCGAAAGTATTTTGTCCTGTCGTTGCTTTTCCACTCAATCTGCTACTCTACTGTACCAGGTCCAGGAGGATGAATTGTGGTCATTTGATAGTGTAAAATTCCGAATAAGACGAACCTTCGCCACTTCAGCCAGGAAGTGCCGGGCTCCGCTAGGCTCTACCTAGCAAATAAATTCTGTGACTCTGTCTGTGTTTTTCCTTAGCAGCAGTTCCTGCTTTGGGTTTTCACAACTTGATCACAGAGGAAGATAATTACTTAACCAAAAAAAGCATTTTACCTCGGTAATCGGCTCCAAAACGTCAAAGCACATGGGACTTTTCTCACATTATTTCTTCTACCTGCGTCTGTGACTTTACATTTGCGTACTTTACAACAAGAACTCTTTGGGGGTAGATTTCTAAACCAAAAACATTGTTTCTTTTCCTTTTGTTTCTTTTCCTTTATTTGCTTCAAAATCTACTCATTTCAGCCCACTACGATTTCTTGTAGACTGTCTCGCAGCGCGGCGCACACTTCTTCAATGTCCTCGCGCGTCAGCTGCGCGCTGGAGGGCACGCAAAGTAATCTCTCGTAGACGATGTCCGCGTTCGGGCAAGTTCTCGCATGTTCGCTGAAGCAGCTCATCTTGTGGAGCGGGAAGAACGCCGGCCTGATCTCGATGTTCGGGTGGTGCTTCATCAGTCGCATGCCGACGGCTTCAGCGAGATTCGCCTGCGGCTTGGCGCCACAAAACTTATCCGCCAAAGGCTTGCCGTTGGCCGGGGTTTCGATCTGATGTTTTTGTGATGAATGAGGTGGATAAACGATTGTTCAATACTCCGAAAGGAAAATTCAAGGATTTGCCACCTGAAGGAAGTATACCGAAGAAAATCATTGCTTTTCTGAAGCTGCGACAGCATAAATTTATCAGTACCCTGAGCGCGTTGAGCCACCACACGGGCTCGTCCAGCGGTTTGTTCTGCTGGAATTTGAGGAATGGAATGTCCCCAAGCATATGCATTGCAAAAGTGTCGGGGTCTGGAAACTTGTAATGCTGCGTTGGGAATAGTGAATGCTCTGTAATGCACAGCCAAGCATGAGAAATACCTGCGCTTCTTTGTGTTGCGTTTTTCGCATGACAAACTGCGTTTTTTCATGACAGGCAAAAGGGTCTCTTCTTGGACACGCATGACAAACTTTTTGGTCATGCCAGACAAGCATGACAAGCCTCGCAATCTTCCAGACCCAGACATCTTTAGATTTGATAAAGCAGTTCCTGGTACCACTTGTGGATGTTCCTTTTCCGCTCAATCATGACCGGCAAGTTCTCGCAAGCTGCCAACCCGACTGCACCGAGCAGCTCCGGCAACCGGAAGTTCTGCCCGATGTTCTCGTGCTCGTACACTCTCCACAACCCGCATCCCCGCACCGGCGCTCGGCTGCACCACCAACGCGCCTTGGAAACCAAGGCTGCGTCGTTCGACAGAATAGCGCCGCCCTCGCCCACGCCGACCATTTTCTCGGACCGCACGGACACGACCGACATGGTGGACATAGAGCCAACCTTCGCCGTGCGTACGGTGTCGCTGCTACTGGACGTCTTGGACTCCCCAGCGTCGTCTTCGATCTGTTTTTTGGGTCCCGTAGCAAGATGAAAGAAGAGCCTACACGGTTGCAATACTGAAAAATCTATACGGTGATACTGAATTGTTACATCCGACCCGTGTTTCAGGATCTACTCCTTTCACCACCGCCAAAGCTAAACCTCAAATAATGTACCTGCATAACAGCGCCGTAACTCTCGCAGTTGTCTTCGCAGAGCCACAGACCCTGCTCCTTGCAGAGCTCGTGAATTTTCATGTGGTCGCGTGATGGAATCCCGTAGCAGGGAGCAATGACAACACCCACGATGTTTTCGTCATTCAAAATGGTATCCCGGACGGCCTCGAAGGAGAGACCGTAAGAGTCCAACTCGCAGTCTACTGCCACAGGAATACCTGTGTTGTTCCATTTTGATTTTCCAAAAAATATTCGTCTCTCGAATAAAAAGCTTCAACTTCTTGTCCGCAAAAGACTGCACACTCACGCATTTTGGTATAGAAGGCTGAAAGAAAAGGGTAGAAAAAGTTACCTCCCGCGTGCACGATCGCGTCTGCGCAGGCGGCGCAGGTGTACGTCGGCACGATCACGTGGTGCAACTGATCGCTGACTCCGAGCGCTTTCATGGCCCCGTAGAGCGCCGCTGTTCCGGACTGCACCGCACAGGCTGCTTCGACCTGTTATGATGAAAATCAGAAGTTTTATTCGACGTGCGGACTCACCTCTTTTACATGTCGGCATAGCCATCAAAACATTGCTTTATTCCAAACAACGTGGCCGCTGCTACCTAGCAACAGTAAAAACTCCTTACCGAGCAAATCCGTGCGATGGCCGCCTCGAACTTCTTCATATGCGGGCCCTCTACGCCGATCCAGCCGCTGGAAAGGGCTTTTTCGATGTAGCCCATTGCGGTAAGGCCAATCAACGGCTCGTTCATGCGCAGTCGCTTTTTCGCCTGCGCACCGATGGCTTGACCTGTTTTGGAAATAGAAATGAATAAATATTTGGTCTGTTGGGTCAAGACAAATCACAAGCAAGGAACGAGTCCGATGAAGCATTTCGTCCCCCAATAAACAATAACAAACCCCTCGTAAAAGTACCTGGAATCAGCTGCGTGACTTCGTTTCTCTTGCGCAGTTTCATGGTTTCCGCTTGCACCTTCACGATCGTTCCGCCCACATTTGAGTACCAGTGCGTATCTGCTGAGTACTGTTTCGTCGCCGTGGTTTCGCAGTCGCCGAGCAGTTTCGGCCCACTGGAAGAGCTCGAAGCGGAGTGCTGTCCGATTGATTTCAGGTAGTGAATGTAGTGGTCACACGAATCCACGTAGTAGTCAAATCCGTCCAACTTTGACTTGACCAACGCACACTCGTACGGCGGTAAATTGCACGCGCGCACAAACCGGTCGGCCTCGTCGAGTGACATGGTGTCGGGGTCCACAAAGTAGCCCTCCTCTGCTCGGGTTCCTGCCGCAGCGGAGAAGTCAAAGGCCGCAGTTTTCTCCCCGACCGAGAGGTCTTGCTCCACCACTTTTTGTAGAAGGGTGGAAAACGCGGAGATGTGCTTGTAACGCAGACTTATTGCCGTGTCGGAGGTTGTGATGGTAAGAGCGGTCGTTTCGGTGCCCAGTGTCATTTTCGATTCTGTAGCACCGCTCACGATGGCGCCGAACTCCGGCCAGGCGGGGCCTGGCGGTGAGAATTTGCTTTCTGACGCGTAAGTGAATGTGAGCGAGAGACTTGTTGTCGGTAGATTCGGTCCCAAACCGATCGATACGTCGGCTTTGAAGGACTCGCAGACCGCTTTGAGCATCGCAGCGTCGGTAGACACGAAGTTGGAATACCTGTGATTTTGAGTATGTGGATGAAAATCGAGCTTGCTACCTTGTATTTACGCAACAGAATAGTACTCATTGCAAAAGTTTCTTGTTGTCCACCTTGACAATAAAACTGAAAACGGATTCATCAAATGGCAAGTCATTCGAAAAGAATCCTACCCGTGCTTCTGACATTCTGCAATGACATCCAGTCCCTTGCTGCCCCCACAGACGACACACAGAACGTTCTCGAATGCGTTCTTCTTCAATACTGACAAAGCCGCGGCTATCCTGAGTAAAAACGTACCCACACCAGAGTTGTAATGCAGATTTGCAAAGACAGGAAGACTTGTAATGCGCATCCGCATGAGAGCCATTTCCAATCGTGTTTTGGACTTTGTGATGCTGTGAACAGGATGAGCAGATGAATCTGTGATGCGGCTGCACTTGCTAACCTGCACTACGCTGCAGAGTGCAACTTGTCATGCGTGACTCACAGAACTCCTAGGTTTGCGTTGCAAAATCCCCATCCTGACTCTGGTGTGGGTAGGTTTTTACTCAGGATAGCGGCGCCGAAGTAATCCAAGGACGTGACGACGAGCACCTTAGGCGGCTCAGTAGAAGACGACGAGGACGTCATTTTGATGTTCAACTAAAACCGATACGATCTTTGTCAATTTCTTTTCAGAATCAAAATGGTATATCTTTTTCAGGATTTGTATACTTTTCCAGAACTCTACCGTCAAGACTGCAGGTAGTAAAAAGGGTTGGAAAAAGAGAGAGTGTTAAAAACGAGCGTATTCGATGAATATATGAATCAAGTCAACAGACACGAGGTTTTTGACACTGTTTTTCAAATGCTCCTCAGACTCACCCGCGGGGGAATCGACAAGGAGGCGAACACGAAGAATGAAAAACTCGAAAAAAAGCGAGAGCTTAAAAAAATGGAAAAAGCATGCAAGATTGTTCTTCAGGCTGAAAAAGAATAAGACACCTCTCGGCTCACTACCAAATTACTGAAAAAAAGCAGCACTGGTATACTTGTGAGCTTGGAGTAGCACAGGCTCAAATTTTGGTTTGAAAAGGTATAGTCGCTTTGAGGTTGTGGCTACGGGTGTTATCAACTTGGTCCATGTGATGTTGGAGGAGGTTGCAAAAGGTTGGAGGGATTTTCGGGAAACACGACAAAAGCTGCAAAAGTTTCTTATTTGGACGAAAATCGCTCGCTCTCGCTCTTTTGTACGTGTTTGCACAAAAACGACCGAAGGCCATCAAAATGAACGAACCGAGTTTTTTTTGTTGCTCTCTCGCGATAGCCTGGGCACAAACTGATGTACTTTCCGACATCACAGAATGTTCTGCAATCTGCTTGTTCGTTGTACGATTGAAGTTATTTCTTTTGGCACGGTTGTACGAGTTCCGATGTTCAGCAGCTCATCTGTCTAGTGTGTCTCGCCAAACCGAGCGCAAATCGCTCCAGCTAAATTTTGTACAAGTTTTCCTCGAAGGCTTTCCAAATGTAAGTAGAGTACAGTTGTGAAACGTCATCCTACAGCTACATGTACAGCTTTTGCTACTTTCAAACTTCAAAGTTTATTTTTACATGCAAACTCTCAAGTGAAACCGAGTTGTAAGTGTCAAAAGTCCATCCAAATGCTAACAAGTTGAAAAGTGTTTACAGTTGCCCAGGAGAAAGCTGCAAAGCTGCAGCATCGGCATTATTGCGTTTCTCTTTCTGCTACACTGGAAAATCAAATGCGAATTTGAACTCCAGGCGGAAACCACTAATTCAAATGCTTGATACGTGCGTGATAAAGATGTGATAAAAACCTGTTGTAATTTGCTGTTAAGAAGAAAAACCGATTTTGAGATTGTGACTGTGTGTACTTGCTATTCGAAAGAAAAAGTTAAAGTGAACCGTTATCAATATGCGATACTGATGCAAATGTCTGAAAAATCAATCAAAGATACTGTTGTTTCTAGATGCTGAAAAGTAGTTTTAAAGACTACTGCTGTTATTTTCTCGGTATGCAAAATGTGACAAAAAACTGTTTCGAACTTCTGCTGTTAAAGACTCAACTTGTTCTCCACAACATCAACCCCCCATCGCTGCCACCGCTCAAATTGCCGCCGTGGTCCGCAGACAGTTCGCGCCGAAAATTCCTTGCAGTTTGTTCTCGATCACTTGTACCATGTTGTTCATGACCTCCTGCACGCGGGCCTGCGTCCGGCTTTCATCGAAATCTTCCGACAGCAAGATCTTCGAGAACCGGGGAAGAACCTCCTTGTGCATGATCTGCTTCAAATCTTCACTGCTCGGAGCCACCTCGACATCCATCATATTCACCGTGTCGCCGTTAATAGTGACGGACACACGAGGAGCGAGGACTTGCAGTTTCATGGACTGTTGCAATTTTCTTTGCAGCACGTTTTTCTCCAGCTCCTCCATCTTGCCCTCTAATTCCCGAATGATGGCCTCTAATTCGCTGTTCCGTTCTTTCAACGCAGTAGTGACCCGCTTGGACTCCTGCTCATGCTTCTCGTGCTCCTTTTGGCACTTCGCGCGTTCGACTCTCGCGGTTTCGGAAAGTTTCTCGACAAGGTTCTTCTTGCGCTGTTGTGATTTTTTCGGTTTCTGTGCTTAGGTTAGTGCACTACCACTACCTGGCATTTTTTCAACATAAGAAAGGAGAAGCACAAGTATGTATTGCAAAGGTATTTGTAAAGTTATTCCTACCTCTTCCTCCTTGAGTCTATCCAGCGTTTCGCGGTTCTTCTTGTCCTCCTCCACGGCGACCCTGAGTTGGTTTTGTTCCCGCTCAGCTTGCTTTCTCAACGCGTTGATCTGCTCATCCCGATCCTTGGCCAGCTCCGATTCCCTCCTTGTCCCCGCTTGATCCCTCGCAACGGCCTTCCAGAGGGAAAAAACGACCTTCTGCTCCGGGCCCTTGTTCTTCTGCTGGGCGGACGCAAGGAAGTGCATCAACGCCATTTCTGCGTGTTCGTTGTGCAGCGACGTTTTATTTTCACCGAAAGAAGCAAAACACAAAAAGAACGGGCTCGTCCCGAACATTTTCATGCACACGACCACCAAGACCACATCGTACAAAGTTCCACACAAAAAAATCTGTACCGTAGAGCTTCTTGCTCTGCTCTTTGTGCTCGGTTTCCAAGGTCTGACACCTCTGCTCCAAGCCCTTGCGCATCTTCGCAGTGTCTACGTCCCGCTGCTCCAGAGAGGCTTCATATTCCTTCGTTTTCCCATCCAGCTTGTCAACATAAAACCCCTCCGTGTGCTGCAACTCAAGTTTGTGTCGGTGCTCCATTGCTGAAAAGTTCAGTTGGGGTTTTTCTTCTAGTACTTCTCGAAACCACTGCTAACGAAAACATTGCAGCCTTGACCTTGTTGAACTTCATCATCTATGGCTCTCATCAAAGTCGAAAAGATACCTATCCTCTCCGCTTCCCACTCCTCCTTTGCTCCCTTTACCAGAGAAGCTTTCTCGTCTTCCGCAGCCTGCGCCTTCGAAAGGTGGTCTTTCAGACTGGCAATCTGATTTTTCAGGGTGGAAATTTCGCTTTGCAGGGCCCGGACCGCCACCTCGTGGTCTTGCTGCATTTGGCCCAAGGCTTTCCCGTGCAAGCGATCCCGTTCCTCGGCGTTGCGCTCGCTTTCTTGCTCCAGCTCCCGAAACTTACGTGTGGCGTCATTGAGTTTTCCTGTGTAACGAATACGGAGCAGTTGTGCATGATGACTCTACTAAGCGCATTGATTTAGCGGTGAAAGCTTGAGGATGACACATGCAAAAGCAGAGCTAGAAACAAAAAGTTATCGCCAAAAAAAATCAAACTACTTTTCCATCTTTCCAGGCTGTGCTCCAGCTCCGTCTTTTCCTTGACTGCTTGTGCCAGATTCTCCTCTAGCTGTCGCAACTTGCTCGCATGCTGCTCCGCTTCCACCTTCACATTCTCCCGCAGCAAGTACAGCTCGCGCCGGTATGTTTCGATTTCACTCGCTAACCCGTCCCTCGCAGCGATCACTTGTGCCATTTCCGCGTAGACTGGTGACAGATCTTGAAAATCCTCCCGCACCTGCTCTTTTAATCTCGCAATCTCAGCTTCGTGCTGTTGCGCGATCTCTATCTGCTCGTCCTTCAAGAGCCGGATCTGCTCCTTCAGAATCCTGTTCTCCTCCTCTAGAGTGCGGTAGAGAGATTTCATGTCGCTCAATTCCAGCTGCTCTTTCCTGACGTCCTGGAGCTCGCGGGTCAGTTCCTGCACGCGGGCTTTGTACCTGAGTTGGTAATAGGTGCAAGAGCTCGTTCGTTTTACCTTATGTTGTGCAAGCACATAGATTGACAAGCGAAAGCCACCGCGGAAACAGATAGAACATTTACCGTTTGAGCTCTGCGATGTGGAACGCCGAGGCTTTGTTTCCGCTCCGCGCTTTCTCTTCCGATTTGTCCCCGAGGAAAGAGCCTTGGTGCGTGCTGGCCATCTTGTTCTTATCTGAATTTTTGTTGCTTTTTTTCTTTCTCATTTTCTTTCATGGCCGACCAACTGGGACCTCCTAAACTAACAGAGCAGCGAAGGAAAGTTTGCGCAAAAAAAAAACCGCTTTTTACCATTCTGATGCTTTGCTGGTGGTCCCTTGAATTGCCCGCCGCTGATAAACCGGTCTTGTCGCTTTAAGCTCTGCAGCAACCCTACCTGCAATGTCTCCAACTCCCTTCTAAGCCGTTCGTTGTCTTGTCGCAACTCCTCCTCGATCTCACTCGGCACGGACGTGGAGGACGAACTTTTCGCAGCCCCGTCCTGCTGTTGCACGGATTCGAACCCCGATTCCCCGCTGAAGCTCGTCCTTGTTGACTTGCTATTTCCGTTTGTCGGGGTCGGCAAGTTGAAGCCGCCGGAAAAAGTGGTGGCAAAATTTTTGCTCGCGGCCTCTCGCTCCGCGTACCGCTTCTTCTCTCGAGCTGGTTCTGGGATGGGCTTTTCTGGCGGCATGGAAAGGTGCGTGCTGTTTCCGCCCGCAATAGGGTCTTCCTCGGACATGTTGCCATTCTCGTGTGGCGGCTCGAGCTCCCGTTTTGGATAGGGCAAGGGGTGCCAACCGCCACCGGCATTTGGAAGTTTTTCAAACGCACCCGATCTCCAGCCGCTGCGGCTACCTGTGTCGTGGAAGATTTGAAAAGGGAATACTATATTCTTGAACGGCAACGACAAGCCGACGAGCAGCGCACTGGCAGTTAGACTACAGGCGATTAAGAACTCGCTCCTAGTACCTTTTGCCTTCGCGTGGCTTTCTGGTGGCGGTAATCGGGGCAGACTCACCCCGGTGTCGCGCTGTGGCTGTGGTTGTCTCGTCGGCGACTTGCTGTAGGACGGCTTGGGCTTGGTGGTGTTGAAAAACCCCTCCGTCGTAACGGACATGCCCCTCATGATCTTATTGTGCTGCGAAAGCAACTTTCAAATAAAAAAAACCTGTAACTTATCAAGGGCCGAGCACGACAGGCTCCAAACGCCCGCGACTAAACGAAAACTCTAGCTTCTAGTACAATCCCGTCCCCTGGAACAAAAAAAAAGAGCTGTGCAGGAAGATAAGAAAATGCGCACACACCATTAAAAAAAACAACGACTTCAGATCAGCAACTGGAACTGCTGCAAGAGCAAGACGACCACGAGAGATTTATTACGACGCCACGAGATATCTAGATCACCATTGAGATCTTCCTTACGAATCATGGCAGATACGACTAATGACGGCCACTGCGCCAACATGTCCAAAAAAGGGCCACGACACCCAGTACGAAATCGAAGGCAGGTACTAGTTCAAACCGAGATGCTACCTACACGCAAGAACTTTCACAGATAGAGGAGCAGCGTCACGAATTGCTGCTGAAAAAACCGATCAATCTACTGACCATGCATTGACAATGACGTGCGGCTGGGCGAAGAAAGCTTCTGTTTACGCTACGAACTTCCACATGCAGATGATTCACTATCACTGCAGGTTGTATTCCTGTGTGTAATAAATTGTTGTTCGACGAACGAGTTGAAATCGATCAAATTTCCTTAGATTTCGTTTTTGACTTTGAATCTTTAGATGTGTCGCAAAGTTGAAACCAATCAACTGCGTGTCACTAGATGTTGCATCTCAAGAAACTTATGAATCATTCGATCACAGGTAAAGCCGCAACGCATTTACTGTTCCCCCGCTGCCCCAAAGTGTCCAGCCCCGATGGGTCAACAGGACACGATGCATTGCTGTCAACGTCAGGCAGTGCGTCCCTACTGTCCGCGGTGCTACTCAACAAGGACCCGTTGCTATCTGTCGCCGACAGACCCAGAACGAACGTCCTCGGCACGTACGCGTCGGTATCGTCTTCAAGATATCTGAGCCGAACTTGGTGAACGTCCGTGCTGTTCAATACTTCCGCCTCCTCTACGCGCACACTTGGTCTACTTTTCCGCGTCCAAAACCGCCCACGGACCCGGTCGCCTTTGCGGACGGAAGACAGCACTCGGAGCTCGCTGTTTTTTAGTGTCAGTGTGGTAAAGAATTCATCACTGCGCAGCAAAAGAAACAACGTATGTAGTAGAATCATGATCAATAGAACTCAAAGCTAGCAGGCACGTACCTCGAGCGGAAGTACACCGGCTCTTTTTCCTGTACCCCACCATACGGCTGGTCGTTAAATTTCTGCGGATTCGTCACCGGCCCGTGACGCAGTCTGTGCTTGATTTCAAATCCAGCGTCGTCACGCACAGTAAACTCATCGAGCGTGTGGTAGGCACGCACCACTACTCCTATAATTGGGGCTGCGTTTGTTTTGTTCGCAGATGACACTGCTGCTTCGTCGAATCCAAACCTCTCGAAGGTGGATAGATGAGCGGGAGTCGTAGCGTTTTGCTGGTGGATCGTGCTTCCACTAGCTTCCTGATCCCCAACCGGAGGTTTTAGAGTTGCATTTTCCGGTAACAAAAAGTCGTCCATTTCGCGCATCTGTTGCACAAACTTCTCTGTTTCTCCTTCAAGAAAGAATTCCTCCCGCGGCGGCAACACCTCAACTAAAACCCCAGGGGCTAGTTCTGGTCGCTTGGGGAGAATGTCGACGGAAGCGCAGTCCTGGATGATCACGTCCTCTTCTTCGCATTCGTCCACGTCGCACGCGTCCCAAACGAGGCACCACTCCTTCCCGGCCGCGACGCAGGACGCGCAGGTGTCTTGGCCCTCCTTGTAGGCGTTGATGGAAGACATCAGAGACTCCAGATCCACCATTGCGCGGACGGTGAGAGCACTGTGAAGCAGTGCAAGCTGACAGGAGTAAAACAAACGTCGCGTCGACATTCTGGCAGACTCAGAGTTTTCCCTGCGGATCACACCCTTCCAAATATTTCACGTCGCCTACTTTTTCTTCACAAAAAAAATAAGTAGCACGCAACGGCTTGAAGTGCAGCGACTCAACTGCGAAACCGGGACACGCGGAGCGATTCATACATCATATGAGACGTGAGAACGAAGCCGCACACCCTCCCCTGCGCGAATTCGAACACGGCGACCGTCTTAACACAGTGCAGCCTGCAAGGCAACAGAGGCACTCTGCCAAAATCAGGTCTGTCAAGAACTGCGCCAGTGGCTGCCATCTGGGCGCGCGGGCAGCGGCCCCGCTGGCCAAGTCACCGAACTGGCCGCCCGCTGCGGGGGCGCCTGCCACGACAAGGATACGCCGGCATGAGCCGGCGCGTCAGGGGGGCCGCGCTGGGAACGGCAGGCAAGCACGAAGGCAACAGGGCGCGAAAACGGCAGGCCGGCAAGGCAGGGGGCGCGGCGGAGCTTGGCGGGCGCGGGCCAGCGCGCGGGCGGGGGCGCGCAGATGGCGCCCGCGGCCGGGAATGGGCGCGCGAGCGCCTGGCTGAGGCGAAGCCGTCGCGGACGCAGCTGCTTGCCGCCTCTTCGTAGTGCCCATCATGCTCCTTCTCCCCACCAGCGGGGCCGATATCAGCCGCGCCGCCACATCGGTACCCGCCGGCCGCTCCTGGCCCGACTCATCTAGACGAGTGCAATAAGGCCTCAAAAACATGGCGTAGCGCCTGCAAAGTGCTAAATCCTGCACAGAAGTGAAAAGCGACCCGCGCCGATGCTAGCGAAGTCCTGTGGCTTCATATGTTTCCCGGCGCAAAGCGGGGGGCCCGGAGTCGCCCCCCGGTTTCGTCCCCCCGCGGCCGCTCCACACAAGCCGGCGAAGGGCGCGCGCCTGGCTGCGGCCATGCATTCGGCCGCGCGGGCGGCGGCGGGGAAAAGCCTGGGCGCGCGCCATACCCCCAGCGTCTTCGCCCGCAACCGCCGCGAGCCATTCTCGCCGCCCGCTTTGCTGATTCGGCCTGGTTCGCCTTTCTCCTCGCGGCGCCAAAGGGGTGGGCCCGCTTAGGCAGAACAAGTGGAGGCAGGATCTTACTCCGAACACCCGTGGCGTCGGTGGGGCCCCGCCCGCGGTCACCGCCCCCGGGCTGCGCGGCGTATGGCGCGGGCCGATGCTTCCCGGCGTCCGCGCAGCACCGGGCGAGCTCGCTGAGAAAGGTCCGCGCGTCTATGCTGGCGCTCTGTCTTAAATACAAATAAGATCGAAAGCCGCGCCGTACCTGAATGCCGCGAATCGGGAAGCCCATCGACAAAGAAGCCCCGCCTTCTAAATTCGCACGGCGCTGATAGATGAAACGCCGAGGCGCTTCAAGCACCTGGCCCGCAACCGCTCCGGCTCCAGAATAATAGTAGTGGGTCGGGTTCCAGGTCGCCTTCGGTCTTCAAATGCCGGGCGGCCTCTGGCCAGTCTTTGCCGGGGCCCTGCGGAATTCGCCGGGGCCCTGACAGTACCCGGCAAGGGGTAGCGGCAGGGCGCGCCCCGGCTGTGCGCCTTCACTTCCGTGGCCCCGGCTGCGCGCCACTGTCTTCCGCATGAACGACTTGGCCCGGCCCCGGCTGCGCATCTGCCAGGCGCCGCAACGCTGGCGGATCGCCCGAGTCCCCCACTGCGAGCGCCAGAGGCCCGGGAACTTCGAAGGGCCGCCGAAAATCGCTGGTAGTGCATTCGGCAAGTCGGGCAAGGTGCCGGCTTCCCGTAAGATTTGCGCGCGCACCGGCCGCAGGAAGCCCTGCCGTGGACCGTATACCCGCCCCGACCCCTGCCGGCCATTTTTCCGGCCGCCCGTAATGCTCGAGGGGGCCCGCCGCCCCGACGCGACGCTGCCTCTGCAAGAACGGGGGCGCGCTCCATGGCGGGCGCAGAAACTTTCTCCGCAGAACCTTATGCCCGCCAGCTTGCGGCCAAAGAAAACCGCGGGGCCCGTGGTGGGCGTCATGCGTCTGGGCGTCGTCCTGCAGCCTGCTGAGGGCCCGGCACAAATCGAGGGGAAGCAGCCCGGGGAAGCGGCTTCGCGCAGCCGGGCGGGCTCCGGCTTTCTCTTGCCCCCGGCGCGCACGGTTGGGCGCCGCCTCCGCCTCCGCCGCTTTCTCCGGCGCCTTCCCCGCTGCCTCTTCGGCGTCTAGCTTCTCAGAGGCCAGGCGGGCAATCGGCAGGCGCTGCGCCTTGATCTCAGCGCGCTGGCGGCTACAGATGTCCCGGGCCCGCGCCCACACAAAACAGGACGCGGAGCCGAGTCACAACGCGCAGCGTTCCGCGTCCACAGCGTGCAGCGCCCCGCGTAATTGCTGTCGATGTGCATTCGGAAAAAGAAAAACGGAAAAGAACAACACTGCTCCCGGTACGCACACACACAGCCAAAGCAAAAGGCTAATTGAACACACAGCAGACACCCGCCATATGGTACGTATTCGAAGGTTGCTCATGAAACTTCTGTCACTGCCACGTCAGAAATCAACGACAGCGAGGGATGCTGCTTCTTTATGTAGTCCGCACCTCCTGCAATCAAAACCTGCTGCCTCACCATCGCTTTCTCTGTCGATGCCCCGCCAGCGAAAAAAATGTCGCCGTGGTCAAACATAATGTCACCGCTTTGCCACGCCTTCACGATTTCATGCCTTTTCGTCAACTCCGACACAGCCTGAGAATCGGCGCCAGTCCGTCGATACGACACAACTCGCCCAAACGGCCAAAACCCCCGACAATCAAGCTTGTCCTGGTTGTGTGCGAGATTGATAAAAACTTCCGTCTTCGTGGACCCGTTTTCTTCCTGCCCAAAGCAAATCGTTCCTAACCGGTTCGGCTGCTGTTGCGCGCCCGCCTTCTTCTCGCACTCATTCGGGAAGAACCAAGGTAGTTGCTCATACAGCGCCGCAGTTTCATCCTCTTTGCAGCGCGTGCCGCAGGCCGGGCCGTAGCCGAAATCCAACACAAAGTTTTCGATGGCTCGCACAAAGTGTTGGCCTTGGAAAAAATCTTCTTTCGCCAACTGCAAAAATCGGTCGTAGCTGTGCGGCGCCCAATCCCGGAAACACTCAATCGTAAACTCGCCAGTAGGACGTCCGAAGGTTTCGAAAGAAAACCTAACTCTGCAGCTAGCTCCGGGTTGTTGCGCGGCATGATCTTCATCATTCTTCACATTTAAAGAAGCAGCTTCGCCATCCACCACGTCGCGGGCCATTGCGTTTCTTGGTTGAAATAGCAATCTGAACTCGTGCTGACGGTGCAGGCTCTATATCAGATCCGAGCCGAAAACCACGATTAGCAGTTTGCAAAGCACCTGGGGAAAACTGATCTATGAACTAACTTTCGTTTCCGACCTTCCGAAAGACAAAATCGAGACAAAAAAAAAATGGAAGCAGATCTCCTGCGCACCACAGCAGTGTCAAAACTGACTGATCAACTGGATCTACTTCAGTTCTTTTCCCAGAACACCCAGCTAATGGCCACCAGTCGGATAGCACCAGGCCGCGTCGTCCACCGCCGCGCGCCGTGCTGAAAAAAAAACCATGGTGTGCATTTATGTTTACATCTTTTTGGGCGAAAGAGCATTCTAGAGACGACACTTTGTCCCTTGATGACATTAGAAACTGAAACAGGTCTGTGCAGTGACGCGGGTGATCATCTGCTGTGTGACATATTGTAATCCAGTTCGGTATCGCAAAATTCTACAAGTGAGATATCTACTACTTTCTTTGACTAGCGCGGTTTCAATCTTTTCCGTAATGATAAAGCGCCAGGAGGAGTTTGCTTTTTCATCGTTCCCCGCCAATCCTTCGTGAAGGAGGACTTCTTGGAAGTGTCAACAAAATCGCTTTTCACATTTCTGGGATCAAAATTGAAGTGCACGTCCCATTCTTTGGTGGTCCCATTTCTTGCCGCACTGTTCACTTTGGCCGTGGCGGCCGCTGCGGTGGAGTCCGAGACCTTTTCGGTGTCGTCCACAATAGACTTCAGGGCGTTGTCCTGCTGCTGTCCTTCGACGATGAGAGGTTTGAGCACCTTATGCTTCCCGCGGAGGGGCGTTTTCGCCTCCAGGGAGAAAACCAGAACGTACAAAAGGTACATGAACACCAGCGCCGAGGCCATCAAGCCGAAACTGTATGTGGTACGGTAGAAAAGGAGAAACTCTCTGTCGACGCCGGTAAGAGCAGGAGGTGCGTGCTGGAGAAGAGAAAATTTTGCCCGCAACGAAGTCTCCTTGCTCTTCTTCGCAGGCAGAACGATCAGATCGCCTTTGCTTGTCATCTTTCGGGGGAGTTGATGAACTTCTTGCAGCTGTGGGATACTATCCGAGAACGAGCTGGCCGCAGTCTCCACCGATTCTGGAGCGCTGAAGATATCGTCGGATTTTGAGGACGCGCTGCTAGAAGACGAAACCGATCCGACAGCCGTGCTGGCGGTTCGAGCTGTTGAATATTGTGATTTCGCGGAAGTTCTTGCGTGTCCGCCTCCACCAATGCGAGCAAGATTTGAAGTTGTAGGCATTTTCTTCACGACGAGCTCCTGTTCAATCTCTTCCTCTTCTTCCGTTGACAAGATCACGTCTTCAAAGCCTTCGTTGGACAAAGCGGACTGAGTCTCTTCTGGCTGTCCGAAATTCGAGCCCAGATAGATTCGCTGTTCCAAAATAGGCGGAAGTGCGAAAAGATCAACGTCGTCCGCATTTTTCGCAGGTGTTGCGATCAGCGGTGGTTCGTCGTCATCTGAAATTTCAGTTTGGTCTTGCGAGTTTGTTTCTACTTCCGTGAATACACCAGCGCTTACGATTTCCTCTGTTTCTGGCGAACAACGCGTCGTGGAGCTAGTATCGCTCGCCGTTGACAGAACCAGCAAATCTTCCGGAGTCAACCTGTACTTCGACAGAAGCTTCTCAAAAAGCTCGCCCCGGTTGTAGAGAAACAGGCCCGTGCAGAGCAAGAGCGTGCACCAGACTAGGAGGAGAATACCGCCAGGAAAAGGCTGGTGGAACAGGACGATACTTCCGATCAGCACCATCAACAACGCCACCACCTGCGCCAGGTCGCACTGCACAATGTCCAGTTGCTTGATCACGAAGGAATGCAGAATCGTGTTCCCCGCCTCTAACACCGCCATCAGCCAGGTTTTTACAGTCCAGCGGTGGAAAAAATTGTTGGTGAGAAGATTCAGCAGGTCGAGAATTCCCGCACTGCTGTTTTGCTCGAACAAGCTTCGTTTGTCCTCGTTCAGTAGAGACACAGGAGACATGAGATCATCGTGCACGTTGTGGCGCATCCTCTGTCGCTCCCGAGGGCGAGGGCGAATGAGCAGGCCCTGCTGATTGTTGTTCGCGGTCGCAAGGTAGATCGCGAGTACGAGGATGGAAAACGCGGATAGTTGCAGGTTGCGGACAAAAAACGACCAGCCGGGCGTCTTGAAGAACGTCTCGAGGAGAACTCCGGACAATCCAGAAACGAACCCACAATACACCGTCGCGATCTCGGCAACCTGGACGGACGTCAGCGCGGACTGGGGCAAAAGTCGACAAGCCGTTGTGTCCACGTCAACGGGGAAGGACGAAACGAGGAGAAAGAGTGCGGCCGCAGACGTGGACAGCCCGAGTAACTGGTAACTGTTGCAGATGCGCGAGAGGAAAAACGTGCTGAATGCGCAGGCGAAGAAGATTCGGGTTTGCATCAGCACCGTATAAGTGGAAGCGTCCAGGCAGCCGACCGCGAAAATTTGCAGCTGATTCTGTCCTGCGTAGAGCGTGGCCGGGATCGCGAGGGGCAGGACATTACGGAGAAACGGGTTCTCCGTGGTTCCGGGGGGTACGGATATCTGCATGTTTGCTGCTTCATCTGTAGTCGCACCTTTTCCGAATGATGATACCGCTCTTTCGTCACCGGCACTCGCACCAGCAGCTCCTCTTGACGGAAACCAAAACTTCCGCCAGTAGTCGCGAACGTGTCTGCGAACCTGTTCCGCTCTTGAACTGACAATGTCGATAACACGAGAAAAGTTTACTTCCTCCCCAGTGCCATAATTGCCCGCAAGTTTACTTCCTCGTGGTAGAAAACACGACGGCTCGCTTTCTTCCGGCCTAGCACCGGTCGCGGCAAGGAATAGCTCTATCCGCGGCTGTTTTTCGAAAAACCAAATAGCAATCACGCATGCGACACAACGGAGAATTTCAGCGACGAGGATGAGATGCGACACGCGGAACTTGTTCTCTTCAGGGTCCACTAGACAGTAGCGACGCAGCAACACGTTGGCACCCTGGTAGCAGGCGAAAAGCACCAACAGGAATATCGGCTCCATAGTGTGCGGGGATATTAACTTCGAAGTTTCTACTAATGCGGAATAATTCTGATTTCGTTGTGTCAGAAGCCCTAGACAAGCAAATAAACCTTCAACTTTCCAAGTGAAGAAGTATGTTTGTGGCGAACTAAAATCATGGAAGTTGCCTAGGCATAGCGTCGAGATAATTTTCGTCAATACTAGATCACGTAGAAAGACTGCCACTTTCACTTGATCTCCTCTCGTGCAGTTTCGAAAGGGCTTACCTCTGTCCTTTTCTCTCTCCCGTTTTATTTTTGTTCACTCGCTCAGAGAAGAAGAAACTTGTCCCCTTTCGTGTCGTTAACATCGGACGCGGAACAAAAAAACCAGCCGTGCGTACAGCCGTGATTATTTCGGAAATTCATATGTTCGACTTTTTGTTGCGACGTTTTCTTGTACGTGGCGAAACAGAATAAGGGACAAGCGTAATTCGAAATTTGTTTGTTCCTGATTATCGACAACTCGCGTTTCATTTTCTTTTTCATCAACCTATCAAAATTAGTTTTCTTCTTCTCCGATTCGTCTTCGCGTCCAATGTTCTACTCCGAATTTCGTGTTTGGCGTGCCGCTGCTCCCCTGCAAAAATCTTCCATCCGCACTCGGTCCCAACAAACTGGTCTGCGTCACCCGCTTTCGCCGACGACCCGCTCTTGAATCTCCATATGATTTTCTGCAGCTGCTCCGCTTCTTTTGTCTTCATTGCGACGAGAAAAATTCGACGCGTCAAGGACAGGTTGCTCTTGCCCGATTCAGGAAACACGTCCGCACTTCCTTCGCCGCCCGAAAAGCCTAAGAACTCATACGTGCCGGGTGAAACTAGGATGATAATAGATCCTTCGTACAGTGACCTTTCTAGTACGCAAAAAAACTGTAGTACACTCCTTTGTGATTACGCTCGCTCAAAGTGAAACTCATGTTGTTGAAAAAAGAACCGATTGCGCTATTACTGTCTGAATGAATTTGAAACTGAAACAAATCGAAGTACAAAATAACCGGAGGTCATACTAACATCACGAAACACACAAGAACGAAGAAACGCTGTTTTTAAAAATCAGAAGATACTTCTTATCTCTTTCTCCCCTCTAAGCATGCCAACTAAAGTAACTTCTCTATCTGAAGGTAAACGATTTTGAAAAAGTAGCGATCAGCTTATGCCTTGCCTTTTGTTGAACTGCTTTTTTTTCTTCCTACGATTCTCATTCTATACATAAGTACGGAAATAATTATTTTCAGCGCTATGCGCTGCGCCCTGAAATAAATCCGGCGCCATACCATTTCTGGAGCCACCTTATCGCGTGTGTAGAATCCGTCGGCCTGTTCATCACATGACAGCGGAGACCTAACAGCGAGGCAGCACGTAGAAATCGTAACCCGGCGCGAGAGGGACGAGAAACCAGTAGCAACTGCGCCGCATGATCCTTGCGAGCCCGCGTACGGCTGCAGCCTCCACTACGCACTCGCGAACGCCGGCTTTCAAGGCCTCTTTTGCAGTGCGCGGCGACAGATCGATCCTTGGGCGCCACTATGCATGAGAATAAAGTTGCTTCCGCAGTAGAGAGGTGCGTCGTCCTGACGAATTGCGGGGTGGCAGTAGGTCGAACAAGAAGAACCTAGTAGTAGTGCAGCAAACTGCTGTTTGCACTTATTCCCCATTTGCGCTCCGCATCGCAAAGGAGTGCACGAGAAAGCTGCACGCAGCCAGTGGAACTGCGCGGGTTCACTTTCATCTTCATCTGGGGGTGGTTTTATATTCTCGATCTCGTACAAATTTGGTTTCGCATTGTGGAAAATGCGAAGAAGTCGGGCCTTCGGTAATCCCCGCGAAGCGAAGCTGCAGGACACGACCGTGCTCTTTCTTCACTTCCTCTTCTTCAACCGAGAGGTAAATCTCTGTGTCGTTCTAGCAGTGGTAGCTCGTTCTTGAGTACAAAACTCAACACAGAACTACAGAGGAGCAGGCGCTGCTTTGTTCACATCCACATGTGGTCACAGAAGTGCTGTCCGGTGGCGCATTAAAGTCAATCTGGACAACTCCGCAGGTTGTTGTTCGAAAATTTTTCCGGAGGCAGAGGATGGAGAAGTGAAGATGTTCTGGTTCATTTTACGACGGCATGTCCAGCTTTCCTCGTTGTACTAAACGACAGCACAACAGTGAGTCGAAGGCGGTTCTTGTTCGCAAAGATCGCTGGTTGCTGCTGGTCCAACATCCTTCGACCTTCCACTTCGAGGGGGACGAGGGAAGGTTCCTTCTTCGAAAACAAGCAGTGCTCGTGATTGCGTTGCAGTAGAATCGTTCTCCGATCTTGGTTTTTGGATTACTTCTTTACGCTTAAAAACTGCTGTTGGATGTTGAGTCAAACTGTTGGATAAAACTGTTAAAAGCTGCTGGTTTGTTGCTTACAGGTGAAATGTCAAAAAATTGCTGCTGCATGCGGTCTGTGCTGGTGCAAGTGGTCGCGTCGTGTTGTACAAGAGGAGAAAGTGGTGAAAACGAAGGAACAAGGGCATGTGCGGTGAAGGTTGACGCTGGACTACATTCGATGATCAAAGACTAGTTCACTATCGAAGATTATCGTGTACTTCGTCGTGTTATCGGTTTTTTCTTCTTCGTCGTTAATTATGTCCGCTTCGCTTACGCCTCGGGCTTCATGTAGTTGTCGAGTTCATCGTCCATGCGCTCCTTGAGCACGTCTTCGCCCATGTACTCGGCCAACTGCTTGTCCAAGTCCTCGCCGGTGGCCGGCTTCCCGTTCTTGCCCTTACCCTTGCCCTTCTTGCCCTTTCCCTTACCTGTAGCGGTGGTTTTGAAAAAGGTCGTGTTGAATTCGTGGTACAGTGGCTACATAACCGTAGAAGTTGCGAACGTGTAGTACTTATTTTCGCTATACAATCGAATCGCAGACGTCGCACAGCGCGCTGCAAGTTGTTGACTAAATGTCTCGAGTTAGTAGATTAAGATGAAACCAGAACAGCAAGCGAAAATACCTTTCTTCATTGCGGACTTGCCGCCCTTGCCAGCTCCCTTGGTCGTCTTCTTTCCGCCCTTGCCAGCACCCTTCTTCTGGTCTTTCCTGACGACGCCTGGATTGTTCATTACGAAAGCTGCATCGAAGATATTTGGTGCTGGTTTTAAAAAAAGAACTCGCCACTCGTCCGCGGCATGCAGTCAGCAATGCGCACAGGCTGCTGGATGGCAGTTCGGTGCTGTCATGGAGAAACATAAAAATCTATCAACCACAAAATCTTCTTACCCTTGCTGCCCTTCTTTCCGCTCTTTGATCGTGCCATGCCCATTTTGAAGGAGTTTTTGGGGGTGATTAAACCGAAGGTTAAATCGATTGCCGTGTGATTGGCTTGTTGTCTGCAACAAAACAGTCCTAAGGAAAAACCCTAAAAACCTTACAAGAAGTTATCGTTGTCCTAATATACTCGAAAGTATAAAAATCAATAGCGGTTCTTCTAGGAAGAGATCTAGCTGCTGCGGAAGAAAAAATGATGGAAAGAAAAGTGAACTTCTTGAGCTGCGTATCTATAGATTCACACTACATTTTGACCCATTTTGCAACGTCACCTTTGATACAGTGATTTTGATTGCCTCTTGCATATTCTTATTCAGGATCATCTTTAGGAAAATGCATCTTGTCCCAGCACGAGCAAAACAAGGAAACTTTCACATGGAAGGAATTTTGCTGTACGTCGAGATCGCGTTTTTTGGCTGCCATCGAAAAGGATCTTCTGTACGAGTACGACCCCCCACGGGATAATAAAGCACAGGCGCAGTGGAGTAGCTATTTAGCCTTGCATTGATAACGTGTGAGAAAACTACGAACAGGCTTTCCACGTAGTAATTTAATACAAAATGGCAGTACCTCTACATGTCAGGCACTTTCTCGAGACGCTCGCAGTTTCGCTTATTCTGACTTTCAGTCACAGTCGTTTCTTATTGTTTCATACAGATACACTTCATCGTCGATAGTTTTTCAATTTCAACATTTACACTGACTCGAAAGGCGCTTAGCTAGAGCTATTGTATCCAAAAAGCCATTGAAGTACAAAGAAAGTTCTGCTAGTAGCTGAACCACTGGAAATTGACAAAAGTTCCTCGTCGTGCTTTTTATTCATCGAATATTTCTACGGCTCTCATCATCGCAGAGCAAAGTATCATTGTTGTAATGTTGACCTTTTTTTTTGTTCATCGTGAGACCTAATAAATGCAAAATCACCAACTCTTGTTTCTAGACTCGTGCAAAATCAATGCGGAAAGAGAAAGTTTGTTGCAAAAATGCTAAATGACTTTCCGACGAGTAGTTCTGTTGTATCTCGCTCGCGGTCGAGGACGAGCACCGTTCCTATATATTCGTTCTTGGCGAAGTAGTTGCTAGTTCGATAGGCTTTGTGTTGAAAAAAATCTCAACCTCAAGCTCAACATAATTCGACGTGGAAATAAATAATCCACCGCTCTCAATACATCATCTCCTCGTCTTCGTCCTCCTCGGGAATGGTTTCCAGGTGGCACGGGACAAAGTCGATCAGTTTGCTGATGATATCGCGGCGGTCGAAGAAGTAGAAGTGTTCGATGTCTGCGCACTGACAAAGAATCTGCTCGGCATCCACCGTTTTTTCTTGCAAAATCCAGGCGTCGTCAATCGGGTGACCCGGGTGGTCCATTACCTCTTGCCGAAACTCCTCAACAAACGTGTCATGCTTGAGGTCCGGCGACCCGGACCAGTTGCTCAGGGGGGACAAGCCGGCAGAGGCCTTGGACTCCTGCTGCTGAAGCCACGGCTTGCCACCGGACAGGAGCTGGTTTCCGGAGGAGGACGCGGGTTCTGATGGGATCATAATTAGTTGCGTTTTCAAAACGTCGAGTAACGGACTTTCACGAAAGGATAAAACGATTAGCAGGTCGTGATAAGTCCAAGTTCGTTGGAACAAGAAAGAAATGGATGCTAACGCAGCAAAAGAAAATTAAAATCCAACTATTCGAACAATACGCCTCGGGCTGATGTTCGCGCTGGGAGAAATCGGCTTCATGCGGATCGGGGAAATGCTCGTGTTGTTAGAGCGGCGGTTTCCCATGGCCTGCAACGGACTCGGATTCCCCCGCGCGCGCCCGCGACCGCTGCGGGCCGGAGACTTCTCCTCCGACAGAAAATCGTAGCGCCCGCAGGGACTACCGCTTCGGCGCGCTTGCGGCATCACATCTTCGGCCTTGACGAAAGGACTTTTGCTCGAAAAGCCGACGGGCGTCCGCGGTGCCGGGCTGGAAAATTTTCTAAAAACAAGTGAGATCCGACAAACACTGTCTCTGCTCACAATTATTCCTTCTTGATGCTCGCCCTTTCGCATCTTCATTCTGCTGGAGGTGGGAAGCAAATCTGATACTTCGATTTCCGATTTATTTCCTAGTAAGAAGAATAAATGTACTTGAAGTTTTGGCCCATCGCTCCAGCTGAGAGTCGACCGTCACGGTTCCCGAACGGCGATATAAATTTCCCAGGAACCTTACCTCTCGGACTGCGAGCGCTGTACAGCTCGCTGCCTTCCAGAGATCCTCGGTGCGGCGATATAGCAGCTATGCCTGTAGTTTCAATAAAAACGCCGTTGAACAAAAAATGTATGTGTAGTTGAAACTGAAAGGCAGCTCACAACAATAAAGATGGATTAACACCTAAATGGAGAAGCTTCATCAATACCGATCCCCAATCGTGATGAAGATGCTGCTGCGTGGGATAAAAAAGGAGCAGCACTCGTCACCGCCCCAGGCGCAAGCGGCAGCCTGCTCATGCCACTCGTCGGTTGCTTTGGCGGCAGAAACGACCCCACCTGGGGCTGGTCCCCGCCGGACCCCTGCGAGGAGGAGTTTTTGTTTTTCGGACTGCTTTTGTGCACGCTGCTCATGCTCATGCTGCTACTCCCCGACATCGGCGCCATCATCGCCCCACGCGCATCCTCGTCTCCCGTGATCTGGTGCAGCTCCCGTCGATTCTGGTCCCCGAACACGTCCTCGTCCTCATCCAGTAACGGCCCCGCTTGGAGATGATCCCTCCGCGGCGTGTGGTGTATCAAAAGCAAAAATCCCCCCTCCCCCTATCAAAATGGAAATTTCTGATGCTGATTTGCGTACACAAATCCGATTTGTCTTGCAGTAACGCACTCCGGCCAGATCCGCAGCCTAGCTGGGAGCGCTCAGGTCTAGTTGTTCAGCATTGCAAATGGCCACCCTCTAGGACCAACAGCATGCAAAATCGCTTCACGATTGGGCGGATGCCTCTGCGCTTTTCTTTTTGCAAGACAAACCTGATTTGTGGTCACAAATCAGCAACACAGATTTTCGGAAACATACCTTTTCAATATGGGGAGGGGGGACTTTTCCTCTCAATATGGTGGGACTGCTCTTCGCTGTGGGGCGTTTTGTACATCAGTCCGCTCCGGTCCGCGCGCGGAGTTTTGTTTTTGTTGTACCGGCCTTGCTGCGAAAGATTTTGACGATAATCACCACTAATGTTTACAGAATTGTTATTTTCCTGCTCAAACAGCGTGGCGCCGGGAAGATCTTGATAAGATTTTTGGTGCTGCTGATTCTGTTGTGTACTAGTCTCTATTTCTTTCTTCTCCGATCCAGACACATCCATCGCACCATCCTCTTCCTCCTTCTCCTCCCCGAAATGCACGCGGTTCAAGTCGTCGAAGACGGTAGTTTTTTGATTCCACCGCGGCTCCTCTGCTTCCTGCGGTTGGGATGATCCTCCACTGTTCATCTGCTCTAGCACCTGCGGTCCGTTGAGTTCGGTTGGCGTTTTGCGGAAAAGCAGCCCGGTCAAATCGTTCTGTACGTCGATTTTCAACGGTGACGGTGACTTCATGGCGGCGCTCTGCACGGGGCCGATGCCACTGTCATCCGCGCCGGCGTCCAGGGGCGACGGGCCAGCACTTGCGAAAGCGTCGTCTGTGCGGAAATCCGTGCTGCCCAGCCGCGTGGTTGCGGCGTGGAGCAGCAGTTGCCCGTCGGGCGGGGGTTCGTCTTCCGGAAGCTCCGGAGAGAAGTGGTCTTCGAACTCCGGCGTGAACACGGTGTCTAAAATCTTCGGCCGGTGTTTCATGTCGCGCAGAATCGCTTTGGTGTCCTGACTTAGCGCAAGCGGGTCCGTTTTTTCTTCGTGCTTTGCCTTCCTTGCCGGGGTCACTTCTCGTTTGGAGAAATCTTGCTGGGAAATCGAACTGCCGTTGTCTTTTTTGCTCGACTCTTCGGCGCTGCTGTGGCTGTGCAAAAAAGCAGGAGCATTATTTTGATCCTCCCGACCTCGATTCGCATCTGCCGCTGTTGTCGAAGAAAGCCGCATTTTTGCCTGAGCAACCAGCGAACGCGTGTCCTGAATTTTAGAATTCCAGGTACTGTGGTCACTCTTCGAACGCGCACCGTGTGCAGAGGAAGATGAGCTACTGGAAGCGGAACTGCTGCTGCCTCCTTGCTGCAAATTTTTATCTGCAGTCTGGCCAAACAAACCCGAGCCTGACGTCGCTCGGTCTTTTTTGTTATTCGTCGTGTCGCTCGAGCTTCGGTTTGCACCGAAGATCGACGTTGACGCTGGCCCGCGGTTCGTCTGAGAAGACGAAGCGGACGAGGATCCTGTGCCGGAAATAACGGTTCTTGCGTTCTCCTGCAACGTAGTTCCTGTTTGCTCACTCCCGCCAGCGACGGAGCTGAGCTTCGACGACGCGGTGGAAACCAGGGCTGTTCCTTTACTCGCATTGCTTCTGGTTCGCTCGAACAGCGCGCGGGCGCGCTCCTTGGCTGCGAACGCCCGGCTCACGCGCGACTCGGCGTTTTGCTCCGCGACGGCTGCTGGCGCAGTCGCGTCCGCAGGTGGTTTTTCCGGTGGTGATTTGTTTTGCAGCGAGATCATACTGACGTCGGGGTCGTTGATCTTGCCCGTGCGGTCCACCAACCCTCCACTTGGCGCTCGTAATTCCCCGCGCCGCCCGATGCGGTCGACTTGCTCTCCCTCCTCCTTTGCGTTTTCGAACCGTCGCCGGGCCGCTTCGAAACTGGCGGACCGCGACCGCGCCCGAGCAGCCGCGCCACTGGGTTGCTGCTCAGCTGCTACTCGGGAGTCGCGGTCTTTCTCCTGTTGCTGCGAAGAACTTTCCGCTTTTTTTTCCTGCATTCGCCTGCTGCGGTCCGCCACCCGTTGCTGCAGATTCTCCATCAGCATCATCTCTTTTTCGTCCTCCGCGGCGGTCCGCTTCGGTGGCGTTTTGCTCTGGCGAAAGGACGAGCTGCAACCGGCCGCCGCCGCAGCTTGTTCTAGCTGCGCCTGCGGTCCCGCATTTGAAGAAGAAGATGTCGCTGATGTTGAGAACAACGCGCTAGAAGACGAACTCGCACCACCACCCTGGACGACGAAAAGTGCTGCTTTGCTCTGGTCCACGCTCCTGCTTGCATGATTTTGTTGAGCAGTCATCACGCCGGTCATTGGATCGTCTTCCTTCATTTCTCTTTCAGCAGAGAAAGACGCGGAATTATTTTTTTCTTGTTTCTCACTGCCGAAAGCGCCCACGCCGCTCTCGTCGGACGGTCGCCCGCCGCGTCCACGCGCGGACACCGGCGTAGTGGACCGCGGCGTTTGTCCAGACGGCGTGCGTTTGAACCATTTGGGGTAATTCTTCCTCTGATCGCTCGTGGGTGTCTGATTCTTCTGCAACTGAGAGACCGACGAGTCCTCGGTTGCCGGACTGATTCCGGCGACGTCCGGTTTCTGCCACGGCGTGCTCACGTGGGTTTTGGTCGGCTTCTGAGGTGGTTCGGAGCTTGGTGGGTTCTTTAATTCCACCGTAGCCTGCTTTTGCCTCTCTGCAGATGATACGTGTGATGAATACTTCCGTTGCAGTGGCGTTTTCCCGGCGGCTGGACTCGCGTGCTGTGGCCCTCGTACTGGAGGAGCACTAGAACTGCTCGACCCACCACCAGACGTTCCAAAATCCTTTTTCGCGCTGTGGCGTCCGGCGCTGCGTGCAGAGGAGACATCCGGTAAACCAAGCTCTGGTGGCGGACTCGGACCGCCCAACTCCACAAGGCTCGCTCGCGCACTTGCTGGTGGAAGGCTGGTGTGGGTTTTTTATTTACTACATTACGCATTCACGTCGAAATCCACTCCGCTCTGTGCCATCTGTGCCATCTGCTATGCAAATAAGAAATCAAAAAAAATAAATACTTTTGCAGCTCTTCCGCGACCGTGTACAGCAATGTCTCCGTCCAGTTTGGTTTTCGCAACTTTCGTCGAAATTCCGGCACTGGCGTGCCCCGCGGCGCGGCACAACGCAGCTCCGCGGTCGTCTGCGCAAAGGCGCTCCGCGAACACACGCAGTCCTGTGGAATACGAAAGACACAGCCGTCTGAACTGCTTTCGTCGACGGCAACGGGCTCGGACTCCGCATCGGATACAAGTTCTGGATTGAAATCGCGCAGCTCTAGAGAATTATTATCATGCAGCTGGTTATTTTCAGCTTCTCCTGCGATCCCCAGCTGTTCCTGTTCGGACGAAAAATCTTTCCGCAACGACGGTCCCGGCGCAATAATCTCCGGCGACGACTCGGAGCTTTTCGGCTCATGTTGCTTCTTCGCTAAGGCGTTCTCCTCGCCAAAGAGAATGTTGCTGTCCATGCGGATACTGAAAGAGCTCTCGCCCGGCTCGGCGTGGTGATCCGTGACAATCCCCGTGCTGGTGCCGTTGTCTGGCAACAAACCGCGACTCGCGTCGAACTCGGCCTGCTGTTCTTGGTGTTCTTTTTCCAGCACGTCCACCTCTTTTAGAATCCGCTCCCCGCTGCTTTCGATATTGTTGTCTCCGGAGTCGGGCTGGACGGCTACTGCGGCGCCAGGACTGACATTCTCGCCTCGTGCCTCTCTCGCACGCGGTAGTGCAGCATGATTGCCCTCTGGTGCGGCCACGACTCCTGCGACTACGTTTTTCTTGTTCGAGCTACCACCGCCAAAGGTTGCGACGCTTGCCACCGAGTCCCGGGCGCGGCGCGGGTCGCTGTATGTCCCGTAGAGATTCGGCTCGGGCGGCGAGCTACTGTCGGGGTGCGCAGGACTCGTGTGCAGCGGCAAGCCGATTCCTGGGCTTGGCACGCCGAAGCAGGGCAGGCGATCCTCGTCCTTCTCTCCTGGGCTGGGCGGTGGCTTCCGCGGCGATGATAGTTGCCGCAGCGAGCTCTTCGTCAGCTTTAAGCTGCTTGTGGCAGCAGGTGGTGCGAGATCGTGGTCTTGCGCACTTGCTTCTTGTGGTCTACTCTGCTCTTGATCCCCGACATTGTTGTTCGCCGCTGGTGCCGCGACCGGCGGTGCCGCAGCCGGAGGAGCAGGGGCCACTTCATCTTCTGGAAGCAATCTCTCCTCGGATGGGTTTCTGTTCTTCGCCGGCTGCAGGACGATCTCCATCGGCTGCGGCTCTACCCGGCTCGTTGTACTCGACGTTGCAGCCCCTGCGGCCCGTGCTGCTGATTCCACGGTCTGCAGCGATTTCGACCGTATCTGGTTCGCTCCCGCGTTGGGCGACGGATGTCGTGTCTGCCGCGAGGAGGACGGCGGGTTCCTTGTTGCACCTCCCCCGATCCTTCCGGCGGAGGAAGATTTTCGCACCTGCCCGCTTTCCACGCTCATGCTTTCGTGCAGAGACTGCTTACGGGTTAACGTTCTCGAGGACGCGGGCGGTATGGTCCGTCGGCTCTCGCTTGCTTTGGTCCCGGCCTGGAACCCGCCCCGGGCAGTGACCGAATTGCTTCGGCTGGGTGTGCGGGCGCGCGGGACGCTGGACCCGCCCCGGTCGCTGGACATCGAAGTCGACAGCAAGTTGGACGGGGCGAGCACAGCCACTTTGCCGGAAACTGGCCTGGAAGAAACCGACATGGCGGCGCCAGCTCGACTGCGCGAGGCAGTGGATGCTGGCCCGGTAGGAAGGTGGTGATGGCCACTGCTGCTCTGGCCGTAAAGACTACTCCCGGAGTTGAAGAACGCCGGCGGGTCTTTGTGCGACTGCGGAGTCGTCCCGGCGCTCGCGTAGGTCGGTTTCGAGTTCATCTTTCTATGCTCCCCGCCGCTCTGCGGAAGCGCCCCATGACTCTGCGTGCCGGCAGGTTTGTTCTTCGGCGGCAGTCTGCGAGCCGCAGAGCCCCACAGATTCTGAGGTCCTGCTGGTGCGTCTGCGTGCAGGTGCACGTGCTTATTGCCATCATTATATTTGGGAGGGGCAGAGGAGGACGAGGAGGTTGCAGGTACCGTTCCACCACTCTGAAGACCCGTGCCTGCGCTGCCAAATAGCAGCTTGGACGAACTGCTCGGGTGCGCGGGCAGGCTAACACTTGGCTGCGGGTCGTGAGCGTCGGGCATTTCTTCATCCACGACAACGTCCACCGCGGAATTGTGCAGCGAGTTCGGTACCGAACTGACGTAACCATGCTCGCGCAACGCCTCCCGCGTAAAGCCCGGCTTGTAAACCTGTGCACCAGCAGCCAGGGTGGCGGCATTCGGCTGGGGCGGCCGTCGCCTCGCGCCGCACAACGAAGGTCGCCCAGGCTCGTTCTCCTTGTTGTGCTGAGCGTGCCGTCGCGGACTCGAGCTGAAGGTCGCGGGACCGGCAGACGACCCCGACCGCGCATGGCCGGAGGAGCTACTGCTGGCCCCAGGAGGCTTATGCGTGTCAGGTGCGCGAGCCGTGCCGAATCCACTGGTGTGCTTGCTGTTGCTTTTGATATTTTGGTGCGAGCTGGTGGTTGCGCCCGTCGGTAACCTAAAAGCGTTCAGTGTTAGCTCTTATTGGGCACCATCCTAAGTTCGATTTCGAACACTAACACAGTTCTGTCTTCATCAAGAAACTTCTTTTATGCAATCGCACACATCTTCACAGAAAAAAAAGCAAGTCGGCCCAACAACATGATGTTACTGCGCAGTCGGCGAGGCTTTCCCAGTTCGCTTCTGCTCCTGCCACAGACGAAGCTGTTCCCGCCTTGATAACAGCTGCGCCATCTTGTTTCTTTCTGCGCTTTGGCCTACTTTCAGCTACGCATATTAGCCACGCTTCCATGGAACATTTTCTGGAGTTCCGTACGTCTCCCTTTGTTCTACACCACGTGCGCGGCACAGAGTTTCGTTTGTGCTAGTTCTTTTTCAGATTTCAGTTTTATTTACCGGACACTGTATAATAAGCAAGGCCACAACCACAGTAACAGATCAAGAAAATCATCCAGCTGTACATCGACAACAAAGCCGTTTCGTTATCTGCTTTGCGAGGTCACGAAAAGATTTTCAAATGAAGATCGACAGCGAAAAATCCTGTGGTATCAAAAAGAAAACAACCACACGAAGAAGCAAACACCTGGCACGACACTAAAACTAACTCAGGGCTTTTCTTTGCGCCGATTGAGCAAATCTCTCTCACTCACTACGCCGAACCGAACGAACACATGATCAAGGATTGTGCCTTAGTTGGACGTACTGTTTCCTGCTTGTGGAGCGACTAATACCTCTCTTGTTGCAATTTTCTTTCGAGCGAATGGGATTGCGTTTGCGCGGCTTCTTTACCGCTGCATATGTCTCTGCCAAAAAAAAAAGCTCCAATAGCTTACTTGCGTCGGTATAATAAAGAGTTTTCAACTCAGTCTGTTGCAATGTGGAATATAATTGATCGCCATCATCATCATACATCATCATCATGCTTGTGCGTGTCCTTTGTTTCTTCGTCGTCTCATTTAACTTATGAGTGGACGGGCACCCAGTACTGCTTTATCCGGAATGACCCGACAGTCACTCCGCTTGCCAGGTATTTTCCTGGCATTTGTAGAAAGCGATCCCGCGGGCATATTTCATTTCTCGCCCTGTGTTCTCACAAAAACCTTCATTGTCCACGTCGAACTGCACCCGGTCGTCTTCTTCGAGGTGCCAAACTTCCCTTCGTTGGCCGGGTAAACGCACCCAGCCGAGCAGTTATCAACAGTGATGCCCACTTCATTCATCTTCAGGTTGTTTTTTGCTTCTTCAACTTCGGGGACGCACCGGAATGGTTCTGTACCTGGATATCCTTAATTTCGATGCCGTTGGTCTTGAGCTCCTCGATCGTGCGCTGGAAGTACCCCGGATCCGGGTAGCCGTGGCCGTGCGCTCCGACCTGCTTCACGGTCGTTTTCAAATGAATGTTGAAGGTGGGTCCAAACCGCCCCCCCGTGAGCCGGTCGCCCAGTCCAAACATCAGTCGGCGTTTGAACGCAATTTTGAAAAGTTCCAGCAAGGTGGTGCCCTCCTTGTTAATAGGCAGAAAGGCGTTCTCGCTTCGCCCATGGTACGCCTTCTGCTCCTCCACTGAGAACCCAGCCGGGAAGTCGAAAGTGACTTGCAGCATGTGTGTGGTGGGTTCGGTCCCGGCCAGCGTACCAAGGATGGAAGACCACGACATATTTCCGTCAGGCATCTTCCCGATATTCAGCGTACACAGCTGCGCGCGGCACTGCGGACATTCCTTTTTGCCGTTTTTGAACCAGCCCGAGAGGCAAGACTTGTGAAACGTGTGCGAGCAGTAGTTGCTCAGGCACACCCCGCTTCGTGCCGTCGGATCGGGGTCTTCCTCGTCCAGGCACACTGAACACGCATTGGGGAGCGGATTCGGAACTTCGTGCCCAAGAAGCTGGACGTCCACGTGACCCGTACTGTCTCGCTGCAGCAAATCGCTTGCGGGGATATACCCATGCTTCTCAAAGTTCTGGTGGATTTCGACGCCCGGGAAGCAATCATCGCGGCGGTAGTGGCCTTCCCACCACATCGCGGCGACTGTGGTGGGAAGTACAAGTACAGCTGCACTGCTGCTGGCTGGTGTCGCCGCCAGGAAAGACGAAGAAGGCGCTTTTGCTCCGGCGAATGATGCCACCGCTGCACTGCTGCTGGCTGTCGCCGCCAGGGAAGACGAAGAAGGCGCAGCTGCTCCGGCGGATGGTGCCACCGCTAAATTAGCAAGCCCCGTTGCCGCAAGCGCCCGCGCTCCTAACGTCCAATTCCCCGTCCCGGCAACAACTCCGGCCGCCGATGGCGCCAGCGGATCAGAACTATTTTGGTGACTGCGATTCGACGGCGCCTGGAACGGAGGTTGATAGGCCGAGAACCCACGGACATGGGGAAAGACATAAGAGGAAGCATACGTCGGCCCATGGGACGAGCGACGTGCACCCGACGCGGTCACGTGATTACCCGTCCTGTGGTTCTGGTCCTGCAGTAGCGCCCAGCAGGCTGATTCGCCGGGCCCCGGCGGGATGGCCTTGAAGAACTCAACAAACGCCTTCTGCTGCACTGAAAAATCCACGTCCGCAAACGTGATTCCCTCGCCCGCCAGCTTTTTGATCGTGGTCGTCCAGTAGCTCGGGTCTGGCCACCCGTAGGCACCTGGTTGGTTCCACGTTTTGATGCGAACATGGAAACAAGGCGAGTACTGCTTGTTCGATTCGCGATGGCCGAGCTTGGACATGACGCCTTTCTTGAACGCCACCTGGAAAAGGTGCAACAGACACAGCCCCATCGGGTTCCGCGGCAGATAGCACGTTTCTTCCCGCCGGGCGTACGCGCGCCCGTCCGCATCTTGCCCTGCGTTGAAGCTAAATTCGACTTGCAGCGTGTTGAAATTTTCATACCCCGTGCACGAACACAGAGCCGTATTCCAGGACAGTGCCCCCTCGGGTTGCACACCCGCTCGGACCGACACCGCGGTAGCCGTACGCGCGATCTCCTCCGGTCCAATGCCTACGCCCACCGATAGCTTGTCGACTATGAGTTTCTCCAGCTTCTCGTTGAGTTCGACCTTCAAAGTCCTCCACTGCAGTTCGTCTTGCGCGCCGGAACTGGCATAATTCGCTTCGTCTTCCACGAAATATTTTGCGCCGTGGTTCTCCAGTTCGTCCAGATTCCTGAAACGCAGCTTGCTGCGTTTTTTCGTCACAAAATTTTCGACGGAAAACTCCAGCGTATCTAGTCGACGCGCTTTGCCCAAGTGTTTCCGCAGTATCGCCTCCGCGACCTGACCCTCTCTCTCGCCCAGCTTCTTTCGGAACTGCGGAAAGGAATACAGGTCAAAAAAGGACGGCACCAGGCTCCGCGCGGAAAACATCGCTTCTCCGACGGCCTTCAGTTGCTCGCGCGATGGTTGCGCGCGCGCTGGAGTTGGAGTATTTTCTACTTCCACTCCGCTTTTATTCGTACTCGGCAACGGCTTCTCAAAGTATTTCCGCATCACCGACGGTTTGGGAAGTGGTACGCCACCCTGCCGTGGCAAGTCCTCTAGGTAGGTGCCGTGGTTCACGATACTCCACTGGACGCAGGCCCGATACAGAGCGTTGTCGCTTCGGATCAATTCACTGGCCGGGTGGTTCACTTCGCAGCTCGCCAGGGCGTGGAAAGGCACCAGATGGTGGTTCTGGGGGGTCAAAGTGATGTCGTGCTGGCTCTTGTGCGGCAGCGTCAGCAAGTAAATGTCGCGTGTGCCCTTTTGGTGGTGCTGCACATTATACTTGTCAGCCAGTAAACACTGCACGTCCAATTCAATCACGAAGTCTGCGCGTCCGTCACCGGAACAGATGAAACCTGACAGGAGTTGTTTGTGAGCAGTCATAACCTTCCGGCACCATTCCTAATGCTCTTCAAATCAACCCAACAAATTGTTCTTCGCAGTTGATGATAGATAAAAATGCTCAAGAGCTGCACTGCCTCGCAAAATGGAGCTGCAGTGGTGGAGACCTACCATTCCTTTCGAAGCAGTTACGGAACTCGTCAAACCCAGCTAGAGCTACATAGCTACTCCTATATACCGTAATTGTTCGCCAGGATATCGGTCTTTTCCGTGGTTCGCATGGGGTGGATTGCTGTCGCGTAAACGCCCGGACCATAGCCGCCCTTGGAACTGCCCATCAAAACTCCGGACTGCTGAATCCGGTCCCGATTCTTCCCACTGGTGTAGTGATACAGCTTGCGCGGTAGGGTTCTGCCGTCGGCAGCAACAAAGCTCTCGTGGTTCTGCAGCTGGTATGCCGTGCGCGGTGCACTGTAGACCTTGTTATGCTGACCGCTGCCGGACGAAGAAGCTAGCGCAGAGGAGGAGCTACTAGTGCCCGTTAATATTTTCGTCTTGATCATCGTACCGGAAGCCCGCGTGGCCTCGTCGGTGGCCTCCAGACCCGGACTCTGCCTCACCTCGTCCACGAGCAAGCTGCGGACCGTGAGCAGAACTTTTTCCAACCGGATCACGGGGGACCACATCTCCTGGAACAGCTTGTCGCAAATTTCGCCGCCGGGGCCCACATTCGGGTGGAAAACCGGGTCGGTGAACCGCACCTTGGACGGCTTGGTCGGAAACTCCGCGCAGATTTCCATTTCGACGGCAAACACGCCTGCTTCCCAGCACGTACTCAGTGGGCCCTGCACGTACGCGCGCCACTTGGCCGGAAACGTGCCATCGATCGGACAGTCTTCCAGGGTGGTACACAGCCCGTGCTCCTCGAGAGTCAGCTCCAGCAGCGCAGCCCGCTCTTTCTGCAAGCGCCCGCGGGCTTTCGTTAGGTCCTGCATTCTTGCTTTTCGAGTTGAAGAACAAGCTATAGCGGCTTGATGACTTTCTTCCTAGAAAAGAACGTAAAAACGTAAAAAAGTTTTGTTAGACCAAAAAAAAGACATATTTCTGAAAAAAAAAAATTGCGGTGTCACTCGGCCTGCATCTTGTGGCATATTTTTCTTCATGAAAAGGATTCAAAAGACGGCGACGTTCATGATCACCACCAAAAGCTAGAAAGATTTCATCAGCTATACTAACTTGCATCTTTGTCCCTCAAATTGCCGTGATCAATCTTTAGAAGGGAGCGAAAAAAACATAAAAACAAAATCAAAACTGATAGAACCTCACAAAAGTCTCTTTTATTTGCTATCACGTGCTGTTTCTTGTTGCACCACGTCGGTCATCTTAGGCATGCGACAGATAGTACTTGATTCATTGCATTGATCGGAAAAAGTTGACTTTCATCATCCTGGTGCAGAAAATTCGCCCGGAAGACAGCTTGTCCCAGCCGCGGGGAGATCAAACTCATCGTACACAGCAGCGGCGACTTTCACGGACAAAAACAAGCTGAGTACCAACCAGACCCAGATTAGCATTGATCGATAAAAATGAATGATGAGTGCTGGGAATGTGATTCGAATGAGGCTCGGTCATTTGTGGCTCAACAGCAGATGCCAGACCACGATGTATGCGAGCGGTTGATTTTCTGGTACCCGTAGCTGAGCCTATAACTATATGCGAAATACTAGCAAAGAACATAAAATTTTACAACGCGCGCTCGATTTCCTGGCAGAATCCCTCAAAGTCGCGGCGCTCCCCCAATACGTCGCGAAAAAAATCGTAGACGAAGTGCTTGCAGTTCTTTGCAACGAAGCTGTACGGCAAGCGTGACTGGTCCCTCGCGTAGTCTACCATCTGCCCGATGGTTTTTCCCTGCGGGAAGTCACCGTGCCCGCAGTGCCACCACCGACCGACCTCTTCGTCATTATGCTTGTGGAAGCTCCCCACCTTGGCTACGATGACTTCGTCCGTCGTCCTTTCGATGCGAAAATCCAGCCACACCTCCCGGCCGTCCAGTGGATCTACTGCTTTGGTCCAGACGCGAACCGCGAAGTGCGAAATCCAGTCGCGCACGTTATTGACCTGACCGGCGGTGAAAAACCAGGCCAGACCGGACACGAATTCCGTCATGTTGACGCGAACCGGTTCTTCAAGACGGCTAACGAGAACGCAACAGCCAAGAATGGGCAGGTCATGAATGTAGTCCGCAGTGAGAAAGGAGAGATCTCTTTCTTCTGAAACGCAAACGCGGAGCTGGTCGTGGAGTACGGACGGCTCAATGGCGTCAAGTGTGAGGCGTTTGATGCTGTCACCGTGGACGATAAGGAGGTTTTTCAGGAAACCCGCCTTTTTGGAATTGGACATCGACATTTTATTTTGTTTCTTCCTTCACTTACTGTTGCTATCACGTGTAGTCAGTTTGCAATCACGCTTTGACCGACGTCTATTCTATTGTTTTTCCCGTGCGAAACAGTGAGGTGACGGCTGGGTATCATCTGCTTCTGCACTTGCAACGGAAATAAACGCCAAAGCAAGCACCACATGTTGCAACATACACTGCGAAGAGAACAGTGACGGAAATGATCGAATTGTGAGTTCTCGCGACGGATCCCTTCATCTTACTTTAGGCAATTTTCAAAAAGCGCGAGCAGAGGAACAACGAACTTGGCTTCTCTTCGGAAAGGAGAAAACGAAACAATTAAAATTGATACTACCTTGCGGATATTCCTACGAGCATGGGGATAGATAGTATCTGATCATACTACATCGTGGGTACATTGGTAAAGAGATCCAAGAGGCGTTTTGTCGTTCAACGAATCAATGACATGCGGTCAGCTACACCCTCATGAATTCCTGTGCCAGCTCCGCCTCCTGGTGCCACAGTACGCTCCGCAGCGCGTTCCAGTACAGGGCGCAGAGAATGAAATACCCGATGCTCACGCCCCAGTACACGTGACTGAGCGACTCCCCGAACCCCACGAGCAGCACAAAAACTGCCGGCACCTGCCCGAGCCAGGAGCCGATCAGCGTCGCTTTCAGCACCAGCGCGTTCTTCTTCAGCGTGATCAAAAAAGACTCCAGCGCGACGGAGAGGTTCATGGTGAAGACGAAGCAGGAGAAGCTGACGCTGACCGACGCAAACGCGTCCACGAAGGACTGGTCCTTCGCGAAAATCACCGCGACTTGCTTGGCAAAGACGACCCAAATTATGCTGGATACGACCAAAATCGCGAGGATCAGCTGCAGGCACTTCCAAAACATGCGCTCCGCGCCCGCGCCGTCGCCCCTCCCCAACTTGGCCCCGATCACCATGCTGCCGGCGGTCGCGAGGGACGAGGTCAGCGTCATGTTGAGCCACGCGATGCGGTAACCCGCGTTAAACACGCCGGCGCCGTTGATCGAGGGCCACGAGGACATCCATCCAATCGCCGAGAACCGCCAAAAGTCGCTCGACAACGCCGCGACTTGCGGAAGGTGCAGATCGAGAAAGGGCCGGATTTTCGGCACAATCGCAGTCGCGACGTAAGAACTCGATTTATTATCTTTAGTACTCTCGTCGCGGCTCTTGTCGTTCGTGTCTGCCGTCGCACTTGCCATGGTTGGCGCTTGGTTTTGAAGATTTTTACCGTCTAGTACTTCACCCCCACCGCACTGTAAAAACTTCGGCAACACCGACTCCTTCGGCCAGCACTTCCACAAGTCGCGCGTGGTCGGGTCGCTGCGCACGTACATCGCGGCGAATACCGCTAGTAATCCAACGTACTCCACGAAAACCGTCACCCAAGGGCAGGCGAAAAACCCGAACCCGTAGGCGGTGAGCGGTATTCCCAACACGAACTGCATGCCGAACAAAAAGTTCAGCACCGGGGGCACAAAGCTGACGCTGGAGGGGATGTCGGCGCACTCCTGCGCCACGAGGAACTGGCTCAGCTGCGCCATGAGGATTCTCGCCGGGAGGCAGAGAGACAACACCGCCGCGTAGTACCCCGCGGGGGCCGCCAGGTCCCAGGGCACCTTCAATCCGTAGTGCAGGACCAGGCCCGCACAGCAATTGAGAAAAACCACGGGCACGGCGAGCGCGAACAAAACCACGATCGCGGTCTGCAGGTAGGCACCCACCAGCTGGTAGTCCTTGGCGCCCACCGCCGGGGCGGCCAGACTCCCCAGCACCCGGGAGGAGGTGACGACGCTGTAGAGCTGCGTGTAAAAGTCGGAGAACGCGGTCACGGTCAGAAATTTGGCGTCCACGTGCCCCGCGAGCGCCGTGTCCGTCATCTTGATGAAAACAAACTGGATCCCGCTGAAAAAAAGCGGAATCGCGGAGGAAAGCAAGCGGGACATGCTCTCGTCGTGGTCCTGGTCGTCATCTTCGTTTCCAAAGTCCGCGACGCTCACGTTCGTGTCTCGCCCCGGAGATCGCCCCTCTCCCTCCGGGACCGGGCCTGCGTCACCTCTGCGGCCGGGACCGGAGAAATCAGAGTACACGGAGCTCCGCCGCCGCTTCGCCTCTTCCTGCGCAAGCGCATCGTGGGCACACAAAATCGCCTCCTCCGCTGCCGTGGATCCCTGTCGCTTCAGGAAGCTCGGCTTTTTCGTCATACTGATAGCGCAGCTCGGAGTCGGTAGGCGGCTGGAAGTGCCGTCGACGGCAGCACCAATGCGTGAGTAGATGTAGAGCAAACTCAATCACCACTTGTGCAAAAGAGAATCACGACATATCCAAGAGATCTCCGGCAAACAACGATCCAGGCATTGAGAAAAGTGAGATCTTCGCACCACGAGGACCGACAGAAAGCACGACCGAAAAACCCTTAAGGGTAGAACATTAAAAATGTCCCTGCGGCGCGCCCCTTCAAAGCAGAAACGCTCGGGGAAAGTTCTCAAGTATGAAAACAACAGATACATCATATATAAATTTCTACGACATTATTTGCGCTTTTTCCCTGCGATCGTACAATTTGTTTTTTTTCTTGCAGCAGCTTAGCTGTTCTAGTGCCTGTTGCCAACGTTGGTTCGTGGTGTCCTGCGGGGACCGACCGCAAAAAAAAAATTGCAGCAGCGCGCACACTTACTTCAACATCATCTCCAGCGATGCTATTGTAGTGCACCCGTTCTTGCATCGGCAAGCCTACGAAGTTGCTACCTTCCTCGTCACAGTCGCCACAGCGACCATATTCCCCTGTACTTCGACATGGCAGGTCGAGAACACCCGGGTTCCAGATCCAACGCTAGGTTCAACTCCCCCTCCGGTTCATCTCTTCCCAAATAAAGTTCGTCTACGGTTTCGCCGTTCCTGGTGAAAAGTGTCTTTCTCCGAGATCTGGTGCCGGCATGAGCTTCTCTGTAGACATCACCGCGCTCTTGCGTAATGCGAGCAGTTGCAAGCAGGCGAACTTGATCCACGACGCTCAACTTACTTCCGTGTATGCCGGATGCCCTTGCGCGGGTCGCTGCGCTCCCCCGGGTACTACACCTTGCGTCGGTAGAGGCTGCATGTTGTTCGGATAGTTACCAGCGTAACCTGGCTGCTGCATCATACCGCCCGGCGGAAAAGGTTGCTGGTTGTAGTTATACATTGGCTGCCCCACCGTCGTGCTACCACCAAAACCCGCGTTGGGTGGAATTTGCCCGCTCTGCACCTGCGCGACCACCACCGGCCCACTGCCAGTATCCTGCATGTAAATCACCGTCGGCTGCTGCAGCCGTGGGTCCATCCTGTGAAAATATGTGGAAACATAATAAATCACCTTTAACAAGAACAAGCTCGAGCCGTGGGCGTCCTTTTTCATGGAAAACCAGTAGTGACACAAAATGAAGACAATGCGTTTCCGTTACCCTCGATGCAACATTTTCTGCTTATGTCTACTAGGGTCCATCGAAAACATCCCTAGAAGTAGATCATCGCTTAAACAACTTACTGTTGCACTTACATGGATGGCGGTCTTTCCGTGATGGTTATTCTGGGTCGTTCTTCTCGCCAGCCGTATTTAAGGTACAAACACCCGAACAAGACAACCTGGATTCCGCAGGCGATTGCCATCAGAAACCCCACCCAGGCAAGGAACCGCGAAATCCGCATACCTATCACGGTGAACATAAGGCCGATGAAAAATCTATCGTGAGAAAAAAGTGTTACAGTTACACACTCTGATGGGAAACAAGCAAGACAGACAACCTCTGTCATGCAGGAAATGCTTGCCAGCCTCATTTCATTGGTGTTTTCCCTTACAGTCTGCGCATCACAGGTTTTCTTAGCCATGTCGAGCAACTTCGTGATGCAGAAACTCCAACAAATGTGTAACTGTAACACTTTTTTCCTGTGATAAAATCCCGCATTGGCGTAGTACAGTTGCTTGCGGCTGGGCGGTATCAACAGCAAAAATGTCTGGGTCTGGAAACTTGTAATGCTGCGTTGGGAATAGTGAATGCGAATGCCCTGTAATGCACAGGCAAGCATGAGAAATATCTGCGCTTCTTTGTGTTGCGTTTTTCGCATGAGAAACTGCGTTTTTGCATGACAGGCAAAAGGGTCTCTTCTTGGACACGCATCACAAACTTTTTGGTCATGCCAGACAAGCATGACAAATCTCAAAATCTTCCAGACCCAGACATTTTTGCATTTGATAGGCGGGCCGCAATCAACCAGCATCAACATCTTAGCACGTGGTGTTCGCCGTGGTGGATCGACGAATAGGTGGGAAGTTTACCGTCTGCTACTAGCGGAGATACAGTCCCGAAGCGCGTAGCAAGGCCTTGAAAAAGTACAAGAGCAGCGGTGTACTCGTGTCGAAGGCATTACGTTTCTTGAAAAATACGGAAATTTTAATTTGCGACCTGAAACCTGATCATGTCGAGATTAATTGGGATTACAACTATGAAGCGTGGCACAAATCCTTACGTAAAAGGGATACGTATGCACTCCTCTTAGGACGTGCGTTGTTGATTTTGGGTCCTGATGGCATCAGAACTGCAAGGGTGGCACTCTTTCCTCTCATCACTCGGCATGGCGCACCGCTCATTCTGATACGCAGTCACAAAGGTACTTCATCGCCAAACAAGTGAACACACGGTGTAAGCGCTGCCTTTACACACATCCGCTCCTTGAAGAAAAGAGCGAACGAGTTTTCAGTACCTAAACCTGTGCAAACCCAACTAAAATTTCAACAATCACATTCTGCTGTTTTTTCTCTTGCGATAGTGCACGCAACAAAACCTCTTGCGGCTGCTGTGCCTTATTGCGGACACAACTTAGTGCTTCTTGGCGGGACAGATACCACTGATAAGCAGAAAGCGAGGCAGAACCGCAATGCAGTCGATGCCTCGCATAACGCCTTTTCAGTGTTATCTAACATCCCTGTGGTCGGATTTTGAATGATACATAATTAAAAATTTTTACTGATTCATGCAGCACATAAACAAACTAGATCTACATAATTTCTGAACGGTAGCGTTCGTGTCTGACAAGCGATAGACCCCCTGAAGGAAACAGTGCCCTTTTCAGAAAGAAATTGCACATGCCTCCTGCACCGACAACGTTTGTCGTGCGCCAAGATCTGCGCTGGTAAGACGATTTTCGCTTTTAATTTTGATACAATATTTTTGAAGGTGAAACTGCGAGCTGAAACTGTGCAAATATCAAAACAATAACAACAATAAATCATACCGGATAGTAGAATAGTGCAGGCAATGCTATATTTTTCTTTCTGACGATTCATACATCACCGAGACAACTCGGTCTCGAAACTGATAGATTTCCAACTAGTTAATAGCCATTCACATGCTTTTCTCGTAGAACAAATTCTGCGAAGACGGAAATTCCATCTATATCTTTCCTGTGAAACATTCATTGATATTTGGAACTATCTCAAATTGATTCTTTTCTGCGTTTGAAACATCCTTTCCCGAGGGATCTGTCCAACAGTTTCGCGGTGGTCTCAGCGGCCCCCGGCATTCCGGATCTGCGTATCCCATGAAACAGCTGCCTCAACATCTTCACACAGCGTGATGTGCAATCTACTTTTTAACCGCAAGAACAGTACCGCGATGCCATCATGACGCAAGTAGCATCATGGAGGGCCCGGCCCTCTCACGGCTAAAGAGAGGCGGGAAAAGCAAGAAGCACAAAAATCTACGGTAACAGCATGACAAGAAGCACCGCACGCGTGTTGATTTGACGCAAACTTTCCCGCAGGATAGATGGCTTGCTGTTCGGCGGTTTTCTCGTGCGCCTCGATGACCAAATCCACCACCTCTTCGGGAAAGTTCCGCCACTCCATCACTCGCTTCTTGGTGCTTATCCGGTAGGAAGATTTTTCCCCGCCCTACACCAGAAACAAAAGGGCCGCTAGCGCGGAAGAAAACTGCGCGATCTGTTCCGAAGGATGCTGTTCTCAGCTGGAGCCTTGTCTTCACATCGAAAGTGCAATGAAACACTTACTGCCAGTTTTTTTATGCATACGCTGCAGATCTACCTTCGCCAAGAGGTGCGTGTCGTGCAACGAAGATCACGCTATTTTCTCTACTCTCTGTCATGTTCTTCTTTACCTGCAATGCATTTTCCTCATGTCATCTTCCGTGGTGTCTACAAAAAGAGCGGGAGGGGAACTCTTCCACACCAGTTGACCAAGGATAGTGTGCTTGTTCACGCCACTGCGCAGCTTGGCCTGGTCCTCCCCCACGCCCGGATGAAATTCTTTCGGCACGTACCCGGCATCCTGGTTCAGGTCCAAGTGTGCCACATCCTGGAGGAAGCCGACCGACCGCCGCCACTCGTCACCCGCCGCCCCCCAGTACAGTTCGAAACGGTGCTCCACGACATCAGCCTCGCCCCCGACGTAGTCCTGCGTTCGCTCGTTCCAGTACTGCATCGCCGTCGTGGTCTATCCAGGAAAAAAAGTGTGTAAGTGTAACTTTCTTTGAGGAACAGCATCATTTGCTCTACATGACAGAGAAAACCTGTCACGCGTGGCTTGTAAGGCAAAACACACCTGAAAAGAGAGCTTCGTGGCTGTCTGGCATGACAGGTGTAACTCTGTTGCATGTTCTGCAACACAAATTTACACTTACGCACTTTTTTTCTTGCATATGGTCCGACGCTGCAACCCGGGCAACATCGCGGGCAATTTCTCCGTATCACAAGTAAAATGTCTGGGTCTGGAAGGTTGGAACTTGTGATGCTGCATTTGGATTCCAGAAAAATCTGTATTGCATGAGTACCAAAAGGAATGTATTTTTTGCTACGCGGAGAGGGCATTTGTCATGCGGAATAGGCATCAAGAAGCTCCCACAAAATCTGTGATGCTAGGGCATGCATCACAGACATCAGGGCTCATGCAAAACGTGCATGACAAGTGTCAGAATCTTCCAGACCCGGACATTTTTACATTTGATACTCCGCGGCCTCCTCCCAATCCACCTCGGGTTTTATCCCACAGAAAAAAGCCACCTAGCATATTACCGCATTTGCAATGCAATCAAATTCTGTCTTGCATTACTTATTTCTGCAATACCTTACTGCGGGCCCGGGGTCGTCCAGCCCGAACATTTTTGGTTCTTGCTAGATTTGTCGTGTAAGTATATCATAGTAAAATTTTTTTTGTATCTTCGCGTGATATGCTAGCATTTTCCTGTGTGATAGGCCCCACGTGCTCCTGAATCGCGTTCCGGAAGCCGGCGAAGAAATCGCCCTCGAGAAACGAACTCGAATGCGGACCCTGTTGTCCGCCCGCCCGCTGGAACATTGCGTATGGCCAGGCCAAAAAAACACAGCGCGGCTCTAATAGAGCACCTTGTTTCTGTATCATTTTCATGATCTTCGAGGTGTTGCCTAGTGTACGAATGATTTTCGTGACGCAGGTGCAGGTGCAGCTAGCGCTACCAATGCGTTTCCGAATAGTACATGCTACACACTTTGACCTCCTCTTGCCTGAAGACGCTGCCACACTGTATGATAATAGAAAAATTAGGTGGTGCCTCGAAACATACATATAAAAATCGAGGGGACGAATTTACGCTTCGCTGGGTCTTTTCAGAGTGATATTTGACCAATCCCGCGCAGACTCTGCTGCATCATCGGGACAAACGGGGCCAACGGATTGTGGTCCGCCGCACCGTGGCCATCCGTCGCAGACGGGTGAGAGGTCGTGGTCTGGTCGGGCGCCGCTGTGCTCAGCGTGGAACCGTCCTGGCTCGGCGGCGCGGCGGTTGCCTCCGCGGGGTGCGCCGACGTCACGGGAGCAGCAGGGGAGACGGGGAGCGGTTCGATGTGCTCAGGGTACGAATTGTGCGGCGGCGCGTGGACCTCGACGTGTTCCGGGTGGTAGCCGTAGCTGTGCGGCGCAGAAGGGCCGTGGTGCACCGGAGGCGAATACGACTCGGTGTACGGGGGCGTCGACGCCGGGTACTGCGCCGGCGCGGAGTGCGAGTAGTGCGGCGCGGGGGTTTCGTGCGACGTAGAATAGCCGTGCTGGTGGTGACCGTGGTGGTGGTGGTGGTGGCCGTGTGCCGGGTCGTGGCCGTAGCTGTACGGCGTAGAATAGCCGTGGCCGTGGTGGCCGTAGTGGTGGTGGCCGTGTGCCGGGTGGTGGCCGTGGCTGTGCGGCGTAGAATGGCCGTGGTGCGCCGGCGGCAGAGGAGCAGCCGGCGGGGAAACGGGATGAGACTCGGCGTACTCAGGCAACGGCGGGTAATGATAAGCCGGCGTGTACGAGTTGGCGTGGTGTTCGGCGTCGGCCGGATTGTAGATCGGCATGGAGTGTGTGCCGACGTCCTCGTGGTGATCGTGGGTTGTGTGCGTTTCGCCCGCACCGTGGTCGTCAGTCGTGTGATCTTCCTCCGATTCGTAATGGTAGTAGTGGTACGGATACGACGAGTAGATGTCTTCCGGCTCCGGCTCCGGGAGCGGGGGTGGCGGGCGGATGGGCACGACCAGGTGGCGGGAGTGGCGCAAGACCTTGGAGAGCTCGGTCGGCGAAGTGCGCAACTCATTTTCGTGGTTGCCCACGGTGAGCCCGGCCACCACCAGCGGGTTTCCCGGGCGCTCCAGCCCAATCCCGATCAGGCTGGGATCCGGCTCCAGCAGGTTCGACTTGCGGAACAGCCCGTCCTGGCTCCCGATCAGGAGCGTGCCGTCGTCGCCGATCCAGTTGGCTTCGTACGACCACAGTTCGCGGTACACCAGCTGGAGCATGGTGGGGTCCATGACGGAGGGCATCACGCCGTGATTCTTCTCCTCCTCCGCGAGGGCCAAGAAACCCGCCATGTACCCGACCACGAAACTCGTGCAGGTCCACTTGGGATTGTAGGAGACGGGGTTGAACAAAGCGACGTTTTCCACCTGGGACCGGTGCCGGTTCTGGTTGTAAAAACCGTCCTCCAGCTCCTCCTTCTTGAGCAGGGCGTAGCTGTCGAGCACCTGCTGCGTGGTCATGGACGGTTCCGCCAGGTGCTCCTCGTCGATCGGCGTGAGCTGCAGCATGCGAATCCACACGTCCTTCGCTTTTTTCTCCGAGACGCCCCGGCTGGTGCTGTTGCAGGAAATGAAGTCGCCCATCAGCGACAGGTAGTTCCCGCGTGAGGTCCCGGCAAAGTTGGCGGCGAAGGCCACCTGATTCGGGGTGGCCCCCGTCAAATCCCCGGGCGAGACGCCGCGGCCCCCCTCGGCGCGCGATTTGTACATCTCGTCGAGTGGGAACGTGTCGAACGCGTACTCGATGTCGCCAACCTCCGGCGCCTCCGCCGGGTTCTCGTGCGTCCACCGCCTCGCCTCCCCCTTGTCGTAGATCCGGCCGAAGACCCAGGAGCACTCGTCCTTCATCGCCTTTCGCTCCTTGCCACCCACCGCCTGCCACACGAAGAGCAACTTCGAAATCTCGTAGCCACCCGCCACGCCCATGTCCTGGTTGCGCCGGGTAACGAAGCTGTTGCGCCGCTCCGCCCACGAATATTTCGTGGTGCCGGCGGCCATGGACCGCGGGAGCCCGTCGCTGGGCGACGCCGCTTGCATGGGGGGGACGAAGTTGCTGTCGATCATGTACAGTGTGTCGCTCCCGTGCTTCTTTGCCACGCAGTTCGAGTGGTGCACGCCGTACATGCGGCGCTCCTCCTGGCCCTTCTTGTTGTGGCGGTCGTAGATGTTGTTCCCAAAGGCCCCGTCCGAGTCCTCCATGCCATACACGATGTCGTTGTAGCACTCGATGCGCACGATCAGGTCCGCCAGAGAAGCTTCGTCCGGCTGCGGCTCCCCCGCGAAATCGATCTCGGTCGTAGGGTCCACCACCGCGTCGGCACGCAAATCAAAGTGAAAATAGCTCCTGCGCCACTTCCGCCGGTAACTGGGGTTCGCTCAGATCTGATATTTTTCACGTCTGATACGGCAAAACTACTAAGCATCTATTGTTCATCATGCATTCTTCTGCAATTGAGTCACTTATGCTGCGACTTGTGTACTGTTTGCGTTTCTCTACAAGAACTCCGGTGGCACGCCGGAGCGAGCTGAATTGCGCTTTTCACTTTGATATAGTCCGTAATGCGCAGTGTGCCAGGTTTGCAGCTCGAGCAGCTGCTGTACCTCCGGGTAGTTCTTTGGGTTCTCGTGGGTTTTCATCGCACGAAGGATGTGCTTCTCCAGCTGCGTCACGTCCTTGTACTCATTCACGCTTTCGGTGTCGCTCCAGGGATTGTAACTCACGTCCACGAGGTGCATCTTCGTCTGCGCCCAGTTGTCGAGCTGGTAATCAAACTTGATGTTGAGCTTGTAGCGCGGCTCCCGGATCATGATGCCGTCTTCCGTGGGGTACATCTGCGTGAACTGGCAGCACCGGCCCACCGCGTCCCGCATCTTGATCATGTGCCGCTTGCACTGCCACGTCCGGGTTGTCCGGTCCATGAAGGGTTCCTGGCAGAGCCCGTCGAAGGCTCGGCGGCCGCCCAACTTCTTGTGCGGGTCGAAGTAGACGACGGGGAAGCCCGAGGCGTCTTCGGCCGTGGTGGGCAGGGCCAGCGCCCCCGTGGAGGGCGGAAAGTTCGGCGGCAACAGGTGCAGTTGGTTGAACCAGGCTGGGTACAGACCGACCTTCTCGAGGCGATCCAGGAACATTTGCCAGCCCGTGTACTCCTCGGGCGAAAGCTGCGCCACCGAGGCGGGGTGGGTGCGCACGGTCGCGTAGTGGTGCGACATCACCAGCTTGGCCCGGTGGAAGTGCTTGGCGTACCGGCACAGCCCGCTCAGCCACTGCTTCATCTCCTCCTCCAGCAGCTGCTCGTCCGGGTCATCCGCGCCCACCGGCGCCAAGTGCGTACCCAAGGACTTCCGCCGCAGTTGCGCCACGACCGGGGGCGGGCTCTGCAGAAACGTCTCCTCGGCGCGGTCGAAGGCCTGCAGCGCAATCGTGACGCGGATCAGCGAGTGCACCTTCTGCTTCGTGTGGTCGAATCCGGTCAGCTCCTTGTGCACCGTCTCAGACAGGGAAGCGAGGGTCGTGTTCGTTTCGTCCTCCAACTTGATGTACTCGGTGCCCGCGAACGGAGAAAAGTAGGCGAACCGCAACTTGAGGACCGGCACCTCCGCGTGGTGGCAGTCCTCCTGTTCCTGCGGTTGGTGCGGTTCCGAGTGGATGTCGTGCGGTCCCGAGGGGCGGGGCACATATTGTACTTGTTCCGCAAACGACGACGCACCCCAATCGGGGAGTTCTGTTGATGTTTTATTCCGTGGTTAAGAACAAAAGCTCTGCATTCTCGGACCCGGACAGCCGACACGGTGATCCCCCCCACTTCATTATCATTCAATCAGAGTGTGCTTTTTGTCTCCCATTTGTAGAAGGCGCGTACTTTTCAAAAAGAAAACAACATTATACCTCCTTGCACATCCCCGTTGGCTCCGACAAGCGCGGCGATCGGTTCTTGCAGGAAGATCTGCGACTCCTCGTCCCCGAGAGAAGGCTCATCCGAGTACTCCGCCCCGGAAGATTTGGTGGTGTGTATCACAGAAAAAATAAATTTGCAAGTCAAGATTTGCAGCACGAATTGCGCCGTCGCGTGATGTGTAGGCTCAAGGCAAATTGGGACCCGCTTCTCTGGGGAAATGTCATGTCTAATACTTTCAAGCCTCAATCAGCAACTTCAGTTTCAATGCAAAGATCCCCACAAGCCCTACACATCAGCACGCCAGCGCGGTTTTTTGTACTTGACCTGCCTGCAGAGTATCTCAGCGAAACGTCGGGCTCCGAGACGGACCGGAATGCTGCACGAGCCCGGGGGAGTAGCGCATGCCCCGACAGACACAAGGCCCGCAAGGCACCCTTCATCATCCGCACGTGGAACGATCACCCGGCGCTGATGACGATGATTTGTGCACGAAAGGGCGCAGAACAGAGCCTCGTCGTGATAGACAAGACCCAAACCCAAAAAAAAATTTGCTAATAGTTGTTGCGATCGATGCAGCTTATTTTCTGTTGCGAAGGTTCGCTGCGCAGGAACAAAAAATGCAACGGTGGTAAACGAGAATACGACGATGGGGAAAACGAATGCCGATTTTATACGTACTCGCGAATTTTGTCCGGGTAACGATTCAAACGAAATGCCCTAGTCGAAGCGATTGCAGAACATGATCACTCGTATCTCGAATAGATATGATGCAAGTAAGCAAGAAGGAAACGGTGCACGACGTCCACGACACCAGTGGCGAAGAGACAGCTATGATCACACGAAATAGAAGAGGCCCTCCTGTTACGACAAAGAAGCAGGAAGTGCAAATACGAGAGCAGGCAGTGCGGTGCATCTAGGCCGTTGGATCATTCCCGTGAATCCGCGCGCTAACTTCACGACCAGTCCTGTTGTTTCATGTTTCGCAAAGTTAAGGCGCGAAAATACGTCCGTAGACACTATGTCTACGAACAGGTTGATCAAGGTTCGGGATCGCCGAAAAATACCAAACGGGGCCGGGTTGGGCCAGGCCGGCCCGCTTTCCCCGGTCGCGGGCTTTTGCGCGCGGGCCGGAGCGCTTACCGGGCCCTATATCCGTCCTCGGACCAGCCGTGTGGCGACTTCCGCGGATGAGCTTGATCAAAAAGGCTGCCGCGATCAGGATCCAAGTTCGCAACGCCGGCGCCGGAAGACGGTGACTTCCGCACCTGGCCGGTGTTCGCAAATGCCAATCCGCGAGGCAACGGAGACTGGAAGGGGGCCGAGTTTGGTAATGTATTTAAACCGTCTCAAGAGCGCGCCAACGCATTTCGCGGTGCGCGTTCTGACGCTGCGCCGACGGGAGCAATCCGCGGCCTCTGCGATGCATTTTTAGCCCAGCCCCGCCGGAGAATCCGGAGCGCTCCTGCCGGACCACGGGGCGGCCGGCCGCGGAAGCCTTACGCGCCCGTTCGCCGGGGCATACGAACCCTGCGCCCCGACGAGGCCCGTTGCCACCCGCGGCACTAGGGGATTCATTTCCCTTGGTCATCCAAGTTTAACCATCCCCCCCCCCCAACACTGGTCCTCTCCTTATGCAGACTCAGTCCAAAGATCGACCCCCTGGTTTCCGGTGGGCCATCATTTGAGCCTTCCGGGGGCGGGGGGGGGGGGGTAAAATAGGCCCAAAAGCAGGATGCCAGAACAATTCACCACGCAGTAGCGCACTATTAGGAATCGCATTAGGCAATTAATGTTTTGCGTTTTTTTTTCACCCACTACAGCAAATTAGTATGATGAATCTCATAAAAATGCAGTTTTTCAAAATTACAAAAAATCCTGCAGAATTTTCCTGCAGAATTTTTGATAGTGTACATCTCAAAGAATACATATAAAAACCTCAAAGATGAAGACTCCTGCAATAAGTATGATGGTTTACACATTATATATTAACGCAGATAATCATAAATGTCTTACCTTTTCACACCCTAAAAAATTAAAAAAAACACAAAATTTTCTGGGCGGTAAAAAATGTACAAAACAGGAGAACAATCTCGCTACACCTAATATGGATGCATTTTCTTAATTTTTGTCAATATTCGTTATAGCGTGGTTCACAAATTGCATAAATTGATACATCCCTAAAATGTCAGAAACGGGTTAAAACTGGTCGTCGAACAATTCCGAGAAATCCGCAACTGAACGCTTCCTCAACGACGGACGAGCTCGCCGAAAGTAGATGGCTTATTTTTGCGTCTGCAACGACATACGATTGGCAACGAATAATGTACGACTAAAACGTCTTCTTACGATAAAGCCGACTCGTCTGACCAGATTAAACCGAATCTTCTTAAAAGCCGTGATGTAGTGGAAAACAAGAACTGGAGAGAAATCCCCGCTCGTCCTTACTCAGAAGGAGATCAACAGAGAGTCGATCGAGAGCGCGAAGCAAGGTTGTTTTTTGTGTTTTTTGGTTTTTAAGTGTTTTTTACTTTTTTCAGTTTTTTATTTAAAAATTAGTTTTAGAAGTCGAGTTAAGACAGACAAACAAGGCCGCTGTCGTCTTCGCGAAAATCTCTTCTACTGTTTTTGATTGAAGTGAGAGATTTTTTCTGTTCGCATGAATGTCGTGTTGCCTTCCTCGAAAACTTCCAACAAAAAATTGGCTGTGGGGCGACAGCAAAAAAAGAGAGATATAAAAATTCAAGATTGTGCCCGATGATCGTGCGAAGCAAAAAGCTGAGTGAGTTTTTTATTAAGCTGTCTTTTATAGGTCTTGTTGCTTGTGTGTCCCAGTGTTCTTCTTATTGTCAAAAAACAAGTATTGGCAATCCAGTCTTCACCGATGAATATTTGACAGCTTTATTTCTTTGTTTTTTCCAATAAGTTTTTCTCCAGCAAAAAACTTTACCGAGGAATTTGAAATTGATGGATCACTTAGCACCCTACGTCTCAGTAGATGCAAGCGTGTATTGCTGTGGTTCTGGAAAAAACGTCTTTTCTGAAACAGCGATTTTCATCTATTGAATGAGAAGCACTACCCATTTGATATAAAAAGATGTGATAGCTATACTCACGCTCTAGTCTGAAGATAATTCAAATGTCTTTCTTCGGATAATCATCTCCTTTTCACATCTCTTCAATCCCGTCTTTTCGCGACTACTGCTGGAATCTTCTGATGTTATTCCGGATGATTCTATTCTGCCTTGCTGGTAACGAATTGTTCTTTTGCTGGATATTGCAGGACCGCTCTTCCGAGATCCTGAAGTTTACGCTGTAAGTTCCAGGAGCGAGGTTGTAAATTCCTGGTTGCGCATCAAGATCAATTTCTCCATCTACTTGCGCCTGTTGATCATCGCCCGTCGTTTGCACGGCTACGCTTGCCGTATTTCCTTGATCAACAACGGGAGACATGTTTGCAATCACTTGTTGATTATTGTCCTGCACGACGACGCTGTTGTTTTGAACGACGATGTTGTTGTTTCCACCGAGATCCTGATCATTGGCCTGCTGATTCTCCTGGTCAGCATTTCCGACGTTCTCACTATTGTCATCACCACCTTGCTCATCCCGCACTTCCGGACGCAGAGACGAATTCTGCAGAACCGGAAGTCTGAACCGTGATCGTTCGACGTCTGCAGCAACAGTTCCAGTTGCTTCCATCACATCTTCAACCAATTGTTCGTATTCTTCTTGGATGTCTTTTTCTGGAGAACGCGGAGCTTCCAATTCTTGTTCATTTCCTCCCTGTTCCACAAAATCAGACCACAATGGAACAACAGGCTGCTCTGGAGACACAGGAGATCCGGACAAAGTCGGCAGATAATCTCCCGCGTGAACTTCATACATCCTCGTAAGGTCTTCTGCCTGTTCTTGTTCTTCCGTGGGAATTTCATCCATCATTGCAAAGCTTTCTTCCTCTTCAGCCGTCGCACCAACGGCGTCATCCAAGATCGCGGCGACGCTGTTCACGGGAATTCCTTGTTGTGACAAGTCAGGAGACGCTAATTCTTGATCTGCGTTTTCTTGTTCTGGTGGAGGTGCAGCGACATCCCCAGGAGACGGAGAAGCGGGAATTTGCTCATCGCTCTCCAATTCCCGTTGATGCTCGATGGCCCCATCCACTAACCCAATCACCGGCGAAGAAGCCATGTTCTTGTTAAAACCGTAGCGGACCAACTGCAAGAACTTATTTGTTCCGTATTTTTCCAGAATTTTCTTGAACTCCGGCAAGTTCCGAATTTGTTCCGTCGTAGATCGGACAGCGTTGACGTTCAATCCCCAAACCCGCAGCTTCTCCTTTCTAACTTCCGGGTCAAAGATCGCCAGCTGTGTTTCAGGTGGAGACGCAGAAGGAGGCGGAGATGCAATTTCCGTCTCCTCTTCGTTTTCCTGCCCATCCCCAAAGATCTCACCACTTCCTTCCGAAGAGGGATCGATCTCCATGCCCGAAGACGTACGACGGGCACGATCTTCATCCAACGGGCTGGATTCGGGGATTGGAGAACCGCGTCGCGCACCTGCGGAAGGCTGCTCCTGAGTCACTGGCTCCACCGGGACGGGATCATTGTTGTTTGCATTTTCCATTTCCACGTCTTCCATTACAGCGTCTTCTTGAGGAGCAGCGACAGGAGTAACGGGTGGCGGTGCTTCCGCCTCCGGTTCTTGTTCTTCTGGATGAGCTCGAGAGTACGAGTTTTCTGCTGCGACTGCTTCATCTCTCCATTCCTCGTCGGCGTTGTTCCAATAAAGATGTGCGTAATCCCTCCAATAGATGTGCCAGGGAACCCACAGATTCCATTCTACCTGCACATACTCCGTAATGTCGTTTAGACGATAACAGTCGTCGCTGGCGTGCGTGGTATTCCAACCATGCAGTTGACAGAAGTATTTGCACTCCCTACGCCGCGCGTGGGAGGGATCATGTCTCTTGCTCCACTTCTTGCTCGGAGTACGTCGTGCTAGCAGCCCACTATTGCGTCTTCCACGAGAAACAGATCGCCTCCTTCTTGATCTAGAGCGTCTCCTTCCCGACCGATGTTGATCAATGTTGTGGCGATGGAAGTCGTTGTGGTTCTGCGCCGCGGAAGACGATGATGATGCAGCACGCCATCGCTGGGCTCGGTGCGATTTGCAGATGCGCATCTGCATTATACCGCTCCCCAGTTAAGGTAGTGCCAATGTCCAGCGGTCCCAGTGCTTGCTCCTCTTGCATCAATGCCAGCGCAAGCTGTTGGTCAGCCACCACTTGTTCATAAATCGACTGATCCAGCGGCTCAACCTGAGACGCCTGTTGTTGCGACTGCGACGAACCGGCTTGAACGTCTTCATTTTCTTGCCCCGCCAATTCCGCGGTTACATTGATCAGGTGGTCCAGGGTAGCAATGTCCAGATCGGGAAGAGCATGGGCTAAATCAGATAAAGGCAGAACGTTCCGCGTGGCCGACTCCGGCTGTACATCTGGACTGTGAGCCGGAGAGTTGATGGTCGGAAACGTGGCAGGCAACGGCATGGAGGGATCCCAGTCTATGTCTTCTCTGGGCTGAAAAGGAGGGCAGTGATGGTCGTCATCGGCAGCGCTACTGGCACTGCTGCCGCTCGCTGATGTGCGTCCTCCCACAATGACACTGCTATTTCCCAGGAAGCGAGTCAAGTTTTGTTGAGCTTCCGTCGGGGAAATAATTTCTTCAATTAATTTTTCAGGACTCACCGAGGCAGGGGGTTCTTGTTCTGGAGATGGTTTATTCCCATTTTCGTCTCCACCCTCTTCATCTGACTCGGTTGGCAGCAATGTTTCCTTTTTCTCCTTTTTCTTCGTCGTACCCACTGATGAAGACGCAGTTGTATTTGATACGTTTGTCGAAGGCTGAGCAGAACTGATGTTTGTGGAGGGTTGAGCATGAGTCGTTGTCGTGGTAGAAGTCTGAACTGAAGTGGCAGTTGGAGACGGTTGCACTGCAGCCGGAGCGACTGGGTTGTCATCTGCGAACAGGTCATCTAACTCGTCCAAGGCTGTGGGCACAGGAGCGGAGGCAGCTGCTGCTTGAAGGCCCCGCATGTACTTGATAAAATCAAGCACATTGTCGCTTTCCCACATAGAGTCGGTTAAATAATCCCAGGCTCGATTCTGCCCGTCAATTGTGTTGACAATCACTTGGGCCCACTCCGTGAGTTCTGTTTTGTCAACAAAGCCGGTGTCCTTTGTTTGGTACAGAAACCGGCCGAATTTTTCCGGATTGTATCCTTCCAACGTCAACGTAGGTTTAGACGTCTTCCAGAAAACCCGCAGACCCTTTGGCCACCGCTCTCCCGGTCGACGCAAAATGGTGATCCGCAGTTGCGCATCTTCGTACACAGTCGACACGTAAACTCCGTCTTCCAACACCCCTCCTTCTTCCACTCCTGCTTCAAGAGGATCATCTACAATAAAGTCGTTTAAATCATCTCCGATGTCCAGAATTGGTCCGCACTTTGCACCACGAAGATCCACTTGTCCTTCTTCTTCCTCTTCTTCCTCCTCGTCATCATCCTCGCCATAGGTAGGCCAAAAACGTCCTTCCGTTTCCGCGCGACGCACAGCTCTTTCTTCTTCCCGGTCAAAGCTGCAGCCGCGCTTCCGCTTTTTGCTGTTTTCCTTGTTTAAATATTCTTGTTGTTTTCGCATTGCGCGCTCCTCTTCGTCCTCATCTGACTCCGTGCACGTGTCAGATCCCGAGCTGTTTGAAGAATCAGACCCGGAGCTCGGAGGCTTACCGGCACACAGACGGTTAATCCTGGACATGCTCAACTGTCCACTTTTCGCCTTCGGCTGAATACGTGGACGAAGTTGCGGCAGCGGAAATGGTCGCGGTACACCGGAAGATGACGACGATGCTTGTCCTTGTGCGACATTCTGGCTCCCGGAAGAAGAGCTTGCTCCTAAAATCAACGCCGGAGGTGGAGGCGGGGACGGAACCGGTCCTGTGTTCGGAGTGATAGACGCATTAATATTTCCCGCATTTCTTGGCGCTTCTCCTCCTGCGTTTTCTTGCCCTTGATCCGGGACAAAAGCAGGAGACCGGCTGCCGTATTCGTTGGCTTCATCTTGGATAGCCGGAAGGTTACGGGGAATATCCTCGATAGCAAGAAGTCCTTCTCCTTGTGCGTCTTCAATTGCTAAAAAGTTGTTGTTTTCTTCCTCCGACTCCGAGCTATCAGACAGCACGCTTTGCCTTCTCCCTTTTCCTTTCTTCTTTGGCTGCTTCTTCCCGAGTTTCTTTTCCTTCCACCTCGCCTGCCGTTTTGCCTTTAGCTGTCTTTTATGTCCACTAGACGAACGCGGTCTTCCCCTGGCCGCCTTCGGTTTAGCCCCGGGGTTGGCGATCACAGGAGCAGCCGGAGCCAGCTGCTGAATCCCTACCAGATTACCACTCGGATCCAATATAGGGATAAAACCCGCAGGAATCTGGAACTGACCAACAGCGTTATTTCCTTGCTGTTGCGGCTGTTGTTCCTGCTGATTCGGCAGCGCCTGTTGTCCTAGAGGCAGTCCTTGGCTGCGTGGCTGCCTCTTCGCCTGCGGCTTTGCCTTGGGCTTGGCCTTTGCCTTCGGCGGCATCGTGCAGGAAGGAGTCAGATTAAGCTAATCTTTAGAGTTTCTTTTCGAGATACAGCAAAGGAAGTTTTTTCAAAATGTCGCTTAAAGAGTCGCTTTAAAGTTGTCGTTGTAAATAGTCGCTGTATTTAAAAGGGTGTAGAGAATGATTGCAATAGAGATGCGTCGCTTGTTTCAAATAAGTAGCGTTGATTCACTTTTTTGCTTTTGCTTCAATCTTAAATCTTTTTGTCGCCTAAAGAAAGATACAGCCGTTTGAAAATGATTTTCCCTGAAAAGAAATTTTTAATGATAATTTCAAAAACAAGCACGACCACCAAAACCACCAACCAACGAAACAGCAGCTAAGATCTGTCCAATGTTCGCACGCGGAGAGTGTAGATCTTTTTATGAGAAGACGCTTCCACAGATGATAAAGACGTCTTCTTTTCCTTTTCTGAGTAACTTGCTGAAGAATTCATCTTTTTGCCACAAAAAATAAGCACGAAGATGATCTTCGCATGTGGATCTTTTCAAAAAGAATTGATCACCTATCCTCTTTCTCTTCTAATTGTTAAGCCTGAAGCTGTTCCCTGAAAAGAGTAGAGACTTTTTATAAACATCAGTAAAAGACTTACTGTGACTCTTCCTGGCTTCCCGATACCCCCGACGCTGGATCCTTTTCCAGCAGCTGTCGCGCAAACCGCTGCAGGTTTCCTCGTTCTTCCACAATTTCCAACTTGCTTTCACCTTTCCAGAATCTTCGCGCGGGAAATTCGGTGGCAACGGGGAAAAACTTTCCCGCAGTATCTGGACCATTTTTGATGTTGTCCGTGTAGCAGCGGATGCTTGTACCGTCTGCATACCAGGTATGGCGTTCTCCCGTAAGAGATGCTAAACCTGGCGCACCTTTCTGAGTGAGTGCCCCGAGTAACTGCTTCCCTGGTGCGGTGTGGTGTATATACAGCCACGCCGCACGGTCACCCGAGTACAGCCACAGCGGACGTCTTAGCCGCAAGATATCCACCAAATCCAAAATTTCCCGTATTCCTGCTCCGCCTTGGCAGAGCTTTACTGTTCCCGTAGAAGTTGTTGCCAAAAAAGTTTTGGCCAGTTTCGCAGTTATTGCTGGTTTACTGGTGAAATCTGGGAGGATTTTGGCATAAAATTTTTAAAAATTCTGAAAAATTACAGCTGTGCGAAACAGTATAAAAATCCTAGAAGCAAAACAATAGAAGTGCATTTATATCCTGTTAAGTTAATGGCTGATTGTATAAAAGTGCTCATATTATGGGACTCCGCCACTTCCGACATGTTTTGAAAAATTCTGAAAACTTGCGAAAATGTTGACTGTCGTGCTAAACCTCAGAGATGTGCTATATTGCCGGACAAAAAAGCCCCATAATTATAGTTATGAGCATTCTTTTTATGAAATCCTTGCAGTTAAGCGCTGTTTTTCCACATTGTGCAATCTGCAAAAGTTGGAAAATATTTACACGGTCCATTAATATGCTGCCCAACCTCCAGAATCCAGTGGCAGTCGTATTTTGCCAGGCTTTATGTTCATGGTTATGCAGTTTGTTTATACCAACAAAACTCGATCGACTCCGCAGGCGCAGTTTCCATATTATCCTATGAGGCCCGCACTCCGGGGCGGGACTCCGTCCCCTCTACCCCCCGCCCCCCCGGGTCCCTAGCTGCCCAGCCAAGCGCCTGAGCAGGGGCCTGCTATTACTGTTATGGAGTCGCGGGGGCCTGGCTACCGTGGCCCCAAATCGCGGGCCGCGAGGCGACGCGATATCGGGGGCCGCGGCCCGTAATTCCTTTGCGGCACCAGCAGAACCAGGAGGCTCGTGCCGATGCAAAGACGGCGCGCGCCGCTCCAGCGAATTCACCCGACCGCCATTGTGAACCATCGCAGCGCCTTCCTGCCTCAGTGCCATTTTGCAGCGGGGCCCCGCATCGACCTGGGATGCCGGGACCACCCGTCGCGGTTCCTTTAGGACGAGCCGCGTGCGTTGCGAAAGTAGGCGCGAGGCTGTTATAACGGAATGTACGAGCGGAGGACTCCCACATGATGCATTTAGAGCGGAAATTTAATCTCGCGGTCGTACGTAACAGAGGCGCTTCCTCCGAGAACCAAAATTCAGGCTAAAGAACCCGATAGCAATAGGCCTATCATTCGCATGCGATTGTGTAGACTTCGAGCGGCCGACTTCCGGCCGGTAGCGGCGGCCGGCCTCGGGCTAGGGGTCGCTGCGTGCGTTGTAAACGCCAACCCTCCCCGCCGTACCGTCGAAGCAGATACTGCGTCCGTCGCCGGTTCCTGTCGGAGCGCTGGCCTGGCAGCCCCGCAAAAGGAATTTGCTGTTGCGCTCCGGGCAGACTTCGAAGGTGAGCTGGTCGCGGGCCGGAACCGAGCAAAGGATTTATGCCAGGTACCTCTGCCTGTCTGTTTGCGAATGGTTCTTGCTCGGGTGCTTTTGCTAGTGCCGCGCACATATTAACCTGTGCGCGGATGCCATCTGCTGTTGCGTCAGCGTGCGCTGTGCAAAATGTTCATCTCCTTTGCTTCTCCACTACCTGCAGGACCTGCGCCAGTCCTTCGCTCGCCGGGGGTGCAAGATTGCGCTGCCGTCGTGTACTCTCGATGACGTCGATTGTTTGCTTAGCGGAAGGCAGCCTGCGGTCAGGAAGGGCTCGACCACGACTAGGACGGTCGTGCTGCCGTTCCTGATTGGACGAGAGATTGCCGTGGTTAACTTGGTAATCGATTTTTCCGACGCAGACCGGCCGTTGCAGTACGGCACCAGCTTGCCACGCCGATATTCCCGGGCTGCTTTTACACTTGCAGGAGACCACCACGACGTCGTCGCGCAGCGTGCAACTATCAACGCCGCCTCAATGGGCGTTTTAGCGGCGAGAGCCAATGCGCAGTACTCCGAGGAGAGGAGCGATCTTTCTGCGGAAGAAAATGACAATCCTCACGCCGCTCCCGGCAGTTTTTCCGAGAACGATGATAGAACTGCCCTGTCCGGATCCGTGGTGCCAGCACTGCAGAAAAGAGATTGTCCTCCATCACCGCAGCGCCCGATCACTCCGGGCTGCGCGAAGCAGAAAACCGCCCTTGCAGAAAGCTGCGAACGTTTTTGGAATTACGTGCTGGACCACCACGCGCCGCGATGGTTTCGGGAGCGCGTGCAGAGAAAGATTCCGTTTGAACAGTTTCTAGACGACTATTACCAGCGCACGTTCCGCACCCGCAGAATTCTACTGGAGAGCGAGGAGCTGGAGGAAAATTCGCAGAAGTATTCCCCCACGGCCGAACCCTACCGGCAGTTGACCATCGCTCCCGGGGTTCTGGACCGGAAAATAGATCGCGAGGAGCACCGCCCGAAGAGTCCGCAGCTCACGTTGAATTCGCTTACTGAGCATGAATTTCTTCTCTGCGAAACACTTACCCGGATGTATCAGGTGGATTGCGAAGGGCCCGATGCCCTCCTGCATCGGTTGCGTACGCGGCTTCGTGCGGATGCGCCTTTTCTCAAGAGATTGGTTGCAGTGTCGCAAAACCGAAAAGAAGCTGCGCTTTGCTAACGTGCGAAGATGAAACACCGTATTGCGATATATTTTTTGTGGAGGCGAGTTCTATCACTGTCTGTACTTCTCCTGTGAGAACACGATTTCCGTTCTTGTGTGCGACAAAAAATTCTCGGACCTGTATGTAATAAACTGCTAGAAATGAAAGCATGATGCGTATTCGTACCACTGCGGAAAATGGCGCGCGAGATCCAAACCTGCGGAATACCAGAGCGTGTAGAAAAACGACGTGTATTTGAATCAAGATCTTGGCAGCGTTCCACCTAAACCCTACTGTGTCTCCCCCGTCATACCGAGCATCCCTTAAGCTCGATTTCCGTTCTGCCGCTTTCGAATTGTATGCTGCTGTACTGGAGTAGTCTAGAAATTTTTTTTCTTCAGAAATCACGAGAACAAGCGAGCCGTGCTTCTTTTTGCCAGTACAACTCTATTTTTGCGTCGAAGCAAGCATTGCTTTCATTCCCTTGCTTCTCTTCTTTCACTCCTTCACGACAACGAAGAGTAAAATGGGTGGTTCCAATTCGGCGGGAGACGGCGCGGCCGCCGACGCCGCCGGTACGGGTGGATTAGATGACGCGGCACAATCGCAGAGCGCCGCCCTGAAGCTGGCCAAGACACGCAAGAGATTCGACGCGCTCCGCGTTCTCGACGGGGGTCTGGCGACACAACTGGAAGGAGGGTACAAGTGCGACCTGAACAACAGCCTGTGGTCCACGCGCATTTTGGAAAACGAACCGAATCTGATTTTCCAAGCGCACCGCGACTTTGTAAACGCCGGCGCGGACCTGCTCATCACCTGCACCTACCAAACTTCGTTGCAGGGCTTTGCCCACGACGAGCAGCGCTTCGAGCGCAGCCTCGCAACTGCCGTTCGCGTTGCGCAAGAAGCGGCGGATGCGGGTGGTGCGTTCCGCGGCGTGCTCGTCGCGGGGTCGCTGGGACCCTACGGAGCGGCGTTGGCCGGCGGCCAGGAGTACACTGGTATATACGAGTTGGATGCGAAAACCGAAACAGCGTTTCTGGAAAATTGGCACCTGCCGCGCGCAAAACTGCTCGCGCCGTGCGTGGATTTGTTCGCCGGGGAGACCTGCCCCAAGATTGCGGAAGCCATCGCGCTCACAAACCTGTTCGCAAAGCTGAGAACGCCGGGGTATGTGTCGTTTCAGTGCAAGTCCGGGCACGAGCTGGCGTCCGGAGAAACCATCGCGGACGCCGTTGCGCGTCTGCACTTCAGCGACTACCTGCTCGGCATTGGCGTGAACTGCACCAAAGTGGAGTTCGTGGAGAGCTTGATTCAAGAAATCGGCAGAGCACTGGACAAGCAGGAGCAAAGAATGGCGCCGGTTTTGGGTAGCGAGAAAACGTTTGTCCGGCCAAGAATTCTGGTCTACCCCAACAGCGGAGAGGAGTATGATGCGACCACGAAGACGTGGCACATGCCAGAGTACTGCACCGAAGACGTCGCTACGACTTATGTAGACTATGCCCATCGCTGGTTTGCCGCGGGCGCGCAGTGTGTCGGTGGTTGCTGCCGAGTGCTACCCTCGCACATCAAAGCGGTCAGGGACAGCGATGATGGGGCGCAGAAATCTCAATAGATGTTGAAACTGATTTATTAGGCTATTGCTCGCGGTGAACAAAGAATTGAGTCATGATCCAGAGTATGACAACTAGAACTTCGCAATCGATAGAGAAAATCTTGTGAGTTTCGAGACGAGAATTGACAATATCAGCTGATACAAGCACGGGTTCTCAACATCACGCACCGTTTCCTTTTGTTGACTTTTTGCAGCGCCTGGACCGATTTTTCAAAGTCGTTAAGTTTCGCAGCTCGGCGCAATCACATGCGCGGAAGTCTTCGTAATTTTGTAAGTGTTCGGTTGTTCCTTTCAGCGTCGATCTTGCAACACCAAGAAAAAGTTGGGATGTCTGATCGGAATCGTTGGTAATATTTTCACAATCGTCGCGCTAGGCCACGGGCAGTAGCACTTGAAATCGTTTTGTCGCAAAAACTTTGCCATGGGTCGTCCTAGTCTAGCCATTGCGTATTCCGCTAAATTTCGTAATTCTGCAGAATTTTCTCGTGTTGGTGCGTTCGCTTTCGCTTGTAGTTGTAGGTCAATAGCGTTCGACCAAAGGGAGAATATCATCCTACTAACTAGTGCCCAAGTGGCTTCTACTACTTTTCGTTTCCACCTCGGCAGTCTCAGTGTGTTTATCCTGCAGTTTATTTCTGATACACAGTACTAACGGCAAGCGACGACACAGCCGGTTGCTGGAAAATAAAGTCACGCAATACACAATGATCGGTTCCGTTGCGGAGGGGGCCGAGGCCGTGGTGCACACGACGGCGTACGTTGCGTATGTGATCTCTTTCAAGACTTTGAGCAGCGAGCCGGGCAGCGAGATGTCCGCGCGTTCGAAGTTCCACGACTACCAGTTAGGGTTCGACGTGCCCTTGTTGATCAGTCTCAACCTGGCGTTCCACACCTTTGTCCTCGTAAGTGTCTGGCTGGCGGCTTTCGGCAGCGGCGTAGCCGCGGGCAAGGAGGCCACAGTTACTCCGTTGTTCTGGCGCGGGCCGACATCACACCGGGTCGCGACCGTGTTCGGGATTCCGCTGGATTTTCTGTGTGCCAACGTGATTCTGAACGTATTCAGTGGCATTTCGTTTCTCCAGGCCCTGATCTTCCTCCCGGCGTCGATTGCGGAGGCCATCATGCAGACCGGGCCGGCGATGTCCATTCTGATCACCTCGATTCTCCAGCCGCACATCCGCTACAACCGGTGGGCCTGGGTTTCCGTGGTTCCCATCGTGGGCGGGGGAGTCCTCGCGTGCCTCCGGACCGACGGGGGGGCCCAAAACGCGGATCCGAAAACAAAGTACCTGCTCGGCCTGTTTTGGAGCATGATCGCGCTGCTCTCCCGCTGCTTGAGAATCATCGTGGTGGACCTGGTGGTAGGGCGGTACGAGGACCGAGTTAAGGGCACTCTGCAGGACGAACTTTCCGAGGACACAGAGCGGGAGCGACTAATACTAGGCGGGGGCGATGACACCTCCGAGAAGCAGCAGCCCACGAAGAGTGCTGTCGGAGGAGGTGCGACGACCACCTCTTCCCTACCCGATCGCGCGCCCAATCCGCAAGACGACGTTGTACTGCGCAGCACAACGCCATCAGCACCAGCCTCGCCGCGCACCCTTCCGCCCGCGCTGAAAGTTTTACAAGTGATGATGCCGATCAACACCGTCATCTACCTGCTTGCCTCGCTGCTGATCGAGCGCGGCCTGAACGACGAGTGGGCGCCGTGGCAGAAGATGAAGTTGCTGATGGCCGAACCGGCACCGGCGAACAGTTTTGTTGCCGGGGGCACGAAGGGCACGCTGCTCGCGGTTCTCCTGCTCATCGTGGGTACCACCGGCTTCCTGTGGCTGCTGACCGAGTTCCGGCTCGTGGAGCACAGCGGGTCCTACACGGTGGCCATTCTGGCGAACCTGAACCGCACCGGCGCGATTGTGGCGGCCGTGCTGGTCCTGGGCGAAAACATGACGGCGTCGCAGGTGTGCGGGGTCGTCGTGGTGGCCGCGGGCGTGTTTCTCAAGTTCACGCTCGGGGAGGCGTACTTCGTCGACGTGCAGAAGGAACTCGACGCGCTGTCCGCGGACGAGCGCGCAGAGGTGGACGAGACGCAAATCAGCCAAAAAGTGCGGTCCAACCTGGCATTTAACGACCTGCAGATCCCCCGGATGGTCACGCCCACCTTCGAGCTGAACCGGAACATCTCCCGCGAAATCAGTAAAAGCAGTACGACGGCGAAAACGAGGAAGGCTCGAGGGCCGTCGCAGGCAGGCGACGTCATAGAAACCTCGACGAGCGGTGAGGCGCAGAAGGAAGCGTCCCCGTAATGTTGAATATGAATGGCTTAAAATGAAAATTTCAAACTTGTATCATGATCTCCTCTGTGTTGTACTTGTATTACGGTTTGGGCACGTTTATTTCCCCGTGCCACCATACCTGGATAAAATTGTATGAAATGTACGTACTAGGCAAGATCAAGATCACCCCGTTTCACTTTTGTACAAATTCCACTTTGTATTCCTCTTCCTGTTTGAAGCGCGCGTTGTGGTGCGCTTTTCTATTACGTAGTCACTTCATCTGTCAGGGCAGCGTCCTTTTGTGCAGGAGGGACCTTCGTCTTGATTTCACATTAATAGCTGCCTGCGATCGGTTGACATGAGTCCGACGCACGGTAGAAGATTGATGAGTAAGAAAGCTACAGCTTCAAGACAGTCTTGCTATGCCTTGTAGGCACAAAGAATAAGAAAGGAATGCAATAGTACCTGATTGCGAGAAATTATGGCTGATGTTGGAAAAAAACTGATGTGGCCATGTCTCGGTGCACTACTAGTACCAAACTTTCGATATTGCTTGCGAAGTTGTCTCGGTGCACTACCAAAAATTCCTCTGTCGGTACTCCGTGCTGATGCTCCAGTAGATGTATGAGGGAAGTCGGTTTTTCGTCCTCCCCCACGTTCAAAATAAATACAGAAAGGACTGTCGGTTTTGCTTAGACAAGGAAAGGCTCGGTTTTCGTGCGCCAGAAATATGACGCGTCGTCGTGCGGAAAGCGTTTTGTTTTCGTCCGGTCGTTAATTTAGCTTTTGACAAGCACATACTGCACAAAGACTGTATACCACTTCCAATCGTTCTTGAAATGTTTTCCAGGGGTGTGGTCTTGCACCTAATCCTCATCAGTTTTGTCTGTGCCACACGGGGACTGGTGCCCCACCAGTTTCCAGTGGGGCAATTTCGGACATATCCTGTCGCACTTCATTAATCGGATAATTCTATGCAACATCTGTACGTTTTTAACTTTTTTGCCACAATAGAACACAAATTCTTACCTCAATTTCCACTGAATTCTTGGAGACGCCCACTATGGTGACATCTGCCGCTACATCTTCGTCCCGGAACATCGACGCGTCCCCCGGATCCGGTCGCCAACCCGACGCGACCTCCAATGCAGCAGCGCCCGCGCGTACCACGCGGATGCTGATCGACGTGCTCGAGGTGGTCACGCAAGCAACGGCGTACGTTTTCCAGGTGATTATTTTCAAGCTAATCGTGTCTCGCCCCGAGGATGCGAAGGAAGGCACGGAGTGGCTCAAGGGCCTGCGGTTCCATTTTGACGCGCCCCTGTTTCTCTCCGTATTCATCGCGAGTACCAGTTTTTGCGTGGTGTCCCTCTTCCTCTGCGTGAGCCCGACGAAGCCGTACGAAAAGCAGCTGGTCACCACGCAGTGGCGGTACTTCGGGGTGCCGATCGGGCTGATGGGGCTCTTTGTCTTCTTCAACGTGATCAATGCGTTCGCAGAATTGTACGCTTTGATGTACCTGCCGGCGAGTATCATGGAATCGATCCTGATGACGGCGCCCGCGCTGTCCGTGATCTTCACGCGCGTGCTGCAGCCCTCGATCCGCTACAACAACTGGGCCTACTTCTCCATCATTCCGATCGTCGCGGGCGGGATTTTGTCCGCGCTCCCGGCCAATTTCCGCGAGGACGTGCAGTCCACCGGAGGCCGCGAAAACTTCGGCCTGGGCTTGTTCTGGGCGATCACAGCCACGATTTTCCGTGTGGTCCGCGTGATCGTGGTGGACATGGTGTCCGGGCAGTTCGAGGAGCGCATGATCGAAGAGGAGCAGAACGAGCTCGCGCCGAGGATCGAGCACCTGCCCAACCCGCAGGAAGAAACCGAAGACGAGCGCGCGGCCGTTCTCAACGCGCAGCGAGGCGGGGCGCAAAATGAGCAGCAGCTGCCGGTTCCCGCGTTCGGACGCTTGGCGGACCTAGAGGTTGACCAAGAACAAGAGGAGAACCGCCCGCTGGTGGTGCCAGCGCGCGAGGGCGAACGAGAGGCGGGCGCGCAGCCTATGCCGAACGTCGTGAACATCCTGCGCATCATGGGTCCGGTGTCCGCGGTGGCGTACCTGGTCATGTCCCTGTCCGTGGAGCGCAACTGGAACGGCGACCGGTCTTGGACGCCGGCCGTCCGCGTGGGCGAAATTTTCGCGACGGGCGGGGCACTGCGCCTGTTCGAGTTGTCGATGGCGGTGATCTTCGGTGAAGGGTTACTGGCCACCATGTGGGTGCTGTCCGAGTTTCGCCTCACGGAGCGGTGCGGTGCCTTTGCCGCGGCCATCTTCGGCAACGTCAACCGGTCCGTGACCGCCGTCGGGGCGGTGCTGATGCTGCGCGAGTCGTTCGCGTGGTGGCAGGGCGTGGGGATTGGCGTGATGGCGGTCGGGGTGCTGATCCGCTTCCTGCTCGGGAACGCGACCAGCGTGCGCGCGGGGGAGCGACTGGACCAGATGCCGCGCCACCTGCGGGAGGAAATCGACGAGGACCAAGTGACAAAGAGGGTCAGTGCGAAAGTCGCGCTGCGCGACGTGGAATCGCACATGGCAGGCTTCCCCCTCGGTGAAATCAGCACCATTGACCGGCAAGTGACCGAAGAGCTGCAGCGCCAGGTCGTTGAGGTGCAGTCGCGGCAGGCGTCGCGCCAGGTGTCGCGCGAACATTCGGCGAACGCTGTGATCGGGGCCCAGGAGAAAACCTTGTTTCCGGCGGGGCTGCCGAAGGGCCGGCGGGAAACCGGGCGGACCACCGAGGCAAGCTCGAGTTCGCGCCGAGCGGGCAGCCGGTTCCGACGGGACTCCTCGTCGTCCGACGGGTTTTCCTCGGACGGTCGGTAAAATCAGAATTGGGGAGAAGCAGGAGTTTTTTGATCATCGCTTCGAGTTGTACTATGAATTAGTCTCGATGCTTGAACGTGTGTGTTTGTTGCAAGAATTTTATGTCTTATTTCTTGCAGCTTTGATGTTTTTCTTTTTAGTTTGTTTTATCATTTTGTATCTATCATTTGTTCGAGCTTTTTTGCACACTGCTATATATCCGTACTTTTCTATCGGTCACCCACCGGCTTCTATACGTATTGTGTGTTGGCTCTCCATGCATTCAAACTTCTCGATGTAGTTGTGTCATGATTTTCTTCTAAAAAAGCGTTTACCCAACGTTTCTCTACTTGTAGAATCAATTGAGGAAAGAGGACTTTGCTCTACATATTCACATAGGGCTTTCGGAATTTTATTTCTGCTGCATAGCGTTAGTGCAACTGAGTAATCTCGACATCATTTCCTTGAGTACTTCGCTATTTCTTGTGCTGCTAGAGAAACATAAAAAATTTGTACATGCCGGCTTCGGTTTACTTCCTGTTCAGAAGTTGTGATATGCCGCTTTCTGTTCCACCTGGCCTCGAAATGAAGAGCACTCTGAGTGAACAGGATCGAATTGCACTGAGTGCGAGAGGACCGCGAGTACTATTGAGGTGACAAGTGAGGCTGCAGCAAGTGGGAGAAGAGTGTGAATACCAGCAGCAGAGCAAGGAGAGTTGTAGAGTGCGATTTCGCTTTCGTTTTTTGTCATCGTACTTGGTCGACGTTTGTGGGTCTGCGATCTAGATTTTTCATGCGCGAGAAACGTCTGAGTAATCACTTTCCGAATCCTAGTTCCAGATGCGGCCGGTGGTGAGGTAGTCGCCGGAGATAGGAACACGAGAATGAGAAAATGAGAATGGGCCGGTGCATCGGCAACCGCAACAGGAACTACTTATGAAAGAAGCCGGCGCTGTGAATAAAAAAAAGTAGTTTCAGAGGCGCCAGCACGTCCGAGGATGGCGAAAAACCAGGCGCCACAGTCCGCCATCCTGACGGATGCGCGGGCGCAATGGATGGCCGCACGCGTGACCGAGTTCATGCCCGGTTTCGATGGCGATCTGTACCGAGATTTGATGAACCGCGAAGGAGAGCGGCACAGCAATGCGCTGCGGGAATTTCTCGACGAGGCAGACGCCGGAACCACGGCGTTCTTCTATGTCATCGACCCGACAACAAAAGAGCAGGCCGAGGCCGCCACTGCTAGCAAGTCGAGTGTTGCGAGCGGTGGCGCCGCAGCGGTCGAGGCAATAGAAGATGACGACATGCTGGCAGCAGAGGGCGGAAGTGCGGCGGGCTCCAAAACCCGGTCTGCCGCGACGACCAAGTTGCGGGGCAGCGTGCACAAAACACTTTTCAGCAAGCGGCTCGCTGGGCGGATCGACCCGACGAAAAGGAGGTCGGGGTGGCTCTCCATAAACTGCCTCCCGAACTTATCAAATGCAAAAATGTCTGGGTCTGGAAGATTGCGAGCCTTGTCATGCTGATCTGGCATGGCCCTTAAATCTGTATTGTGTGGCCCTTAAATCTGTCCCGCAACGGGGTTCGCCTATGTCGGTCATTTGTATGCGAGGCGATGGGTTACCCGGTCGGCAGAGCCGATCCACACGAACGAACGAACGTGGCCACAAACAGCCCCTCTCGCCTGTCATGCAAAAACGCAGTTTCTCAAGCGGAATACGCAGCACAGAAGCACGAAGCAACGCGTCATGCTTGGCGGCGCATTACAGTGCATTTGTTATTGACTGACTTGCATCACAAGTTTCCAGACCCAGACATTTTTGCATTTCATAGAACTCGGCGGAGGTGGAGAGCGGCAGCGTGGTCTACTTCCACAAGATCCAGTCCGGGAAGGTGGACGTGGCGGGCGTGGTGCTGCAGGAGGGCATGCGAAGAAGTCTGCTTTCCGGCATGACCGAGTCGCACTTTCTGCTCGATTTGAAACTCATGATGCAGAACATCTACGTGCCGCTTTTCTACAAGTCCAGCAGGGTGAAGCACTCGGCTTTAGCGGACATAGACGGCGAGGAGCAGGATGCGGTGGACCGGCAGAAGACGGTAAGCCAAGACGACACGGCCTCCGGCGTGGGGGACGATGTCGTCGCGGCTGCCGCCCCGGTGGTGGAAGAGCTCCCGGGGGCGATTGAATTCCTACCCACACACATCTACGAGGAAATACAATCGCTGACGAACAAGTTTTCGAACCAAGTCGGCCAAGCCGCCTCGCAGGTACAACAGGCGTGGGATCATGAACAAGAAAATCAAGTTGATGGTTCTTTTTTTGAATTATTCTCTAACTTCGCTTACTAGGTAGGTGGCGCTGCAGTAGGTACTACTTGTCCGCTTGTTTGAGAGGACACCAGGTTGAAAAATAGAGAAACAAAACAGGTTTACGGCAGCGTGAACATCCGGGTGCCTGAGGTCGCTTCCCAGTACAGCGACGAGACCGTCGACACCATGAAGAAGGAGGACCTGGCTGTTTTGGAAGGAGCGGTGGAGGAGTGGACCAAGATCATGGAGGCCACGGTGAAGCGGGAAACCAGCCGCGGGCGAGCAAACAAGTACCCCATGGCGGAAATCGAACTGTGGCGCGAACGCTCTTCCAACATCTCCACGCTCTACGAGCAACTCTCGATGCCGGGCGTGACGCACCTCCTCCGTCTGCTCCACCGGCACCCGCAGCAGTCCACCGGGATCTTAGCGACCACGTTTGAGGACCAGTTTGGGGAACTCGCGAAGATGCACGCGGAAGCGAAGGACAACGTGAAGTTTTTGACCACACTGGAGCGACATTTTAAAAACCTGCAAACGGGCCCGGTGACGCAAATCGTGGAGATCCTCCCGTCTCTCCTCAATTCTATCCGCATGGTCTGGATTATTTCCCGGTATTTCAACATCGACGAGTACATGGAGCCGCTGATGAAGCGCGTCGCGGAGCAGATCGCGGACAAGGTGGAGGAAGCGATCCAGATCCCCGCCATCTTTCAAATGTCGGTCCACCAGGCGATGAAACTGATCGCGGACTGCCGCGACGCGCTGGACAAGTGGGAGGTGGTGTACCTGCAGACCAGGGAAAAGATCGAGGAGAGCGGGACGGACCACCGGTGGGAGTTCGATCGGCTGAAATTGTTCAAAAAGACGAAGTTCATGAGCAAAATCTGCGGCGATCTGTTCGAGGTCACGCAAGTGCTGGACCAGTTCTACAAATTTCTCGGTCCGGAGTTGAAAGAAGTGACGGGCGACAGCGCGGACATCGACGAGCTCTTGAAAGAAGTGGCAGACTTGACGAGAGCAGAACTTCAGAAAGTCTCTGCTCGACGCGCTTTCGACGAGCGGAACTACTCGACCGTGTGGGAACCTATGATGGGGCGGTTCCGCGAACGCGTGGAGGTGATCGAGCGAAGGGCGATTGTCTTTCTGGACACTTTATCAAATGCAAAAACGTCTGGGTCTGGAAGAGTGCAAGTTTGTCATGCTTGTCTGGCATGACTCGAGAATCTGTGTTGCATAGGCACGAAAGAGCCCCCTTAACTGTCGTTCGAAAAGGCAGTTTGCCATGCGGAATACGTAAGACATGGCAGCCACAAAATTTGTCATGCATAGCTGCACATTGCGGCGCGTCTATCATTCACTTTTAGCATTACAAGTATCCAGACCCAGACACTTTTACACTTGATACACTTCGTTTCAGAATTTGCGGTCCGCGGAAGGCGCGTTTCAACTGCTGCAGAACTTCAAGAACATCGAATCGCGGGAGACGATCAACGCGAAGATGAGCGAGAAGTTCGCGGACATATTAAAGCAGTACGGAAGCGAGGTACTATGATCTAGATTAATTGATGGGATTTTACTTATGTGGTCATAAGGAGGGTACTAGCGTTTTGACACGACGACGGTTTATTTTTTCGATCTTGAGAATGATGTAAATGATGAAAATAAACCGACCTCCTGCTAAAACATTGATCAACAGGTCAAGCGCATGCGCGAGCTCTTCGAGAAAGAGAGCGTGAACTACAAGCCGCCGAAAGACGTGCCACCACTAGCGGGCAGCATCGCGTGGGCGCGGAGTATTTTTGCCCGCATCAAGCGGCCGGTTCTCAGCTTCAAGACGATGCCGCAGCTGTTACAAACCCCCGAGGGGCAGGTTGCTTGCCGCGACTACGTGGATCTGGGGAAGGACATTCTCGCGTTCGAGCAGAATCTGTTCGCAGATTGGGAGGAGCAAGCCGTATCCACCGTGCAGGAGGCGCTCGGGAACAACATTTTGTGCAAAAAAGAGGGTGGTGGCTTCGCGGTCAATTTCAACGTGCAACTAGATTTGCTCACCCGGGAAGCGAAGATGCTGGACCAGCTTGGCGGGTTTGAGTTGCCGCAATTAGTGCTCAACGTCGGGCTACAGGAGGAGAAATACAAGCAATTTGTCGAGCAGCTCCAGCTTCTCGCGAATGCGTACGACGAGGTGGTCGGCGACATGTCCACGGTGCAGCGAAATCTCCTCAAAGGTCAGCTCCGCGAGCTCGACGCCTGCATGGAACCCGGGTTGGGGGTGCTCAACTGGAACTCCCTGGGGATCCTGGACTTCATCGAAGAGGGGAACCGCGGGGTCTCCACGCTCCGCTCCGTCCGGGATCAGGTCGAGAAATCCCAGGAACGGATCGAAAACGTCGTGGACGCGATCGAAAAGGCCATCCTCGTGAAACCGTTCAACTGGGAGCAGGAGGACCAGGAAGTGATGGACCACCAGGAGTTCTACGAGTACTTTGAGAAGTTCCGCGAGCAGCAGGTGGCTGACCTGGTGAAGAAGTACGAGTCAATTTCACCCTTTTTGATCAAAATCGAGGAAACCACCGCGGGCACGAAAACCGGGTCGAGCCCGGCCATGGCGGAGTACTATGTGTACTGGGAAAGGCGGATCTTCAACGCGATCACGACCATGCTGATCCGCGCGATGGCCAGCTTCCAGACCCTGTTCACGAATAGTAACTTGACCGCGCAGGACTCGTTGACTATGCAGCAGGAGGCCAGCGTTTTGGCCGTGCCCGGCTCTTTCGCGCAGGGCGTGATGCAGAACTTGCTCGCGCCCGGCGCGACCGACACCAGCTACACGAATCCGGTGGGAAAGATGGAGGCACCGGCGAAGTCGGTGTTGCTGAAAATCAAGGCGCAATTCAATGCGCCGGACGTGGTTTTGTCCACGCTGCACCAGGTCTTCAAGACGATCACCAAACTGCTGCAGAACGTCCTACAGTCCGCGCACTTCTTTGTCCGCTGGATGGAGGGCACTTGCAGATTAGTTCCACCGCCGCCTCAGCAGGAGGAGGACCAAAAGCTGACGGACTTCACCTTCTACCGGGATATCTACCAGAACCCCGCGCTGATCGAGATGACAATCGCGATCCAGAACAACATTCAGAACGTGTTCCAGGTGATGAGCAAATTCCTGCGCTCCTGGAAGAAGTACGACACGCAGTGGAGATTGTGGGACACCAAGGGAAAGCAGGAGTTGGAGAAGCTTTTTGACCGAAAACCCACGGTCGTCTTCTTCGACGTATACATCAACGTCTACAAGGGATTAGCGGAGGGGCTGGCGTCGTATCCGAGGGAAAAAGGTATGTCGAGCCTCATCATGATCATGATGAGAAAAGACTGGAATAACCTTATTTTGCGGTGGTTAAGTGTTTCGCTTATGTGTTTCGCTTATCTGTTTCGCCTAAGTGTTTCGCTTAGGAGTTTCCCCTAAGTGTTTCGCTTATGTGTCTCGCTTATGTGTTTCGCTTGTGTGGTTCGCTTACGTAAGTGCTTCGCTTATTCGCTTAAGTGCTTCGCTTACGTGTTTCGCTCACGCGGTTCGCTCACGCGGTTCGCTTAAGTGCTTCGCTTAAGTGCTTCGCTTCAGTGCTTCGCTTCAGTGCTTCGCTTCAGTGCTTCGCTTCAGTGCTTCGCTTCAGTGCTTCGCTTCAGTGCTTCGCTTCAGTGCTTCGCTTAAGTGCTTCGCTTCAGTGCTTCGCTTAAGTGCTTCGCTTCAGTGCTTCGCTTAAGTGCTTCGCTTAAGTGCTTCGTCTTAAGTAGTGCCTCGCTTAAGTAGTGCCTCGCTTAAGTAGTGCATCGCTTAAGTAGTGCCTCGCTTAAGTAGTGCCTCGCTTAAGAAAGTAGCGCCTCGCTTAAGAAAGTAGTGCCTCGCTTAAGTAGTGCCTGGTCGAGATTTTGCGCCACTTCAGGAAGTAGCGCCTCGCCCAAGTAGCGCCTCGCTTAAGTAGTGCCTCGCTTAAGTAGTGCCTCGCTTAAGTAGTGCCTCGCTTAAGTAGTGCCGCGCTTAGGTAGTGTCGCGCTTAAGTATTGCCGCGCTTAAGTAGTGTCTCGATTTGCCTCGCTCTTAAGTAGTGCCTCGCTAAAGTAGCGCCCCGCTTAGGGGTAGTGCCTCGCAGCTTAGGTAGTGCCTCCCTTAAGTAGTGCCTCGCTTGAGTCGTGCCGCGCTGAAGAAAGTGGAGCGCTTGTCCTAGGTGCAGCGCTTCTCAGGTGCAGAGGTTCGCTGAGGCGTTGCGCTGCGTTCACGGCTTCGAATGCTTGCCTGCGCGACTCCTTCTTCTTGGGAGCTGCGAAACCTAAAAAAAAAAACAGATATCGGCTTCGTCCGCATCGATTCCACGGCCGTGATTGCCGGGATTCGCGCACAGACCATGGAGTGGGTCCAAGCCTACGGAAGCATTCTCCAGCGCCTCGCGCAGAGGGAACTGGAGCTCGTGACGAAGGAGATCGCGACGTTCACCGAGCAGCTGTCTTGCGAGACGCCAGACACGCTGGAGAAACTGAAATTTGTTCTCGGTGTGGTGAGCCAAATTATGTCCATGTCCATGGACCAAGAGGCGCGTGTCGTTCACGAGGTGCAGGAACGGTATCGGACCCTTGTGATCCACAAGTTCGAACCTTTGGACCAAGAGAACGAAGTGGACGCAGCGAACGCCCTGCCGGAGCAGTGGAAAGCGCTGAAAGACTTGGCGCTCACGAGGGACAGGCGGTTGGTATCGGTAAAGGAGACGTTTTCGCAAGTCACGGAGACCCAAGTGAAAGAGTTCAACGACGAGCTGATTGATGTCTACAAAGAATTCGCGTCCTCCGGCCCCGCCACCGCGGGCTTGCAAACAGCCGCGGACGGCGGCGAGCTGACGTTGGAGGAAGGCCGAGAATTGATGAAGAGGTAGATTCCGTTGCTTTTTCGCTGGTGCTCCTTCACAGGTTTTGCGAGGCATGTGTTTGATCTGTTTTACTTTTTTTTTGAGCACAGGTTTTGAAATTGAAAATTATCTTCCAGATACGAATCCGACCTGAAGACGTACATGAAGCGTCGCGAGGAGCTCGTGAAGGCCCAAACTCTGTTCCAGCTCCCCATTGTAGCCTGCCCAGAGCTCGCAGCCATGGACCGGGAGATGAAAATCAACCGAGCCATCTACGACGTTTTTTCCGCGCACGCTGCCATGGTCCTCGAGTTTTCGTCGGTCTCCTGGAAGAACCTCGATCTGGAGGCGCTCAACAAGTCCGCCGAGGATTTCGACAAGAAGGTGCGCCGGATGCCAAAGGACAAGAAGGAAATCGGCGAGGTGCCGGCGTTCGGAACTTTGGAAAAAACTGTTTCTGATTTCAAATCTTCCGTTCCCTTGATCCAATCTTTAAAGCACCCGGCGATCAAGCCACAGCACTGGAAGGAGCTGCAGGAACTCGCCGGGGGGAATGACGACCCCGATATGGACGAGGCCGCGAAAAAGAAAGCGGAGTTGGATCCCACAAAGATGACGTTGTTGCAGGTTTTCCGACTCGGCTTGCACCGTTTCCCGGAGGAAGTGAACGAAATTGTCATCACCGCGCAGAACGAATTGAAGATTGAAAACGAGTTGCAGAAGGTGGATGCGTTCTGGCGGAGCTGCGACTTCCAGATGTACCCGCACAAGGGTGACATTCAGCTGCTGCAGCCGAATGAGGAAATGCGTTTGGTGTTGGACGATCACTTACTAACTCTGCAGTCCATGGGCGGTTCGAAGTACGCGGCGAAGCTGCTGGACGTGATCAAAAGGTGGGAGAAGAATCTCTCCATCGTGTCCGAGGTGTTCGACGTGTGGCTGCAGTGCCAGCGGAAGTGGATGTACTTGGAATCCATTTTCCTGGAGTCCGACGACATTCGCCTGCAATTGCCGGAGGAAGCGAAGAAGTTCGACAAGGTGCACAAGCAGTTTCTGGGCATCATGGTCGCCACAATCCAGAACAAAAACGTCATGAACGCCTGCTGCGCGCAGGAGGGCGCCCGGTACGCCGAGTTTAAGGATCTCATCGGCGCGTTTGACAAGATCCAGAAATCGCTAACCGACTACCTGGACACCAAGCGGTCCGCCTTCCCGCGGTTCTACTTGATCTCCGACGACGAGCTGCTGTCGATTCTCGGCACCAGTGACTGCTTGGCGGTGCAACCCCACATGATCAAGGTGTTCGACAACTGCAAGGAACTGAGCTTCCCCCGGCCAAAAGTCGTCGCGGGAATGTGGTCCGAGGAAAAGGAGTTCCTGACGTTCCACGAGACGCAGATGGCGGAGGGGGCGATCGAGGATTGGTTGAACCGCGTGGATTACCAGATGCAGGAGACCCTGCTCCGGTTATCGAAAAAGGCAGTGTGGACCTACGCATCGGAGCCGCGTATCGAGTGGCTGCAGCAGTACAACGGCATGGTCGCGATTCTCGGGACCCAGATCTGGTGGACCTGGGTCGTGGAGGACGCGTTCCGCAAAGTGGCGGCTGGGGACAAGAACGGGATGAAGACGGAGTTGTCGAACCAGAACCAGCAGGTGACCGACCTGGTGCTGCTGGTCGGGTCGGACATCTCGAAGCAGCAGCGGAAGAAGGTGAACTCGTTGATCATCTTGGATGTGCACGCACGGGACATTGTGGATCGGTTCGTCAGGGACAGCGTCTTGTCCGCCGACGACTTCGACTGGGAATCGCAGCTGCGGTTCTACTGGGATCGCAGGATAGACGACGTCCAGGTAGAAGTGCGTGAATGTCATGCCTTGTTCTCTTGAGATAGAAAACTTAAACTTTGCCGAGTAGTCGCGAGTGCACTTTGTAAAAAAAAGTTGTCATCCGTGATCTCTTGTGACCACGCAAAGAGTTCTTTCTACCGCCGACTACTAACTATTGAACAGGTAAAGCAATGCACGGGTGTGCTCCGCTACACGTACGAGTACCAAGGACTGAATGGGCGGCTGGTCATTACCCCGCTTACCGATCGTTGCGTGATGACACTCACTACCGCGCTCACCTTCTACATGGGCGGCGCCCCCGCCGGGCCCGCCGGTACGGGTAAGACCGAAACCACCAAGGATTTGGCGAAAGCGCTCGCGATCCCCTGCGTCGTGACAAATTGCGGTGACGGTCTGGATTACCGGGCGATGGGTGTGATTTTCTCCGGGTTGTCCGAAACCGGATTCTGGGGCTGCTTCGATGAGTTTAACCGAATCAATCCGGAGGTGTTATCCGTGGTGGCGGCGCAGATCAAGACGATCCAGCTCGGGCTGGCCGCGGGTAGCAAGACCATCGAGATGTTGAACCGCGAGGTTGCGCTGAAGGTCACGATCGGGTACTTCATCACGATGAATCCCGGTTACGCGGGGCGTTCCGAGCTGCCGGATAACTTGAAGGCACTGTTCCGGCCGGTGACGATGATCGTTCCCGACTTGATGATGATTTGCGACAATATGTTGATGTCCGAGGGTTTCCTGCTGTCGAAGGTGCTCGCGAAAAAGATGACCGTGTTGTACGCGCTTTCCGCCGGACAGCTGTCCAAGCAGTACCACTACGATTTCAAACTCCGCGCGCTGAAGTCAGTCCTTGTCATGGCGGGGGATATGAAGCGCGGGTCTCCGGATCTCGGGGAGGATGTGGTGCTGATGCGCGCGTTGCGTGATATGAACATCCCGAAGTTTGTTAAGCAGGATGTGCCGCTGTTTCTCGGGCTGTTGAACGACTTGTTTCCGGGCCTGGATTGCCCACGTGTCGGGAACCCGGAGCTGAAGCAGGGGATCATCGACGTCTTAACGGAGAATCACAACCGCCCGGAGCGCAGCAAATACGACGAGACATTCGATTTGCAAGTGGATAAGGTACTAAGTACCATGGAGAAAACATTCTGGAATATTTTCTTGTATGATCTTCTGGTGGCCCGCCGTGGTTCTTGTAGTAGTTGCGGTTGTGTTGATGTTTCTTCGCTAGAAGCGTGTCTCTTTTTGTTAAGCGAAGCAGGAGGATAAATGTTTGCCTCTGTTGTGATGATTGTGAATCTGAAAAATCACGACCCACGCAGGTTATGCAACTGTACGAGACCATGCTCACCCGCCACTCGACAATGGTCGTCGGCCCAACCTGCGGTGGCAAATCTGTGTGTGTCGACACGCTGGCCGGCGCGCAGAAGAAAGCGCTGGCATTGCCAACCAAGATTTTCCCGATCAACCCGAAGGCGTATAGAAGTGCACAACTCCCCCTCCCCCTCATTTGTATTGCATGAACAGCAATACAAGCGCCAGCAAGAATACAGATTTCGCATGACAAATTTGGACAGGATTGTAGTGCTATTTGGGCTGCCAGAACTTGTCACGCAAACAGTGCCGAGAGCCAAGGCGTAAATTAGGTATTTTGCATGACAAATGAGGGGGAGGGGGAGTTGTGCACTCTCATAAGGCGGTTACTACCGACGAGCTCTACGGTGTTTTGAACCCCGCAACGCGTGACTGGACGGATGGACTGCTTTCCAAGATTTTCCGTGACATGAACAGCAATTACGACCCGAAGAAGCCGGAGCGCAGGTACATCATGTACGACGGAGATGTGGATGCATTGTGGATTGAGAACATGAACTCCGTCATGGACGACAACAAACTCCTGACACTCCCCAACGGTGAGCGTATCAGGTTAGAGGGGCACTGTGCGATGTTGTTCGAAGTCTACGACTTGCAGTACGCGTCTCCCGCAACCGTGTCCCGTTGCGGGATGGTGTACGTGGACGACAGAAACTTGGGTTGCGGCCCGTACTACGACCGGTGGGTGAGGCTGAAGTGCGGCACGCACCAACCGATGAAGGAGCTGCTGTTGGAATGCTTCGACAAGTTCTACCCGCAGCTGGTTTTGTACGTGTACGAGGGGCGAGTGGGCGACTCTGTCGGAGAGCCGGTTTCATTGCAAATCCCCCGAAGTCAGGTCGGTACGGATGCGATGTACCAGTTCACGAGGCTATTTGACTCTCTGATCGCGGACGTGGACGACAGCCAGGGCCCGAAAGAGGGCGAGGACGTGGGCTCGCGTGACACCATGATGACGACGTCGGGGAACGAAATCTCCCTCGACCTGCTGGAGCATGTCTACGTTCTGTGCCTCGGTATAGAATCTTTCGAGTAAGAAGTTGTACTTCTAGGTGTAGGCTCTTGCAGCTTTATATATTTTTCAATACAAGCGATAAGTCTAAGTATGAGCGTTGTGCGTGTGCACTCCTCGCTGTTGTATCGCCCTTATTTCTTGCTCGATGACGTCGAAAAATGAACTGCCCGACAGTCTGGTCCATCGGCGCCGCGGTCGACGAGGAGGGCCGTAAAAAGTTTGACGAGTTCATCCGCAAGCGCTCGGGCAAGATGATGCCCAGCTCCCCGCTCTATGACAATTACTTCGATTTCGAATCCAGCGGCCGCTGGGTGCCATGGGACGATCTGATCCAGGAGTGGGCGCCGCCAAACGACATCAACTTCAACCAGATTTTGGTCCCGACGGTGGATACCACGCGGTACAGCTGGTTGATCAAGCGGTTCATGTCGGTGTCCCAGCCGACGCTGTTCGTTGGTGAGTCCGGTACGGCAAAGTCTGTCACGACGCAAGCGTGCCTGGAAACTGGGTGGAGCAACGAGGAGAGCATCATCTTGAACATCTCGTTTTCCTCCCGAACGACGTCAATGGACTTCCAGAGGACGATTGAGGACAACGTCAGCAAGCGCACCGGGCGCCAGTACGGGCCGGAGGCGGGGAAGCGATTGCGCGTGTTCATCGATGATCTCGCGATGCCCAAGATCGACACGTACGGCACGCAGCAGCCGCTTGCGTTGCTGAAGTTCCTGGTGGAGCGTGGCTACTTCTACCACCGGTTGGAATTAGAGCGCATGCTGATCCTTGACTGCGACTTCATCTCCGCGATGCAGCCACCGGGCAGCGGAAGGAACCACATCGACCCGCGTGTCGTTTCCCTTTACGCGATTATCGGCGTGCTGGCGCCGTCCGTGTCCACCGTGGAGCGGATTTACGCTTCGATTCTCGCGTTCCGCTTCCAGAACGGCGCGTTTGCCGATGGGGCGAAGGACGCAACCCTGAAACTGCCCCAATGCGCCATGGAACTTCACAACAACATCATCGCAGCACTGCCGCCGACGCCGTCGAAGTTCCACTACATCTTCTCGCTCCGAGATCTGTCCCGCGTGTTCCAAAACCTGTTTCAGACCGGGGTGCCAGAAACTTTGTCCAGCGACGTGCAAGTGGTCCGCATGTTCAGAAACGAGTGCTTGCGGGTTTATGACGACCGGCTGAACGACGACAAGGACAAGGAGTTCGTGGCGAACCAAATGAAGTCCATCATCGGCAGCAACTACAGTGCCGTCGCGGAGAAAGTCATGACCGACCCCTTGGTTTTCGGCGACTTCCAGGACGCTTTAGACCACATGTCGAAATCCGAAACCCCCTGGCTGATGCAGCGGCAATACGTGGACCTCAACGAATGGGCAAACGTGAAGAAAACCATGTCGGCGGTGCTGGAAAACTACAACTTGGAGAACAAGATCATGAACTTGGTGCTGTTTATCGATGCCATGGCGCACTTGACCAGAGTGCACAGGATCATCCGGATCCAACGAGGCCATGCGCTCTTGATCGGTATTGGTGGTAGCGGAAAGCAATCCCTAACCAGGCTCGGAACCTACACAGCCTGCTACACGCTGTACGAGATCCAACTGTCCCGTGGGTACGGCGACAGCAACATCCGCGACGATTTGAAAGCGCTCTACACCGCGGCGATTAAGAAGCCGCACAGCTTCCTCTTCCGTGATCAGGACGTCGTGCAGGAGGGCTTCTTGGAGTACATCAACAACATCTTGACTGTCGGTATGGTGCCGGCGTTGATGGCAGATGACGAGAAGGAGCCACTGTACCAGGTAGCACGGCCCGAAGCGAAGAAGCAGGGCATTCCGGAAACCGGACTGTGGGGCTTGGTCGTGAATATGCTGAAGGACAACTTGCACATGGTCCTCGCCATGTCCCCGGCGGGATCGCAACTCCGGACCCGGTGCCGGAACTTCCCCGGTTTGGTTTCCTGCTGTACGATCGATTGGTTCTTCTCCTGGCCGGAGGACGCGCTGTTAGCGGTCGCGGAGTACTTCCTGCAACCCGTGGAGCTCCCACCCGAGAACCGCGACCAGATCGCGAAGACCATCTCCTACGTGCACACCAGCGTGACCACCAATTATTCCCCGGAGTTTGAGGCGAAGTTCAAGCGAAAGAACTTCGCGACGCCCAAGAACTACTTGGATTACTTGGCAAACTACGCTGAGTTTTTGGAACTCAACCGGGGCAACACCGACACGCTGAAGAAGCGACTGGGCGGCGGTTTGGAGAAGCTCATCGAGGCTGCGGACCAGGTGGCGGTGATGCAGGTGGAACTGAGTAAAAAGGTGGTGGTGGTGGACGAGAACGCGAAAAATGTAACGGCTCTGATCGAGGAGATCAAGCAGAAGACCGAAGTCGCGAACAAGCGGCAAGAGGAGGCGAATGCGGCCGCAGCGAAGATCGAGGCCGACAACATCGTCATTTACTCCCGTAACGCACCCCCTCCCAAGGCCGTCCGAAAAACTCCGAAAACATTACGACAACAATCCGAAAGCGGAGACGAAAAACAACGGGGCAGCGACTCGAAAAAGCTTCTTCACGGTTCAGAAGATAATCGGTCCGCCGCGACTCGGTTTGTTGGCGAAGCAACATTAACACAAAGCGCTTCGAAGCTTTGAACTGCCGGCGTTTTGCGCAGTCCACAAAAAGCGATCCGCGGCAGGTCTGGACCACATGGCAGCGAAAACGCGCAAAAGTGTGGGCCGCATACCATCGGCGCTGTGTGTACACGCGCCAGCCCCGGGCGGATTACGTAGGCGCCCAACGCGCAAACGCGTGGGGCAGCAGCGTGGCCATGTGGCCGCGGCGGCACGCCGATGGTTTTACAGGGGGAAGAGGCGGGCCGTTTGGCTTTCTTTTTACTTTTCCCCAGCATATCAAGCAAGCCCCGACCGTTTTCGCAATGAGGCCGATGGGCTGAGATGCGAACCAGGCGGGTCGTTCTGGTTTTCTCGCTTTCAGCGAACGGCGGATGTAGGTGGGGACAAGGGGAGTCGTATGGCTGTGATGCTGGGAGTGCGCACACCACCACAAAAGGCGCGCGCCCCACACCATCGGGGCTGCGTGTACACGCGCCAGCCCCGAGCTGCCCACGCAGGGATCCAACGCGCAAAAGCGTGGCCCGCATACCATCGGCGCTGTGTGTACACGCGCCAGCCCCGAGCGGATCATGTAGGCGCCCAGCGCGCAAACGCGTGGGGCAGCAGCATGGCAACGAGGCCGCGGCGGCACGCCGATGGTTTTAGAGGGGGAGGAGGCGGGTCGTTTGGCTTTCTTTCTATTTGTTTTTATTTTTCCCCAGCATACCAGGCATGCCCCGACCGTTTCCGCAATGATGCCGGTGGATTGAGATGCGAACCAACCAGGCGGGTCCGTCTGGTTTTCTCGCTTTCAGCGAACGGCGAATCTAGGTGGGGACAAGGCGAGCCGTTTGGCCGTGGTGTTGAGATGCGAACAAGGTGGGTCGTTCTGGTTTTCTTGCTTTCAGTTAACGCCAGGGGGCCGGTGGATTTAGGTGCGGACAAGGCGAGCCGTTTGGCCGTGGTGCTGGGCGTGCGCACACCATCACAAAAGGCGCGCGCGCCACACCATCGGGGCTGCGTGTACACGCGCCGGCCCCGAGCTGCTTACGCAGGCACCCAACGCGCAAAAGCGTGCGCCGCATACCATCGGCGTTGTGTGTCCACGCGCCAGGCCCGGGCGGATTACGTAGGCACCCAGCGCGCAAAGAAACGCGTGGCGCAGCAGCATGGCAGCGAAGGAGGTCGCGGCGGCGCGCCGATAGTTTTAGAGGGGGGCAAGGCGGGGCGTTTGGCCGTGATGTTGGGCGTGCGCTAACAACTACCACAAAAGGCGCGGACGCCACACCATCGGGGCGGCGTGTACACGCGCCCCCGGCCTGCTTATGATATGGGGGCGCCCCCCCCGGCGCGCAAAAGTGCGAGCAGCATATCAAGGCGGCCCGCCGATGGTTTTAGAGGGGGACGAGGCGCGCCGTTTGGCCATTTTCTTTCTCCCGCCCACCATCTCAGGCCAGCCCTGATCTCCTTCGTTCGCAAGAAGATCGACGGGCTTAGGCGGGAACAGGGCGAGCCGTTTGGCTTTTCTTCTTTTCTGGGTGGAAGTCGCGGGCGATTTCATGTTCCGCAAAGGAGTGCATCACGTCCGCGTCTCCGGAGTGCAGCAAGTCCGCGACTCCGCAAAGAATCCGAAACTGCCTCCCATTTTTTCGCTCCGAAAATTTCGCCGCCTGCTATGATGAAGGCGGCCGCTTTTTTTCGCATCTTCCCGACGCCTTTTGCGGAGTCTTTTCGGAGTCTCTTCGGATTCTTAAAAGTTGCGTATCGTGGGGGTTTTGGGTAGGCTGAAAAAAAGCTATTAAAGAGGGCACACATCATGCAAACCCGACCAAAACAGCGAAGGCCTAGAAAAAACATCGGACGCAGTGCCGTCGTGGGTAACATTACCCCCGATGGTATTGCTGCCGGTTCCTGGGCGCCCAACTTTCCCCGGTCTGGTCGCGCTGTCTCTCTCGATCTGTAAAGGCAAAAGCACACACAACCCGACGACGCGGCCGGCTATCTTATTGGTTGTGTCTCTCGATCTGTAAAGGCAAAAGCACACTACACAACCAAACGACGCGGCTCTCTATCTTATTTGTTTCAGGATGCGCGTACTTTATTGCTGTCAGTTGTGTTTTCAGTTATTGTTGGGGGTTAGAGTGCCGCAGCCTTGTAGAGTTAGGCGCTATGGTTGTTCTCAATCTTGTGAAAGATTCGTTTGCTGCATACACCTCGCGAACAAGATACACTCGAAAAAAATAGCACAAAGGATCCTGCAAAGGCAGTTTTGGCTGTACACTCGAAAAAATTAGTCATCAGCTGTAGTTGCGCAAAGAATTGCTTGATATGCTGGGGAAAAGCAAAAAGAAAGCCCAGCGGCCCGCCTCTTCCCCCTCCTTGCCGCCGCGGCCTCGTTGCCACGCTGCTGCCCCATGCGTTTGCGCGTTGGGCGCCTACGTAATCCGCCCGGGGATGGCGCGTGTACACACAGCGCCGATGGTATGCGGCCCACACTTTTGCGCGTTGGGTGCCTGCGTAAACAGCTCGGGGCTGGCGCGTGGACACGCAGCCCCGATGGTATGCGGCCCACACTTTTGCGCGTTGGGTGCCTGCGTAAACAGCTCGGGGCTGGCGCGTGGACACGCAGCCCCGATGGTGTGGGGCGCACGCCTTTTGTGGTGGTGTGCGCACGCCCGGCATCACAGCCATATGGCTCGCCTTTTCCCCACTTAAATCCCCCGCGCGCTGAAAGCGAGAAAACCAGAACGGCCCGCCTCTTCCCCCTCTAAAACCACCGGCGTGCCGCCGCGGCCTCGTTGCCATGCTGCTGCCCCACGCGTTTGCGCGTTGGGCGCCTACGTAATCCGCCCGGGGCTGGCGCGTGTACACACAGCGCCGATGGTATGCGGCCCACACTTTTGCGCGTTGGGTGCCTGCGTAAACAGCTCGGGGCCGGCGCGTGGACACGCAGCCCCGATGGTGTGGGGCGCACGCCTTTTGTGGTGGTGTGCGCACGCCCGGCATCACAGCCATACGGCTCGCCTTTTCCCCACTTAAATCCCCCGCGCGCTGAAAGCGAGAAAACCAGAACGGCCCGCCTGCTCTCGTCTATCTGCGCCCAGTCCCTTCCTGTTTCTATCTCGGTCGTGCCGGTTGCTTTTCTTTATAATTTACGACTTGCGTCCTCTCTGTTTCTTAAGTTACAGCAGCGCGTTTGTTTCTAAAGTTATGATCGTACTAGACTGCTACTAAAGTTATGGTCTACGACCATGGCAGCGACGGACTTGCTCTCTGCGATCTACTTGTTCGTCGACCGTGATGGCAAAGGCGGCAGAGCCCAACGCGATCGCAAAACGGCCACAGGGGCGGGCCGTTCGATCAGGAGCGGGCGGAGGGTCTTCAGCTCATTTTTGGCAAGTCCCTCCGCAGCAATTCTCATTCGCAGTTTCGTAATCTCGTCGGAATCCCTTCGGAGTTTTTTCATTTGTGAGCAAGGGGGTGCGTTATGGGAGTAAGTCATCGTGCGGGAGAAGGCCGACGCCGATCAAGCGTATGGATTGTAAAAATGTCTGGGTCTGGAGGATTGCAACTTGTAATGCTAGCTTTCCAAACCTAGAAAATCTGTATTGCATATACCAACAAAAGTCGCAGCCTCTTTTGTCATGCATAGACGCAGTTTCTCATGCGGATTGCCTATGAGAAAGCGTTTTGGGAAGTTGTCACGCCGGACTGCATTCGGAAGTGTTTTCATCATGCACATTTTAGCATCACAAGTTTCCAGACCCAGACATTTTTGCATTTGATAAAGCGCTGCAGGCAGCAATGCCAGCGCTGGCCGCGGCGGCGGAAGCGTTGGAGAACCTCGACAAAAAGGACATCACGGAGGTGAAGGCATTCACGACCCCGCCACCCGCGGTCGCTGCGGTGACCAAGTGCATCATGATTCTCAGACCACTGGGAAAGGAAAACCCCGCAGACGGCTGGGCGGGCGCGAAGGCGATGATGTCAGATACCGGGTTCCTGCGTTCCCTGCAAACCTACCCGAAGGATGACATGAAGGAGCGTCAGATCCAGCAAATCCGAGTGGTGTTCAACGCGGATAAGGAGACTCTGGTAGATAACGACGGCGCGAAGATGAAAACCATTTCCAAGGCCGGTTACGGTCTTCTGCAGTGGGTACGACTTTTTTCATGTTGATGTAGTGGCTTTGATGTTGTATACTTGTTCGCGTAGTTGGCAACATCCTCGAATAGTCAGTCTCGGACAACTCCGAGTGAATTTTTTTCTGGATTCAAATGGCACGTTTGTTACGTTCTTACGTTCGGCCTCGACCTGAAAGTTTTAGTATCAACTGTCTTGTAGTTCAAGTTCTTGTTTACCCAGAGGCAAGTCTACACGACCCTATTGAATAAAAACAGACGCTCGCGATGACGAAGTACTACGACGTTGCCAAGACCGTCGCGCCCAAGAAGGCACTGGTGAAGGAATTGCAGAACCAGAAAGAAGAGGCGGAAGCCAACCTGGAAGCCATCAACGAGGAACTGGAGGAGTTGTCCAAGAACTTGGGCAAGCTGCAGGCTGACGAGGCCGAGCAGTCGGCGAAGCTGAAGGAACTGAAGGACGAAGCAGATTTGATGCAGCGGCGTCTGGGTGCCGCGTCACAGCTGATTACCGGTCTCGCGGGAGAACGCGTTCGCTGGACTGCGGACCTGGAGGTGCAGGGGGAGATCAGGACAAGGTTAGTCGGCGATTGCTTGAACAACGCCGCTTTTGTCTCCTACGCCGGTCCCTTCAACTACGAATTCCGAACGGAAATGGCCTACGTGGACTGGTACGGCTACATTAAGGACAACAAGATTCCGATCAGCGAAAAATACAGGCTGGAAGATTTGCTCACGAGTGAGGTCGAGGTCGCTGCCTGGAACGGCTTCGGGCTGCCGGCGGACGAACTGTCGATTCAGAACGGTATAATTAATGAAAAAGTTTAATCGGCTAAATTTTCGCAGGATTTTGCTTTCTCTGTTGCATGTTTTTTGCAGTGTGAAATTATGCATTCTCAGCTGCACCAGCACCCCGCAGAAATAGAGAATCCCAATGACACATCACATTTCAGGTATTCTGGTCACCCGTAGCGCCCGCTACCCGCTGTGCGTTGACCCGCAGATGCAGGCGGTGAACTGGATCAAGAAAAAGGAGGCGAAAAATGGGTTGACCGTGAAGACCTTCAACGACGACTACATCAAGTTTCTCGAGCTGGCGATCACCTACGGAAAGCCCTTTTTGTTCGAGAACCTGGACGAAGAACTGGACCCCATGATCGACCCGGTTTTGGAGAAAGCCTACACGATCGTTTCCGGCCAGAAGATGCTGCAACTCGGGGACAGCGAGCTCGAAGTTTCCCCGACGTTTCAGCTCAACCTGTGTACGAAGCTGTCCAACCCCAGCTACACGCCGGAAGTGATGGGCAAAGTCTCGATCGTGAACTGCGTCATCACGCTCGACGGGCTCGCCGCGCAGCTGCTGAACGTCGTCGTTGGATTCGAAAGGCCGGACCTCGAGGCGCAACGCGCAGCCCTGGTGCAGCAAATGAGCGACAACCGGCAGATTCTGAAGACGCTGGAAGACATATCCTGAGTAAAAACGTCCCCACCCCAGAGTCAAGATGGGGATTTTGCAACACAAACATTGAAGTTTTGGGAACCACGCATGACAAATTGCAGGCTGTAGTGTAGTGCAGTTTAGCAAGGGAAGCCGCATAACAAATCGATCTCCTTATGCTGTTTACAGCATTACAAGTTCCAAAACACGATTGATTTTGCCCATCATGGGATCGCGCATTACAAACGCTCTTGTGCTCGCAGATCTGCATCACATCTCTGGGGTGGGGACGTTTTTACTCAGGATAAGACACCTTGCTAAGGGAACTCGCGAACAGTAAGGGCTCGATTCTGGATAACGAGGATTTGATCAATATCATTTGTAAAAACGTCCCCACCCCAGAGTTGTAATGCAAATCTGCATGCTGAAAATGTTTCTCATGCGGAGATCCATGAGAAGCAGTTTCTAGTCGTGTTTTGGGATTTGTGATGCTAGAATCAGCATGATGTGCTAGATCTGCGATGCTGCTGAAGAAGCTAAACAGGATTACACTACGAGGCCAAACTTGTCATGCGCAACAGCAAAAGCTGACAGATTTGTCTAGCAGATTTCCCATCCCGACTCTGGTGTGGGGACGTTTTTACTCAGGATAATCAACACCCTGAACACCGCGAAGGCAAAGTCCATCGAGATCGGGGAATCGCTCGCTGCAGCGGCGTTGACTTCAGTGGAAATCGACAAAGCGCGATCGAGTTACACGAAAGTCGCGAAAAGAGGTTCGATTCTCTACTTCACGATGAGCGGACTCGTCGCGATTTCCAATATGTACGAGTACTCGCTGGGAAGTTACCTGGAAGTTTTCAGCAACGCGATTGCGGAGGCGAAACCGGACAGGATCCTGGACAACCGGTTAAAAAATCTGAGGGAGAAGATCACGCAAATGATGTACGACTACACGTGCATGGGGATTTTCGAGAAGCACAAGCTCCTCTTCTCCTTCAAGATGACCACCATGATCATGAAGGGCGATGACGAGCTGGTGCAAAAGGAATTCGACTTTTACATGAAGGGGAACCCGAGCCTGGAGAAGCCGCAGAAGCAGAACCCGTACAACTGGATATCGGAAGGGGCTTGGAAGGATTTGGAACTCCTCTCCACCTTGGATCCATCGATGAAAACCCTCTGCGACGACATCATTTCCAAGGGCGGCGAGTGGCGCGCGTGGTACGACTTGGAAACCCCGGAGTCGGAGACCCTCCCCTGCGGGTTCAGCGAACTGGACCCCTTCAAGCAGATGCTGATCATCCGCTGCTTCCGCCCGGATCGGATCATCAACGCAACGAAAAATTTCATCATGTGGAGGCTGTACGACTACTTCGTGCAGCCACCGTCATTGGCGTTTGACAAGATCTACGCACTTTCGTCAGAAAGGTCGCCGATTGTCTTCGTCTTGTCCCCCGGTGCGGATCCGCAGTCGGATCTGCAGAAGTTGGGGGAAGCGATGGGTTTCGTCGGGCCGAAGTTCCGCTTCGTCTCCCTCGGTCAAGGCATGGGCCCGGTCGCGGCCGCGAACATCGAGTCGGGGTGGCAGCGCGGGCAGTGGGTGATTCTGCAGAACTGTCACTTGCTGGTGTCGTGGCTGAAGACGCTGGAGAAAATTCTCGAGGGGATCACGAAGCCGAACAAGGACTTCCGGCTGTGGCTGACCACCATGCCGATCGACGACTTCCCGATGGGCATTCTGCAGAAATCCCTCAAGGTCGTGACCGAACCGCCAGACGGTTTGAAACTGAACATGAAGCAAACCTACACGAAGATGACGGATGAGGACCTGACCTTGTGCCCACATTGGGCGTTCAAGCCGCTCATCTACGTCCTCGCCTTCTTCCACGCGATTGTGCAGGACAGGAGAAAGTTCGGGAAGATCGGTTGGAACGTCGCCTACGACTTTAACGAATCGGATCTGAAGATTTCGAACAAGTTGTCCGCTTTGTACCTGCAGAAATCCTTTGACCAAGGCGCCGTCATCCCCTGGGACACGTTAAGGTATCTCATCGGTGAAGCCATGTACGGCGGGCGTGTGACGGACAACTACGACAGGAGGGTACTGAATACGTATCTGGAGGACTACATGGGCGACTTCCTCTTCGACGACAATGTGCCCTTTTTCTTCAGCAAAGACGGCTTCGAGTACACGTGTCCCATGGAGGGGGACCATGCGGACTTCATGACGCACATCTTGGCGCTCCCGATCTCGCAGAGTCCAGGTATGGTATGTTTTTGATAAAAATGCTCTTTGGTTTTTGTCTGACTTATTCCGGCCTCTACTTGCTTTTTCTTCTAATCCGTCGAGCGATCATGATTTTATTTTCCAAAAATGTTGTTCCGATGCACAGGTGTCTTTGGTCTGCACCCGAACGCCGAGATCAACTATTTCACCAACGCCGCCAAGGAGATCTGGTTCGGCCTGCTCGCCATGGAGACCGGAAGCGGCGGCAGCGACGGCGGGATGAGCAAAGACGACTACATCGCCAAGATCGCGAACGACATTCTGAAGCGCATTCCGGACGACGACCTGAAATTCATCAAGGACGACGTGCCAACGCCGAACGAGGTCGTTCTGATGCAGGAAATGGAGCGCATGAACGCGTTGACGAACCGGATGTACGCGTCTTTGAAGGATCTGAAGCGCGCGTTAAAGGGTGAGATCGGTATGTCGCAGGCGCTGGACGAGCTCGGGTCCAGCCTCTTCAACGGGTTCCTACCCACGATGTGGGCGAAGCTGGCACCGCAAACGGAGAAGCCGCTCGGGAGCTGGATGGACCACTACTCCAAGAGGTTTCTTCAATACGACACGTGGGCGAAAGAGGGCGACCCGTGGGTCTTCTGGCTGTCGGGACTGCACATCCCAGAATCTCTGTTGTCCTCTTTGGTGCAGACGACGTGTAGGAAGAAGGGGTGGGCGCTGGATAAGTGTACCATGTACACGGAAGTGACCAAGTTCACCGACAAGGCGCAAGTCGACGCCCCCATGGAGGACGGCACCTTCGTTGAGGGCATGTACATCGAGGGCGCCAGGTGGGACCTGCAGAACGGCTGCTTGGCGCGGCAGTTGCCGAAGGTGCTGGTGGAACAGATGCCTTTGGTGAAGATTATTCCGGTCGAGGCAAACAGGCTGAAGTTGCGGAACAGTTTGCCAACACCGGTGTACATCACGCAGCTGCGCAGGAATGCCATGGGTGTCGGACTGGTGTTTGAGGCAAACTTACACACCGAGGTGCATCCGTCGCTGTGGGTTCTGCAGTCGGTCGCCTGCATGCTCAACGACAACTCGTAAGCGCGCACCGTGGTTGCTGCAGAAAAAAAAACAAATACTTGTTGAAAATGTTTAACACAGACTAAGTCATTTAACGCAGAGAAAGAACTTCTAATTGCAGAATGTCTCGTTTACCTATGGTTTTCAAACCTAGACACAGTTACTTTTCCTAATTCTAATTCAAACAAACAAATCGAAATCTTTCGTTGGTGTTTTCTACTGAAACAAAATAGCAGATATTGAATCTTAAACCTATAGCACGCGTCTTCTAGGGTCGTGATTCGCTCACAACGCCTAGCAGATCGGTGTCTGAAGCTTACTTTTGCTTTACTTTCACAGCAATGATTTGTACTAGCAGAGATCGGTATTCTAGGTTGAGATTTCTAGACAAAAATGCACTGCAGTCACCCCTGCCTTGAAATTTGTCAACTACGCTGGCGCTTTTTACGGGTAGCGGGCGGAAGCGTGCTGCAGACGTGCGCTTTTCGCAAGTGCACCTTTGAGCTTTGTTACTTTTAAATGCATGATTTCCATGATTCGTTTCTATTTCGAAGTCTCTCTACTACTACACATGACGATGAATCTGATAGCTTTCTTGAACTTCAAATGTTTGCAGTACGAAATTAAGAGCAAGCTAATAGCACTTGACTCGTTCTCTACTCCGTGCCCGACACATCTACGCGCCATGCATAGCAGAAACTTTTGTCTCTGTTCGCCTCCAATCGCTCGCTAAAGGAAAAGGATCGCTTCTTTCGGTGCGAGAGTCAAGTAGTATGCTTCGAAGTTCGCATGGATGTATCACTCTCGGTTTTGCGTCGGCGCCGTACAGATTTGCGAAGATGAAAGAAGAAAAAGAAAAGCAAAGCTCGGACAACTAAGTTTTTGCCCGGCCGCTTGTGACTGAGTTGTGCTTTTTCATTCTAGAAACTTCGAATTGCAAAACAAGTACAAGATGGCAGGCGGTGGCAGCAGTAGTTCCAGCTCGAGCCCACCAGTGCCTCTCTTGTTCAATGAGGACAATCCCCTGCGGGTGGCACTGGTTGGGCTCGGTCGCATGGGGGACATGCGCTTGGAGGAGCTAGCGAGGAGGCCGGACAGCAGGCTGGCAGCCATCGTCGATGTCAATCACGAATTGGGGTCGAAGCGGGGGAAGAAGCACTCGGTTCCGGTTTTTGAAACGCTGACCGCCGTTTTGCGGGATCCGAAAGTGGAGTTTGACGCGGTTTGGATTTGCGTGCCGACGCCCTTTCACATGGAGGTCATACTGGTTGCTTTGGAAAACAAGAAGCACGTGGCCGTGGAGAAACCGGTCTGCAGCAACGCCGAAGACATCCGGATTTGCTACGAGACGGCGGATATCCTGTGAAAATGTCTCGTACTCGTAGTAATTGCATTTCTGCATTACAAATCCCCTTTTCAAGGTAAATCAGGATTACAAATTAAATTTGTAATGCTGGGCTAATTTGTCACGCAATTTATACTAGTGCGATGCTTTTGCATTGCATAGCGGAACAGCACGGAGTCCATTTGTTCTGCTCGTTTCAGCGCCGGTTTGACCCCAGCTATCAGAAGGTGAGTTTTTTTGTTATTTCCCCCGCGATAAAGGTTTATACTCTTTTCATGCTACAGCGGTGCATGGATAGGCGCACGTTGAGACGTGGAAGGTGTTGTATATGCTTATCATAACATTAATGAATCCGAATCCCTAGGTCGCTTCCCTTGTCCGCTCGGGCGAGCTAGGCGAGCGCATGGTCACAATTCACACCGTGTTCCGCGACTACCCCTGTCCGAGCATCGAGTTTATGAAGCAGGGCGGCTGCCCGTTTCACGACCTGGCGGTGCATGATATCGACTTTATTCGGTCAATTCTCGACGAGGATCCAGTAGAAATCTACGCGACGGGGCAGTCGGTAACTAAGGAACTGGAGTCGCTGAATATCCACGACACGGCTTCCATCACCATGCGCTACAAGAGCGGATTGGTAGTCTATAAGATTTTTGCATGAGAGCTTTTCGGGGAAGATGCCGATAATGGATGCTACTAAATCTGCCCCGGGTAATTTTCGGCAAAACTAACACCAACTTCAGGTTGCTTTTCTCGAGTTTTCCCGCCTCTCCGCTTACGGCTACGACCAGCGGTGTGAGGTTTTCGGGAGCAACGGCAACTGCGCACGCGTGGACTACCCGAGGCAGACGTCCTACACGCTCGCCACCACCGCAGGGCACATTGAAGACGTGGGCAGCGTTTCGCCGATAGAGCGCTTTCGCACGGCCTACGCGAACGAAGTGGCTAGTTTCCTGGCGACGTGCAACGGTATTAAGTGATGCTGGGGCAGGTGTGTTCGTTGCGGTCATGCGAAGGTAAAAAAATGACAAAGATCTCCAGTAATATGCACAGGCTAGATCACCGCTCTCGAAAGAAATCGTACAGGTACGAAGTCCGAGAACAAGGTAAGTCGAAAGGATGCAATGCTCGCGACGATGCTAGCGGAAGCCGCTCGACAAAGTTGCCATTACAAGCGGTCCATTTTCCTTACCTACTACGACGACGACGTTATCCACTTCAGTTTCACCCGGGGATCCGACCCGAGCGGAGTTGGACAGCGGGGAGCGCCAACCAATGGGTTGACGCATTCGCTATTAACGTCGTCGAAGCTGTGACTTACCGGCTCCAATAACCAGATAAGATTTTTTGATTTTAGTTTGTGTGATTTTTGTCGTTTCCGGTGGGTACAAGCTTTTTGCTGAGGTCCTTTTTGCTAGTGCCACACAAGTTTGCGCCGAGACCGCCGGCTTCTATTGCGTAATAATGAATGTTTACGGTGGCGAAAGCTAGGAGAACAGATGACCGGTTTTTCGCAGATCGTGTTTCGATGAAAGTGAACGTCACGAATAAGATTTTGTCAACTCATCGAGCGCAATGCAGACTGTGGGTGACCCGAAGAAAAATCTGATAGGTAGTCATATATCACCACAGGGTGGCGTGCGGAGAGATGTGAGATGAGCTCCTCTGCATGGAGTGTTCTCTAAAAAGTAAAGATACTGTAAGGATCTACCATTTTGCCTCTGTGTGCCGCGAAATGTGCGAATGTGAGACACCTTTTTGTCTCTGTTTCCATCCTTGACGCCGAGGTTTGAATATTTATCCTGATCCTTTTTTTGCTGTTGCAGTGAGTTTGTGGTGTTGCCGGATGTCATGACACTTTTCGACTCTATTTTCGCGACAGACCACGAGTACTCAGAGTTTCACAGAGTGAGTTTTTTCATATCTTCCCACCTAGAGACAAAACAGTTACAGCAATAGCACCATGATAGTGTGATTCAGAATGTGCAGCCTTAAAATACGCGTATCGCCCGTCTTCCAAACGCAGATTGTCATACCTGCTTTCTGACCAGCTGTTGCATCCTCTGCAAGCGAACCCGGGTTAGAGCTGGAGCTATGGGTTGCGAGCAATCCAGACCCTTGCAGTCGCCAAGCGGCCAAGGGCCTCAGCTGCGGGACGAGGAGCAGCGGCGACCAAATTCTCTAGAGGCGAAAATAGTTCTCTTAGGAGATAGCGGAGTCGGGAAGTCGTCGCTCGCACTAAGATACTGCCAGGGACGCTTTTCGCCTTTTCATGAGGTACTTAACTTTTCTTGAAAATCATAGATATGTCTGGCGGATAAAAAACGTGCAGTGCAGCTGCTCAAGCAGCACAATCACTCGCTAAAAAAAAGGAATAAGGCCCGAAGTCGGATGAATCCAAAACTGATGTCTCCTCGCAGGTAACAATAGGAGCTGCCTTTCTGCAGCAGATGATAAGGCTACCCGACGGGCAGCAACTGAAACTTCACATATGGGATACTGGCGGCCAAGAGCGGTTTCGAGCCATGGCGCCACTATACTATCGCGACGCTCTCGGAGCGCTCATAGTGTATTGCCAGATTTTTTCACATTTTTTTCTGGTGATGTGTGTGAAAGTGAGTGATTCTTGAAAATTGATTTTCATGATAGCATTGAAATCGGATTTGAACAATCTTTTCCCAACGCAGCTACGACCACAACGACGGTGCTTCATGGGAGGCCGTCCGATACTGGGTCGACGAACTACGCAACAAGGGTCCCGAAAACGTCTGTCTCGGCGTGGTCGCAAACAAGGCTGACGTAGAACCGACCGGCGAGGCCACCGGAACGGATGCCGAGCAGGCTCGCGCGTGGTGCACAGAGCAGGGCATGCTGTTCACGAAAGCTTCGGCGAAAACCGGGGAGGGCGTCAACACCGTGTTTGCGACCCTGGCGAACAGAATATACCAAGACATACTCTCGAAGAGATAGAATTTGTGTAGCTTTTCTCAACGCGAAAACATGTTCACATAATCCACATAGGTTCTTCTATGACAACATAAGTACACATCTGGCATGTAGATGTCAATGAACACGACGACGATTCTATCGTGCCCATGCTGGTGTTCTACTTCTTGGAACAGTCCTGGTTCTTCGATAAATTGAGGCAACGCGATCCGGTTCTCTGTTTCACTTGTGTTGCTCGGAAACCAATTGCTGAAACTCAACAAATTGCGATGGCGGTGTTTTTTTTTGATGTCAACGAGAAGCTGAAAACAAACGAAAAGAGATCTCTCTGAACCGGGTCACGTTTTTTTTTGCGTAAGTTTTGATCGTTTTGATCTTTGAGTAAGGCCTCGTGGAGAAGACAGAGGTTCGACGTCATTTATTTGCCTAGCCTCAAAAAGATGTTGCGCCGTCCAGTACTGCGGCTCTCCCGGCAAGGACTCGCGCACCTTCGAGACAGAGCGTTCTGCTCTGCTTCAGTGTCGTCCTTGAAAGAGACAGTGCCAGTGACTGAGAAGACACCTCCATCGAGTGGGACAAGGGTAGGAGGAATATCAGGAGACGCTGCGGACACTGCACCTCAGGACGCAACACTTCCCAACCCGAAGAATGAATCAGCGCCGTCGAAAATTTTTGGTGCAACGTCTGCCGGGCGGCAAGACAAGCGACAATCGCTTGAGTCCGCCTCATCCTCTTCCTCAGCAGCGGTAAGATGTTCGGGCGATCAGTTGTCGGCATCCTCGTCACGAATTAAGCAGCGAGCTTCCTACACCCAGCTCCGGGCGCCACGCACCATGCAGCAACGGGACCGATTGCAGAAGACCTTGCACACAGGAATTTTGAGCGTAGATGCCCTAGCGCCGCTCGGACAAGGGGGGTCCATGCTTTGTGTGCACGAATCAGATACGAACATCGCTGCGTTTGTCGAGGGTCTGGTGAACGGATGCACAAGCAGCGGTTCGGTGGACGAAGTTGTAAATTATGTTTTCCATTGCGAACACTCTACGTCAAACGACGCGAAACTGGAAAAGTCTGTCACTGTGAACGAGTGTTGGCAGGCGCTCGCGCACGCGGAAGCAGTCGCGCAAGATGAAGGCTTAGACGTTCTGTGCGTTTTGGATATGGGAGTCTTTGTAGAGGAGTGGCGCTCTGGGCAGCAGCGACGTGCAGAAAAAGAAGAGGCTATATTAGCAAGAACTAGCCACACTGCACATACCTATGTGGGAAAGCAGGCAGAAGCGGAGGCTCCGTGGCAGGACGATCTAGACCCAACCGCACCAACGATGACAGGTAGGAGCTTTTGTGTTCCTCATTCCCTTAGGTTTTAGCCTATGGATAGTAACCAATGTTCTGTTCGTGTGATTTTCAGGATCGATGACATTCCATCGCGATTTCACCTCGCAGGTACCGTTGCAAGCGGAGATAATGCGCAGACTGAGGCCGCTGCTGCTCTGACACCATCCGACGAGCAAATGGAGCCCTTTGCCTTGCAGTCGCAGAAGGCAGAGGCGCCGCCGGAGAGCAGGCGAATGTTTTTCGCGGAGGTGACCGAACGCGCGGCAAACTTACGCGGTGAAGGTACCGGGAGCGTGTCTCTCTTACTAGTTTTGAACCGCTCAGTGCACGAAGCGAATCAGGTTCAGGAGCTGCAAAGCTTGACAGACGGCCACTTGTGGCTCGGTACCACGGGCCATCCAGATCGACTTGACTGCCGGCGGAGCTTGACGCGGTTCGGTTTGGGATCCCACCAAGGCCACCTGCAGCGTTCGCGGATACTGCAGAAAATTGCGGGGCACCTGCGGTTGAATTTAGCGTCGGCTTTGGATAGTAGTGGATCGACGACAGGTGGCTCTGCCGAGGATCAAACGCACCAGCGGCTGATGACGCAGGTGGCGACGGCGTTGCACACACAGGACTTCAAGACTTCGCTGTCACTTGAGGAGGAGATCACGCTGCTTCTTGCGGCGAGCACGCACGTTTTTCCGGACGGAAAAGTTTTGGAGGGGGGAAAGGACTCGCAATTCCTCAAGTACACAAGAACCGCAGATCAGGGACGACTCTTGCAGCTTGTTGCAGAGAGGGGGACTGAGAATGAAGGCCTGAGTGCTGGGTTAGCACAGCAACTGGCAAAAAATGCTGAAGTGTTTTCGCGGATGCATATGTAGAATTGATGTCAATGATGGCGGAATTTGGAATGAGGTAAATCAGGATCGATGTCTACACGAGACTTTGGTAGCCGTAGCGCAAGACTGGTAAAGAGAGCGCGCAGTTGTGCCGAAAGATCGAGAGGACTACAGCTATGTGCGTGCGTCCGGTGATGTTCTCCTTGGCTTACAGACACAATGTAAGCCGGAGTGTGTGAGTTGTATGCTTCTAGCTGGTTTGAGGAGCTGCAAGGTTTTCCGCAATCGCGGGGCGCAGAAGCAGAGACGCGCGCCCCGGCGCGTGCCCCCCTTGGGTTTCGCCGTGGCCCGGAGTGTTCGGGGAAGTCCCGGGCCCGCTGCTGGCGGCGCGGAGCCTACTCGCCGACCCGGGCGGCGCTTCCGCCCGGCCCGGTCGGCATCCGGGGCGGCCGCGCCATCTACCCAGCGGAGGCCCGCGGGGCGGCAGCCTTGGCGCGGGAAAGACAGCCGCGCCGCTGGCGCGAGATACCTACACGCGCACGCCGGCCGCAGGGAATGCAAAGGGGCACGCCGGCCATCCGGGCTGGGCCACTTCGCAAGCAGCAATCGAGGGCGGGGAAGCCCGGCAGATGTTTGGCCAGGCGCGGCCGCCCCACACACGCCGGAGGCGCGCAAAGGGGCTGCGCGGGCGCAGCGCCTTCCGGCGCATAACCGGCTAAGCGCACCAGGCAGGCCGGGGGCCGGGCCGCAGTTCCGCGATGCGGCGGGGCGGTTGCCTTGCCGCCGGGAACCAATGCGCGGACTATCCCTGGGCGCATGAGGTAGACTGCCGGGCCTACTCGCGAGAACCCCGATGGCGAGCCGCGCTAGAGCAGGAGGCGTTTGGGCTGAGGCGATACAAGAGGCGGGCGGAGGCAAATTGCCGCGGGGCCCCGAGTGCCGCGGCGGCCGATTGCAACAGCAGGGAGGCCGGCGCCGGTTTCAGGATGTTGCTCTGTCTTTTTCATTCCGTTGCCCGTGGTGTTTCGTGTACTGTTCGGGCCGAGGGGGCCCAAGACGTCGCGGGGTCCAGGGAAGTGAGCAGGTTCCCGGTGCTAACGCAAGCCGTGCGGCGCTACGTATACACGGCACACGTGCGCCCCTCCTGGCTTGGCATCCTCCCCGGGAACAACAAAAGCGAGGCCAGCAAGCTCCTCAGCGCTGACGCGGCGAGCTGTTACAAGCTTGCGGAGCCGCGCAGGTGATAGCCGTTTAGTTTGGCGGGTGCCGCGAAGGCCGCGCGGTCTTCTGCCGCGCGACGCTTCCCGCCGGCGAAGGGACCAGCCCGAGCCGCGTTTGGCGAGGGTTGTTGGTTGGCTACAGATTCGGCCAAGCCGGGCCCGCAGTATTGTTCGGAGCCAAACTGGCCGGCCCCCGGGCGCGGGAGCGCACTCGGCCCCCTCTGAGCCCGCTGCGGCGGAGAGCCACAGGCGCCACTGGCTTTGGAGTCGGCCTCGCACACCGAAGTCCAGTGCTTTCTGTTTCTGAGCAGGTACTGCCAGCATGCTCAGGATTTATGCGCCGTTTGCCCATTCGGCACTGCGGCGACCATGATTTCGTCCGGATTTTCGTGCGTTCTAAGTGATAGCGCGGGTGCCCTGGAGGACGTCCGCCACTGGCGAAAGCCTACCCACCTCCGACATCTCTCGGATTTTGTTGCCTAGGGTATTGGTGAGTTCTTAGATGAGTGTGAGTTTGTCCGGCAAGGCGCCGCTCCAGCAGGTGCTTATCTTGAACCTCGCAATGAAATACCTCGAATTACTCAGACGAGATTGGCACGCCTAGCATTGACCTGAGTTGGATTCTTATTCATTGAAAGCGTCGCGCCGATTCTTATTCTAGCAGGATGTACTAATTGCTGTGTAGCTGATCTCAAATGCAGTGATTTTTGTGGCAACGTACTTACAAGTTTGAGAGGTCAGCTGAATTATCGCCAATGTGAATTACTCTGGTACGTGCAACTAGCGTTCAAAAACGGTCGAAATTTAGGCAATGCCCTCGCGACGACAGAAACCCGGCAGGCCACTGGGTAGCCCGGAAGAGCAGTTCCAGTTCGCACAAGTGCAGACTCCAGGATCGCAGCAACGCAGCAGGGCGTCATCGTCGTCGTCTGTGCCGCCGCCGGGTCCGTTTCTTCCATCTCCTAGTGGCGCACCCGCATCCCCGGCCGGGTTTGTTCAGCAACCGAACTTCGGGCAGCGACAAGTAGCAGCACCTTTCCACCCGCCACGAGGAATTCAAGGCGGCTCCACCTCGAGCAGCTTCGCGTTTCAGCAGCAGCCACTTACATTTGTGCCGAATGTCGGACAACTCCCACAGCAGGGCAACTTTCCTCCGCCCGGGTCCGGCGCGTTTCGCTATGCGCCGATGGCGGGCACACCGGGTGCACCACCACAGTTTGCGCATGTGCCTGCGCCATCCTCCGCAGTCCCGCAACAGCCTGTGTTCGGAGCACATCCGGGAAAAGGAGGAGTACTATCACCCGCGCCGCCCGTGGCGATAACGCACAACGGCTACGCGGTTCCGCAGGGTACCCCCTTGTTCATTCCGGTGCAAAATCCATCAACGGGAAAAGTGGAAATGGTACAGCTGAACCCTGCAACGCCATTAGCGCACCCACCGGCCAAAGGTTCGCAGGCACAGCAGCTGCGTACAAAGATGCTCCCTCCCGCAATACCCAGCGGCAGCAAGAGTCAGGCGAAACAACAAACGCCGCAACTACAACAAATCCAGCCGCCGCAGCGTCCCGCAGCGATGCCGACGACATTGGTGACTGTGTCGAAAAAGCGGAGGGGCAACAGGCAGACCAGCGGGCCAATGGTGCCTCCGGGAACTACTGGAAGCTCGCGTTCGCAATTGCGCCAGCCGTACCAAACTGGACCTGTGGCACAGAGTCCGGCTTTTGTTGGGAACAACTACCAGCTCCTTCCTCCCAGTCCAAACTACAGCGCACAACATCAGCAACAGCAGCCCCAGAGACTACAGCAGCCGCCGATCACCACGATAGTTGCAGTGCGGAACCAGAGAGGAAAAGTGTCTTCAAAGAGAGATCACCAACCGGCGCTCCCCGTGAGCAAGCCGTTCGACAAGAATAAGAAGAAGGTGCATATGCTCACCGACGGCAGGAGGTCAAAGAGGAGCAAAAGGGACAAACACAAAAAGAAAAGAAAGCCCCCCCGGCGGAAAAAGAAGGTGTCGCAGGAAATCAAGGATAAGATTCTGAAGCGCAGCAGGCGTTGGCTGCAGATCCTCCGCCGGGCGGACAGACGTCTGCCAAGCAACGTGCTACCCGGCTCTATCGTGACGCGATACCATCATGAGAAGATAAAGCGTAGAAATCGCAAGGACCCCATCCCGTGGGCGGGCGACGGCACGCTGTACTTCAATCTGCGCACGTGGAAGCATTGGGACAAACACCGACACAGGTACGTTCCCGCTGACGTGTGGTGGCGGTGGTGGTACCTGAAGGCCACGCGCAAGCGGGTCTGCAACCGATACCGCCTGCACTGGTGTCCCTTTCGCCTGATCGAGCAGCAAAACCAGCAGCTCAGCCTTGGTAACAAGAACGCGGCCGCAGTCCCGCGTCCGCCTAAACAAAGTAAGGAGCAGCGAAGAAAAGATCGGTGGAAAAAGATGACTCCGCAACAGAAACAGATGCACGCTGTGATCCGCAGAATCGACGCCGTGATGCGTCGGATCTACACCGAGAGCGGGAGCAAGAAAACGCCGCGTCTGTTCTTTCGAGAACAGTTTGGGCCGGTGTGGGAGCGGGCGTGGGTGGACCGAAGTGCCGACAAAATTCGGCGGTGGAACATGATCCTCCAGCACTACAGTGCCGCCAACGCGGTCGGGCCCAACCCAGACGAGGCGCCGGTCCCGCTCTTGTCCTTGCTGAAGCATCCCGATATTCCGGTGAAATTCTTGACCACAGGCACCTTGGGAGATGTGTTGGATAACACGCTTGCGGAAACATTTCCCGAGAAGAGCTGGGCGAAGCCACTTTTGGGGCCGGGCAGTGAATGGGTAAAAGGAGGGCGTGGTGTTGCTACTGTGGTGGACGACAGGGGGGTGTTGAAGGGTAGCTCGTCCTCTCGAGCAGACGTGCAGAAAAAAGATGCGGAAGATCATGAGCACCCTTCTGAGGGAGGGAAGGACGAGGTAACGGAAAGTGAAAAAACCGAACAACCAAGCGCCGCAAAAGCAGAGGGTGGAATAAAAACAAGCGCTAGTTGTAGAGCAGACCTCGAGGCAGCAGGAAAGAGCGGAAAAATGTCAGACGAGGAGGTCGCCACTACAGGAGGAGAAAAAGAAGTAAGTACTAGTGCTAAAGGAGATGGAGAAGACAGCGGCAGTGGCAGCAGCAAGAAAGATGCAACCGCAAGCCTGAATGCGAAGAACGCTAAAAATAGACCAACTGAGTGGCATGGATTCGTCGGCGACATCCTCTGGACGCTACTGGAAAAGTACACGGACGATGTCACGAGGGAGACAGCATCGGAGGAAATCCGACAGCGGGTGGAGAAACTCCAAAAGCGAGTTCCGCAGCTGCCGCCCGAGGTTTGGTTGGACCTGAAGATGAACCATCGCATCAAGGAGAGACGAAGACAAATGGCAGCTGGTGCTCAGGAGAAAAGCGTAGATTCGGCAGTAGAGGAGAGCGACGCGGAACATATTATAGTTGGACCGCCAGATGAGGACATGAAAGACCCTGGAGCGTCGGAGAAAGTAAGGATGCGGAAGCCACCGTCGCGTGCTCGTGCTCCCGCTCCGCTCGTGTTTTCCGAGTCCGCGTTTCCCTCAGTGCCGAAACAGATCGCTCCTGTGAAGGACGACAGCGGGGTTGAGAAACCGGACTTGCAGCAACTGGGCCAGCAGCGCCACGCAGACGGAGAAATGGGAGGAGCAAGAAGTCCCAGTCCGCCAGTAGCGCAACACCGAGAAGTTGCAGAAAAGGCAAAACCGACGCGGGTAGATATCAACAGGCCTCGTTCGATTCTAAAATCCGCCACAGAGCAGAAGTACGCGGCCCGACGAAGGAAGTACGAAGAAAAGTTCCAAAGACAGTACTATCCGAGGAGGGCTGCCGCCAAACCAGGGTTCACGCCCGAGGATATCAGCTGCGCAGAAAACTTGTCTTCAGAGGACGACCGCCCGTCCGCGTGGGGTCCGGAATTGAGGTACTTGATTGCGAAGTTCGTTTTGCTCATGAGAGGTTCTTGTACGCGGCTGAAAAAAGGTTTTGAGACATCATTTTTTCGCAGCAGTTTTTCTTTTTGCACGAAATCCCATCTGAAATACAATCTACCGCTAATATGAAACAAAACCCACAAAATTTCCGATTATTATTTTGCAGGTGGCGGCACCGGCGCGACCTGGACTTCCTCTGGCGTAACAAAAACAAGCGGTTCCGGGTGTACAAGCGAAAGCGAAACCGGCGCAAGATGCTGTTCAAAACCGGGTGGGATGTGTTCTGGGAACAGCGGTTGCAACTGGAGCACGCCCGCAAAGCGAAAGCCCGGAGCGAGGCGAAGCTGAAGGAGAAGGAAGAGCGCAAGCTGAGAAAGCGACGGGTTTTTGCCGACGAGGCGGACTTGCTGGAGAACTGGTGCACCGTGGACACGGAACACCCCGCCGCGCGCCCCGTCAACGGTCGCACGCCTGGTCTGCAGGCGGCGTTGCGCGCCATTCGCAAACGGGAGGCGGAAAAGAAGACGCACGCGTACCGGCGAAAAGTTGCCGCGCCGCCGTCCTACGTGCACAGCCGGGACCCGATCAACCCCAACGCGGTTGGCGAGGAGTGGCGGTTTGTCAGCCAGGCGGAACGCGAAGAAACGCGGTTCAACATGGCCGTGTACGCGAACGAAAACTACTACGAGGCAAGTCCGGAAGACTGGTTCTGGGAGCAGTCCGTGCGCGACATTCGCAGAAAAATCCGGCGGGAGAAAAAAGCGGGGACATCCTCGCGCGAGGTCGTGGAAGAGAACTACAGCGAAGTAGAGCCGCCGGCTGGTCTGCCGTTGCTGCCAACCGAAGGCGACGAGAGGAAGGCCAATGCAAAAGTCACGACAACAGAAGCGGAGAACATAACGCCTGCAGCGGTGATCTACGAAATCAGCAGCAGAGGATGCGAGATGACGGAAGTGTACCCCGTTGCAAGTAGACGGGGGAAGACTGCTTCGAGGCTACGCCAACATTTGTCGTCGGTACGGGCCCGGGACGCCGTTGCGAGTCCGTCCTTCACTCCGCAAAATCTCCATTACGAATTTGACCCAAGGACGAACACAACGCGGATGAGGCTGCAGTAGGATCTGGGAAATGTTGGATACTTCGAGTACAAGTGCTCTTCGTGTCTACAGGAACATGACTGCATCCCGTAACATTCAGGCTCATGGTCCTTCGATAAAATATACAGGAGGAGAACAATGCAACCAGCTTGAGAACAACGCCCAGGCTGGTGAATCCTGGAATACATAATGACATCAAGAGCGCATGCGCAACTTTTACAATTACAGCACTGAAAGGAACTGGAGAACTTAGCGCGGGCGTGTTTTTCTGGATCGAAATTTGGTGACGACGAGGTAGACTTAACTAAGGTTGGTAGTAGACTCATATGTCTATCAGGATCAATTTTTTCACAGCAAGCAAGACCAGAGCTCGAGCACTGCCGAATGATCAGACCATCGAAGAAGATCAAGATGCTTGACGCAGCGGCTGCTAGCTGTAGCGCGCTGACCGAAGAAAGTTTACTATGTGCGATAGATCCTCTGATGATCTGGTGTGGCATTTACTTCGCTTCGACGATGTGAGTTTATTCTTTTACTTTCTGATATGGGTGGTGATTGTGTACATGTTGATTGAAGCTGCAGGCGCAGGGTTCTTAGATCAATTCCGAATAGGTCGGGCAACGAACTGGCGCGACCGCTATTGAAGTAGTATCATTTTGTTTCCTATTGACAGTGAGGGCGTTGGTTGAGTTCTGCGTAGTTCGAATAGATCATTTTTCCTGTTTTTTCTATCGGAGGTCAGCACGAGAAAAGATGCTTTGCAAGATCTCGAGCGTGTTTGCGACTCTAGTCGCAGTGGCGCGAGGGAGTGACAACCCTGGCAAAGGATCCCCCGGAAAAGGATATCAAGGTGGGTTTCTCGCACCACAGGGCGGAAATGCGGACCTTGCAGCGCTTTTAGGCGGAGGAAATGCTGGAGGCAAGGGCGGTGTGCCGGATATTGGTGCGCTTCTTGGTGGGGGCAAGGGTGGCATGCCCGACTTGGGTGCATTGCTTGCGGGAGCCGGCGGAAAGGGCGGCATGCCAGATATGGGCGCTTTACTTGCCGGAGCTGGTGGCAAAGGCGGCATGCCAGATATGAACGCTTTACTCGCCGGAGCTGGAGCTGGTGGCAAAGGCGGCATGCCAGATATGAACGCTTTACTCGCCGGAGCTGGAGCTGGTGGCAAAGGCGGCATGCCAGATATGAACGCTTTACTCGCCGGAGCTGGAGCTGGTGGCAAAGGCGGCATGCCAGATATGAACGCTTTACTCGCCGGAGCTGGAGCTGGTGGCAAAGGCGGCATGCCAGATGTGAATGCTTTACTCGCCGGAGCTGGTGGCAAAGGGAAAGGCGGCGTGCCAGAGATGCCTGCCATGTTCGCCGGTCTTGGTGGCAAGGGACAAGGCAAAGGACAAGAAGACGTACCTGACTTAGCCACCATTCTTGCATTGCTTGAGGGAAATGACCCTGCCAGCGCGGCAGCGCAAGGTAGCGCATCCGCCGGAGCAGACGCTACCGCATCGGGTTCGGCCGCCGGGTCGTCTCCTTCCGCCCAAGGCACCATGGAAAGACCGAATGTGTTTCGCGCGATGATGCAAGAGCGGTGCAGTGCGGAGAACATGCGCATCCTGGACGTCAAAGAAACCGCCGGCTGCGTGCGCGACCTCCAGGGCGGGGTTTTGGGGCACCGAGGCGTGGATGCCCAAACAGGCAGGGGCCTGCGGGACATCATGCGCTCCAGCCCGCTCACGGATGGCCCGTACGCTGCCAGCCGTGCCCAGCGTGATTACATCCGGGACCGCGTCGGGGGCGGCGATCCCCTTGGGAACCTCCTGGGTGGCACGTCCGACGCCGGTCTGGCCAACATCGTGTCAACTGTCGCCGGCGGACTGGGGACGAACATGGCAGAAGACGGGGCGTCGCTGGAAAGCATCCTGGAGCTGGACCAACGCCTGGAAGCGATCACGGCCGCAGTCAAGTCCGCGAAAACCGCCATGAGCGCAGTCGTCGGACTCGAGGCACTTGTTGTGTGGCGTCACGAAGTCTCGCGCCTACCCGGCGTCGAGGCGCTTCAGGTTTGAGTTTTTCATTTGGAACGACAAGAAGTCAGGGGTTCTGGTTCTCGATGACCGGGCTTTTCGTTTTTTCGAATTTTGTCCTGTGTGCTCAGAAAGGGAGAACGTCTCCTCTACTAGTAAGTACATGAAAGAACCAACGCATTGTCCTGCTGCCCTACATGACTTCTTTAGCCATTCGATTTTTCCGCCCGATTCTTTTTCTGATCAAACAAAGGAAAATATATGATATACCAGGTCGCGGACGCAGCGAACATGTTGAACCGCGAACGCATGCTCGGTGAGGACGCGCATAACGATGTGGCAGTGGAGTACGCCGAGGTTCGATGCGACCAGATGCGCGTTCGTACGGCGCTGGACGGATCCAAGCAGGTGGAACTCAAGAGTGTGGATGGCGAGACGGCTGCGTTGCTCAAAGGACGCATTGCCCACGCGTTCCAGACGAAGTACCGCGGTGAGCTTGGCCAGTTGAGCAATTTGAAGCCGGGACAGATACAACTTGTCTCAAAGCAAACTGTCGGGGGCCTGCTAGAGAATCAGGTAACTGCATGTACTTCCAACATACAGTGCTATTAGGATTACCAGTACCATGTTGATGTAAATGCATCATTTGAAGATTTCAAGTTCCTGAATATAACGATTACCGTATGCGGCGTTCGTCTTCGTCCGAGGGGGGACCGGACAACGGGCGCGAAAATGTTTTCTTGGAATCAGCGTGCGTCGAACTTACTTTCTTACCCTATCACCGAACAGGTCATGGCAAACGCGACGAAATTCCGGCTAGGTGCGGAATCTGACACTCCACTGGTGTGCGACTTCGATCTTACGGTTTCGACTGGTATGCCGAATACCTTCGTAATGCACCTGCAGCCTCACAGAGTACCAAGACAAACATGATGATTCACTCCGATAGAAGCAAGTCCAAAGATCTAGATAGGACCCTAATGACACGAAAACATATAGAGACCCTTAGTGGTGTAGCAGCGTGGTGGATGTCTACACGACCTAGATGGACACTGAGACAGGATGGTGAACATATACACACCTCCCAGGGCCCTTGACTCAAGCTCAAGCACAGAGACATTAGGAACCGAGTAGCACGGTAGAGGGACTACAAAACTAGACCAGAGGCATCTGGGATAGCAGCTGTTCCGCCATCGTGTTGTAGTTTGTATTGGGTACAACTCTGTTGCAGGTTTGCGCGCCGTTGCAAATTTTCCCTTTACAACTGACGAAGCGGAAGCGCCCAAACCGAATGTGATGGCGTTCACCCGATTGCAGGTGAAGGAGCGAGAAACGACGCGGCTCGCGCTCATCACAGTCCTGGGCTTCTATGCCAAAAGCATCTGCTCGACCCCGTCGTCTGCAAGCGGAAGCGCGGCCAGCGGTGCAGAACGAGCTCCATCTACTGGCACTGGCAGTACAGCGGCATCGCAAGTGGAGCCGCGTGTGCCAGAGGAACGGTTTACGAAGGTCATTGCGAGCGGCCTGGCGATGCTCGCATATCAGCGGCACGTCTTGCTCACTCACAAAGCCATGGCTACTGAGGGTGTTCAGGGTCTGGTGGTGCCCGCCGACTATTCGTCCCCCCTCGCGAACGAATGCCACACAGCGGTGCACCAGTACCTGACCGCGCGCGAAGGAACCGCAGCCAGCGAAGAAGACCACCCGACCAGTCCGTTGCGCAAGAAGCACAAGAGCCAGGATTTGTATGAACTGATGTGTGCGGAGCTTGGGGAGGATGCGAAGGCACGGTGCTCGCAGATGTGCGGCGATGTGATGGGCAGCATGTTCGCCGGTAGCGGGGAAGGAGGTCGCCAATCCATATTGGGGAGTTTGATGCCGCAGATGGCGGAGATGGCAGGAGATGGGGCCCCGGCGAACGCGGAGTTCCAACAATTTATGCAGGACCCTATGGCGATGCTCCGCCAAGTAATGCCGGGCTTCGACAACGTCATGAAGGACATGATGACCGCCGCGGCCGAGGGCGCGCACGCGGAGGGAGGCGCGGCCCGGGTAATGACCGACCAGGCCTGCGCGGACGCGTTGCAGAAGTGGAGGAGTCTGCCGGAGAACAGCGAGAAATTCCTCTGTGGGATGCTCGAAGAAGAGAAGGAGGAAGGAAAGGTGGAAAAATGAGCCTCATCACTACAGGAAGAAGAACAAGCAAGCCTGCTTTCTGGGCTTTTGTACTAATATCTATCATGCAGCGCAAGTCGAATTTGATTTCGTTACAGTGGCGTTGGAGGATTTTCCCGCGGAATAATTGCTCGAGAATACAGATATTAATTTTTGAATTTTGTAAGGCAGAAGTGAATTCTTGTAACGAACGTACGTTACCCTATACCTGAGTACTGTCTGCCAGTTTTGATGATGACGATGATTCCTAGAAAATATACGGCAAATGATAATCATAGTTAGACGTGACAGCTTGTGCTGGAGCACTCTGGTACGTGGATAATGGACATGAAGAGCCGAATGGGAGAATGAGGCAAAAAACAACTCGCGGCACGGCTGTGGAAGGAAGGGGCGCAGTTTTTGTCATGGCGGGAGCCGTCTTGGTGCTGTTGCTCGAGGCTGCAGTCCGCTGAAATTCGTTTGTCGTCGAAAGCATTCTTTGGTTGTGTATTTCGGCTGTTGCTGGAATACGTGCTGGTAAACTCAAGATGTCGATCACTTTTGCTTTTGCAACGAAAATTGTCAGATCATGCGACAAATCGTGCTGCTGTGATTTGCAACAAAGTCTCGGCGACCATGCGCTTCTGCTGGTGAATGTCAGTGTCGTAGTTCTTGTTTTCGGATGAGGTAGAAAGTCAATTGAATTTTCAACCATTGCGTTCGAAATTCGGATGCACTCACAGGGGCAAGATGAGAATGAAAACAGCACTACATCCTTGCGATCGTATATGTGTACTAGGATAAAAATTTTGTCGTTTTTCAGCCGAAAGTAAACGTTTTTCAGTGGCAGGTTTTTCTGCTGTAGAACACATTTAATTAAATGAAAAATAAAACATCATGAGCACCAGCTCTGCTGCAGCACACGAGCTTTCAGTTCCTTTGCTGGCCTATCAGGCACGCATTGCGGAGCAGTTGCACGACCATGGAGAGAGCTGTCTGGTGTTGGCGAGCGCCGGTTTGGGACGTCTCCGGATCTTCCACCGGTATTTGCAGACACTGTTACATGATATGCGCGCCGCCACCGCGGAAACAAGTGTACCCTCTTCGACGATTTCACAATTCGGTACCGTAGGGCAAGCGACTTTTTCTTCGTCCTCATCTTCTGCAGGCGCGGTTCTTCTCAACACAGCGGAAGAAAGTAATGACTTAGCGCTAAAAAGACAACGCGGCTCTCTGGTCTTCGTGATGAACGTCGCCCGCGAGGAAGCGGAAGCGGTTCAGGCCCAACTCGCACAGGACTTAAAACCGACGGACCCGTTTGCGGTTGAGGTCTTCGCCACCGCGGACCAGCCTCCGAAGACCCGACAGCAGGCGTACGCCCGGGGAGGGATCTTTTTCGTCTCCGCCAGAATCTTGCTCGGGGACTTTTTGCAGCAGCGGTTTTTGCCCGAGAAAGTGCACAGGTTACTGGTGAACAACGCCGAGGAGCTGCACGAGGTGCTGCAGAAGGACGCGTTTCTGGTGCAAGCACTGCTCCGGAAGACCGCGCAGCCGGACAAAGTCGTGCGGCTGTTTTCGGAAAACTTTCCCACCGTGACGAGCAGATCGTTGGAGAAAATCATGCGGTGCGGCGGGTACTGCCGCAAGGTGTTCCTGTGGCCGCGGATTCAGATGGACGTCAGCGCGAACGTGCAGGGCGGGATCGTCGTGGTCCAGAAAAAAGTACCGCTCCCGCCCGCAGTCGGGGTGTTGCAACAGTTACTGCTGGCCTTGTGTGAAGACGTCATCTCCGGCCTCTGCCTCCATTCCGCCGACTGCCACCGCTGCTTGGAAGCGGAACTGAAGCCGGGGGCGGTTGCGGATTTGGCGAACAAGGGCAAAGGTTTTTCTTTCGGCGGGTTTGGAGCTGGTGCGCATAATGGATCCGCAGGAGGTGGGGCTGGCAGCAAAGGAAAGAAGTCGCGTGGAAAAAGCGGTCGAGGCGGGGCCTACTCCGCCCAAAGCCAACAGGAGCGGAACAGAAGCCTGACAGCACCCTCAGAAGCGCTGCTGAATCACTATTGTTCGGAGGCCATGACCGACGATCAGTTTGGGAGGCTGCTGCGCTATAAGTTGGAGCAGTCGCTGGATGACAGCCACGTTGCACAACTCGTGCGCGATGCTGGCCACTTCGAGACTCTGTTTGACCGGTTGTTGCGATTAGACTGTGCGGATTACTACCGATTCTTGTCGCTGTATCTAGGGAAAAACATTTTTGCGTCGACGGATACAACTCAAGCGGAGACGGTAGGTGCGCAGCAGCAAAAGAAAGTATCTTCGCAAAATTCGCCCGGAAACAATGATGCGAAGGTTCTTGAAAAGACTTCACCCGCCGGTCTAGTGGCAAGAGGCACGACAGCGGTACTAGAGACCAAAGAAAGCAGCGCTGCCTCAGAGCAAGAACCAGTCGCTAGCAAAACGCCCAGTATGAAGACGGTGCCGATGAAGAGGAAAAAAGCTGAAAGTCAAAACGGCACGACATCGAAGGGGCAGCAAGGCCAGCTCTTGATTGACACGCAAGAGCAAAATTTCGCCGGGATGCCGAAATTAGCGACGGATGCCGAGGTTTCGTGGCTGCACTCGGAGACCGGTCGTGATTTTTTGCGCATCGTGCGCAACCGCATCGTGGATCGGGAACGGAGTCCCAAGTGGGACGCAGTGCTGGAGATTTTGCGGGCCGAGGGCATGTTGCCTGCGAGCGAAAGTGATGACGCAGAAGACGAGGAGAAATCAAAGTCACCGCCCCTGAAGCGGCAAAAAGCCACAGGCGTTGTAGTCGGGACGTTGCCCGCGTCGTCGTCGACCGGCCCTATCCGGCGTGGAACACAAGAACACATGAACGAATTTCCCACTAAACTAGCCCTCATCGTCTGTGCGGACGAAAGACAGCGACAGCAAACGGATTGTGTCGTGAAGATATCAAATGTAAAAATGTCTGGGTCTGGAAGACTGCAACTTGCGACGCTGCATTTGGAATGCAGAAGAATCTGTATTGCATGAGTACGACCAAAAGGAATGCAATTTTTGCTACACGGAGAGGGCGTTTGTCATGCGGAATAGGCATCAAGAAGCTCTCAAAAGATCTGTGATGCTAGGGCATGCATCACAGACATCAGGGCTCATGCAAAACGTGCATGACAAGTGTCAGAATCTTCCAGACCCAGACATTTTTACAGTTGATAGAAGAACGGCACGGAGGCTGCGTTTGAGGAGTCCTTTGCTTTCCTGAACTTGAAGCACGACGCGGTTTTGCGACGCGGATTAGCAGCAGGTAAAAATACCAATTTACCTACCGCAACTACGCCAAAAGCGCAAGCACGAGCGGATTTGATGCAGAAGCAAAAGCTACCGGCCGTTGAGGACAACAAGAAGAATAACGTTATCTGCGTCACTGCAGATCAGCTGGAGTCGAAGCTGTACCAAACGCATCCCGACCTCGCGATCGTCCTCGTGCCAGACGTTCGCGTGCTGCGGCTTCTGGAGGTGTATTCCGCCAGTGTCAAGGAGCTCCGGGCTTCTGGCGCGATAGGGGAACACAGGGAAGCGGTTTTTGAGCGAGCGAAAAAAGCTGCGACTGGAGGCAAAACCAAAGCCAAAGCGAAGCCCGCCCTCGATGCAAGTGCTCTGCCATCGGCGCTTTTTGGGGTAGTTGAACCTGTTGCACCATCAAGCGGTGGCGGAGTGCGTGTGGATGGAAATAAAGAAACGGGGCAGACCACCGACGCTGGAAATAATGACGAGGCCTTAGATGATGATCCGAGCAAAGGAGACATCAAATGCTTTCTGCTTTCGTATCAGGATTCGCCCGAGCTGGTGAAGTACGAGCAGTCGCTGGCAAAAGAGACCAAAGCCGTCGAGACTGCGGTGTTTCAGAAAAAACACCTCATCGTCGATCTTTCCACATCGACGCGAGAGGGGCTGGCGCGACGGCCCATTCTGCAGATCGAGGACCTGGAAGAACAGCAGCAAAGCACGAGGCTGGGTGGGGCGAAGCACCAGCGGGAGAAACAGCCGTCGCAGATTATCGTCGACGTCCGGGAGCTGAACGCACGGTTACCGTTTTTCTTGTACCAGCGGCACGTTCTGCGGGGTGCCACGATCAAGATTGGGGACTACATTTTGAGCCGGGACGTCTGCGTGGAGAGAAAATCCGTCTACCCAGATTTGATCCAGAGTCTGCAATCCGGGCGGCTGCTGCAGCAGATCGAAAACATGACGCAGGCGTACAAGACGCCGATTTTACTCCTGGAATTCGGCCCCTCGGTGTCCCGCAAGTTCCCGCAGTGGGCGCACTTGACGAACACCGGTGGGTTGAAGGGGAAGCAGTTGGTGCGGCAGAAACTCTTGCTGTTGTTGATGCATTTCCCGCGATTGCGGGTGATCTGGAGCCCCAGTTACGCCTTCACAGCGAGGATCTTTGCTGCCCTGAAAAAAAACCGGATGGAGCCGACGTTGCCACCCGACGCAGCAGCCGCGGAAACGGAGCCGCAGGGAACTGCCGCAATGGGCTTACGGGTTGTAGGAGGTGTCATCTCGAAGTCAAGCAACGGCGCTTCGTTTGCGCGGACAGGTGCACAGGCGATTCCAGATAATTCCTCTGTTGCTTCTGCCGTGTTGAGTGAGAGCCGGGTCGCCAACCCGGTCGCATTGGACGTTCTCCGCCGGTTGCCCGGGGTGACCGGTGAGAACCTGGTGTCCATTGCACAGAAACTGCCTAAGATAGCTGCACTTGGGAAGATGTCTAGATCGGAATTGTGTAAATTGATGCAAGTGAAGATGGACAGTGAAACAGCGAACCGCCTCTGGCGAATCCTGCATAGTAGTAGCAGTGGAACACCAAACGCAACCGCGAGTGATAGTCAATGAAAATTAGTGATATGACAGCAAATTGAGTTTGCGCCCCTTCATTGCATATACGACACGGCACATTAGAATCAAAGAATGAATGCTGAGATCAATTTTTCGAGTGCTTTGAAATTTCGATGTTCGATATTGTTTTGCGATCTCTCGTGGCTAAAAACATGTGAGTGGAAAGCTGACGAGTCGGTTTACCTTTTTGTGTGATCCAAATTGAAAGAACGAACGTGCGAGCATTGTGTTTTTGCTACGCAATTTGCAGAACGTGTGATTTAGATCAAACGGTCTCCTTCATTTTGACGTTCCACACAGGTCATCGAGCACACTGTTTCGCATTGTAGGGCCAGCACATAGTTTAAGTTGACATGCGCCTTTTCTGTACAATGTAAAGGTTTCGTTTCGATTGTAGGCTCTGTTTGAAGACACCCTTGGTACTTAACAAGCCTCGCGTCGCAAGACCTTGTTTTGAGTCACATACAAATATGTATTGTAATTATCGCTAGGTCCACTGCCACCTCCACTAAATTTATTTTTGGTAGCTTTCCAAGATGAAGCCGCGGCTCCTGCTGCTGCTGCTCGCAGCCAGTAGCTGTTTCCTGGCTTTCGACACGGATAGTTCCGGTGGCGATGGTTCAATACCAGCGAATGCGCAATACGCGAGCACCACCGTCGCGCCGCCGTCCGTCTTCCGGACGACCAAGATGCACCAGATTGAGGACACGACGTGCGCCATAGAAACGGTGGAAGAAGCGAACACCAAGCAATTGTCCCTGATTCTCTCTGAGTTGAGCGAAACCTTGTTCTTCCGTTTGTTCAAGGTGGACATGAATGCGAAGTGCCAGTACGATTTCGAGAAAAAAAAGTGGCTGGACGAGGATTTTTTACAACAATCGGACGATAATTTCGACGTGGATTTCAACATCGAGTCAGATGACAAAACGTCCAGCGAAGCGTCCGCACACTCTTCCGCCGGAGACGACGATCTGGACGATTTAGACGACGACGAGGACGATGAGAGAGCAGGGTCACCGTCTTCAAATAAAGCGAAAAGGGAACAAGTAAAACAAGCGAAAGTAGCCGCTACCGAAGTAGAGGCACCAGCAGCTGCGGAGGAGCAATTTGAGTGCACCGGACCAATACAGCTCCCGCACCCCGGTGGCGCCACCGGTGTATCGCAGTTGATGCAGAAGCCCGGGAATTTGATGAGTATGGAAAATAACAAACCGAAGACGGCTTGCTCCGTGGACACGGAAGACGACGCGGCCGCGCAGTTGATGAAAAACACTTCGGATTTAAATCGAGCGAAAACGGACCATATCAAATGCAAAAATGTCTGGGTCTGGGAGATTGCGGGATTTGTCGTGCTAGTCTGGCATGACTCTAAACTCTGTATTGCGTGCCCGCGAAGAGGTCCTCTGGTCAGTCATGCAAAAACGCAGTTTCTCATGCGGGGTAAGCAACTCTGAACCACGGAAAAACTTGTCATGCTGGGGAGCGCATTACAGTGTGCTCAGTATTCCCTTCCTTGCATCACAAGTTTCCAGACCCAGACATTTTTGCATTTGATAGACCAGGAGTCGCAGTTCTCGCAAGTGATCGCCGCGGAAAACTGCGCGGAGGACGCGCCGGAATTTTGGCTGGACATGTGTGCCAAAGTGGGCACGGAGGCACCAGAGTTTGTGAATCTGATGAAAAACCCAGAAACCAACACGGGGTACAACGGCCGGCACATCTGGGAAGCCATGTACAGTGAGAACTGTTTCTCGCACGAAAACAGGCCGAGTGCAATGCTGGTTCATCAACAGGAAGAGCCAATATTACCAAGACTTGACGTGTTTTCGCCCTCATCAGCAAGAAAAAACGACGACGATGGGAGGTGTTTCGAGGAACGGGTTCTCTACCGGCTGCTGTCCGGGGTGCACAGCGCAACCAGTATTTCCATTTTCTACAAGTACTTTCCTCCGACTGGCGACAACCCGGACGACTGGGGGAAGAACCCGAGAAAGTTCATGAAGGTGTTCGCGCGGCACCCCGACAGGCTGAAGAACCTGTACTTCGCCTTTGTTGTGCTGCTGCGGAGTATCAAGAAAGGCAGCAACTTTTTTCGACAGTACAAGTACAATACCGGCGACGCTGTGGAGGACGAGAAAATTGCGGACCTCATCAAACGCCTGCTAGATTCCGAGCGCCTGCAGTTTTGCCACAGCGCGTTCGAGGGGTTCGACGAAAGAAGCATGTTTTTGTCGAAGGAAGTATCGCGACGCGAGTTCAAGCGGGGCTTTCAGCGGATCAGTGCCCTGATGTCCTGTGTCAAGTGCAGCCGGTGCAAGCTGCACGGAAAGCTGAACATTCTCGGGATTGGCGCGGCACTGAAGGTCTTGCTGCTGCCGGATGACATGCTGCCAACCAGCATGTCCCGGGAGGAAATTGTCGCTCTCGTAAACACGCTGCACGCGTTCAGCGAGGCGTTGCAGCGGGCGAACGAGTTGCTGTCGCTGTACCAGTGGACGCACCCGTCCCGCAAGCCGGTGGACGTGTTTGACGAAACGAACACGATGAACCGGGACGAGGCTGCCAGTAGCAACGACGATGCTGACGACGATTTGATGTCAATGGAGGACACTACTGTACCAGAAAGCGATACTAGTGAAGAAGAGTCGATAGACCAAAACCTCGCGGTCGCAGTGAGGGCACTGCAGAAGGTGTTTCAGCAGCAAGCAGCCACCGCGGGTGGCTCAGGAGTAGATGCAGAGATGAACAAGACGACTGTTGTCTTGCGTGAAGCTTTACTGAAAAGCATCGAGAGTGACTTGAGCCGACACCGCGCGACCTCAGAAACGGACACGCGCGAACTGGTCCTGAACGCCGACGCCGTTGTCGTCGGCTCGGGCTTGGCCGGGATGTCCGCGTCCTTGACTGCCTTGCAGGGCGGGGCACGAGTCGTGCTACTCGATAAAGAGCCCCGGTTCGGCGGGAACAGCGGAAAGGCGAGTTCTGGGATCAACGGAGAAATCTGGAACGAAGCGCTGCGCGCAGAATTGCAAAACACGGTAAATGCCATGAACCAAACGGAGCAAAGTTGGGTGGATGGTGGCCTGTGTCCCCGAGAGAGTCCACTGAACAGCTGCAACCCGGCCCTGCAAAAATTTTTTGACGACACCATGAAATCTGGTGGCGGCCGCGCCGTGCCGTCGCGCGTGCGTGCGCTCGTCGAGGGGTCGGACGAGGGGCTGCGGTGGCTGCAGGCCCAGGGCGTGGATCTAGGGCTGAAGGCGGTTTTGGGGGGGCACTCGAGTCCCCGCACGTATCGACCCGCAACCGGGAACTTCATCGGCACTGAAGTCATTCTGGTGCTGGAAAAGAGGCTGCGCGAGTTTGAGAAGACCGGTCAGTTGACGATTCTGCCGAGCACCACGGTAAAGGGACTTCTGACGCAAAGCGGCACGAGTTCGATGGAACATCACGAAGGCAAAAATCACTACACCGTGACTGGCGTGCACGGAATACGGACAGTGGCAGCAGGGCCACCATCTACTACTTCCGCTGCGTCGAAAACACCACCCTCTACCGCGTCACATCAGGCGATCAAGGTCCTTGCGAAAAACGTCGTCCTGGCCACTGGCGGGTTCGGGCACGATATCAAAGTGAAAAAAGCCCTCACCCCATATCGGAAACGGAAGATGCGCGAATTTGTGATGCTGTATTTGAGTACACAAATCGACTTGTATTGCTAGAAGTCCAAGAGACGACGCTGCGGCCTAAATTGCAGGTAATCTGTCATGCTGTTTCCCACTTCCAGTTGCCTCCTGTCATCCTGGAGCTGCAAGGCTTTCCCACGCTAGGCAGCCCTACAGTCCGCATCTTTTGCCTTCTAGCATCACAAAGCTGATTTGTGACCACAAATCTGCATCACAGATTTCCGTTTTGATATGGGGAGGGGGCATTTTTCATTGTAATACACGACCACAGCCAGAAGGGGTCGCTTCTCTACACCAGCCGCCCGGATCTGCGAAAAACGCCCACGACGTTGGGAAAGTGGACGACTGGAGACGGGATCAAAATGGTGCTCGCACTCCCCGGAACGAGGCTCGTGGACATGCAGTTTGTGCAGGTGCGTATTTTTTCTACAAGCGGCTGTCTCTGTTTCGTTTTAGTTTGTTCTCTCTTTTTCGTAAAATGCGAGGTAAGAATTGTGCACAACAACAAGCACAAAGCAGTTGAAACCCAAGCGTTCCACGCTTTTATTGCGACCATAAACCTCGAGCATGTAGTTCGCGTGCCTCGATTATTTCAGATCTAAACGGATGAACACAGGTTCACCCCACCGGTTTTGTCGATCCCAGCCAGCCGGACGCGGCGACGAAAACGCTAGCTGCGGAGGTGCTCCGCGGCGTGGGCGGCATTCTGCTGACCGAGTCGGGCGAGCGGTTCTGCGACGAGCTGGGCACGCGGCAGTACGTCGTCGACCGCATGATGGAGAAACAGGGGGATAAGGAGAAGGGCGTCCGACCTTTCTATCTTCTCCTCGGCAAGGACGCGATCAAAGCCGCAGACCGGCACGTCCAGCACTACAGCCGGAAAAACCTGCTGACAGAAGTGGACTTGAACGTGAAGACGAACGACGATGAAAATCATTCATATCCGATCGCGAAGTTTAGAAAAGCCATCAAGCAGTACCGAAAACAGGCAGGAGATGGCACTTCTAAAGACGCGAAGGATGCGTTTGGAAAAACTAAATTCATCAACGTACCCGACGTGACGGACAAGGTCGTCGTAGGCAAAGTAGTTCCGGTAGTGCACTACACCATGGGCGGAGTGGAAGTGGATGACTTGCACCGAGTGGTGAGTAGAAATAGTAGAAGTACGGAAGCAGCTGCAGCCGATGCAAGTCAACATAGTGGGCGCGCGCAGGTGAGTACATCGTCATCATCATCAGCAGCATCTCCTTCTGCCGCGTCTTCCTTGGTAACAAGAGCCGTGGGGGACGACCTTGGGGATGAAAGTGCGGAAAAAGACGAGAATTATTCCGGAAGCGGAACGAGACACCCCATACCCGGCCTGTTCGCAGTCGGAGAGATCGCCGGCGGCCTGCACGGAAAGAACCGCCTTGGCGGGAACAGTCTACTAGAGTGCCTAGTGTTTGGACGCGTGGTCGGGCGACAGATAATTCCTAAAGCTAGCAATGTTGAGAGAAACACGATAACGACATCAGAGCTGATGAAGACACCTGCGCCGGAGACTACGAGCCAATTGCTAGCACAGCTGGAGGAAGCAATAGGCGTGAAAGACACTGACAGTGCAGGGAGAACAAGTACGCGGAGCGCGACGTCGACGGTAGGCGGAAACAAGCGGAACAGGAGAAAACTGAAAGAAAAGCGTGTTATCTCAGCAAAAGAGTTAGCCGAGCACGGCTCTGTCAGCGACTGTTGGGTGCGCCTGTACGACGACGTCTACGACCTGACCAAGTATGCAAAAATCCACCCCGGCGGCGAGGAGAGCATCGTGGAGCTCTGCGGCACGGACGGTACGCAGGCGTTCGAATCCGTACACTCGCGGTCCATGCTAGCAGAAGGCGGATTCAAGTCCCTGGGGAAAGCTGTTGACGGCGGAAAAGAGGACGCGAATAAACAGAATGCTACATCAATAAATCACGAGGACAAAAATAGAGGCCCATCTTCACCATCACTGCCACCCACGAGAAGCACTGCAAGCCGTTCACGCAAGAATTACCACGCTATTCGCGACGAGCTTTGACAGGATGCAGTGCTGCAGTAGCACGGCGTTCTAGGTTGACCTATCGTGGCAGTCTCAACTGTGTTTTTCTGCCGCCAGTTCAATGTATCTTAGCTTTCTTCAGGGACTACCGACCCACACAAGCGAATAAACGTCGTTATGTTGTTCCTGACGAGTAAGTACCCAAAAAACTACAAGTTCTACCCAGCACGAGCGCTTTGCGATGAAATTGCCCCTTCTGCTTTTCGACAGAGACCCAAAAACCTGTTGGTCCGTGTGGACTTTTTTGCGCGACACAAGGACTTACTGCTCTGGCCGGCTCGCTGTATCCCAGGGAGTCCAGAGGTACGACATGCAAAGCACAAACATCTTTGTGTCCATCTGAGTGCTGCCTTTGCGGATGTAGTAGAAAAAAAGACAGGGACCTGTGTGTTCTCGTCTCAGGGCGAAATTAATTGTAAAAAAAAAACTTGGTCTTGGGAGCGAACCTTTCATTGAGATCTTCAGATTTGGTGATCGATCCGCAAACTACAGGGGAGATCTGGCAGAAGATTGACCGAAAATGCCTTGTTACCTTTTGATGGAAATCGCGATACCTGCTATAGGACATGTCATTGATTATAGTAGTGTAGTAATATAGGAATAGGACTCTCTATTTCGAATTTGAAGTTTTTTTTTCATAAGATGCGACAAGGACATTTTCCAGATTCATTTGATGGCACTTCAACTTATCTCAGTACAGAAAAGCACAACCACGCTCAAGTTTTGTGTTTTGCTTTTGTTGTTACCTGCAAAAGAGGAACTACTTGTTGATTATGAAATGTAAAATTAATGTAACTGCTGTAGAATCAACCTTTTTTGCTTTCCTGCGAGGGAATGCATATCTATGATAGATTGGCAACCGTATTACTCATTTTTGAAAAGAAAAAGACTTGTTTCGCAAAATTTAGTTCGGGAATTGAATGTAAGATCAACTACTTATTCACTTGCGAATCTAGAAATTGAACTTCTTTTCAACTAGCAAAGAAATTTTATAATAATTCTAGTTCTAGCAAAGCCAAAAAGAAAAACAAAATGATGATGAAAATGTCGGCTGGCAAAAGGAAAAGCAAAGCGGATTGGGACAATATGACACGGAGAGGGAGAGGACCGATATATACAGGTGCTGCGATTTTTCGCTCGACATTGTGCGCGTTCGTCTTATTTGTCGAATCCTCCCAGTGTATGGATCAGGCTGGTTCGGCGCAGCATGGTCTGCGGTACTATAGTGGTAGCTCAGTTGCTGCAGATTCCTCTGCAAGCAGCGAAACGGCGGAAGCGGCCCAAGCAAGGATCCGGGCCGATGCTTTGGGACTTTTTGTTGAAGGTGAGCGCGACATCGCCGAGTACCTGGGAAAGGGATCGGACGGGACCCTTGCGTTTGGAAGTGTGGCGCGGGGCCTCGGGAAGCGCGGCCTGCGCGAAACGCTGCGCGCGCAGCTGCAGGAGTGGAAACGTGTCGGGTTCCCTGAAGGAGTTGGTGCCGGAAATTTCTACGACCCTCTTGTTTGGAATGTGTTAAAGCCGGGCTCCGATGAAAGGCAGCAGGCTTTCCAGAATAAGAGCAGAATTGAGATTTTACTAGAAGAGCTAGACGAAGCCAGGAGGAATCGGGACAACCAAATGCGTGACCTAATCGATAGGCGTCTCGGGGAGGGGAATAATAAGTGGCATTTGCTTACGAGGGCGGAGAAAACGGCTGGGATGGAGGACGTTCTGCGTTCCCTTCACCTCCTGCTATCGTTTGTGGTTCATGTGGATCCGGTTGCGGCAGGGGAACAAATGGGGGTCGTGGAGCAGTCGACCACGGGTTATGTGCGTGCGCCGCCGCCGCGTCTCTGGTTGCGCGACCTCCCTGTGGCCCTGCGCGGACGGGTTGCGGAGGCTATGACTCACTACCTGAAAACCCAAGCGGAATTCGAGGCGATGGAGATGTTCTTGGTGGATAACAATTTGCCGGCAAGTTTGTACAATGGTATGTCTCGAGAAATCCATGCGTTCCACCTTGGGGACTTTTCCGCGGCTGCTAGCCTAGAGCTAAGTGTAACCGAGCCAGACTTAAAGAGGCGACCTATTGGTTGGTTTTCGTTCTGGGTACTTCACAAGCTAGAAGCACTCCTGCTGTTTGGCTTCGGGGCAGAGGAGCGCGCGATCGATGCACTAGCTTCAGGCGGGGCTGCCGCCTCTGAGTCTGCGAGGGACTCAGAAGGTCCGTTTGAGGAAGGCAAAAGAGTGTACCAAGCAGTGCTGCAATCCGTTCTCGAGTTGCCAGAGAAAAATGAGTTGTACTTCCTCAACGCCACGAAATCGAGCCTTTTCGCCCGGTACCAAGATCTGCTGACGACCGTGGTGGCAGTTCACGTGACGAACCCGAAGACCTTGCAGAAGGTGCTAAATCGGTTTCTAAAGCTGGCTGTTGGCAAGGCTGCTCCTCTGGTGCAGAGGGCTCCTCCTCTCGGTGCAGAACGTTCCGAAGCAACCGCACCGGAATCGGCACCGGGCGAAAGCGGCGGTGGCAAGGCTGCTCCTCGTGAAATTAAAGCGGAGCTCACGCTCAGCATGCTGAAGTCGGTTCGCTTCATCCTCCAGCAGCGCTTGCTGCACGTCCTGGTACGACCCAGGCTGGAGACGTCCAGGTACCTCAGCGGCAGAGAGGGGGCGCCGCACATAGTTCCGCGCCTGAATATTGACAATGGTGTTGAAGCGCAGGTCCGAGCTGCGATCTGGCGGGTGCTGGCGACGATTAAGTACGTCGCAAACCTGGAGAAAGACCTGTTGACAGCACATGTTACAGACAGAGGAGGACCAGGACCGTTTGAAGAAGCGCGCACGAGACGTTATCGAGAGTACGAGACTGATTTGCAGTTGCTGCAGCCTTACGGGCCAGTAGACACGCACGAAGAAGCATTGGCCCGGTGCGTTCCTGTAGAAGCTGGGCTGGTTGCATTTTATGAGAGCAGCAGTATGCTGCAGGCGCCGAATTACGCGATCAGGGACCCCGACCTGAATTTCTGGAGATCCGCCTTATTCCTGTTCTACGGCCCGTATCAGTTTTGCAGCGTTCTCCACCTCGACAGGGAGCGGAGCGCCCCGCATCCTAAGCTCGGTATGGATTTAGCCGAGAAAGTCCTTTCTTTGATGGAGCGGGCGTCCCCGGGTGGAAACCGCATCCTCGGCGCACAGAAACAGTACATGCGCCCAGACCTGTACGTTTCGGGTGTTTTGGAGCACTTATTCGTACCTCTGGACGAGCGCATTACTTCCATCATCCTGCATCTTGGCACCTTGGGAGCAGCCCAAGCGCTTAGAACACCACAGATCTCAGCTGGCGGGAGCGGCGTTCTGTCAGCAGCAGCATCCGGAGCGACCTTGTACCCCGAAGGGACAGCCGCTGGGACGAAGTTTGAAATCCTAGGACATCTAGGGCAAACCTTGATGAAAATTCCGCAGACGCTTTTCTTTGGCGCACTTAGTACAAACAGGTATAACCGTCGTGCTGCAGCAAGAGGGACTGGCCGTGACGTGATCGATTTTTCGCAGCCCCTCGTGCGCCAGATCATCTCCATCCTGGAGAAGGCGCCGCAAGGCACCAAGCAAATTGTCGCAAGACCGTTGCTGCAAATCGCAGAAGTATTCATGCGCGAGCAACCCGCAGAGCGACCGCGATGGTATACTGTCATGGAGGAGAGTGCGAAAAACGGACGCAGCATGAGATCCTGGGTGAACCGCTTCATGGATATTATCAAGGGCACGGAAAATTGGATAAACCCGGACGACATCGACGTGGAGAGTCTCACCTCGGACATGGAGCGTGGTGCACGGCTGGTCGTCGACCAGCTTCTGCGCGCTTTGGCAACCAGCTGCGAGGACGAAGCGACTTCCCAGCTGAAGAGGACGGAGCGAATCCGGGACGGTATCGACACAGACAAAAACGTACTCCGCCTTTGCGCACACCGCATTCGAACGCTGAGTGCGTGGGTGAAAAATCAAGCAGCTCCAATTCGTTTCACGTCTTCTCGGCCAGAAAAGAAAATAGATTTCAATGCGGTGGCACGGAAGATCGAAACTGTGGTCGCTCGAATACAACATGACGAGCAGCAGAACCGCAAATGCAAGAGAAAAAGAGGGCTTCTATCTTCGATCTTCGGTTGCGGAGAACGGAACAAGAACAACAAAAAGCCTAAGACGCAATAGACGTAGAAATAGAGAGCGTGGTCAAAGAACTGTTTCCGATGTAATGAGAACGAACCGGACCACTGCATAAATACACCTTTTTCTTTGTGCGTGATGATCATGGCGATGATTCGGATTGTTCCGCATAAATACCTTTCTCGGGGAAGCTTTTACTGCGGCCTTGAATAAGAGAAAGACGCGACGTAGTCGACTGTTGCAACCGAGAAGTGGACCTCTAAAACTGAAACTGTTTTTTGGCAGCTGCTATTTTTTGCAGCGTCTGCGACTACTACTGGACTCGCATATTCACAAGTTTATTTGGTTTGTTGTGTATATTTTTATTTTCCCGTACCCGTTGCAATTATTACGATGACGGGTTGCTTGGATATAAAGTAGATTTTTTTGAAAGATATTGTAGAATTTACTTATTGCAATTTCCATTAACACAGCTGATTCACTGTAAGATATCGCCACGTCGCCCAGTGGCGAGAAGAAAACTTTCGGCGAAAGTGAGGAAATTCATGTAGGATCACTTGAGTGTCCAAGCTGACGAACCGTAACTGTGTAAAACACCTTTGTACGATTTTCATGTAAAATATCATCACTGAAACTACAGCTACTACTTGGTCCTTGGTTTATCGAAAGAGCACTAGCCGCATGTGTTCAGCTGGAATTTCAATAATTTATCTCTTGAAATAAGTCGTTTTTTTTTGTTTGTGCTCTAAATGTCTCTGCAACTTGCTACTTTTTGCCTTTTTGTGGTTCTTTTCCTTTTGTGCATTCTTGTGTGTTATTCCAATCCTCCGGCGGCTTTGAAAAGGTGTGTGGCGGTAGGAAGCTGCACGAGCGACTGTTGTCGTGGTTATCTGAGGTCGTCAGTCTTCGGGGGGAACGTTCCACGTATCAAGGCTTTCTCTTGAAGCAATGCCGGGTGACGAGCCGTCGAGGCATGAAAGCGGATCCTCGTCGTTCAGTGGCGGTTTGCTGCCCTTGCCTGCGTCCCCACGTGTGCTGGAGTTGCGATCGGGTAGCGGGGGCTACGGTGGGGCGGGAAGCGGCTCGTACGGAGACAGTACCACGGCGCGTCGGCTCGCCCGCAGCCAGCGGTTTGTGTCTTGTGAGGATGACAATTTGGCGGGAGATCTAACCGTTGTGGCCGCAGGAACAACCTCCAGTGCTACTGGTAAAGACGCGGAGGACCAGATGAACCAGAAGCACAGGCCAAAGGGAACAAAGGCGAAGACCATCTGCAAAAGTGAAACCGCTTCGCAGCACCGCACCGCGCCCGCTTCCGGGCGGTGCAGTCGCGCAGAGCCGCGCGCCGCGGCGAAGCCACAGAAGAGCTGTTCGCCGAACGAGGAAAGAGGAGGGGTGCTTGAGTTGCTCGAGGAAAATTCAGGTGGCAGCAGTTCGAGAAATCACGGACATCTTGCGCGTCACAAAACCGGCTCCGGCTCGGTCGTTCAGGCCGGTGTGTTCGGATTCGTTCCGGCAGTGGCCGCAGAGGGAGATACTAACCCGGGTACAACCGAAAATCCAAAGCCTGTCAGTCAACCACAGGAGCGCGCAGCTACGAATCCTTCCGGAAAAAGTAGTGAAGGCAAAATATTAGCGGTGGCTGCCGCCGGTTCGTCTTCGACCAAAGGGGATCTTCATTCTGTTGCCTCAGAAAGAAAGCCATCGCGAAGGCAACGGATGCTTTCTCCGCGGGTGAAAATTGCATCAAGAGGTGGGAGAACCGAGACACGGAACAAATCCTACCGAAATGGCGCGGATCCCGCGATCCTGGACGATGGACACGGAGAAGAGCAGGAGCAAGTAGAGGGGGAGAACATCGTAGTTGCAGATGAATTTCTGGCAGCTGTGCCGCGAGGAGGGGGCGACCAAGATACCGGCATGCTAAGTACTGACGGCGAGCAGGAGCAGGAAGCTGACGCACTGCGTCGCGGTGTAGTTGCTGGTACCTCAGCGAGCTCGAGTATAGTGAGGGGTTTGAGACATTCGCCGCAGCCAGAGATCGCAAGAAGAAGGACAGTGGATGACAGCGAGACATCAGATAACAGCAAAGTACAGCGCCGCGGAGGTACCAACATGCGTACGAAGAGAAAGAAACCTGAAAGCAATGACGTGATTACTGATGACAACATGTTGGACCACGGACACGCTACTTTTCGGCAAGACGCGGCGGAGCAGCACAGGGCATCGCAATTCCGCAGCAAGAGAAGGCCAGTAAATCAAAATCAAAACGCCAGTCTATCATCCAAGAGAAGTCTAGCATCCGATCGAAATCTGGACGGCAGGAGCGGACGGTTTGTCGACCAGAGTCAGCGCACCGGTCACCAGCCAGCGGTCGGGACCTCCTCAAGCTATATGTGCGGTCACAGCGGGAGTACAACCGGTTTGCCGCCGCAGTACATGCCCCGCGGCCCTCCGCCCCATCCTTCGGCGCAACGACCCCCCATGCAACATCCGGCGGTTATGGAGGCCAGCATGATGGGGCACCATTTTATGCAGCATCCCGGGACCATGATGAGCCACTATTACAATTATCCGCCGCCGCCCATGGTCTCGTCCCACCCGCACATGCCGCCCTCGCACCATCCCGGCTTCTTCCCACAGCAAGGGCCGCCGCTTCCACCGCATTCGTTTTACCCGCAGAGGTACTTTGTCAGTTCACGTGAAGTCGGTCGAAGAAGATGCAGACTGTACACTGTGTTTGCGAAGGTGAGACGAATCATCTTTTGAAGGTCATTATTGAACAATTTCTTCACAAATAAAAATCGAGGTCTCCTCGCGCCTCCGAGCCGGTGCTAGGTCCCATGTCCGCGCGCAGCTATCAAGGCGCACCTTCGGCAGCACAAGCCGCGCAGAAGCGCATTCCGCCTCTCGACTACTCCCCGGACAAGTATCCAGTCGGGCGAAAGTTGTCCTCTAGCAGTAGCGAAGACGAGGATCCGATGCCCGCGAGCAACAAGGCTCAGCCGCAGAGTCGCACCAACTCGAAGCGAAGCGGGCAGAGTGCGCTCGACAGTGGACGGATGCAGGAGCATCAAGGGTCTCGCGGCGGGCAGCGCAGTGCGGAATCCAACAGCAAGTATGCGCTGAGCATGTCCGGGAAGAGCGGTCAACAAAATCGGAGCAGGCAGATGTACAGAAAGGACAGTACCACCGTCCTATCCGGGAATAGACATCAGCAGCCTGCTGGTGGGATGAATTACAAGACCAGCGAGTTTCTTTTGAGCGGAGACGACCCGAACCTCCGGATGTCCGCCATGCGGGGCAGCGGTCCACAACAAGGTACGCATATGAAAGTTCGCTCTGTAATGCACACAGATCAACACCAACAGCGAGGTGTTGCAGCCGCGCCTCATGCCCTGCCTCCGGAGGTCGACACAACCAGCGGGGCAGCTACATCGGAGGCGCCCTATAATTTTCGAATAGCGCGTGGGGAGCGCAGCCAGCGCAGTGTCGGGTCTTCGACGTTGACGGCGCGAAACACGAGGCGGAGACGGGGGGAGCAGAATAACTTCGCCCCGTCCGGTGCGGACCAGACCGTGAGGGAACCGGTTGCACCAAATGAGCTGCGGGCCCGACCGGGCGCCGCAAGTACATCTAGTGTCATGTTCCAGCAGCAGCCGCGTCAGCAGGACCATTCTACTTCTCTGCGCCAGTCGGATGTCGCAGCCCTCGCGGACGATGTCGCGCCTTACGAGTACGAGCGCTCGCAACTCCAGCAGCCGCCCACGTGGTCGCGGGATAAACTCTCGACCGTGCAGGAGAGCGTGACCGGACAGCGGCCCCGGGGGCGGGAAGATTCTGTGCGCGCCCGGAGCGTGGTGGCCTTCGAGCGATCTACGGACCAGTTTCTGCAGCGGAGGCTGTGGGAGCGGGAGGTTGAGCAGGTGAAGAACAAGGGCGCGATGAATGGCACCCTGTGCTTGATCCTGCTCGTTTCGTTCTGCTTCGGGCACGGTTTGTGCGACTGCGCGAATGCATTCGATCTGCTGGAGGAGAGCGGCGTGGAGGAGCTCTTTCGCGAAATCGGCGCCGTGCATGGGTGTGTTTTTATCCTCACCTGCGCGGTGCTATCCGGCTCGGTCGGGTCCCAGATCATCCGTGCCGAGTTCTACGCCGAACGACAGCAGCGCGGGAACCTGTTCTTTCTGCCGAGTGCCACGTCCTCTGCTGGGTCCTCCCAGTCGTCAAACTTTGGGCAGCACCGCTCGGGCCTCGGGAAGATTCGGTTTTTCGTTTGCGGATTGCTGCTCTGTCTCGCCACCGTCATGACCTGCGGCCGAGGGCTGCAGGGTGCCTCCGAAGTGCTGCGGACACTGCTCGAGCGAGAAAGCATGCTGGATATCTTTCAAGTCTTCTGCGTCACCTTCTGCATTTTGTTTCTCACCATCTTCTTCGTGCGAGTCTGTCGCCGGCGCAGCCATCGAAAGGAGAAAATGATGAATACCCAATCGGCGTTTGCGGACGTGGACGGGATAACAAGCGATAAGGAGCATCAGGAGGAGGACCGCCGCGCACGAAAGGGAAGCGATGCCAGTCGTGTGACGTGTGCTGACAAAAACAATGTTAAGGTACCCGCGCAGCGGGACCCCCTCGGTAGAGAGCTTGATCTTGCTGCTACGCCTGACAAAAAGATGTCAGCCGCTGGCAATATGAGAAGCCGAAACTACACCGCATCCAATCGGGAAAAACGACAACTCGGCTCAGCTTCAGGGAGTTCCGCAGCCTTGGCCCAACGCAGTACTACAACTCAAGGAAACATCAAAACCCCGGCAGCAACCAGGTTTCACACACTCCCTGCGACAGTCGAACTCCTACTTTTTGTTGGCACCGGAGCGATTTTTCTTTTCGGTATCGCGGCCTGCCTTCCGACGTTCGCGCCCAACTGGTGTCTGACAGTGTTGCTGGAAGACAGGATTACTTTCTACGGCGTGCAGGACGGAATGTGGGGCAGGTGGGACGCGAAACCGGCCTTCGAGCAGAGCCTACGCCTAGCGGAAGAGCCGCCGATGGGACCTGCGTTGTCGCTCGGTAGTCTGCGCGGCGGCGGCGGGCGGAGCGTCCGGAACAACTTCGGGCGGGAAAACCGCAGAAAGTCCGGCTTGCGCATCGACAGCAGTGTGGCGTCTTCCTATCTCCACGTCACGCCCCGGGCGCAAGATCCCTACGAGAGGCTCGTGCAGCAGGTGACGGACGCGGTGGACGCCATCAAATTACAGCCGGTTTTGAAATCCTCGCTGGGCGACACGGAGAGCAACAGTAAGTTCTTCTGGCGCATCCTGGCCTGGGGCCAGTTCGCGAATGCGGAGCGCGGTTCGCGTCACGGAGGCGGCCAGTTTTTGCTGTTACGGAATCTCCCGCCCTGGCTGCGCTCTTCCTCAACCAGTCGTCCCATTGCGGTGCACAAGGATCGGAAGAAGGTGGAAGAACCTGTGTATGGTGGGGACATGCGCCGCGCGCCTGCGGTGTACGTTGGCGGGGTGGGCGGTCCAGGCGGCGGCACGAGCGTGACGAATGCGCATGCGCGGCCGGCGCGGGCTTTCCTGGATGCGGGAGAGCAACATCAAGGGACGGCAGCAACTGCTGGCCACGCGGCGCACCAGCAGCATGCAGAAAGGGAGAAGGGACAGCTGATGCGCGAGCGACGGCTGAGTTCGTACCAGAAAGTGCACGAGTTCTTAGTTCCTACTGCGTCGTTGGTAAATCGGTACACGAAGGAGGACAGTGCGCGGGACCTCAGCAACTACAACTTGGTCAACCAAGATCTCAATCGGCATATGCTGCTCCGTCGAACCGTTCTGTGGGATCAAAATACCGGACCAACTGGACTGGAAGGTACGTTTGCACCCACGTCTCCGAACCGTTTCGTTCCGGGGGGCGACAGCGCCGCGCCTCGCGAGATCCTGCTTACAATCGAGGAAATCGAAGCAAAGGAGCCAATCATTGAGGAAAGGACGCCTGCCGCGGAAGAAGAAGAACAAGGAGCACCCAACGGGAGCGCCGACGCCGCGAATACAACAACTGCAGCGGAACAAGGCGGTGTTGAGCAGGCTCTCCCTCCACCGGAGGTCAAAATCACGGCCCCGTCGGGTGCTCCTGCAGCTGCCACCGGATCGCCCAGTGACACAATTCCAGAGCATGAAGCACTAGGAGGCGCGCCGGAGCCGACGGAGGGCAACATCCATGTTTTCAGTTGCGCCATACTGGACTTCGAGCGCAGAAACGAAAGTCCGCTCCCCGTGACGCCTACTCACCCGGCTTCCGGCGGTCCGCCGATCGCGCCCCGCTCGCTGCAGCGAAAGTTGAGCGTCGGTGCCAGTTCGGGGGAGCTCGTACAACTACAGAAGGGGGTCATTCGCAGCCCGTCCGCACGTTTCGGCAACAAAAATTCCGCAGGGGGGACCGGGGCCGGCCCCGCACCGCCCGACGGCGAAACCGTTGTGCAGCTGCTGTTCGACGGGAAATCGCTGATCCTGCAAGATTTGGAAGGACGCGTGCTCGCGCGGGGCCTGGTGACCCCCGAGGGGGACGGCCAGCTGCACACGTTTTACCACTGGGTGCAGTGGAAAAACACGATCGAGGACCCGGACACGCTGACCCAGGTGTACGGGGTGCGGAAAAGCGGGGACATTGAGTTTCCGTGTCGCGCGGAAGTGGAGGAGGAAGCGGTGATTTCCCGCGTCCACTCCGGCGTCTCCAGTATGATGGTGGCGCGGACGATCGCAGCAAACTTTTACTTTTTGTGCTACCTGTTTCTCACTGGTCTCCTCGTCCTGCCCTTTCTGGTCCGCAGCCTCTCCTTCAAAGCCGATGCGGAGTTCCAGCTGTTGCGCAGACAGTGGGCGGCCAAGCGGGACACGCTCCTGCGGTCGAGCGGCGTGATGAATGGATCTTCGAGGTTGCTGGTGGACAAGCACTCTGTTGTACAACCGAAAGGAAGCAATAAGATCTTGCTGCCGGAAAATGCGCTCAGCGTGAATTCCATCCCCAACAGCCTAGTCGACCAGCCGCGAGCGAGATTGCAATCCGAGGACGGAGGGGCCTCCCTGCTGAATTGGCGGAACAGGAAAACGCAGAGCGCAACCTCAAAATCTGCGCTGCGACGGGTGACACTGAAGCACAGAAAGACGATGACGCGGTTTGCGTGGCGCGAGCAAGATGCGATGCAGGAGCAACTTCGGCGGGTCTGGTGGTGGAGCCAGATGCTGCTGGCGGTGATGCACTGTGGGTTTGCGCTGCAGCGATGGCGCATACGCGACGCGTTTTTGCGCAACGATCGAAACGACGACCCGATTGTGGTTTCCCTGCCGGGGATTCTGCACGGCGACGCGTCTTTCCTTGCCGAGCTGGGTCGCCAGAAAACCCAGGCGGATGTGAAGGTGATGATCCTTCCAACCTGCATTCCGATCGGCCTCGACGCGCTCACGTCGTTGATTGCTGCGGTCGGCGTTTTGGCGTTGATTTTTCGCATCGAAGACAGGGGCATTTTGCGCAAGCAAAGTCCGGGGAAGGAGTTGGAAGCAATAAGTCAAGCCGACGCTCGTGGTTTCTCGAGAAAAATCACCGACGAGCGCAAGCAATCTAGGTGGACCACTAAGGGACGGGAAACGCGCCGTGGACGGTTTACCACAAACAGTCCACGCGGGTCGCCGCAAAGCGGTGAGAACTTTGACAATCGGGACGGCAGTCCAACCTCCTCTACAGAAGGGAAGGCTGTTGCTACCCCGTCGCGGCGCACCCGAAAGCGAGACACGACTGCTACGCCGACGAGAGGGAACGGACCGACGAAATTCATTTTGAATGACCGAAATAGAAATACCCACCAGCAGGACAGAGATATGAGTTCGGACGAGAAGGAGGACGCCGTCGCGCCGCTCATCCACTCTAGTTCGGCAGCTTCGTCCGCCGCGTCGTCGCTGTATCAGCTGGGTCGTGCCGGAGGGCTCCCGCAAGACTCCTCTCCGATTACTACGCACGGTGCGAAAAGCCAGCACCCTTGCTGCACGGCGGGGACTACGTGCTTTGCGTGCCTGCAGATGCTCGCGTTTTTCTCTGCCTTCATGCTTCTCTTCTTTGCGGTGTGGATGCCGCACATTTTGGAGGCGGAATTCGACGGGGGAACAAAGGAGGACCTCGAGGGGAACAACTATGGCTCGCCACACGCGCTGCTCGCCAGCATGGACTCCCTGCAGCTGCAAGGACGGCAGAGTCTTTCGCAGAGTCTGATGACGGTTTTGTTAGGGGTGAATCCTTACTACAATTCCAACTTTATCCAGTACGCAGACATTATTTCCTGGAAGCGGCGTTTTTTCAGCCGCGACTTCGCCGTCTGGCCGGCACTGGGACGGCAGGCTCCCACGTCCCCCACCCACCCGAGCGGGAGTCCGGACTCGGAACCCGCGGAAGTCGTGCGGAAGCCCCGCCGCATTCCGACTTTCACCGGCGCGGACGACCCGCGGAAGACGCACCTGCTATCGAACGAGAAGAAATCTGATCTGACCAAGAGCGCGCTCAAGGTTCCCGGCACAACGCCGCCGGCGTTGGGGCCGAGCCCCAAGTCGGTGATGTTTGATAGTGGCGAAGAGAGCGAGATGTTGAGCGCAGATGTGGAGAACGCGGAGGAAGCGTCGATGGGCAAATCCACGAGCACATCGAATACGACGGAGGTGGTGCGCACGCTGAGCGAGGGGCGCGTGCCGAGTCTCGGGGGTGCGCGCTTAGAGGAGTACCCCGGCAGGTCTGGGAAGCGCGCGTCGACCGGGCCGCAACTCGCTGCCTCGCTGGAGCAGCTGGAAAGCGGGGTAACATCAAGGCCGCACTTCGGCCGCACCGGGTCTGCTCTTTCAGCGAGCGAGCCGAATCTGAGCCAGCCTCAGGCGTTAATGTTTCGGAATCGGAATGGCACCTCCTTCGGCGCAGCGCTCGGTCAACATCTTCCGCGCGGACCGCGACCGAGCTCCTCCGCGCTGGCGCAGCCGCCGCTCCAGCCGACGTTGTCCCGGAGGAACTCGACGGCAACGCAGTTGTCCTTGCCCGGGGTGAAGAATCGGAGTAAGCCGCTGCCGCCCAGGGACACGGTGCCCTACGCCGGCGCGTTCGTGAATGCCGGACAGCTGGTTCCAGCGACCGGCGGGAATTCCGTGTCGAATCGCGCGGGAGGACGGCCCGCGCAGGGGAGCCACAGCAGCCGGCGCGACGGCACGCCGCTGACTAGTACGCGGCTGCTGCGCCGCTTGCGTCGCGTTGTCGTGGAAAACTTACGGGACGAGGAAATGTTTTCTGCCGATTTCTTTCTGCGACACCAGGCCAACGCGCAGGAAAGTTCCGGATTGGCACAGCTGCTGAACGGGCTGCAGAGCTGGCTGCAAGTGCTGCACCAGCTGTACCGCAAAGTCTTGGGGTTGCCACCGTTATCCTGGGTTTTGTTTCTGCTGTTCTCCGTGCGGGATCAGGACGACCACCTGCATCCTTCGGGGAGTCAATCGTTGACGATGTCCGAGATCGCGTTGTTCAACCGCTTGCACCCGGAGTGCTCCAGTGCGGTGGCTTGCCGTGGCCCGGGGTTCGGCCTGCGCCAACGGGCCGGCAGCGGTGCGACGGGCGCGGGAACAGGCACCCACACACGGTGCAGTGCGGCCAGTGCGGCGGGCGGGGACTACACCTTTGACGTGCCTGCTGCCGATCGGTCTGCCTTGACGCCGGTCTGCCCGACGGGAAGTAGTAACGCGGGGGACCTAGACCTGCGCACAAAGATCGAACAAGCGAATAAAGATGTGAATCTCGGTGATGCTGATGCCGCAACCACGGCTGGCGCAACTCGCGGCAACCCGTCGAGCTCAGGAGTCTGGGGCCTGTCATTACCCAGCATGCCGTGGTCTGGGTTCAGCCGCTCGAGTTCATCTGCTGCTAATGCAGCAACAGAAAACAAGCGAGACGCAGCCTGCAGTCCTGTCGTGGACGCGGGGTCTACTTCCGCAGAGGAGCAGGCGGGCAAGAGGAAAGAGAACATGCTGGACGCAGCGGAGCTGTCAACCCCGCAGCTCGGAAAAGGGCCGGCGGATACTGAAGCGCAACTACGCGGTTGTTCAAGCCAGCAAACAGGAGCCGTCCGAGGAGACAATGTGGTTGGAGTACAACAACCTGGAGGTGGAGCTTCTGCGGCTGTAGACCACGAGGCTGAAGAAAGTAAAGAGCACTTCACGAGAACAGCGACCGAAGACGAAAATTTTCTGCTCGACCAATTCTATGAGCCGTATCCCGATGCGGGTGCCATGCTTTTCTTTCTGGACCGCAGCATGGAGTTTTTGTTGCTCATCATTCTCGTGCTGTACGCTTTTGGGAAGGTGGTAAACGAGAAATTCTGCTCCTGCTGCAGCTGCGGGCTCTATCTCGGGTACTGTCTATTGCTAGTCCAGATAGCGTTTCTGGTGTATGGGCTGCTCTGGCGGTTCTCTGTATTGATGTGATAGTTTAGACGGTGTAAATAAAAGAAGTACAGCAAAGACTTGGACATTATGCGCATTGGAGTTGTTGAAGAAGTGGTCGAGCCACTTTCGTCACCGACGATTTAGAAATGAACTTCTTTCATCTTTTTTGGCGGAGTGAGTCCTTCGCGATGTAAAACGGTAAATAATAGCAGAATGAGTGCGGAGGTTGTTGTCACAAAAGAGAATACAGTCGATTCAGCGGCAAAATGAGATGAGGCTTGCGTCGTGGTTATTCAGAGTCGCATGCGTTTTGATCTTTTTTGCCGACTAATTGATTCACGAGAAATTCGAGAATACGCACATTCAAAATGACTGGGACAGCAATCGTGCATACGCGCTTGAGCAAGATAGAGCTGAAATTTTTCTTGGTGTTCCAAATCCAATCGAGAGACATTGAGCATGCAGCTCGATCGAATAGCAGTCTGCTCGCGACAAAAATCGAGTTCGAACTTCAACAAATATCAGGTTTGTCTTGGTTGCGCCTTCCCCCTTCTTAGGCTGTGCACAGTGCAAACCCTTTCCCACACGAAGAAAGTGAAACTCGCTCGAAAAATTTGTTGACAGTACACTTAAACCGTTTATTAGAAGTCGTCTCTAGTTGTACAGCGACTCAAAGTTACCTGCAATCAAGATCCTCTACAAAGATCCAGATACCGCTCAGAACGATAAAAGAAGCGCGTACATTCACTAGAGAAAGCAGTTTTTGTGTAGTAAAGAAGAAAATTGCATGCTGTTTCTGATATTTTGATTTTGATTTCGAACGAACTTCTTTTGCAAAAATTCCAAAAGTAAAAATTTCGCGCACAAAATAGAGCAGGCCACTTAGTTCGAAAAACTAGGAGAGTATAGTACTTTTTTCTGTGACTAGATTTGCAACATCGTTGGCTAGTTACAGACAGAGTAGATCATCTCTTTTGCGCTGCGGACGCAGGTAGTGACTCAGTTTTGTAGTATACGGAATTCAGTTTCTGTTTGAAAAAAAACAAATCACTTCGCGATCGGTGGCGGTTTTCTCGACGAATCGCGGTTGCGGACCTTCAGACCAGCTGGGTACTAGTGGTCGAGCGGTCGACTGCGACGTTGTAGCGAAGACAAAGTTTTTGTCTTCACCCGAACATCAAATAAACCTCCTTCAAAATGGCACTCCGACGAATCAACAAGGAGCTCCAGGATCTCGGTATTGATGGATTGTCTCCTGCTTCACGGCTAGTGTACGGTTAGCGTTAGGCATGCAAAAGTTGAATCAAATCGAATACGAATTCGTACGGGACGACGTATTAGATTCCTCGACGAGAAAGTTTCACGGAAAATTGAAAACAGGTAAAGATCCGCCAGCAAGCTGCAGCGCCGGCCCAACAGGAGATGACATGTTCAACTGGCAAGCCACAATAATGGTACTTATCTATCTAATGAATTTTGTCCAAGACGAAGTCGCTGTCGCACCCTTTTTTTAGTGTTCGTTTTCTGCTTCGTCCTACGCGAGAAGATGCGATTTCTATACAGCTAATTTTGAACAAACGCAGGGTCCACCGGATTCGCCATACGCAGGAGGAGTATTTTTCCTGAACATTTCCTTCCCAACGGACTATCCTTTCAAGCCGCCAAAAGTCAACTTCGCAACGAAAATCTATCACTGCAACGTCCACAGCAATGGTACAGATTGTTTCTTATGCTGCGTGGGCTTTTTTTTGCATACCTAGACGTCGCGCCCTTTTTTTTTTACTGGATGTACGTAGAGATCATGTCCGGCTGAAGATGAACGAGGCACTGACTTCCATTCCACACCGCGCCTTATCCACAACAGGTTCGATTTGTCTGGATATCCTGAAGGATCAGTGGTCGCCAGCGTTGACGATCTCCAAGGTTTTGCTCTCTATTAGTTCACTCTTAACGGACCCGAATCCAAACGATCCATTCGTCCCGGAGATCGCACAGCTCTACTTGAAGGATCGCCAGAAGCACGACAGCCACGCCCGGGAGTGGACCCAGAAGTACGCATCCGGCTAGTCGTGTGTGAACTACTAGGACGTTGGGAAATAAAGAGCCACCAGTGCTTTATTTCTTTATCGCACAACACCAACTTTTATCAATGCAAATGTAACTCGTTTTAAGTCTAACACTAACAAACTCTAAAGCGACCTGTTCTACTCCCAGGAATGGAATGGTAGAATGTGAAGAAGAACTCTCGAACTTCTATACGGGTGATGGTGCTCGACGGGTGTAAGATTTCTTCACTTTCTTTTGAAGGGATTTTTGCACGTGTTAAAGCATTATCATGCTCTAGTCTCAGAAAAACACTAACACTCAGCAACTCTGTATGTCAGACCCAAATTTATGAACAGGCAGAGATCCTTTTCGATGAACGTGTCATCGGTCTGTCACGATGAACTCCTAGAACTTGAGCTTCCCCGCCCTGAAAAAAATGAGAAAATCTCAATGGAGCTACCTAAATTGAGTCCTCATCAATCAATCCGAGGCAGGACAGTCTGTAGGCACGAGGACCTTTTGCTCTCCGGCGGCGATTGCTAGCTTTCTATCTGTTGTCTGCTTTACCTTTATGAACATGGGGAAGTTTAAAGAAATTTCATTTTTTTCGGTTTACCGTATAGTGCTTGCGCTTGGAGAGCCGTTGCTTTTTCGTTTCGCTTGTTGGCTGACTTTTCGTTTTTCTTGATGACTATTGCCCAGGCTTTCGCTAAACTTGGTATGGTCTGACACAGGAAAAGTTTCGGTAGCCCGAGTTTACTCTAGGAACCTACTACTCGTTTTACGTTGTGTTTCAAGCGTGAAACGGAGCGAAAAAAAGCGCTCCAATGTCGAAAAGTGGCTTTTCCCTATATGGTCTACGACTCTATTAACTCTATGAGCCTCGTCTACTCTACCTCGACAGATAGGGAGAAGCTAAGATGATGTGCCACAAAGTGTTTCTGCCGTAGTCTCTCCGGCTTTCAATATTTTGGTCCCAGACACGCAATGCGATCCGTTCGCAGTGGAATCCTGCAGACCGGAAAAAAGGTGATGCTGAAGCAAGAAACCATTCTCGACCATTACCCTGAGGTCAAGGAACAGAAGTTTTTCAAAAGTTCTCTCTCTCGACCGCACCAGCTGTCAGGAGCTACAGACGATTTTGACGTTTTGTGATTCACGAGTGGTTAACGATAACGACACAGTCAGGAACGAACGGGCTTCTTGTGATGCGAGAATGGTATTAATTTCGAATCTTGTTTTTACTACGCATGAAGATTCTCTATATGATCGCTGTCGCAAACAGAGATTCGCACGAGTACGAACATGAAATGCAAAGTATTATACACATTGTTTCAGGTTGCAGAGCAGGAAGGCACGACGAGACGTAACAACTCCCAAAAAGCTGCTACCACGACGATACGATGGAACGGATCGCATTGCGTTACAGATTGTGCGTTGCAAATCAGTGTTGAGAGGACCCTGCCTAGCTTACTGACCTCGCACAAAACCCCTTGGAATTCAAGTTTGTGTCTGACAACAGTTGCTGCGTTGAGTATGGGAATACAGAAACAGACCAGGAGGACGACTGACGGCGCCGCGTCGCTTGTTATGTTAAGGGCGAAAGCGTGTTCCTGCTAGAAAAGGTGAAAGTGAGTGCTTAGTTCGTGAAAGTAGATCTTGATGTAGTTCGCATTGTCACAAATGCAAAAGCAGAGAGAGGGTCCTCTCCCGGGAGATTATACTGCCGAGGCTGGCCGCACGGCTGAACGAGCGACACTTGAGGATCCATGATACTTTGAATACACGGGATTCTGTATTTTGGTGGCAGCTTCGATTTCGATGACTAGTATCCAGACCTACTTCACAATGGGGCCGCAAACATTATGTTTCGTGCTGTAGTCGGTGTGAAACCACAGTTGCACCGCTGCGCATCGCACAAAAACAGCACACGAGTACCACCATGGTGCTCTATTATTTGGGCGCCACCAAGGAGCCAGCAGATGTACGGTTTCCCGGGTTGTTTCTAGGCTTGCACCACACGTTTAAGAATCTGCAGGGCGGTATGATGGTTGGATGCGGTCTGGGCGCACTGCTTGGGTTTCTTCGACCCGGCTTCTCGCGAGGCACGATGTTAATAGACACAACAAGGTGTATGGGCGTTACGGCTGGTGCGGGGCTCGCTTCAGGGTAAGGATAAGAACAAGTGTTCTTCGTTGATGGAGGATGAGCAACGGGAGCACAGTGTGGAGTTCGTTTGACAATAAACAGACGCTTTTATTTCATCCTCCCTGCAAATGCTACTAACTAGGTTTCCCTACAGCGCATATGCCTACAGCCATTTGGAGAGGGAGGGGAAGCAGAAGGCCGCGTTTAAGATTCAAAAAAGCTGCTGGCACAATAGGCTCGACCTATTCACCTTGGGCGGTCTTGCCGCCGGATTCGCAGTAGCGCCAACAACCGTCTGGACGTATTGAGAGGAAAAATCCCCCCTCCCCATATTGAAACGGTATGTTTCCGAAAATTTGTGTTGCTGATTTGTGGTCACAAACCACATCTGTCTTGCAAGAAGACAAGAGCAGTAGCCTCCGTCCCATTATGGAAGCGCTTTGTCATGCTAGTGGGCCTAAAGGGAAGCCGTTTGCAATGCTGAACAACTAGACCCAAACGCCCCTAGCTAGGCTGAGGATCTGGCGGCGATGCCTTCCTGCAATACAAAGCGTATTTGTGTACACAAATCCAGCATCAGAAGTTTCGTTTTGATATGGGGAGGGGGGATATTTCCTCTTGATAGGACGGGGTTCCTGGAGTTCATGGGGGCCGAGGCACTGGGGAGAGCAGGTGAGGTTTTTGCGTATTGTTCACGTGCGACGTGCGTTCTTGTCAAATTTGTATCGATTTTTTCCCGCCTAACTCAAGTACTTACTAACTTATGTGCGACATGATCCTGAACTGTGATTCCCAGGTTGCATCCTATGGTGTGGTTTCGGCGGGCTTTGCTTCGACTTCCCAGCAGTTCTAACAGTATCAAATGTAAAAATGTCTGGGCCTGGAAGAATGCAAGTTTGTCATGCTTGTCTGGCATGACTCTTAAATCTGTCATGCACATTACCAAAGAGCCCCACTTTTCTGTCATGCAGAAACGTAGTTTCTCATGCAGAATAGGCAACACCTAGAAGCTCAGAAACTTGTCATGCTGAGCCAGCAATTGTGGCCTCCTCATGATACGCCGCACAGCATCACAAGTTTCCAGACCCAGACATTTTTACATTTGATAAACAGGGGTCCTGTATTACGCGCATGTAGACGACATCGACGTATCCATGGTTGGCGGGGACGATGATGAATGAAAATGAGGGGCCGCAATGCGCTTAGTCGTGGCTTTGGAAGTCCTCTCGCCAACAACGAAAATGTGTGAACAACACAGGAATTACAAACGAATCTGATTACTTTGATACATGGTCGACGAGAGTCGCACTGACACGTGATGAATGTTTACTCGCGCTGGCGTTGTACAGAAATTTTAAAGTTCTTTACGTAAATAGCTGCGCAGTACCGCCTCATGTATGAGCACCGATATTTTCATCTTTCGGGGATTCTGTTCTCCACTGTTTCGTGTTGTGCGATTTTGTACCAACCTTTTTTCGAGTGAGGCGACGGAAAGAAACCGCGACGACGAATGAGCGGCACTGTGAGGGGATTTCCAAAAGGAGTGTGTGGGTTTGATTTCTTGAAAGTTTTTTTTATCGCTTTCTACCGAACATCGCATTTGGAATCTCATTTTTCAGTTGTTTGATGGTGACTCGGCGAGTCGGGTGGGCGATTGAATCGTCCGGGCATCGGCGACAAGTTTGTTGAGGCGCCGGGTCTTCGTCTTCTCACAGGAAAGCCGTGCTGGACGCGTAGGTGCTGGTATGGTGGCGCGGTAACGGTAACGGAGCAGCAGCGCAGCAGGAGCTTCGGCACCGCGGAAAGCTACTTGTTTCACGGAAAACATACCGGCTGTTCTACCGTGTAGTCTTGGGAGCGATTTACAGAGTGGGAGCAAGATGGTGCTGTACTACTGGTGGCGAGATCCCTCCGCGGAGGAGGTGCTGTGGCCGATTTCAATTATGAACATGCATTGGTTTCTGAAGGGGACACAGCTGGGTATGATAGGGGGCTTCGCGGGTGGGCTGCTTGTTGGTATAATGAGTCAGTGCGTATGTATAGTTTATTTGCTGCCTTTGCATAGGACTCGAGCTTTACTCTTTCAGGAGCCTGTTTCGGTCGTAATTACTATGACCATTTTCAGGTATGAGCAAGCGTGGGTGCACTTACCAAAGCGTGATGCACGACATCACACGATATCTCAAGTTCGGTGCAAAGCTCGGTCTTCCCTACGCAGCTGTGCGCAACATCACGGACAATGTATATCGATCTTTGTAGTTTTGCGTTCTCTACTTCTTGCGTATGTGATTGGATGTGGTCACTAAGTAGGGAAACTAGCGGGGGCCGAAGTTTCTTCACAGACATCGACTCGAGCATGTTGATTGGTGCCAAAAAATATTTTGGCATTATGTAATCACAGGCGCAAGTAAATCTTGACGTTTTGAAAGAGCGGGCCTTCGATGTCGAAAAATCAACATGGCATAATCGCCTGGACGCGATTATGATAGCTGGCGCCATCGGGGGAAGGTAAAATTATTCTTTGTTCACTGCTCACGGAGTAAGTATGTCAGTGCTCCTGCCACTGCCTTTCCACCTGGGTTCGACAGTCTTGACTGGCTCCACATTTATATTTCCTGTCAAACCACCACAGAATTTTCTTCAACGAGCCAAGGATATGGACGAACCTTCTCGGCATGAGCAAGAGACAAGTGGTTCCGCACGCCGGCACCGTATGGGGTGCTTTTGCCGGAGTCTGCTTTGACCTGCCCCTCTGTACTTGGGTTTGATGAGTTGCCTTGTTGTTTTCATCTTCTTCAATGATCTAAGTGTGTGATCCACGATTCCTTTCGGAAACCCGAGTCCAAACCTTTTGTAGAAAAAACGGAAACCTCACTCCAGGTATCTTCTGGCCGGTGTATGTGTCGCAGTCGGAGGATGTGGATGTGATTGTGAAGCACGTCACAAACAAAGACTAAGCTATGCTGCTTGTCTGCGCACCAGCATTAATTTTCCGTAACCATGGCGTGGAGCTCCGCCGTGAAGAAAAAACAAACCGCCTTTTGTACTCCCCCCGCCCCTTTCTTGTAGAGTTTGAGTTCAAGTACGTACAGCGCAACAATATGGGAGTTCACAGCGAAAAATCGCTCCTTGGGGAAAGCAGTTTACGTTCATTGTTCAATGTGCTCCAAGGAAAAAGAGAGGAGGAGCGCGTTTTTTGAGGACCCGTACCCGATATTGAAATCGGTACAGCTGAAGGCCGAAACTTGCGGGACGCCTTGATTGAGCGGCGATGCATAGCAAGTACTGTTGAAGATCTTCGAAACGGTTAGCAGGTTCACAAATTCTTAATCTTTAGAAGAAGAAAATGCGCGGACGCGCCGGCCGCACATCTCCCCCTCACCGGTAGCGGCTTTCGGAGCTCTTTATCGCCGATTCCAAGCCCGCGATAGACTGACGCGAAGCAATGGCGTGGTATTGGTTAGGCTACCTGACAAGTGAGCCAGGGGATGACCCGGATCTGCGGATGCCGGGTCTGCTCATTACCGCACACGCTGCGACTAAGGGCCTGCAAATCGGACTCTCCGCTGGAATGCTTGCTGGCGCCGTCCTGAGTATTTTTTGTTGAGTCACAAATTATTGCAAGAGGAAGCACACTCCAGAAGATTTCAAAAGTCACATGAAAGTCACTGACTTTCACACGGTTAATATTCGAAAAAAGGTTTTCGCCGCGGGAAGCTTCTCAACAAAGAATTATTTTTTCATGATGTTACCACGCGCATGCGAGATTATGGGGCGGTTGGCGGCCTTCTTCTGGGCCCAGCATACGGACTGTCAATATGCGCGAAGTCAGACGCAGCAGCTAGGCAGGAGCGCGCAAAGGCGATAGCAGCGTCCAAGTGGGCGAATCGTGTGGACACATTCTCTATTTACGGCGGAGCACTAGGGTAAGTATAATTTTTTCTGCTTGGTGAATGTCCCACGCACCGCCGTGTTCATGCAAAATGAAGACCTCTGCTCTACGGAAAAAGCAGACATTCACATTGTTTTCAAATCTTGCAGGCAATTCCTCGCCCGCCCAGACGCCATGGCCAACATCCTTGGCTTCCAGGGTGTGTTTATCCCGTTCGGCGGTGTAGCATGGGGCGTCATGGCTGGCATGCTGTTTGACGTACCGCTGTCCATTCTTCTACCAAATTATTGGGCCCACAACGAAGATGTAGACTGGATTTTTCCACAGCTCGTCGGGTTGGAAGAGGAGTAAGCAGCACGGGAGACGGACGCGCACCTCCATCCTCCATTCGACGCTGCTTGCGGACTTCCTCAGTGAGTAATTTCCCTTTCCTCGCGGAAGGGATTTCTTGGCGTTATCGAGGTGAGATCGTCTGTCTACTTTTTTCTTTTCCCGCACAAGAATCTACTTTTTCTAGTGCGTCGAAAAAAAAAACAAACCAAAGCATTCCTTTCAATGCAGGAAAAAACGTACCATGGAGGAGCAAACAACAGCAAAGTAACTATGTCGCGCGTTTGTATGCTTCACAAGTTCTTTGATGTACATAACCTGGTAAGAACCAAAGCGCAAAGAGGAATATCCGTAAAGGTCAATCGAGCTCGTGAAGATTCCATAGTTCACGCAACAAGAGTGCACTAGCAGTCGCTGCCTGAGCAAGGCATTTTTCTTGTCGGTTTTCTAGCACTACTGTCTACAACCTGTACAACCTCGACGTAAAAAGATGGATCGGTACGCACCAAAAACGAGATTCGATTGAGTAAGACGTCGCCTCGTCCCCGAGAGTCCTTTTTTCGAATTTAAAAAAACGTGTGCACATGGAACTTCAGTGAAGAAGGGCATATTATGAGAATGCTCTAAAAATGAAAATCGCAGGGGATCCTCGCGCATTATCGACTGGAATTTTCGTGTCCCCCTGACATACGTTTATTCTTAAAGGTAGAGTTCTAGCACGTGTAGTTCTTTGTCGCACACGATTTGTTTATAAGTATCCGATTTTCAGAAAGTACTGTAGGATCGAAGTGGTAGTGTTTTTTTTGAAGAAGTCGAAAGCAAAACGACTCAACGCTCGACTTTTCGGTTTCATTTCTGTCTGGTCACACGTTCCAGAAGTGAAGTTCTGCTAGCGCAAGACAGATATAACAGTTTCAACTGGAACTTTCTTTTACCAGTGTCAAACAAAACAATTTGTAACATATAGGAATACCATCATCATCATGTCGAACGAGCCCCTCCTTTCGCAGAACGCGGGCCCGCGTTCCGATGAGGACATCAAGGAGGAAAACAGTTCTTTGCCTTTCCTAGTCTCCTACGTTATTCTCGGCGCCTTGATTTTGGTCAATTACGTCACAGTCGGTGTGTACCTCAACAAAACCTACCCGCTCGGGAACATCGTGAATCCGAAGCAAACGGGCGCGTTCAATCTTTGGGGAGCCATCTACGACGACGATAACAAAGGCTTGCTGGCTGTCTACTACTGCGGCTTCGTGGTCGCAACGGTCGGGTACTTGCTCAACATCAACTACGTCTTCCGGGTACACCGAACCATGCCGCGGGACCTCTACTACCGCCTCTGCGGGTCCATGCTGGTGTTCATGATCACCGAGCACATGTGGATGCCGTTGTGTGCGGTGTACATCGGGAACCCAACCTCCGCACTCTGGTGGGTGATTTTCTGGCAGCTGAAGGTATCCGCACTCGCCAGTATCTTCGTGGCCGTGTGTCTGTTCAAGATCCCGCACCCAAACCCGAAGGCCAGTGATCTGGTGCGGAACCTCGGTCTGGTAGGGAGTATCATGTTCGCCGCACACTGCACCGTGCTCGACGGCGGAATCTGGAGTTTCTACTTTACCGCGGGCGGGGGACGGTTTCCACCGCCGACGTAAGCTACGGTGTGTGAGCGAGCTACGTCTACTTACTTATTTTGTGCCCGCGCGATCGCGCTCTGCAGTGAAGAGCCTTGTCGATCTGATGAAAGGAGCCGCAACAAATTTATAAAGTTATGATTCAACTAGAACTATGGAGTTTTGAGATTTGTGATGCAGCTCAGCGGTACAAGTTTTTTGTGCTACTGTGTACTACAGGGAGCTGCTCTTGCAAATCGCATCCAAAATGACGACTTTGGCCAAATGTGAAGAGAAGAACAAGTCGAAACTCACTACCTATTTTTAAGGTTTCTGGCTCGACGACCAGGACCAGCCGTGGTGTACTTCATGGCTCAACAAAGATGCAAACTGATGTTCATAAGAAGCAAGTCTACAACATTGGATCAAAGTTTCTTTCATATGTGCTTTGAAAAGTTTGTTTTTGGGATCATCGCCTTCCTTTTTGATACAAACCGCACCGCTGCGCTCGCGCACCGCGAATTCACGGACAATTTCAGCGTGCGGACGACATTAGCATTAGCTAGAAATTTTTTGTGTGTAGTTTCCAGATTTTGATTTTGCAAACTAAGAATTAAATGCACTGAAAGTTACAATCCCGATATCAATATTCTTTTTGCAGCAGATGTCATCGATTGAAAACTGCGAGAAAAGCATGACAAATGTGTATAGGATGATGAAGTCTCATCGTGAAAAGTAGTTTTGGTTAGATAGACGTTAAAAAGTAGTTCTCGGGATAGATACGTTCGAGGCACCATACTTATCTGGTTTGGAAAAGTGAAGCAAAATAAGGAGGTTGACTCTTTTTGACAATTGCATTATTAAAGATCAAAGATAACATGATCATGATGCGGGGCCCACCGGCGTATTTCTGCTTTGACGAAAGCCAACAGCTACTTGCCTTGTCAGAACAGTTTATGGCGACCCGGGCATGATGAAATCAAGAACATGGACGAAAATGTCACGTCTCTACAATTTTCTCTTTTACAACCTGGCGCTGCTGTCGTCCGGCACGATCGCGCGGCGGCGCGCGCAGGCAGAAAAGCCTGTTTCTTTGAAGATACAAGATCCACAGCTACGACCCGGCGCCCAGTCCCCTGAAAAGACGATAGGAGTTCAACCAAAGACGCCCCGTCCTATTCGACCTTCGGTGTCTACCGATGATTCCCCGCCCTGGGTCACGAAGACACTGTCGGACTTGGGTTCGAAGAGTGCGCAGTGGGAGTGGCTTTGGGTGAAATTGGCGGAAAACGTGTCGTCGGAAGAGTTTTTCGTCCACGACGAGGAAGATCCCGACCATGCGCTGCACCGTCGCTGGGCTTTGCCGCTCTCTCCACGAGAGAGCACCGACGAGGAGGAGGGCCATGGTGAGAACTCCCAAACAGCGGCGGCAGCAAGAACGAACGCGGAATTTGAAGAGCTTGCCGGCGACGGACCGTCTTCCCCCAAAGGGACGAGCGGAAGTGGTTTTCACAGCAATTGGTCCTCACAGAAGCACAAGCGGTCTTCGGGACAGCCGATGGAAAAGAGTTTGAAGAGGGAGATCGCGGAAACCGGGCGGACGCTGGGAAAACGCGATGAGTGGGAGAACACGAAGAGCCCGGAGTTGATTGTGCACGACGCAGCCACGGGCGACGTGATCGGAGGTATTTTGTACGACAAGAAGCCTTTGTCCCACCTCCACAAAAACCGCAAGTGGGTCACATCGGTGCTACCCCACGTGTACGGCAAGTTTTACGAGTTTCTGCGGCGCACCAAGCAGGCGAACCCCAAACAGGAGGATCTTTTCAACCGAGCGGTTTCGGTCCTGAAAACCAGTCCAGCCAGGCACGTGAAACACCACGGCTTGTTCTTCCCCAGGTTTCTGATTAGCGGACTTCAGCTCATTTGGGACGAAGTAGCTTTGGTGGCGGCGTCGGTTGCTTCCGGAGCGCTTTTGGTGAAAAGGCTGGAAAAAGCAATTCAGGAAAGAGACATCAAAACCATCTTTGACGAGTTGAATGCCCAGCGTGCGCAGCAGAGCTTGCCGACCTTCGAGGAATTTGCGAGAAGCAGTGCGGAAGCTGCAGAAGTAGGTGCAGATCAATCTGTCAGTGACCTCCGTACGACACCAAGTCGTGCTGGCTCAATCGATTTCACAAAATACGCAAAATACTTTCCCTACATTGGTTTGGTCGAGCGGCCGCCCCCCACGGGGGACAGCAGCGATAGCGATCGCGACGGCAACATACGAGTTGGGAAAGTGATTTTGGGTATCGACTGGCGGTCAGTTCCATTCTTGTCCAACGAGCACGTTCCGAATTTGCGAAATTCGTTTCAGCGCTACGTGATGCGGGAGAAGCAACGGGACCATGCGCCGCGGAACTGCCCATCGTGCGCTGCCGGAACAACAAGCGCGGGCTATCCGTCGCGGAACGTGAGCGAAACCTGGTTCTTTCCCGAAGAGCAGGATGGTCTCGAGCAGGCTGCGTCGTGCACGGAAGGAGCGTCGGAGCCGTCGAGATCGCGGAAAAATTCAGACTTTCAAGTCAGCTTTTGTCCCGCACCTGAGCCATCTGCCGCAGGACGACACGCCTGTCGTGCGGACAGTAGCGAGGAGCGTTTCATGGACATGAAGCCAGAAATTCCGGCGGAACAAGCACTGCTGCAGTTACGAAGTCCACTGCTGAAGGAGCACAACAAAGCAGCCAGCTCTGGTGGAATCACGCTTCCCGTCTTTTTGAAACGGGATGTCGTTGCTTTTTCGCCTGTAAAGAAGGAACAGGAAAATTTGAATGAGGACTGTTCCGCTGGTGTGGTGGTACCACGGCGCCGCGGAAGCGGACGTTCTTTCAGTTCCGCTGGTAGCTCCACGGGCCGGTTGGAAGTGGAGTCTTCTACAGCGCTGCCGTCCGCCCCGACAGCCGGTAGTTTCGCTTTCAGTCGGCAGTCTAGCTTCGAGGGGTCAGATATCCTCACCGTCCGGGATGTTTCTCCCAAAAGCGTTTTACCAGGAGCAGCAGAGCGAATAGTACAGAAGACTAGCTCGTCCTGCAGTCTCTGCCAACCTTTGGAGCCGCATCAGTTTTTTGAAACGCAAGTTACACGAACAGAAAAGGAGGACTTCGAATCGGAGTGGCTCCAGATGCACGTTGACGCCACGACAAAGCTAGCGCTTGACCACCCAGATCGTGTCCTGCTGTTTGGGAGGCCGCTGGCGAAACCTGGAATCTCACGAGGAGCGGGAAGAAAGCTGAAACGAAAGGGAACAACAAGTGGGTTTCTCACCGCCCCAAGCGCGGCTTTTTCGGGTGTCTCACCCGTCTTGCTCGAAGCGCACGAGAACATGACGGCAGAGCGGAGCAAACAGGACAGCGAAAGCGCTGAAGAGAATCCTCTTTCCGTGGCTGTTGCGGGATCTTATTCCCCCGGCGCCGTAGAGACCGGACCGACCGCGGCGGATTCCGTCGACGACGGCACTGACTTTGGCCTCATGCCGTGGCGAGTTGTTCAGCACCAGCGACTGGACCAGATAGAAGGGAAAGCAACCCCGACGGCACCACAGCTCCAGTCTCCATCGAAAGGAAGATACTTGCCACCGCAAAAGCGCAAGGAACTCGAAGAGGCAGCGCGGCGCGGCGCTGCTTTGGTCGCAGGGACCACAAATGAGCCAGGTACAACAGAAACTGCAGGCGAGAAGCCTTCTCTACGCGGTGAAAGTGGTACCTCCAAGAGGCCGCCACAGATAAGCAGTCCCGGGTTGCCGCATTCCTCTTCTGGAGAATTCGGAAATTTTTCAGCGCTATTGGGTGGCATGTACGGTTTGAACAGGACGACGACCGAGGAGGGGGAGCAAAGCAGCAGTTCTTTCAGGGAAACCCAGAAGAGACTGCGCAGCCCGGCGTCGACGGTATCAACTAGAACACCTACCAGTGTGTGGTCGCCTGCTGCGTGCTCGTCGTCCGCGCCGTCGCCTCTCCTGCCTGATAGCATGCCCAGGACCTGGATGCTGGAACTCGGCGATGCAGCAAGTCCACCGGCAACGCCGCGAGGAAGCTCAGCGCGGGATCTCGAGGTAAACTATTCTTGTGTTTAGATTGCTCGATTTGATTTAACAACTAAATTCAAACGAAATAGATTTTCATTTCATGATTTTTTTATACGCAACGAGAAAACCGAAAACACGAACGAAATGCAGGCTCGTGAAGCGAAAATGCTGCACTCGCCGATTAAAGAGGAGACTCAATCTCAGTTGAATTCGCCAAGGACGCCAAGTTACGGCATGAATGGCACGCTTCTGCAGTCCTTCAGCGCGCGACCAGGGGTTGGACCTCCTTTGGGAAGTGAGGCGTTCTGGGGTGCTGACGAGTAGAATTATTGCGAAAAGAATGTTTAGGCCATGTCAATACGATATGAATCAGTTTTGGGGCCTCGACGTGATGAAGAGACCTTTTGCATTTACGGAAAAAAAATTTCCAAGCGAACAAATCTAGTGAAGAGGAGGTGAGACTCGGAGGTGGTTCGCTTGGATTACTTCCTTCTGAGTCTGACGATTATTTAAGTATGCCGCTAAATCTACTGACTACAAACGCAGAGTCCAGTTTTGCTAGTTCCATGGTAGGTATTCAATAAATGTACCCTGCATGTTGGAAATGAAAATGTGAGTGGCTACTCGCAAATCGTGCGATCGGAAATGCTTTTGCCGATGTGTTGAGAACTGTGAGAATAATGCGAAAAGAGTATGAAAAAGCTGTGACACTAACATTGCAGAAAACAGATTCCAGTTTATTCAGTGATTTCAATGATCATGAAGATCGTTCTACAGGCAGCGTAAGTCCGCCGCGTCGCAATTGGTCGATGAAATAGAATTTTTTTCTTCGTACGTCTCCTTCCAAGGAAATCGTTGGAGTGTCCTGCTCGAGGCGAGACACCATCAAAAATGCGTGAGTACCCTTGTCGTGTCTGAGTCGTTCCTCTTCATTTTCGGGTTTCATCGTTTGAGTGCAAGCTGCGCAGGAGAGACAGACACAGACCGCTGCAGAGAGGTGTGCGTCTCTTTTTCTTGTCGCTTAGTTGAACAAGGAGCGAAGCTGTTTGAGGAGCAAAGTAGAGGCAACAAATCGGTCCGTGCAACAACCCAGTTCTTTGTGCGCGGTTTTTTTACAAGTTGATACACCTACACGAAAAGAAAGGATGATGAACCAGAACACGTTTCGTTGCGCGGTTCGCGTCCGCCCGCGGCTGCTGCGGGAGCAGGATCGAACGGAATGCGTGCACATACAGAAAAACACGGTGCTCGTCGAGGACCCCATGACGGGAGACGGTCGGGAATTCGTGGGTCTCCCGCAAATCATCGGCCCAGAAGCAGACCAGGCCGACACTGCGAAGAGGATGGAGATCGAGTATACTTGATTGATGGCACTAGTAGTTCGTGATTTATCTTCTCGAAACGCTTTGGCTTTATTCAGTGAAGAGTTCAATAATTGCTGCCGCACAACAGTAGATCTCGAATTCAAACAATTGATACCCCATTGCAGTTCCCTCGTCGACGTTGTTCTTCGAGGCTACCACGCTACTTTGATCGCCTACGGGCAGACGGGGTCCGGGAAGACGCACACCCTCCTTGGCGAAAAGACGCACCAGCTGGACGGCCTCTTACCCCGGTGTATTCAAACGCTGTACGAAAAAAGGTTGCTGAATGCGGAGAATACGAACTCTGTTCCAGTGAAAATTCGTGCGTCCTTCCTCGAAATCGCGAACACCAGCGGTCAGGTGAACGAGGTGATTACGGATTTGCTAGAGCCGGTTCAAAAGACCTCCTTGCAAATCCGCTACAGCAACGAACAAGTTCCGTTTGTGTCAGACCTCACCTGTGTGGAGTGTGACACGGTGGAAGACGCGATTTGCGTCTTGCAGGAGGGTGCGAAGTACCGGCGAACGAGTAAGACGGAACTGAACGAACGGAGCTCTCGATCGCATTCCATTTTCACTTTGTACGTGGAAAGCGCGAGCGGGAAGTTAGCGAAATTTCAGTTCGTGGACCTCGCTGGGTCGGAGCGCGTGAAAACGTCAAAGGCGCAAGGAGGACAACTGCAGGAGGCGCAGTCGATCAACAAATCGCTGTTTACGCTGGCACAGGTACTTCTTTTGGAGACGAAGCGCGAAGATTTTATACCCTATTCCTTTCCCTAGCTATGGGCCTGTGATGAAAGCATGCAGTTTGAGCTGAAAAAGTGTGTGAAGTACTGTATCACTCAGATTTTCTTCTTCATGATCGTCGATGCCGAATCAAAACAGGTCATCCTCGCGCTTTCGGGAAAGGAAACGCGGTCTGGTCACATTCCGTACCGGAACAGCAAATTGACCGAGCTGCTGTCCGACGCTTTCGGCGGGAACAGCTACTGTTTGTTCATCACCTGCATCTCCCCCGTCTTCGCGGAGGAGTCCATCCACAGCTTGAGCTACGCGACGCGGGCACTGCACATCGAAAATCGCCCAAGGAAGAACGTGGTGTCTCCCACCAGGAATAGTAGCTCCTCGTCCAATTCCCAGCATGCGGTGCACACTAACCAGCACCAGCTGCAATCCGCGTCGAACAGCCGCAGTAGCTACTTGTCCCACCTGACAGGAACCGGGACCGACGGCGCAATTGCGCCTGTGGGGGAGCAACGAAGAGTCGTGAATATGCTGCAGGCGAACATGTTCTATATGATGAGTGAGATGCTGTCCAACGCCGCGCGCAATCTGGAAGAGCAGGTGGTCGCGGAGGTGCCAGTCGGGCCGTTGCCTGTGGCTGCTGCTCCGGGTGCACTTCCACCGCGGGGCACTATGCTGAGCCACTCCGCAAGCTCGCAACCCGGGAGTGTGATTAACAGCGCCAGGGGGGCTGCCATGAATAATCTAAACAACAATCCCTCCGTGGTCAACCACATGTTCGTCGGCGTGCACAGTCGTGAGCCGCGAGATCCTCCTCACGCCACTCCAGTCGTCTCCGACAGCGTTTTCCCGCCCTTGATCACCAGCAGCGGCACGAGTTCGAAGGGTACCAATCTGGTGAAGTCGGTGCATTCGGTCACGGAAGAGCAGTTTCATCTCGGCGGAGGGTTTGCAGGTAGCCCGGCGAAGAAAGTAGACGCAGTAGTTAACGAAGAGCCCTACGAGGAGGTTGTCCGGCGAATCCGCGCGGAACACGAGCGGATTGAAACGGAAAGGAGAGCGAGGAACGCGAGTTCCAATAGTTCTTCGGGGGCGACCTCGAGCAGGTTAGTATCTGGGGTCAGTGCGAGAGGCAAGGAAAACGAAGGTGGTGCTCCGGTGAACGACGCACTACAGCAGCGGCCAGTGCCGGGGCCCCCGCCACTGCCAGATGAAGTAGCTGCGGCATCTTCGGGCAGCTGTCCACCGAAAGCGGCACCGATCCCGAAGAGAAGCGGCGATGCCTACTCGCGTCCCGGAAGAAGTCGCGGCTCGAAACCGCAAAGCGCGACGTCGAACTCCTCGCGGCAGTCCTCGCGCACGCAAAGCAAGGAAAGCAATTCTTACGCGAGCAGGGCGCGGGCGGCGAGTCGAGCGGCGGTTGGTGTCGCGAATGGGGGCGCACCAGCTGCGAACAGGGAGCTGCGAGCGGGTGGACCCAGCGAGGAGAAAACGCCCTCTGCGGCGTCGCGGCCTCCGGTGCCGAGTTTGCGCAAGAAGATGCCAGGACGGAAGAGCTCGAACGCAGAGACGCCGGAGGGAAAGAAAAAGCGGCCGAGCTACTCCTCGCACCGCGGAAGAAAGTTGTCGGGCGGTAGCGCGGTGGTCGAGAAGCACAGGAAAGTGCAAGAAAGTATGAAGGTTCAACCCCCAGAAGATGGCTTGAAGACGCCCGAAGTTGGGGTCGTTGCCAACACTGACACCGAGGCAAATGGCACCGCGGTCCCGGAGGAAAGTGAGAAGAACCTAAACTCCACGAGGATATTGGGAGAAGTAGACCTACCATTGGCGTCGCCAGAAGTCGTGGACATGCATGGACCTCCTGTACTGCCTCCCGCGCCGCTGATTGACGACGAAACGCCGGCGTTTTTGGAGGAAAATCAAAATTTCCCTACTTTCAACAAAAACATCGGCCCTCCTTTGGTAGAGCCATCGCCGACACAACTGGACGGGAAAATAAATGGTGTCAACGTCGAGCGAGTAAATCATGCGAACGAGGACACCGGCTCTAGACGTCGCGGTGCCCCAATCAACATCCCGGAAGGGAGTGTGAGCAGCCAGAGAAGCAGTTTCTTCCACGGGTTGCAACTAAATCCTGGCGACACGCTTTCCGCCCCGCGACAGTCGAGCGAGGTAAAGAAGGAGGACACGCTGGAAAAAGATCGCGTTCTGGTGGACGACAGTGCGCTAGAGGATTTGCCGCTGCGGTCGACGACCAGGATGTCAGATCTTGTGGAAGCAGAAGTGAAAGTCAACGGATCTTGTGTCAGCAACGACGTTTTGCGCATGCAGCTGCCGCTTCCGAAAGAGGAAATAAACCAGGAGCTCGTTGCGTCCCCGGATTCCAAATCGCTTTCAACCAAGCCGGTTTCCCATCTGGTTGCGGAGATTCTCGAGAGAAGGCGGATACCTCCAAACAACTCCCCGCAAACCCTCGCGCAGCTGAAAAACCCAACGGAGATTGTTCCGTCGGAGGACTCTCCGATACGCATCAACCCACGAGCGCGGGGGACAAGCAGAGCCGATCGAGGAGACGTTACGATGTTGCCCATAAGCAACGCGAAGTCGATGTACCCGCCACAGCGCCAAGTGGTCGGGAGCTCGAGCATTTTAGCGTCGTATGTCGGCCAGGGGTACAACAACAGCGTGTACGACTCTCTTCCGAAAAACAACACAAAAATGAATCCGCTCACCGCAATCAACACCGGCGAGCAGTCGACCACGTTAGCTGCGCGGCTACTCCGGCAGCAGGGCATCATGAACACTAGGAATAATAACAGTGCGGCAGTAAGTTTTTTGTCCCCGTCGAAAATGCAACCGCCGCCTGGTTGGCAGGAGCGAAACAACGCAAACCGCCAGAATGCAGCACCTACAGGAGCTGCGTTTCCCCCGTCAAAGCTGCAAGCACCGCGGAACTACAGTGCAAAGTCAAATTACGCCCCACCGCCACCTCCCCGGGTCCACTCTTCTCTCAGCGACATGCAAAATCTATCCGACTACGACTTGAGAAGTTTGCACCAAAGCCAACAAGAACTCGGACTGATACCACCTCCGCTCGCGAATAGTAATGCGAAAAGGTTGCAGTTTGACCTCCCAGATTCACCGAAAATCAACATGCGTACTAGTGGTAATCGTCCGCTGCACGCGCAGTTGAGCCACCGCGACTACATGGACGAACTTGAACAGCTAGAGGAAGACCAAAACCGGTACGACACAGCTTCCGTCCCCTTCTCGCCAGTTCCTGACTACGAGACGCCGCGGGTGCCGTCCTCCTCCTCGCCAAACAGCAAGCTGGCGGACCTGGGCACAAACGACTTGCGGAGGGTGGACGAGTACGTGTCTCGAATCGAGGAGCGGCTGGCGCGAATTTCGGAAGCCGTAAAAACGCCAATTACGGCACGAAACGATCTTGTTTCTGGGGGTGCAGATGGCTTGGTGGCGTAGACAGAAAGTCGCGATGAAACTTCTTCACATCAACATCTGCGTTCTGTGACCCGAGAGAAAATTCAGTGCTAATGTCCTTTTGCCTGCTGGACCCTTGTTGTAGGGCTGTACCTCCTACTTGGACGGTGGCCCCATTCTGAGAACTTGCATTTGCAAACTTGACAGCGATAGTGCCTTCGATGGCGTCGAGAAGAAGGTGACAGCACTACCTGCACAGATATCACTCATCCAGTGCTTTCGAAACGATGTTCCGTTGTTTTTTTGGCTGTATCATTTCGAAGACGTAGATGAGGATGGATTTCATGTTCTGCGTGCGCGAATCAACAATTTCCATGTCGACACTGATTCTGATTACCGAAACTGACGATGAATGATCCGACCTATTTTGTTTCTTGCACGACTCGTCTCGGCAGCCAACATAAGTAGACAACGAGTAAAAGTATGAAAGAAGAATCTGACAAGTATTGAGTAGTAGCCTGAGCATGCCGCAATTAGAATGATGATTTGTTGATGAAACACACTTGAAATTTGAATTTCGTGTACGAATTTTGTTTTAGGTTTTAGTTGACGCACATCTTCTTTGAAGATGTGCTTTGCTGTCTTCAATACCGAAAATTTTCAGAAACAAAAGTCTACACTTTGAGTGGTTTTCATACCATAACGAAAGTAAGTACATCTAAATTGAAACAAGACATCTATCTTCCACACCTGAATACCCATGAATGGCAAAGGCGTTATCGCCTGACACCGGGCCTGGGTTTGACGTATCTCCATCTGGAACACGAGATCGGAAGGCTTCCTCTTGACTACGCTCTCTTTTTCGAACTGCGCGACTACTCCCAATAACAACCCCGCGGAACAGCGCCGACTTCGTTCCGTCGAGGCGGCGAGCACACTTACTATCCTTCCTTCCGGAATATTAAAAATCGAGCACGCGGCGGCTTTTCGGAGATGTCGACAAACGCCTGCAAAAATACTGCAAAAGAAGAACCACTCTCGAGCACGGCACGCCGAGGGAGCGATGAAATCACGGACGAAAGAATGGGTTTCGTTGTAGACGAGCGACATTTGGAACACGACACCAGCATAGATACAATACCACACGGAGCAAAAACAATGAAACGATTCCATAGGCAGAAATTGAAGTAGCGAGAAGCGAAAGGTAAACTAATCTTCCACTTGTACCACAAGGCGTGGCAGCAGCTGGCATCTGATAGAGCAGGAGTCACCAACGTCTCTTCGATGGAGGTAGTTGAGGTTTTGGGTGAAGACGACGACGCGTGTGCGTTACTCGGGAGTCAAGTTGCCGAACAGATCTGTGCGGCGGCCTTGCTAAACCACGATGACGATGTTTCGAATCGAACTACAACTTCTACCCGCAGGAAAGAAGACCTCAAACCTTTGCCCGAAATACCACCTCCAAGATCATCTGGCGTGAATACTAAAACGAGAACTTCTTCGAAACTTGACCTCCTGCACAAGACCCCGATAGCCACCTCGAAGACGAAACTAGTCCACCCCAAAACAACCTCCGGAGCGAGCCGGTTTGCCGCGAAGATGGGTACGATGAGTAAGCACGCAGTGTCCGCTGGTGCCGCGGCGAGTGGCGGAGGGTCGTCTTCCTCTGCCGCGAGTTTGAAATCCACGAAAGTGAAAAAGTTTGTCCCACCGCCGGGGGAAAATAACAAGCCAACCGTGGACGTAGGTCCAGCCGCTGCGATTGCCACTCCGAGCAAGCCCGCAAAAGCGCCCGATTTGTCGGTACTGCATTTTTCGCCTTTTGTTCTTTTCAGAGGAACGAAGAACAGAAAATGCAAATGCGAATGCAGTTGTTCAGGATACTAGTGCTTTGGTTCTTCGTTGACATGCTGCTTCTTTTTGGTCTAAATCAAAAACGAAAATACAGGGCCCCCCGGCCGTTCCCACGTACCTGCAGCAGCGCGCCGCCCAGACGCGGCAGAAAAAAGCCGCCACTGCGACGGCTGCAACCGGATCCACGCACACGAACTACAGTTTTCCGGTGTGGCAGCCAAACGGGAGCCAAGCCTATCACTATGGCGACATTGACATGGCCACCGCGGTGTCGCCGCCGCAGGCCATAACCGCGTTCGATGCGACAGAGGACGACAAATGGATGACGGTGGATCATGCCACGCAGCTGCATTACGTGTATCCCCCGGGGGATGTGTCTTATCCTCTGTTGGTCTCTTATCCAGCTGCAACCACGGTGGTACCAAATACTGTTTTCCTTTTGACAGATTTGCAAAAGTGTACTTGTTAATACTCAATCGATGAAAGTATACTAGGAACAAGATGAATGACGTTTATATCCCTCGAAGGATGTTGCTTACGTCGATGAGACTACAGAAAAGAGACACCGAAGCACACTACTAGCAGGTACCTGCTCCGACTACGCACCACCAGTGCATGCTTTACGACCCGAACACGATGATGATGTACCCGGTTTCGGCGGAGTCCGAGCTTTACGACGCGTCCGCGTACACGACGGGAGGTGCGGGGTACTACACGACGTACGATAGTAACGCCTACCAGCTCCAGCAAGCCCTGCAGCACGCAGTAACCGCCCAGCAGCACGACGCGACAACTACCGGCGTGCCCATTGCCGTGCCGCTTTCTGCCGTGCAGCAGCACCACGATATTTACAACACTAGTGCCGCGGCCGCGGCGGGGTTACTTGCGGCTAGTGGTGCAGCAGCTAGCGCGGGTTGTACTTCTAGCGCTTCAGCGGGCGCTGCCCCCAGCCACGTCGCGGTCGTTGCGGCTTCGCAGCTGCCGACCGCGGTGCTAGAGCAGCAAGGCACTAGTGCTCTTCAGGAAACTGACGACCAGTCTGTTTCCCCGCCCCCGCCGCCCGACTTTGAAGATATCAACTTTGACGAGAACGTAAACTACAACGAAGATTGCTGCGAACCGGACAGTACCGAAGAACAGGAAGAGGACATCACTGGAAGCGATACGGAGGAGGAATTGGATTATTTACAGGAAAATCTTTATGGCGGAAGCAACGGAAAAATGAATGTCAATCGCGACTCCGGTCGGTACGGCAACGGGACGATTGGTGCAAACAGTAAAATCGGAGGCAAGTTGAAGATCGCGTGCTCCACTACCACACCGCGGGGTGGGATCATGAAGGACACAACGACACCCCGGACGAAATCTGGCCCCCGCGGCCGGCACGTTTCCTTTGGTCCGACCGAAAAGTGGGTCGTGATGAGCGATGGCAAAGACAGCTCGGCCGCGAAAAGGTATACTAGTGCAGAAAGGAAAAAGGAGGAACTGATGCTGAAAGCCGGCGGTTGGAATTTACCTCCTGCTCCGGTCACGGCCGGGCAGCATGGAGGTGGTGGCGGTCACGAGAAAGAATACAACAAGGGGACGTCGACCATGAAAGGAGCGCAGCAGGGGAAGCACAACCACTACGGGAAGTATGCTGGTGCGGGATCATGTACAACGATCGGAAAAGGCGGAAAGCACGAGATGAATACTTACGGATCGACTTCAACTTCGGAGCAGTATGGCGCGTCGTCGCAACGGCTTCCGCGCGACAAGAACGGCTCCGCAAAAGGCGGAAATTCTAGTTACTACAACAGCGAACTGCAATTTATGCACAACTCTAGTACTTCGTCGTACGGTGCAGGAGCAGGTGGAGCAAGTTCCTCGGCTGCCGCGAGTGCTGCTTCCGCCAAGGGCGGGAGTTTGTCAAAGGCAGGCGCAGCTTGGGCAGCTGCGCAGAAAGGTACGGGTAAGGATGGGAAGAACGGAAAACAAGTGAATGCTGCTTCTTCCGACGGCGCAAGCAGCACAAGTGGCGGTCACGCGTATAATGCGGGTTATGAGCAGGTCAAAGCAAAAGGTGGTGGCAAGGGCTCCGCCGCTTATGCTGTCGAGTCGAGCAAGGGAGAAGGCGCAGGAGGTGCAGCAGTAGTGCAGCATAGCAAGATGCAGCACTTGAAAAGTTCACCGGTTTCCTCGTCTGGAGAGCAAGAGGAGTGGAGTTATTCCACTTCCTCTTCCGCAACGAGCTCTGGAACTGCGTCTGGCGGTGGGAAAAATAATGGTGATTACTACTACATGCACGGCACGAATAAAGCTGCGTATAGCGGTCACGGCGCAGGGAAGCACGGATTGAGCAATTGTTGGAGCGGTAAAGGAGGTAAAGGAGGCGGTGCTGGAAGTAGTGCGTACAACACAGGAGCTCCTAGTGCAGCGGAAACGAAAGGAAGTCAGTACAATCACCACCACAATGCGTCGAAAGACGGCGTAGCAGCAACCACGCCAGGCACAACTTCTAGAGGAGCCATGATGGCAGGGGCGATAAATAAAGGATCTGCAGCCACATCTTATCATGGCTACGAACAGTATAATAATCACGGACAACTCGTGCAAGGAACAACATCAAAAGGCACAACAAGCAGAGAAAAGTGGCACGAGTCTTCTACTTGGCAAGATTACGGAAAAGGTAGCAAGGCCTCAGGAGAGCGGTCTTCTTCGGAGCAGTGGCACGCATACGCAGGGTCCTCGAAACAACATCACAGCAATGCGTCTTCGCCTGACGACGACTACGAATACGAAAGTCACAACGGTGCTGCGTCCGCCGCATCTGCAAATAAAGCGGTCGCGGCTTCCGAGCACGGCAAGGACAGCGGGGCAGTAGTTTACGGGGCCGGAAAAAGAAATCACGACGTCACCGGTGTTGACAAGGATGCTGCTGCTGGTTCGCAACAACAATCATGGGTGTACCATGCTGGTAAAGACAGCACGGGAAAAGACTACTACTGGCAGTCGAAGCAGGCGCTCTTGCAGAAGTCGAGCAAGGGTAGTTGTACTTCCAACATAATGTCAGCGCACAAGGGAGAAGGTGCAGCTGCGAAAGGAGAGCTGCACGCCGGTAAGCAGGGCTACAACTCTTGGGGAAAGTCAAGCACCATGATGAACGGTGGCAGCTTGAACGCGAAAACGTACGGCAGCATGAACAACGGTTATCATCAGGCTTTGCTCGATCAATCCCAGCAGCAGCAGCAGCATCCGCAACACCAGCAGCGGCCTTACTACAAAAACAGCAACGCCCCGGTGCAGCTCCCGGTGCGGCCGGGGACCAAGGGTCTACCGCCAGCCCTGCAGCGTTTGACGGCGAACGACGTGGCTTTGCTGCAGTTTATTCACAATTGCCAGCAATTCAGTGGCGACACCGCAGAGGAGGATAATCCGATCATCGAGGTTGTTGACGAAGAAGAAGCTTCCACGTCAACGTCGACAAACGCGAATGCGGCGGCCAACAGTGCGGAAATCGCGCCTGGCGAGGTGGAGGATAGTACGTCGATCGAGAAGAAGGGCGAGGAGAAATCGAAAAAATCAGATACATCATCGACCACCTCTCCGCACGAGTCAGGAAGCAAGAAAACAAACTCGAAAGAAGCTGCTGGGGCGACCAGTACTTCTAAAGGTGGGGTTGCTGCTCCTGTGTCGAAAAAAGCAAAGGACGAAGCCGGGGGTTCGGATGCTGCAAAGAATAAAGCAACAACGTCGACCTCTACGAGTTCGGGCAAAGAAAAGAAAACAGCAGAGGTGAAAAAGGCGCAAGAGGTAATACTAATATCTGACGCGTCCGTGTCAGATCATATGGGTGAGGCAAGCAGCGACGAAGCGCCTTCCAGTCTCCAAAAGGGAGAAGACAAAACTGACGAAGCGTCGCCAAAGACGGAGGGTGGTGAAAGCGAAGAGACGAACCAACAGAAGACTTGTAGTTCTAAAGCTGCAAGAGCCAAAAATCAGTTCGTTCCCGTGGACATAAAAGATGAAGCAGAAAAGATTTTGACCGATGATCCGCTAACGGGCGCGGAGGCCACTTCGTCGTCTACCCTCTCGTCTGCGTCGACAGACGAGGGGACCACGGCGGCGAGCGAGGAAAATTCCATTTCCGTAATTGCTAAAGGAAGTGGCGAAATAAAGCAGGAGAAAACTACTGTTGAAGTATGCGGCTCTGCAGCGACTACGTCTCCGGGGAAGATGAAAAACAAGGCCTCGCCGCACAAGAAACCTACCACCGAGGAGGAGGACGGGTGGGCGGAGGTCCGCTCCAAGCGCAGTAAGAAGAAAGGCAAAGGTGGATCGAAGACTAGCACACCCGCGTCTCTGACCCCAGTCGCCAGCGACGCTACAGGGCGGAAGAGTGTCGAACTGCCACCGACTATTGCTACTTGCGAGATGAACAAAAAACGGGCGTCTTCCGCACTGGATTGCAGCGTCCTCGAGCCGCTCGACAATGTTTCCAGCGGGAAGAAGAAGGAAGGCAAAAGCAAGGCTAGTTTCAGTTGTAACGCTGGGACATCAGGGAGCGGCCTTTCGACGAGACAAGGGACGAACACAACTTCTCGCGCAGCTGTGGCCAGCGGCAAGGGTAGCTCGGTTTCCGAAGGCGAGTGTGCTTCGGGGATGCTGGGAAAGAATAAAGCGTCCGGTAACAACTACGCCAGCAAAAACGGATCCTTCAGCAATGTTGCTAGAACAACTAATGCGACAAGTCACAGCACCTTTCGTAGTAGTACACGCGGAGCAGGGGCGCCCGCGTTTGGTTCCAAGTATGGCGGCGTCCCGCCCGTACCCTTTTCCACCACTACGGCATCGTCCATGTTTTCTTCGCATCAAAGTAAGAACTCCAGCGTGCGCCGCGGGAGTCTGGGATCTCGGACCGCCGCACCCTTCGTCTTCTACCAGGAGCACGACGACCAACTTACACCTTCGTCGGAGGAGGAAGTGGTGTTTGATTTCTCGCTCTACCCGGACTTCACCGCCGGGACGACGAGCTCAGCACTGGGGGAGAATAAAGGCGATGAGATGTTGTCGGGAGATGATGGGAAGGAAGGCAACATCAAAAAACCAGCTGGGCCAACTGGAATCGAAGACCTGCGGAAAGTGCCGGTGGGAAGCTGCTGGGACGAGCTCTGCAGCAGCAGGAGTTATCAAGCGCAAAAATGTCTGGGTCTGGAAGGTGGTAACTTGTGATGCTGTCTTTTTTTTCCAAAAAAACCTGCATTGCATGACTAGCAAAAGGAGTCCAGTTTGTGCTACACAGGGAGGGCATTTCTCATGCGGAATAAGCATCAGGAAGCCTTCCAAAAATCTGGAATGCTAGGGCATGCATTACAGGCGTCATTGGTCATGCAAGATATGCAGGACAAACCTGGCAATCTCTCAGACCCAGACATTTTTGCATTTGATAGGAGTCCCTCCGAGACGAAGCACAGCGAGGAAGGAGAGAAGAAAGACTCGCCAACGGAAGATGAAAAGGTTGAAAGCGGCGCAAAGAGCAAAGAGCATAATTCAGCGAAGGTAGTCGAAGTTGAAAAATTTCTGGCCTCCGTCGACAATGGAACGAGATTGTCTCCGACCGCGTTGCGTGCGAGCAATAGCACGAGCGCAAGCACTGCAGTACAGACGCCGCTTCTGCTCTCGGACTTGAAGGAAAAAAAAGAAGGAAGTGTGGTCGATGCGAAGGCACAACTGGATGAAAAAGAGGACAAGGATGCAGCGACCTCTACAACACCGGCCAGAAAAATAAATGGTGAACGAGGCGCCAGCGCATCAGCGGCGCTAGATGTTGAGAATCGCGCCGAAGAAGTTTCCCTCGACAGTTTGATCAATCGGGATCGTGTGGAAAGTTTGCTGCGGGGGGACCAGTCTGGGTTTGCGACTCCCGTGTCCAATAGTCCTCCTCTTTCCGATGAGTATTTCGAGTTCGATGACTCGGAACGGACGGAGGGGCAGACGGGCTGCTCCAACAGGTGCGCCGGTGGAACCGACATCACCTTGAGCAGAGAAGCCACTCCGAAAGTCGCAGACGGGTCGTTGTGTGTCGCTTCACCGGTGGTCCGTAAAGACGGAAAGGATGACGATCAGAAAACAGATGCTGCAGCAGAAGTACTAGGTCCACATGCAGATGATGGGCAGCACCCTGTTGAAGAAGTACAACAAGGGGACGAGAAGAAAGCACCCGTGGTCGTCGATGAAGCCGCCACTCCTTTGGTAAATTTGGCAGCAAAGGAAGTAGGGTCTGAGCCGCAAGAAAAGAAAGCCCACAAACTGGAGAAACCGGACGTGAGAGTGATCAAGGAAGAACAAAACGGATCCAGTTCTGAGTCCGTTGCCCCAGCAGGAGACAAGCAGGAGGCTTCGAATGGCGGCGTCGCTACACAAGAAAACTCCAGCGAGGAGAAAGACGCGGAGGTTTCCGCCTGGGATCAGTTAGAGCGCGGTCAGATTTTGGAGGACTGCGTCCTGCCAGAAGTATATTGTGCGATCATTATGTTTATGTTGTTCGTCATTGATCACGTACTACGCGTGTCACATCAATCCGTGCAAAGTGTTCAAAAATCTGTCTGCACCGCGACCACCAGCTTCCCAATTTCGACATTATCATATCTGCATGTCACGCATAAGACAGATGAAAAACTTGTCGCTCTCAACAGGTGAAAAACGTGCCTGATGTTCATTGCGTCCAGGGTTTGGTTCCCGATATCCGTGGAGACAAGTTCACCAAGAAGGCCACACAAGATCGCAATTGTGAGTTGCCCTTTGCCGAGCAATTGCGTCTGTACCTCGACGTGGCACGGTCTATGTTTCATGTCGACAATGCAGAAACGGTACTTTTTTTTTGTGAGTTAAGTATGTTTGTACACAAAAAATGCATAATCAATGTGTTCCTTTCGCAGAAGGAGTAAGTGAGCACTTTACGAAAATTGGAATTGTGAAATGGAAATCAATGTTCCAAACACCACGTCGAAAACAGGTGTTGCTTGGGCCGCGTCTCGAAGCAATCCTCGACTTCAAGCCGGCCATTGAGGATCAGGTGATGCATCGGCTGCTTTCGTGGGCGGCGCCACTCTTCCGTGCGGGTGAGCTATTGGCGCGACACAATTGCACCGTGCCACAGTGGACGGACGCACCGCTGAAGTGCATCAACAACGACCTGCGCGTGCACTTGGAGGTGCAAAATCAGAGTTTTTTGAAGCGGGATCGCAGCTTGATGCGGCAGGCGGTCGATTGCTTGGAAGACGAGCCGGTAGCGAAGTTCGAATCTTGGTGCGAAACCACGCTTGGAATGCAAGCGTTTCGCTGTGTGCAGGTACCAATAATTCGTAATTTTTTCGTGAACATATTGGTAGTTTAAGTTTTCCATGTCATAGATAGAAGTTGACGCCGGCTGAAGAAAATCGAACACGATGATCCTGAAAGCATGACTCAAGCTTAATCTTCTTCCATCCAGGTATTGCAAAAAGCCGGGCTGGTGCTGAAGGGCAACCCGAAGGCGCACGAGATTTTGCAGGTGCAGCGCGACATGGACCGTGTCGCGATGGAGAAGGGAGTATGGATTGTAAAAATGTCTGGGTCTGGAAGAATGTAACTTGTCATGCTAAATCTGAATCATGTAAAAATCTGTGCTGCATGATTACCACAAGCTGTCCACTTTTGACCTAGTCGAGAGGCAGTTTCGGATGCAGGATAGGCATGATAGAACTCTCACGGAATCTGTCATGCTCTGTGCTACATACCAGACCTCAGGGGTCATGGAAAATATGCATGACAAACCCGGCAATATTCCAGACCCAGACATTTTTGCATTTGATAGGGAGCGAAGGCGGAGGAGGAGTGCGAGCAGGCCTTCCGATTATCAAATGCAAATATGTCTGGGTCTGGAAAGTTGGAACTTGTAATGCTAGCTTTCCATACCTAGGAAATCTGTATTGCATAACCAATAAAAGTCGCGGCCTCTTTTGTACATGCAAAAACGCAGTTTCTCATGCGGATTGCCTATGAGAAAGCGTTCTGGAAAGTTGTCATGCTGGGCTGCATTCGAAAGTGTTTCCATCATCCACATTTTAGCATCACAAGTTTCCGGACCCAGACATATTTGCAATGCATACCGATACGCGCTGGACTACAAGAAAACCACAAAGAACTTTGTCACACAGCCGGAGCTTCTGGAGGTCCAGGCGCTCATTTTCGGGCGCGTGGTGCTGCCGACCCCGGATTTTCTTTTTCTCGAACCGCTGCAATTCTTCGCACACGCGGCCGAAGATGATGCTACGACAAAGAATTCCGCGACAGACAGTTGTGCAGCTTCCTCCAGTTGTACTTCTACCCCAACAAGCTCTACTGGTGCCGCGTTCTCGTCGTCCAAAGTCGTGGGGGTGTCCTGGTTTGACAGTAAGGCGGAGTGTGTGGCGCCTGGGATTGCGCTCCCGCAAATTGTACACCGACTGGAGGCGCAGTTTGACAACTACGTGCGTTGCTTCGGCCCCGGGGTGGTGATCTGGGGAAACGGGTTCACGCCTAACTGGTCCTACCGCTCGACAAACATTTTGCACGCAAAGCTGAAAAACATAGACTTCGAGCCCAAGGAGGGGAAATAGGACACGAATGAACGTGGAGCGCGGGTGGGAGTCAAATAAAGTTCCACCTGCTTGGTCATGATCATTGATTTGAGTGGTAGAGGTAGTTGTAAATCTGAGGTGCTGGCGTACGTGTGGTGATACTATCCACGATCAGGGCGTTGGGTCACAGCCGCCCGGATTCGAGAAGCTCATGTCGCAAAATTCTGTTTCTAATTTGTTAAGAGACCACCGAATAGGTCGACTTATCTGAATGAGTCAATGCATGCTGATTGGGACTTCCGTAAAGTTCCCGGTGAACATGTATTGAGTTTACAAAACCCCAATATCTTTTTGCTAGTTCTTTTCAAACAGTACCAAAAATGTAGTTTGTATTCATCTTGTACGGAACCAAAAACACGTAAATAATTCTACAAGAGCTTTTGCTTCTCTACTCGAAGAAAATATTGTATCAAATTTCAGCACTCCAAACAATCAAAATTCTTTGATACTACGTTTGTTAAGCTGTTCGGTCAGCTAACTTTGTTTTTATTGGTTTTAGCACCACTGTAAATTCCCCTTCTTGAGACCTATTTGCCGCCGTTTCAGGCCAAAATTTACTACGCAAAAACGCTCAGCAACGATGTTGCTCGCACATCTAGCATTAGGACAACTGCTCGCGACCTCGGGCGAAAATAAATCCCAGACAAAAAAAGCGGAACCAAAACGTAGATAAAAATCTTCCCGGATCACAGTTTTTATTCCCTTTTCTGCACGATTGGATATTGATGAACAATTTACAGTAGCTTTACAAACATTTGCCGTTTTTAAAGTTATGACTTGAGCGGGCTTTCGGAAAAATTACTTCTACAAACTTTGGAGCTATCCTATTTGCTAGTCGAACTCGTTAAAGCCAGTATCAAAAATCTTTTCATCAAACCAGTATTCAAGAGTGATGAGAACGGAAAAACTACAAACCGAAAAACTATGCTTAGTTTGTATCGTGCATTTGAAACAACTATGCAATCACATTCTTTGAAAATCTTCACCGCAGCCGACCTGATTGTTGCAAGCGTCTTGCCAACATCTTGCGCAGCAGCCAGGGGCTGTTTTTCACAACTATCGATCACTAGACATCAACGCATCCTACCCAAGAAAGAAACAGCCTACCGCTAATATGAAACCGTGTCTGCGGTAGCGGTTTCGAAGTGAAGCTCTACCACGGAAACAGCGAAGTTGCATCTGCGATTCCTCGATTCATGCCTGTAATGAATCGATACATCGTGCTGGTGCTCCGTCTTGCCTTCGAACGATTTTAATGCTCGGATAACTTCAAAAAGAAAAATAGCACCACACTAGCGCTACGCCTGACTATTTACCAAGCCGAGGTGGCTGGTCGGCAGAAAAGAACGACAGGGACATATATGAATAAAATGCAGGTCGGACACTGTGGAGAAGGTCCGTCGGAGAAACCAGGAGCTGTGTTGGACTGTTGGAGATTATGAAAACTGTACTCATAGCCTTATGAAGAGTCCTGTTACTTACGCGATCCCTGACGGTTAGAAGGAAATAGATTTTGCTCTGTTCAATACATAAACCGTTGACGTTTTCGACGGGCACTGCACAGGAAACGTGCTGCTTTGGGTTCTGATTTGCAAAAATGATGTGCTGACATTCTATAGAGCTGTGCTGCTCTTGTCATAGATTCATCGTCCTTGCAAATGCTTGCGCAGATGATTTTTGGGAATCGAAGCAAAATCAAGTGTCGAAGTGCTGTTTCGTCTTCCGTCGCACAGGGTTTCGTTATTACAAAGTTGGGGTAACAAGTACAGAAAAATTGTGAAGATGCAGGGCACAAGACGAAAACATGGTCGTCTCGTTTTCTTGTAGATAGAGCTGTCGAGTAAATTGGATATTATATTAAGCCGCAATTCCGGCTTTTTTTGAAATTATCTTCTTGGTCAACTTCGCAGTACTCTATTGTAGCAAATAGTATTGTTCAACAGCACACTGAAAATGACGACAAGCACCACGGCAGGAGCGGAAAATAAAGTGGGCTCTGCAACCGCTCCCAGCGATCCGTATCGGCAGCTGTTTTTGCAAAACGTGGAGGCCGTGATGAAGCAAAAACCCCGTCTGCAAACCTTAACTTCTCTACTCAAGCTCGCGAATCCGGATTTTACGCAGGAAGGTTGCAGCGATGCGGACAGTCTGGGGAAAGCAATGAAAACGTTGAAACTGCGTCTTCATCCGGACAAGCACGTTGTGCAGGGCGACGAGGACGTGGCGACGAAACTGTTTCAAAAACTGGATGGCTTTCACCGCGCGGCTATGGAAAATTCATCTTCCTTCGGGGACGAGCTCGGCGAGCCACCGGCGAAAAGGCCTCGAAATGGAAACAGCAGTAGCAGCACGAGCACGAGTTTCACGGAGGAAGCCGGCGGAGATGCGGACTCCGGGCGGAATTTCCCACCTTTGTTCGACGTTTTTGACAGCTGGAAGTACATCAACACCGACTCGCTGGTCGAAGACGCAGATTTGGCCTGCGCGGTGAACTGTGCCAACATTCGAGCGCAAATCGCCCACACCCGACCGCTCCCCGCGTCCGCACTGTACTCCGCGGATCGGCCGATCGCATCGGCGAACATCACAAACTTGCACGACCCGAGCGTGAGTGCAATCAAGACGACTCTGATCATGGAAGGCCCGGTGGTGAGTAAGTCCTTCATCTGCACGCAGCAATTCGCGGAAAGTTTGATTGCCAAGTGTCAAAATCCGTGCGTGTCCCACCTGAGCGCGCGGCACCTGCGCAGTTGCATCGGGCGCCCGATGCCCGTTTTGATTACGGGGTGGACAAACCAGAGCTTTGGCGAGGCGTGGACCGTTTCGATTTTCCTTTCCCTAGCGCCCCCGCACGTTTTTCTGTGGAAGACCGTGATGCCGGTGGTTTTCCACCAGTTCGATATCCAGAGGCTGATTTCCTTCGTGCCGCAAACCGCGATCGTGGATATCCCGTGGCTGGTGCCACGACCCTACCTCGCGGAGGGCAAGTTTTACATCGAGCAGACGGACGGAAACGGGTTTACCGTGTCCGTGACCACGCAACAGCAGCTGCGGGAAGTGATGAGTCTCGCACAGCAGGCACTGAAATGCCTGCCGCCCTCGTCGAAGTGTGACAACGCGGGCGGGATCATCGAGGCGGCGCGGGTCAAGGCGCCGATCGAGTACTACGTCCCCGGGCGGCGGAGCGATTCGTGGACGGTCTGTCTGCAGGACCTAGCCCTCGTTGATGCGCCGCAATCTAGCGCCTTGCAAGTTCCAACGTGGGAAGTCAAGTTCGCTTTCGTCCAACAGAAGAAAAAATAATTCGTGAAGAGAAAAGTAAATAAACCTCAGGAGAAGTCAATTTTCCGAGAGAGCGCTCGCATCGTAAATTTCATGTAAACACGTATTCTGTCCTCGCGAGGCAGAATTGGGATTGTGTGTCCATCGTCGTTGTCGTCGTCGTCAGTGCGCTTTTTGCTCGCGCGTTCATGCATGCCTGTCCGTCGCGTTTGTTTTGCTCGTGGCGCTTGCGGCTCTTTCGTGTTAGTTTTACTCGAGTCCTATTGACTGTTTTTCACGGAATTTCAAGTCGATAGTAAGTAACTTTTTCTTTCTACGTTGAAAACGACACTTAGTTTTCTTGGTTTTTTCCTCTGTGGCAGGTTTCAACCAGAAAAGACAGTAAGTTTCTTCGCAGATAAAAGACAAAATGGCTAGTGTTGGCGCGGGTAGCGCTGCGGGCGGTGGCGGTAGCTCAAGTGAAAACGAGGACTTTTTCCGCAGTGCAGAGGCGGCGCTGCAGGAGGCCCCCGACCACAACTCACTCACCGCACTTTTGCAGCTCAATGACCCATCCTTCAAGAAGGAGATGGTCGGCGATGAGGCGGTGCTCAAACCCACGTACAAGAAAATGCAGCTGCGTCTGCATTATGGATTGCAAAAATGTCTGGGTCTGGAAGATTGTAGACTTGTCATGCAGATTTTCCATGACCCATGAGGTCTGGAATGCGGGACTTAGCATGACAGACTGTGCGAGGTCTCTGCCATGCCTATTCTGAATGAGAAACTCCGTTCCAACTTGGTCAATAGTGGACAGCTTTTGGCATTCATGCAACGCAGATTTTTGCATGTCCGCGTCCCTTTAGCAGTATGGCGGGTAGCGAAGGTTCAGATTTACCATGACAAGTTGCAATCTTCCAGACCCAGACACTTTTGCAATCCATATGCATCCGGACAAGAATCCGCCGGCTACTCGAAAGAAAGCGACGCAGTTGTTTCAGCAGCTTGCGCCGTTTTACAAAGCAGCCCTGGAGGCCGGCGACCAGCCGCCGCGGAAGAAACCCCGTACTACGGCTAAGCAGTCGGGCGGGACGTCAAAGTTTCCTGCGGCCTTCGACAGTTTCAGCCAGTGGCCGTTTTTGTTCGGGTCCGATCTTTTCCAACTTCCCAGCATTGAACAGCATCGAGATGAGAGCACAAATTGTCGCCGGGCAGGCCCTGAACCGCTCGCAGCTCTTTCGCTTGCGCGATATGTATGGGCAGATTACCGTCGTGCAAACACCCAGTGCGGATTTCATCAAGGCGGAGGTGATGAAGAGCGGACCGGTGGTCAGCCTGTCCTTCCAACGCCCCGGCGGTCGGGACACAGAAGCGGTTTTGGTAGTGGGCTGGACCGACGACCACTGGGTCATCGTGCCCTATGGGAGCCAGGACGCCATTGCCGTCGGCATGAACAAGTACGGCATCGAAAACGTGGTCACGTTCGTGCACGCAGACAAGCTGCAGAACATGGCGTGGTGGCCCCGTCCGTACTACGAGATTCCTTTCCACTCCAAGAACATCGTCCCAGGAGGTGCGGACTGGAGTTGTATCCGCATCACCTTCGAAACCGCATTTCATTTCGAGGACTTCGCGGCCAAGATGGAGCAGGCTGCGAATGATGTCGGCACCACTGGCCTGCTCAACGGAGCCGACAAAGGAGCCGCAATCGAGGTCTATTACCCCAACATGCGCAGCACGTCGTGGACGTATCAACTGGGCAATGTGACCTACCAGCATGGGAAATGGGTAGCGGAGCTGATCACCCCGGAGCTCGCGGCCGGATCCGGAAGTGACGATTCGGAAAACTGGGGTAGCGACGCGGAAAACTGGGGCAACAGTTCGGAAAGCTGGGGAGACAGCGCGCAAAACTGGGGCAACGGCGCGGAAAACTGGGGCAACCGTGCAGAAAACAAAAACTCCTGGGGCAATAGCGCGGAAAACGGCTGGGGTTTCGACGCGGGAGGATTCTACTGACTACTATCACTGTCATTTCTTTTCAACCGTGTTAGTCTAGGTCTGCGCGTGGAAGAGGCACTGTTTTTGCGCAATGTTTCATCTTTCATTTCTCGTATTCTTTTTTACAGTCTTCCGTGTTTGTCAAATTTTTCTGTAAAATGTTTTCTTTTCTTTGGCAAGTAGAAAGTTCCAAACGGCTATTTTTACACAATGAGAATATAGAATTAGAAGATCGACGTGAAAATTATTCCAGCTCCAGACTCGGTAGAGCCTATCGGTCGCGAACAATAGTCAAAGGCGGAAAAGCACAGGCGTACCTTCACGAAAACGCCACGATGCACCTTCGTAGAAATCCTGTTGCGTCACTAGTAGAAGCGTGGCGCGGGATAGCAGATTGTTCGCGTATGCTGGCAAGTGACAAAAGCGAATCATTGACACCATAAATATATCAAGACATTCATCCATCTTTGTTTGCGCTCAGATTTCATAGCACATGACTGCGAGTGTTGCAACGGTCCCGTGGACAAACAGCAGAAGTTCGACTTTTTTTCGTTGTAGCTTTGTCCAAGCCTCGTGCCTCGGGTTGCGTACTGTCGTTTTTTCGTGATTGAAGAGTCGACGCCGAGAGGAGATGTATCGTGTGATGAGATGCACGGTAAAGAGAGAGAGAGTAGTCTCAAAAGCGATTTTACTGTCAAACCGGACATGAAAAAGGAAATTCAGGAAAACAGCTTCCGGAAGCATCGGCACTCGTGCAGCTTCACTCTTCTTGATACATTTGTTTGGATTTCGGGGAAAAGCTTTATGACTATAGTATAGTACGGGCAAGTGCATTTCAAGTAGCGACCAACGACACAAAAGAATTCAAACGCAGAAAAAAAAGAATCAACCATAGTACCGACTCACGGACAGTGATCCAAAGGCATTGAAACTGTAGCATCTTCAGGAAAATGACTTTCACTTCCGAAGCAACGACAACGTTCAGGCTAAGCGTGTTCGGCCTCGCCTCCGGAGAGCCGCTGCCGCTGGACCCGCACACGTGGGACGCCGCGACCACTACGGTGAGGCAAGTCAAGGAAGCAATTGCCCTTGCCTACGTGCTTTCGGACGCGAACGTGCAGAAAAAGTCGCGTATTTTCTGGGGGCGGATCGCTCTACTTCCGGGGAAGGATGAGGACGACGACGCGAACCTGGACCAGGCGGATTTGATGAGTTTCCGGGGCCTTGCGGTGGACGATGCAAATTTCGTGAAGTTTGTGCAGCAGCAGGAGAAGGCGGAGAAGGAAAACGTTGGAGGGCCACAAGCGATTGAAACGGGAAAAGTAGCTAGCGCGAGCTTGTTGGCAGGGGCGTCGTGCAAAGCAGACACGGACACGGACTCAGCATCGAGTTTTCCGGAGAGTAAGAAGCGCCGCGTTTCCAAATGCGGCTCTGCGGCCACAGGAGAACATGACTGCGACGAGGTACCTACTTTTTCCGTCCGATACTACGTGCGCACCTACAAAGCCATTGAATCGCGGAGAGAACTGGACGTTGCGCTGCGGCCTTTCTATAAGTCCGACCCGGGAGGCGGGAACTACAGGTGGGAACAGGTAGTTTCTGTAAGGACCGACGCTCGGAGATTCGACACCTTTCCAAAGAAATTCGGCACAGAGGAAGAAGTCGAAGCCGTGTACGGTCCGATCGTGCTGTGGGACGTGTCGGGTGTAAGAAATTTTAGCAGATTGTTTCAGAGCTCCACCTTCAATCGAGACATCCGTGGTTGGGATGTAGCCGGTGCTACTACAATGGCAGAGATGTTCTCTTGGAATTTCTCTTTTGATCAACCAATTGGAGAATTTTGGGACGTCGGGAAGGTGAAGACAATGCGGCGGATGTTTGAACAGGCACACGCTTTTAACCAGCCACTCGATAGCTGGGATACTGGCAGCGTTGTCGACATGACTCGAATTTTTGGATCAGCAAGGAGTTTCAACCAACACCTGGACAAGTGGAGCACTGCCAACGTTGTCAGCTTAAGAGGGGCTTTTCAGAGCGCTCCGGCCTTCAACGGGCGGATTGGCCACTGGGACGTCGCGAAGGTGACATCCTTGCGAGGTATGTTCGAGTCTGCGTGGTCTTTCAACAAGTCCATTGGGAAGTGGAACGTAATAAACGTCCAGGATATGACCGGTATGTTCGGGTTTGCCTATGCGTTTAACCAACCTCTTGCTAGCTGGAACGTCACGAACGTGAAAAGCTTTGCTTGGATGTTCAGCCACGCGAGTTCCTTCAACCAGAACCTGCAGGGGTGGCGCCTACGGGATCCAGTAGATCGCCACACCATGTTTTATTGCGCCCATTCTTACCAGAATGGGCCATTACAGCCTGCCGATGGGGTTTCATTTGATGACGGTACCAATGCCGAGAAAATTTTGGGTTCTACGATTCCTAGATACTACTTTCCCGATTTACAAAATGACGTTTTGGACGAAGACGATCCACCAGAAGAAGCAGCGGCAGATCTCTTTATCCCGTTTCGGGGCGAGTGACTGGAACTGAAAGACGAGTAGATATAGACAAGTGAAAAAAACAATCGTGATCGTAATGCTCTTCAACTTCACCGCCTGTCAAATTCAATATAAGCCTGCTTCAGATAGCTGTAGATGTAGATGACAGCGCTTGTGGCGGAAACAAAAAAAGCAGCCTCACTGCTCACATGAAGGCAAGCGCCTCTAGAAGTGTGGCGCACAAGATAGCGGACAAGAACTGTTCGCGTTGTAAGGCAAGTGACGCCGTCGAATGATAGATTGAAACGCAAAGCGTCCCTGCCAAGCGGATCGGTCATTCCTTGCTGGGAATGTTGCGTGTTGGATCAGTGCCCGTTGTAGCAGCGCAGTTCAAGGAGCTCACCTACCTGCAACAAAATACTAGAAAATATATAAGTATAAGTTTAGTACGTCTTTCTACGGTGCAATAAAATGACTGTCTTACAGCTCGGGTCATGACACGAAAGCGCCCATCGGTTGTTGGTTCTTCTGCTTTTCTAGCAAATAAATCCAAGAGATGTCGATGGTATCCGCTGGCGGCGGCTCGTCCAGCTCGTCCGACCAGGACGTGGTGCGGGAGATCACAACCCTGCACCGACATCTCGAAGGGCGCATGGAAGAGCTCCGGCGAATGTTTGCCCGCGGCGGAAACCAACCGCAGGCCTCCACGCCGGAAATGCGGTCTTATCAGGGTGCAACGGAATCCTGTTTGCGCGACTTTGAGAGGCACCTCGAGCGGCTATCTGCGCTGTGGGCGGGCGATAGTAGGACGACGACGCAGATGAAGCTGAGGAGGTGTTTCTTTAATGTGCAGCTACGTCTTGTATTTCGAAACAGTATCAGGTGCCAACGTCAACGTGTGGTTGTGTCGATGACAATGAAATCCACAACATCACGTAACAAACAAAGAGGTGTAAAATAAACATCTGAAGGTTTCGCGAGCAGTACCGAGACCTTGTCCAGGATTTTAAGTCGCTGACACGCGACCTACCCGCGCAGATAGGGAAAAGTAACCTTCTACCAGTCCGAGAGCGCGACGTGTACGCGAAAAATGAAGAGGAAGGTACCAGTAGGAGGTTTTGGTTTGTCTCACGCAAGAGTTCCTGCGCGAACTCGAGATTCGTTGCAAGAGCAATTTCTTCTGACGCGGTGTTGATTCAAGTCTGTTAAATTGCTCAGGTCTCCTACGGGAACGCGGTACGCTCGAGCAGAGCCACTTGCTGATCGACGAGGCGCTGAGTAATGCGAACGCAAACCGCGAGCAGATAGGGAAGCACAATGAGATATTTCGGGACATGCGACAGAAAATGACGAGAATAAACAGCATGTTTCCGAACATGGATTCCCTCATTGGCAAGATCGGCACTCGTATCAAATGTAAAAATGTCTGGATCTGGAAGAATGCGCGATTTGTCATGCTGCTTTTCTATGACCCATGAGGTCTGGAATGCAGGACCTAGCATGACAGATTCTGTGCGATCTCTCTCATGCTTATCCTGCATGAGAAACTCCCTCCCGACTTGGTCAAAACTGGACGACTTTTGGTAATCATTTAACACAAATTTTTCTTTGCATGCTTCAGATTTAGCATGACATGTTGAAATGATCTTCCAGACCCAGACATTTTTACATTTGATAACTCGACAACGGTTCGAGAGCTTCGTGTTGTTGGGCACGACGGCATTCTGTCTGCTGGTCATTCTCTGGTACAAATGCATACACGGGGGCTGAGATGTTTGACCATTATAATGCTGAGCAACAGAGACGTTTAGGGCTGCGACAGCAGTGTTGACATCTACCGAAAATTTTGTTTACATACGATACTCACTTACCTCATACCTTGAACATGACTGAAGCTGAGTTCTGGCCAGCATTGTTGCCACGACCATGATTAAATTGATTGCTTTGATGGTTTGGTGCTGCGCGACAGCATTTTCTCTGTGGAAGAACACTAATGTCCAGCGGAACTTTTCTCGTACCATTGAAGATGAGGAATCTCTATGCAGAATTTGATTTTGAGAACTCAAGTGTTGGTAGTTTTTCATTGGTCACGCCTCGAGCTGAACATCCTACGATGACGGAACTTCACAGTTGCAAGAAATGATTTTGGTGCATTCGAAAGCAAGAGCAACTACAGCTGCAATACATATACACTACCAGGACCTTTTCCTGTGTACACAGGGACGCCTTCAAGAACTGGAAACATATTTCCTAGCGACCTCCTTGTGTCCGTGTTCGTGGGACAGAACTCAATCCCGCATAAAGATAAAGCTTTTCCTTTTCACCCCCCTACGACATTCACACACACAACACACATTTAGTACTGCCGAAGTCGGCACATCTAGTGATCTAGTTCAGGAGAAAAGAAGCGAAAATGGCGGGCTCTACCCCTCCTTCGCAGGCGGAGGAGCTTCTCGCCGGAGTAAACAAGTACTGCGAGCAGATTCCGGTGCTGCAAAAGATGGCGACACAATTTGGAGTAAAACCAGCACTGCTGTTGATGGTCGGGATCTCCGTGCTGCTGCCGTTTGCTTTGTTTGGTAAAAGACGCTTTTTTTTCGCGGCCGCTAGAGCTTTCTTTTGTGTAATTTTTGATTTTTTTCAATTTTATCCAGTAGTCGCAAGAAAAAGAGTTTCAGATTGTGTCTCAGTAGCACACTTCTACTCGTCGTCGAAAACGAAATGTCTATATCATTTATCAATCAGGCATCGGCGGCGATACACTCTGCTACATTGCGGGTGGCGTGTGCCCGGGATATTTCAGTTTCAAGGCACTGAAGAGCAAGGACATGGAGAAAATGTCACTTTTGCTCAAGTACTGGGTCATCTTCATCACAGTGTCGCTAGTGGAGCTCTTCGCCGATTTCCTGCTTTTCTGGATACCAATGTATAATCTAGATTTTTATGAATGTAGTTTACAAGTCGATGATGACATCAGAGTACTTTGTTCCTTGGCAGCTTGTTTTTATCGCTGTTTCGGAAGAACTGATGATTTGGATTTGCATCTGGTGAGCTTCAAAATATTCTCCTTCAACAGTAGTTTTTTCCCACCACTCGTCACACACACAGGTACTACCTCCTGAAGCTGGCGGCAACGTACTGGCTGCTCGCCGAGCGATTTCGCGGCGCCAATACGGTTTATGACAAATTGGCCATATGGCTGGAGAAAGTCGAGCCAAACGTAGACGAGATGTTTGACTCTGTCTCCGGCGCGCTAAAGAAAGGCGTCAGCTCCATCAGCACCTCCAAAGCCGAGTGAGGAAAACTGTCGTTATTCGCTCATCTTCGGCGGTCCAAACTACTCGAGTGCTGGTTGTCTTTTTGGAGCCGTTTTTCATCGGACACCGCGCAAGATCATGGACACTTTCCAGGTCTGCTCGCCCCGCACACAGGAAACTGTTTTTGCAAAATAAACTACCCCAAATGAATTGTTTGATTAGCGACCGGGCGATGCTTGAAGTGCACAAGAGCAACAGTGTGTACATGGACATAGCGACAAAAGCGACTACCACTGACCTTGACGTCGGGATGAATAAAGGCACCACCATGATGTTTTGATGAAAATTGAAATACAACATTTTCCACCTGCTCCTGTTGTTCGATGAGAGCAGGTTTCCTGGAGAAGTAAGTACCTACTCGGTGCTAGCACTCCCAGAAATGAACTGACAGCACCCCTGCTTTTCATAATGAACGCTTACTATTTGGAAGACGCAAACGCAATTTGAATTTTCATGACGACAAGAAGCGCGAACACGGAAAATTTCCGAAAGGCATGACGTGCACATTAGCTGCTTATCGCGTGCCCTGCTGATGAAATCTGAATCGTACACCACGCAAAAGGACATGTTCTGTCTGTCCCGCAATCGTTCTAGACAAAAGTGCAAAGGCAACTACTCGTCGGTTCTTTGACCTGTCGGTCGTCACAAGTTGTGCATCAGATCATGCGGTCACGATAAACATATGTTATGGCATAAGAGCATAGCAAAAGCGCGGCCTCGTTCTAAATACAAAAGATAAATCAAACACGAACTCGTGAAGACAGAAAAACTCGGAAGCCAATCACGGTCGTTCAATTTCGTTTGCTCTGCAAAACCCTGCAGATGAAAAATCGTCGGCTGAAGAAGAGATGTATGAACTAGTGTCGGTTACATTTTTTTTTGGCATGCAACGAATCAGAAGATATTTATCAAGAAGGACACACGTAGTTTCGTTTTTTGTCCGCAACCGCTGGACGCGTGCGTGTTTTTTTCGTTCGTGAACGCAAAGACGATCCGTTTCTTTCGTTGGTTGTGTAACCACTTCGCAAATTTTTTGTTTCCCCTTGCCACAGTGATCAGGATACGCTTGCGTTGAGCTCTGCTGAATCAGGCACATAGACGACCGTGGTGCTGAAAAACAAGTAGAGCTACCTACTGAATAAAAAGAGCCCTAGATTTATCAACCCCCTTGTAGACCTAGACCCGTCATTGGTTAGGATCATTTGTTCTTTCGTAGCACCATCAATTTTACCGATTTTGAATGACTGATCCGCATTTTAGGTCGATGCTATTTTTTCTTTGCTTATATGTCGAGCACGAATGAACGCTAGAATGATCCTGATCACAGGCAAGAAATGTTGCAGCTGCATGCCACCGATCATCTGCGAGATTTTGTTTATTACGATGAAAATTCATGCAAGGCAACGGCACGAGCACGACCAAAGTGCGCGATATGAAAGTAGCGTACTTCTTCTAGCTATGTAAGAAGTACTTCCTTGTCATCAAATCCATCCCAGAAAATTTATTATGCATGCTCGGCATAATTAGCTCGTTCAATCGAGGAAAACCTTTGCCGAAATAAATGAAATCAATGGCACTACAAACGACAATTGCCAGGTATAAATAGAGAATAAGACGAACGCTAGAAATCCTTCTGCGCCAAACGCCAGACAAGAGTCGGTTTTTTTTGTACTAGTTGCTTCCGTTTTGCTACTTCGTTTTCCGCGGCCGCTTCGGTGGTAGTGAAAATGTCGTGGTGAGACGTCGGGTCGATGTTATTGAGTGCATAGCTTTCACTAGTACGACTTTGGAGCAAGGAAGCGCTGCACCTGAGTGTTTTTCTTCTCTCTGTGGTATTGGTGTAAGCCTTTACACCTCAACGCTGTCTGGTTCAACTTGCATGCAGACAGCGCAGCACTGACTCGATGTGGATGCTACTACTTCCAGTGCGGTTCACTAGGATAGAAACAAAGGCTTTGTATGGGACGAGCAAATGCTGAGTGTTCAGTGGAAAACTTCGACGCATGTACTTATCGCACTTCGACTGAAAAACAGGCACACAGGTGAATTTGTGAGAAGATTGTACAGGAACTCGAATTACTATGTATAGCACCACCAAAAACGCAGAATAGGTATGTAGAAATACGCAGCACTACTCCTCGTTTGTATGTGTAAGAACAAAGATGTTGACCCACGTCGCACTATGTATGCAATCGAAACGCTCTCGAGCAAATTTTGTATCTCGGGGGAAAAGAATAAGAAGACATTTTTTTCTCATACGTGATCTTAGCACCTGCAGTTTTTTCCTCAGCAAAAAATGGAATTTCCAACAAAAAAACTGTAGCCCACGATTTGATTTTTGTTAGAGATGCTAAGTGTCCGGGAGCCCATTCAGTAAAAAGTAGTTTCTTACTCTTTTGTATCAAAGGCTCGGAGGAAGAAGAAGGTCTATGCATACCAGACCGTCTTGAAGCGCGCATGGAAGCACAGTGACGGCTGCAAGCGACTCTTTTCAACACTGGCCGTGTGTGCTTCTGCAGCAGCGCAACCCACTTTATGATTTTTTTTGGTTTAAGTATTTATTTTTATCCGATTGTTGTATCCACCTACCGATTCCGATCGCAATCCCTAACGACCTTTGCTGCGGTTTCGTGTCGCTATCTGGCGTTGTGAGTGCGGGCCTGCTTCGAAACATTCTCATTTCCTGCTGGTGGGTCACAGCTGGCGACGAGCATACGCACCCGAACGGTTCCCACCTTTGGAATTGCTACGCTGAAGTCGAGCGCGATCCTGGACAGTTTTATCGAGCGTCGTTGCGATTTACCTACGTCGACGACGGTGGCTTCTAGGACGTCGAGTACGGATTCCGTCCGGGATTACGATTATCACTATAATTGCTCGACGGAACTACAAGCTACAACTACAAGTCCTCATATCGTTTTTTTGCACGACACACCGAACGCAAGCGAACGTAGTAAGTCGTCGATATGAAAAAAGTTGCGGTAGAGTGACTGATGGTTTGCAAGTTTTACTGGTGTCGTCACTCTGCACGACATCGCACCGAAGGAAAATACGTCTGATTGCTCGCAGAATGGAAAAAAATCGGTCTTTTCGTGTGGAACGTACACGTGAGATATCATCTGACGCTAAGGCAATTCGTATAGCACCAGCTCGTAGCAACGGAAACTAGCATCTTTCATGAAAGCGTGACTTGATTACAACTACATTTCTATTTCCAATCCCTATCTCACACAGTGATCACTACAGTTGCGTCGAGACCACAGACCTTCTGTAGTACCTCGACGCTTCGAAGACTATGTATACACCCGCACCACACCACTTTAATATTGCTTTGAGATGCAGCTGTGTATGAAAATGAAGACTCTAGAAGGAACGCACGTCGTCGTGAGGCCTGATAAATCTCCAGATCGCAGTGAATGGAAGTTTTAGACGCTCTTGGTAGATCATATGCTTCTAATTCGTCGTTGTAAATCTAAAAATGTTTCGTTGTCGAAAGCGCTACACCTACGCATTGCTGTGGACCACAATCATCGCTAATACCTCCTTTCACTAATCCTAAGCGCAGTTGACAGTCATTGTATTCTATTTACGGGACGAATCGGACCCCTCAGCAGAAAAAACGAAACAAAATGGACCGCGGGATGAAAGAGATTGTGCCGATTGCGGCCTTTTTCCAAATTTCATTTTCATTTTTGAAACATCAAGAAATTTTTTCCACTTAAGCTAGACACGACGACCTTTTTAGGAGCATCAAGTCTTTAACCTCACGACCCACACAACTTGTGGGAAGAGTTGTAGCCGATTTCTCAGCTACCTCTCTGAAGACAAGCAGACGATACTTCTTCAAGTTCTACCACCAGCACACAAAGGACTTTAACAAGAACGACTGAAACAACACGACCCTGGCGGCAACATCTTTCTCGGTGAACAACTACTTCGCGGCCCAGAAAAACTAGGTCTTTCTGAAGTCCCTTGTCTCGTCCGCGCAAAGCTACTTAAAACAGCGAGGATGTGGGGCGCGCAGACGATGAACGCGATGAACCCGAACATGGGGGTGTACAGCACCACGACCATGTACCAACAGCAGCTCCCCGGCGTGCAGATGCAGATGCAGGTCCCGCCACAGCAGATGCAGTACCAGCAGCAGCAGCAGCTTCACCAACATCAGCAACAAATGCTCGCGCACATGCACCCCAGCATGTCCAGCACCAGCACTTTCCCCCCGAACAGCAGCAGTACCACGACGACCACAGGAGCGAACCAGCAGCAAAATCAGCAGCAGACCATGGCGGCAACATCTTCTACAAACTCCAATTCCAAGTTTAGCACGGTGTCCAAAAGTAATTCACACAAAAGTGGGCCAAAGAAAGAGATGGACAGCTTACTCGAAGAGATGAAAAAGCGCCGCGAGGTCGACGACGAGCGCAAACAGATTAAAAAGGAAATACAGCAGGCGTCCAGTCCGGAAGAGAGAGAAAGACTGCAGAAAGAATTGCAGGACCGAGACATGCTCTTCTCCGCCCTGGAGTCACAGAAAAGCCGCGGTGGGGGTGGACCCGTTGCTCCGGGTGGTCTGGGTCGGGGCGTGAACTTTGACCCACCAAATCCCGACCTGCTGCAGCCAACGACAAATCTGTTTCTGCAGTCCCTCCCCGGCGGTGCGACGGAAGAACAGGTCTGTGCGCAATTCAAGCGCTTCGGGAAAATAGCGTCCGTCAAGGTATAATAACTCTGATATTTAAGAGCTCCTTGCAGTATTTTTTTCTGCACTTTTAGGAGGCTATAGGCAAGCGCAATCGATCGCAAAAGGGGCATCGATATGAGACTCTATATACTGTGTCGTGAAAGCTGCCGGCACTACTTCCATTCATCGTGCCTGCTGTAATCAAAATCATAACCAATTCCCGTTACGACAATCAATTCCTCTCCCCCAAACAAGGTCATGTACCCACGGCATGTGGTAGATACGTCGCGAACCACACTATCCGGCTTTGTTGCCTTCTGCACGCGTGAGGAAGCGGAAAACGCCCAGCGCGAGATGGATGGCACGATGTGGGAGGGCGTCACCTTGCGGATTGGCTGGGGGAAAGCCATCCCCCGAGCCCAGGTCGAACAACTGCTGCGCCAGGAGGACGCACTCCCACAGGCCGTGCAGGACCGACTGGAGCGCATCACAGTGTGCATCCCAAGGGACCGACGTGTCAAATCCCGGATAGATCGCTTGTCGCGAATGGTCGCGACCGAGGGCCACTGGTTCGAGCAGGCCGTGATGGAAAAGGTGCTGCCAGAAAGACAGGAATTCCAGACAAAAAGGCAGCAGGAGTGGCTCGCAGAAAACCCCGGCATTACGTCGCAGCAACCGCCAGCATTTCCGCACGAGTACTTCAGTTCTTTCGCTTTTTGATGTAAGTACTGCTACCAACTTAGGAGGCTTCCAGAAGAAGTTTAAGTCAGTATAGTTGTGGGGAAGAAACATGTTTCAACTCATCTTCTATCGATCGTGCTTCGTGACCCTGGCGGAGGAAATCAGATCGTGATCAGTGTCGTGTACGCTGTCGCTTGAACATCGGCCGCACAGATCCTCGGTAGGTCGAAGATTCGGTTCTGCCTAAGTTCGGTGTTTCTGGCGACACGTTGATCGATGGATGACTGGATTTTCTCTATTCAGTTTGTTTTTCATGTCAGTTTTATCAGGTCGTGACTTTTGTCATGTCACTTTAGTTACATTCGAATTCGATTGCCACACCCACATTTTCCAATCAAAAAACTCAAAAAAGTTTCGAATTTCTCTTCGACCATGATTCGGAGATTAATCGTTACTACCGGTGGCGTGTCTATTCCCTGTCCCAGGGGGATACGGTCCGCGAATGGCGAACGGAGGCGTTTCAGATCTACGTAGGCGGGCGACTCTGGACCCCACCGCCCTGTGAGTGGGTGGAGAAGAGGCGAAAAAAAGAAGAGCAGCGCGCGCTTGAGCGAGCAAAAGACGAGCAAGAGGAACGAGTAAAAAATGCAGGAATTTGTTGGATTCGCTTTTTTTTTTTTGTTTGCTCTTGATTGTCCGCTCGTAATTTGAATTTGGATTCATCGCATTCGTATTTCGTCGCTGAAGTTTGAATTGCTAGACAACAAACCTCTTCAGGACCGGCAGGCCTCGGGTATTGCGCTGGCTAAGCGCACCGGCCTCTTGTCCGAGAACGAGCGGAAATCGCTCGAAAACGTCATTCGCAAGCTGACGACGACCCGCAGGTCTATCCTGGAGGGCATGACCTACTGCCTGGATTTGCTCACGCAGAATGCCAACGAGGCGGTGTCCAACGAGGTTGTCGATTGTCTTGTCGAGGCGCTTACCATAAGGGAGACCACCTGGGGGAACAAGCTGGCGAGACTCTACCTGGTGAACGACTTGCTTCACAACAGCAGCTCCCAGGTCCTGAAGTCCAGCTGGATGTTTCGCCGAGAACTGGAAAAGGTTCTCCCCTCGATCTTCGAGCACCTGGGCACCTGCCTGGACGAGCTGGATCACATTGCGGAACACGGGACTTCAAACGACAAAACCGATGATCCCTTCGACATGACGGAGGTGCCGCTCAACTCCGCCCGCGACAAGCCGAGAGCGAAGGTGACGGTCTTGTTGAACGCCTGGGAGCCCATCTTCGGCCGCGGCTACATGCGCGGCCTGGAATGCTCGGTGTTCACAAATAGGGTCAGACCCTACAAGGAGCGCGCGCACGACTCGTGTTACGACGGGATGGGGTGAGATTTTGCGTTTTTGCTTTGCTATTGCTATTAACTCAACACCCCAGCAAATATGCAGATACACAAATTCAGCAACAGTCCTTAGGAATGAATCAATCTTATACATTCATCAACTCACCAACCCGTCCACATATAGGTTTCCAACCTGGCTCCAGCAGAGGCTCCGTGACTGGGAGAGTCAGCACTTCAGCACGCTGGAGAAAGTGTGCCGATCGAAAGGGCTCCCATGGATAACAAGCGGGCTGACTGAGGCCTATCCCGGAGAGGGACTGGAAAGAACTAGACAGGCCTGGTTGCTTGATAGGCTGGTAAGAAGTGCTTTTCTACTAAGTGTGGTTGGCGTTGAAACTCTTATGGGACATCCGATAGTGTATTTTTTTGATGGCTAGACTGCAACGGCATACATGCGATGCTTCACGCTCATTTTCATCTCGTACTGGACTTTGCCATGTATATGTATGACTTCAGGTAAACTACGAGCTGTACTGGGCGAAGAACGGCGGCAGTGTCGATGACGTTAGCAGCCGCGCAAATGCCATGTCTCCGGAGGGCGAAAAGATCGATCGTGAAAACTGGGACCCGGAGCTCGACGGCCGACCTCTGGATGACCTGTTTGACCTGCCGAGCTGGCAGGATCTGGATGACTGGAACTGGATCGAGATGACAATAAGGGAAGTCAACGCGCAGGACGGCTTCGGAGGACACCAAATGGAGTCCTTCTCCCGCGATGGTGCACATGTCCTCACTTCTTCAAGAAGTAACAAGCGGGACAGGCATCATTCTGGCGCTAGCACCACTGCCTCGGGCTACAACAGCGAAGAGAGCACGCAGGGCTGGCAGGAGGTCTCCGCCGATGGCGGCGTGCAGCAATCCATGCTCCAAAGACTAAGCAACCAGAGAAGCCAGGACGCGCAGCTGGAGCGCGCACTGGCAACCTTCGACGAAGATCTTGGAGAGGTACTTACTGGATTTCTTTGCAACTACTTTCGTGGTAGTACCCTACTTTTATGCTTTTCATCCATACTGTTTCTTTTCGCTCTGATTTTTGAAGAAGATGCCAACCGCCCCAATTTTTTCCTATATTTTCCTAAAAACAGTCAAACGCGCTCGCGGAGTTTTTGGACGGCGCGCCGATGGCGGACGGCGAGCGCGACAAGTGGGACGAAGATTCGGATTCCGAGAACGAGAGCAGCTCCCGCGCCATCCACCACCAAGGTCACGCCGCGCAGAACGCCCACGAGGTCAGCATGATGAGCGCGAAGTTGGACCACAAGGCCCGGCGCGAAGTGGAGCTCGAGGTGCAGACCTACAGAGAAGATTTGGAAGACAAGGAAGAAACGCACATCGAGCAAAAAGTAGACGCGCGAAGACGAGAACTCATCCTCGAAGCGCTGCAAAGGCAGAGAGCCGCCTCGTCTGTGATGGCCATGCTGGATCAAGACAGCTCGTCGAACGGCCGGGGAACCTCCCGGTCAAGACGAAAAGCGGCAAAGAGCAACGGGAATAGTGTGAGTGAAAGGACGAGCAAGAGCGACCACGAAAGAGGAAGGAAGAAAAAGCGAAAAGAAGATGGCAGAAAAAGACGGGCAGCCAGCGACAGCGATAGCAACGCCTCAAGGTCACGCTCCCCATCACCACAACAAACCTCGAAGAAGAAAAAGAAAAAACAGCGACACTAAACTTTTGATCTTTTGACGACACAAGTCTATTTTCACGACATGATCATGACGACACGACAACGCGACCTTTCTTACATTACACTTAGGCCCTGGTGGTCTTCGTCTCCGTTTGTTTCCAGGTGAAGAAAGAGAAACGAAGGAAAGATAGTGTGACGAAATGCAGGACGGAAGGATGACCGATGCATCACTAGCTTCTTCAGTGTCAGCTGCAAGTGTTCTTGATAGCGAGGGCTTTAGTAGAATGTTGGCAAGCGCAAGAGGTTTAGGTTTGTGCACCACTAGCTAACGAGTGAGTATTGGGTCACTTGGTCTGGCGAGAGATGTTTTTTCGAAAGATCAATGTAGCTGAGTTCTCTCCTCATGTAGTAGAAGTCGGTCTTTTTCATGCGTTTCTTGTTTGGTTGATATCGATGCAATTCCTCTGAGACCGTACTAAATCTCGAAACTTCAGCCTACCCGAATATTTATGCACTACCCTCGCTACGTACTGGCGGTAGCCCCGCTGTGTAGTCCCTTACTCTTAATATGAGTACTACTTCTCCTCTATATCCTCTTAGCATGAGCCACGTGGTAGTCCCAATGAAGTAACTTCAAAATGGCAGCATATTGAACAGAGAAAAAAGAATGGACGCCGTGATGTCAACGGCATCCGTAGCAGATCTTCTAGGCTCCCTGCGGGACGAGCACCTTTTCCCAGCGGATGGGCAGCCACGCACGCTCTTATGGGCGGTCCTTTCCGTCGCAATGCTCGTGTCCGCCGTTGTGCAGCAGTTGTCCAGTACGGGAAAGAAAACCGCTGCGGCTGCGGGGAAAACACCGAAAGAGAAGAAGGAACTTTATTTCACCGAGGACAAGAGGCAGTGGCTCTTCTCTCTACAGGATTCGGAGAAGGCCAAGCCGAAGATGGTGTACGACAAGCGCGATTTTTACGACTACGTGATCATGTTGGCTCTCTCCATCGGATCCTGCGTCGCAGTTTATGGAGTTCAGCACGTTCTCACCAAAATCGTGTTCCACAGCTCGTGGTTCCTCCTCTTCGTTTTCGCCACGCGGCACGGCACCTGCGGGTTGTTGGACTGGCTGAAGCAAAGGCCGGCGATCTTTTCGCCGCGGGTCTGGCTCCACTGGGCCATGTACAAGACGGAAAACATGCGACCGAGCTACTGCTACCAGATCGCCGTGTTTGCGGGCGACATTGTCTTGTTGCGGGTTTTGCGAACTTACGTTTTCACGAAAAGTTATCCCTCGGAGGGAGATGATGATGAAATGTTCTCCAGCTTGTTCTCAACCCCGTGGTCCTACTACGCTTTCTACGGTCTCACCTTTGGTTTGTTCTATCTCAGCTTTGCCGTCGCCACGGTTCTCCGGACAGTGTCCCTCCTCGACCACCTCTACCAGCACAACCACGTGTTCAAGTTTTTGCAGCAAACTGGCTGGAGGAAAACCCTGCGGTTCTTACCGGAGAAATTGAACCTACCGGACGTCTGCGACCACTTCGTGGGTTTGCTCCACGCATTCGTCACCGGAGTCTGGACCCACGTGGTCACCGTGATACCCTACTACCTCGTGCTTTGCGCGTACTGGACGGCTCTGTGTTCTCCTGCAGCTCCGACAGGAAGTAGTACTGGCAATGAAGCGAGTGGAACATCTTCAACGAGCAGTGACCAGCTCCTTCCCCACCCCGGACTCGTATTAACCGCCGTGCTCAGCTGGCTTTTGCGGTTTCTTATCATCGAGCAGAGGCTGCTTCAGATGTTCGAGCAGAACGACTTGAATGATTGGTACATCCGGGATCACTGGCTGGGGCATTTCTCGAAAATCGGCTTCTCCTACATGCACGGACCCCACCACGACTGCCTGCCCGTCGGATTTATCGCGGTGGCGGACAACGGGCCGCTGGAGGGCATGGTCCGCCACTTCTTCGGGCACTTCGACTCCTTCTGTTGCCCGCCCTTTGCCTGCTTCCGGTGGACGAAGACGATTATCCGCGACATTGTCGGGCACCAGTACGTACCCGGGGTTTTGCCTTGGTCTTTTTCCGTCGTGGATTACGGAGTGCATCACGTGGAACACCACTACCTGTCCATGTACCCGCTCGGCAACGGAATTGAACACGATCCCGACCCGAGGAACAATCTAGAGGTGGAAAACTGGCTCAGCAACGGGGCGTACGGGAAAAGTAGTACGGTGTGGACCTGGTTCGTATCAGAAGTGCAGAGGATAGAGAGTGGGAAGAAGAATGGTGCGGGGGAAAATAAAACCGCAGATACTGCTGGCGCGGAGGCCGCAGGGGAGGATAGCGGGTTGAAGAATAAAACGCAATGAAGGTGTTGCACTTTTACTTTACGCATTGTGGAAGATATCAAACTAAATGGACAAAAGCGAAACGTGGATTTTTGACTCCGTAGATTTGTGACATAAAGAAACAGCGTGATCAGCATTTCCAGATCTATTGTTTAGGTTCTTCATCCTGCATAGATATCAGTTCTTTACGTAAACTTTCACAATTTTTGGAAATAGGGAAAAAGAAAAAAGAAAATATCGCAAATAAAATAGACCCTCGGCGGTTTGTGCAGATCTTCAAGCGAGGCAAAAATGACAACATTTGGTGTAAGACAAGATGAAGGATCTTCTTCATGTCAGGTCGTTTTCATCAAACTCTGGACAGGCCATGCTGGTACTGGCATTTGGCGTGCCTACTTTTTGTGGACGTGTTTGAAAGCAAAGTTGCGACAGGTGGTCGAAGATCGAGATCATATTTGAGCCCGGATCACGTAGCGAGTTTTCGCTTGACGCGATGGATCGTGGATTAATTTGAAGCTCTTGCGCGATCAACTTTGTGCTGATCGCGTTTTTTCTTTTTGCCTTCCGATTCTTTTTTTGAAAAACCACGGCAGGACATAAGAACTGATGTAGTACCTTGGTCTGACTTTTCGTTCTTTGTAGCACGCGACATTGCACGTTTAAGGATTTTAGCGTAGTTTCACAGCCCTTCATAGTTATCTGTACGACTCGCCGCGACAAGCCATAGCTCGTATTCATCTCACGTAGCTGAAGCACTTACAACGACAGCCAACACATCAAGTACAATTTCACGCAGCACAAAATGTCCGCCATCCCAGCAGATGCGAAGCGGCCGCCGCTGAAGCACGAGATCGGCGAGATCAACGAGAGGAATCTGGGCGTGCTGAAGGTGCTGTTGCAGAAAACCTTTCCGATCACCTACGGCGAGGGTTTCTACCAGGACGTGCTCACACACGACAAATTCTGCCGCTATGCCTTTGTCGCAGATGTCGTGGTTGGGAGTATCTGTGCGCGCGTACAGGACGAGGAGAAGTGCAACAAGGAAAACTGCCCGGAGCAGGCGAGCGACGACACACAGAAACCGGTTCTGAACGGGAAATCGAAGGAGGATATCCTGTATTTGATGACTTTGTCTCTTCTCCCGGCGTACCGCAAGCGGGGCATTGCGAGCGCGTTGCTCGAGTTTCTGATCGAAGCTGCGAAGAAGGACGAAAACCTCCGCCAGATTGCGTTGCACGTGCAAACCTCCAATGACGTCGCACTGAAATTTTACCAAAAGCACGGATTCGAGATCCAAAAAACGGTCCCGAACTACTACCAGAAAATCGAGCCGACGTCCGCCCATTTCTTGACCTTGAACTTGAAGCCCTCTTGCGGTTGCTGTTAGGAATATCAATGTCTTATCAGGATGCCAGATGAACACGAACAGAGACTCATGTTCAGGATCCTGGAGGAAAGGCTTAGTACACCCTCTGACATTCGCAATTTCGAAAAGCGACGACTCTACGTGCATAAGCATATACGACAATTAGAGAATATGTTGCCACCAGGACGCAAGAACAGTATTCAATGAGTCACAACGCAGAAAACTCAACGCGAGAATAAAGGAAGTTTGTCGACTTAACCCAAGGCATCTGTGCAAGCTTGAAATAGGACAAGTGCGTATGCGTCTGGTGTCCTAATGCTAATCGTATTCGATCAGCTGCATCCAAACCTACAGACACCTGAGATATGTTCCTTCGCGTTGTCGTTTGAGTCCGAGACGAGAGATTTCTTGCAAAGTTGATGGTTCTCTGTCGATTTTCGACAAGCTTCGTTGGTTGCTGTTGATAATGTTTCTATCACTGAAGGTTTAATAAAGTACTGCAGCTTGGTAGAATCAAAAATCCGAATAGCCACACCTACTACCACTGAGGATCCCGGGTTTCAGTTGTAAGTACTTCCAAAGCTGCTAACCCCTCAGAGCTCCACCTTCGAAAATGTCGGGTGAGTGTGCTCTGCTCGGCGAGCAGTGGCTGAAGTTCGGACCGCAGGTGACGCGGTACGTCAAGCGTTTGAAGGGCGAACGAGAAAAGTTTCTGGTCGCCCAGGAGGACTTCAGTCGGGAAAAGGAGGACTGGGCGCAGCGCCTGTCGCTGCAGCAGAACGCATTTGAAGAGGCAATTTTGAAATGTTGGGAGCTGGCGACGAGGATAGAAGATTTGGAAGCGGATGCGAACGAATTTCAAAGAGAGAAGCTGCGGCTCGTGAAACGATTAGACCAGGAAAAGGCGGAATTCTGTATTGCTGTCTTGCGTTTGATTGTGAACCCAATGTTAATTTTTTCTCATCATACACTGTTGAAGCGTTGAATGCGTTAGCGTTTGACCAGTTTGTAGAAATTGAGAAAATCATTTTTCTTTTACAACCTGCTCCAGGCGAACACGAGCAGAAGAGACGAGACGAGCGAACGCTGGCGCTTCGAGAAGAAAACACGAAGCTGCGCGACGCCCTCGAGGATCGGGAAGCGACAATAGCAAAGCAGCAGAAGGAGATAGAAAATCTCCAGACACAGGTAGTACTACACTCCCGCTTTGATATACGTTTTTTGAGTGTAGATTACATTGTTCTACTGTTAGGAAGCAGCTTCCCCTCTTTGCGTGCGATATGCACCAGACCCGCAACACGAAAACAAATCACCTCGCCAGGTCTCGCACTCCCAGCGCGCGAAGGAACGCCTTGAAGACAGCGGTAAAAAGCTGGTCAGCGACTTGGAGTTGCAAGTCCAGCGCCGCACTGAGTCCTACCGACAAGCGACGCTGAAGCTGATAGCGGCTCTGGCGGAGTGTAGCTTGCACGTGATGAAGGAAGATGAGCTGGAGGAAATCGTCGGGAAGTGTCCTCTGGACGAAAAAACCGACGAAGACTTCAATCAGGTGCTTGACGTCTGCTGCGACGAATACGCCAGATTCCGGTACTCCGCCCCGGAAAGGCTTCGGCAGCTGGTGGCGAGCAAGCAGGACGGCACGGTGGCGGAATTGTTGCAGGAACTAGTTTGGAAGCCAAGAAAAATGAAGCTAGACCTGAAATCGCTGCTCGGGTCCGCACCCGGCGCAATAAAACTGCTGCAATCGCCAGAGGATATGGCAGCTTTGAGGGATTTGCTGTTGGCTGGGAGGTGAATGATTGGTAGGGGCGTGCTGGTTTCAATTTTTTTGCCCTGAAAGAGATTTTTCGATTTGTAGTCTATGACTATTGAATCTCCAAGAGAACATAGTCTGAAAAAGGCTAAGGTTGACAGGATAGCAAATCTGGAGTTTTTGAAATTCTTCCCGACGTCGACGAAATCCTCGGATGTCCTATTCCACCAAGAAAAGGAAAAGAAAAAGAAGAAGAAGATGCTCTGTATTCAGCTCGATTTGCTGTCGCTCTTGGTCCTCGAGGATTTTGAGGTTGTCGAGATTGCTCGGATCCATAAAAGACTGGAAATCTTGTTCAAATAGAATCAACGACGGTTCATGCGTGGATAGCAGTTCATTTTGTGGAAATGAAATAAGCCCTGCTCAGCTGAAAATAATTCTAACGGATCGAAACTCAAATTGAAATTTCTCCTGAAGAACGAAGCTCCTGACATCAACTCATTGCGTTTTTCTTTTGCGAAGACAGGAAAGACAGAAAGGTATCTATTGAAACACGACCTGGCGTTCACACATACTCGATCGACGAAATACTTGTTTTTTTTGCCTGTTGCGCTTGCGTCCACCTCGACTTTTGCGCCCTCTCCCACCGCTTTTTAGACATTCTCTTCTGCGACGTCTTCCGGGGTTCTCGATTGAAGACTTAGAAATCTAACCGGACACACGTATACAACATCCCCGGGAAAAATAAGCACAGTGTGACTTCTATTGGGATGAAAATACCGAGAATAACATCAAAATTATGACGAAAAAGCACAAGAGGCACCGCCGCGACGAATCGCGTCGCCGCGAGCATCAGCGGCGACGGTCCCGGACGCCCGAGGCTTCTCTACCAGTGAAAAAAGGGAACGACAAGGAAGATTACAAGCAGAATATCAAAAACCGGCTGGCTGCCCCCTCTGCTCCCCCTCGCGGCCACCACTCCGAGGACCAGAGACAGCGGTCCAAGGAGGAAGTGAAAAAGCAGATTGATCGCGAGTACGAGCAGCTGAAAAGCAGAAAGGATGATAATAAACATGACACGAATCGTAATACCAGCAAAGCAGGAAACGTCGCACATGGTAGTGGCACCACTACTGCAGCCTCCCGGGGCACCACCGCACCAACTTCGTACATTGGGCCGGGCGGAGGAGGAGATGCGAAAAAGCCGCTGCAGCCTCTCCCACCGTCTGCGCGCAGCGGCAGCGCTAGTACGGCACATCAAAACGCTGCCGTGGGCGGTAAGCTGCAGCCGCTCTCGAGCAAGAACAATGACCACGGAAGGAGTGGGAATCCGAATGCAAATAAAAAGTCTACTGCGATGAACAACACCGCTCCGGCTTCCTCTTCAGCAGCCACCGGGGCGAACAGCGCACCGCTGAGAAAAGTTTTGCCGCCCAGGTCTGCCATTGAGCAGCAGCAACAGTCTAAAAAGCAGAAAAAAGAAGACGCTGATCTGGAGAAAAAGCTCGCTGAAGCGGCGAAGGAACGGGAGCGCGCAGCGCTGAAGGAAAAAGCAATCGCCGAGGAGCTTCTACGCAAACGGCGGGAGCAGAAGGAGAAGGAGAAAAAAGAAAAAAAGCAACAAGCAGCGAAAAACGAAGTGGCCCCGAAACAGTCTAATGTGCAGACAGGCGGGAATAGTACCAAAGTCGGAGGGTTGAAAACCTTGGTGGTTCCGGAGCCCGCTGGGAGTAGCAGCAAAGCTCATAATTCCAAGAAGGCCGCAGAACACCAGCAGGGGGCTACTGCCCGCTCATCGCATAACCTACACACGGGCGGAAGCGTTCAACATCAGCAAAAGGCCGTTACTGGGCAGCCTGCGCTACACACAAGTGGGAGTGTGCGCGGTGGTGCACCAGGCACTAGTACGGATAACAACCCCTTGCGTCCATTGCCTCCCAGCGCGAGAGATCGAGCTGGTTCGCAGGATGCCGGCGCGCAGAAAGGTAACAGACCCGGTAAGCGTGAACGCGAGCCGGAAAGCAACAAGCAAAACACCGACTACGGAAAGTTTTCTAAGCGGGAAGAGGATGCTTTGAAACGCGAGTACCAACAGCAGCGTGAACAAGAGGCGAGGCGGAAAGAGCAGCAGGCTGAGGCGGCTCGAAAGAAGCAGGCCGAGGAAGCGGAACGTCTGCGCCGGAAAAAGCAAGTAGAGGAGGAAGAGAAGCAGAAGCAATTGAAGCGTGAAAAGGAAGAAAAAGCAAGGCGTGAGCAAAAGGAAAAAGAGGAGAAAGCACGACGTGAGAAGGAAAAGGAAGAGGCAGAGCGCCTGAAACGGAGAGAGCAGCGTGAGAAAGAGCGGCAGGAGCAGCTGGAAAAGGAACGGCAGGCCCAAAAAGAAAGAGAGCGACAAGAGAAAAAGGAGAAAGAGCATGCTGCGCAGAAGGAGAAGGAACGACAAGAGAAAAAGGAGCAGGAACGCTTGGCGCAGAAGGAAAAGGAGCGGCAAGAACGGAAAGAAAAGGAAAAGCAGGAGCAAAAAGAGAAAGACCGCGCCGCACAAAAGGAGCGGGAACGGCAAGAAAAAAAGGAAAAAGACCGCGCTGCGCAAAAGGAAAAAGAGCGTCTCGAAAAGGAGCGAAAGGAGCTGCAAAGGGAAAAAGAACGTGCCGAACGAAAAGAAAAAGAGCGGCAGGCCGCCAGGGAAAAAGAAAAGCAGGAGCAGCGAGAGAAGGAGCGGCAGCGGGAAAAAGAGCGTGAGAAGGATAGGCAGCGCGAAAAGGAAAGGCGCGAGCAGAAGGAGGATAAAAAAGAACCCATCGTCCTGAAGGGTCGGGAAGAGGCTCGTAGAGGGAGGTCGCCGATTGTGCTGCAAAGTCGGGCCGAGGCTGAAAGAAGCGGCAGAGCAGACCATCGACGCGGTGGCCGTGAGCGTGACCGTCGGTACAACGACAGCCGCTCGCGCACGACCAGAAATCGCAGTCGGACGCGGCACCGCGTCCGGGAGCGAAGCCGCGATCGGTCTTTGGAGCGTAAGAGAAAAGGGTTGGTGCGGGGTTGGGGAACCGAAATCGTCACCACAGCAGCGGTACCCCCGCCAACAGCTGCGGGAACCTCTAGTGCGGCGTCCAGCTCGGCAGTCAAGAATGTTGAGGACAAGAGGAGGAATTTGAAAACCACTTCGACCACAGACTCAGCGACAGCCACGAAACCGGCAAATGATGAGAAGAAAACGAAGGCAGAGGAGTCTGCCCCGGCCAAGGGGGTGAAGCCAGGCACTAATAAAAATTTCGAGCAACTGGCGGTGGACTCGGAGGAAGAGGGTACTTCGTTACTCACTTGTTGTGTGAAAATTCGAATGCATGTCTCGCTCTGGGTTGAATATGAAGATGCGAAATGAAAAGATTTCAAACTGAAAGTGTATGAACTCAATTGTCACAACCACAGGTACAAAAAAGAAGTCCGCGCCGAAGGTGGAGACGGACAAGAAGAAAGAGGTGACTGACACGAAAGACAAGACCGTGAAGGAAGCGAAAAAGGAAAAAGAGCCGGAACGTAGTACCGCCTGGACGCGAGTGGCGCCAATCCCAAAAACGGTATTGCTTTTTTATGTAGTTCCTCCTGATTGTACTTGATCTCTGTATCGTGGTTGTGGTACGTACTGTTTTTGCTCCGATGATCTCGCGATTCTCACTCCAAAAGCTTTCCAAGCCTTCGACAAAAACAGCCCTCCCCAAAGATCGAGAAGGACCCGGTAGTTGAAATGGACGGACCTGAGGAGATTTTTGAGGGCTCCGAGGATCTGCGCGCCGCTGCGGAGATGGTCCAATTACAGTCTGAGCAAACTCCGAAGCAGGAGGCCGCTGCTGCCGCAGCTGAGGAGAGCGTGAAAAAAGAAGAGGATCTGCAAGTGGAAGATGTGGACGACGACATGCCCATTTTTGAAGAGGACGACCCGGTGGCGCCGCAACTGGACGATCCGCCCGTGCCGCCGCAGGAATGCTCCCCCGAGAAAGACGACTTCATGGAGGAGGAGCTGGATTTCGGGGAGGACGAAGAGGCAGAGCATCAAAATCAAGGACCGCTGTACATGGGCTTTGACCCGAACGCCGCCCAGGAGATTGTGAAGCGCTCGAACCCATTCGCGTCTTGAGGCGAAGAGATTTTTGGCGGGATCTTTGCGGAAGGTGATCAAGAAACGACTTTTTCAACCGAGAACGACTTATCCCCCTTCAGATGCTCGAAAAAAATATCGACCTTTTGCGACAACGAGAACGACATGAGATAATGATAATGAGCAAACCTCCAGCTCATTCATAAACCACTTTTTCTGCGACTGCGACAGAAAAATCCGACTTTTCAGCCACTTCGTCGAAGGTTGCGACTTCACGGTGGAATTCAGTGTGGCTTTTGAAGAAGATGATGATGTTTTTGTTTTTGTGGATTGCTGCTACGTGCCTGTGTGTGTTTTTCCGTCCGAAGTGATTGATCAAATAGGCAAAGCGAACCGCTATTGCGTTTTGTTGTTTCAGTCGTGTCTCTTTCTCTTGTCGTCGACATGAAAACTGTACGTTGGGGATTCCGGTAGTAGCTGTTTTGTGGATAAGTCATTGGACACACCTCCTGTAGACTCGTTTAAGAGATGCCTGAAGTAGACGACAATCATGATCGCGTGCCACCAGAAGACGCTTCTTCGAATCCGGAGCAGAAAACGAGGAGGCACACAACCTGGCTCGTGACGAACCCAATCTTCCACAAAGCCTTGGAAAACGCAAATGCCCCGGACTGGTTTCTCCCGTTTTCCCAGACAGACTGGGATGCGGTTTTGAAAGGGGAAAAGCGCGCCGCAGGGATATACGTGCGGACGGGTCTCCTGCAGAAGAGCGTGTTCTGCACCGTACTGCGGAAGACGCAGTGGCTACCAAGTACGTGGACGATCGAAGACGAAGAGGACGAGAAATTAGTTCTAGCGAAGTTGAGAAGGCACGAAGAGGATGAAGCGTCCGTATCCTCCTGTGCCGGTTTTGTTGTGAAAGCGTCGAGAGCCAATCGCGGGGAGAACATCGGGTTTTGCGAAAGTGCAAAAGATGTGGAAGCGTTCCTGAATCGCGTCCGTAAAAGGAGCAGTTGTGATGCTGAGCCGGATGCCGGTGACGACTCCTTTGTCGATGCGCGGGAGGAGGCTGATGAGAACACGCCGAAAACAAAAGCTGCCCTTGTCTGCGAGTCAGGCACTAAAACCAATGATGAGTACCTGATTCAGGAGTACGTTCCGCCGTTGCTGCTTGAGTCCTACGAGAACCGCAAATTCCACTTGCGCGCACTGGTTCTGGTCGCGGGAAATCCGAAAACGGGAGGTTGGCACGTTTTTCTCCACGTCCCCTCTATCGCGTGTCTCTTCGCGAAGGAGCAATACAGACCGCTGGGAGAGGACGATGGGCAGCAGAGCATGCACCTACAGGAGCACGAGGAGCAGGAGGATCACGACCCAGAAGCGCATGAAGAGCAATTGCAAGAAGACGAAATGCCGACGAGCCATCACAGTGCCGCCCACTTAACGAACTGTTGTGTATCACAGGAGCATTCCGTCCCACTCATAGACCTGGCTGACGAGGAAGACCGAGCACTGCTTCTGAAAAAAAACGGCTTCAACGTGGTCGCACAAATCAAAGCGTGTCTTCGCGACGTCTTTGCGCTGTACGAGAAGAAGCCGCTGTTTTTCTGTCCCCTTCCGCACTGCGTGGAGCTGTATGGCTTTGATTTCCTGGTGCAGGATTCCGGAGAAGTGAAAGTGTTGGAAGCAAACAGCGGGCCGTCGTTTGCCATGTATGAGCAGAAGGTGGCAGATGGGATTGTGCGAGACATGTTGTCTGTGGTGAGTGCTGTGCAAAATCTCGAAAGGCCACTCGTCCTCGACACGGAATTTGGAACTGATTCTGCAAAGGAGAAAGAAAGTATGGCACGTGATGGAGAAAAGGGCATTTTACAATTTGATGGTTTCCGAGAAGTTTTTTGCAGCAACGAGAACAAGCCGCTCTTTGGCGCAACAACCTTACGATCTCTTCTGGAAAAGTTCCAGAAACGAATCAACTCAGCTGGAAGTTTAATCCGAACGCTCACATTAGTCCTTCGTTTGGGAACTGGTTCGCACTTGATGTCACCAATGACGAGACACATGTTCATATGCACTGTCTTCTCTATTTTTGCAAAACGCTCTACTTATTTTTGCGAAAGGGACCGTAGGCATTTTCGCTCAAGTGATCGCGTGCGAAGAAACGAAACAATCACGGAACAGAAAAGCACAGTGCGCCTCTGCGATGGACCGCAGAAGATCGAATTGAGCCGATTTACTCGCAGTGAGGTTGATGAAGCTGTGAGCAGCAGAGCACTAAGTAAGCGGAACAAAAAAAAATCGTGAGAGTTTCAACAGTTCCTTTATCCAACGTCTCGCAGCGATCTCTTCCGAACGCACACTGCTCGTCTCTACGTGACTAGTCACAAATCGCGAACGCTTTTTGTGGAAAATTGTTGCATTTTTGCGTTGTATTGCGCAAGAACTTTACATTTTTGGTTTATAGTATACGAAATAGCAGCAGCAGCTATTTAGCATTATTTGGAAGACATGATGGGAAGCAAGAATGCAGGGCTGTGCTGCTATTCGGCGGCTCTTTTTACCACGGTTGGCCTCACGTCCCTTTGCTGCTTTGGTGCCCAGCCGGTGAGAGCTGCAGCCGCTGCGGGTTCAAAGCAAATGGAGGAGCGCAGGACTGACAGTAAATTTAGATTCTTTCTCCAGAACGGGCGTTTGAATGAAGAAGAAGCGACAGAAATTGCTGCTGCTCGGGCGCAAGAGCCGGTGCAATGGGGAGAGCTGATGGTCAGTACGTTGTCAGCCAGTGAGCCTTTTGCCGTGGAGGAACACGAGAACTGGCCTAGCTGGCACGTGGCAGACCTAGCCCGCCACCTTCGGATTCCGCCGGGAAACGTGAAGTTTCTGCCGCGCGGCGCTACAAAGCCCGTGGCCCACTTCCACACACTCGGCGAGGCAGTTGCCGGCACGGGGGACCACCGCCGCCCTTACTCGTTGCAATTGGTGCGGATCCATGGGCCAGAGTACACCTTCCTTCAGGATGAGTGGGTGCCTGCTTTAGAGCACGCCTGGAATGGTGGCACCGAAGCGCTTGCACGGTATCTGAAGAACCAGCTAGAAACCAGCGTGAGGAAGTATGACGTTCTCAGGCACGCGGACGAAACACTCACCCCACGCGAACGGGACACTGCCATGGATGCGGGGGACCAGAAGCTGCCCGCCGTGACCAAAATTGAAGTTTTCGGGGCCGCATTGGCGGCCAATCGTGTGGATCAGTTTGTGCAAGCGGCGCTGTCTCCAGGAGATCCTGATCGACCAGATTCTTGGGACTCCGCGGAGAGGTGGAAACAGCACTTACACCCTCCGTCCGTCCTCTCCACCACGGGAAGGAGGCGCGTTAGAGACTTTGGGTTTCGGCAACGGATCTACGGGACGCAGCTCCTGTTTGAGGGAATAGCGGCCTATCTCGCTTTGAAAAGTTCTGTCGAACCCCCGGGGCCACCAGCATCCTCCACCTTTTCTTTGCCGCGCCGACCCCAAGAAAACGTGATGGCCTCTGGAGGCGAAGGACCACGCCAGGACGTGTTGCCATGGAACTCAAGCGCCGAGCTACATCAGGCCTTGTGGCAGCTCGGCGAGCATTGGCGGGGAAAACAAGAGGCTCTTCTTTTTCGTAACGAAGATAGTCATATGTTTGCAGTCGGGCTCACGGCAGGTTGGCAGCAGTGGCTTGACGAAATGTGGCGCAGCAAAGGTTGGAAGCGGGAGCTTGAGCTCAACGGCATAGACATGGAAACAGACGACCGCTCCCCTTTCATTCAAAATCGTCTCCATCTTGGAAAGAGAAAATGACGCAGCCCTCGATTGTGCGTGACATGCTGTCTGTGGTGAGTGCTGTGCAAAATCTCGAAAGGCCACTGGTTCTCGACACGGAATTTGGAACTGATCCTGCAAAGGAGAAAGAAAGCGTGGCACGAGACGGAGAAAAGGACATCTTACACTTTGATGGTTTCCGAGAAGTTTTTTGCAGCAACGAGAACAAGCCGCTCTTTGGCGCAACAACCTTACGATCTCTTCTGGAAAAGTTCCAGAAACGAATCAACTCAGCTGGAAGTTTAATCCGAACGCTCACATTAGTCCTTCGTTTGGGAACTGGTTCGCACTTGATGTCACCAATGACGAGACACATGTTCATATGCACTGTCTTCTCTATTTTTGCAAAACGCTCTACTTATTTTTGCGAAAGGGACCGTAGGCATTTTCGCTCAAGTGATCGCGTGCGAAGAAACGAAACAATCACGGAACAGAAAAGCACAGTGCGCCTCTGCGATGGACCGCAGAAGATCGAATTGAGCCGATTTACTCGCAGTGAGGTTGATGAAGCTGTGAGCAGCAGAGCACTAAGTAAGCGGAACAAAAAAAAATCGTGAGAGTTTCAACAGTTCCTTTATCCAACGTCTCGCAGCGATCTCTTCCGAACGCACACTGCTCGTCTCTACGTGACTAGTCACAAATCGCGAACGCTTTTTGTGGAAAATTGTTGCATTTTTGCGTTGTATTGCGCAAGAACTTTACATTTTTGGTTTATAGTATACGAAATAGCAGCAGCAGCTATTTAGCATTATTTGGAAGACATGATGGGAAGCAAGAATGCAGGGCTGTGCTGCTATTCGGCGGCTCTTTTTACCACGGTTGGCCTCACGTCCCTTTGCTGCTTTGGTGCCCAGCCGGTGAGAGCTGCAGCCGCTGCGGGTTCAAAGCAAATGGAGGAGCGCAGGACTGACAGTAAATTTAGATTCTTTCTCCAGAACGGGCGTTTGAATGAAGAAGAAGCGACAGAAATTGCTGCTGCTCGGGCGCAAGAGCCGGTGCAATGGGGAGAGCTGATGGTCAGTACGTTGTCAGCCAGTGAGCCTTTTGCCGTGGAGGAACACGAGAACTGGCCTAGCTGGCACGTGGCAGACCTAGCCCGCCACCTTCGGATTCCGCCGGGAAACGTGAAGTTTCTGCCGCGCGGCGCTACAAAGCCCGTGGCCCACTTCCACACACTCGGCGAGGCAGTTGCCGGCACGGGGGACCACCGCCGCCCTTACTCGTTGCAATTGGTGCGGATCCATGGGCCAGAGTACACCTTCCTTCAGGATGAGTGGGTGCCTGCTTTAGAGCACGCCTGGAATGGTGGCACCGAAGCGCTTGCACGGTATCTGAAGAACCAGCTAGAAACCAGCGTGAGGAAGTATGACGTTCTCAGGCACGCGGACGAAACACTCACCCCACGCGAACGGGACACTGCCATGGATGCGGGGGACCAGAAGCTGCCCGCCGTGACCAAAATTGAAGTTTTCGGGGCCGCATTGGCGGCCAATCGTGTGGATCAGTTTGTGCAAGCGGCGCTGTCTCCAGGAGATCCTGATCGACCAGATTCTTGGGACTCCGCGGAGAGGTGGAAACAGCACTTACACCCTCCGTCCGTCCTCTCCACCACGGGAAGGAGGCGCGTTAGAGACTTTGGGTTTCGGCAACGGATCTACGGGACGCAGCTCCTGTTTGAGGGAATAGCGGCCTATCTCGCTTTGAAAAGTTCTGTCGAACCCCCGGGGCCACCAGCATCCTCCACCTTTTCTTTGCCGCGCCGACCCCAAGAAAACGTGATGGCCTCTGGAGGCGAAGGACCACGCCAGGACGTGTTGCCATGGAACTCAAGCGCCGAGCTACATCAGGCCTTGTGGCAGCTCGGCGAGCATTGGCGGGGAAAACAAGAGGCTCTTCTTTTTCGTAACGAAGATAGTCATATGTTTGCAGTCGGGCTCACGGCAGGTTGGCAGCAGTGGCTTGACGAAATGTGGCGCAGCAAAGGTTGGAAGCGGGAGCTTGAGCTCAACGGCATAGACATGGAAACAGACGACCGCTCCCCTTTCATTCAAAATCGTCTCCATCTTGGAAAGAGAAAATGACGCAGCCCTCGATTGTGCGTGACATGCTGTCTGTGGTGAGTGCTGTGCAAAATCTCGAAAGGCCACTGGTTCTCGACACGGAATTTGGAACTGATCCTGCAAAGGAGAAAGAAAGCGTGGCACGAGACGGAGAAAAGGACATCTTACACTTTGATGGCTTCCAAGAAGTTTTTTGCAGCAGCGACAACAAGCCGCTCTTTGGCGCAAGAAACTTACGATCTCTTCTGGAAAAGTTCCAGAAACGAATCAACTCAGCTGGAAGTTTAATCCGAACGCTCACATCAATCCTTCCCTTGGAAAACTGTTTTGCAGTTCGAGTGGCCAACAAGCAGACGCATGTTCAAGTAAGTTTATTTCGGCGGGTGCAACTCTTGTGCCAGATCCAGTTTCTTTGAATGCCGATACATAAATTTCGGCTTTGGCATCAAGGTACAGGTAGTGGCTCACTGTAGCTCTCGTTCCTCTTTTCTCTTTCCACTAGTCCGTCCAGCTCTATGTATCTATCTTTCACTGGGGGTCTCTTGAGTTTCTCTCCAAAAAACTGCTGTACCGCCGCACCAACGAGTGCGAGCATACCAAACGGCAATATTCTGATCTGATAAGGTTCTTAGTTTTTGTTTGATAGCGTTTTATTTTGCTTTTACCGCTTTTGAAGTGCGTGATCCTCGGGTTTGAGTCCGCAAGGGATCCTAGTGCAGTTTTAGATAGCCGGAGATAGAACTGTGTAATCTGAGATACTTGATCAGCAAGATCAAAATGCCGCGCTTCACTACAGTTTCGAAGTCACTTGAGCTGCACGGTTGGAGCTTGAGCCGAGTTACCGGGAGCCACCACATTTTCAAGAAGAAAAGCGAACGTGGCGCTGTTGTTTCACCTGTCGGATGTATTGCTGTTCCGGTGCATGACCACAAGGTTTCCCCAGAGATGTTCCACGTGATCTGCAGCCACTTACGCAAGGACAAAAATGCAGAAACCTCCGTCGTGGAAGCAGCCTCTACTGTTCTTCAGGCCACTGCTTCAACTTCGTGCGACAAACAGCCAGATCAACATCCTGGGAAAACGTCACGCCATGAGCTCGAAAGTGCAAGAACGGCGGTCGCCTGGGTGGCAGAAAACGTTGAGCTTGCAACCGACGAAAGTGATGCTTATCTAGAATGGCTCGATCGCCAAGAACGGTTGAAAGATGAGAAACGTAAAGACGAGCTCGCGATATTGTCTTCCCAATACGCGGAAGCAGCAACACTACTGGCGGATGGTCAAGCCGCCGAGGCTCAGACACTTATTGAGTCGAGGCTGTTGCGCGGACGGTACAAGAAACAGATCGGAAAGGAGCCGGAGAGCGGATGCAGTCCGGAGAAACGGAAGCTGCTGGAGGCGATCGACTTCACGTATATGGCGGCGTTGCTTCAGTGCGCGCTCGAGCACTGTCAGTTTGGGTCAAGCAAGCAGCAGGACTTGCTGCGTGAGGTGTGGAAGCTAATAGGTTTCATGAAGAGCAAGTGGTGGCGAAACACAAACGGCGCCGAGGAATTCCATGAAGAAGCGCTGGCGTACGTGATGCAGGTGTATGACGCGATCACCATCGAAAAAGCCTTCATTAGCAAGGACGCGCAGGACACGCACGTGGCCACGGCAAGTCGTCATTTGATGAATGGGAAGACCCCCGATGCGGAAACTCGAAACCCAGAACTTGTGAAGAAAACGAAAAGAGCAACTAGCGGAATACTTTTTCTGTTCGAGCTCCTCGACTCGGCTCAAGTGCTGCGGAATAACGCTGACAAAGTCATTTGCGGCTGCGTCCGCTCTCTGGGGAAGCTGTGTGAAACGGCGGAGCTGTGCAACCGCTTGTTGGACATTCTGCACTACAAACAGGATCCAGAACTCGTCGAAACTCATTTGAAGCGAATCCGTCCCGTATATCAACAGAAGAAGCAGCTGATTATCACAGAGTACATCCGTCAAGGATGCTGCTTAGAAGATGCGAGCGGCAGCACCGAGAGGCCACGCCCAGAGAAGTTGCGCACAGCGGTCGAGAATTTCGGCAGCCATGCCATCAGCGTATATCGATTTGGTTACGATATGCAGCTATTGCAGATGGTGGTGAATTTCGACCGGACTTACGTCAAGAGCTTCGGTTGTAATCGGCAAGAGCTGCTCGCAAATCACCAGTCCTGGGCCTGCTCGAAGAAAATCAAGAATGTGAAGGAGCGTGATTTTCATGCCGTTCTAGCGGTGCTGGTAGAGGCCCTCGAATTCTGCATCTCTCCGTGTGTCGAAACGATGAAGTCCATTCCTTCAGAGACTGATCCTCATACAGCCGGCGCTTCAGGGTTCTTAAAGTTTTCAGAGACTGCGGAATATGCTTTCAACGAAATGCACCAGGGTACTGCAGCAGCTTTCTTCTTTCTCGCGCGCTTACGTGCGCCTTTCTTCACTGCAGATGGGCAGCGGTCCGCTGCCTTTCAGCTGTGTCGGGTTGCTCACTACATCGAAGGTGGATATAAGATTAGCGGAGACGGTGAAGCAGATGAGGTCCATGGAAGTTTTGGTTTTTCGTACTGGCAGTACCAAGCTCTCCCGATGACGATTGAACAACTAAACGGAACGCAACCACTGTTAGCATCGCGACCAACGCCCGCTTCTGTGGACGCTACTAGTCCCGTCAGCAAGGAGATCCGTGCTAACTGCATCAGCCTGTTTCAGGCAAACGCGAAGATAGCTGTCTATACAAGAGACCGCACAGGGATGCTTTTGGTCGACCGGCTTGTCGAAGTTGATGGGGACCGAGATGCACTCAATTTCAGCAAGCTGCTACGAGCGCGACCGACGCCTGAGTGGCTTGCCCAGGCTGAGGAGCAATGGAGCAGTAGTTGCAGGACTTGCGCCACTACTTTTCAGCACGCGGCCCAGATGCTCGGGATCATTCTCATTGGTGTTCGGAGTGCACAGAATGCCAACCCAGCAGTTACCAAAACAGAAGATGCGGTTCGTGTGAAGTATCTTCGCGAGCTCTTTCAGTGGCTCAAAACAACTGTCAAACTCGACGAGTTGTTGGGGCTCGTAGAGGACCTGCAGAGCCACACAGCAACCTTATCTAGCTTTCATCAATCCCGACCGGCATGTGAATGGGCGTCCCGACAACAATGCAAAATGTACACGCTGCTGCAGCGAGCAATTCCGTGTATCAATGAGCTCCCAGCGGTAGAGGAGCGACTGCAGAAGTTCATCGCCATCGCTCCCGCGGAGTCCGGCAAGAAGAAGCTTACTCCACTGTCGGGAACATGGATGGCAGATTTGAAAGCCATCAGTGAAGCTGTAGCAGAAGTGAAGGCCACTATTGACGGAAATCCTGCCGCTGGTGCGTAGACCACCCCTCCTGAAACCCATTCCCATTTATTTTATATCGAGTTGCAGGGAAACCGAAACAGAAACTGAAATCTTGATCTTCATCTTCAACCACACTCAGGCACTGACATCAGCCGCGAGCGTGACTCGAGGTGCGACAAGTGTTCCGTCGCCATGGCCATTTTTAGTACATGGCATCAACATCTGGCGGTCATTCTATGTCTCTCCATACTTTTGTGAAAACTCGGTTGTTTCTGTAGTGTACTGCTAACTAAGATGCACAGAAAAAATCGGTTTCAGTTCTGCTCTCGTTCCAGTTAAAGTGAAGTACCGATTTACTCGTACCGACCCTCGTCCAGCCTCGGTTTCCGGGAAATTTCGTGAAGAACGGAACCAACTACTATAGTTTTGTGACACAGACACAGCAAGCAAAACTATAACTGCCCGACAGACACCCAGACCATGCCCCTACTCTCTCTTCTTGATTACCCACGAACTTGACACAGAAACCTTTTTTTGACTACTTACAATTTCCCGGCGTAAAATCACAAGTCAGCTTGTTTTTCAAAGACACCTTCGAAAATTTCAGCTTCTTTTCGGAGCGACAACTCTACCCATCCCCAAAAAAATGGTCTGAATTTTGTTTTCGGTGATCCCAGCCGTGGCTGGGAGCGCCGCCGCCCTCGCGGGCGCTAAGGTCGTGGCAGACAGTCAAAGCCCCGTACCAGCTGACGAACAGGACACACCGAGACTGGTTTCCCGCTATTCCCGAGCAGATGCCAACGGAGAAATGAGTCACAGCAGAAGTAGACGACCCCTGCTCCTCGCCGAGGGCGAAGCCATCGCGCCGGACGAAAAGCCGTCTGTCGCAATGGCAATAGAGGACTTCATCGGGGAACCGCCGGGTGCTCCGTCATTCAAGAGAGAGGACCGGATTTTCTACGGACCAACTAAGGTAGGTGCGAGAAGAGCACAGGGGAGGTTGCAGGGAAATCCAGATTTCTCAAATAGTGCAGTACAACTCCCAGAAAGGCCGCGGTCAGCGTAAAATGTGCGGCGCGGTTCTTTTCTGTCAGAAGAGTAGTGTGTGTAAAGAAGAAAAATCAGGTCGTTTCAATCCTGATTTTTTCCGATAGCTTGTCATTGATTCTCATTGCACCACTCAGGTTTTCTTCAGTAGATTCGCGATGTTTTATTCGGAACACGTACTCCACGCAGTGTGCAGGAGCTATCGATTCAATTTTTTGAGAGATTTATTAGCATGCGCTCGAATACCTGCATTTACATCGATGCCGTGATACAAGCCCGAAAACGGTACTTCTCAAGTACCGGCTTGTTGATTTAAAGTTTCAGTTCGAGTTCTCGACGCAGTTTCTTTTCTTCGGACATACCGGAACACCCCTCATCCATCGTGAACGAACAAGCCGTGAATCAAGAAGGACCTTTGTGCAAGCAACTGTGAAATCCACCGGGAGCTCCATGTCAAGTTGCGCCCAGGTGTGACACCACTTGTCGCGGGGCCGCAAAAATGTTGGAAGGGCACTTGTGTTACTTGCTTTAGCGGTATTGCTCTACTGTGATCGTGTTGCTCGGAAGCATCAACGCATACAATATGCGTTCGTCTATCGTGTCTGTGATCAGTCGTGCCATCTGAAGATGATCGACATCGGTTCATCGGTCGTGGTCACAAATCGTTTACCTACGTATGACGCAGGGTAAAATTATGCCGGAAAGAAAAACGTCAACGTCTAAGCAAGTCTGTCGGTGCGGTCGTGTCGGGTTCGTTTCGGTCGTGCCTACGTTCGTTGTAACTCTGAACTCAAACGTAAGTAAGCGGTCGTGCCTGCTGTCATCTCAACTCAAAACTCTTTTACAACCCTGTCTTTTCCGCTCAGTGTTGGTTTTTCTTTGAAAGCAAGAAAATGCTCGATGCGATTGGTTTTTTTTGAAAAGATGCGGATAAGAGAATCTTGGGCCGTGCCAACGATTTTGCTGATGTGATGCGACCAAGTCGCAGCTCTCCCCCAGCGAGCCCAACATGGCGGACGGCAAGAGCAAAACACCGACCGCCCGCGCTCCCCTACGGTCCTCGGTAAAACCTGTGAAGGATTGGGATGAAAAGGAGTGGCGGTGGGCGGCCATGCAGTACGAAACGCGGAAGAAGTTTGACCCGTCGGGACGGCTGCGAAGCGCGTTTGACCCCCGGGGCGGTGCGGCAGCTGTTCGGGCGGAGCAGCGAAACAGGGCGCAAACAAGGTCCGCGGCCGACCGCCTGGCGACGAAGTTCAATAAGAAGGGATCGACGGCGGACGACATTATTAACCGTGAACAGAGGCTGAAAGACCTTGCAAGCGCGAAGCACGACGCAGAGAAAAATGGAACAGGAAGCCAAGGTGCTGGGGGAGGTTTCCTTAGCAACATGTTTGGCACTGACGACGTGAAGGCGGCAGAAGATCTCGCTACCGCTGATCTACTGGAAAAATCCGGGGTCGAAGCGGGGCAGCGACTCCCTGCGTTTCTGAAAGTGTTTTCTCGGCGGGAAATCGCGGACGTCGCCGAAGCTGGGATGGATGTTTTGCGGAGGAAGGCGTACGATCGGGAGGATGCAGGGAGGCTCGTCGGGAGCGGCAACATGGATCCAATAACAGCGGAGCCGTTGATGTTGTACGGACAAAAAGAACCACGGGACGAAAGATTGATGAGGTATGAGGCCTTTGTTGTAATTTGAAAGAAGTGACAATCCACGTTCAATTTTCATCCATTTCCTCTGCGTAAAGAAGGAAAGTTGAGTTCCCGACATACATTACCCCGTTCATCACAGGTACGCAGCGCTGCGAAGCATGCCATCGAGAAGGCAGCAACTTCCCAATCTCTACGAGCTCGCCGAGGTGATGGACGGGATAAAGGCGATGCCGAACCTCGTCTACGTCCTCAAGGAAGTAGTGGACAGTTTGCAAGACAACGCTCTGTCTGTGCCGGAAACGGTGCAGCTGTTGAAAATATGTACGCAGCTCATGGTAGAAGACCGCGGCGGGACATTCACCTTCGATCCAAATGTTCTGAACACTATACGAGGGACTGCACCACCAGGAAGGAAACCCGCGGCGCGGCGGTGGGAGGCGAAGCCGAGCGGAGGGGACAAAAAGGTGCAGTCAGCAGACGCGGCTGGCGGAAAGAGGGAGAAGGAGCATCACCATCATCATCACCATCACCACCACGACGATGTTGACACTGATTTGGATGATAGCAAAAGACGAGATCCAGACCCGCCGCCTCGAAAGTTGGAGTCGGTGAAGAGCGAACGTCCTCACTACCATCACCACCCTGCTGCAGCAAGCACGTTTGCTCGCCGAGGTTCTGTTCAAGCCAGGCTGCAGACGGAAAACAAGTTCCGCTCCCCGAAAAGATCAACCGCTGAGCAGCTGCATCGGGGTGCAAGGCTGAAAGAGGAAATGGAAGAGGACGAGGAGGAAGTCGTCCGCCCCGAGGAGAAGGAATCCAGGCCGTATCTGATGCAGAACATGATTCGCACGAGGAACCTTGCGCGACTGGGCATTTACGTGTGGTCGGTGCCGGAAGAGGAGGGTTTGGAGGTTTTGAAATCATCTAGACTGAGTATCGGGGAAAAACTGCGACAAGTTTTGAATTTTGACCTGAACTGGAGCCATTTTCCCCGGGTGCGTGTTGCCGAAGTGGGTCGCGGACCTTCGATTCGACCCGGGTATCATCGTCCACCGCCGGGCGGAAATCGGATGCAGAAGAACTTTCCGGTGATGGAAGGCGATGTGCTGCTGGGCTGTAACGGGGAGTCGATTTCCGGTTTGTTACTGAGCCAAGACGCGAAAAGCAAAGACCCGAACGAGGTTCTCGTCAGCGAACTGCAGCGGCGCTGGACGAGCTTTGCGTTTCTGCAGAGTGAGGCCACGCGGCAGTACGTTCAGCTAACTCTGACGAGCCGCGTGTTGGGCGTCGAGTTCCGACAAGCCACGTCGAAGATCGCAAATGTGAACCCGAAAAGCTTTGCTGCACGCCATGGTTTACAGATCGGCGACGAACTTGTGATGGTCAATGACCTTTTGTGCGAAACAAACCGGGACGAGGCGCTGTCGCTCCTCACGTGGGGAGAACGGGTGCGACCACTGGACTTGCTTTTTCGCCGGGCCTCCGGGTTTCCACACAGCGTGCGGTTTTACGAGGAGAACAATTTCGAGGAAAGGCTGGGCGTCGACGTAAACGCCTTAGGACCATCGTCTTCTGGCCGTTCTGGTGGCAAGAGGGTGGTGGTAGGCGAGACAACGGGCGCCATGCGGGACGACAAAGTTCCGTTTTTGCTTTCTCAGCTGCTACAATCGAGAAATCCGTCCGCGTACGGGATTACGTTTTACTCGCCTGATACCAGCGAGCACGGGAATCGGCAAGCGAGTATCGAGGACCCGAACCTGACTTCGACGCAGAAGATGATGTCGACTCTTGGGTTCACCCTCGATTGGGTCAGCTTTCCGAGAGTCTACGTTTCGAACTCGAAGAGGTCCGACGCACCGGTAGGCAGTCTTCTGCTCTTGTGCTGTGGCGACCGCGTGACGATGGTCGCGACCTGGAAGGGCCGACACGCCGACGAGGCAGTTTTGCGCAAAGTGCACAAGGCGGACGGCGGGGACGTTAGTTTCGCGTTTCTCCGCATGCCGGGGCAGTATCTTCAAGTGACAACGAGAAACGTGGGTGTGATTGACGAAAAGTCTCTGAGTATTGAAGTGAAAACGGGAAAGGTGATCTCAGTCAAAAACGACCTGGCGCGCGCAATGGGCATTGCAGCCGGAGACGAGCTGGTTACTGTCGACGACCTGCTGTTCGAAAAGCAACCTTCGCACGCATTGGACCACATGTACGCGGGTAGTAGTTCCCAACTTTTGTTCCGCAGAAGAGGCGGTTTTCCACCGGACGTATTGAACGAACAGGAAGCCGCTGTGCGACGGCCGTTGCCGGCCGGTTGGGCGGAGGAGGCGCAGAAGAGAAGGAACGCGGCCCCGAAGTCGCCAGTGTCGGTTGCAACGGTGGATGTGAATCGTGATGACAAGCCAGGACAACCTGCGAAGCCGGTGGCAGCAATCGGGACGGCGCCGGCTTCGCCTGTACCGGTAGTGAAGCCCGCATCACCAGCTCCTGTTGCTGCTCCGGTGCCTACAACTGCGAGAACCAGTCCTGATGCGCCCTACTGCGTACAGTTTCTTGGGTTCGGGAAGAATCTACCCGGTGCGGGTTTGGCAGGTACTAGTACACCGAATTTTTTGACGAAAACCAATGAATGCGATACGTTTATTTAAGTACGTTGCTGCGTGGTCGATCGTACTACTACTTACACGTCGTGTTGCATGTAGTAAGTAATATCCAAGTTGAAGAAGAGCTGAAAAAATAAGAACAAGTCTATGTCGAACAACTTTTTATCAGGTTGGGGCCAGAGCAGCATTGACGACAAGATTCTGAAGGACGACACTCTTTCCAACGAGGAGAAAATGCTGAAGCTGTTCGGCGTAAAGCTTGACTGGAGCAAGTTCCCGGTTGTCACAGTGACAACAGTCGAACCAAAAATGCCGGACGACAGCGGCCCCAGTCGCGCCGCCAAGAACGGAATCGTCGAGGGTGACATGCTGATCATGGCTGCGACGCTGCAGGATCGGGTGACGACGGTGCCGACCTGGGAGGGCAAGGATCCAAACGACGCGTTGATGAAAAAAATTAGGAGGAAGTTCGAGCGTCAGGACAATCCTGTGGCGGCGTTCGTGTTTTTTCGCAAAAAGAAGGAGAAGCAGTACGTGCAGCTAGAGGCGAAAGACAAGCAGCTGGGGTTTACGGTGGACACTAGCAACAAAATCGTCTCAGTATCATCCGGTGGCTGGGCCGACCAGCGGGGCTTGAAAGCAGGCGATCTCGTTGCCGTCGCAGGGGACGCACTTTCGGAGAAACAACCGGATGAGGTGACGAAACGGGTGGCGGACTCGGGTCCGCGTCCGATTCATTTGCTTTTCCGTCGGGAAACGGAGTTTACAGAGAGTACTTTGAGCAAAGCGGTCGACGTCAGCAGAATTCTACCGACCGCATGGCAGACAGCACTCGGGATTAATAAAATCACGGCGGCTGCAGTCGTGAAGCCGGCTCCACCTGCGACCACTCCGGCAGCGAAGGTTGTACCAGCGCCCGCAGCAGCACCCAAGCCAGCAGCCCCGGCACAACCTGCGCCTGCAGCACCGAAAACCGCTCGAACGGGACCGGATCCGCCCTACTGTGCGCAGTTTCTCGGTTTTTCCAAGGATTTGATGGGCGCAGGAATGGCGGGCTGGGCGCAGAGCAGCATCGACGACAAGATTTTGAAGGACGCCAGCATTCCGGCGGACGACAAAATTTTGCAGCTCTTCGGCATGAAGCTTGATTGGAGTACGTACCCGCAGGTCGCAGTAACGAAGGTGGACCCGATGCTTCCGGACAAGTCTGGGCCGAGTCGGGCAGGCAAGAACGGGATCGTCGAGGGGGATCAGCTGATCATGCTCGGCACTTTGCAGGACCGGCTCACAACCGTGGTCACTTGGCCCGGAAGCTCTCCTGCGGACGCACTGATTCAGAAGGTGCAGCGAAAATTCGGTCGGGGAGACAACCCAGTCGCGGCGTTTGCGTTTTTGAGGAAGAAGAAAATGGCACAATATGTGCAATTGGAAGCGACGGAGAAATCTCTCGGGATCTCCTTGGATACCAAGGGAAAAATCGACCGTGTTGCGCCGGGGAGTTGGGCGGCGAAGCAGGGAATCGAGGGTGGAGATGTCGTTGCTGTTGCGGGTGATGTGCTGACAGAAAAAGACGGACCAGAGGTGCAAAAGCGGGTGTCCGACGGCGGGACGCGGCCGCTGCACATCCTGTTTAGGCGTCAAACCGAGTTTCCAGCCACGGTGCTGCAGCAGGCAGTTGACGTCAGCAGAAATCTACCGCCGAACTGGATTTCGAAAGAACCCGCAGCCGGAGCAGCGGGAAAAGCTGCTGCACCTCCGACGGCAGTTGTAAAGCCGCCTGCGCCGTCGAGTGCGAAACCTGCAGCGGGTAAAAAGCCCGCTGGTCCTCCACCAGGAGCCCCAGCCCCCGCAGCGGGAAAGAAGGCTGCACCCCCAACAGCAGCTCCGAAAAAAGCACCCCCAGCCGCAGCACTGCAGCCAGCCCCCGCTGGTAAAAAGGCGCCGCCAAGCACTGCAGGAAAAACTGCACCACCTGCAAAAGCAGCAGCCGCAGCTACGCCCGCACCTCCCGCACCAGCAGCTCCCGCCGCAGTGGCGAATAAGCCAGACCCTCCATACTGTGCACAGTTTCTCGGTTTCTCAAAGAAGTTGGTGGAAATGGGCCTCGCCGGCTGGGCACAAAGTAGCATCGACGGTATTGTGCTCAACGACGGTTTGGCTCCGGCACCCAAGAAGATTGCGGATCTGTTTGGCGTCAAACTGGACTGGAGCGGTTATCCGATCGTGAAAGTCACGGAGGTGGTTCCAACAATGCCGGATGGCACCACGCCAAGCCGCGCAGCGAAGAACGGCGTATTCCCTGGCGACATGCTGGTCATGGTCGGCACGCTGCAAGACAGAGTCACGACCGTCGCTACCTGGGAGGGAAAAACACCGTCGGACGCCATCGTGAAGAAATATCAGCGGAAGTACGGGCGGAAGGACAACCCAGTTGCGGCTTTTGCGTTTTTGCGGGCGAAGAAAGCAAATCAGTATGTGCAGCTGGAGGCACAGGAGAAGACGCTAGGGATCACCGTAGCAGACGACTGCGCAATTACTGCAATAGCAGCTGGGAGTTGGGCGGCCAAGCAGGGCTTGAAGCCCGGAGACAAGGTCGTGGTCGCCGGCGACGCGCTGGCAGAGCGGCAAGCCGACGACGTGAAAACACGGGTTGCCGACGGTGGCCCACGACCCATGCACTTCTTGTTTCGCAGGGAGACGGAATTCGATGCGGAAACGCTGAAGAAGGGCGTTGACGTGAAGCGAAACAAACCACCAAACTGGGACAAGTTGGAGTGAGTGGTGCTGCATATCCAAGAGCGCACATTAAATAAAGGTTTTCTTTTCAATTCATGTATCTTCTCGTAGCTGCTGCTGCGTTAGGTAGCAAGTTTCATTATCCTTTTCGTTTCACTTTCATCACACGCATTTGCAAGTAGCGGTAGAACGATTTCCTTTTGGTTTCTCAATGTGCACGAGCTGGCTCTGTTCCACCTGTTGAGTTTCATGAATCAATGCCGGATCACTCTTCGTACCCTCGAGGAGTTGTGTACGCCACTGTATCAAAAGTTTTCAAGTAGTACGGAAAAGCGGGAGAGCGCTCAGGCAGAAATAAGTATAGCGCTGCCCTGGTGTGGTCGTTGGCGTAGGCGATTTGGGTTGTGCTCCTGCACTGGATGGGTAATGTCGTTTGGAAGCTCGTCCCTGGGATTATGTCCGTCGTAAGTCGTGCTGGGTCGTCGTTGCAAGACAACTTTTTCTACGTATTGCAAGAGACCAGAAGATCACATAGCTGCAAGGAAATGTGAGTAAGATCCGATCTGATTTGCCTGCAGCTGCAGGTGTTAGCCGCCGGCTTTTTTCAACTAAACGCAACAAATTTGTCGCAGAACAACCGCTAGCGGAGGTTTTTTTGAAATTAAAGAAAAAGATGAAGAAGAACGACGCACGGAAATCGAAAGCGGTTCTACGCACCTTCGCCATGGCAGTACACGGCCGCGCAATAACGCACGTGCAATACTGAATTCCGCGTAGTTGAAATGTCAGGACCGCGTCCTGCCGCGGGCGACGATGGCGGGGGCAGGGAGATCAAAGAAGTTCGAGTGCCCAAAATACGGATGCCCATCCGATCTCCTGTTTTGCCGGTGGAAGATTGGGGTTCAGAGGAATGGGCTTGGGCGACGCTGCAGCACGCAGAAAAAACCATGAAATTGCTTGAAGATGAGATAGATAGCGACGCATCGCCATTGGATAGAGGCGCCCGGCGCGGTCCAGGGAAGAATGCGCAAAAGCTGTACCCAAACCTTGCACGAGAAAAGGCCGCGCTCGACATCCGAGGTGCCGGGGCAGCATTGCGGAAAAACGAGAAGGTGCAGCGTTACGAGGCATTCAACGTGAAAGGAGCGCTGTCTCGGATGACGAAAAAGGGCACGACGGCGGAGGAGCTAGTGGCAAGGATGGACGCATTGGAGCGGAAGCTGGCGGACAAGAAGATTTTGAAGGAAGTCAAAATCGTGAGCGACAAAGATAAAAACGACAAGGAAGAACGAGCCGATAAAACTTCCACGAGAGATGATGCTGCGGAAGATGCGAAAGAGAAGTCCACCGAGGATGTCGTGAACAATAAAGCCGAAATAAACAAACCGGGGATCATTGACGAAAAGACGCCCATCGACGACAAAATGAAAACCAGTGGCAAAAAGAAACCTCTGGACGAGGATAATTCTTCCTCCTCTTCCTCCAGTACCGTTGGCCCGGACCGCATCCGCGAATTCCAAGACATTGCGGAGACGGGACTTTCCGTAGCACGCCAGCGCGCCTTTGACCAAGCGGCGTTCACCCGGATGCCCGCCAGCACGCTATCGCAGCAGGTGCGACCGTCACCGCTGATGCTGTATGGCGCCAAGGAGCCGAGACAGGAGCGGCTGGAGCGCTACGCGGCCCTGCGCGGATCACCGACAAGGCGGACGATGCCGATCTCGCCACTTGAGGCCACGGAAATGATGGACGCGGTGCGGAGCTTACCGGAGGCGGTACTGGTTGATTTTGTCAAGTTTTCGTGCATTTTCTTTTTCATGTCATACTACTGGAGGAACTCGACCTAGACCACCCTTAGCTCCAGAAAGAAAAACAAGAAGCCCAAAAATTGCTTAATACAGATGCTCGACATGAGAGCGATCGTGTCTGAGTTACGCGACGTCGTAACCGGCTGGCCGCACTTGCTGTCTTCGATCCGTACGGAAATTCGACGGGATCGGGAGCGCACATTGGACAATCACAAAGACAACATGAACCATCTACTGCACCTGCACGGTAAGAAACAGAACTCGAAGTACAAGCTAACCCGTCCTGCGCTCTTCACGCCAAATCTGAGGTTCCTGCAGGGCTCTCCATCTTCCCGATCACGGTCCCCGACCAACAGAGCCGGTAGAAGTCTTTCGCCCTCACCTGTTTCCTCCTCCGGTGGCGGGCCACGACATCGTGGGTTGAAACAACCCGTAGTTCTGCAATCGCCTGTCGTTTCGGCGAGATCTACGGGAGATGACGTTAGAGGACAGCAAGCCATTCCGACAGCGCCACAAATCGACGAAGAGCTTGAATTGCCTGAAGAGCCGATCGTGGTTCCGGGCGGGGGGCCGCCGGCGCCGTACCACTTACAGCTCCTTGCGAAGGATTTGAGCAGTGTGGAGCAGTTTGGCGTGTTAGTCTGGACGATGTCGAAAGACGCTGTGGATTTCGATCTTTTGAAAGACCCGAACGTCGATGCCGGGGAGAAACTCCGCAGAACTTTGGGTTTTGAACTGGATTGGTTGCGCTTTCCGCAAGTGAAGATCGGACTCTTGGAGAAAACAGCTTTACCGCTGTCCGAAGGCGATCTTTTACTCGCATGCGTGGACGAGATGGTGTCTGCGGTCAGCAGGTGGCCCGGGGAGGACGCAAATCAAGCGTTGGTGAACAGGATTTTAGAAAAGGGCTCTATCGGGCAATTCGCTTTTTTGCCGAAGCGAAATTCAGCGCAGTATCTCCAAGTCAGCCTGCAGAGCCGACGTCTGGGTGCGTCGCTCGAGTTGAATCGGTTGAAGGACATCAATCCTCGCGGGTTCGCAGCACGGCTTGGATTAAAAACTGGCGACGAAATTCTTGCGGTGGGGGAATTCAGTATCTTGTCCAGCAAAGACATCGAGAATCTAAAGACGCAGCTGGACCCGGAGACGGGGCCAAGGCCGGTGTCGCTTCTCCTTCGCCGCCGATCGGGGTTTGCGAACGAAATGCGGTTTTTCGAAGAGCCGGTGTTCGCGGAAGACATGCCCTCGGAATGGAGCGTGAAGCTTGCGCACGCCCGATACTCGCAGAAGCTGATGTCGTTTGCGGTTGTTGCCCCCACGGATCTGCCCCCGACGTCTTCGATTACAACAGTCGGTGCTGGCGGGCCACCAGCCCCCTTCATGCTCTCCTTGCTTTTGCAGAGTAAGAAGCTCGCGGAGCATTCCGTTTTGACGTGGAACCCAGCGGGGACCGCGGACATCGTCGGCGTGTGCCAGAACGCGAGTTTGGTGAGTTCGGACAAGATGCTCGGCTGCGTCTCTTTCCAATTGGATTGGAACGACTTCCCAACAGTTCCGGTGAGATCCCTCGTGGCGGGCAGCGCAGCGGCCCGCGCCGGGGTGAGCGAAAAGGATTTGATCCTGATGGTAAATGAGCAGCGCATCACGATGGTGGCCACGTTCAAGGGCCGGCACCCGGACGACGCGGTGTTGCGGAGTTTGTACGAGAAGCCAAAAACGTGGGCCTTCATGAAGGCCTCCGCCGTGAAGCGCTATTTGCAGCTGCGCGGGGACGACGCGGACCTCGGGTTGGACGCGGGAACGGTAACCGCGAAGGGCGCTAATGTTACCCTAACTAGCTCTCCGGCCGCTGGTTCGTGGGCGGAACAGGTAGGCCTGGAGAAGGGTGACGAGGTTATCATTTCCGGCGACCTCCTCGCGGAGAAGAACGCCGTCGACGCAGCGCAGCGTGTGTCGAAAGCCGGGCCACGGCCAATCCACATTCTGTTTCGAAGGAAGGGCGGGTTTCCGGACAGTGTAAGGGGGAAAGCGACGAAGACGAAAAGGGATCTGCCTGGGCCCTGGATCAAGGAACTCGCCGCAAGAGGTTTGTTGCACAGCAGCGCACTCTCATTACCCGCACGGAGCGCGAAGAAGGTGGAGTATCAGGCCAAAGTAAAGGCGTTCGTGTCGCCGGGAACGAGTCCGCCGGTTGCAAAAGCTGCGTCAACGAGCAGTGGTCAACCGCCTGTAGTCGCAAAAGTAGCGTCCACGGCCCCAACTCCAGCAGCGCCGGTTGTCGTTCCACCTGGCACCGTCGTGGTGCCGTATTGCGCGCAACTTCTGGCGACTAGCAAGGACCTAGTCGGCGCGGGGCTTTGCGGGTGGGCGCAGAGCAGCATCGACGCCGTGACGTTGAATCACCCGGGGTTGTCCGCGGACGACAAGATTCGCGAGCTGTTTGGTATGGTTTTGGACTGGGCCGCCTTTCCCATTGTCCGCGTCTCGCAAGTGATCGCCAAAGAGGCAAACGGCAAGGATCCAACGAGAGCGGCGAAAAACAACGTCAGTGTCGGGGACCGGATGGTGATGTGCGGCACTTTGCAAGACCGCGTGACGCTGGTGCCGAGCTGGGAAGGGATTTCGCCCAGCGATGCGTTGATCCAAAAGATCCAGCGGAAAGCACAACGGAAAGACAATCCCGTTGCGGGATTCGCTTTTCTGCGGAAAAAGCACGAAACGAAGTATCTGCAGCTAGTCATGGAGGACCAGTCCGACTGGGGCTGGACCGTGCAGAACGGGAAAATCGTCGATGTTGCAGCCGGAGGGATCGCTTCGAAAAAGGGACTGCAGAAAGACGACAGGATCGTGATTGCCCACGATGCTTTGCGAGAGAAGGACATGGCAGAAATCGATAGGCGCGTGGGGCCGTCGGGTGCTCGGCCGCTGCATTTTCTGGTGCGGAGGGAAGCTGATTTTCCAACCTCCGTGTGGCAGGCACAGGTTAACGTGACGAGACAATTCCCAGCGAAATGGAACGCGATTGTCCGAACGAAGACCGCGCCACCTTCTCCGGGGGCGGCGAGCAAGGCGTCCGCATCTGTGCCCGTTTCCAGTGTCGTTTCGAAGACGAGCGCAAAGTCCTCCGCGGGGGCACCGAGCGGTGTAAAGTCTGCACCAGCGGTAAGCCAAAGTGCAGCGTCGAAATCCCCTGCACTGTCAGTAAAGTCTGCACAGTCAGCAGCATCTTCTACAAAGGCAAGTGCGGCAGTGGCGGGGAAGGCGGCGACGTCGTCTGTGACCCCTGGTGGAGGACCAGCGAGCGTTGCCAAGACGGCGACACCAGCAGCAGCAAAGCCAGCAGCAGCAAAGCCAGCAGCAGCAAAGCCAGCGGCAGAACCTGCGCCCGCTCCCACTGCAACACCCGCACCATTGGCCGCTCAGCCATCCCCAGGCGCCCCGCCGCCACCGTACTGCGTGCAGGTGCTGGGGCAGAGCAGTGACCTGGTTGGAGCAGGTTTAGCAGGTTGGGCGCAGTCCAATATCGACGACAAAATTTTGAACGATCCGAACCTCGCCGCGCACGAGAAAATCCCGAAGCTGTTCGGCATGAAGCTCAATTTCACGCAATTTCCAATGATCAAAGTCACGGAGGTCATCCCCCTGGTTCCCGACGGGTCCGGGCCGTCGCGCGCCGCGAAGAACGGCATTGAAGTCGGAGACACGATGATCATGGCCGGGACTTTGCAGGATCGCGTCACACTGCTCCCGACCTGGGAAGGGAAGGGCCCGAATGACGCGATCGTTCAGAAGGTGCAGCGGAAGTTTGCGCGCAAGGATAACCCAGTTGCCGGCTTTGCGTTCTTAAGGAAGAAGTACGAGAAGAGGTACGTGCAGTTGTTGATGCCTGATAACAAGGACTGGGGAATAAACGTGGAAAACGGCAAGATCATCGGAATCACCGCGGGGGGCATCGCGGATAAAGCGGGGCTGGCAGTAAACGATCGCATCGTCGTCGCGCATGACGCGTTGCGGGAAAAAGACGGGACAGAGATCGACAAGCGAGTGGCTCCGAGCGGGGCGCGACCTTTGCACATTCTGGTAAGGCGAGAAACCGACTTTCCTGATAGTGTCTTGACTAACGCAGTGAATACGGCCCGGGTTTATCCGACAAATTGGGCAGTTCCAGTGACCGTGGCAGCTGCAGCTTCTCCAACTCCTTCAAGTGTTGCACTTGCGAAGCCGTCCGCTAGTCCCGCGAGCACAGCGAAGTCTGCGGTCGCCGCAACGACCTCAAAACCGGCCGCAAGTACGACCTCTAAAGCGGCGCCGTCGGCCACTCCGTCGAAGACAGCGGCGCCTGCTGCAAGTAAGGCAACAGCCTCCCCAGCCCCATCGAAATCCGCAGCTGCAGCGAAGCCCGCGAATGGCACTGCCAAACCCGCCGCTGCGAAAAACGGCAAGGCCGCGACTCCTGCTGCAAAAACAGCGAGTACAACACCAGCGAAGACCCCAAGTGCAAGTCCTGCTAAGGCGACTGCAACCGCCGCAACGAAGGCGACCACGCCCGCAAAGACCGCACCAGCAACAGCGGCGGGTAGAACGTCTAGCGCGAAACCGAGCGCTTCAAAGTCCGCACCGAAAACAGCACCAGCGGCCACCACTAGTAAGGCTGCTCCAGCAGCAAAGACTGCGGCAGCGAAAGCTCCAGCTGCGCCGGCGAAAATATCTGCCGTGTCTGCACCGAAAACGGCGGCGACAAAGACCGCGTCACCCGCGAATACGAAAGCTGCGGCCTCCCCCGCTTCTACCGTAGCGAAAGCGAAAACACCTGCTCAGCCCGCTGCCAAGACCAGTACTGTGGCCGCAGCTGGTGCTACACCAAAGACTCCAGCTGCACCTGCTGCGGCTCCAACCCCAACCCCAGCACCCAAACCAGCGACTGCCCCAGCCGCCGGGGATCCGCCATACTGTGCGCAACTTCTCGGCTTGAGCAAGGATCTCGTCGGCGCCGGACTCTGCGGTTGGGCGCAATCGAGCATTGACGACAAGATCTTGAATGATCCGAACCTGTCTCCGGAGGACAAGATCCTAAAACTATTCGGAATGAAACTCGACTGGACAACTTACCCCATCGTTCGCGTCGTCAAAGTCGAGCCCCAACTGCCTGATAACAGCGGGCCAAGTCGCGCCGCGAAAAACAACGTGGTGGTCGGGGACTCCCTTGTCATGGTCGGCACGCTGCAGGAACGGGTCACACTCCTTCCAACCTGGCCCGGGAAAGATCCAAACGACGCGATCATTCAGAAAGTCCAGCGGAAATTCGCCAGAAGTGACAACCCGGTGGCGTCGTTCGCGTTCTTGAGAGCGAAGTACGAGAAGTTTTACGTGCAGGTGGAGCTGAAGGACAAGGAGGTTGGGGTGAAGTCAGAAAGTGGGAAAGTCGTCTCCGTCGTGCCCGGTGGTGTGTTCGACAAATTGGGCCTGCAAAAGGACGATCGCATCATCGTCGCGCACGACGTTTTGCGGGAGAAAGACCCGTCCGAGATCGACCGGCGACTGGCGCCGACAGGGGCACGACCGATGCACATCCTGGCGCGGCGGGAAAACCAGTTTCCGGACGCAGTGTTGAAGAACGCAGTGAACGTTTCTCGCGTTTTGAAAATGGGCGGCGCTGCTCCTGCTGGTGCACCTGCTTTGGCACCCGCCGGCGCGCCAGCCCAGCAAACCCAGGTGGCGTACTGTGCACAGATGTTAGGCGTCAGCAAGGATTTGGTCGGTGCTGGGCTGTGTGGCTGGGCGCAGAGTTCGATCGACGATAAGGTTCTGAACGACGGAACGAAGTCTGCCGAGGATAAGATCCGTGATCTGTTCGGTCTCGCGCTTGACTGGTCAAAATACCCGGTGGTGAGTGTGACAGAAGTGATTCCAAAATTACCGGACAGCTCCGGGCCCAGTAGAGCCGCGAAAAACAATGTTTGCGTTGGCGATCTCTTAGTTGCCGTCGGTACTTTGCAGGAGCGGGTCACGCTGCTGCCGACCTGGGTCGGGGCGTATCCGTCCGACGCGATAATCCAGAAAGTGCAGCGTAAATTTACCCGGGGTGACAACCCGGTAGCGGCTTTCGCTTTTGTGCGGAAGAAAAAATTGGCCCAGTACGTACAATTACTGTGTCCAGCGGATTTCGTAGCCGCGGTGGGGGGAATGCAGGAGAACGGAGTCTTGACGGAGAAAGTAGCAGAGTCCGCTTGGGCGAAAGACACCGCTGGTTTGCGGGCTGGAGACAAGCTCTCGGTAATCCACGACTTTCTGGTCGAAAAGAGGACCACTGCCGAAATTCAGGCGCAAATGGCAAAAGCTCCGGCGGGCGCGTCGATCAGTATTCTGTTCCGCCGCGAAACGGAGTTCCCCGCGGAGGTTTTGGCGAAGGGGATCGACGTGACGCGTGCTACACCGCCGGGGTGGAAAGGGAAGGACGGAGTGGCGTAGAAGGTGGGCCTTCCTAGAAGCAAGAGGAAGCAATGATCCCTCGTCAGACACGGATGTTTTTCAAATTGATAAATTTTTTTTTGTAAGATTGGACGAGATGACTTGACATTTTTATTTGATTTATGCTTACTCTGATTCACATTCAGTTTCACTATGACCAAGACGTCGTTCGACATTGATTTCGTATCAGTTGACATTGTTTTTGATAAACCAAGTTGAATTCGAAATTGTACAAAGAAGAAGGACCTTGCCTCAGGCTGCTCAGATGTTTGAGCGATTCCGATTTATCAATGCATGATACGTACACGCTACATGCAAAACAAGAATACAACGAATTACATCATTGCAGTTGCTGCCTAGCAGCATCATGGCAGACTGGAGTGGTATGGTCTATGGTTTATGGTGTCGGTGTGTTGTTGCCTCTTTGTCTTTCGGAAGCTGTTTGTGCTTGTATTCACGTCTTATCGAACCTGCTGAGCCAATGCGAAAAAGAGAGTGCCTTTCATCAAAACTGCAGAGCCGAGCACGAAACTTTGAGGTTGCGGTCTTGATTTTGGAGTTAGGTCGCTTAGAAACCCTAGATGGTACTGGCATCCACAGCTATGGAGGCATAGTCAGCCTGGTATGGTTCCGGATCTTTTGCCAAGCAGTGTTTTTCCACGTAGCGTGACGGAAGCGTCCGTTATTTTTCGAAATTTATTCACTGAAGTGGTTCTCATTGCGGCACCGCACTGCTTTAGAGATTCGATTTTGGAACCGAAAACCTGGCGGGGAAGGTCACGATGCCGGCTTTCGTCGAGGTACAGGTAGATTTCTACATCATGAGATAACCCCAATGCGAGCAAATATGGCGACCCAGCTCTCGACTGGAGATATCGACGTGGAGCTTTTGCTCCGCGCAAAAGAGGAGGAAGTGCTCCTGCAGGAGGCAGAACTGCGAAGATTGGTAAGGATTGTAGTCGAGATCGTCACGTGTTTTTGCTCTGCATTGACTGGCCTAGTACTAGTTCTGATTGCTGCTAGTAACCAACGTGCATTCGTGCAGCACCCACAAGTCGAGATGGAGTCTCCATCTCCGAGATGAAAGCTTGATGAAATTCTTACCTGGAGGATGAAAGAGAAAGTGTCTCACGCAATAAACAAAAAATCAGATGGCGGCTTACCTGCAAGGTTCAGCAAGCGCGCCTACAAAAGAAGAGGGTCTGATGAAAGAGGAACGACTAGAGGCAGCACAGGAGCACTCTTTTCAATCGCATGGGGCCAACGTCTACACCGACGAAGGTGACAAAGAGAATTTCGCACCCCCCCTGAGGAAGAGCGAACGCAAGCAGCGCCAGATGTTCGACTTTCATAAGGATCTGGTGCACGTGCTGGCAACGCATCGCGACTTGCTGTCCTCGCCACCCGGAATCGATAATTTGGTTGCTATAGAAGACGACGCACAAAATGCGAAGCGAGCACGTTCGCAAAGTAGCGGTGGCGCAAACGAGTTTTTTCCCGCAGTGGCGGCGTCGAGCAGCGGCCCTAGCAGAACCGTAAACGCAAAAGAGATGATGGAACCCGTTTCATCTGCGGATTCTATGTACACAGGAGACGCCAACCGACCACGAAGTTTTTCTACGAATGCAACGTGCAGCTCATCGTCCTCCTCTTCATCGGCATCCAAAAGCCGCCTCGGCGCTAATCCGATCAAACAACAGCCGGAAAATCCACTCTGGGAGATGAGCAAGCGACAGATTGCCGAGGCCTGCAAGAAGCTCGTTTCTGAACATCAAGCTCGACAAGTGGAGAAGGTCATGGGACAAAATGGCGATGCACATGCTGAGGACGAGGATCATCTATCCGATTGCTGCGACCAGTTGGAGAGCAGCAAATGCGACAAGCAAATTTGTGATTTGCACGGAACGCAGCACGGCAGCATCGCAAATGTGGCTGAGCAGGAGGGAGTACAAGGACTTCACTCTGTACCAGAAAATGATGATCTCGAAAGGAGCGAAGACAACATCGTGCTAGAAGATGTGTTTCCCCCAACAGAGGCCGCTGTTGATCTCTCAACCAACAACGGTCGGGAGCAGGGCACCATTCAAATCCTCCCGGCGGACACAGACTTGCTCTCATTATTGGAGCAATTTCCAGAAACGCTCGGCGCGCTCGAAGAGGAGGAGCCACACTTGGTGGAGGCGCTACGTACAGATCGTGAAAAGATCTATCAATTGCAGAGCACCACGGATGCGAGCCAAAGTGAACGTGAGCACCGCGTCTTGGAAGAGCGTCGCGTCGGGTCTACGTGCAAAAGCTATCCTCCGGCGCCGCTAGAGGAGAGCAGAGACGAGGAACCGCAGATTTTTCTGGAGCCGAGGGGCGTATCGCCTGCCGACAATCTGCGAGGTCGCCGTCTTGACGTGCGAAGGCCGGACGAGACGAAAACGGTAGAAGTACTATCGGAGTCGGAGCAAGTACTAAAACAGCAGAATGTTGATGTCCAACTCAAGTCCATGAACGAGCTGCGTAAGAAACGTGCGAGTCCCCGCTATCCAGTGGAGCTTCATGATCTTTCCCTTCGCGGAGGAGGTACAGCGGGCAGTGCGAGAAATACCACAGCGACCAGCCCAGACACCTCCTGGCAGGACCATTCGGTGACGATAGCAGAGAGGAGAACGGAGTCGCGTCTGCAGCCGGTTGTTGAGGACGACATTGAGGACGAGTTTGCGCCAGTTTTGTTTGAGCAATCGACGCAGAAACGGAGCAAGTCCACAACCGCTGCTTTTTCGGGCGGCGTAGCGGTAGCGGACTTTTCCGCACAAGCCGCGCTTGAAGAGTCGCGAGCGTCGATTACGGATGTTCTTGCGCAACTGGAACCCTTATCATCTGAAACGCGAAAAAGGGAAAGCAAGTCTGTTGTCGACGACAGCTGCACAGAAAACGAAGTGACAAAGAGACAGGTACTAGATTTTGATTTGTCCTCGTTTTCGAGAATGTTCTTACCTGATTTCCTCCATGTCCTCGCGCAAGATGATTCCATTCGGTGTTGTAAGTAAGTACTCATAGCATACCAACATACTACCTTGTTTCCAGGTCCGCCAGCGGCTGCAGGATCTAACAAACCAGCTACGCGACCTCCGGAAAGGGAAAGGTCCGCATGGTTCATCCTCGAAACATGCACCACTGGAAGGAGAGCAGGTCACTGCGATGATAGCGGCGCTGAGGAAAGAGCTGTCGAACATATCAGTTTTAATGGCATCTTCCTCTTCTACCGGCATGGAGAACTGTCATGTTCAAGTTGCGTCTTCAAAAGCCGGAACTAGCAAAACGAGTCAAATTGCGCTAGAGCCCCCTGCATCGGAAACGTCTTCCGCGTCCTACATTGGTGGCATCACCCCAAGCAGCAGCTCCTCGCGTCTTCCCTTTGCCGAGGATAGCGAAGACGAAGCCTCGCGACGAGTCGCGCAAGCGCACGCAAAAGAAAAAGATGCCCGTTTGCATCACCAGCGCGAAACATCGCGGAGTTTTGGCTTTGTGCCCAGGAAACGAAGCGAGTTGCTCGCATCACCGCCTAGTAAGTTCGGAAGACCCGAGGCGAACAGAAGAGCTGTCGGAGTGGATCCAAGGTAAAAACAATGCATACTGGTTGTGCAACTAGTCCAAGTGTGAGTATAGGATGTCAGACGATGAATACATAAAGAAAAAATAACCCTCGTCTCCACACAAAATCAATTCTTTCAGACGTGCGTGGCCGTCGGATCAAGGTGGAGCCTCGGGACAAGATCATACTCAACATGGAAGTGTGCGTGTTTTTCCTCAGCCGCTTCAAATAAGGCGTGGACAACAGGACGAGGCGATCAATCCGTTAGTGCAGCAACAGCCCAGGAGAAGGACGCAAAGTGCTGAAGACAAATTTAACACCGCGACGCAGACCAAGCGGCAGATTTTGCGCATGTCAGTTCGGGAGTGCAGGAAAGGCGGGCAGCGTGTAGCGACGTCGGGAGGTGTGGTCGTCAGGATACTGCGAGGCGGCGGCGCGTCTTCAGCGACTGACAGTGCAAAGGGCGACGAGACGAAAAAGATGAAGCCGCAACGCTCTGCTCGTGATTTGCAAAGGCCACAAACTGCCGCGCACACAGGTAAGAAGTCCTCTGCGAGTAAGGCCAACAAGAAAGCTCCAACATCCGCGAGACCCTCAGCGCATACCGGTACCCTCGGTACTAGCAGCAGGGAAGGCTCGAAGACCAGCCTCGTCGCCCCGGCGTTGTCCGCAGGATCTGTTGCGCAATTTCCAAGAGGGAACGCAGCTGGAGGCAGCACCGCAAGTCGCGAGCAAGTTTTTACTTCCAGGGGAGCAGCTATTGACAGAGCAGAGCGACCATTTGCAACAAGAAACATCGTGAACGCACCGCCAAGCAACGGCAAGCCTGGACATGTCAGTACGACGTCAACTAAGAATCTTTTTCCTTCGTCTGTGCGGACATCAAGCAAGGAGAGTGCGGGATCCGAGAAGATGCAAAAACACAACTTTAACGTCTTCGCGAAGCCAAGATCAAGTCCCCGGGACGAAGAAAAGCACAGCATTTGGACCATCGCGCCAAAGCCGGGTAGTACCAGACGCAGCGATCCCACAACGAACAAGCCTTCCTCCAAACGCACCGGGACAGTGACGCAGCGAAGCGAAACCGTTTCGACTACGGATTGCTTCAAGAGCAACACGAGCAAATCTAGCACCGACGCCGGTGCGGCGGAACCAGCAACGCGGTCGCTTGCTCCGCGTCTGGCTGGTCCGGGTGGACCCCGAGCTGCCGTGGAGCGCATCCCGAAAAAGAAAAGTGCAAAAGCTCCGTTGTCGCCTGTACTTCTGGTGCTGCCATCGGGTGAGGAAAAAGCAATCACGACCCCGAGGACAGCTACAGCTTCGAACGCACTTACATCTGGTGCCTACCTCGGCAGTAGTCCACCGCCACGCAAGCACCCAAACCGATTGCTCAAATCCACGGCCCCGCTCGTTGTCGAGACAAGCATAGTGTTCGAGAAAAAAAAGCCAAAAAAAAGTCTTACTGATACGATTGCGGCCCTTGATAAGAGCGCGACCGCACCTCCACCACAAGGAACTTCGCAAGAACTCCAATCGGCCTCAGCTGCACCTCCGGCTGAAGTGAAAAACGTTGGAGATGAGGAACACGACGATGAGGATCCTGCAGGCAGCAAGGAGGAGCAAGAGCACTCGGTGTCGCTGTCTCAACTGATCGCAGGAAATTTGGATTTCTCCCAGGGAAAAATTAACGACTGCGCTTGCTACCCCGGATCGTGTTCGCAGAAACCAGTTGTGCATGCAGACACTCCGGTGTCAATCGTTTGAAAGGCAAACTGCCTCTAAAAGTGATGCTTGACGCAGAACAAGAAAGGTTACTGATCGAGGCTGTATCTTACACTACTGATCGAGGATACACAAAGATTTTGAGTAGGAGGACTACTAGCAGAAATACGTTGCGTAACTTGAATACTTTTATTTCGATTTGTTGTAAGTCTAAGCTTGTTTTGAGCGGCTTCATCTTCATCTTTTTCCATTATCATCAATGCTGAGCTTTTTTTGCATGAGGTCTGATTCTGAATAGTTGCGCACCAATCGAAGAACAAGATGAAAGAACTTGAATCTGTTTGACAATGCGCACATCTATTGTTGGCGCACCCAAAGTCGGCACAGTGGGACACAACAACCTGGCAGAGTGGTCCTCTTTACCACTCCTACGGCAAGGGCTACTCAACAGAACGCAAAGCGAAAGGAATAGGAAGAGCTACGGGTGCCGGCGCCACCAGAATGACCAGATGCTTTCCGCGTCTGCTCTCTACACACGCAGATCGGGATTTACACCCCGCGAAGTTTCGGTCTTCGCGCACAAATCCAGATCTAATTTTTTTGAATTTGAGAAAAGCGTCGAGCTCGAGAAAAAAAAGAGGCCTAGTATTTTTGAATATGCTATGTGGAAGATCTCGTTCTCGATCTTGTGAGTTTTTGGAGGAAACGTAGAATAAATTGTAAATGGGTGAACGTATATACGTGAAACGAGATGGAGATCTTCGCAGGATCAGTGTATTCATAGCATAATGTTTTTTTTGGCGGACGCTCAACCGCTTCTAGAACGGCTCTTTTTTTATTGTCTGACCTAAACATTTTCTGCCTAGTTGTAGTTTTAGTTGAATCTCAGCGACCCCTTCATGTCAGTCAGTATCATTTCTAAAGTATCATGTAGCGGTTTTGTGAAGTCCTTCCAAGTGTAAACATCCATTCCTCTAAAGTTAAAAATGACGCCTTCTGACGCGCCGCCCGGCCACACGAATGCGACTGTTCTGGGCCGATTTTCGCAATGCCGCTTTTACGCGCAGACGGTCTCCAACTTCCTCGTCCTGACCCTCTCACTATGCCTCTTCACGTTTTTGCTGTACCTGGCCTTCGAAGGGACACCCGAAGATTTTCGGTTCTCTTCCGTGCGCAGTCAATTCGGACGAGGCGTCGCCGCGCTGGTGCCTTGCGCCCTGTACATGCTTTGGGTCGACGGAGTGCTGGTGCCGGTTCTGGTCCTCGTTTGGGGCCTTTTCGTACCGATAAGGGACAGCGATGCCGTTCCCCATTCGGCGTTGCGCAGGTTGGCTGTGGTCATCCTCGGAATCGCTTTTGTTGGCCAGGTATTCGCTTTTCTTGTAGAGGTGTGCATCTTTCTCCCCGCACCGCTGCGGTACGTGCTATTTCAGTTCCCTCGCGAAGTCATCTCCGCATTTCTGACCGGGCTCCTGAAGAGCATCACGCCCTCGTCCTGCAAGTACTTTCGACCGTTTTTCTCCAGATTACACGGGGTCGAAAGCACGCCGGGCGACAGCCGCTGGAAAAGGTATTACGACGTTCACCGGTACGAGACAGAGGGCATCTGCCGCAAGCGTTCCCGGCAAGGAGGAAAGATGCAATCTGTTGGTCTCGATTGCCCTCCAGGGCTGCAGTGGCACGCTGTGTGCCGCAGCCTCCTGGCTTTCGTCCGCCGGCGGAACTTTTTCGCTTTCCGCAGCTGTTTAATGGCAGGCGTGGACGACGACTTGGAATTAAGCGCCGGGGCGGAAGAACAAGAATCTGGTCTTCAATGCGCAACAAGTACAGACCATGAGAACAAAAAAACAGGAGCAGAAGCAGTACCCTACGAAAAGACAAAGCCTGACAAGTGGCAAGAATTTCAGGAACACCTTACTGAAGTTGATGCCTTGGAGAAGCGGCGACGTGAAATGGTCGAGCGCGGTGCGCTAAAATTGAATGCCGCCGACGAAATAAAGCAACTCGATGCGGCAGAATCAGAAGCATCGCACTCAAGCAAACGAACTTCGCCCACCGGTTCGCCTCGGCGAACCGAGATGGGTATTGCAGACATCGACGATGGGCACCACCAAGACATTGCTCCGACGCTCGCGAAAGCCGGGACGCCAGCTGAAGAATCGGTCTTGAGAAAATTTTGCGCCACCATGTGGTTCCTTTTCGGACTGGCCGTGGAACTACCACTACTCCTGATGGCGGGGCCGCTGTTTGTCATCGAGCCTTTTCTGTTCCGCTTCGTCAACTACCGGGACCCGAAGCACTACGTGATTTGCACGCATGGCATGGGAGCGAACACCGCAAACTGGGTGTACGGACGATATTTCCTGGCCTGCCAAGACTACGTCGACAACGTCATCTTTCCGACATACCTGGGGGGCTTATTCGCAATCGATTACAACGGGAATGTCCGAAAGTGCACATCAAAGGTGTCTGCGGACGTCGCAGCACAGTTGAGCCGCATCCTCGAGACCAAGCAAAAGGAGGCGGAGAATCGACAGAAAGTCGTCGCAGACAAGGACACGCACGAAAAACTTGTCTACTCGCCGATCAATAGGGAAGTGCCGATGTCCGAGGCGCGCGAGGCTCCAATCACAGTGTCGCTGGTCGGGCACTCGCTGGGAGGCATGATCAGTGTCAACTTGGCACACGAGCTGTTTCCGGACCAGATTTTTGGAGGGAGTAGTGCGAAAGATACGAGTTCGACGACGCCGACGACTTTTCTGTCCGATTATAGGCACGCAGCTAGCAGCAACATGCAGGACGAGAGCAGGCCGCAGGTCCGCAGTCGTCGCGGCTCTTCGGTTTCCGAATTCCTGGGTGAGTCTGCTGTTTCCGACACAGGAGTAGAAAACAACACTGACGATCCTCACCGTCAAGTAGTTTTTTCGAAAACGGACTTTCTCTTGCACAGTGTTGTCCTACTTTCCAGTCCTTTGTGTGGCAGCGACTTCGTTCTGACGGGGTTTCGACTGCTGCCATCTTGGGCAGCCAGGCTGCAATTCGCGAGTGGGGCGGATTTGTGGCAGGATCTGTCACCGCAGTCTCCGCAGGGCAAACAACTGTGCGAGCGTTTGTGCGCACTTTTCGCTTCGGACAACATTCCAGGTGGAGTTCATTTGCTTGGCGGTACGACCGACTTTTTGGTTTTCCCCTATTCCGCCTTCGCCCTGCGACTGAGGGTCCGGGGTGCAGATTTGCGGACCGAGACTTCTTTTGAAATTGTGACAAACGTGGGCCATTACAACGTCGCAATTAGTTCCTTCGTCTGGCGAGCCATCTTCAGCAGAGTCGATCGCGGCGACCCATTTTAAATTAACGACAGACCGGCGCCGATGACCTCGTCCTGGGACCGATGGCGACCTCCCTGCCGTGTGTGGGCTGCGGCAAATCATTTTTCTTGTAAGATTCTGCGTGCGTCCGGACGGCAGTACGAACAACGTCACGACATAACTTTTTTAGAAATAAGTTTGTTTTGCAAATTTCCCTTCTGTTGCTCTCCCCTAGCGGATTTTTGGTTTTTCTCTATCATATCCTGCCAGACTCTACGGCCACGACATGACGATGGATTCATTGCTCGTTCGACAACTATTTTTCTCGGCTGCAGCACCCTTGCGAAAGAAAAGCAGCACCACTCTGATCTCCCGAAAAAACCGAGCATATTAAGATCCGCGTGTTATGAAGCAGCAAAGTGTGACACTGATGAAGATGTTGATGTTCGATTTGCGGGGATCAAGTTAATCGTATGTAAGTACGCGTGAGCGTGAACACATGCAAGGGTTTATTCCTTGACGCATGGTAGCTTGGTGTTGGTCCAACCTACGCAGCTGTGACTTTCTTCTCTTTCTTCATTCGTTGCACGTTAGTATCCATCGACATACAGACACTACCTAGCTGCTTTTTTGTTTCTGTTTTGGGTTGGATATCGAAAGTTTGATTTCGGATGTGTCACTCATACTCATTAGTTTTTTTGCAGCTGTAGTAGATCTTCCATCAACCACAATCTTCTCTCTGCGTAATAATATACACCTAGTGCTAGACAACTTTTCATTCAGCACTGATGACCTCAATTCCGCCCGTGAAGCCCTGGCTGCGACGCAAACAAGGAGCGGTCAGCGGCGATGTTGTGGCGGAGCGATTCCACAGCGGAGCCCCGAACGGTGTGCTCGACAGCGCTGTGCCGCTGGATCCCGTAGGCGGCGTGGGTCTTCTGGACGACGAACCGATCGGCACGTTAGACTCGCAGCCTTCCTCTCTGGGACTGCCCTTGGGCGGGCAAACCGAACCGCTTCTCGGAGGCAGCGAAGAGGTGGGTGGTGCGAGTTCTTCCACCGACCCAAATCGCGGGGGTGCCGCCATCGGTGAAACGACGTTAGCCACCACGGACAACAGCAATTACGGTCTCTCCACAGGAGGCGTTGGGTACGGCGGGATAGGAGGCGGAATGTACGGGGGTGCAATGGGCGGCTACGGCGGGATGGGAGGGGGGATGCAGCAGATGGGCGGCATGCAGCAGAATTCGGAGCTGTTCGGCCCGACGGCGGAGTCACTCTACAAGTTTGAGGAGTTTCTCTCCTTCAACAGTCACATTCTGGACAAGTCCTACGAGTGTTTAGAGAAGAGTAAGAACTTCCTGATGGACCACGTTGTGCAAAACGTGATCTATTTGCTAAAGAAAGTCCGCCGCCTCGTGTTACCAATGCACACCGACGAGCAGTGGCGGTTTCGGAAGGGCCGCTGGGTTGTCGTGAACCAGGAGGAGATTGAAGAGGCCGAGGCTGGTCGGGGCAACCGCGTGTTGCCGCCCTTTCAGTGGCGCCCGGCCGTGGTGAACTTTTTGTTCCTCATGGTGCTCTGGAGAGGATACTTCTTGGTCCGCCGCCGGCGGTTGCAACAGGATCAGATGCGAAAGATCGGCGAAGTACTGTATCAAACGACATCATAGCATTTACGAGGAAAATGAAGTTTTCGAGGAGCTTCACTGCAATCCGCTAAACCGCATCTGCTTACGCAAAAACATCGCAGTCCACATGATCCTGGTTCGAGTTGACTCGAAAGGAATCGACCGTTCTATCGGTTTTCGTGTTCAAGTTGGCTGAAGATCGATGTTGTCAGCCTTGGAGAAGCTTGAAAAGCTCGCGGTACTTGCAAGAGGTGCAAACAAAGGGTCGACTTTGCTAGATTGATCCTGGCGACAGCTTGAGGTTTTCCATTTACATGTTCACTGTTGTTCGTCAAATAAATTCGAAGCGGAACGAAAGAAGTGTGCAATTTTATGTCCTGCACTACCAGGCGAGGGGCGCAATATTTGAACCGAGCTTGCGCAAAAATTGTCGAAATATCGTTGTCATCGGTGTGACGTTCGCTATATCGTCGTCGTCTTGCACGTTTTCAGCGCGACTGTCATATGCAGAGCCCCCCGCCATGGATGAGGTTGCTTTTTCCGATCGTCCTGGTTGCGTACTTCGGAGTTGAGTCGCAATGGCGGGGAAGCAATTGCCGCCAGGAGACAACTTTCGACCAGCATCCACCCAGCATCTTGTTGCGAAGAAGCAGGAGCGTCCGGACGTTAGCGCCTACAGAAGGAGGCTTTGTTTTGTTCGACTCGCCTCGGAAAAAAGCTGGAACTGCAGGAGCTTCGCAAGTGGTTCAGAGGGCGAAGCACGCGGAGCTGGATGAGAGCTCAAGACAGGCGGAAAAAGCTGGAGCAGCTGGGACTAAAGTGGACTCTCCAGAAGCGAAAAGCGATGGCGTGGGCAAGACCGGGTCATCTGCTTCCATTGAGGAAAGAACGAAGGCCGCAGTCGAGGAGAAAGATGAGCTTGCCGAGAAAAATAAATCTAGTCTGGATAGTACACGCACAGCTGCAGCTACTGCCATACCGGTTGTACATCGACGGTCCGGGGTTGCGTCTTCTCTACGAAAGATGAAGGGAAAGGGTATCTACGACAAGTTCCCGGCGCACTTTGAGGTTACCAGCTACGACTCGTTTCACCGTTCCGCGTCCACGTCACGAAAAGCCACAGACGACGGCGTGCAGGAAAAAAAAGTGTCCTTCGGCATCGTTTTTCCGTTCCACGGGACGAGAAAGCGGGTGGCCGTCGCTCAGAAAGCATGGATGAGCCTGGAACGCGCGATGCGGTACGCGGCCATGCGCAACCCGACGTGGACGTTCGATGTGGTGCTTGTGGACGACACGCAGGAAAGCCACTCGGAACCGGACTACCTCCAGTCAGACTCTCTAAAGGACGATTACGGGGTGCGTGAGGGTCTGGAAGCGCACAACCTCTTCAGCGCGGTGGAACCAGCATCTACTTCCGGAAGTGCGGCGGCCCCGATTCAGCCGTGGCGCGCTGCAAGCGAAACGATCAGGACGCTTTTCCGCCTGTTTCCCGGGAACGAGAAGGTTCGCGCCACGATGTACACGACCATGCCATTGCTGAAGCTGAAAAAGAGCAAGGCGAAACCGAAAGCCGCACCACCGCCCGCCCCTGCTGCAGTTCCGGGCCCACTGCCGGTAACAAGTGTAGCTCTGATCATTTTTCCTCTGGTCACTTGACAATTCTATTCACCAGCCTATCACGAGTAAGAGATTTTCGGTCGAACTCTCATGGATTTCAGGACTCACTTGCCTGATCAGGTCAGGTTTCCATCGTGGCGTAAAATTTTGCACCAATCAGGTGGTGGGAGTCGCAAGGAAACCAGCAAGGAGGCAGCTCACCGAGGACGATGAGGCTCCGGTGTTCAAGCAGGCACACAGTGCCCCCTCGAACGTAGTCATTCGTCCGCGTGCACCAGGAGTACCATCCGCGGGCAGCCATCCCGCTGCGATGGCGGCCGCGGCCCCAAGTGCGAAACCTGTTGTGCGAGTGGTGCATCCCAAAGAGCTGGCGGGCACCGTCCCGACGATTGTGCAGCGCACTACGAGCAGGAACCACGATGCCAAGGTAGTCCTAACGCCTACCCCAATGGTCGCAGCGACGGCACCGAGCACAAGACCCCCTCAGTCCAGCAGCCCCGCGGCTTCGCACACAACTACCGTTCTTTCCGCGTCGGAAATCGATGAGAAGCTTGGGACGGCTTTGCGCTCGGATCAACACACAACGGCGCCTCCGGTTGTAGGGGTTGCTATCACGTCGACCACAACGCTCGAACCCACGACGACCGCGGCACCCACGACCACCACGCCCGCGCCTGCCACTTTGATCCCGCCCCCGGATCCGAATGAACCGGGTGCAAAGCACGTGGTCTGGGAAACGCAGGACGACGACTTGGCGGAGGAACAAAGAGTAGCCGACCTTGCCTACCACAGCGCCGCAATACAGGTGGTGCTCGCGACGCGTTCGCAGTCTTGCGACTGGCCATCCCCCACGGACAGCACGGTCCCAGAGGAGGCAATAAAAAGTAAGACGGAAGCACCCCTGGCCGAAGTTACGGCTGAGCTGAAGCGTACCCCCGGGAGCGACACTCTTCAAGTTGTTCCCGCGAGCGAAACAACCACTGCTGCACCCGCGGTGGCTACTACTGTCGCCCCTGGGCCTGCCGTTGTAGCTGCGGGAACAACTACCGTGACGCCGCCCGGTGCTCCGGCTCCAAAGAGGCGGATGCAGAACGACTTCGTGGGGCTGTATGACCTGATGGAATCATTTGCTTCCCCTCCAATTATGGCAACACCGACAACATCAAACAGCTCTAGTCCCGGAACTCATCAGCCTGCGCTCGTTTTGGAAGCAGAAATGCTAGAGAAATTTTGGAATTGGAACAGCAGCGACACAAGAACAGAGGGAGTTTCGGAACCAACGGCACCGGCTCCAGTCTCGCCACCTTCCGGTGATGTCTCGGCGCTACCTCTTGCTGCTTCAATCGGGTCCGTAGTCGCTGCATTTGTCGGAATTGTAAGGACCGCTTTCGAGGCGTTAGGAAATCTGTTCGACCACTTCGAGGACCATTCTCCGTCGATTTCGCAGTCGGAGACGAAGGGAAATAGCTCCAGTACTACTCGTACCGCACCCGCTGGCAGTAACACCGCGAATGGTGCACTAGCGCTCGCGTCGCTTCTCGAAGACAGAACAACTGATGGTTCTTTTGGGTCCTCCCCAGAACCGCCCCGGCGTCGCCTCGTCCCCACGAATGCCGTCGCGGGGCCCGGAGTAACGGTAGAGGAGAACTATCAAATCAAATCTGCGGTACTGAGCAATAGCCAGAAGATCGCGGTGTGTCAGGAACGAAGTCTAGTCCTCCTAAAGGCAGAAGACTTGAACGCCTGGGATGCTGCCCGCGTTGGCAGCACGAAGCCCCCCCGTACGCGGCAGTACTCGCGGCGGCTACTGCCGACCGGCTCCGGGTTGCAGCAAAGCGCGAAACCTGCAATTTTCGAAAACGCTGCGGCGCTCTACATGGGCAGTCCGACCGAGTCCCCCCCGCCCGAGTCCATAGCGAATCACCGCCTCGTTGAGCTGAGGCCGCGCGTTTTGCTGTTCACGAACGAGACCGCAAAGCTTCCGGGCAGAAAAACCTCTCCGCACCATCGTGGAACAAAAGACCCCAGTAGAGGGCCAGAAAGTAATCAGGATTTGGATCTGTCTGTGCGCCTGCACGTCTGCCTCCCACGCGCAGGTTGCTCGGTTTCCGGCAGCATTTCTTCGCATTTGCGCAACGGGTTCAAAACCCTACTGTTCGGGTCCAGTGAAAAATTGGGACGGAAGCGCGCGCTGTACACGAAACACATTGCCGAGGATAGCAGCGGGAGAGACCTGATGGCGTCTCTGGATAAAGAATACGTGGAGACGCAGGGCGAGTATCTACGCAGTTACCAGGAGCAAGAAGATCGGATTGAAAATGCGAAGGCGATTGGAGGTAAGAGCGATAATCCAGATGCTGGGTCGACGAAACCTTCGGAAGTTAAGCAAAATAACGGAGCAGGAGAACAAGATAGTAACACAAAGCCCGGGATGGCACTTTACTATCGGGATGAGACAGATTTGGATTTCATTCTGAATTTGGACTCGGATCTGCTGGTGGATAAGGAGTATTTCGTCAATTTGGAACGGCAGTTTTATTTCCAGAAGCTTCTGTTCCCGGACATTTTCGGCAAGGAGAAAAAGGCAGCAATAGAGAAGGACAAGAAGAACCAAAAGGAAGCCAAGAAACTGAAGCTCGAGGAGGACACGGCGATTGCGCGGATCCAGCGGGAACAGGCCCAGAAAGCCCGCATCGAAGAAAACGCGAAGCGCATCGTGCAAGCGCAGAAGGAGGCTGCGGAGCTAGCAAGGCAAAAGAATGCACACATGAACGCGGTGGTCGTCGTGCAAGGTCCGTCCGGGAAGAAAGTGGCAAGTGTGACGCGAACTAGACCGCAACGAAACCGACGGGCACTGAGTGAAAAGGAAGCAGCACCTGCAGCTGAGACCAATGCCACTGCTCCGGCGGCGGCACCTGTCGTAGAGACGAAGGCAAGTAGATCTTTGCAAGGCACTGCCAACGACGACCCAATACCGCACCACGAGCTGCCGTATCACCTGCAGCCGAAGACCCGCGCGCCGGAGGATCATGCCCCTGTGGGCGAAGCACCGGACAACTCATCCGAGTTCTCAGCCGAGGAAGCTAGCGAGATGGAGCGCAGGGGGGAGCTTCTTATGGCCCGCGAAGCGGACAAAACGTACTACGGCACGATCTTCAGCACATACGTCAGCAGCTTCCACGGCATCTTCGGTGGGGCGTCCTACGCGTTTGATCTGCGGACGTATGAGATCTGTTTGCGTGCCTCGATGAACACGCGTTTTCTGGAGCGGTACGTCACCAGGCTCGACTACCTGCACAACCGCTGGGTCAAAAAGCGTCTGGCCATGAAGAAGCGCGTCCCACTGAGACTACGGACTCGCGTTCTCCCCGGCTCGAAGCCGACGCTGCCTTGGGATTCAGCGCTCATGGAGCGATGCGAGGAAAGCAAGGCTCATCTCCACGGGGCGCGCAACCGAACCACCGGCACGCAGGCCTCCTGGACCTATCACGTGTACAGCAACGAGGGCCTACACCCGGAGAACGAGGAGCGGCCGGCTGATTTTCAAGGGGCGGACTGGTTCAACATCGCCCTTGCGACGCAGCCGGTTGAGACGCACAGTTTCCCCTTTCTGTGATTCGCATGAAGAAGAGGCAACCTACTTCTGCTGTATTGGCCCATCACCATCATGGGTTGTTGCCCGTGATGCTTTTCATTTTTGCAATTTCGAATGGAGCGCGACCTGTCCCTGCGTGATGCGCAATCTATTCTGTTTGCAAACATACGACCTCTTTTACGCAGTCGATGCCGCGCCTGGTACAAATAGGCAGAGAAAGAAGTGTACACGAATTGCTGCCACACGACTCCGGACGCCTCGAGCGCATCAACACCAAGAAAGTCACAGTCTCTCACTTTAACCTGCGTTTGCAGCGCTTGTAGTTCCAAACAACAACAAGTTCGTTATTGACGCACTCGATGCTGATTCTACAATTTGAGCAGCGATCATGATCTCTACATAGATATGTTGTATTTCGGATCCGCAGCAAACTAGGCTTGACGGTAGTTTTTGTTGGGAAAGTCTTCAGTCTCGTTGCCATTCTTTTTTGTCTGCGCAGCCCTAGTGGATTTGCCGAATCGTTGTTACATTGTACGAAGGAACAGATGGTGGAAAGTCCAGTTTTTGAAACCTAGTCGTGTCAAGTGCTTGTGGTTAAGATGGCTGTCGATTCGGTTGCACCAGGACACGAGCAACATCTGACTCGACGTTCTGTGCGTCCGCACCATCATGTGCACGAGCGCGTCGTGCACGCGCACGCGCGCGTCGAGAGCAACAGCGAGCGGCGGGCTCGGCACCGAAAAAAACTGGCCCAGGTCATAGCGGAGGAGGTGCGCGACGTGAAGCGACGGCTGGAAGCAGCCGCAACCGAGGCCTTTCGGTCACGCGTGAAAAAGCTTCAGGCATCTCTCGCCCAGGAGTCCACTTCCTTGCGGGGCGACCTCGTGCGGGCACAGCAGGAGAATGAGCGGCTGCGCAGGGAAGTCCAGGCGGAACGCCGTGTCACCGCACAGCGGGAAGTGCACTACACCGAACAAGAGCTGCGAATACGGCAACTATCGACCATTTTGGCACAGCAACAGGAGACTATCGACCAAACTCGTCGTGGGTTATTTTCCCCTCGGAATCGCTCGCCTTCCTGGACAGCCAGAGCTACCGCGACGACGCAGAGAGCAAACGGAGTAGAAGAGTCGCCTGCAGAAGTAGAACGGGGTAGAGAGCCAGCTGGAGGAGATCCTGTACACGACGACGAGGAATTTTCATCTCAGCCTCCCCGCCATTCCGTACTAGCGAATGGCCACGCACCAGCACCGCTGCAGGTAGAGATCCCACAGGCGGCGCGCGGAACGACTCTACTGCAGACGGGAAATACGGAGGTTTTCGATATTTCCTCCCCCGACAGCTCCCGGGGAAGCAATCGAGGCAGCGTCATGAACCACCGAGGTGAGCCGGTGGTGCAAAAAGCGAAGGAGACCGAGCAGTACGAAATCTTTCAGCGGAAATGGATGGAGCGCTGGAGCGAGCGGGAGGCGCGTTTCGCTGAAGCCGAACAAGAATGGGAAACGCAGAGGACTTTGTTGCAACAAGAACTCGACGTGCTGAAAAGTAGCCGAGACCACATTGGGGACGAAATAGTTACAGTTGAAGATCCTTCGCGCGTTCCGCAGGCCGACGCAGAGACCGCGGTGACACTGTCGCTGTTGGCTTTGGGAGAGGCGGAGGCTGCTGAAATCGGCGTGCAGACAGAACACGAAGCGGCAGCAGAAAGCGGCGTGCAAACAGAACAAGAAGCGGCAATAGATATCGGCGTGCAAACAGAACAAGAGGCTTTGGTAGAAGTCGGCGTACAAGCTACAGACGACGAGAGTAAGACGTTTGTAACCACAGGCACGAACACGGACGAAAACCACGACCAGGCTCTCCAGAGTACGCCTGTGAAAAGTCCGGACACTTGTAGTTCCTCCCTATCTACTGTCGCACCACCACCAACCGCCGCAACGCAGGAGGATTTGGAGGCGAAATATCGTGCGCAGATGCAGGCGGAATTTGATTCGCTCTCGAACGTTCTCTTTTCTGACCTCTCGGATCTGAAATCCAAACTGGAAACCGAAATGGCGAGCCTGATCGACGAAGACATTTCGCCCCGCATTTCGCGCAGCCGCGACGCGGAGAAGGCGGAGCGGCGGCGGCTCAAGAAGGTGATTGAGAAAAAGAACGTGGAACTGGAGACGGTGACCAAAGCGTGTTGCGTGCCTGTGTTCTTGCAGCCGGCGGTCGCAGAGATCGACGAGCAAATACGGGCGGTAAAAGAGGAGCTTGGAGGCGTCGTTGCTGATGTTGAAGGTAAAATTGATGATGAGCCACTGGAGAACGGTAAAAACGAAATGATCGAGAGGACCTCCTCCGCGGAGGGAAAAAATGGTATGACGCTTGTCCCGTTCGATGCTGACGACCCGGATAGTATGAGTGGAAGCGCCGCTGCTGGAACAAGTATAAGTGGTCAACATCATCAACCGCGGGTCACCTTTTCTACCCGGGTAGAAACCGACGAGGACGCGGACGAAAAGGAACAAGAAGAGCGTGACCTATTAGACCACACGACTATGTCCATCACCCCTCGCATGTCGGGCGCGGAAGACAACGGTGGTGACGCCGGTTCTTCTACACCCAGAACCAAAAACAGGGACGGCGTATTTTTAAGCAATACCGAAAGTAGTAGCGGAAACCCTGTTGATCCCGCAGTCCCAACGAGTGAGAAGCTTGACTCTCTTCGCGCAGAACTGAAACTCGCGGCCGAAAAGGCGCGGAAGGTGGAGCGCCGCATCGACAAGCAAGGAACTGCGACGGAGGACACCTTGAAGCTGCGGAAAAAGTACGACAAGATTCAGAAGCGAGTGAGGCGTCAAATCGAGGAGGAGACACGCCGCCTGGAAAACGATGCACGCTTCCAAAGACGAAAGCTGCTAAATCAGAAAGCCGAATTGGAGCGGAAACGTGCCGAGGCCGTGACGGCGGCGGAAAACTCGGTAGAGGAAAACGAAGCACAAAAAACAACGCTGGAAGCAGAGCTCGTCGACGCGATGGACCGGTACGAGGTTTTAACAGAAAGCTTGAAGGGTTTAGAACAGGTATTTCAATGCAGTGCTTGCGACTTTATTTGTCCACTTTCATTTTCGAAAATCAAAATCTCACAACTTCTACCCATGATTGCTCATTCGCTTAGGGGGTCTAATGCTGCTTCGCCCAGACTGACGTATGGTGTTGTGTAAGTGTGGCAAACTGATGCTTAGGTATCCGGCCTCGGCGACGACAGCGATGACTCAGGCAGGCCTAACGAAGATTCTTCCGACGAGGATGCCGGTGTTTCCGAGCCACGCGAGACAACGGAGAACGCAGCGTCGGAAATCAATGTTCTAGTGCCGCAAGGACCGGAAACAGTAGAAGAAAGTTCCGCTAATGTCAGCCTTCTCGTCCCTGCTGGCGTCGCATCGGACCAGCAACAGTCGTCTGCTCGATTCCCAGACACAAAACTGCCTCGAAAGAGTTGCCTGAAGCACCGCAAGACCACGCACGAGGCCCGGAGACCAACGAGACGCGTGAGCGTTCTGGCGGCTGCGAGAACACGGAAGACGGCGTTGCTGATCCAGCAAACCGAGGCCAGAATGACGCACCACCTGGCGCAGTTCCAGCAGCGGCTCAGTCTGTTTCCGACGGCGGAGCAGCAGCGCAGATCGGAGGGGAGCCGCGACAGTGGTCATTTATCTTCTGGTGCGGCTACTTCGTCGGTAACTAGTCCGGTGCACGGCTTCGATTTTTCACAACCACAATCTGCTCCAGCAATTCGAGTGTTCGCGCCTTTCTCACCAGAAAATGGATTTTTACAGAAAGCAACTGTAGATGAACATGTCGACACACATCAAAATGCATCTTTGCCCACAAGCCCCCTTCTGACGGACGATAAAAAGATCTCTACAACTAGAAGTTCGATCACGACAACCTCTTATCTGCTCGATGCAGCAAACCGGACTCCCCAACTGCAGTGCGAGAATCACAGCAGCTCCCAGGAACGACAAGCGCAGCCCTCCTCATCCGAGCAGCTTGTCAAAATTCACAGCGATCACAGTCTGGTTGGCAGTGTCTGCATATCCGACGGGGAGGATTTGCTCGACAGCGCGGTGTCTGAAGTCCGCCACAACGAAGTCGACACGCTGCTCGGCTCGGCACGGTCCACATCGCTGGTGGACAACACCAGTCTGCAATTTATCCCAGCGAAATCCGTAATATCCGCTCCGATTCGCGGTCTTGTGGAAACAGATGCGGAGGACTTCGTTTCGATTCCGGCCGCGAAAAACAGTGTCCACGCTGGACAACAGGTCAGGATGGAAGGTTCAACATCGCTTGCCGACCGTGTCAGCCGGGGCGCAATTCAACCTACAGAAGTGTTGGAGACAAACGCCATAAAGCGGGGCTCTATCCACGAGGACGCGCTTGCCGAGCTGCGAAACCTCCAGAGCACTTCTCCACTGACGGAGCAGTTGCAAGGAAGATCGAGCTTGATCCAGGGTCGAGATGCCGGCTCCGAGAAAATGAGTACGCGTTCCGTAGTTACAGGTCGCCGCACAGGGGCTGAACTTGTGCGAGACGTCGACTTGGAAGAGCAGCAAAACGTCGACGATGAAGTCCGTCATAAAATCACAGTTATCGCATCCCGCGGCGAGGGCGGTAGCGAAATTTTCGCAGAGCAGCAGGAGTCCTTGCATTCGTTAGTCGTTTCGGAATCCTCGCTCCACGGTCGCACTCCAAGAGATGAGGATCACGACGCCTCCCTTGCCGAGGAGTTTCTTTCGAGCAAGAATGGCTCGCCGTCCAGTACGCGACGCGCCCGCCGCACAACGCAGCACTTGTCAGAATTCATCCGCGGAACGCAGATGAAAAGTTTGCTGCCAATAAATGCAGAGGACCGACGGCGTAGCACACAACTAGAAAGTTCTTTTACCTCGGACCTCGAAGCGCGCCACACAGAGCAGGTCTCTGTGATTCGCGCTCCGGAGGAGCTGTTGGTCGATGTCACCCCGTCGGGGACCGCAGGGACGGACTTTGCCACTGCGAACGAAGACCACGCAAGCAATCCGGACTTGCCAACGACCCCTGTGGACGTCCTGGAGGACCAGAGCTTTGTGATCGATTACTCAACGCAAGTACTGAACAAGGGGTTTGCGTTCGCGCGTCAGGCGACCAAATCGGAGCAGCTCGGGCAGAACTTTCCGCATGTGGGCCAAGTTTTCCAGGTAGAGCTGGAACTCGAAACTGTACGCATGTCCACGGTCTCGTCCGAGAAGCTAGTGGATGTAGTCGACGCAGCAGGAGAAGCGAAACACCCATCCACAGTGACTCAGGGAAATGCAAATAAAGCAGAAATCGTTCATCCAAGAAGCGGTGAAGATGCAGCAGCTTCCGTTACTGACGGTGGCACAGACGCTCGACGAAACCAGCACACCATCGAGGTCCAGCCGGATGCAAATACCTCGATGTTTCTGTCGGATGAAGAAATGAAAACAGGCCGCTCTGCAGTAGACGCGAGCCAGACAAGTGAACTAACTCCAAGGAATGTTCTCGAAATAGACGTGGAGGCCGTTGCCGTTCCTCGACTGGATAGTTCAGCGTCTTCTGCTTCCGCTCGACCCCTAGTGCCGGTTTCGGAGGAAAGTGTGCCAGCGGCGGTCAGAACGAGCACGACCGACAGAGTAGAGACTGTAGGTCCCGAAAAGCCTCTTTTGCAAGAAAAGCCTAGCGCAAGGAATCCAGATATTAAAAGCACCAGTGCTCCACCAAACACGATGCCTCTCCCGCCACCACCGTCCAGAGAAATAAACGTTCCAAAAACAAGAAACCCTTTGCTGCAGGTGCCGTCCTCCGAACAATCCGACGGCGGCGCGCGCCTTTCTTCTCAACCGCATAGCGCGAGGGAGGCGAAGGACCCAATCGATCCTAAAGCTGAAGCTCCCAGCGGTCCGTCACCCCGGCCTTCGGCACAGACTCCAGCTACGGGGTTCGTCGCCTCCAGCGGGGGTTTGCTAGCGGAGGATCTGCTCGAGAAGGCTATCAAGGAGTTTGACACCGAGGACCTGCAAAGCGAAGTCCGCACGTTCTTCGACAACCAGCTGGCCAGGAATGAATCCAATCTCCACTGGGGTCGCGGGGAAGTCCGGGCCTTCATCGGCGAGCTGTTCGCGAAGTTTTTCGATTTCAACTTCGACCGCATTCCCGCGGTCAGTTTCCGGCAAAACTTTGTCGAAATCCAACGGCAGTACTGCGAGCACCTGGACGACGACCAGCTCTTGGACTGGAAAGGAGCGGCAGAGCTCGCGCGGAAGATGCTGGTGCGCATGAAATTCTTCCGGGCCGAGTTCGACAACCAGAGGAAGCGGCTGTCCAACCGCAATTCGACGGTCGTGGGGAACAAGAGTTGAGTGGAGGAGCAGTATACGGAATTGAGTACGATGTATGATTTTTGTGCACTTTTTTCTTGATTGTCTACAACCTGCCGGTTTTGCTGTAATGTACGTAGTACTTCTATCGACGGAAGAACAACGGATTCGGAAAATGTACCAAAAAACGTGAAGTCAGGTCGCGATCAACGAACCTAGTCAACACTTCAAGAAAAAGTACATCGTCGTCACATTTGGTCCCGTGTCGTGGTGGTCCCCTTTCGTTCTTGACAAAAACAGTCTGTAAGCCTGCAATAATGAGGGTTCGTGCACAGGAGAGATTGTCGTTGTCGTTAGAGTGACAGCGATAAAGGAGAAAGACGCAGAGTTCGAGCGTTGGTCTTCAGTATTCACCGTGCGGTCGTGGTCGTTGTGTAGCCCCAGGATTCTATATCACAAATGAGAATCTTCATTCCCATTTGCAGTAGAGAACGACTGAGAAGGTGCACAAGTAGAACAGGAAACGAAGCGAAAAAGATGACGCGTTGCTCTGCTTTGTTGCGTCTCTTATTGTTGGCTTCCCAGCATAGCTCATGCGTAGGTTTAGGAGCAGGTCGTCCTTCCTCCGAGCCCCTCGTGCAGAGTGGGGAGTCGCAGGGAAGGGGCGTGACGAACGCGAACCTACTTCCGGTTCACGGAACTGTTCCTAACAATCTGCGCTGGAAGCAGGAGTTTAACCAAACCCTTGCGGCATACGGCCCAGAAACTCTCGCCAATTTCTACTTTGATTCCAAGGTAAGAATTTCTCCTTCGTGTACTTTTTCGATAAATCCATAGCACTAGTCGGTAATCAATCGTTGTAGAAATGGCCGTCTTTTTTTATCTTTTCCTGCAGCTTGCGCTGCCGTTAACGTTCTGCAACAAGTCACGTAATTATGCAAAAAAAAATTTTCCCGCAGAGTTTTTCTACGTTTAACGGCTACGACTTCATTCCTGAGCATGAGTCCACTTATGCCGAAAGCTGGAAGTGGTCGGGTATGAATTTCGTCAGTGGAAAAGGCCTCCTTTCCCCGGGACCACGCATCGTACGTTCCACCGCTTCCGGCGACAAGAAGAGCAAAAAGCGCACCAGTGGCTACGTGCGAGATGTCATCGGGCCGTTTTTTTCGCGCGGCGGCCACGACTGGTGGCAACTGCACGTCAATGACATCGCGGGGCTGGGTGGTCTGGCGGAAAAGCATGAAGGAGGTATTTACAACGCATTTTCTGTACAATCATCTGTTGTAGAGTGCATTTGATGTTGCCGGAGTCAATCTTTGTTGGAGGGCAGCGAATCAACCTCTGCAAGAACGTTTGCGTTTCAAGCTAGCCTGTTCAGATCCACCGCAGACCGAGAGAAGTACATAACTATCTCGTTAAACTTCCAAACAGGAATCGGCGTGACGGAGTACGGCGTTGCGCCGATCGCGGCCTCGACGAAAGAGGTTTTGGGCAACCCGCCCATCCAGATCCACCACGCGCACGCCGTCCACGGCCCGAACATGCGGCACCGCATGCCCGATTATCCGAGCTGCAACCCGAAGGGCGATACGAATAGGAATAAATGCTACGACTGGAGCGCCGTGTTTGAGTGGCACGGGGACTACGAGTGTCCGAAAAAGCTGGGCGGCCTGAACTGCTTCCACGAGAAGGCGGGCACTGGCTTTGTGAAGCAAGTGCACGGGCCGCTGGATTTCGAAGTAGACATGAATGACGTTCGTATCCTGAGTAAAAACATCCCCACACCAGAGTCAAGATGGGGATTTTGCAACACAAACCTAGAACTTTTGGGGGTCACGCATCACAAGTTGCAGTCCGTTAGCATGACAACTTTGGTGTGGGGACGTTTTTACTCAGGATAGTTCGGGCAATAACGACAGAATACCTGGCCTGGTATCTGCAGGTCACGTATCAAATGCAAAAATGTCTGGGTCTGGAACAAGAATGCAACTTGTAATGCGTATTTCAGAACACAGAAAAGTCTCTCATGCATAGGTAGCAAAAGCTCCCACTTTTTGTCTGCAAAATAGGGGACTTGTCATGCGGATTCGGCATCGCGGAAGGTTCTCGAAACCTGTGATGCTAGAGCTTCCATGCCAGACCTTCTGTGTCATGCAAAAACAGCATGACTCTTCCAGACCCAGACACTTTTACATTTGATATCACGGTGAAGTGGGTGGCGCTGAAGAGCTTTGCCAGTTTGAAGCCCTTGTCGCAGAAGTTCTTGATCGGCCCGGGGAACTGGAAGTTGTCAGACCAACTCTCTTACCAAAACGTCTTCTCCGTGCCCGCGAAGGAGGATTCCATGCACATCTACACGGGCAGGTACACCTTCACCGGGGATTTGATCCGCAACAAGTTTCACTGCCACAACCCGACGTTTCACAGTTCGTACTTTCTCCACGATTGCTCCCCCGAAGACTTGGGGCTATCGAAAGACCTGTTGAGCAACATTTGGACGAACAACGGGAACTCCCCCGCCGAGCCGATCGGCAGTGTGACGGAAATACGGAGCCTGCTCCTGACGAAGGCCGCGTATTTTGGCGCCAAAGCGGGAAGCAGGTGCAAAATCGCCTGTACCGCGATCGGGCGCCCGGAGCTGGTGAAAGGGCCGCAACATTTAAAGGACTTCAAGGGGCAGTATCTCAGCGTGCGCGCACCTTTGACCACCTGCGACGCAACACACTTGCAGGAAAACCAGCAGTACACAGTCGTGACCTTGCACGAAAAGCGGAACCCGCGCCTGCTGCCCCCGGCTTTTCAGGGGATGGAAAAGCTTCCGTCGCACGCGCACTGGATTTTGCAGTACTATGATACGGATAACCCAACCCGGTCTTCCTACTCCTACCGGATTCACAGCGAAGACGTGAACTCGTTCCTGGACAGCCAGCAGCTTGGCTTCCACCCGCGATTGGTTCTCACGTGGTGGTACGACACGTCCTTTCCGGGCACGTCGATGCGGGGCAACTACCTGACTGTGGCGTTCGCTGTCGTTGCTTTCGCCGTCCTGGTGATTCTCCGGCTGATGTGGCTCTCGCAGTTCAGCGGGACTGTGTGGTCTCGGAAGAAGGAGGACGATGAAATTTCATCGCACAAAAATTTGGCCTACCAAGCTCTGGTCGGGAAAATCTCGAAGGACTTTTTGAACATGAACACGACTAAATACGCGAAAATCGCTCCGGACGCCGAGGAGGACGAGGCAGTGACGTCGCCGAGTGACAAGAGCAAAGAATCCGTCGCGGTAGTCGAAACCCGACAGCAGAAGACACGAGCGAGAAACACTACCAAGTAGAAGGGGGCGAAAAGGAACGTGTGCTGTCGCCGGGAAAATGTTGCTGGTAAAGGCAAGGGACACGAGAACTATTTGCCAAAAATGAACTTTGTATCTACTTCAATCGTGATGTTATCGTTCTGAGTTTGTTTCTGTTTCGATTATGCAGCCCGGCTGCGCCCATGCCCAAAAATGTACCACCTAGATCGTTTGTCGTTTCTGCTTGTCGTTACAAGCCCACTTTACTGTTTTGCGAGAACAACTCTTCATATCAAAATCAATCTGACTCTCATCCTCTAGCGGCGAACTATCCCCTTTTCAGAGGTTTGTATCCCTTTGTGAATCTTCGCTCTTGTAGTTCCGTGTTTCAAGAACTGAAACTGAAGATAGAGTACCGCTCAGCTGAAATAGTGTGACGAGGCGTCCTCCCTCCACTTCCACAGTATACGATCGAGCAAGCGAAGCCGCAACTGCAGGCGCATGTGCTGCTCTGCGCGGATTGATTTTCTCCTCGTCGTTAGTCTCTCGCCGAAGCTTCATTGTGTCGATTGATATCGTTTTCGATATTCCTTCTTTCTACTCTAGGTATATGTGACGAACGCATATCGCAATCCGCAGAGATAGAGAGTAGGAAGATACGGAGAGAAGATGAGTTCATGTCGGCCGAGTAGAGAGAGATAGGGCGCCAGCGCGTCATCTTTCTCATCGTCAGTAGAGAAGCAAGAGGGTTTGTTGGTACAGACGGATGAAGCACGAAATCGAAATGCCACATTTAGCAAGATGGTATCAAGAAGTTGTGGCCTCGCGGAAAAAGCCACGATTCGCAAAAATAGATAGATGTCACAAACGTCGTCCGGCGAAAACAACGATTTCCACCTTGTATTCTCTCGGGATCAGGCGATTTAATCATGGCCGGGATCTGTGGATGTTTTGGGGCAGTCAAATCTGCCGCGTCGTCCAAGCGACACGAATACCGGCCTGAAGTCGAGAAGGAAAACATGAAGGGCTTGGATGGAGAATCGTCTTCCGAGGAGGGGGACACGAGTCCGCCGCCGTGGGTGGCGGATTTGGAAGCTACGGGTGCACGTTTCGATCTCGAGGAGCTGCGGGCCAGCGTGGCGCGAATTCGCACGCTGTCGCACCTGAGCAAGGCCCAGCGCACGGAGGTTTTCCGGCACGGGTTCGAGGTGCACAAGATTGCGTCCTCCGGCACGGCTTTTTCCGGCGTCCCGGGGCTGTTTGTCGTCGTCGCCGGGAAAATTGAGGAACGCCGTGTGTCGGACGGTGTGCTGGAGCGCCGCGTCGGCTACGGTCACCACCTTGGGGACTTCCTTAGTGGTGCTTCTTCATCTAAGCTGGAGAAGAGCGGAGGCAGCAGAGCAGGCTCGTCGATGTTGAACAACGCCAATCATCATCAAGAGATCGAATTGAAAGCTGTGGGTCCTTCGGCGCACCACAAGGAACACGGGCGGCTTCTAGAAGAGGAGGGAAGTGCCGTGATGCTGGGCGACATCGATGTGGTCATGGAGGACCGAATAACGGGGGAATCTTCAGGATGGCCCGTCAGTGAAGACGCGGACGACATTCATAGTGAAACAGATCATCACGATGGGAAAAACAAGGAGAAAAAACGCGGGCCGGTGGTCGGGCTGCTACTGACACGCGAAAGCTACAAGGCGTTGCGGTTGCCGTATCCCAAGAAGGGGATCCGGCGCTCGCACAAGCTGGCCGTGGCCCCGGGGCCGCGACGCCGGTACCGGGACTCCGAGCTGTTCCGCTACCTGGCCGATCGGGAGCCGTTAGGGGATGATCTAGTTCCGCTGGCCGCCGCCCCTCGCACCAGCAGGGACCACAGAGGACGCAACGAGGAGAGGACCGGAGATGAAATAAAGACCACCAAGGAAGAGCGCGACATGATAATGCAGGCGCTGCGGGGAAACAAGCTTCTGAAGAACGTGGTCACCAACCGCGACAAGGCCTGGGACCTGTCCGGCAAGGCCATCCGCGTGCCGTGCCGACCGGGGAAGAAGGTGGTGGTTGCGGGGGCGCTGGACTGCGAGCACTTCTTCATCGTGAACAAGGGCACGTTCTGGGTGCACCAAGCGGAAAAATACCTCTCCGCGGGGGAAAGTTTCGGCGAGCTGGCGCTGCTGTACCACCGGGCGCGCGAAGCCACCGTGCTGTGCACCAGCGCCAACGATTACGACGAGGAGTGGGCACACGTCGAGGGGGAAGAGGAGGACGGTGACAACACTCCCGTCAAAAAAGAGGACGAAACGCCCGACAGCGCGGAACTGTTCGTGCTGCACCGCGAGCACTTTCAGGCGTATCTGCAGGAGGAGACGAAAGCGGAGCAGCTGCGGGTAGCCGAGGCGTTCGCCGCGGCCTCGAAGACCTTTGGCAAGCACCTAACGGAGGAGGAACTGCACGCGATTTCGGAAACGCTGGTGTACACCGAATTTGAGCCGGGAACCGAGCTGCTGCGGCTGAGCGAGACGCTGGAAGCCATGTACCTTGTCACGGACGGGGGGCTCAAGCGCGTGGCGCTCGACGCGGCGTTCGACGAGGAGCAGATCTCGGTGCACGCGGTGAATTGGGAGCGCGACCTGAGCTCGTGCTTGCTGCTGGGCGAGCAGGCGCTGTTGAAAAACACGGCCAGCGCAGAAACGGTGGTCTCCACGTCGCGCGTGCAAGCCTACTGCTTGCGCCGCATCACACTGGAGCTGCTGATGGGCACGGAGAAGCTCTCGTTCCTCCTGGACCCGGAGCGCATGAGCGAGCGGCGGTCGACCATTTCCGACCGGAATTCCCTGGTGCTAAATGAGTCGGAAATGCTGCAGTACCATTTGGATGCACAGCAATCCCGAGCCGGTGGGCAATCCACGGCGAAGCGCGACACGGCGTTCCACAAACCCTGGCTGGAAATGTCGGAGCTGCGGAAAGTCGGGTTGCTGGGGTGCGGGGCCTTCGGCGCGGTCACTCTCGTGAAAGACAAGAAGAATCACTACTATGCTTTGAAGCAGATGAGCAAGGGGCACGTCGTGCAGTCGGGGCTGCAGCAGGCGGTGTTGAACGAAAAACGCCTCCTGCAAATCGTGTCCGACTGCCACTTCGTCGTGAAGCTATGCAACACCTACAAGGACAGCAGCAACCTGTTTCTCCTCATGTCGCTCGCGCCCGGCGGGGAGCTCGGGAAAATGTACGAGACCAACCACCTCCACGGCGTCGATTGGTATGTGCGGTTTCACACCGCCTGTGTGGTGGAGGCGCTGGACTTTTTCCACTCGAAGCACATCGTGTTCCGCGACCTGAAGGGGGAAAACGTGTTGATTGATGCGAAGGGCTACGCGGTGCTGGCGGATCTGGGCCTCGCGAAACTGATCGTGGGCCGCACCTACACGTGTTGCGGCACGCCTCTGTATTTCGCCCCCGAGGTCATCTCCGGGAAGGGCCACAGCTTCGAGTTCGACTGGTGGTCGCTCGGGGTGGTGTTCTTCGAGATGAACATGGGCTTCACGCCCTACGAGGCGGATTCCGTGGACAAGATCTACAGCAACATCAAGCGGAACAACATCGCCGATTTTGAGGAGATGTGGTACGAGACCGGCGGCAGCTACGAGAGTTGGAGTTTCTTTTCGAACCTCTGCAAGTCGAACCCGCACGAGCGGCTGCCCATGCGCAAGGGCAAGATGGAAAACGTCCTGGTGCATCCGTACTTCATGATCGCGCCCGATGCGAACACGGCGGAAGCAGATATCGCGGACAACGGCTACAAGTACGTGGACGAAGAGGGCAACGTGGTGGATCCGCCGCCCAGCACCACGAACAGCAAGGACACGCCTAAATTCGGGTCCAGCAGCTCCACCTCGTCCCTGAAGAACAAGACGTTGCCGTCCCAACGCTTCTTCGACTGGCAGGCCCTGGAGGCCGGGCGGCTGGAGGGGCCGTTTCTGTCCAAAACCTGGTCGAATCCGGAATACATGGTGTTCAAGCTCAACGTGAATCCAAGCTGGATGCCTCCACAAATCCCCTACAAGGACGACGGCACACATTGGGATCGAGAATTTTGATCGAGGCCGTCAATCTCAATGAGAATGATTTGCTCAGATTCAGAACATTAGTTACTGATGGAATTCTCGTCACGCTGATTAGTTGCAGAGCTAACACGCTCAACTTGTTAACTCGCCGCGTAAAAACCTGGCGTCTATGAGCCTTGATCATTCACTAGGAACAATAAAAGAGTGACTTCCTAGAAGCAGGAGGCTGCATTGGTTTGCTTCTAAAGAAGAAGTGGACTGGATTAGCAGGATGATGATGTTGAAGCAAGTCAAGCGTCGGGTTTTGAAGCGTATCTATAAACAACTCCCTGTTCAAGGCTGAGGATGCTGCTAAACAAACAAGGCCATCGAAATTGTTCGAGGCCTGCAACAAGTTATTCGCAGCAACACCGCGCGACCCTTTTTCCACTGTTAATAATGAGTCGCTTGAATTAATTTTTCGTCCTCTGAAGTGGTGGTGATGGTGAAGAATTTCAAAGTCAATCGAACACGTTGCAAACGAGCGGTGAGATTTACGAAAGCGCTTTAGAAGTTGAAGCCGATTAGTGGCAACAGCAGCATGTGGGGGGACAATTTTGTCAAATGACATGAGACGCGCAGTGTCCAGATTTTTCACTTGTAACGAGAGCAGCGGGTCGAGGTCCTGGGGGACATGGTGAGATACCCCGTTTTTTCCAACAGCCCGACGGTGCTTTTTGCAACAGTGATTCAGTGAGAGAGCGTTTCTCGTTTCGCTTTGAGCGCTGCGTTTTCATGTTATCGTTTCTGTTGCGCACTTTCTGATTCGTCCATAGTTTGTTCCTGTGACGTTTCTATATGGGATGTCAGCACTCGAAGCCACCGGTGGCGCCCACCCGGCGGCGTTTGAGCTTGGGTTTTGTCGATCCGAGTCATCTTCCTCCGGGCGGCAGCAGTACCACCGGCGACAGCACCACCGGCGCGACCGAGAAGAACCGATCGCTGCTGCTCGAAGTCCACTCGAAGACCTTGCAGCAGATCCTCGAGGGCGAGCAGGGCCGCCGCCAGTCCTGGTCCGCCAGCAGCTCCACGGATCTGCGGCGCCAGTCCTTTTCGCAAAAGACCGTCGAGGAGCTCGGGCACCCGATCGAACAGGCGGCACGCGACAACCTCGGCTTCGTGTGCAAAAAGGGTTTGAAACCAGAAGCGCCCAATCAAGACAGCTTCTTGGTGGTCAAGGTATAAAAAGAGCGACGGAAACTAATGTCTCAGTATGTTTGCAGCTGTCGAAGCAATATGAATGTGTTTGTGATAGTGATCATGTCCTCACAACGCAACCTGAAACGAACAAAAACTAAACCAGGCCGGGCAAGATTTGAGCATCTACGGCGTTTTCGACGGGCATGGGCCGTTTGGGCACGATGTATCCGATATCCCACAGAAAAAGGCTGGCAGGGCATATTTGTAATGCAAAAATAAATGCAAAGAAAAATCTGTCATGGGCGGCCTCATAGCATGCTGTTTAGGATACGCCATACAGATTTTTTTGTGTATTTATTTTTGCATTACAAATATGACCTGCCAGTTTTTTTCTGTGTGATATCCGAGTTCGTGAAGAACGCGCTGCCGAAGGTTCTGGTGCTGAATATGACCTGCTCAAACGTTACAATCTCAAACGTTACAATAGAATCTGGAAATCTGTGATGCAAGAAATGCATGATCTAGCCAACTCTCATGGGGCGGCGCATGACAAGTTCCGAAGTCCCAAACCGCACTACAATCTCCTGGCGGAATTTGTATTGCAGAAAGTGGAACGGTCTGTGAGTCTGTAATGCTCGCGATGCAAGACAAATCCCAGATTCTATTGTAACGTTTGAGATTGTAACACCTGAGCGGGTTATACTGAACCCGATCTTGATTACCCAACCCGATGTGGCGCTGCGCAGCGCCTTCGAGCAGACGCAGCGACTTCTGGAAGAAGCCACGGAGATCGGACACTTGAATGCACAGTTCTCAGGTATTCGCGTGAGCTCTGGTGGAGAACTTAGTTTTTCTAATCGCAGTCGTGGGGAACAGATTTTTTCCGTCCAGGGTATTGGTGATGCATAAAAATCTAACCACACCAGGCACGACGGCGACGGTTGTCGTTCACCTGATCAGCAAGGGGGAAATCTGGACCGCCCATGTGGGCGATTCACGAGCAGTTTTGGGTCGCAGAATGACGCTGGGGGCCTTGGACGCGAGCGACGCCGGTGGCGCCGCGAATGCGACGGCCTCGAACCGCACACAAACAGCTAAAATTGACTACTTGATGAGCCGATCGTTGTCGTGGCTGTCAGCGTCGCAACAGGTATAACAAAGGGTTCTGTCCAAGTAAGTACCGCAACGCGGCAAAATACGTGCTGAGGTTCGAAAAGCAAAAGATCGTCGTGTACGAAAAAAACAGCTGTGTTTTTCACTTCATGTCATGCACGGCAGCAGGAGGATGTTTATTTTCGTGTTACTCTTAGTCTTATTGCGAACAACAAACTCAGCCACCCTCCTCCGCCGGAGCGGGAGCGGGCGGCAGCGAAAAGGATGACAACACCTCCTCCAACAGTAAGTCTGGGCTGTACGCCGTTGACCTGACGCAAGATCACAAACCGGACGACCCGGCCGAGCGAGAGCGCATCGAAAACAGCGGCGGCCGCGTGATCTTCGATGGGTTCTACAACTACCGGGTGTATGCCAAAAAGGGCAGGTATCCCGGCCTAAACATGTCCCGCGCGCTCGGCGACCTGGCGGGATACTACGACGCAGGTATTAAGCATGTGCTGGATCTACAGTTCGTGCTGTGAAAATGAATCGTCGCTCCCCCGCTCCTGCCCACGGGAGACGGCACTGCTCTGCGCGCGCCATCAGTCGCCTTTCTTCTGCAGTTGCCAACTCATTACTTACAAAAACTGAGGTATTTCACCCGTCCCTACCATCAGCTTCGAGAAGCTCAGAAAGAAGAGCAAAGAGCCCTCCGGTCTCTCTACCGCTGGTTCGAAAAACCACACGGGGTCCCCGCGGCACATGAGCGAGACAACCGCCGTGGTGCCGACCTTTGCTGGCGGCGGCGCGCTGCCCGGGTCGATCACCTCTTCGACGAACAGTTCTACCGTGAAGGCCGGCCAACGCGGTGACAAGGGGGAACAGGAGAGCCAGTTAACCACCGACGAATTTCTGCTGCTGTGCAGCGACGGGGTGTGGGAGTTCATGTCCAGCCAGGAGTGCGTCGAGTTCGTGGAAACGCACATGAAGCGTGGTATCCCCGACGCAGCGGAAGTGATGGCCAAGGAGTGCTACGATCGCTGGACCGTCCGCATGCTCGGACAAGTCGTGGACGACATCACCGCGGTGATTGTGAAACTGTAGTATGGTGCTTCGCAACGGTGTGTGGCCGTCGTCGAGAATGAAACTTTTTAAAAGTTTAGGGTGCCCTAACGGGACAGAAACAGCAACAGGAGTCTCTTCCTCTTCGTGAATGCAGGGCTGCTCGAAGTGGGATTGTGCTGTTTGGAGAATTTTTTACGTAGTGTCACTCTATCAGCATAAGGCTGTAAGAAGCGACGGTATCACTTCTACCACTGGTTGGTGCGATCAAGACCGATGCCAATCGATCCGGTCTGTCTCCTTTTGGTTACTCACCTTTTTACAATACCTCCACAGCCTTTCGTGCCTGCAAACTGATCCAGGTAAATAACGGCTCAGACCTGTGCAAGGCACGTCATAGAATGATTCCGTGCACCAGCGCGATCGATCGTCGGTGCACGATACTTGGGCGAAATGGCACTCAGCGATCGTCGTAATGCGGTTGAAATAGTGCATGTGCACGACGCGAGTTCATCTTCACCCTTTAAGAGATTGGCTACATCGACATCAACAGTGTGCATCCTCATGATCAGTCGAGAAGACTCGAGTGGCTCAGGCAAAGCAATACCACAGTGCTTCGAAAGGTCAAATACCAGTTCCAGTTGTTGTACCGAGCGCCTTGAGGTCGAGCACGGGAGAGACGCTCTTGAGTGTCTGCAGCTTCCGAGGGCTTTAAAAGTGACGCAAGCAGAGGAATCTAAAAGTGAAGAAGAGAAGTGCCGCGCGGAATTGGCAGTCGAGTTGGAGCAAAACGATGCCAGCCCTTTCCCGCGCAGTCGCCGGCGGCGGGGTCAGGGCCGAATGCGGTATTTTGTAGTTGGGGAGTGGCCTCCACGTGTCGGCGCACGCCTCAGCGAGGCGAACTCAGGCCTGCGGCAAGGCATCTGTGTCGGCCGAAACTTCGGAAAGCGGCGCAGACCCAGTAGCCGACTCCCCTGAACGAGAAGAGGGCGACAGTCCCGCGACAAGGCCCAGCTCGGCTTGGCAGCTGGGCACCTGCTGAGGGACAGACGAAGACCAAAAGATCCCGGCGACGAAGTCCCCGCTGGTGGGGGGCAGCTCGCCCGCCGACTTTTGGAAAACGTCGCCGCGACCACAAAAAAGGCGCTCACGCCCAGCCTAGGCCGAGCTCTGCAGGCCGGACACGAACTCCCGGCGCTTGTTGGTTTCTCGTGGCGGCCGCCCGCCCGCGCGGTTCTTGTTTGTTGTGGCTAGCCCGCCGCCGCCATTGCTGTGGTGATTCGGCGGCCGGGGAGGAGTGTGGCGCGTTCCGGGGCAGCGCCGCCGTGGTGCTTGCTTGCCCGCCCTGCGACCGTATCTTCCGCGCGACACGCCCTTGGCGCCCCCGCTTAGGCTCCGGAATGTTGGAGCCGATCAGCAGGGGCGGTGGCGCTGCCCCTGGCTCTAGTTTTGCGCGACCCTGCGTTGGCCGGCGGCCGCGCTCTTTTCTTCTCGAGGGGCAAGATTAACCTGGGGGCGCCGTTTGTTGGCAGCTGCCTGCAGCTCTTTTCTACGGTCGCACCGGCGCAGCGTCCTGGAGCAAAGTTCTGTGTCACAGCTCACTAGTTGGCTCTTGCGCAGACGCTTGCCATAGATACGCGGCGCCTGAGTCATGCAATGAATTGTGGAACAGGAACTTGGGTTGTTCCACGTGTTGTGCGACATTCATTTCTCAGCGCACTCGAGCAGAGTTGACGAAATGCGAAAGCGAAGCGTCGATGCGAGATCGGCCGTTAGGCAGGATTGGGAGTATCGCAACGCGTCTCCTCGCCGAGTCGTGTGGTTTTTCGTGAGGGATCTGAAAGATGTGTGTGTGTGTGTGAGTGTGTGCGCAATTTCGTACTAAGAATGTCATAGAGAAAGAATTTGAAAATTAAACTTTCACTGGTAGGTGTGTTAGGTTCGATTGCATCCATTCGACTTCCTCGAGGATCCGGTTGGCGACTGAAAGTATCTGAAACGTTGTCAAGATGTTGAAGTTGTCCTTGCTGGTTTTCCTCAAACGCACGACGATGCCCGCGATGCTTGCGGCTCTTGTCGAGCTCTATCTTGTTTTCCACCTGCCTTCGGTGTCAGCCACGAGCGCTCGGACTGCGGAGGACATCTACGCAGCAAGACTGTTGCGCCTCGAGACAGACGACCACGCCGAAGTTGTTCAACTTCACGACCACAATGAAATATCCGGGAGGAAGCAGCGGGGAGAGTCCGATTTTCGAGCACACTCGTCAGGAGAATCAGAGTCACCTAAAAAAGATGAGAAAAGGACAAGTGGAAGTGATCCCCGCGGAGCAGCACACTCTTCTTCTTCAACAGCAGTTCCTCCGTTTCCGGTAGAAGTACGGTTTTCCCACAGCGTGTCTCCTGGAACAGGTAAAACAGCGATGGACCGAAAAAAGACCGCCTCAACTGGTACTTCACTTCCCAGCTCTACAGAACATCAGGGAAATAGCAAAAGCCAAGGGCACGATAGGCACCAGCATCATATCCAAGATAGAAAGATAGACGTTCACGTAGGTAGTCGAACTTATCGCAACCTGCACCGCGTGCCTCACGGGCCATGGGCGGAAGATAGTAAGCACCGCACCGTAGCCGCGGACGGTTCGGTCACCGTCACGGATCCGCGAAAAGCACAGAGCGACGGATCTAGCGAGTATGCGTTCTACCGGAGTGCGGAGGGCCACCGCGCTGTAGTGCACCAAGGGGTCTTGAAGAAGGCGATGGTGCACGACGGGCCGGGTGGCTTCGTTGAAATCTTCGCAAAAGATCATTTCTACCACGAACACAACCACTTGTTCGACCACGAACATGTGCTAGGGTCGGGTTTGGAGAAGGGGAAAAACGTCCACTCGCTCCTCGAGGGGCGTGCGACGCACACTAATGATGAAGAACTACGAGACAACGACCATAAGAAGGACAAGAATTTGCAAACAGCCGACGGTGGAAAAATCCAACGGGATAGAAAATCAAAATCCAGCACAGCAGCACAACTCGTCCACGCGGACACAGTCTGGGACGGACGCCTGCATAACGATCCCGACGTTGGGCACGGTCAGATCTCCTTTTTGGATTTAGCCAACAGCACCACTGCAGCTAAAGAGCGAAAGTTTTCCGAACCGACTACTCTGTTCATGCGGCGATTTACCTTTGCTTTTCCGCGCCATCCCGGGAAAATGAAACCGCAGCACCTGGTGTCGCTGTCGCAGAAGAAGACTAAAATTAACCGCTTTGGCTATGGTTACGACGTGCGTGAGGTTAGCTGTCACAGCTTTGGAACTTTGAGCGAAACGCGAAAAGGGCGCGAGCAAGCGAAACACGCGAGGCACGCAAGCGCGGCATCTTGTGCCGGCCCCGCTGTGCCTACGTCGGGATTGCATTGCGAACACCAATTTTTTACGTATCGAGGCCGTGGAGATCAACTCCCAAAGCCCGCACACCCAAAGCTCCACCGGGCGAGAAAGACAAGACCAGACCAATCGATTGCGTGCAAGGGCTCAGCAGCGCAAGATTCTGAACATGGTCACCGGTTGATTGCTCTGTGTCGGTCCACCAGTGTCTTCATCAAATTAGTAGTGTCTTCATCAAATTCACCCCAAAGAACACGGAGATGGTGGCCAAATGCCACCACCTTCTTCAAGATTCCAACTCCCCAAACATGCCGCGGCAATCACTTCGCCGGCCCCCTAGCGGTTCGGGTTGGCGGCGTCCGCGGTACCTGTGTGTTGTTTGGGTTGGAAATTGCGAAGCGTGTCTCTGTGATTTCTGCATTCGAATTACAGTAAGAGTCACAGGGAAGGCAGGTGGCCCCCGGCCATGTGTCACACATTCTACCAAGCAGGCAGTACCTGGATGGCCTCCGGCAAGCACCGTGGCGCGCAGCCCCGGGAGGGGTCGTCCGCCGGGTTGGCCCCGGAGTCAACCCGCTCTACCCAGATCATGCAGCCAAGCTGCGCGGCCAGAAGCCAGGAGCGCTCGACCGAAGCGCGCAGGGCGTCGCTCTTCGCGCTGCCCCGTACGAACGACCCCTGCGCCACCGTGTTATCGATCCAGAGGAAAAGGTCGGCGCCCTGCAGCTGGTGTGCAAAGGAAAGGAGCGCGGCCTCGACCTCTGCTCCTTCCAAGACCGCAATGTCCTCTTCGGCCTGCGCCCCGAAGTCGATGCGCGTGTAGGTTGGGCCGCCCGTGGCACACCCTTCCAAAGGCAGCAGAACTGCCCCGGCCCCACTCAGGCTCGCGTCCGTGTACATCGCGTACTGCGGGCGCGATGGTGCTCGCCCGCCATCAGGAGGGCAGGCGGGCACGACCCGGCTGAAAGCGAGACGAGCGGCGGACCCTTCTGCCGCAAAGAGGTCCGCCCACCACTCGAGCGCCCGCCGGAGGTTCTTGTTCAGCCGGGCGTGGGCAGGGAGGTTCTTCGCCGCGGCGCGGCGCTGCAGCGCGTGCAACATTGCTCGGCCGATGCGGCCAAACAGACACGTCGTCGACCAACTGAGGCGCCCGCCAAGCGTAGCAGCCTCGGCGGTCGTCATGCTGTTGCGGTCCAGGTGGTCCCGGATGTAGTGCTGGATCTTTGTGATCCGGTGCGGGCTGAGGCTGTACCGAACCCCTTCCGGCTCCACCGCGATAACGATCCCGCAGTAGATGACCTCGGCGCCCTCCTCGGTTTTCGCCTCGTTAAACTTTGTTTTGAGGATGTCACCAAGGAAGGTCTGCACGTCCGCCGCTGCGGACTCATCTTCCTCATCAGCAGGAAAGATGTAGTCGTCATAGTAGGCGAACATCGGGAGCGCCAGCTGGTCCCGCACGACCTGGGTGAGGGCCGCGCTCAACCCATTATAATGCAGAACCGACGCCGCCTCCCCGAAGAGGAGGCGGTCGGCGACGAAATATCGCAGCGCCCCGCTAGGGTCTTCGACCATGATCACGCGGAGAAACTCGTCGTTGCTCGCGCGGAGCTGGCGGTATGCCTTCTCGTGGTCCTTCTTGCAGCTCTTGCAGCGCCGCCCCGGCCGCAGACCTTGGTAGCGCGCGAGCGCAGCGGCGTAAAGGTCGACCGTGGCGAGCTTGATGGGGGTCCAGATGATGTTGGCGCGATTGATTTGCGCGGCCTTGCCATCATCGACGGGGCGGGGCTTGTACTCCCACCCGGGCTTGTCCGCTTTCAGCTGCCACGCAACGAAACGGCGGAAAAAGACACAGTCCTCTCCTTGCGCCACGCTGGAGTCGATCTCGTGCGCGAACCCCTCGCGCACTTCCTCCTGGATGCTCTGCCACAGAAAAGCCTTGTTTTCCGGGGCGTCCTTGTGGATGCACCTCGCCGCCTCCTCATGCACCCCGGCCTGCTCCGCGAGCAGTTCCGGGACAGAGAGCTCGGGCGCGGCGTTTGACGTCTGTTCGAAGATGTCCGGGTACGAATGCGCGCCGGACATCGGGAACCGCTTGCGGAGGTTCTCGAAGAACGGCGTGACCTCGTCAGGGCCGATGTGCCCCCCGTCGCGCAGCATCTCCAGAAGGAGGTCGACGTGGACTCCTTGCCCGTAGGGGTCCGGAACCTCCGCGGCGCGC